AAGAAGAAGAAGAAGAAGAAGAAGAAGAAGAAGAAGAAGAAGAAGAAGAAGAAGAAGAAGAAGAAGAAGAAGAAGAAGAAGAAGAAGAAGAAGAAAGACTGGCGGACATAACATCGATCCGTCGTCCTCTTTGTAGTCTGTGGTCTGTAGTCTGTAGTATCTATGCTCGTTACGTACACATCTGCGAGAAACTCTGCTTGTTTGTATCATATCTTGGGGAGATAAACAGCTTCGGGCGTGTAAAAGAGTCGCACAGTCTAGGAGACGGCCTAGATCGTGCGACAGGGCAAAAAGAAAAAAAGAGGCTCGAAAAATCCCCATCGCTAGCTAATGTATGCAATGTATATATCCCCTCTGGTTCTAAATGTCTAAGGATTCGAAGATGGACTCTGGGCGCCCTTCCCCGGTCTCTCCATACAGCGCCTGAATCTCCTCCGAGGTGGTCGCGAAGCTTAAATGGTGCTCGCCGAGACTCACCGCCCCGCTCAAGGTCAGTTTGTTCTGTACGTCGTCCGCGACGTGGGCGAGCAGAGGGTGCCAGATGATCATTCGGGTTCCTTCCATAGCATGCTGTTCTATGATCTCCGTCAGGGCCTGGACCGCACAGCCGTCAATGCCTGTGCAGTGACGCAGGTCGAATATCAGCACTGTCTCTGCGTCCGACTTCTGGTGATGATCGGGCGCCTGGGACGCCTGATGCACAGACATTGCTTCGTGATCAAGGGCCTCCAGGCGATCTTTGAGATCAGCGGAGTTGGCGAATGTCAGATGCCCAGAGCTGGCGACGGCCAGAGTTCGCATCGATGAAAGCGATGCGATGTGTGCAAGGTCTCGGTCTTCCAATGCTTGTGTCGAGGAGTCGCGAATTCGGACCGTGGACCGCCACCCTCGGCGCATAACCAAGGCCACGATGGACCATCCGAGGCCTAATGTCATTCCCAGTGTGATTGAGTGAAAGACCGTGGCCCCGAAGACCGCTGCCATAAGTGATAATTCAGGCCATGCCCGTGTCTTCGCAAAGAACACAATCTCGTGCGGACACTCTTCAATCATTGAGATTCCAACAATAGCGATCATGGCTGCCAGAACTCCCCTGGGCACGTAGTAGAACGCTGGGAGGGCGAAGAAAATGCAGGTCAGGGTTATGGTGCTAAGAAGGACGTTGCTCATCGGTGTCCTTCCGCCGACCGAGAAGTTCAATTTACTCCTGCCGTAGCCGCCGAATCCAGGCAATGAAAGAAAGCAACCACCGACAATGTTGGCGACCCCGAGCGCGATGAGTTCCTGGTTGGAGTTCAAAGGGATGTTAGACGCCTTGTTCGCTGCATTTGCCTTTCTCAGACTCCTGGCTGTCAAGGAAGACTCGAACAGGCCCAGCAGAGCAATCACAAAGGCCGTGGTGATGAGACTCGAGATGTCGTCGATGTTATGAATAGCGAACGGCCAACGGAAAGGCATTCCAAGGTTTTCTGGTGTTCGGATACGTCCAAGCACCTGAATGCCTTGCTCATGCCAGCCACATAGCCACGTGAGAAGGGTCGAGGAAGCGACGACCACAAATCTATCCGGGATGTACGCAGTTGCAGGGTACCGTAATTCCACAATGCTTCGAAAGTGTCTTGGATTTCGTTAGCCGAGCGTATAGAGTCTTCGGGAAGATGACGTTGCTGACCTTACTAGCATGACAATTGCAAAGCTCGTGATAGAAACCACAGCGGTGAGAAAATGTGTTTGGCTGAGTTCGATCAGGATGAAAAGAAGCTTTCTCGCAGGACTTCCTCCAGACACCCTTGGGTCTCGCTTGGCCAATGTCCCAAGACCCAAGCCCGTGATCGTTTGCTCTATCACAACGTTGAAACCGACAGCGCCGATAAATCCTCGCATAAAAGGTCGACTGAGCACAGAGTCCACAAATCCAAGTCGACTGAGGCCTGTGACAAACAGCACCATCCCCGTACAGGCAGTCACGGTGCCGGCTACCTGGGCATTGATGGTCTGGCTCTTATCATCTTCATTGCCTCGACCAGAGAGCGCAACAACTGTTCCGACAAGAAGAGAGCCTGGCGCTTCTGGTCCAACCACCATCAGGGGGCAAGATCCCAGTAGTGCATAGAGAAGAGGAGTGATAACGAATGAGTACAACCCGCTGATAGGATGAGCGTGTCCGAGGAGGGCAAAGGAGACGGATAGGGGCACATAAAGTGAGGCCACCGTCAAAGCGCCCATAAAGTCCCCCAGAAACCACTTCCATTGGTACCCAGGTACCCATTTGATGAACGGCAGATAGTGGGAGAGGCGAGCCATTCTGCGACCTCGACGCTGATGACTCGGAGAATGTGACATGGCCGTCCGCTCTGACTTTGGCAGCGGGAGCTGATCGTCTTTCGATGAGGCACTCGCGGTCTCAACCTCAGCTTCGTGGTGGCATGTCTTCAGGAGTAACTGCCTTTCGTTCGGTCCAGCTCCTTCCATCACGCGGTCGGCCACACCAGCACAGCTCAGCTGTGTGGGCGGATGCGCGATGGCATCGAGACCGTCTCAAGATTTTCAATTGAATGGGGGACAATATCCGGGAGATGTTGGTCTCATTGTGCGTGTGTCAGAGGAGATAATTGATATGGCGACACGTCGTTAGGCGCGGGTGGATTTCTGCCCCTCAACATCTTTGCATGTGTTTTAGCTGGGAACAGCAGCCGACGATTGGATGTTGGGGGAAGTGATTCGCAAAGGCGGGAGACGTGCATGTGTAGCGTCGAGCTAGGAAGATTTCCCACGGATCGTCGCTGTCCGCTGTCGCATCTCTCACCCTCTCGTGCGAACGACGATGAGGCGACGGGCCTGCGCCTCCCACCTTCCATCGTCTTCATATCGCATGGAAGTCCATCAAGTGCCAGGTGATTCTTTTCTGCCTTGACCGATAGACACGTCCGGAGCACAGATTTCTGCAGACCACGTTCATCGAGTGTCAACCATTCAATTCTAGCCATCCACCAACAACGGATCGAGGAGTGAAGGCGCTGGCATCAGCCGATATACGCATCAATTCGTATTCAATCTGGAAAGTTCTCAGTTGACTCCTGGGATTTCAGCGCGAAATGGGAAGAACCATGTTGTCCTTAGCTACCGGTGTGTGTGCGGCCAGGCCCGATCCTTCGAGCCTTGATTTTCATCCAAGTATTATCCCCTCGCCGCAGCGCAATCATCTCACCCCTTGGTGTTCGAATTACCTATTATCAGAGGCATTCTCGCTAGCACGGCCAGTCGTCGGCATTGCAGGGGTACTACTAGGTCTTTCCGGCTTTTACTATGCAGCTCTGGCAATGGAAAATCATGTGCCAGACTCAACGGCAACTACCAGGATCCTCTGCATTGCGCTCGTGGTCATTTTTGGCGGCTGCTTACTATCTCTATGTCCTGAACATACCGTGGATTCCTTCTGCTGGGGTTCAAGGTTACCCTGCAAACAAGATGCCGTTATCGTTAACCCGACTTTTGCCTACCCCGAATATAGGTTATTTGCTTCACTTCTGGATCTCTTCGATTCTCTACGTGCGAAATCACAGGTCATTGGGCACGAGAAGCGGAAAACGAAACGCCTGTTACGGTGTTGAGCTAGATAGAGCCAGAGTCACACACCCACACCCACATACGTGGAAGAAACGCTCGTATTCAAGGTAAGGTGATATGTAGGTACGTATTCCCCATTCAAGCACGTGAGTCAATACTAGAAATATATCCACGCTCAAGAGATTCGCGTTGTCTTTTTTGTCAACGATGCGCTCAATACCTACTCAACCCTGTGTCTGTGCGCGTTCCCAATGGTACCTATACAACGCCTACCAGTTCCCCCCCTGCGATCCCGGTATAAGGGGAGAACAAATGGAAAAGAACGTCCGTCTTATTGACCCTTGGCCGCCTTCTTCTCCTCCTCCCTCACGACCTCGCCTACCACAATCCGACAGAGCCGTTCCGCCAACTGCTCCACGCTCCACCCCCATTTGATCTCGTCCGCGGCGTCTGCTCTCACCTGCCGACCCTTGTACCACCCGTGGCTGTATTCGCACTCCTGCATAAACCGCTCGAGGACTTCACACTCGCCGTCGCCGACCGTCCACGCAAACTCGCCCTTAACGATTCCATTGGCGCTTTCGTCGACCACCATCTCTGTGCCCCTCAGAGCGCGGATCTCAGGACGGATCATCGTGCGAGGCGGCGCGTGGAATTTGGGCCGGAGTGACTTCCGGTAGATGATGTGGAGGGTGCGAAAATGGGTGTTCGAAAAGTCGCCCTCCAGAGCGAGTGATCTCTTGATGGGGCGGAGAGGGTCAGATGGATACGATGGTGGAATGAGGTATGATGGAATGGTTTGGGCTTTTACTTCGGCCTTCGCGGAGGATTTAGTCGACGAAGAGATTGAGGCTTTTGTCTTCTCCCACCCCGAGTCTCGACCCTGGTCTTTGGTTTCGCCGGGAGCGTAAGACGGTGCTGGTGGCTTCACGGGGATTTCTGGGCGATCGGCGCTGAGTTTTTTGTCCTGGGACTGCGAGTCGCGGTCCGAGGTTTGTTCTGATCTCCAGATCCAACCAGGCCAGGCTTTGCTGGGATTCGCAACTGACGGCTCATCTTTCGCCTCGGTTCCAATGCTCACTGTTCGCTGAGTTTCAATATGTCTCTCAGAGCACGCTCGTGGACTATCACCGGGATGCGTCGTTTCGGTTTCAAACGATTGCAATTCTCGGTTCAACTGTAGCCCAACAGAATCCTCAAAGGAGTCGTCAGTGGAGGATCGCATGCTGAAGCTGCTCTCCTGCCCATCCACATCCACTCCCCGGGATCTCTGGCTAAAGACGACTTTCCTGGTAAGGTTCATGGCATCAGCTCCCGCAATGCCCAACCCCTGATTGAAGCTATACCGAGAACCTTTCATTGCAGAGCGTGGCGTGGGTGGCCGTGCTGGAGAGGTCTCTCTAGCTGCGTCGCAATCGAATGCCTCTGCTTGGGATAGCTCGGGTCGCGGAGGTGGCGTCGATATGGACATCGAGGAATCGTTGAAATTGACAGGGATCTTAACAGGTTGCGGAGAAGAGTAGGGTGATTTCGACGATTCGGAGATCTCGTTTGTCGAGTCAACAACCTCCCCCAGCTCGTCATACGCAGTTGGTGCTTCGAACTCGGCTGTAGGACTCGACAGGCCCAGAGCGACCTGGCGGTCTTCTTCCAGCTCTTCTTCTTCGGAGACAGACATATTTGTGCTATCTGCGACTCCTTCTTCAGCGACCTCCCCCTGGGGTGTTCCGGCCATCAGGTCCACGTCGAACTTTCCGCTGTTCCTCCTATGTCTTAATTGCTGCCTCCTGATCTCACCAGCACCGAACGGGATCTTGCTCTCTGGTTCATGGTAAAACATCAGACTGCTCATCTCCCCTGCATTGGTACTTAAGAACGTGCTTTGCTCTTGCGGAGCATCGACATTCTCGCCTCTTTTCCATGGACTCGGTATCAAGCTTCTTCGAGGCCGGTTGACAACTTCTTGAGCTCGCTGTCGTTGTCTGACTTGCTCAGTGTGGGTAAAGAGGCTCTCGGTGTTGGGCTGGATGGCTGACCCTGGACTTGACGAATTCTTGGCCTCCGCAAGCCAGATGTCTGTTTCGTCATCTGCGTCAACTTCGAGATCAAGATGCGATCCCTCTTGTACCTCTGTCCTTGGAGTGGGCTGGTCTTCCTCATCGTCGCTGTCAATCACAATGACTTGGCTGTCACTAGCATTTTGGATCTGCCTGGACACCGCTTCTCTCTCAAGTTGCCATTCGCGTTCTCGCCTTGCTTGTGTGTCGATGATCGATTTCTCAGTATACCCGCGAGTTGGGTTTGGAGGCGTATGTACCACAGACACTTGGCCACTGGGTCCCGTGCTGCCACTTGTATGGACTGGAGTGTGCTGAACCAGGTTTTCGCCTCGCCAAACCTGCGTTCGAGATTTCTGTTCAGGTTTGACCGGCAGCTTCGCATTCGAGGTCTTGCTCGATTCTGACGTTTTATCCCTGGAAGCCGACCCATCCGCGGGAGGCGATGCCAGTCTCTTTGCAAGCTCCTCGCCAAAGCGGAGGCCAGCTCTGAGCTCGCGTTGGGTTCCACAATCGAAGCCCACAAATAGAGCCCCATCCTCTTCCTGCCCGCGATGATTTGACGAAGAATCCTGCTTTCCTGCCAACGCTCTCTCGCTAGACCGATCTGGCGACACTACTTCTTGCAGCGCAATACCTGCAAAGACGGCACCAGCTGAGGCACGATGTTGATGTTGAGGCGTCCTTCGCACGATAGGTCTTGGCGGCGACGGCAACTTTGGTGATGAATATGGTAGTGGCGTTACTTTTCGACCAACAGCTGCTGATGAGGAAGGGACTTTTAGTAGATCTTGACTCTTCTCCGATGCTGGTGGTGAAGATGGGACAGTGCTTGATATCTCACTCTCATCCGGCTTGATGACAGGATAAGTGACGGCTTGGCGCATAGAAGACGGACTGAAAGGCGCGAGGTCGCCGTGTGCTCTCTCCCCAGATTTAGTGATAGAAAGCTGTATCTTAGGATCGTTCATGTCCGGGGGATGAAGGCTGGTGTTTGAACCCTCATCAACAGGGCTGCTCAATGATCGTCTCACCGAGGGCAAGGTGTCTAGATCGATCATAGTAAATCCCTCACTTTCGAGTATGGTGTCAAAGGTTTCGTGCTCATGCCGCGCTGGAGCAATGTTGTCATCGAGAGCCTTCCCCACATCGTCAGAGTCCCCATGGTAAGAGGAAGTAGGTGAGGGAGTTGGATAGCTCAGGGCGCTATTAACGGAGACCTTTCGAACTTCCACTTGCTGCTTCATTGATGTGCTTCTCGTCCTTTCACTCACGATTGAGTCTTCATTCTCATAGTCGTTGTCCAAGTTTGACTTTGTCGACAGCGCGCGAGGTCGTACCGACACTTGATTAAGATCGATCCTGCGAAGTTCTGGTGATTGTGAATCCGCCACAACATTCTCTTGCTCCAAGGCGCCACCATTGTCTTCGACATCGGTATCTGGCCGCACCTCAAACGTTGAAGGGCCGGTATTAGACCGTGAGGACTTGGTCGGCGAGGCCTTTGAGGTCACCGCCGCAGAAACGCTCTTGCGAGAATTCCTTCTCTTTCGTGGCGACCTGTTCTGCCTCAACCAGTCATCCCCTTCGGAGTCGTCCCCCAACGGTATTATGTCCAGGTCCGTCACGCTCTGTCTCCGACTGCGGCCAGAAGTCCTGCGGCCAACATCTGGTGTTCCGCTTCTCTTGTTCTTTGTCGAATTCGAATGAGAATTTCCACCTCGAGAACCCTTTGGCTGTCCAGCTTCGGGGGGCTCGTGGTGTAGTGATCTCTGGGTCGTGCGCGTTCTCGCCTTGTTTAATGGCGCGTTGCCTTCCATGTCGGCGGCGTCTTCGGGCTCCGCCTCCACCGTCACCCTAATCTTCCAGGGACTCAAATTTTGTTCCGAAACGGCTCGAAATGGAGAGGAGGGGACTGCTTCACAGCCAAAGGTGCTTGTTCTGGCAGTTCTGCCCGTGGTCTTTATGGAAGCGATTGAATGGCGCTTCAGCGCAGGCTGTCGGGCACCAAATGCGATGCGACCACGCGAGGGCTCATCATTGACAGAGCTTGCTAGTGGATCGGGGGAGCTCAGGTCGCCGTTTCCGAAGGAAGTCACGGAGGGCGATCGGGACATTTTGTTTGTGTGAAGGCGTTGGCATGCGCGGATTCTTCCGACCCACGATCAATGATCAGTCCTGCAAGCTCACCACCAGCATCATAAATAGGTTGTTTTCAGAAAGCATAGGATACTAAGTGTTCGCTGATAATCAATGCGATAGAGTAGCCCAGTAAAGTGACCTTGTTCACAGAGCCCTGAAAGTGGTCGCAATGGATTGTTTACTATGGCTGCAAAGTAAACAATGACGTTGGTTCTGCATCTTTTGATTGGCTACAGAGGCGCCTCAGCCTTGTCCCCAATGCCCGCCTTTCCATGTACCCCCCCGTCCTATGTACACGTGGTGTTCGACACTCAGAAGGTCGAGAAATCATATGTTGCATAATTAAGTGCCGGTCCAGTCGTGGGAGAAAAGATCTCGTAGCTGCTGACTCCCCATTCAGGATGGTTGACCCCGTCAATCCAGGCCTGTGTCTCGATGACCACGCACCCGTGCTGATTCACAAACTTCGCCGCGCCCTGCGTGCCATTGTTCCTTTGCTGTTGGCTTTGCTTGACCGGAATTGTGCCATTTTGGCCGTTGCACGTGTATATCTGAAGGCCTTGCTGGTTCGTCGACACATCCAGTTGAATGCCGGTAGTCTCCGACCATAATGAAAGCACAGGGTAATTTGACGATGTCGGACCAGCATTAGCTGGTCTGTCCAAGATGAAAGCGTTGTCAATTCCGGTGCAGCCTTCACCGCAGACTCCAGTGGCGTTATCTACGGCATCCCCCAACAGCTTAGGGGAAAGGAAATCGAGGGCCGACACATTCGAGACAGAGCCCAGAGCGCCGGTAGGAATCAAGATGGGGTCCACGACGATGTATCGGTCGGAATATGGCATCCACAGGGTCGTATCATTCAAGATCGTTGCCTGTTTGAATGCATTGAGATTCCAGTAGATATGATTCGCCAGCATGATGGGCGTCTCCTGATCCAAGGCCGACGAAACCATGCTGCTCGTCAATCGCGGCCTGACTTCACCCTGCGGCCCACTTGGGAAGGTGCCCAGGGTGAAAGTAGCCGTGGTCAAGACTGTGCCTGGAAAGCCCTGGAAGCCAGTATCAAGCAGAGAGAAGGTAATGCTCGAGCTCGACGAGGCAACAACAGTCCAGTTCCGTTGATCGTATCCAACTGTACCCCCATGGAGGGTGTCGGCGCCGGCATTCTCATTTGCAGGGATGTGATAAGTCTGCCCGTTCAGTGTGAAGGTGCTATTCTTGATTCGGTTTGCGTATCGGCCTACAACAGGGCCAAAGTAGGTCTATAGTTACATCAAACTTCGTGTTAGCAAGCAGCAAGACCAAGTCGAGGCAAGATTGAGCGTTGATATCAAACGTCTCTGTTTCCACAGTACGACTCCTGTCAAAAACTCAAGACTTACATGATTGGTCTCTGTGTCGGTCAAGTATTGGGTAGCATTGTCATATCCAGCCACAATGTCCTGATAGTCACCGTTGCGGTCCTGAACCAGGAGCGAGGTTAGGCGAGCTCCATACGGGATGAACTTCGCGGTGATATTCTCGGCGGTCAGAGTATACACGGAGAAAGGATAGGCTCCTGTTGGTACAGAAGAGTTGGAACTATTCTGAGCCAGAACAGGCACAGCAATTGACGACGCCAGAACCCAGAGTAGAGGGGACCACATTTTCGCAAGAAATCTCAAGGTTCAATTGTTCGCCTAGTTGTCTCACGGCCACTGGAACGCTGAAGAGGACAAGTAGAGGCAGAGAAGCCATCAGATTTATACTTGGCGGGAGCTGTACATGGTTCTGGGCTGTAGGTTACATTGTAGTGATCCATCCGACATGCTGCAGCAAGTTGGGTTGATGATGATGCTATGGTGGAGCTGTGTAGTCTTTCACCTCCAGCAGGCTTATGCCGTGGTCCTAATCCGGTTCATTGATGGCAGAGGGTTGAGGACAAACTGCGGGGGAGCTGGGGCAGCAGAGGGAGAGGCTGCGGTGGTGGCCTTGTTGATCTCACCAAGTCTGGGGAAGTCAATGACAGTTGCTGGGGCCCCCGGTGGTTGCCGCTGCCAATTATGCCGTTGATTGGTCCTGTGCCTTGTCGTCTTCGGTCCATTGTGCGCCGGGGTGCGCATGTAGCATTCCTCCCGGCTCCTTTACAACCACCCACCGGCATCTTGCCTGCTTGAGAGAGGCCAACTTAGTCGCAGAAGATGTTCGATTCAATAGTTCTAGATTCTAGCCATGTGCATTTTTTCGGTGCTTGATTTGGTACTACCAATATTCCTTCGCCTGCATGGTTATATGCCCGTTCCTCCATGTTCATCGTGGGCTTCAATTCTCATGCCGCATTCCCATCATATTCGGTCTCACTGTACCCCCGCAGTTTTCCTTGGATCCACGTCCACCAGGTGAATGTCAAGGTATACAGGCCAATCCGGAGCCAAATTGCTTCGTGACTCAGACAGGGGCTTGAGCGCATCCTCGACAGCCCTCTTGTCCATCTGACCTTTGGGCTGGCTCTCGATCTGAGCAATTTTCAACAAATCCTCCTCGAGTTCTTCAGCCATCAACCGGCTCGGTTGAGGTAGGAATGTGCCTTGCCGTCCTTGATGAGTGTGCAATGTTGCATATGGCAGTGCAGGGCGCGTCGCCGCTTTCTCGGCCAGGTCGCTCAGAGCATTGAGCCCACTCATGGCCCCTATCGTGCGAGTTGATCTTGTGACATGCACGTTCTGACTGGCCGACCGGTCCATCTCGGGGGCTTCGAGTTCTTCGTCTTCCTCTGATCCTGAGTCAGCAGAGCCTCGCTCTCGGTCATCGTCAACTTTCTGGCGCCTTCTTGTGTTGCCGGTCTCGCCTTCCTTCCGTGACGTCGAGAAGAAATGCCGAGCGGCAATTTGTGCTTGGTGCGATTGGAAGTTGAGTTCTTTGTCGGTAAAGAGTGAGTGTATGGAGTACAGCGGCGCAGTTTGATTTGCCAACGCTGCACGACTGCGGTCTCCGGGCGTGGAAATGCCGTTACGTGACGGGGAGCCGACATCATCATCCGCAAGCTTGCGCTTACGCTTGCTTGTAACATCTGCAACACCGTTCATGTCCTCTTGCTCACGATGCCTGGTAAAGCGTGTCTTGCGACTGGTGTGATTACCGCCAGGACTCGCTGGGTTGGTGATGCTGAATTGACTGGGGTGGAGGAGGAGGGCATTGGTGTCCGCAATATCAAGTTGTTCCTTCTCTTTCATCAACCGTTGTCTCTTGCTGGACAGTGCTTGAAACAATCGTTCTCGCAAGGTGGAGGTCATGTGTTCGCATTCTTCTGCGGCGAGGTGCAGGCGATAATCACACTCATATTTCAACCTTTCAAGGCGGGCATTGTGATTGTTCTGTCTAGTTGTCAGCATCATAGTCTGGCAGTTTACATTGAATGTTGCGTACCATAAGTTGTATGAGAGCTAGTTCTTTGGCTTCCTTCGCGTCGTTGATCTCATGCACGAATTCGGCATACCATTTTCCGGCCAACGAAGACATTTGAGATTGATATGGTGTCCCAGAGGCTGCCAACTCGGCAATTCTAGCCACCTCTTCTGGTGAGTCTTCCAGAGGCTCGGGTTCGTAGGGGTCAGCCTGCGAAATAAGACTCATGTCATGTTGCAGAGCAATGAGTTGTTCTCGGTAGTGCTGCTCGCGATTGTTATTCAACTCATTGTGAAGCTCTTGCTGGTGTGCGACATGCTGACTCCGGCGCTTGTCTCGCTTCGACATTGGTTGCGCTGGAGGGGTTGGCGACCGACGATGTGAGTATGCAGTTCCGTCAGGACCACCCAAGGGAGACGCTGGGGAAGGCGAGTAGGCCATTTTGAGAGATTTGGGCAGAATTGAATACAAGGCCGTCCCCTATGCGACCTAGAGAGATGCAAGAATGTGTCTAGGTATAAGATAACAAGGACATTTGCTTTGTGAGAAAATAAAATAGAGGAAGCAGGGGAGATGCGATCTGGGGTTGACGCTCAGTGGGTCGTCGGGCGGCATGCTGGCCGGTGATAAAGGTGCAAAACATGACAAACATGACAAACGTTTGATTGTCGCGCAACCAATTGAAACCTCTGTATTCAACTGGTAACAACAATAGGCAGGCTTCATTCACTGCACTGCAAACAATGCTCTTCTCCTTGATTGCACTAACTATTGACGAAGTAAGAACCCTCCAAGCCGTGAGTCCGATGTCTGGCCTATTCATACCACAGCTATGCATCCTGCTCCATCTACGATGAGCTATCCTTCCTAGGCAGCCCTTCGCACTCCGTGGCTTGGCCTGCGTGCCACCGAGCATCTCATGGGCAACGCTTTCTGTGAGCACATCCCGATCCTGCATCGTGCAGATAAGAGGTGGGACCAGGTCTGTTGTGCGCTGTATTCAGCTGCTCTCAACCACAACTGGGCTTGCAGGATCACCAATACAGTAGCTTTCCCATGCAGAATTCGGATTTTAACTGCAGACGGCTGAATACAATTGCTAGAGCCGGCGATATGATGGCACACCATGCCGCCAGGCCAGGAACAACAGGCAAAACTTAGGTGAGCCTTCAGACCCATTAGCACTCGTATTCATCCTAGCACATTCAGTTCGTGGAACTGGAGGCCAATCGGGCATCCGTCAGGGCTTTCACCGCTTCCGCTCCAGACTTGGTGCCAGACCCCAGACTGCAGCACTCGGCAGCCCCGAGACTCCGATATATACCCCTCTTCGACCCTTTCGTTTGTGTACATAGGCATTCTCCTCTTGCTTGCTCAACCCGGCGTTTACGAGGCTGAAGGTTCAAACCTACGTGTCGGACCCTTACTGTTGAGAAGAGCAGGAGCACCTTGTCAAGTAGCATATCGCCGTTTCTCTGCAAGACTTTAGCGGACAAAAGCCTATCCCTACAGCTTTCCGTCATCTCCAATCTTTGATCCCTCGAACTCTCGCTCCCTCGACTTAGACTCTCAAAAAAGCATTGCTCGTTATATCTCAAGATCAACAAGACATACCCGTTCTATATTATCAACATGAGTCCGACAGTTATTCATTCGGTCGTGTTGTTCGACGGCCACCAAACTCACTCGAACGCGACCGTCGTTTTCGATTCAGATAGCGGCAAGATCACATCTGTCTCGACTGGTTCCGGTAGCGGCCAACACCCCCCAGGGGCAACCATCATCAATGGGACAGGCCACAGTCTTGTCCCAGGACTGATTGAGTCCCACATGCATTGCCACGGCCTGCATCTACCTCCAGGGTCAGACGAGTCGTCAATCTTGAGATCTCCCTTGAAATGCGGCGTCACCACCGTATGTGACATGCACTCTGACCTGGCATCTGTACAAAAATGGCGCACAGCAATTGCCGAGGAAATTGCACAGGCCAAGCAAGCTGGCGGGACAGTCACTTTATCAGACCTAAAGAGCTCGCTCTATGGGGCCACTATTGAGGGAGGTTGGCCAAAACCGATCGTCCTGTCCGGTCATCCTACGGAGGAGGTAAGTGTGAAGGCTGCCCTTTGTGTCCGCTTCATCAAGCCCGCATGATGGTAGGCGTTGCAATGCCCATTCCACTGACCACCTTCAGGTGATTGAAATGGTCAAGCAGTGGCCCAGTCTGACCCCAGAGACTGCGGCAGATTATGTCAAGAATCACAAGGCGAACGGAGCAAACTATATCAAGCTGATGCAGGAGAATTGCTGTTCCCTCGCTATCCCCACGAATTCGATACCGGTTGCCACCCTCGAGCTTCAAACTGCAGTTGTCAAGGCAGCCCATGAGAACGGCCTTCCATGTGTTGGACATGCATTGAGCGCTGACATGACCGAGATTGTCCTCAAAGCCGGGGCCGACGGCCTCACCCATACTTTCGTGGATCAACCGCTACCCGACAACATCCTCGAACTGTATAAAAAGACTGGCGCCTTTGTCATTCCCACATTGACTGTGTTGGCTAGCTTGACGGCCGAGCTACAGGATTGGAGGGAGAGGTTTGCTGATCTTGCACACAAAAAGGGAGTCATTGACGAGGGGACCAAGCAGAATATGATCGAATTGCTTGGGATGAAGGACCCGGCCGCCAAACTGGAATATGCACTTGACACAGTGGCAAAGTTGAAGAAGGAAGGCATCGATGTCGTTGCTGGGACAGATGCCGTCGCGGGCCTCAAGGGCACTGGAATCGGCCCCAGCCTCTGGATGGAGCTGGAGTTATACACTGAGAAGTGCGGCTTCACCATCGCGGAAGCCTTGAACTCTGCAACCGCGGTGGCCGCGAAGAGGTTTGGTTTTACCGATCGTGGAGAGGTAGCAGAGGGCAAACGAGCCGATCTCGTCCTTGTGAAAGGAAATGTCACCGAGAGGCTGCAGAATCTCTGGGAAGGTGAGGGCATTGTCGGAGTGTGGAAGGAGGGTCTGAAGGCCGCCTAGATTTGGCTCCCGACATACGAACAAGCAAGTAAAATACCTCCCGAAATGCTCAATTTCATCAGCAGGCTCTTGGTGCTTTCTTTCAACTTTGCTTGGCCACAAAAAGGCGAAATATTGATCAGCTCTGACATCACGGCCCGAGCCCTCAAACTTGCGAAGTTGACTCAGTGCAGGACAGCATCACCGCAACATTTCGAGAGGTATGGGGCAAAGAGACCTGTTGGGCAATCGTGATTGCAGAAATGTGGTTAAAGCAACGTCCATGAGGAAGAATGTTCGATCCGTTTCGTCCTACTCAGGCACAGTTTCTTGAGGAAGCATTTCAGCCCTTTAATCAGCTCCTATCTTGTTGCTTCGCTGGACAGCAATAATGGACTTACCCTTGTCAACCATGACTGCCGCTCTTGACAGACTATGCTGAATCATTCTCGTCAGGTCAGAGAGCAGGAACTCGATCGATTGTGAAGTCTACGCCGCCATTTATTGCACGTGCACTGCTCGACCCAACCCACCAGTTATTCCCAAGCGGCTGTGATTCACTGACTGAGAACGAGCAGATGAAGGATCTTCCATCGTCGACGCGGTTACGCGATTATCAACAGCAGATATTCATTCACGCACCACTGCCTCATACAACAGATCACCTCGGCGCGCGCGTCCTAAGCAACCTCCCTACCAGAACTTTTGCTGCGCTTGTATGGAATACGCATCAACTCTCCAACTGGCCGATCTTCTCATTCACCAAGAAACTTCCTTGCAATCCCATTAGGATGCCGGAACAAGTTGGGAAAGAAGCTTTGAGAGCGGTATGGCGAAAGATCAGCCTGCCTCTGCAGCGTTGTTTTAGGAAGAAGAAGCATGCATCCACCAGCGAGGAACCGGCGGTAGAAGTTGCCAAGGATGTTGAGATCCCTACTACAAACCCAGACCCTCAGCTACGTCTTGAGCACATCATTGCCATCCAACGAATCACCATCAGCAGAGTAAAGAGATACAAAATAACAATCCAACAAACTGAACACATTGCAGAGCAGCACGCCGCGGTACTAGAGGATCCAAAAGCCAACGATTCAGATGAGAAAGCCATTGATGGAGTCGAAATGGGTACTGAAGCAGCCATGGCCGAAGCAAGGCACGAGGATGTACCACTCAAGTCTACCGAGCACGATCATTCTGTCCAAACAGCAGTCGACAGCGACATGGTCGAAGGCGTACGTGATTCATCGCTGGGCCAGGCCGTGGTAGGTGACAAGTTAGACGGTCCAGGACCATCGGTCCGAGATCCTGGTTCGCCATTGAGACACCATCATTTGGGCCAGGACAATCAGCAACATGCTCTTGGTGGAAAGAGGCGAAAGTGTGTTAGATTTGACTCGCCGCTTAACCAGATCATCGCGCTTGAGCCGCAGCAGAATACGGCCAGGGGATCCGATCAACGATCCATGGTGGAAGTACCCGCACCCCAGCACCGCCTACCTAGAGCCAACATGATGGACGCGGACCAAACGGGACAAAACAGCACCCATCGTATGGACACAGCAGCTGGGAGAAAACGGCAACCATCTAGGGAGAAACCGGAGATGCACAGACTCTCGGATGTCTCACCACCAGGCTATTTCGAGTTCGATCCACCTAGACCGCCGACAGCTCCAAGGAAGCCGGCAAGGAGGCCTGGGGCAGCAATAGAATCACACTCCGCAGGTACCTTGACCCAGGCGCAGGCATGCAAACGACTGATGCAGGAAGCATCCTCGCACTTGGGACGTGTCCGTCAGATCAAGCCGCTGCCGACCGGCCAGGGGGCTCATGGATATGGCCTGGACAACGTCGTCTGCCGACTACCTTTTATCGTGATGGAGTATTTTCTCAGTGGCTTCACGCACAGAGGTAGCCCGACACTAGTTCTCGGCCTCTGCTCCGTAAGTCAATCCATACTGCCGTCGCTATGTGTTTGGCGGTGCTCCGTGCAGCTGACAAGCAGCAGATCCTTTCGCCGCAAGGGGCGGGACTCGAGACAGGCTCCTCAACAGCCACACAACGATGCCGAGATGCAATCCAAACACCCCGTTCCCATTGAGGCAAACGGTCCAAACCCACAGGCAACCCCGAACACGATCTCTCTGGAGAAGGGCCGTTTCAGTAAGCCCAGCTGGATCGACACAAGCAAACTGTTCTATGTACCCGAGGATCTCCTTCGTTGCGGCAGGTACACAGATGTGCGACTGTCCAAGGGACCTTGGCTCAAGATGCGAGAGGCCTTGTTCATGGCGACGTTGGCAGACGAGAAGGCGAGGTTCGAAACGGCGTTCAATCTGCATCAGGGTGGGCGGGCAGGCCGAGCAGCTGCGGCGAAGGAAGAGCCCAGGACGCAGCAATATGTACCCAACTATGCGCCCAACTATGCACTCTGGTATACTAGGTTAGCATCGTAGCTAGGAAATGGCGCGTCTTCTCGAACGGAGGACATGTGTTTCTTGGTATGGTGTTCTGCGGCAGACGGATGTCGTCTCGGCATAATCGTTGCTTCGAGGACTGGAATAGATGGTCAGAGTATCGAATGAATGGTCCCGTCTAGGATACGAGGCCTCGAAGCGGCCCTGCAAGGGGCACGTCTTGAGATCAGGGGTTGGCGAGATTGCATTGGACGGCTGGTTACACAAAGCTGCAAGGATGGAATGCCAACCAAGATCTCTATCTTCCGTAGTGTTTTCGTCGACAGGACCATCAATCATTTGGATCTGGACTTACAGTCATCAGTACACGGTCCAAAGGTGCCCGGAAAAAACCCCAGCAGCGGCCCAACCCATTCATTATTCTGTTCTGGTTATCCATCTCCTGCCTGCATAAAAGGCCCCCTTCTCCCGCTCTCTCTGTATGTGAGCGCACACTGAGATCAACACCCCCGCTTTGCTTCCAGGACGGAGCACAGAATCACACTCTGATCCAGTACTCTTCAGTGGGCAGCGAACCGGGGATGTGAGCCTAGATAAGCAGCTAGACCTGTTCCTGGCCGCCGGATGGAAACTACTGCATTGCTGCGTTGTCACTCGGTACCGGGCGACGACCAACTCCACGTCCGCCGGTGATATAATATATACGTACCTCCCTACCACAGGCATCACCTCCGTTGCCTCTGCCGTGTGTGGCGTGTAAGTCTACAAGGTACTCGATAACGGATCCAGACTCCCATCTCCCCATCTCCCCTTTTCCATTCTACGAGTATCTTCCTACTAATATCATATCACTTATCGCTTCTCCACTTTTGCCCTCCCTCTTCTCTCTCTCTTCCCGTTGGAAAACCCCGAACAGATTCCAACATGTTGAGCCCCAAAGAGGAGGATCTCGAGAGGCTGGCCGAGACGTGCCTCGCCGCGGCCCGGCAGATCAAGGAGTACCTCGCGGCCAACAACCACGCGCAACCCAGCTTCGACGAGAACGGGCCGTCGTCGTTCCCCGCCGCGACGCCCGAGTTCCACCAGACCAGACTCGAGCTGCGCACCGCCGCCCGGCGCCTGTACGATCTGGCCTCGGGGCCGGACGACGTTGTGACGTGGCATCTCTATCACTGCGTGGGTACTTCCACTTCCCTGAGCCCTTTGAAAAAAAAAAAAAACACCAGAGAGATAGGTGGCTTTCCGTTTTGTTCCCCCCCCTTGTTTAAGATCACCTGGTTCTCACCATGCGACGACATGTTGTGCGTGTCTACAGAACCACGACCTCAACGCCTTCCGCTACGTGTACCGATACAACGTGGCCGCCGGGGTGCCTCTGGACAGCACCGGCACCGGCAGCGGCATCAGCTACGCGGACTTGGCGGCGCAGCTCGGGTTGGATGCGTCGCAGCTGAAGCAGATGCTGCGGCAGCTGATGGCGCAGCACGTGTTCCGCGAGCCGCAGCCGGGGCGGGTGGCGCACACGGCGTCGTCGCGGCTGCTGGCGACGCACGCCGGGATCGCGACCTTCACGGGGTTCCTGACCGAGGACACGCTGCCGCTGGTGGCGCGGCAGGTCGATGCGCTGGAGCGCTGGGGCCACGGGCGGCCAGAGCCCACGCGCACGGCGCTCAGCCTCTACTACGACACCGACCTGCCGTGCCACGCCTACTACGAGACCGACCCGCCCGTGCGCGACCGGTTCGGCCGGCTGATGACGCACCTGACGGCGAACCCGCTGATGGCCAACGGGCACGTCGCGCGCGGGTTCGACTGGGCCCGCCTGCCGGGCGACAGCGTCGTGGTCGACGTGGCGGGCAACGCGGGCCACTGCGCGGTGCCCATCGCCGAGGCCACGGCGCCGAGCGTGCGCCTGGTCGTGCAGGACCTGCCGCAGGTGGTGGCGGCGGCGCGCGACCCGGCGACGAGCGTGGTGCCGGCGCATCTGCGCGACCGCTTCGAGTTCATGGCCCACGACTACTTCGCGCCGCAGCCCGTGCGCGGCGCCGCCGTCTACTTCCTGCGCATGGTCGTCCACAACCACAGCGACGCCCTCGCCGTCCGGCTCCTGCGCCAGATCGTCCCCGCCATGACCCCCCGCTCGCGCATCGTCGTCATGGACCAGGTCATGCCCCCCGCCGCGGGCCTGCTGCCCGAGCCGCTCGAGCGCGTCAAGCGCTCCCAGGACTTGCAGATGATGTTGCTGCTGAACGCCAAGGAGCGCGACGAGGCCGAGTGGGCCGACCTGCTGGAGAAGGCCGGCGACGGCCTGGTGCAAGACGTCTTCGCCGCCGCGGGACAGCCCGACGCGGGCAAAGGGAAGAAGTTGGGCATCGTCGCCATCCGGACGCCGCCGGGCAGCATGATGAGTGTGATCGAGGTCGGGTTCGTGGATGGCGCCCACGATGTCAACGGCGATGCTGGCGAGTCTGGCGAGGCTGCAGACCTCCCGGATAGTACTGGCACCGGCCACAGTTGAGGGTCTGTCAGGGGAGATTGCCCTGTTCACACACTCGAGGGAGCTTACAGGGAGACACGTCCGTGAGATGGTAGTCCCGGGAGGTAGACAGCTACGGCAGAAAATCCAAGTTCAAAAAATGAATATTGTCATGATGTTCATCAAAACGGGCGCTTTTGAGTCTCCTCTAACAGACGATTGGAGAGACTCGAGAGCTCGACGTGGCTATTGATCAACAGAAAGACCTCACAGATCGTTCCTGGCCCGTCAGGAAACTCCAAACCTGTCCACGATGGAGACACGCAAGAGCTTGATGCGGCTTCTTGACACGAATCCCCTTTGACCAAATATTAACACACACGCTCCTCCTCCGAACGGCGCCTGGTGGATTACTCAAAGAACGCTTGACATGATGCTGCAGTACTGGGAAAACGAAAGTCGAACGTCGCTTTTTCAGACAGACCCTCTCTGGTCCGATATCAACACACCCTCCTCCAAACAGTGCCTGATCGGTATTTCAGTGCATGTCTGGCTTGTTGCAGCATTGCAAAGACAAGACCTCTTTCGTCTCCTCAATACCCATTTTGTTCCATTTCCACAATCTCGTCGGGATCTGTCACCCAAAGCAGCACTCTGCCCCGATTGCTTGCCTCCCGTGCGGCCTTCAGTCCTTCCTCAAACTCCTTCTCCCAGAACTCAATGGATTCTCTGGTGTCTCTCTCTGTCCATGTCTTTTGTACAAGTGATTCCACATAGGATGACGCGATCCCAGCTTCAACGTATGTCTGGGGTGACGGGGCATTCGGGCCATTCAGGACGTCCTCCGCCCACGAGTCGTACTGGTGCTCGCGTTGGTAGTCCGTCATCCCGTCTTCCCCAATCAGGGTGTTGTCTAACTCTTCACGACTCATGAGTCTCGTTACCGCAGGTTGTCTGCTAGTCCGAACCGTTTCATGGAACTGTCTGTCAGCATGTTTCTCTACCGGCACCATGCCTGGCCCGAGTTGCGACTCGGTAGCTTCTATTTCTGAGCTTGGGGGAGACGATGAACGTGATCGGGCTTGCTCGCTCAAGGAAAGCCGGGAAGATTTGGCGGGTTTGTATTTCTGTGCGTCCGATCTCGCTTTGTTGAGCCGGAATTCTTGTGTGTCGTTCACCATGATGCTGTCTGTGTGTCCGGTGAATCCTGAATATTCGAGCGGAGTATTTTGGGGGAGTTCTGCATGTGACATGCGAGGGGTACTGGGTTGAGGCGGCACTTCTTCTTGTGCTGTCGGTTGACGCGGCGTGAGTGTGTCATCTTCCTCTTCATCCTCAAACTCATCCGCATCAGGAACGCGAAAGTGGCCAGGTCGAGGATTTGCAAGGGATGGGCGCCAGGTGTCATCATTTGGATCAGTAACATTGAGGTCAAGGTGGAATCTAGAGGTCACGTTCCCTCTAGTATTCTGCATTGTTGTCGGCGAGTGTATGTGCTCTACGTCAAATGGAAGCGAAGATGAAGAGTCTGGCGACTGACTTGAAAGGTCGGCGAAGGTGCTGCCACGATAGTCGCCAGAGCGACCATACTGGCCGTAGACAGCTTTGACTGAGTCGACGGGGTTGATGCGCACTGATTTAACGGATCGTCCAACTGAACCGAGGTTTGTGCCGGTCTGTCTCATTGCAGAGCGCAGAGGAGTCTGTGGTAGAAGTTTGGTGGTGGGTGTGGCAGGTTGCGTCTCTGCTAGTGATGATTCGCCGATCCCTTCGACTTCATTTTCAATGTCAAGATAGCTGTCGTCAATTCCAAATCCGCCCTTTTTTGGGCCCGGGATCTGGCCTTCAACTGATGCGAGTTTGCGCTTGTTGGTGCCTGGAGTTTCGGTGGGGTTGAAGTCCGCTGCTTTGCTTTCAGTGCTCTCGGCCATAGCTGCCAACTGTTCCCGACCTGCAATGGTGTTGGCCGTTCTGCGTTTCTTGAAAAATTCGCGCGTGAGAACTCTGCTTTCAACTGCGGGAGAATCATGAGCAGGTGGTTCAATTTCGTTGAGAGCGACGCGTGGGGTTGGGGTAGGACTGCCTTGTTCTGAAACTTCCTCTTGTTCTCCGGCAGTTGTGTCTCTCTCTTGTGCCTGGTGTTGGTCTTGGTCTGAAACACTAAAACTGCTTTGTTGTGGGTGTTGTTGTTGCATCACATTTTGTGCCGGACCTTGTGTACCACTACCAGTGAAGTAGCCTAGAAATTTCCTCACACTTCCAAAAATGCCAGCTGGAGCCGGGGTTGGGACCGGGGCAGGCGTGTTCGGTTGTTGAGGTCTCGGTCGCTCTTGCGACTGAGGATGCTCTTTCTCAGCCGTCGGGCTGGACTCGGGGCTCGTGGGCTCGAAAACGCGATGGAAGAAGGGAGACTCATGCCGGGAGCTGAGTTTGGAGGGCGCAGAGGTCAGGAGGCTTCGGTTTCGAGTCTTCGAAAACAGGAACTTGGGCTGTTCGGGAGTAACAGCCCTACGCCGCTTCGATACATTCTGGTCGGTGCTTTCGTCGGGGTCTCGACGTCGTTTTGCGCTCGTGGGCTCTATGTGGCATTTGCACGTCAGCTCAGGGTTCGTTTGGGTCCACGCATCTCTGTATTGGGGTCTTCTCCTGGCAGATGCCCCCATTGTTTCCGTCTCCGTCAGGGTAGACGGATCCACGGTAGGGGACTGGCAGGCGGGGAACCTGTAACGGGGAGAACAGGAGACAATGAAAGGCGTCAGGGCCGCAATGCGTCCAATTTGACGCGGTTTTCGCTCACGTTTGGGGGGTTGGTACTCCGAAAAGCCCTCGGGTCGGGCGCCCTGTCCACGGGTGTGGACCATGGTTGTCTGCTGGAGGGTTCTTGGGTGATATTTTTTGATAGAGGATTCGATGCAAGTGACGGACAAGCGACAACAATTGAGGTGAGGTAGAGTCGAAAAGTCAGTTGCCATATTGAGGCTAGTGTTTGGTGTCGTGGCGGCTCAGGGACCAAAGGGCCGCCCATGTCCTCAGAAATAAGGGGCTTCGTCTGACAGAGAATAGACGCCATCTCAGAATATGGTTATGGTCATTTGATAGCGATGAGGTGGCCGCCACGTCAGATATGTTTAATACTGTTACTATGGACGTATGGGGATCCCGCTGTGCATAGGGCAAGACCAAATACCATTGTAAAGGACGGTTGCCTCTAAGCGAATACAAGTGGGAGGAAGTACGGCGGAATCCTTTTCTCGTCAGACCGTACCATTTATTTTGGACATCGAGCCCGAGTATGGTAAATTTCACGACGAGCCCAATGGGTTGGCTATACCATCTGCCCTCCAATATCTTGAGTAACCTTGATGAGATCAAGCGAACAATCGCAACAAGCGGTGAAATGCTGTCGGACAGTGGGAGTAGTTGAGAGCGAAGTCTCGCGGATCCTCACGCGAGGCTGAAAAGTCAACCCCTCTTTCCGTCGGCTTTCTACTTGGCTTCATCGGTGGATATCGTGGATGGAAGTGGGCTTCCAAATTACTTTCAAGAGGGTACTTTGTGCTTTTCTTCTTTCTTTGGCTCCGACCCGAGCATCATATTTATGTAGGATGCACAAGTTCGCATTTCCACAGAATACGACTCAATGACCCCGTGGGCTGCTGACTTCCTGGGTCGGATTTCGGGGACGACTCTCTCTCCTCAGCGATATAGGCACTCATCTAAGACATCCGGTTATCGTATGACACCTTGTCTGTCTACCCAGACCTGCCCAGATGTCATAGTTCTCTCATCGCATACCCTCGCATTTTAGAACGGGGGAAGCGCCACATATCTCCTTCATTTCACCTAACTCCCACTGTCCGCTGCGCTCCCAGCGACCTTCTTCGCAGCTCTTTCGGTCTTTCCTTTGATGAATCCCGATAGGTCACCCACTGGGAGTGTGACCGGGAAGTCGACGCATTCCAGCAGTTGCACCGCGAGGAGATACCACACCATCATCGTCAGGGCCCAAGTGAACGCCCCCGCTGCCTGTAGAAGGGGTCGAAACGTGTCAGCTCCCTGGATATTGTTCGATGTATTACAAGAGGTGGCATTTTTTGTGGGAATGGAATCACACGAAAAATGAGGAGACATCGCATATCAGATTAAGGGCAAGAGAAATTCAAGGTAATGCTCCCCCCTCAAAAAAATTCATGGGTAGACTCACTATGGTCAACTTTTTGCCCGTCTCCGCATGTCCGAGTGCCAGATTCCAGAACGCTCCTGCGGCACACCCAAATGCAAAGATCAGGGTGAAAAGTGCAGAGAAGAAGACGATGTTGGTTCGCAGGGCGCAGATAGTAAAAATCGTGGTGAGCATGGCGAGAGCCACGTAATAGAATCCTGTTCACAGGAGCGAGCCTGTATTAGTTGCGAGTAGATATATGTCTGGCCGTGACAGATGGTACCCACCAACGGTAGCGTAATAGCTCGGTTCAGTCATGCCATGCAGCGTATCGCCTGTGGTGGAGTATTGGACTCCGACGCCGAACCAGGGAATGAGCTCGGTGCCAGCGACGATCCAGAAAGTGCCGTAGGTGAAGAACAAGCACATGGAGAAGGTATTGCCCAGGATCCATTCGGCGATAGCGCCCAGGATCTGGAGAACGCCGCCGAAGAAAATCATCGTTGGGCTGCGTAGTGACCGTGTCAGTCAAGAGGGGAGGTACAAGCGGCAGGAAAACGCCTTCAAAGGGAATTCAAGGAATTTTCGGAGCCTCTAAAGAGTAGGGAGAGGCACTCACATAAGGGCTCCTCCCAGACCTCCTGCACCACGCCAGCCCATGTTTGCGGCGGCGTACGGAGTTGCAGCCATGACGAAGCCAATCAGAGCGGCAGGGGTCGGGTTACCAAACTAATAGAGAGGACAACTGTGAGACAAGCTAGACAGGCTCGAAGGCAGGGAATCTTACCTTCTTCCTCAGGTCTCCGGGAACGTTGCGCTCCGGAGAGAGGTAAAGGGCTTCGAACACATCGCGAGGAAGAAAGACGCTGTCTGCCGTCTGTACGCGGCGAAGGAAATCTTCTTTTGAGTTGAGGTGGTTCAAGGGAGCACTTTTGTTGTCTTCCATTGTCAAGGAAACAAATAGAAGCAGGATCTTGAGAAAAAGAAAGAAATCAAATGTGAGTCTCTCGGAGATTCTTTGGTGCGCGACACAAGGAATAGACTTGACAGGGTCGGGCAAGAGAAAAGAGAGAGGCGAGAAGCAAAGTCAACATCTGGGGCAGCCGGCCTTCTTGAAACTTTTTCAACATGTGTCGGCCTTTCCACCATTACCCTGCATTGACGAGTCGGTAGATGCATTAAGGCTCACTAGGCCACGTTGGTTGGAGTTTTTCCGTTCAGGAGAACCGTTCGCCATGTGCAATCCAGCAGCGGGGAGTCGGCGGCGAACGACGACTGGACAGTGCACGTCCTCCAGCCCCGTGGGGATTGTAGCATTTTGCCTTGGATGGCGTCCAGGAGCCAGTAGGCACACAGAAGAAGGGGCTTCTGCGGTGAAAAGCGGGTTTGTGTCCCTGGGGCTGTGGAGATAGCTACCTACCTAGGCAAAGGCAGCCTTTGTCATATTTGGCCACAGCTGGGGTTGAGGGGCACCGGACGATGATTCTCCGTCAAAAGGACCATCCAGCGACTTGCAAGGGTTTATGCGGTCATATGCAGTGGTATGACACTCACCTGCGCAACTCTCGCTCGATCTCAGAGGTGCATAGCCGCGTAGGAAAGCGAAGGAGACCTGACTGGCAGGCGGCTTTGCTTTTTTGCCAAACGTGCTGAGAGGATCTTGAGATCTCCACTTGTTGCGCTGATCGTTCCCAGTTCCCGGTTGGGCCTGTGCCTGGGTAGATATTTGTGGTGTTTCGGACTCTGGGATGCCCGGGTGAGAGCATACCAGGGTTTTCGAGTTGGGGAAGGGGTTGCATTGAGCTCTCTCGGAACTCAAAACGCCACGTCATGCGTTGCAGCTTGCGGGGAGGAGGAGGTGGGGAGACTAGCGACAGTTTCCCGAGGTCTAGGAGAAGAGATTTCCCAGGGGATCAGCGTGTCGGTTCCGAAAGGACGATGGAAGGGTTGATGTGATGTGTGAGAGCACCAGATGATGGATTTTGAGAGAAAGGAGGTTCAAAGAAGATTTGGTTGTCCAAGAAATCGCCAAGTGATACTATATCATCTTGCCGCTGCCATGGCCCTTTAAGTATTACTCACTCTGGAGGAATACGAGGTCCTGCTGATAGCGGCTGCCGAGGCAATCGGTCCGGGTCATGGCACAAAAGCTTCAGTGCACCGTGGCTTATGTACATGGCCAGTGGCACTGTGGGCGAATGAGGATTTTGGAGAGAGGGCGCCAAAGCTTGGGGAAAAGTATTTCTGATCCCGTCTCTTTGGAGAAAACCAGGCTAGCTAGGTGCTAGGCAAGCAGCCTGCCCAAGTGTCGATGTTGACCATCTCCTCTCCCTCTTCTGCCCGATTGGTTTATCTGAGATATCCAACTCGGACCAGGGCAGGGATATCTGCATCGAAATCTTCGTTTAGACACGCGACAAAGGGCACAATGCAGGGTCTAGGCCTGCTCTTCCAAGTGTAAGAGCGATCTGGAACATGGACCGTTGTGCCAGGAGAGTCGACTGTTCCTGTGTCCAGCGTGTGACCTCCACCGTATCAACTACCAGTACATTCTTCGGATATTTGCCCAGGTACTGACAACCGTGCAGAAATGAATAAGACGCGTGAATATCCAGGTGAAGAGACAATGGCGAACGGCGGCAAAACAAATGTGCGGTGGCAGATGGGACAGACTTGCCCAGGCCTTGCTAGTGTGATGTATATGGATAAAAAGGTCTTCCGGTCTGACATGGCGGGTGAGCAATCGCCGAGTGGCCGTTGTCTTTCGAATCGCCTTCGATGTGTCTAGAGAATAAGGCAGAACTGCGCCGGGAACATTCCCGACTTTGAAAAAGGATCCCAGAGTCTCCGGCGGAGTGTCGCCTGGGAGCGTAAGAGAACTAGCACCCAACCGTCATCCGGCTGCCGACCCAGTACATATTATGCATTCCCAACCCTGCTTGTATAGCCTTTGACAAGAAGCGGGACCAAACAGTTAGAGTCAGCTGTTACAATATCACATTTGAAATGAAAATAAAACAAGTAGGATCGAGAGTCCTGTTATACTGCGATCAAGAGCGCGCATCCCAGTGAGTGCTTGATTCTGGGTCCCGCCTTCGCTGCTGAGAGCACCGCCGAGATAGGGCTGAGATGAAGGAGGCGACATGCTCGCATCCTGGCCCGTCTGATCTTGCAGGGAATTGTTTCGGAGAGCACACGACGGCCGAGTTCCTCTGGCTGCCAGCTGGGTTGTGTTGGGAATGGAATTAGTGACCTGGATGGGGAGGTTGAAGATTGTGTAATACCCAGTCCCATTGATCCGAAATGACTGGTGGATCGAGACCTGTGGACAGAGTCAGCACAACAGGAAGAGCAAGAGGAACGGGCCTGGTCGCACGTTATAAGAGCCTCTGTCGGATGAACTTCCAGAATCCTGGCCACCATCACCGACCAAACAGTCGGGCCATGCCCAATTGACGTGCTTCACGGTACTGCCACTCTCTTGTGCCATGATTTCCCCGCAGCCCGCATTCCGAAAGCCTCGACTGGTTGTGGAGTTACAATGGAACTCTGGTGCTTCCATACTATCGCTGAACCAGCCATAACTGGTGCCATTTGATATCGTCAAATTGAGGCCTGTAACATAGCTGAACAGGAACATAGTGATATTGAGAATTCCGGTCTCAACACCTGGAGAATACGGAGGCTGGGATATCCGGCCATCGCCTGAGATATCGATGGCGACCTGGAGGAAATCTATCAGAGTCAGTTTCGTCGAGGTCCTGTTTTACCGCGGTAGAATGTGTCTGTCATTCCGGTATATACTCACCACCCCCTTCAGGCGTGAATGGCTGAGGCGCATCGATTATTGCTAGCCCTGGTGTGTATATTTGACCATTGACAATGGTAAAATTTGCTGCAGCTTGCACGCAAGTGGTAAATATCACACAAATCAATACCAGCGCTCGAGGCAGGGAGGGACTGGCCACAGAAGCATTCATCTCGTTGAAATGCAAGATCCTGAGATTATGGACATCCCACAAGATTCAGCGATGCTTTGCGAAGCGATCTGTTGGCGACATCTCAAGAGCCAGGAATTGTGGATGGGTGACCATCAATTTGCTTGAAACCGCAATCAAAATTGTGACGCGAAACCGGGTTCTCGCCCCCCTGCTCGGTCAATTTGACACCCTACCTTTCATGATCGAAGACCGCCAGCGTGTAGGGCCGGGCTTCGCTTTTGACAAATAGATTTGTATCGCGATAGGGACCTAGCGACATCCAAAGAGGGACAAGAGCCTTGATCGCCATACGAGTGGTGGTGGAAAAGATCGGCTTCGGCAGACCAAAGTTCCAGGGCATTAAAGCGGCGCTGAAGCTTGATGTCTGTGGTGCGCACGTGATCTCAATTTTCAATGCAGCCTGTGAGCCTTTTGAGCTTTCCAGACTCCTGTCCACCGACCTTATCCTCACATCGTCGTCTCGAAGATCCTCATCTTGCTCACATGGAGCAAGTCTGCGCACGTTGTGCGAGACTTGGTCTCAGGCCGAGACCTACTGTTCCATCGATTCCACTGGCTACCAGTGCTCGAGGATTCTCCAGCTCAACTGTCTTGTACGATGAAGGTAATGCCCGTCCACACCTCGTTGTTAGGAGCATAGCCAATTGACCCTAACTTTGCCTAGGCGATCAAAACCCTTCCCGTCAGCCAACTGGCAGACCTCTGCCTGGCTCCTCCCTACGCGGCGCGCTCGACAGAAACAACACCCGTGGTTCCGCTCCTCGACCACAAGCAACTCGACCCGCAGGAACAATTCTACGACGAACAGCTGCACCACATACGCAAAACTCTAGCTCACCGGGAAATGCCGCTCGAACTGGGATAGCCCCCGGAGCAGGAGGAGCAGCTCGAGCGCCACCACCTGGTCGCCTTCTACAACGCACGGGAGCTCCGCGTCAAGGTCAACAGCAACTAGCTCGACGACCGGCCGGTGGGCGAGGTCAACCACCACAGCAAGGACAGTTTGGTGCTCAACAGCGGACTCAACGACAAGACCAATCTAGAGCTCCTGCACCTGGCGGCAAACGCACCGACCGCCGTGTCCGCCGCCTGGTTGAGAAGACCAAAACTTCGCTTGCCGAAGAAGAAGACTCGGCCGCCTTCGCCGCCGAAGACCTTCCCAGCCGCGTTGAGAACTACGTCAACACAATCGTTGACCCACCCGCGAACCCGACGACAGAACTGCCTCATGTACCCGGGCAGGAACTCTCTGTATCCGAATTGCGCAAGGACTGGCCAAACACCCCACTCTCCAGCTCCGGGCTGGTGGAAACTGTGCAACAGAGGATTGAATGGCTCGCACATCGGCTCCCACATGGCTACCAGACACCCGGCCAGTTGGCGGAATGGTACACCAAGGGGTATTTCACGCGCTTCGAGTCTGAGTCGGAGAAGGAAGAGGTCTTGAAGCTCGCGCAGGAAATGGCCAAGATGGAGGCGGACAAGGAGACCGAGAAGACCAACGTCGAGGCTCAGCCGAAGGACATGGAGTTCGACGACGTGGTCTCCCGAGCGGGCGAGCGCAAGGGCCTGGCGGAGACCTATGTGCGTGGGGTGTACCCCGAAGTCAAGAAGCAGAAGATGCCGTTCTTGGACCAGATTGTGCGCAACCTGAACAATAACGCGACGTTTCCCCATGGAAAGACGGAGCAGTTCATGCAGACGGTGCAGAAGGTCATCGTCTCGCATGCAGAGGGCGGGCGGGCGCAGAAGAGGGCCGAGAAGTAAGAGTGTGCAAAATATATGTGGGACGGATGCAGAAGAAAACAGGATTTGGGTTTATCGAGGTGCCTTTAGAGACCTGAACTAAACATTAGTGTACAAAACTTTCCTCGAGCCCCTAACATATCATAGCCATGCTGCACAAAGACCGGTTGATCATAGTCACCAAATGAACAAAAAGAAAATGAGTGATCGAAGTCCAAACGACGCAAAGTGCAGGCCATCCTCCATGACTGGACAATTTGATATACCCTTCGTGGCATGGCTCGACTGGTTCAAAAGGCGCGAAGAGTCCCTGTGGTCCAATCCCACTCCCCTTGTGTTGAACGAGTTCAACCTCCCACCGGGAAACAGATCGCATCGTCGTCATACCCCCAGTTCTGTCGCAACGCTGGGAGGCAAATGTCGTTGACGAGGATCTGATCTCGACACAGCGGACAGTTTGACCGTCCCTCGTGAATCAACCACACGACCAGGCACCACCGGTGGAATTTGTGACTGCAGGATAACTTGTAGACATATTCTGCCCGGCCGATGGCGTCCACTTGGCAAATGGCACATTCGAGCGCCATACCTTCTACCCCAGCACGATCTCCCTCGTCTGCTTTGAATGCAACCAGAGGACACGGTTTCATGGCGTGTTCTTCGCTGTCGAAGATGCATGCCTCCTGAACTTCAAGAAAGCGGTATTGCTCCAGCATGAACAGGCCGAGAAAGTACATGGCCGGCAGAATATCTCCGCCCATGGTGACTGAAGTGATTCGTAGGACATGCAACTAAATGGCCCAAGTCACCAGGATGCCGTAGTTGATCGCTTCAGAGGTGGTCACCGTCGTGGGTCTCCAGTGTGCGGCAAACTGAGGGACCTGAACTGTATTGATCGTGGTACACCAGGCAAGTTTCTTCATGTCGTTGAAGGCAATCATGCTGAGTACCGGCCCCAGGCTGATGGATTTGAGGTAGAGTTGAATCTGACCGCTCACCCTCTGGTCGGCCGCGGAGAGCCGGAGCCTGTCGAGCACTTTGCCCAGGACGTCGACTTTCCGAATCAAGGAATGAAGATGATAACGAATGACAAACTCCGTCAGAGGTTTCGTCTTTGCAGTGATGCAAGGTGATATGCACAGAGAGAGGGCAGACACAGGAGGATCTTCCTTGTTCGCCATGTCCTTCTTGTGTTGTGAGATGTAACTGACGGTGGTGGAGACGAAGCCAGCAGAAATGAGATAAATAAACGAGCGAATGTAGTGATCAAATTAAATAGAATATAGGGGATGTGGCCTGTCGAACAATGCGAAGGAGGCTTGGGAGAAGATTGAAGAGGGATCAAGATATCCGCGACAGCTGTCAAAGGGTGACTTTCTATGCTACGAGGAAGGAGCGCTCCAGCCTCATTGCTATCTTATTAGCCTGGAAGGATGTCCTGGAATTAAGGAGAGACCATAACATTTTCGCTTCACATAGAAGCAGAGAGCAATGATGGGAGGAGATGTAAAAGAATTAACATGCTGATTTTTAGGGTGCAGATCTCACCTCCGCTCCATTTCGTCCAGTCCTTCCAAAAACCATGCTACTACCATTCATTCTCTGCGTTTTTGTATCGTTACTGACCTACACTCTTGTAGAGATCATCTGACCCGTTGTGGAGATGGCTGTGGCTGTGTCCCAGACGTTGTCTCTTCACCAAACCTGTCCTCCTGTACTTTGCCCTTTTCCTCCCTGGCTGGATTAATTTGGAGTGCTTCTTGGTGGACTCGGTCCGGTGCTCTCTCTTGCTATCCCCTTGGTGGCCATCTGCTGCTATCCGCCTTGCTCTGTTCTTGCACAACCCGATCCCGTCTGCATGAGGCGTTCTTGATCCACTCTTCTTTGACCGATTGGTGACTGAGACAGCCGGGATCTGCCCAGCATCAAGGAACTTGAACGCGTCGGAAACAGACACAGGCTCGTGGCATTTGGGGCATTGATTGAAATTGGCGACAAAGCTCGCCGCACATGGGAAATGGAACCAGTGGAACTTGCTGCAAGGCAAGAATAACAGTGTGTCGTGATGGACCACCTGTTTGTAACAGAGCACACAATCTAAGCCAGCTTTGTCAGGCCCAGCCTTTCGAACCCATTCTTTGAATTCGGTGTTTGTGCGGAAACGCCTTGGGAATCCTGGGCCAAGCGGCATCACATCGAGGAATTCTTTCTCGTCTTCGACTCGTGCGAGGGTCTCCCGGATGTTCGCGTTCAATCTCTTGAAGAAAGCCGCCAAAACCTTGAAGAGATAAGCGAGCTGCTGCCAAAGACCTGCAGATAGGTTAGCAGAAATCGACAGCGAGGAAAAGGAGGCGATGATGAAGGACAAAGTGCACGAGAAGCATGATGACGAGTCAGGGATTCGGCTGAAGCGCATACTTTGGACACCGAGCTCTCTTGCGAACTGGCCGGTCAATATCGAGAAAGCCAGGACAGCGAAGAGCATGAAATAGAAGTGGATGACCTCGCCCATCTTCCAAAGATACCGGACAGCCTCTGAAATGATGTGGTCACAATGCTGGACTCCAGTTGCGGCTAAATACCGACGCAGAAACTGGAGCTTGAGGAAGAAGTGGTAGATGGCGTGGATGAAGAATTCGAGGAAGTGGTCGACCTGGCTTTGCAGAAATCTCATGGGCGCAGCCGCCATGATTCCAACGACATTGATCGAGAAGAAGACAATGCCCTGGGTGGAATCGAACAGGCAGAAGGAGACAAACACAATGCAGACCTGGATCAAGGTGGCCCAAAAGCGGTCGAAGGATGGCATTGCGCTGAACTAAGATATTTTCAACTCCAATAGACTTTCCGAGACGAATGAAATGGTGAATTGGTAGATAAGGGAATGAGGAGCTCTTGAAATGCAATGCTTGATGGGCCTATGATCAGGTTAGACTAAGAGAAGAAATGCGCAAGGACGCGGACATGGAGATCCTGCATCTTGGGAGGATGTGACTGCCATATTCGATACCAGTAACAAGGCTCTGCGGAAGCTGCAACGGGTGGACTAAAACAGGCATCGGGGACACTATTGTGAGCACACAGTGGATGGTTCAGAAGGCGCGCCCATGAGTCCGTCGTGGCATGAATCAAGGATTGTTTACAAATGAAGGATTGAGGCCGCAGTTTAAAGGCAGGGACATCGACCCCCTATCGCTATCGCCACGTGATCCTCTTCTCCCCGTCCCTTGTCTTGATGACGGAATCGCGGGCTGAGTAACGCCCACCCTCATTGTTGCATGTGAACGACGATCGCCCTCTGCACAGTCTCAACCTTTCAGTTACGTACCCAATGTAAGAGTCTTCTTGTTAACGGCGACCTCTCCCTGATACGAAACTATCACAAATTCCTCGAATGGCTCTTCCACCAAAGTTCTCCGGCCAGCTGCTGGCCTCGGCCGCGAGCAACGAAGCAAAGCACACCATCGAGCTTTATTTGGACTATGTCTGCCCTTTCTCCGCGAAGCTGTTTAAGACTTTCTACAAGAGTGTTGCACCTGTTATTGAGAAAAAGTACAGCAACCCTGGTATCCGCGTTATCTTCCGTCAACAGATCCAGCCATGGCATCCTTCTTCTACTCTGGTCCATGAAGCCGGTGCTGCAGTCCTGAAAATCGCCCCCGGCTCCTTCTGGTCATTTTCCGAAAAGCTGTTTGAACAACAAAAGGACTATTTCGACGTCAACGTGGTGAACGAGGGGCGCAACGAGACGTACAAGAGACTTGCCAAGCTGGCCGGCTCTGTGGACGGGGTTGACGAGAAGACCATTCTGGACTTGTTGCTGGTACCTGACAAGCCGGACAAGGACGGTGGACTCAACATTGGGAATAAGGTCACTGACGATGTCAAGTTCATGGTCAAAGCGAACAGAGTCACCGGTGTCCACGTAACACCGACCGTCTTGTTCAATGGCGTAGAGGAACGCAGCATCAGTTCCGGTTGGACATTAGAGCAATGGGAGGAGTGGCTGCAAAAGAACGCGAGCTGAAAGAGAGATGCCAGACCAGCAACGAGTCGACGGGACTGTGACATGGAGACCAAAAGACGCTTGCAGACGACAATGAGTAGCGTGCAAGTACACCATCCATTCTTTCATGGGTTTGAACTGGGTCGGTGGTTGAGCTGATGAGGCTATGCTAAACCTGACTGACCACCAACATCTTTGTGCCTAAATTCTTTGGCCATCGTGGGATCCATTCATCAAGACATACACAAACTGGTAGTAAGCACGCCCGCTGAATGCACATTTGAACACGGTTCCTTTGGTTCCGGAGAAAACGCCCTCCCAATGCTGCGCTAGTCGGAGAAGTTGATTCGGATGAGATTGTGTCAAGATCAATGAGCAGGAGGCTGGTATCCAATCGGTCGTCTACTGGTGTCAGCGCCTGGACACATGTGAAATTCGCCAGACTTACTTGAATAGCAGGATATGTGGTTCCGGCTCGTGGACTTCATAGTGCTCCCATCCTAGGCTCTGCGTGATGTTCTTCAGCTCAAGTGTCACACAGACATGACAGTGTGAGGTACCTGTGTGATCCCCAACCCCCTCCATTCTTCTTCCCATAGCAATTTCAAAGTCCCCTTGGAGTCGTCGAAGTAGTCTCTTGGGATGACCTTCAACATGGCTTTTGGGAGTTGCACATGCCGGTATTCGAATTCGCTGTCAGAGTATCTGGCCCGTATTAGCCTCAGAGCCATGATCAAATTTCCACATACACACCTCGCGGAATATCCGATACTGTCAATGAATTCCTCCAGTCGCGCTCTCTCAGACTCGAGCAACAATCTCGGCTTCTTGTTGCGCCGCGACATGTCAATATCCGCCATGTTACTGTGCTGGGAGACGCGATCAATAGAGAAGACTTCGTTGGTCGAATTTTTCTCGCTCGAGAGACGTGACAAGGGACGGTAAGGGAGTACCACGCGGTACAAACGTTAGCGGTCGGCGGGCAGCTGCGGACAAGACTCGCGAAATGGTCTCGTGCTCTTGCGCATGCAAGGGCTGTGTAGGACGGGGAGGTAAAAGCTGCGGATAACAGTCGGATTGTCCGCGGAATGTGTGGCTCTCAGATTTCGACCTGAAGAAAGCGTGTCGATACAGGTTATCGCGGAGGGGTGAAGCAGAGGACTGCGACCTGCATTTGTGTTTGAGGCGGATAGTCCCAGAGGCTCGCCGAAGTAAACACAGATTGGGGAGCCAAAACCCAAGGCCAGCCTATGAGAGAAGGTGCGGGTGCCAAGAGATTCCGGAGAAACCAACCTCGGATCAGACCGATGACTTACCTAATAATCCGGTCCCTATCACGTGTGCTTGGTTTTCGCCCTCTCTCTCTCGCAGCGCAGACTGACAGTTGCGTGTGTCGCGTCCCCGTTGAGATCCTGTCACCCCCAAAAGAAGTTGTCTGAAGGGCGAACGATGGAAGAGTCCCCAAAGCGCATGCAACTCCCACACCAGTGAATGCTTTCGCAAGGGCCTCCTTTGCCCTATTCATCTCTCCAGTCCCATCTTACTGCACTGTGCACCTGATGGTGGCCCCTCCTGCGCCCGCATCTCTCGCCCAATCTCGAAACCCTGTGAGGCCGCGAAATCATGAGCTCGAAGCGCAGAAGCGGCCCTGCAGGCGACCCCGACGACTTTCTAGCCACGCCTGATCCCAAGCGACGCAAGCGGAGCGACGTAAGTATTAAAATAATCCTCTCTCACTCGCCCAACTCCCAACTTGCACTTACCACTGCACTTCTCGACCGTGCGCAGAGTCGCGGAACCCCCGCCTTGTGCACCTCATGCTGCGTGCAATGCCACCTGCACTCGAGTTGACCGTAGTGCACTGCATGCCCGCACTCGCAATGGTTGATGCATCGCGCCAGAGTTTTGCTAATCCAGCTGTCTGTAGGATACCCATTTCCCCGAGGAAGAAACTCGAGAGACCACCACGGATATTGGCTTGAGGCTCGTGAGGCAGCTGAAGAAGTCGCAAGACAAGAATGGCCGCAACGTCGCAATCCATTTTCTGGACCTGCCTAGCAAGGCCGAGTATCCTGACTATTACCAGCAAATCGCCATGCCTCTTTCCCTCAACATGATTGAGCAGCGGCTGGAGAATTATGAATATGAGAACCTAGAGACCTTGGAGTCAGACTTGAAGAGAATGGTGCAAAATGCGAAGGACTATAACAATAGTCGATCTGCAATCTTTGAAGACGCTGAGCGCATACGCAAGGCTTTGTCCAATTTTATGCCAAAGCACAATCCGGCGTATCTGCGACCAGATTATCGCGCTTATCCCACTCCCATTCCACAAGAACTGCTTGATGAGGTGCGACGTCAATCCGTCTCGTCGGAGGGAACCATGGCTCCAGAGAGGGTCAAGCTGGTATTCCCTAATCCCGCCGCCGCGCGGCGGCGCCAAAGTCAGGTCACTCCATCCACTGACACCCTGACCGACACGAGGGAAGATGTACGGCAAGAACAGTTGAAGTTTCTGCAGGAACTGTCGGAGCAGGAAGATGCAATGTAACTCACCCTTTTGACTCAGCTGCGCGTGACCACACCGACTAACATTTGTTGCCCAGCAACTTTGAGGAAAAGGTCTCCAAAAAGGATTATCCCGACTATTACAAGCTGGTCAAGAAACCAACGTCCATATCGGATGTACGGGCTTTGGTAGAGAAGGATGCAATCCAAGACTGGGACGCGTTGGCGAAAGAAGTGCGACTCATCTGGGACAACGCTAAAGATTACAATCAGGAAGGGTCCGACATCTACCTGATGGCAGAAAAACTGGAGGTAATGTTTACCCTCAACGCGCGTGAATCGTGAATATAGACGGCGGCGACCTGACCACGTGATGTACTCTGCTAACATTATCGATCATCCTCTTAACAGGTTTGGTCGGAGTCCAAGATGCAGTCACTTGGTGCTCAACCACGACGCAACCTCAAGCTCTCTTTGTCACAACCAAAGCCAAAGGCTCTGCGACTGACAATGGGTTCCTCTACGCCTACGCCAAACCTGGTCGGTGGCACGATCGACAGCGAATCGCTCCGACGACAGAAGGAAGAAATGGGTCAAGCCTTGAGTAAGGTGCAGAGGGCGAGTTCGAAGGCCACGCAAGCCAACGGATCGACCCCAGTGCCTTCCAGCGCTGCTCCCAGTGTTCGTCGAAGCGCCTCACTGGCTACAACGACTGAGCAAGCTGATACAATCACGAGCGAGGTCAAAGTCAACGGTGTCTCAAGCACTCCCCAACCTCAGGAAGCGGTGAGAGCTTCACAGCCTCCTGCGCCAACTCCAGCACAGCAGCTGCCAACCCCTGTTCAAGAAGTCGAAATCCCTCTTCCGAATACAGCGCCTCTCACGAATGGAGCCCGTCACCTCGAGCGTTCTGAACCACAGCCATCTAGCCCTGGCGCGAATCCATCGGTCCCCAACAACAATTACTTGAATCAATCCGTCATTCCCATGGAACGACGCTATCGTGACCCTGGCAGAGGTGAGTTCAGTCGTGTCTTAATGTTATCTTTTCATCGGCTTCAGTTTGCTGACATTGAGTCTGCCACACTCTCAGGTTGGACCCACGCGTTGCTCGCCTCTGTGACCTTCATGACCAACCCTTCTTTGCCGAATGACCCACGCTGGAAACTGGTCCGCTACGGCTCGGCCACCAAGACCCAGACGAGTGGCTTCATCGCTCTACCATCTCACTACCGCGACCTACGCATCATCCCAACCACCACTTCCGAACTAGCTAGTCGTCGCCGTCATCGGGTTTTGTTCATGCATAACTCCACCGTCTACAAGGAAAGCAACAGTAATCATGTGGAGGGGGCGTTTGAGGTTAGGCTGGTTCCAGGGGAGAATGTCCTTGTTGTGGAAGTTTTGGCAGATCTGAGGGATGGGGAGAAGAAGGCGTACGCACCGAGTCAATTGCAGTTTGACTTTGAGAGGTGCACCCTGATTGTACATCTCAACACATCCTAAAATATGGGGGAGGCTTGTTAATGAGATTGGGAAAGACTTCTCTTGGTCCAGATGACTTGAAAAGGATTGGAAGTGCGGCGAACTGCTTGCGATGAGCATGACACATGCATGGGATTGCATTGTAGTATGTGCTTTCTAGGACCTCAGTGCCTGTGTTTTATCAATGAGATTGAAAGTGACTTGAAACTCAAAAGCCTGCCCTGACAATTTGTCGAGGCCAACTTCCACTGGAATGGCTGAAGTGCATGGGACAGTGATCAATAAACACCACATTGATGTCATTGTGCTTTTGGATCATATGGTTGATTCATCTATACAGGATCTTTCGTGGTGTTCAAGCTGTCTCGATCCGACCCTCAACCGAACTCCCCCGTTCCCACTCGGAGCCATGTCATGAAATGGAGAATATAACAGTACAGTCGGCCCACGTCCTACTTTGCAGTTCTGGGTCCTGCGACCCCAGCCCCAATTACACTGGGCAATTCCTGCGCTCCCATACTGTATAGCATCCCAATCGCTCCGGCCACCAACGCGGTCATAACCACGCCGAAGCTGGCAAACATGACAAAAGGCACCGAGATGTCCTTCTTCTGGCACGCGTTGCCGCCCCATTTCACGGTCTTCTTGGTCCCGTCTTCGTTGATCCGGACAAGAGTGGACGTGCAGCGGCACTTGAAGCAATTGCTGTGTGCTTTGTAGCAGGAGCCGTGGCCTGAGCAGGAGTTTGTGGTGTTTTCACACGCAGACTGCGAGGCGAAGCACGCGGGGATCACCGAGGGGAGGGTGAAGTTTGACGAAGTGTTGGCGGGTGTGATGGTGTCAAATTCGGAAACGGAGGACGGGGTGGGTGTGGTGGACGGGAGGTCGAGCCGTTCCTCTTCAGATTCTTGGGCCGAGCGGGCGGCGTGCTTGTGGCTGTGAGCCTTCTTCTTCTTGGGGTTCTTCAGTCTCTTCGTGGATGGAAGGAGGAGAAGAGTGGATTCGACGTTGTCGGTGGCGGAGAAGTGTTTGAGGATGCGGACCAAGGAGTTCAGCTTAGTCTTGACGTCCGATGGGTTGGAGGGCAGAAAACTGTGGAGGGAGAGAATGATCGGGATATTTGGAATCTCTGAGGCCGCGAGGCACCGTCCATTTTCGGCGGGATAGGTGAAGACAACCTCGACGCCCATGCTGTTGGGCGCATTGCGAGAAGGGGGAACGTCATACTCGCAAAGCCCATCTTTCTCTTTGCGACTGCCATCAGGTACCGCCTTGAAGTCGCTGAGGAGGTCCTTTGTTGGATCCGAAATCCACAGATCAGGCATGGCCATATCAAAGTCCTTGATCTGCATGTCGACCCCCGATATTCTGATGAACAGCTTTCCTGGCGCATCTTTGGGATGGCTCTCTCCAAACAGAGGTGCCTGGTATCCCCCATAGGTATTGAGGTCTTCAAGCAGCATCGATTCTGTGATGCCCAGGTATCGATCCGCCGTAAGAGCCCTTCTTCTCGCGATAATGGCGCTCGCCATTTCTGAATCGATCATGCCGGTCGACGGGACGGTGATGGAGCGATCAATGGTGAAAAGGTATGCGCCTTGAGCAGCGGCATACTGAGCGAGTGCTGCACAGGGCAGTAAGACCGATAGGGACTTCATGGTTACTATCGCCAGCTGAGCTCAATGACGAGCTGTTGATTGTAGCTGGCAGCAGTGCAGAACATGAAGAACTACCTACATACGTCTGGGGGCAGAGGCACGGATAATTGTTTCGGCCTGGGGAGCTAGCGAGGACAGAGGACAGCAGTCAAAGGACCCTGACACGTGCAGTGTGGTGCGACCCCTCGTCCACCTGCGACATTTGGATTTCAAGGCTGCGAAACTCCCTTTCTTTCTTTCGTCGGTGGCCGCACATCCTTTGGGATCATCTATTACGATAACATAAACTTCCTTTTCCTCACTGCCTCATTCTCCCGATGTGCTTCTGAGGTTTTCAGGGAGAAGGTATTGTGCATGGGGTTAATGTCACCGAGCACGGCCACTGTCGACCATACACCAATTCCTCCCCGCTACAATGCAACCAACTGATGCCTCAACCTGCCCCTCCCCATGCTCCGGTACCTATTCCGTAGCCCGCGGAGCGTTCGCGTGCCGCTCCAGAATGGTCCAGTCGACCTTCAAAGGGTTGCAATAACCAGACGATCCAAATCCACGTACGGGTGTCACCTCTGACCCTCCCAGTCTACTGAATATTGCTAAGAGCTGGCAGACCAATCTTTTACCGACTCTTCACTACGATTGCACTTACCTACTGCGCCGCCAAGACCATTAACTACATCTATCCGGACACTGCGCATGGCTCCCGGCCCCAAGTTGAGTCCGTCAAGAAGACGCGCAAATCCCAAGATCAGGAAAGATCGTGGCAAGGGTACTGGGACAAAGCCAACACGAATGGCTCGACGAAGTCGCCGGAGGTTATCCATTTGATGTTACCAATTTGGATTCGCCGAGCAAAGCCTCAGTTATGGGAGCCTGACGACCCAACATGGAAGTCATTCCAAGCTCTTCACGGAGATCCGAAACGCCTGCGTGAAATCACAAGAGCAATTCAGGAATCTCTGAAGCAAGAGGTCATTAAAAAGTATGGTCGTGTCTTGATGGAGCTCGGAGGGAAGTTCGCATTCCACGCCGGATGGAGACTTGCTCCGCCTTTGTACGCCCCAACGACTTATGAAGTCCCGTGCATCTTCTTAGAGCCGGGCAAGGTCAGTTATGGCTGGAGGCAGCTGCCCAATAGCATGGGAGGGAAGATGGATCGTGTCTTTCACCCAATTGTGCTTGCCAAGGCCTTTGTGAACGGTTTCAGAGAATTCGCCTGGGCCTCATATCTGATCACCAAAGCCCGACTGACGGATCGGCTCAATTCCCTTAGCACGACCGTCAAGGACTCCACGCCGGATAAAACTCTCAGTGAAGACGAGAAAGCCCACAAGCGGTTGAGTTTTGGGAAGATATCTGAAAAGGACAAAACAGTCTGGCTTCCTTTTCTTCGTGGTGACTATGGTGAGCATGACTCAAGACGTGCCTACCGGGATCTTGTCAAGTCTATGACCTATCAAGGTGCAATCGAATCGGGATGCGCAGTGTTCCGAGCATATTGGATTCATGGGCAAGAAAAGATTATGCAATCGTACACTCGAGACAGCATACTGCTGGTGGGCGAGATAGCCTTCGTGGGAGACCGAGGCACATTGTTTGTGCATGCCGTGGCGGTATACTCCCCCGAGACCGATTCCCTCATAGGTCCACCTGTTCTCAAGCATGCCTATGTCGTCCCAGACAAAGAGAGGTGGGTGCAAGACAAAACCGCCAAAGTTGACGGGGATGACCTGCGGCAAGCTGAAAGACAAGAACAGACGAAATTGATTACTCGAGAGGCTCTGAAACCGTCAACAACCCCGGACGAGGCACAGAGGACGGGAAAGCCTCCTTCGGCCGAGGGAAACCAAGAGAAGAACAGCGAGAAGTGATATTGATATGCACTTGATTGATACCCAGCGCAAGGCGTTACTCGGAATCTGGATCTTGGGGGGGGGGGGCAACTTTGGATGCGCTCGGGGATGGTGCATTTGACCTGTCTTTCATGACTTGTCTTGCAGAGTGTACTTTGTCAATGTTAGTATGTGCTCGGTGCAAGCCACTTCATCCTGTGTTGAGTTCTAGTAGTGAATCCCTTCTATCACTCTTTCCTACGCTTCCCTCGACTTGACCGCATCCTCACGTATGTCAGAACGCTACCGTTGACTCTTCTTTGCAGCAAGAGACCACAGAACAAGTGCCGCACACAATGGCTTGGACAATGCTGGGAAACGGCATCAGATCCAGCATCCTCTCTCTCTGGCTGTATTTTATCCTCAATATGCTCGTTACGTTCACAAATAAGCAAATCGTGTCCCGGACAGCATGCCCCTGGCTCCTCACTGGCTCCCACGCGTTCACTACGTTCCTAACCACGGGGGTTATTTCGCGCCTCCAGAGACCAGGACTCATCTCGACGACAACAGGCACGTCTACGGTTAACCGACATTGCTTGGCCGACGATAGACGTCTCGATGAAGACGACGATGATGACGGGACCGCACACAACTACCGGGATCGGGATTGGACCAGACCCAGTCTCCGCATTCACCTACGGATCCTTCTTCCTTTCTCTCTCCTTTACACATTGAACATCGCCCTGTCGAATTTGGCCTTGGGGTTGGTGACGTTGACGATGCACCAAACCATCCGCGCCACGGCTCCGGTCATCACGGTCCTAATATCAATTGCATGGCTTGGAAGATCCTGGAGAGAATATCATGTCGGAGTGTACGGCGCGATCGGTCTGACGATATGCGGCGTGATCATTGCCACCAACGCCGCATCCTCTCCCGCAATCGGCGGCAGAAGTCTGGTCGGTGGTCCAACGAGGACAACCGCGTTCGGGTTCACAGTGACATTGCTCGGCGCCTTCTTGGCCGTGCTGAAAACGATCTTCACTAACGAGTTGCAGCGGCCGCCTCACGCAAGTCGCTGGGGGGTCGGCCTGCCCTCGACAAGGCTCGTGCAGTACCTTGCGCTCTACGCCGTGAATCAGACAGTGCTGGTCGCAAGCTGGACCGGCGAAATCAAGGGGTTGACCTCCAACTTGGCCCAAGGGTCGCCCAGCCCAAGACTAGAGCTCGGGGGAGGGTTGCTTCGGATCAGCCTGCCGTGGCCGTGGCTGTGGCTGTTCAACGCCCTTGCCGCCTCGATGCTGAACCTCGCGTCCTTCGACGCGAACAAGCGATGCGGACCACTGAGCATGGCCATCGCCGCGAACATGAAACAGGTGGTCATTCTGGTCCTTCTCGTACGCTTCCGCGATTTCACGAAGGTAAGCGGGGAAGAGACGCAAGAGACCGAACGACGTGCAGAGGATATCGTGATTCTCGGTTCCCTGATCACGACGATCGGAGGTGTCTGGTATGCATTTGCCAGTTTGGGGGCGAAAAAAGTGGCAGAAACGCCAGTTTGGTGGGAGAAGACTCGGGTTCTGACGAAACGAGGCTGGAAGGGATAGGGGGTCGATGGGACAGAATCAAAGACACGTACGTGCAGTCAGACGAGCGGAGACACAGCACCGGGGGATGACCATAGAGCAGGCCAGAGGAAACAACATGTCGTGATCCCATTTTGGCTCGAAATGGACCTCCATGCAGTCGAAACCTTCGCATTTCGTCTCTCCAGTGTCTCGCCGCAATTGGTAGGGTTTGATATCCCAAGGCAGATCCTGCTTTCGAGAGCGATCTGGGTTCGCTGAAGCTGGAGAGCAATAGGAAGCATATGACACGAGATGCGCCTTACGACTAAGCGACCTTTGGCCTGACAGATGGGAAGCTTGCTTCAATCATTGCACAGCCCTGCTCGAGGGAAATAGCGGAAGCAGCCTCTATCGAGCTACTTTCCGTTCTCATTCTGAAGCTCTTCGTCGACGTCGAGCTAGCTGTACAAGTGGATAGTGGCACACATGATATGACTTTTCCAAAGCCTGTTCCGTTTCATTTTTTGGTCCCCTTTCTTGGTACAAATGTGCTTTTTCCACGGATCCTTCTCTTTCCAAAGATTCACACGTATGGATGTAGTCATACACCCCACATCCATCCCGCTGCACCTTTTGACCGTCTATTTCACGGACCTCAACTGACAATGCTTTGCTTCTCCTCTGCCGTGTTACCCTCCCGTCCCGTCAGAGAATTCTCATCCCTCCAAAGCCTTCAAACTCGCCTCGTAGACCTTCTTAGCCTCATCCTGGCCCTTCTTGACCACCTCCTCCATCTGCTTGTGCGCCTTGCGCAACTCGTCCACGATGACCAGCTTCCCCAGCTCCATCTTTCGAAACCTCTTTTGCGCCTCGCCCCTCGCGTTCCGAACCTCTTGGGACGCCCGGTCGAACATCTTCTTGGCCTCGGCGCGCGCGAGGTTGCGTGTCTCCGCCGTGATGGGCGGGACGGGCACGGTGATGAGTAGGTGGTTGGAGGAGGTCGGCGGGTTGGACTGAGAGACCGACGTCGTGCCTGGAGTGTGGGGAGCGGTGGTCTGCGGGACCAGACTGTAGGGGCTTGCCAGGAGAGCCGATGCGATCGGTTTGACGTGCTATAGCCACGAAGACACATCTAGTTAGTATCCGATTGACTGCAACTCCCACTATAGACCACAAGCCGGAGCAGCGCCCTCGGCTTTAATGGAAAAGGCAATAAAGGAGATAGATATGGAGAGAAACCTAAGTATACTCACAGCTTCCTCCGCACAGAATATCTGCACGCTCCGTCCACCTTTCGCAACCACACTCGCCAGATCCCCCACCTTGGCCTTTTCCTTGTGTGGACTCCCTCTCCCCGTCTCCGCGCCCTTGACGTTGATCTCCACGGGCAGCGCCTCGATCATCTGCGGCGTGACTCTGCCGGCATCCTTTGTCTTGACCAGCGCCTCCTTGAGGCGCGCGACGGCCTTGGCGATCCCGGCCTCGAGCTCGGAGAAGTCGTACGGGTCGATTTCGCTGTCGCGGTTGCGCGTGGCCTTGTTGTCCGGGATGTGCACGTCATCCTTGTGCGTGAGCGAGTCGACGGAGGGGGACTTCCGCGAGGATTTGGACGACGACGAGGATTTCTTGAACAGTGGCGCAGAGGTCGAGAATGCTCTGGCGGGGACTTGGTGTGCGCGTGCCGAGACCGAGACTGTCGACAGGAGTAGGCGTTGCGGTGCAGAGAACTGAAGGAGGCGGGTCTGGCATTGGAGGCACAGGGAACGCCGCGACGATGGCGAGCGAGGCAGCCGATGTGCGGGGAGCAACTGCTGGATTATCTGTGCCGCTTCTTTACTCCGTGGAGGCATTTTCGAGTCCGTGTGCGCGAACGGCCAGCTTAAAAGTTCGCAGACGTCGAGTTGATTTGTTTTCGAAGCGTAGAGGTCGTTTCTTGTCGGAAAAAAAGGTTGCGCCTCGGGGTTGGAGAAGCTCCCAGTGCGCGATCCACTTCGCGCTAATAGATGGTAAGGCTACGCAGCACGAGGCTGAAAGCTTCAGGGGGTAATCCATGGGCCACTTCACCGCAAGCGAGGCAAAGGCCATCGTCCCATACGATTCTGGTACATCTTCCTGAGCTAGATACTAATGATATAGAACAATACTCCGATTTTGGGCAGCCTGCGGCTCGTCAAGCTGAAGCCACAGATCTTTGAGCTCAACCCCGTGTAAAAAGCACGGTTGCGGCAAAGGGAACACTATCTTCATTCTGATTTCATGGCCGAGAAACGAGATTGCCGCTCTATCTGAAAACATACTAAGGCAATGACATTTCCCTAGCCTTTTTGACGAGCGCAACCAGCAGCTGGTGCCCTGATTGACCCGCCTGAGAACTATCCGAAAACGACGCCAGCCACATTTCTTTTGAAAATGCCGTGCATACTGTCATGAGGATGGGAGACGTAGCGCTCCGATATCTTTTCGGGTGATGGGGTGGCCTGCCCGAGACTGGTTTGACAGATCCAACCAATCGTCGACGGGGTGGCCGTCTACCTCGTAGCCATGGCCTTGGTCATGGCTCTTTTCAGGGCCAACTCCTTCTTTTTCAAGTCATCCGGCGTCGAATCATCCACCTCGAGCTGCTGCATAGCGTCACTCAGGGCCTCCTCGATCTTGGCCTTGTTGCCACGCTTCATCTTCATCGACAAGCCGGGGTCATTGATCAGCTCCTCCACACGACCAATGTAAGACTCGAGTTGCTGCTTAGCCTCGAATTTCTTGGTGAATGCCTCGTCGCTGGTCTTGAACTTCGCAGCGTCTTCGACCATCTTTTCGATCTCAGTAGTGGAGAGTTTGCCGACCGCATTAGAGATGGTAATGTTGGCGCTCCGTCCAGAGGATTTCTCCGTGGCAGTGACCTTGAGAATGCCATTGACATCAACCTCAAACACAACTTCGAGAGCAGCGTCTCCCGCCCTCATTGGTGGGATTGGACTTAAGGTGAATTCGCCTAGGGATGTGTTGTCTTCACAGTTGGTCCGCTCTCCTTGATATACAGGGAACTGCACGGTTTGCTGGTTGCTATATCCTCCGTTAGCATGCGAAGTCATTCTGCGAGTGAAGGTAACTTACTCAACGACAGTTGTGAAGGTTCTATTGAATATGTTAGCGATTGTGAACCACAAACAGGTTTGTGATGTAAAAAAATTATGAACGGTGACGGGATGGAATGGTGGTGTATCAAGGGACCCTGAGCTCCTGCCAGCTTTGCGTTGGCAAGGGTGGTTGCCAAGGCCGCAGCCGTGTGGGGACCCCAGGTGGGGCGGCGCATTCCAGGGAAAGAACGCCTCCAATATGACGAACATGAAGACAGGTGAAATGATAACATAGACCAGAAAATGAGATGACTGAACCTTTTCTTTATACATGGGACTGTCTGTCCGCGAGGAACAACAGGGGCAAAGATGTTGCCTTCCATAGCCACACCCAGAGAAAGAGGAACGACATCCAGCAGGAGAAGGTCGGCAGTCTCAGCAGAGGTGGCTTTGCCGGACAGGATACCAGCCTGAACAGCGGCTCCGTAGGCGACGGCTTCGTCGGGGTTGATGCTCTATTTGCGGTCAGTAGGAATCCAAGTCGATCCGTGGCGTCACAAACCTTTTCCAATTTCTTGCCGTCAAAGAAGTCGCTCAGCAGTTTCTGGATACGAGGAATACGGGTCGAGCCACCAACGAGGACAATCTCATCCACCTTGGACTTCTCGATGGCGGCATCTTTCAGGACTTGTTGGACAGGCTCCAAAGTGCCGTTAAAGATCTTGGCGTTGAGATCCTCAAATCGGGCACGGGTGATGGTAGCATTGAAGTCCTCGCCGTCGAACAACGAGTCAATTTCAACCGTGGCCTGGGTTCCGTTCGACAAGGTTCTCTTTGCACGTTCGCAGGCGGTGCGGAGTCGTCGAAGGGCACGGGCGTCACCAGACAAGTCCTTCTTGGTCTTCCTCGTGAACTCCTTCTTGAAATGCTCGAGGAGGTTGGTGTCAAAGTCTTGACCACCCAAATGGGTATCTCCAGCAGTAGCCTTGACCGTGAAGACACCACCCTGGATGTTCAACAGCGAAACATCGAATGTACCACCACCAAGGTCGTAGATGAGGACGTTTCGCTCCTTGTCTGATTTGCCGGATCCAAGACCGTAGGCGATGGCGGCGGCGGTGGGTTCGTTGATGATACGGAGGACGTTGAGGCCGGAAATGGCACCGGCATCCTTGGTAGCTTGTCGCTGGTTGTCATTGAAATAAGCAGGCACGGTGATGACGGCCTTGGAAACCTTCTTGCCCAGCTTGGTCTCGGCAACCTCCTTCATCTGTGGCGCGAGGGCTTAGCAGTTTCCGGTGTTGCGCGGAGCTATACAAGGCTTCTCACCTTCATCAGAACCATGGAGGAGATTTCCTGGGGTGAGAAAGTCTTGGTCTCCCCCAAGTATTGAACCTGAACCATGGGATTGCCACCCTGGTCAACAACCTTGAACGGCCATGATTCGATATCTTTCTTCACAGTCGGGTCGTCAAATCGTCTGCCGATCAATCGCCTGCGCAGAGGTTAAGAACAACTCTGTATTTTATAGATAGATCCCACTGACTTGACATCAAAGACTGTGTTTTCCGGGTTCATTGCGGCCTGGTTCTTTGCGGCCTCGCCGATGAGGCGCTCTTCGTCGGTGAAGGAGACGAACGAGGGAGTGGTGAAGCTACCCTGCTCGTTGGCGACTGCGATTGCCGATTAGTATGGCACTTGGTTGCGCGGGAGGACGGAAACGGCAGTCTTACTGATTTCGACATTTGTGCCTTCGTAGACGGCGACACAGGAGTAAGTGGTACCTGAGGATTCTTCGTTAGAGGGCGCAGGCGTCGGTGAGGGCGGGGAGCAGAGAACACACCAAGGTCGATGCCGATGGCACCCTCGTAGACTTCGTCTGACATGTTGACGGTGTAGAAAGGACTCCCCTCGACCTACTCTGCAGGAAGACACAAGAGGAAAAGAAAGATTTGAAGGTGTTGTAGGCGAAAAGGTGGAAACAGCCTACTACTGCAAAGTCAACCCTTCGAGAACTTTTTGAGCCACGGACCACATAAATTTTCCAACATTTTGGCCAAGAAACTCGGTAAATTTAATGACCCGCTTATTCCGATTTGAGGTGGTGGGAATTGCCGCCTTGTGGTGATCACTAGTATGCTCACATGACTTCGTTATGTCCTGAACACTTTCAAGAGTACAAGCTAGAGGCCACAAAAGCAGCCGCACTTATTGCCTATTTATCGACTAGCTTGATGAAGAGACTCGTCGTCCCCATATAGGTATAGCTTATATGAGCCCCTCACACCACATACTCGTACACAATTGGCAGACCACAACTCTCCTTCCTCAATCTTTGCCAATATCAAGGTCGGACATCATCCTATTTTCAGATAGTGCCGCCTTGTTTTGTGCATAAATGTACCATCTCAGACTTCAAAGCTCCACCAAGAACCCAGATCGAAGGCAACGCAAACACTCGAAGCGTATCTTTCGAGAAAGAGAATTCTATTCGCGTCCACTTGCCAATATCTGTCTATCCTTGGATATATTGCGCAGTTCAGAGAATCTCCCCCACGTGCGGATACAGATACAGCCCTAGTATAGCCAATTATGAAGAGTACAAACGGTACCGTGCATCAAACAGTTAACTTTCCCAATATGACAATGCCCCTGCAACAGAACCATTTCCACGTATTTTGAAGAGTCCAGTGGGAGTTTTCACGCTACTCCATCGGCGAGCCATTCCCCATGAGTACATGCCCATCTTCACTACCACCATGTTGCTCCGGTTTCAATCTATCCGGGAACCAAAGAAGAAACGTCATCTGTACAGTCCACATCGGGGCCGCATCAAAGACGTACGTCGGCCACTCATGTGACAGCAGATACGCATCCATGCCCATCATGTACTCGACCACACGGAAGACAGATCTCACCATGATCAACGCACTGCAGATGTATATCATCATCAGGCCTTGTCTCCAGGGGACGTTCGGCCTCGAGCTTGGATCCTTGCCGACGGTTCTCCGCATCCGCACGTGAAACATGAACGCAGCAACAACGAACCATCCAAACGCAATCAGCTGGATGAATAAGCCAGCGATCACTATGTATTTCCCGATCTTCTGAGTCTTGTCCTTGACCGTCAGCCCGGCACCATTCCCCTGCACATTCAGCGACAGGATATCCGCCAGGACGAACAGCTTGGTCATCCTCGCGGGCCGAATGATGGAGAAGCGCTCGCCGTGCACGCTGCGAATGAGGCGGCCGAGCACCATGTAGATGGAGGCGGCGTAGAAGACGGGTGCCAGGAGGATGAAACTGCTCTGGACTGCGTAAGGCGCAATGAGGTCGGTCCGGTAGTGAGCAAACACGCGGGTGCTATAGCCGATCATTTGAACTGGGAGCGAAGAAAGATGTTAGCAACAGCGAATGCGTCTTTCCAGGGCCAGCTACGCCCCATCCACAAGCTGCCAGCCAGGGCGTACGAAATTCTGGAATGCAACTCACACAATCCACCAATGTCAAAGGGGATGCAGAACCACGACCGCGCCTTGATCGTGCGCCACCAGAGGGCGCCGGTATTGCCAGTGAACAACACAATGAACACGGCGGCCGCTGGGATTGACGGGAGGTATTTCCAGAGGTAATAATCTGTTCCGTCCACCGGTTTAAGCTGGACCATGGCTGTCTCTCGTGTTGATATGCCAAAGGACGTCGACGGTAAGCAATAGTGACTTTAGGAACTCGGACAGACGGTCCAAAATCTGGTCGTTGAAAAGGGACAGGATCTCGTCGAGGGCAGGTTATTGCTTGATTAGAAGTAATAAGCTGTTGGAGTCGTTGAGTAAGTGGTTGCTTCTTTGAGTCGAGGCAAAGCCTGAAGTATATAGAGCCATATGCAACTTGCACTCAACGAGACTGATAGTCGCTGCGGCGCAAATTCAATCATACGGATCCACAGTCAGTCCTGCAATGCCTCATCCATCACAAGCACAGCCTCCATTCGGCACATCCATCCTCATACAGTGTGCCCGCACCAGGTTAGTGTACGTGTATACAGCCAGTTTTGGACCTTAGCGAATATCTGTTCTACAAGTTGGCAGGTGCGAGTCCCCACCCGTGTATATTTTGGGCTTAGTGTACGCGTACACTAACAAGATGGGTCCCGGTGGTGGATCTTATTTTGCTGGCAGCCTTGTCGGTATCATTCGCTTGCGAACTGGAGATAGGGGTCCGGCTGTGGCATTCCTGCTCCATGCTCCAAGGAACGCGACTAGAATCCAGGCAGCAAGATTCTTTTGTGGGATCAGTCGAGAAACTTCGCCCTGTCGCCGCATCCCCCATGTGTTGGCGATTCAGAAACATATCCTGAGGGTCCAATTCTAGCCTTCAAGTAGCAATGGTCGTCTCCTCCCGAAGCGCTGCGTTTGGGAACCTCAGCCATTCCCGCCAGTGGGAGGAGTCCAGGTCTCCACGGATGGACTCGATGAGAAACCGACCACTGTCGCCGAACAGCCACAATTCGCGGCACCGGTGCAGCAGGACAGCATAATGCGCGAGGATAACGAGTGCTTCCGCTTGCCCTTGCCGCAGCAGATCGACGTATTCGGGTGGCACGAGCACCGGCCAGGCCAGCACCGTGGGCACCGCGATCTTGGTTCCCGAGGCTGCGCGCTGCGCGTTGAAGACCCGCTGAAGATGGGACACGGTCTCTCGATATATCTCCTGCGAGCCTGGGTCTGCATCTAGTGTAGATATCAAACCCTCGAGGGCGCTGCATTCTGATCCGTTCGCGTCCGTGGTGTCCAGGAGCGCCTGGGTCAGTTTCAGACGAGGTCCTAGCTCTGACTCCAGCAGCAGGTCCCGACTTTGGTCGATGACGGCAAGCAAACCCCGGTAGATGCCCAAACAGTGTGAAAACCTCTCAACGAAGCGTTCGAGACCGTCTCTTTGATAATGCAACGTCTCGCACAGGAGATGGATCCCAACCCCGGACGAGAATAGGAACATGCGGACGTAATTGGCCGGAGTAACTTCCAGGACTGGGTTCGCTTCGTTGAAGAGCGAGAGAGCTCGATTCAGGAGGCCTGTGGCATATTGACGGTAAGTGTCACGAAACTCCGTAGTCCTCGTGCTGAGGTGCAAGGCCGATGCTGCGAGCATCTGGTGCATTAGATACGGGTTCGCTAGAGCATGCTTTGCATAAACATTGGTTGTCGTGATATCTGGTCGTCCTGATTCCTCAACGGAGCGAAACGCTTCGCTGGAGAGGTTATCGAAGAGCTCAAGGTGAGTCATGTTTACATCGTAAGGATCCCGCGGGCCCTGGATGCTCATGGTATGCTCGGGCCATGGTGTTAGAGTTGGCGTGGACGCCCTAGTGGAAGGGCCGCCAGATCCCGCTACCTGTGTATAGGGAAAAGCTGGCACGATGTATGGGGAGTCGGCATCGAGAAACGAGCACCTAATCTCTGCCGAGGCACAATTGGCGCAGACTGGCTGGTTTTCATCGCACTTTTAAGATATTGTCAGTCCTACTCCAAAATTTGACAACGTAAGTTGACGTACTTTTATATGCCGCTTCTTGCACCCAAGACACCCATTGCGGGACTTCTTGTGTGGCCGGCGTGACATAGATCGGTGTGGAAAGCCCAAGTAGCAGCCAAAATCTTCTGAAGCAGTTTAGCTCTCTGGGTAGAGTAAAGCTTGCTCCGGAGCGAAGTCGTGTCTCATACGGCTTCACATGCTACGCGTGAAAGGTCGGTGTTTGACAGGAACGCGCAGAGAGCCAGCCGGACGTCGCACATTCATACAACTCTCAATGTACAGAGTACATGTGCCCTTTGTCCCACGTATAAGAGCTATACGAAAGCTACAAAGGTAGTGAAGAAAAACAGACGAATAGCGGGACAAGGAAGGTACAGCGACTGTTGCCTGGAGAATCATCTACTTTCGCTTAGGATCAAGGCATCTGTCTCTCGTGCTCCCAAGGGCGGCTATCGGACATCCTGTGGGCACTTCGTGCTCAATGAAAACACCTTTGGGGGATACAGGAAGGGCCAGGCAGCAATTGGCCTGTATCAGGTTCGAGACGAGGCGTGGGTTGGCTTACAGACCAAGATCTCAACTGGTACACTGGAGGAGGAATGAAGAGAAAGAGTATGGTTCTCTTCTACATGAACGTACGCTTCCAGCTTCATTGGGTATCATATCTCAAGTGGCTCCAATAGCGTCCCTTTCATCAGCCATTCCTTGCCTGATATCTGATAACCTCTACCATAGCAGATTACCACCCACCAGCCATTATCTTTGATCAATCCAGAACACCACTTTCTCTTAATCCGGCAAGCAACTCTGGTTCCAGGAACCTCTTGACGTCCACATCTTCGCTCAACCCTTTCCTCCGTCTCGTCTTGAGCACGAAGTCTCTCGCCGCCTGCTGAGGCCCAGCCATTTCCAGCGGTCTTATGCGTATACTCTTATCCAGTGGATCTCCGGGAACGACATCCCAGCGGTCAAAGACCAGTGACACACTGGCTGCTCCCTGACTGTGAATCCGTAGATCCGTCTCAAAGCCAAAACTGTCAATCACTGGGAGAAGAGCTTTGGCTGCGTACAGTGGCGTCCCTGCCACAGGTCCATCAGAAACGACATGCCCACGCCTCTTCATCAGGACTGTATAGAGGCCAGATATAGAGTCCGCCGGACCAGTCATATGCACACTGTAGATTGGTTCCATGAGTCGAGGGCTGGCCATCAGAAAGGAACTGTACACTGCTCGTCGTGCAGTTGGTATGATTTGCCCACCTCCTCGGAAGATCGCTTCCGTCGCCAGCTCGGCGCCGGTAACTCGGAATTTGGTGTTGCGTATGGGTTCCTCGCACAGAGGTCCTTCACGTGTGCCCCATGAAAAGCCTTGCTTGATACTCTCTTGCACAGACTTAAGCAACTTCTTATCTGTGGTAGAAGGCAATGTATCGTCGCATAGAATATTGGGCCCCATCTCATCTGGGCCAAATGCCCATATTGATCGAGCAGCCAGTTTGTCCCATTCGTATTTCTCTTCGAAGAACTTGGCAACCTTCCTGATCGGATCTCGAATTTTGACAATGCCAGCCTCGATATCCTCGGCGATTCCATCATCTAGAGGTTCGGCGATCATGGTTAATTTGTTTTTCTTGTTTGGAGTCAACGCATAGCACATAATAGCGCTTGTTTCGGTCACAGTTTCGCAGAATCGCGTGACGGGATCCGAGACCTTGATATCCATCTCGGCATATAGCGTCCGCAGGTCATGCAAAACACAGTCCATGTATAGTTCGCCTGTTCCCAGGACAACGTGCTCTCCCGATTCTTCGACTTTGGTGGTGATAAGAGGATATGACTTGTTGATCTTGCGCAGGCCTTCCAGCATTTTGGGCAGTTCTGATGGGTTGACAGGTTCAACAGCGACCTTAAAGACGGATTCCGTGAAATGGCGAATCGGCTTGAAAATATAGGCATCCTCATTATCGGGATACTTCTCAGAAACTACTGTGGCTGTCTTGACGATAGAGTTGTCGATTCCGGACAGGAGCACGAGATTTCCAGCAGGCACGCCGGAGACGGGAATGTTGTATCGCGAACAGGCGATTTGCACGCCCATGATTGTTGCTGTCGTCGAATCTTCCTCATCTTCGAGGCTGTATGCTTCTCCAAGCACCCGAACGACCTGGTCTGGTGATGCCGTTCCAGACATGATGCGACCAAATGCATTGAATGTTTTGGCATCTGCGGAGCTGAAAAGCTTGGTGATCTCAACTACCAGGGGCCCATCTGAGTCGCATCTTGACATTGCTTCACCGACCTTTGAGTCAAGAGAACCTGTGTAATAATTGTCAAGCATTCTTCTCGCGCCGTCAACAGGCGAAGGTACGTGTTGCACCACCATATCGACAAAACCACTCGCAGTGCCAAAAAACTGAGCGCACACCAGTTTCAGCAACACCTTTGCGTCGGATTTGAGCTGTGATGGTTTCAGTGAGATACCTAGCGTCTGCAGAGTCGGAGCTAGGTCTTCGGGACTTTCACTGATGGTGTGGGAGAACAGCTTGTAAATGGGCTCCAGTACGAAATTCACAAAGGCCCTCTTCGATCCCTCTTCGATCCCTTTTCGGGTGAACTTTCGGCTTCGAGGATTAAAGAAGATATCCCCCCACAGCCTCCTTGAAAACTCGGTAGCGTCGACTTTTGGGTACGTTTCGGCGTACATCTTCGCAAATGACGGTAATGTAAACACCCAGTCCATAGACGTGCATGCAAAAGCCACGTTGCCCTTTTCAGGCGACAGCCGCCGCTTTTCGCCACGGCCCGGAATGGTGTTCTCGATGACGGTATTAACCTCTTCAACAACATGTTTTAGTTTGAAGTATGCATCTGTCGGTGGAATCTTCAGCTCGAGGATGAGGCGGTCCATTTTGTTGATGACCAGAACCATGGGTATATCCTCCAGAACGGCGTGCTTAATGACTTGCTCAGTGTTGATCTGAACACCTTCCACCACGTCAACGACGAGCACCACACCATCGACTAATCGCAAGCTCGATGCAACCTCATCGACAAAGTTCACATGCCCAGGGGTGTCAATGACATTGAGGATGTGCGATTTCCCTTTCGTGCCTTGCATGACCAGACTGATCGGCGCAGCCTTTATGGAAATCCCTCGTTCTCGCTCCAGGAAATGTGTGTCGGTATATCTTAACTGTTCGTCCCTCCTCCTGCCTACCCTCTTATCCAGCCTCTCTTCCAGATCATGTGTCTGCATGACCAACATATCCACGAACGCTGTCTTGCCATGATGTAAATGCCCAGCTACTGCAATATTTCGGATGCCTTCGGGGAAATTTAGGAGATCGGTCATGAACTCTCGCGAGTAGTGGACAGGAGGGAGGTCTGCTTCTTGCACCTGGAACTTCTTCTGCGTCACGGGCGCAATTATCGGTTGTGTGAGCGGCTGTGCATCCTCCTCCTGCACCAAAGTCTCAACTTCTTCCCCGTAAACCTGCTGCGCCGTGGGGTAGTACTGTTTGTCCTCGTGCAATATCACGGCATTGGAGGGCCCTTCATCATCAACTTCCATAGACTCATCCGCAGGAGCTTGCTCCTCGGGTTCGGACTCTTCGTCGTAAACATAATGTTGGCCTGCCGCACCATCTTGGGATGCCTCTTCATCGGAGACGGCTTCGCCGATAAAGTTGCCAAACCTGTGCCAACTGTCAATGAAACATCCATAATATGACTTTTGGGCGTATTACTTACTCGTCATAGAGGTCATCCATACTGATTGATAAGTGACGGGAGCTGGAGAGTTCGCGGCGCAAAATGGAAGCAAATTCCTCGAACTGCGGAGTTGGAGTCGAACAAAATTTAAAATGTGGAGTCGTCGCGATGAATGCAGCCTACAGCCTCGTCCAGCCTTGTCCAGCCTTGCTAACATTCTCATCCCCTATTCGCAATCACTAGGTGGTGGAGATTTTTCTGGAAGGCTTATCTCGCTCAATCAACCGAGCTGCTTCCGATATGCGACAACAAGTACGCCCAGATTGTGATTCAAGTGGTGACTTTTGAGCTGTATCTGACTCTCCCTGAAACTTAGAGGAACTGTGGGCGAACAACACGCTTTTAGAAGCGAACCACATACCAACGCTACTTTCTTGACAATGTGAACTCCGCTAGACTATGTCCCATTTCAAAACCGGTGCGCTTTCCATTTTACATCAGGGATTCGAGAACCAATGCGCTCGCGCCCCCGCCACCATTGCAGATGCCAACGCATCCAATTTTGCCCTTCTTCGCTTTCAACACACCGAGTAGGGTTGCAACAATTCTTGCTCCCGAAGCACCGAGAGGGTGGCCAATGGCCACAGCTCCACCGTGAAGGTTGACTTTGTCCGCAGACAAACCAAGCAGCTTCATATTGGCGAGTGCGACAACGCTAAAAGCTTCGTTGATCTCGAATGCGTCAACATCTTCTTGGTTGATGCCAGCGTGCTTCAGGGCCTTGGGGATAGCAAGCGCTGGGGCGGTGGTGAACTTGCTGGGTTGTTTGGCGCCATCACCCCAGCCCAAGATCTTCGCCAGAGGTTTGATCTTCAGTTCCTGCAGCTTAGCTTCCGAGACAAGCACTACCGCGGCGGCACCATCGTTGAGAGGCGAGGCATTGGGAGCAGTCACAGTGCCGCCATCAGGGATGAATGCAGGCTTCATTGAGCGGAGCTTCTCGATGTTCAGATTCTTGGGCTCTTCGTCTTTGTCGACCGTGACACCGGGCTTTCCCCGAGCACCAGGAAGCTGAATAGGCGCAATCTCGAAATCGAAGAGCCCATCCTTCTGTGCAGCTTGTGCTCGCTGGTATGACTGAATAGCGTATTCGTCTTGCTGTTCTCGGTTGAAGCCGTGATCCCGAGCACACTCTTCGCCTTGCAGACCCATATGTTCTTGTTTACCATATGCATCTGACAGTCCGTCTCTTAACACACCATCGACCAATGTCTGGTTCCCAAACTTGGCTCCCGTCCGCATGTTAGGAAGATAGTGGGGGCAATTCGACATGGACTCTGCGCCACCGGCCACGACAATGTCGGCATTTCCAGTCATGATTGTCTGCGCACCGAGAACGATGGCCTTGACACCAGATGCGCAGACCTTGTTGACAGTTGTGCAAACAGTCGAATCGTCTAGCCCAGCACCGAGAGCGCATTGGCGGGCGGGATTTTGACCGACGCTGTGAAGGAGTTAGACGTGCCACACTGAGGACTGCAAGCGTGCAGACTTACTTTGCTGACAAGACATTTCCAAAGAAGACTTCTTGAACATCCTGAGGCTTGATCTCCGGAACTCTTTCAAGGGCGGCTGTTTCCAATCAATATACTGTTGACAATTGAGGAGCGGTGAGGGGAAGTATACCTTTGATGGCATGAGAACCGAGTTGAGGTGCTTTCAGGGAGGATAACGAGCTACAATCTGTCAGTGACACTGAGTATGACAAAGGGCGTGTAGTTTGTACCCAAGGAATGACCCGACAGGCGTTCGTGCAACTGCGACAATGTAGACCGCGGGGAGTGAGGGCTTGGGATGCGGGACGCCATTGACGTTGTTCGCAGCCATGATGTGTTGGGGAGCAAAGTCCAGCAGCGCAAAGAATTGAGTCTTAGCAAAGGATATATGAAGTTCGCTCAGGTCAACGAATAGTAATCAGGTCGTATGTACATAGAAAGGCACGAAGCGCAGGAAGGCAAATTGTTTTGTTGATTGGGATCTTTGAATCCCCAAAATTCTGGTGTGGAGAAGATGCTTGTAACTAGCATATGGTGCCACCTCGGATGTGTTCACCACTGCGAACAGAGTAGCGAGGCTGCAAGGCTGCAAGGCTGCATGTTGTCGGTTACCCACTTGCTCCTCGGTGACCGTTGCAGGCAATTTGCTCCTCGTCCGGGCTATCCATCTGACTTCATGATGGCATCAGACTCGACTTGGAAAAGCTGGTCTCTGCAACCGAAGTCCAATTCCAAGTAGTATTCTCGCTCAGACATGCCAGTGACCTTTGCGAATGATGTCGAGTCTGAACCCGAAGTTAAATCACCTCAACTTCTCGTTTGCATAGTCTAGTAAGTGATATCTGTAACAGAATGTGAGCATTGTTGGTATTGCCCGGACGCACTTTGCGAACTTCAAGGTCTGGCAGGATTGTAGTTATTGTAGTGCTTTTTCTATCCAGTGAATTCTTCGCAAGCTCTTCAACGACGTGTCTCAGAAACACGCACTTCACTCCCGCCCCAGGTCTAAATCAAGGAGCAAATATTGTCCCCATCTCAACTCTTGTCAAGCCACCGGTTCCGTCGACTAGAGATTCGGCGAGTCGATGGTGTCAACTACGGAAAGCTGCTAGGCTTCCTATCGAAAGCCACCTGCACTGTATCGGGCGAACTTGGTGAGTGATAGTTCTCTCAACCGTCTCACATTTTGCTGACATCCATCAGCAGCAATGGACGCTGTAGACATCGATATAGTCAATGCTACTTTGGCAGTTCGACTGGAGTTACAAGACCTAGTGGCTTCCTTACCGGAGATCCCCAGCCATGCAGAGGTAGCTCAAATTCGAGACCGCATCGGCGCCCTCCTCTTCCAGCTTGAAGAAGTCGCGACTTTCGATGCCCAACAAGCAAATGTGAGAGTGCAGCAGAGCATCTACCGAGCCATGCTCTCGGACTTCCCGGAGGTCGAGAGACTCCTCGCTCAAGATATGGATTCCACGGACGGTGATCAAGACCAACAACCTCCCCGGACAGGCGGCAACTCGAACGTCAGAGTTGTGGGCAAGAATGGATACTACGAAGACCCTCGAATTGATTCTGATGGAAGTACTAGTCTGGAAGCATACATGCACGATCTTGAGGCTGATGAAGTTCATCCACCCGAGGAGTGCTACGTGTGCTTGGAAGTTACCCCATATTCTCAGCTTATCAGGCATGAAGAATGTCTGCATGGCTGGTGCCGTTCGTGTCTATTGCAGCAGTTCGAGTTGGTCCTGAAGAGCGAAAGTCACTATCCTGTCCGATGCTGTCGGACGCGAACCGCTGTCTCGCATCAGCATCCCGTCATTGTGCGACTTCTTGGGGAGGAAGCAATTGCCAGGCTGGAGGTAAAGATCAAGGAATACGAAACAGAGGACCGAACATATTGCTACAAACCCACTTGTTCAGCATTTATTGACCCAAATACGTTCAAAGGAGATATGGCCACTTGCCCCTCCTGTCAACGAGACACCTGTGTAAGGTGCAAGGCTGAATTTCATTCCGGTTCAAAGTGCGAAGATTCCCAGGATGTGGCCTTTGCCAATTGGAAAGAAGAGAACGAAGCATCGGCATGTCCAACTTGTCATCGTGTGATCCTCATTTCGCACGGGTGCAACCATATGAGGTAGAGACCATCCCTTTTTGTCACGAGCAGGGACGGATACTGATTCAAGTCACAGGTGCCATTGTGGGACGGAATTCTGCTATCAGTGCAATGCTCGCTGGAAGACTTGCCAATGTCCGCTATGGAACGAAGCAAGGCTCCTTGAGCAAGCAGAAGCCATTGCCGTACATCAGGGCCGGCCCACCGAAGTACAACGAATTATGATGGCAATCGCGAACCAGGAAGAATGCCGTCACGATCACTTCACGAGGGTCCGAGTACATGACGATGATGACGACTGTTGTTCGGATTGTTGCTGGCAGGCCGATCGGTTTCTATGGGAATGTGATGCTTGCGACATGCGGTTTTGTGAGAGGTGCAGAAGGTCATACAAGCACTAGAGCACAACAAGGGTCTCACAGTCATGTGCGAAGCATAGAGTGCCCGGAGAAAGAGCAAGTTTGAGGAGTTGTGGACAGCGGAGACTGATGGTTTCGACAACCGCACATCATGCTACGGAATCTCGGTGTGAAAAGAAGACCGATTAGCGAATTTGACCACAAGTTCGGCTGACGACATGAGAACTACTTGCAGCTATGAGTTTCTGTTCCCGAAACATCCGACACTCGCGTCGGAGACTTAGATATACCTTCCGCGCTCCATTGCCACTCCCTACACTCTGTGGACTTTTCCAAAGTCAAAGCATTCCCCTTGCTGATGATCCCCACTTCCCTCCTTCCGCGTTTATTGCACAAAGCTTTTGAAACCGACAGGGCCTGGTGGCTCTTCACACATGATCATGGCTTCGAAACTCGATGAGGGGTAGGAAGACTGGACGACTAGAGGCCAGCAAACGTGTTCAAGACGGGGAAGGTATGCTTTTTGTGATCCCTCAATTGAAGATCAATATTAGTTTCCGGACTCGAGAAGCAAGAGCGCGGGCACGACTAGATACAGAAAAAGGCCACATTAACTCACTCGTGCTTAACATCAACCTTGGTGTTGGCGACATCTTTGAACCCTTTCTTGGGCGCACGAATCTTCAACAACCCAGCCTCCAACGTCACGCTGACGTTCTCTACATCCGTCGGGAAGTTGACGTATCGTCGAAAAGGGCCGACTCTTCGCTCTCCAATCAACAGATGGACTCCTCCAGCATGAGGCTCTGTTTGTTCTTCTTCCACCTTTGAGTTCTCGGCATCCCCGTAATCGGGCCTGTCGACTTTGCCTGACAGTAGCAGGGATCGGTTGCCTGTCCAGGTCACGGTGATATCTTCAGGCTTTTTGACGCCTGGCACTTCGATTTCGATGAGGTACTCGTGGATGGCATCGCGAAAGTCTAGGTCTGGCTGGTTGGGGTGGTCTTCTGGTCTGGGGTGGCGGCGCGAGATGTATTGGAGGAGCGACTGGTGTTGATGGTGTCGTTCATGAGGGTTGTCCACCAATGGAGGTGGGTAGTCATAATAATATGCGTATGCCATTGCTTCGAGGATGTCTTTTCCTGAGACCGTGGTGAATGGTATCTGTAAATTGAGGGCTTGAGGTCGCCTCTGGTTGTCCTTGTGTGGATTTCCTATGCGTTGCAGCTGCTTTCCTGTTTATATACTGAGTCTGAGGAGGAAGACGCGAAAGAAAAGTCTCTGACATGAAGAGGGACGCGCATATTTATTTACCCTACCTGATTGAAGAGCTCGAGGCGGGGCAAGATCCTGGCGGCATTGCTCGAGCTCCCCCTTGCTCGGTCCTCCATGTGCCGATGGAAATGGTGCGATCTTGTGATCAGTGAGCTCTCCCCTTGTCCAAGGTACTCGGAGCTATCTCCATAGGCGAGGTCCTCAAGAAGGTCTGGGTCCTTGAGGAGTTCGTCCTCTCTCCGGACGCAGCCGATGAAGTGAGTTCTAGTGAGGGGCCAAGTCCCACGATCTGTGTTCGCGGCGAAGGCTGCGCAAGTTGCAAGGTCGTCATTGGATGCTCATCTCCTGACTGCAAGGGGAAAGTAGCTCACATCATCATGAGATGGGAAGTTGTGATATGCAGCAGTGGAGTGATGTCCCAACCCATGAGTGGCTGTCATTACGCAGCAAACGTGCGGTGATTACGTTTCGATGCCCCAGCCTCCCATCAGGGGAACAGCTCGCCATGTCGCGAAAGCGAGAGAGATTCCGATAGAATAGTTTGACTTTCTGTGTCGGCTTCACGATTTCGGCCATCCGCATCTCAGCTGCACATGCACAGTCATCGAAGTGAGCAATTGCTGGGGAACCAGGAACGGGGAAATGCGCTCAATGCCATGTTCTAATGACAGTCATTACAAATGCACCCATGCCAAATACATCCTCGGCATACACCCAGCTGTCCTCGTCCCTTCGAAGCTATTCGGACGGTTTATTCCAACTTCTTCTTTGCTAGACACTCCCGCGTGCTCTTCAAATTTGTTTCTGTCAGATGATCCAATATTATTCTCGAAATCATGGAAGGTCTCGCCCTGCAAGTGCGGACAATGGTTCTTCCCTCCTTCAATCGCTCTGGTCTCATGCGCCTTGGGCAAATAGCTGATTCTTGGCTTGTTGCCTTGGGACCAGGTGATGGTTGCATACAAGTACAAATCCACTGAAGTTTCATGTCCGCAACACGTGCACATCGAAACAGTCGATTCTCAAACTTATGATCATTCGTATTCGACTTGGCTTACTCCCGCAGAAGCTTCTCGCTGAACCCCTCATGTCAAGGGCCCTGGACCTGGAGTAGACGCGTCAGATGTGCCTGCATGTCTGCAGATCAGGTAGGGGAAAGAGAAGGAATATGTAAGGGCCAGGTGTGCCCACTTACCGCTTCTCTTCCGGCTACAGAGATCCAAATCCCAGAAAAATCACCAGTTCTCTCGATCCGAATTTCGAGTGCGACCATCAAATCTTCCACATCCAACTTCTATCCTCCACCATAACCATAAAACATTTAAAACGGCGTTCGAGGACCCCATCATGTCGACAATTGAGTGCCTGCTCCACCCTCACCACATTTCGCTGGTTGACACGCACTCATTGCGCGCCAAGCTCAAGCATGCAGGAGACGCCTACTACAACGTTGACGGTTTGCCATCGCACCGTGGAGTGCTCGCTCCAAAGTTCGATGTTTTCGAATTGGATGGGGGCACAACGGGATGGCTTCTTGTTGGCGACCTGCCAGGAGTCGAGTCTACCGATGAGATCAAGATCGAGTGGCTCGATGCTAGCACCATCTTTCTCCGTGGAAAATTGGCGACGGCGTCGATACCAACTTTTGGCGAAACCGAAAGCAGGGTTATGAAAACTGTTCATAAAGAGAGACACGAAGGACTCTTTGAGCGTTCTGTCACGTTGCCTGCGAAGGCGGACGCCAACGGGACGAAGGTAGAGGTGAAGGCCGGAGTTGTCTTTGTTAGAATCCCCAAACAGGCTTGAGGGGTGAATGGGTTGAATGAAGTTGTATGCTCGAGGGTAGTCGGCGCGACAACCAAAGGTCAAAGCGGTCTCCGCTTTTATTTTGGGGGCGTGTTAGTGTTGTTATCAACTGGAAGCTTTATTTTTATTCCATTATGCATCTCTCGTCGCTTTGTTCCCATTTCTGTCCAACATCCATAAGCCGTCCTTGCGACAACTTCCTTGTCATGATGACCGACCCTGGCGAGGCTGACTATAATGGCCAATCAGCGGACGCTCAGCCCATCGGGGCGCTAGTCATTAGCGTCTCAGCACGTGACAGAGCCAATTCTCCGAACGGCCTTGCTAAATTTGGCCCTTGGGGGCTTGGGCCTCTGTCGAACGTCCCGTCCAACAATTCACGCTATTCACATTTCATCGTTGGATGGATGAATCTGATCTGATCTGACAAGCCACCATTTCTTGACGGCACACTACACCAACTGTCAGGTCCTCCCATCAACTTCATACTGTTCTTTCGCGCATATTGTCCGGCTGGACCGTCTCACAAGTTCTCAAACTTTCCCGCAACGCGTCGTCTCCTCGATTCCACTCCTTGTCCGACCTCCGTCTCCTCCCTGTCCCTCGCGCTCCGTCAGAGCCTCCTCCACCCTCTCCTACAGTTCTCTGAGTGGGATATTTTCGAGTGTCATTCGCGAAGAACCGCGCACTTGTCACGCTTCTCCTCGTTTCGGTTTCATCACATCCAGGGTGGACATTGACTGCGACAACTTTATCGAAAACACACCACAAGATTCTCACAGTTTCCCTTGTCCCTCGTTTATTCCCCGAGTGTTCTGCTGCATGGACTTGCTACTGGCTCAGACAAGAGACGCGCACAACACGGTCACACGACGAAAGCCAGTCACTTCTCTGGGGTGCGGTTGAATTGTGTCCGCGACAAGACATTGTCGAAGAGGCTTCGGTTGTCGAATGTTTACCGTGTCAATTGCCACATATTCATGCAACGCCCTCTGGGTGAAATTCAAGAATGGCAGCTCCGCTTGAAGAGCTGCACCAGGGGAATTCTGGCACATTAAGATACACCATAGGCGCTACTCGCAACCAGAACGAGCTTTCTCCGCAGAACTCCAACGGTCAGTACACGTACACACCACCAAACCAGGCAAACGGCAATACAAACGATGTCCCCTACGACAGTGATGCCAGATATTCCTCTGATAGCAGAACTGGAAGAAAGAGGTCCGTGGGTGGGCAAGGAGAACGCAGTAGATCAAGAACAAATGGCAGCACAGGGAAGTCATCCAATTCTGGATCCCGACAGTGCAGAAAATGTGGCGAGCCTCTGACTGGTCAATTTGTGCGTGCGCTTGGTGGGACATTCCACCTTGATTGCTTCAAATGCGCCGACTGTGGCCAGATTGTCGCCTCCAAGTTCTTTCCTGTGGACGCTGAGGATGGATCTGGACAATTTCCCCTCTGCGAAACAGACTATTTCCGGCGCCTGGATCTCCTATGCTTTGAATGCGGTGGCGCACTTCGTGGTTCCTACATCACAGCACTCGATCGAAAGTATCACATCGAGCACTTCACATGTTCAGTGTGCCCGACGGTTTTCGGCGCTCAGGATAGCTATTACGAACACGACGGGAGAGTCTACTGTCATTACCACTACTCTACGCAGTTTGCGCAACGATGCAACGGTTGTCAGACTGCTATCCTAAAACAATTTGTCGAGATCTTCCGGAATGGACAGAATCAGCATTGGCACCCTGAATGCTATATGATTCATAAATTCTGGAACGTGCGACTTGCACAATCTGAGACAGAGGTGGAGAAGAAGGATATTAACGCTCCTGTTACCGAGGACGAGCGCGAAACGGTTAAAGAGGATGAAGAAAAGATGGAGGATAAAGTCTATCGGATCTGGAGCACCCTTTCTACATTTGAAGAATCCTCTGCTTCCTGCATCTCAGATATGCTGCTACATGTCAGCAATGGCGTCTACGTCGACGGAGTCATTGTCGCTCGGAAGTTCATCTGGCACGTTGACATCCTCTTCGGTGCTATCGACACCCTCGCAACTCTGATTGTCAAGGCTCAACTCAAAGAACTTGCCTACGGTCGAGAAGCGAAACTGCTTTGCAAAAAGGTCGTCGCATTCTTCACACTTCTCTCGAAAACTCAGGAGACTGGAGTGCGAAAACTCGGCGTTACCCAGGAGCTCTTATCGTTGGTCACTGGTCTGGCTCATTACCTCAAATTACTCATTCGCATTGGTCTCCAAGGAGCGCTGAAACTTGAACGCGAAAAAGGGTCCCCTGAAGGCCTTCATGCATTCTTGGACGAGCTTGCTGACCTTGAAACAATCAAAGAGCAAGAGATGAAATCACTAGATTTGCAAGAGAGTGTGGCAGGTCTTGCCAGCCAAGAGTCGGATTGTTGCTCTGCATGCATGGAACCCATCGATGACGAATGTGTCATGATTTACGGTCGAAGATGGCATGCAAAGCCTCGTCACCTTATTTGCAGCGTCTGCCAACGAGATTTGACGAGCGACCTTGCCAGTGCGATGTATAACGAGAGAGAAGAAAAGGTGTACTGTGTTGATCACGCAAGACGGACGCCGGACACAGTCTCAGGATTCGCCCACGTCACCAAACTACAGCAGTACGTCTTCTTACTCCAGGTTGCATTGGCACGCTTGCTTGAGGTGCTGAAGTCTGGCGGGACTCTACCACATACCTCGGATGATCCTAACCTGACACCATACAACACCAACGAAGGACACCACGTATCGCCTTCCGGGGAGCCTGTTACACCTCATCAGAAGATGGGATCACGGTCTAGATCCTACGCAGGTACATCGAGCCAACAAGAATCTTCATTAGAACAGACTGTGGGTGAGATGAAGCGACTTCGGTCTACTCGAAACGAACGCGCTCTTTCCACGACATTCCGGAAGGCTCGAGAGTCCAAAATTCTCTATGGCCCACATGGTGTGCGACCAGGCTCTGAAGGTGGTGATGGTCAGGATAATCGAAATCCGGGTGGCTTCCAGATCGTTCAGGAGAAAGATCTTGATGGTCGCATGAAATCAGAACTTACCTTTGGCAATCAAGAGGGTCTCACCCTGGATGACATTCCGAGGATTGTCGCCGCCGAGCAGGCAAAGGAACAGCGGCCGAACGCTTACCGTCATGCAGGCACCAACCTGATTGGTCACCGAGGTAATGAACCTAGACTTGTGAATGGGCACCAGCGAGGTTCATCTAGTGGTGGTGCTGATCTCCTGGCCGGCGAACACCCCCTCAGAACCAAACGATACTTTTCGGAACTGTCCGCTCTGGAGTACTTTATTGTCCGACATGTGGCAGTCCTCTCGATGCAGCCCTTGTTAGATGGTGAATATACCCTTGAAGATCTGCTTGGTCTAATCGAACAGCGAAAGCAGACATTCTGGGGCAAAGTCAGTCGTGCACTTCGTGGTGACGCTGGTGTGAAGAAGAAAGGAATTTTCGGAGTTCCGTTGGAGACACTAGTTGAGCGCGAGGGAGCAGAATCAACCAACGGAGTCGGACCTGGTGCCCTCAGAGTACCAACTATCGTTGATGACTGTGTATCTGCCATGAAACAAATGGATATGTCGGTCGAAGGTGTCTTCAGAAAGAATGGCAACATCAAACGCCTTAAAGAGACGGCAGAAGCGATCGATGCGAATCAGACGCCTGACCTCAACCGAGAAAATCCGGTACAAGTTGCCGCATTGCTCAAGAAGTTTCTGAGAGAGATGCCCGAACCGTTGTTGACATACAAGTTACAGAAGCTGTTCATCATTTCTCAAAAGATTGTGGACGATGAACGCCGAAGGAGGGTTCTGCATCTCACATGCTGTCTGATGCCAAAGAGCCATCGTGATACTATGGAAGTACTATTCTCATTCCTGAAATGGGCGGCCTCCTTTTCTCAGGTTGATGAAGAATCTGGCAGCAAGATGGACATCCACAACTTGGCTACCGTTATGGCGCCCAATATCTTGTATGCGAAAGAGAAAGGGGCACCGGGCGCAAGACCTCAAGTTCCACAGGTCGATGATAGCTTCCTTGCTATCGAGGCGGTCAACACCTTGATCGAATACAATGATCTGTTCTGTCAGGTATGAAATCACCAACTCATATCTTATCATTTCGAAAGCTAACTTTGTCCACAGGTCCCAGAAGATCTACAGTCCATCCTGACCGATACAAATCTTCATGGCGGGTCTGCAGAGCTTACAACGAAGGAGATATTGTCACGATATGGTCATATTGCCAAGGGCCAGGTGCAGAAACAGACAGTTGCAGCAGCAGATGCACCAGTCCGCAGCCCCGTATCGGCTTCGAACTCGCTTGGCCCCGTCGCCACAAGGGTGGATGTCGATCCGTACCAGGCTACTGCATGGCAGAAGCAAAGTTCTGTTAGGCCTGTACAGAACATGGCTTCAACAACATCGACACCAGCAAATGAGTTTAACTTCGGCGTCCCGAACAGCCCGTATGCTCGAGAACGTGCAGGAAGCGCTGATAGTGCAGGAAGCCGTGGAGGTGCACAGGGTGGACGGCAAAGCTACCAGCTAAGACCAGGGCAGATGGGTGTAGCAGGTTGAAAGACCCATATTCAGATTCAACGCAAAGAATTTACCTGCATTCTCGAGGCGGCATTCCCCCTCATTGACCGGCTTCTGGCACGCGATATCAGACTGCGACAAGTCAAAGATGTCAAACTCGACCGGAGAACCACGGCGGTCAAAACACTTGCACGACCTTCATGACACGAAAACATTTTCCTTTGTTCAGTGCTACTCAAAGGGGACACAACGGACGGCCTTCCATGCATGACGCCACAATTGCAGGGCTTTCGTGGACTTTACTTACATGTGCTTTTTCACAAGGTTTCAGAGTTGAGCCTTTTCACCTTGGCCGGCAGCCGAGCGCTTTACGGCCTAGCTGGGCACAATTCATTACACTTCTTCACAGCAAGCGGCGCTTCGATTTACACAACACTGTTTTTTGAGCTTGTGGGCTTTCTTTTCTTGAGCTGTGGAGTTCGTTTTCTTCACCACTCCTCGACCATGTCTGGAGATGTGCACTATTCGATGGCAATTGATTGAATACAGTTTCTTTCTAAGGCTTTGCGACATACGAACTAGGGCACGCTGGCAGAAAAGATATTCTCGAGAGATTCAACTAGGGCTATGCTTGAGCGCTATTGGCGGTTCATGGTCTCGGGAGACCAACGTTGGATACAGAAGTCTGTGCTTGAAAAGGGCCGACTGCTGTAATCGATATGGGCCACGAATGCGAGCTATTCTCATCAGGAACAGGAGGATTTGGAGAGGAATGCAAGGATGTAAGAGCTGGCAACCATACTGTGCTTTGCAAGTGGTGAGATTGAGCTTGTTCCTGGTGTCGCGGACTTGGAAAACATGGGATAACGACGTGAGCTCAACAAGATCACACTGCCAACTATTTGACGGGCAGCAGCTCAAAAAGTCTTATCGTGCGATTCGACAATACCTGGACCTTCACAGAGGACGGATAAGGAATGAAGATGTTGGGTCGGTGGACAACGAATCCGACTAGTCGGCGTCACCATCACTCATGCGCTCTTGGGAATGGGACGTTGGCGCGGAGATATCGACTGGGCAGCTGGGCTTTCTTGAGCAATCGCTTCTACAAATCTCTTGTCACGATCCAAGTTTTCGAGTGCCGAGGATGGATCACAGTGTTAGTCATTCTCCCATGCAGGTGGTGAGCTGTAGTCTACTGTCTATCGAAAATGCTCAGTGCCCATTGACATTGCTACGCCCCGTTCTGTCCATGTCTCGTCTTCCGTTGTAGGACAGCATCCATAACCCTGCCCAACCTCTCCACTGCCTCCTCGGTAATCTGATAATGCACGACCAACCGTCCACCTCGGGCCTTTAATCCCTCTGTGCTCGCCAGTTCGGCGAATTCGTCCGCTGAACAGCCTTCATTGGCAAGATCAAGCCAGACCATGTTCGTTTCCGTCGGGTTGGCCAATTTTCCGCCCTTGGCAGTCCACAGCGCCGCGACATTCCTGGCCCGGGCGTGGCTGGCGCGCAGCTTGCCCCCTTCGCCGTTGGGGCCGTGGCCGAAGTTTTCGTCGACGGCGACGCGGGCTGCGGCGGAAATCACGCCCGCTTGCCGCGTGCCGCCCCCGAGCATTTTGCGGATTCTCCGTGCATGCGCGATGAAGGGCTTGCTGCCGACGATGATGGAGCCGATGGGGGCGCCGAGTCCCTTGGAGAAACACATGCTCACACTATCGAACTCGCGTGTGAAGTCGGGCAGACTGCCGGCGTCGGCGGCCACAGCTTCCCAGATGCGCGCGCCGTCCAAGTGAAGCCTGATACCGTGCGAGCGGGCAAATTGGGAGATTCGGCGGATTTCAGAGAGGGGCATGACCATCCCGTCGAGGGTGTTCTCCAAGCTGATGACTCGGGTCGGACAGGCGTGGACGTCGTCTGAGATGATGCAGTGTTTTTGTACGTCTTCGAGAGTTAGGTGGTGGCCATTGCTGGGTGTGACGGAAATGAGCATGGCGCTTGAGAGGCAGCTGACTCCGCCGGCTTCGTAGTTATGGATGTGTCCTCTGATGTCGCACAGCACGGAGTGAGGTGGTTGGACCAAATGGCTGCGGAGAGCTACTTGGTTGCCCATTGTTCCGGACATCACAAGCAGTCCCGCTTCATGGCCTGCCAACGAAGCGACATAGGACTCTAGTTCATTGGTTGTTGGGTCCTCGAGGAACACGTCGTCAAGCAGCGTCGTGTTTGTGATGGCATCGAGCATAGATGCTGTGGGCGTGGTCATTACGTCGCTGCGGAAATCGAAGGCAGCGGGACCGGGTTGTTGCCAGGCATTGACCCTCTTGTGTGAGGCTGCATTGCTGTTCGCAGCTGCTATGGCCGAGTTCTGCTTGACGTCGGCGAAAGTATCTGGTTTGTCCTCGACGATATGTGAGGAAGCCATATTGCAACCGGAGTGGCTGATGGCTTTGGCTTTGGCTCTGGTCGATGAAAATTTGAGAATTCCAGATAGCGGCTGCAGTCCGTAGGCTGACCGAGCTGATCTGCGAATTTGACTCGTGAGATTCAACCCTTGTCTAGAAGCTGCTGCAAGCATGGCCAGGCATGCCCAGTTCTGGAGAACACTTGAGAAGGAGAGTCTGGTTCCGACATCGGTAGAAAGGCGATTGTTGGCAAAGGGCGTGCGTACAATGAGTGTATCGGGTGGAGGTGGGAGCGGCGATACGCGCATCAAGATCCAATGGCGGGCAAGAATTTAGGGGCGCATGGCTGCTGCAAGCTCTCACAGTTAGGGGGGCAAGGAGCCTCACCAGCCCCGGAAATTCACCTTCCCAGATGGTACTGGCGGGCTGGGCATCCCTGGCTTTAATACGACCTCTGTGGTTCGTGGCCCGAGGTGCTACTTACCAACCTACGAGGCAGTACTACTAATACTGTAGGCCGTTTTATCGTGAATTACCAGCCCGAGACGCGTTAAGCCTCCCCACGCGTCTCCGTCGCACTCTCAACCCACCATCCCTGTCCCGTTTGTGCGCCTTTTGCACACATCCCAGAAGTCGCAGTTAATGTCTGCAGCCAGCATCGAAGACCAGCAACGACATCGACATGGCCTCCTCTTCCCGCCGCATGTCGCAACCGGCGTCGCTGCACGTCAATCTGCACTGTCTCCAATGCGACGGCCAAATCGGCATCTTCGACAACGAATGGACCCGCCTCACCAGTTCCTACGTTCGCCCTGTCCACTCTGGCACTCACTTTGGGACAGAGATCGCGACCAACAAAACACAAGTCGTCCCTGAAGGCGTCACGCAACGAGCTCTTGAAGGATGCACTCTCGCCGAAGTGTTCTGCACAAAATGCTCTGCGGTTGTCGGGCAGTATTGCAAGGAGATTCCGGCAGCCGCTCAGAGAAATATGTTGTATGAAAGGTCCCAATGCTTCAGAAGACAGATATGTGAGACTGACGGGATGGTAGGAATCAATATCTATACAAATTGTCGAGGACATACCTGAAGAGCAGCGAGACAAATAAGCGCGTTGATCCCGTCTTTGGATACGCCGGAGACGCCGTCAGATCAGCCGCAAGATCGAATGCCACTACCCGGTACTCGCATACCTCCTTCAGAGAAGAGACACCTCCAAATCCCCAGCCCATGACAGAATCCCATCGACGAACTTCCGCGCACATTTCCCCGCAAAACAGCCAGGAGACTCCCCCGTTTCGAAAAGCTGCGGACACAGATTCTCGCGACTCCGCCATTTTCCAACGCGCAATACAAGACACGCGCTTGGAATCCGATAATGGGAGAATGGCAGATCAGGGTTCGAAGACCGTGGAGGATGACGCCCAATTCCGAACCATCTCCTCGGTCCTGGAGACCTTTCGAGTGGCCATAGACGAGATCAAAACATCTATCGAAGAACTGAAGTCGCAAATTCTGCCTCCTCGCCTCGATAAGCCTACACAGATTGACTTCGCAGGCGACATCCATACAATGATCATGACACTGAAATCGGCTCAGACGAACGCGCAAGAGTTAGAAGAACTTCGCGCTGAAAACGCTGCGCTAAGAGCTAAGTGGGATATTGTGCAGTCAGCTATGATCACCGCAACTGGACAACCAAGCCCGAGCTCATCATTTGAAGCCCCCCACAGGAACAGCTTAGGTAAACGCAAACGCGACAGCGACGTTCCAAGATCAAGCGTGATGGTACCTCCGGTAGCACCGCAAACCCGATCTCATTACTTAGAGACCCTTTCGTCTTCTACACAAATGCCGACTCCTCAGTCTAGCAACCATTCCGACGAGCAATCTGCCGACGACTCCAGCAGCTCGAGAATATCCACACCAGAGCAAGGACCAGGCAGATTAAAGTCTCGCAATATACCTGATTATCATGATCAAGATACGATGCAAGATAATGTTTCCTCCAAAAAGATGTCCTCACGGCGGAGCCTTAGGAAACGTCAGCCATCAAATCCTGACCGACATATGGAAACTGCAAACTCAGTCGTACGCTCTGCCCCTGGCACCAGAACCAAGAACGATGAAGCTCAGCCACAAGGTGTTGAGGAAGCCAGTGGTCCAATAGAGACTGATCGACTGCTTGACAGCAATTATGAGCAGTCGATGGACGTTGGCCATGTAGATGTCTCGGAAATCCAGTCGTCGCTGAGGCAAACCGTTGAGCTTGGCAATGAGAGTCGGCACCTCTCTTCCACCTCTCTTGATATTCCCGGAGATGATACTACGAGTCAGAATGTGGAATCTTCTAGTGAAGCATATGGGGCAGATGACGCCTCTGCTGAAACTGTGCCTGCCAAGCGAACTCGCAGCAAGACGAAGGCTGTTTCCACCGGAAGAAGGTTCGATTTCATCGCCGACAGCCGAAGCGTTGCCCCAGAGCCGGCCGCACTACGTCGTATCCTTCCACGTCGACTTGGTACAGACCAACAGGCACGTTTTGAACACGCGACGCCGGAAACAATAGAGCAAGAATTGAAAGAGCTGGAGAACCCCAAAGGACCCCGAAAATCCAAGCCTCACATTCAAACGACCACAAAGATCCTCAACAAAGAGCTGAAGGAGCTCGGCCTGGAGGACTGGATTGAGAGAGACAAGGACGATCTTGAATACAAAAGAGTGGTAGAAGAGGCCAGGGAGCGCAAACGAGAACAAACGAGATTGGCCGCTTTAGCGAGCCGTGGAATCAGCCTCCCAGGAGCCCCTTCAGAAAATGAACGACCAGAGTCACCCCCCAATCTACAGGATGCATTTCACCAAGCCACTGATGCTCTAGCCGACGTCAGCAATGAAAAAAATGGTGGAAAGCAGATTTCGATCATTACCGTCTCGGCGGCGGCAGCTAGACGGGCAACGGGAACCGGAATGCGCCGGAAGAGACGTGAACAACGAGAAGAGGAGATCCGCCGAAGAGACATACTAGCGAAACAGGCAATGGATGGGAATGACTAGGACTCGACGCTGGGTTTCCAATGGAGGACACTGAAGCCAACGTGATCAGGAGACGCATTTCAATGAGGCGGAACGCTAGTACTTCATGGAATTCGTGGATCCCTTCATTGGGCACGGTCAGCTCTGTCCGAGTCTGGAGTGTTGGGAAGACGCAAGCTCTTTGCATCAGACCTGTTCTCGTGTTTAGGTACGCATATTGCGCGTGACGTGCCGCCTTTGATAGCAACCGCGATCTTCCTCGTAGCTAGGTAGCCAAGCAAGCGAATGCCACCTCTATCAGGTATCCATTGGCTCTGGTCTAACCGGCTTGTAGGCTCCGAGACACGCTAGGTACATTAGCCAGGAACGGGGAGCCGGGAAATAGGCGGGCGACGCCCACACGAAGCCACGCTCGACGCCTTGTCGCCTGGAGTTTGGGGTCCAAAGCCGGGCTCGATCGCGAGGAGCTCTAGGGGTCCTTCCTGCGCCTGCGTTGGCGGGGAAATTTCTTCGAGGGCAGCAGGTGAACTCGACTTCGTTTATTCTCCTTCTCGCACCCTTTTCTTGCTCTCTTTGCTCCTGTTTCTGTTCGGCTGTCTTGATAGCGTTGCTCTTTCTTGCATGTGTAGGATTTCAGTGCTCTGCTCGGACGCTTCTACCTTCCTGGGCCGGGAGAACGATTTGTAAGGAACAATCCTATTCTTCGAGGCCACCACATGGCAACTGCTAACGGTTTCCAACAGATCCCTGACCTCGGGCGTCTCCCTTTCCTCGCGCAATCGTCCTCGGTATGTTACCTATTCTGCCTCAGTCGAATTAGCGGATGCTCTGTATTGTTGCCTGGCGACGGTATCAGAAAGAGTTGGTCACTCCACAAGGTTGTTTGCTCCCTGGTGGCGAGCCCTCGCAGCATGAATCTTGACTTTCAAAGTCACCCATTGGAGACATGTACTCTTATTGAGGGTCGGCCAAACAGAAATGCTACCATTATACTTTGACCAAGCACACTCATTGTCAACGGGGAAATTGGTCGCCGATACCAGCGAGTAACATGGACATTGACAGTTTCCTTAGGCCGATTAATCATCTGCCGGACAAGGATCTATTACAAAGGTATGTGTGGTGAAGTTCATATCTTTTCCCAATTTCAGGATCAGTAGGCCGATGCCTGGAACGTGATTGTGGCTCGGCCTTGAGCCGCCTGAATAGTTACCTGGGGTCTATACCTTCCTTTCCGCAGTCAATGTTGTCTCTCCTACATCCATAAATGGGCACTGCTAACAATAGTCCATACAAATAACTAGGCCAAACCATGCTATTCTATTGTCGCCTCCAACAACCCACACCTGCATAATTCCAGCGGAATATTATGCAAACCGAAGGGTGAAATAATCCATTTGTCTCCGGTCAGTATGCTTCCTGACTACGAAACCTCAATCTGTTAACAATTTCTTATAGTATCACTTGGCTGCGAAAGTTTGACTTCAAAACCTCCGTGCTGGGTCTCCATTTGTCCTGTTCCACTGTCTGAGCAGTCCACCTTGTCGTGAGACACCCTCAACGCTGTCATTATGGTCTCTCAACCCACTCAGCCTGCAACACAGCCGATTGAAGACCCTCGTCGTCTCAGGAGAAACGTCTCCAATATTTCGGACGAGGATGCGATAGACGTGATATGCCTGCTGAGTCCAACTTCTCCGGCTGCATTCGAGGCAGTAAAAGCGAACCTGTTGGTCTCGCCTATGCACATCTTGCAAAATGCCGACCTTGGAGATATCAGTCAGGATGACCTGCTATTCCGCGAAGAATACAATCAACCGCGAGATATAGCTTTGCGAATGTCATCTACCGTCACAAATCCCAAGGATGGCTTTCGATTTGGCCGGACCAGGAGTCAATGCGATGTGCTTCTCACCGCTTACGACCATGACACCTTGGTGAGCAAAGTGCATTTCAAGATTTTTGTGAACAATCAAGGTAGCCTCATGCTGGAAGACTTGTCCACCAACGGAACTGTCGTTGATGATGTTCACCTGAGGGCGAGAGCTCGCCGAGACAATCCTGCCCTTAGGCCGGCGACTATCGTCCTTAGACATGGTTCGATTATTTCTCTTTACGGTGGTGGAAGGAAGCAAGAAGTTAAGATGATGGTACGGATACCGAGCCGTGGTGATTTTGAGGATGAATATGAAGACAATCTAAGGAAGTACCTCGCGGCAAGAGGCGACGTGGCGCAATTCGCTTCCATGAGAGAGAGCACCTATGGTAATTACTGGAACGGGGGTTCCTTGTACAACTTTACGGGTTTGCTCGGGAAAGGTGCCTTCGCAACCGTCTACAAGGTTCAGACGAAGGAAGAAGGTGACATCTACGCCGCAAAGGAGCTTGACAAGCGCCGCTTTATCAAAAACGGTGTCCTCGACATGAAGTTTGACAGCGAACTTAACATAATGAAAAACCTCAAGCACCCTAATATTGTCAATTACGTCGACTGCCACACATACCAACACTGGATCTACATCCTGATGGAGTACGTCCCTTATGGTGAGCTTGCGAAAGAACTCGGAAAACATGGAGCTATCCCTGAATCCGACGTTCAACAGATCGCCAAACAGATATTGCACGCTCTCTATTATCTTCACCGACGAAATATCACCCATCGAGACATCAAGCCGGACAATATCCTCATAGCATCTCGAAACCCTCTAGTCGTCAAGTTATCCGACTTCGGCTTGTCAAAATGTGTGACCGACCAAGAGACCTTTCTCAAAACGTTCTGTGGTACACTTCTTTATTGTGCACCTGAGGTATATCCTGACTACGCAAATTATGCTCAAGGATCTGCTCCGAAAAGACGTCGGCTAGGAGAACCTGCAACAAAACCACCACCATCGCCGTACGATCAGTCTGTGGATATGTGGTCCTTTGGTGCCGTCATTTTCCATCTCCTCTGTGGAAAGCCCCCGGTCACCGGACGAGGCGACGACCGCGGCGCGCAAATGCTGAACAATATTATGACGAAAGATGTCAACTTTGACACGCTGAGACAGGCAGGGGTATCAGAGCCAGCGATTGATTTCGTCGGAAAGCTTCTAAACCGAAACCCTGCTCTACGACCAAAAGAACCCGAATGCTTGCAGCATCCGTGGCTACGTGACTTACCCGATCACTGCAACTACGATGACATCGAGGAGCCGCAGCCTGACCCGCAAAATCGGCTAGAGGTTGTTGACGAAGTTGACGAAGATATCATCGACGAAGAGTTGATTAATACCTTGAACCAACTGACGCAACTGCCTTCCTCCGAACAGTCTCCAGACCGACCTAAGAAGCGTGCTCGCACTATAACGAATGTGTCACCCACAGCAGGAGATATCGCATATCCCCATCTCCCAGAAACTGGTGGGAGTTTCTCGCCATTACCTGTCGCGCCAGAATTACCGGCACAACGTCTCTTCGGAGAGATTTCTGCGTCCGTCCTCCGTAGTTCAGGCGTATTTGGCGGCGAGCTGAGTCCATCTACACCGGTGGGAGTACAAGATATTCGAAACCGAGTGGAACAGATCAGCGTGAATGATTTTGGAGATCGCGGTCCTCCGAGTACTGCAGAAAACGCCGACAATTCTGGACATCCGCTTCAATATCCTCAAGTTCTCGGCGTACCAGACATTCCAGGGGGCTCAGCTGCAAGTCTTATGGGGGCAGAACACCAAATAGGTCAGCTCAATATGGCTTCTCCTGAAGCAGATATCTCGGATGCTGCGACTCCAGAAACAACTAATCCAGTGACTCCTGAGACACGTCAGCTATCGCCGTCGGCTTCGGTCACACCACACGCGGACAACGAATTGGCAGATACAACTCACATGGCCGAAGAGCCTGTGTGTACTCGTCGTATCGACCTTGGCCTCGTTGAGGACCCCGTTAATTTCGAGGCGCAGGTCGAGGCGAGAAATGCATCCAGGGCTAGCAGGCTGCGAGCAAAGGCCGAGACTTTTCATGGAAATCCGGCTTCCAGAAACTCCCCACCATCAGTTGAGCTTGCAGTCACCATTGATGCGAAGACTGGCCACGAGATCAAAAGTATGGGCCAGCTGGACCGTTTTATTCGTCCCGCTCCAGAGCCGGAAAGTGCAACCAGAACGAGTTCCCAAACAACGCAGTTCATCAAACCTCCGCGGCGATATGGCAAGTTCACCAGCGTTCCTGGCTCCTTTGTGAATGTTACCATCAATCTCGAAGCTAGATTCACTGTATGGGGACGGGGCATCGACTGTACCATCCAATACCCTGACACCAAAGACACGCGTATTCCCAAGTACGCGCTCAAGATCACATTCTGGGCACCTGGTATGGAGGCTCACGTTGACCGCGGAAATGACTGGACCGCACTTCCTGGAATAAGAACGCTAATCGCTACGTCTGCAAGTGGCTGTGTTTATGTCAACGATGTTGAACTGCGAAAGGAGTCACCTTCGGGAGACGCAGCCTTGTTCGGGAAGCTATACACAGGAGACATCATCACCATTTTCGACAATGGAACGGGCGAGTTTTTGAAGTTCAAGGTGGAAATCACATTTGGGGACAGTGCAAGACCGAGGCCCGCTGGGGAAGGAGGTTTTATTGTCCAGGAGGAACGACACCATCACCAACGGATGAAGGAGCGCGAGAGCATGAGGCTAAGTATGAGAGACAATGCTGGCGAGGCGCCCATCGCGCCAACCGTGCGCGTGGAGCCAGATTGTTGAATGATGAGATGACTGCTGGACGTGAGATAACTTGGAAAAGGATATGACATGATAGTGCTGTGCTTGTCGAGCACCTCGAATGCATCGAGTTTCACAAAATCAAAAACCAAAACATCGATCTGCAGAGCTCCCACCGTGGAAAGTTGCATATGTCCAAGGTTCCTTGGGCCAGGCACTGTGCAACCCTCCTGGCCGATTTGACTTTATCAACGAGGGCCAGCCATGCACATATCAGGCTGTGATAGGCAGGGGATGGGTTGGCTTGCAAGCCACTGATGCAGGCCCACCTGCGACAAGGGTCTGAGGCATGGTGGCTCGCCATCATCATGCCTAGAGTGGACCCTGCGATAGCTGTGGATGGGAGGGAAAGGAGTAATTCATTTTCTCATGCGGACTTCCACCAATATCTGGAAAGCCAGCAACGGGTCGATCGCAGAAGAGCGGAAGCGGAGATCTAATAACGGAGTCCAACTGCACCAATGTCTCAAGAGGTTCCACCGACTGTGCCTGTCCCTGAATAATAAAAACTTCCTACGCGTGAAGGGAATGCATCGGCGGCGTAGGCTTGGACCAGGGGCACTCTGTTCTGAGGGTTTTCTGAGGTTCGCCGGGTGAAGGAGAGGGTGGTTGTTGCTGCGCAGTCAATGGGTGCATCTTGGAGGAAAGACACCTGTCAAATTCCGGTCTTTGCTGAGAAGCCCGTCGACGTGTGCTCTCCGTAGCAAGAGCTCCGTACTGGTCGTGCTGCAAGGTGGCATTCTCGGCTGCCCACATTCCTTCCTACCACTTGTCTTGATGGAGTAATAGCTGGGCGGCGAGGCGGGTACTGGCGAGCCTGGGTAGATGCTAAGGTACGGGAGTCGACAAGTGTCGAGCAGACCAAGACCAGGCCGCGGAAGGCGCTCGGCAGGCATCGCGGGCTGGTGGGCGCAGGCGGGCGTGGGTTGTCGGATTTCCAGTTGGGGGTTTGTAACAGGGAAAATATTCACAGATTCGAATTCCAGAAAAGAAATAACCCCTCCCTTAACGTCTGGGCTGCTGCGTCGAGTCGATGAGACCATCTACATGTGGCTGCTGATGCATTTGCAATCACTACCATCCTGGTCTTGCTGCGGGCTCGTAGACGGTTCTGCACCCAAAGTCAGATGAGCTGAATCAACATCCCGCGCCTCTGTTGTCAACTTTGACCCTCACACCATTGTTCTGCCAACACCTCAAGTAGCGAGACACTCCGCTCCACAGTACTCACTACTGCCAGTCGCTCTCCCTTCTGATGCGCATCCCAACCCTCCCCGTCCTGTGACTCCTCTCAGCCATCCTACTCCGATGTCCCATTCTCGATCGGTTTCACCACTGCCCAACGGAGGATGGAATGCACCGGGTCTGACTGAGCGCAGCTCAACACCCAACGGCTTATACGCAGGAGCCAACAATTACAGCAACAATGACGATCAGTGGGCTGCGGCAAAGGCAAGAAGTGCCCAAGTGAGAGGATATCCCAGCGTCCAGACCAAGAATGAGGGCTTCTTTCTGCGGTCCAAGCGGAAAATCTCCTCGACACTGCCCGTCTTCAGTCCCTACACTCCTTTGTCGGCCAACTGGAAAGATCCAGAGAAACTTGGCCGCAGCCGGTGGTATCCAAGAGGCGGTGGGAGTTTGGCAAGAATAAAGACGTTTGCTGGCAATGTCTTGAGGAGGTTCAAGTTTCTGTTCATAATACTGTCCATTGTCACACTGACCACGGTGATATTGTCCCAGACAAGTGAGTGCCGAGGACCCGCTCCCCATGCCATGCTACTGTCCTAACCCTCAGTCCCAGACGTGCTGTCCAAATACCGTGGCAATTCCCACCTCGGCGGCGGAAGCAAATTCGTTATCATCCTCGGAGCAAACGAGGGCGGCGGTGTTATGGAATGGAAAGGTCCCAGAGAATGGGCCATTGAGCGCGACAGCGTGAAAAACAAAAAGAGATATACCGAAAGATGGGGATACGTATTAGATATTGCAGACATGAGCACCAAGAAGAGATACGCCCACGAATGGCGCGAGAGCTGGGAAAAGGTTGACCTGATCCGAAACGCCATGGCCAGGTATCCGAAAGCTGAGTGGTACGAGAAAGCATCCTGCAAACGAGCCGAGTGGCGTGTGACTGATGAGAAGCAGGTTCTGGTGGCTCGATTTAAACACCTTCATCATGGAGCCCTCATTATCACTACAATCCCACATATTCAACAATCTCGCCAAAAACGTGTACCGCGATATTAATGTCTACAACCCTCTCGACGTCGCCCACCCTCCCGTTACCGAGTTTCTTGATCCAGTCGCTCGGTCACCCACTGGTGACAATCTGACGTCCTCTATCGACATCATCATCCCTCAAGACTGTGATGGGTTCAACCTGGGGTCTTTCTTCGTCCGACGATCTCCATTCACAGACCGGCTACTTGATCTGTGGTGGGACCCTGTCCTCTACGAGCAAAAACATATGGAATGGGAACACAAGGAGCAAGATGCGCTGGAGCACCTTTATGCATCACAGCCTTACCTCCGGACCCATTTCGCATTTATCCCCCAACGGAAAATCAATTCATTTCCCCCTGGTGCATGTGCCCTTCATCCAGAGCCAGGGCAGGTTGTCGAAGACGGAAAACCTCTTTTGGATCCTAGATTCCACTACAACGAGCGCGAGCGCGACTTCATGGTGAACATGGCCGGGTGTGAGTGGGGTCGAGATTGTTGGGCCGAAATGTATATGTACCGCGAACTCAGCAACCGACTCAACCGGTCCGGGTGGGAAAGGTTCAAAGATCTTGTCAGTGACAAGTGGGCCAATTTGAAGAAGGCCATGTTCGAAGAAAAGGCCACCCCGCGACCGGGCTGACACCTCCACCATTTTGTTTCCATTACCGCCTGACTGGCTGCCTAGAGGTTATACAATCGCCAGAGCATCCATAGCCGGCCGGCCGAGGTTTCACTCTGGTGGGCAGAACGTCATCTCGAAATGCCTGTGAAGCTCTCAGGCATCTACTCCCCCTCATCGACTTTTCAGCGCAATATGCTAGCTGTCTGGAATATGTCAGACCTCAATGGCTGGTACCAATTGAACGACTATCAACAGCTTCACAATTGAGCGCTGTTATTTTCTCCGAGCGTACCAGAGGACAAACAGAATCATGTAGCTCGGAGTGGCGAAATTCTTTGTCTTTCAATGTGTATACTTAGATGGGTAGGCATTGTGGGATTCCATGGACTGGCCTTCACGGAACAAAATAGACTGGCGGAGTTTTCAATGGGCGGAAAATCTGGCATGGTCCGCATCTCAAGCTGTGGTCAGCCACTCACTCTCTCAGGATCTCTTACACGCCTGAACATGGATGAGACGCAGATTAATACAGACACCCACCGGGTGGCACGACCCAGATATGTCAATAGCATTCTGATCTGTGCTAAATCCTACAAAAGCCACGACTTGGCACTCGAGCCGATTGCAATACTCATTCAGCAGTGATCTTGAAATCTAGCGGCTGACAGACATCAAGCCGCTCATCGGGCCCTCAGCCTTGCCAACAGCATTCAGCCTTGTACAATCGGTGGATCTTCCCTACTTCGTCGTCCCTTCCTCTCTGCCGTCCGTCTTTGGCCGTGGTTTTCCTTTTTGCGTTTTCCTTTTCTCCGACTTCGTTGCGGCTGTGTCTCTTGGTCTGGTATCGGCGAGCTCCTTCATGGCAACTGGATCTCGTTCCTGCAATGCAGAAGACCTTTCTGTCTCCAACCCTTCCAGTTGTTCTTCTCTCTTCTTTTCCGTCTCTTGACGGAAGTCCTCGCAACGCGAGACAGAAATCGATATCATCGATCAATTGTGTCGTCTTCTCATTCAACATGGATTCTGCCCGATCGACAATGTTCCACCATTGACCGCCTCTGGTCTCTTGCATGCTGGAGACCGCCTTCCTCAACTCTCTTAGAGTTGTCTTCTGCCGTTTGAAAAGTTGGACAGCTCCTCGGACCAAGGTGAGATCCTGGAATGGACTAGGTGCTTCGGTATCAGCAGAATCAGCGTTGTCGGCCGCAGTGCTTGCCATTGGTATCATAGATTCAGAAGTGCGACCGTGCTTGAGGAGGGGGTGTGCTTCCTGTAACCTGGTGCGTGTCTGTCCAAGTTCCTCGCGGAGGTTTATAGCGTTTTCTTCCTTGACCTGCCTTCGCAAACTGTGAATCTCCTGCTTCAAATTTCCAATCTGGTAGTTCTCCGCCTTGAGTCTGCAGTTCTCGGTGCAGCAACGTGGTGCAAGAATGCTCCGGGCTCAATCTTTTCGAGCAGCGTTTTGTGACGATGACGTGCTCAGGTGTGATCAGCCATTTCTTAGAACTGTATACAATAGAAACCCTGAAATGACTTGACATGCTTGAACAGACAGCAATAAAACATGGCTGTTGTGTAGTTACCGAAACGGGAAATTGGAAAGGGGGCTCCCAGCCTTGTCACCTAGTTGGGTCTGTCAGTGTCCAAAAGCTCGATGTTATCCGGCTTGTTGTGGCCAATGTGAGTGGGACTTTTCCATAACCTCGTTTATGAATCCCTGTGGTTTTTAACAAGTACTTCTACAGAGTATGAGGATGTTGGCTGTATGGTTTTAGGGTGAGTGATGCGCAACCTTTTCTCAACACGAGAAACTCATGCTACCCTCTATCATTCTACCGTCTTAACGCATATCTCAAGACCCATCTTGTTTCCATTCTCATCCTCGTAGTTCAAGACTGGACTCCTATTCCGTCCCCAACCACGCCTTGGTAATGGGCACCAGTGCATCCTTCAACCACGGTGTGTCCAGCGTGACATTCTCGTCGGCGTCAAAGCCGTGTTCGCCAGGCTGGACCACCAACGCGACCTTGGCGTCTCCGAGCTTCTCCCTGGCCTTGCCCACCCACTTCTCGCTCCCTTCCACGGGGACCGCGGTGTCGTCTCGGCCGTGGATGACCAAGACGGGCGGCACCTGGTGCGGGCTGACATCCTCGACCGTCTCGAGCGGGAACAAGACCCTCTCCTCGCCCAGCAACTTCGTCATCAGGCCCTGCTGCACCATCGACAGACACAGGGGCAGCCTCTCCGGCGGGGTCGCCGAACTGACCACCCTCCTCTGCCCGCGCTTTGCGTCCTCCTCGATCGCGCGGAGGTGCTCCGCCATGACCTCCCCGGGGATCGTCGGCGCGCCCAGGACGACCTTGGGTGCGTACTCCTCGGTGTAGAACCGCGCCTTCAGGTCCAGGACGGGATAGATGGCGATCGCGGCACGGATTCCCGGCGGCGGCCCACTCTCCAGCAACACGCTCTGCACGGACAGATACCCGCCGGCGCTCTCGCCCACGGTGAGCACCCTGCCCAAATCGACCTGGACGCCCTCCTCACCCCCTGCCGCCGGTTCGCCGGCGAGGTACCCCTGGAACTCAGCCCCCAGCCACGCCCAGAAGTCGCGCAGGTCGGCCAGGATCTCGACGCCCGTGGCCTCGGGCGCGAGCCGGTAGTTGGGCAGCACCACCACCGCGCCGTGGCGCAGCGCGTATGCCACCAGCCACCCGGCGAACCAGTCCGGGTACAGCGCCGTGCCGGTCATCAGGAAGCCGCCGTGGAACTTGACCAGCACCGGCCGCGGCGTGCGCGGCGACGGCAGGGCCTTGGGGATCAAAGTGTAGACGTGGATGGGGTGGTGGTTGTCGACCACCTTGTAGGCCGTCTCCAGCACGGTGAAGGCCGAGTACTTGGGCGAATCCATGGGTTGTTCGTTCGTTTCAAGGACCTTTGTGGTGGAGAGAAAGTGAGGTGAGGGAATTGGTTCTTCTGAACAAAGGTCGGTAAGTAGCGTTGAATGGTAAAGTTGAAGAATTGCTCTGTTCTCTGCTTGATCTTTGCTGTCATTCAGGGAACTCCGTCGCCATTTTATACAAAGTGTCGAGGTCTAGTTTGTATACATCTGCAGGCGCGCCACACACCTAGACCAGGGGTTAAGTGATCCACAACACTATACCTACAGTACCTAGTTCATGAGATCGAGCCCACATATCAGTCACCTCCATCTGTCTTTCTCGGGGATATCATTGTATCCAACCGACCCCTCTTAAAGCCGTCCCGCGAGGGTGATGGGGAACTGGTGCTGGGTCGGCGCATAGAGAGGCCGAGTCGGGCTGTATTACGACGCAGCTAGAAATATTGAGTATGGCGGTGGTAGGAATGAGTGTATGCTACTCCAGGTACCGTAGTAGTCTAGATATGGAATTATGCCCCCTTTGGTGACTACTGCCTTACGGAGCCAGACGCCACTCTGCAGACGCAAATAATGGGCCAATACCTAGGTAGCGCCCAGATACGAGTGGGTTAGGCACCAAACGCCGCCCCTGGTGGCCCTGAGCAAGGGGGCCATCACGGAGCGGCGTATTCAGTGGTGCAGTGCGTATTGGCGATTGATAAGCCCCAGATCTGGCACGGTAACGAGAGGAGCAGCGTATTCGTCCACGGCTATCGTATGCTTTGCCATGATGGGTGTGCTTGTGGGTGACAAAGAAAGACCTGATGCATTCCGCTAAATAATAAATGCTGGGGGAAGAGGACGGAATGAGGCCGATCAACACATCCCCCTCCTCCGATCGCCACTAAGGGGAGTCCAGCCAAGAGCCAGCCCGACTTTTCGCAAACAACAACGCTCGTGGAAACCTGCAATGATAGACATGCACGGCCGAGGGAGGAAATGCAGATAGTCGAACGAAGAAAAAGGACCATCTCTTCTCGTGTCAAGAAACCGTGTCGCCGTCTTTACTGCTGCCTCGACTGATGACCCTCATCAGCCTCTCGGCCACACTGCCTCTCCGCTCGTTCTCCTTGTCCTTGTCCTTGTCCTTGTCCCGCTCCTTCTCCTCCTTCTTCCTCTGCTTCTCCTGCTCTTTGCGTCTCTTGCGCTCCTCCTTGCTCTCCGGCTCGGGCCAGCCGACCTCCCAGTACGGATTGCGCGACCCCGTCGGCCCTCCCCACGCCAGGGACTGCAGCCCTCCCGCCCCGCCGCGGACGTCGGGCAACATACCATTCGACCCGGGCTCGACGTACAACTTGGACTCGGCGAATTCTCTGAGCGCGGCGAGTTCCTCTTGGCTGTTGGCGAAGCCGTGCGACGCCCTGTACGGCGGCAGTCGGTCCCTTCTGGGGTCGGCCGTGGCGGTGTATGAGGGTGGTGATGCCATCGTTTTTTGTCCGGGGTGTGTTATTTGCCTCTGCGTGTCGGGGTGTTTTTGCTCCTTTGTTTTGTTTCTCTTTGGAGTCTTGAGATGGTGACAGTGAGAGGAGAGAAATGCTTCGCGTGTGAGATGTCGCTTTAAAAGTCGACTTGCTGTTCTTTCACTTGTTGACTGAAAAATGATTCAACTGGTCCGGGAGAGATGGGCCAGGCGGGATGAGAGCCGGTAAGGCGGAGTTTGGCCAGAGTTGCGTTGCCGCGGGAAGAGGATCCTGGATGCTCAACATGTATTATGAGGTCGAGTGGGCCGTCCTTTTCAAGTTTCAGAGGCATTCGAGATGATGGTGGATTCAGGAACGAAGACCGAGATGGACAGGGAGGGAGAATTGAGTGGCGCCAGGATCTGGTGACTGGTTTTGTTTGGGGTGTTTTCGATTGGAGGCCAACGTCATGGGTATTTGTGGGTGTCTGTGGGCGTGGTCCTCGAGACGCAGGCACATCTCTGCCTCGTACATGTCCCTCGATAACCTGCTCGCTTGGTAGGGCTCACACACCTCGCCGTGTGTGTTCTAGGCTGCGTCACTTGGCGAACCGACACGAAACACGCCCAACGACACGCTCGATTCATTGGCCGCGTCCTGGGCCTTTCCCCGCGATCCCATGATTGAGCCATCGCACACATCACAGCATAGCCTCTTGGTATGCATTCTTGGGTGTGTTTGCCAATACAAATATCACACCATGGCCTGTAATCTTGTGTTCTGTCCTCTCTTTCCAAGTCTCGTGGCGTGGGAATAGGCGACAAAGAATTGAGAAGACCGCAAAAGAAGCAGACACTGAGACCGACCCTGATCATCGGTGTTGCGACGATCCATGGATCGGATCGCCGACAGTCCCTGTTCTCTGGATCTTTTTCCCGCGAATACGGTCATCACTGTCCGTGAAGCAAGCGACTGAACCAAGGACCGGGATTGTGTGTCTTGTTCTGGCCCCGACACCTGCGAGCTGCTATCTCAAGCTGGACTCTTGCTGCACGACCGCCTCCTCCCCTCGGCAGATCGATTGGCGCTCGAGATAAGCATCTGGTCAAGCGGGGTCAGTGGAGCGTCCGCTAAAGCTTCGTCGGTGTTTGGGCGCTTGTCAAGTGCAACACCACATCGCCGTGACGGCTCGTTATCTGACAACCACCAGACAAGCCAACCTCGGATTGGTTCTCACCGTTGCATCTGCGCAGACGGGGGGATGATGGCGCTAGGGGCATGTCGAAATGCTGGCCCTCAATTGCAACCTCTAGGTTTATGCCTCAAGCTCTGAATCAGACTCTTCTGAACAGCTGCTTCGGAACACTTCCACGCGACTCCTCGTGAGGGTGATGCGGATCAATACATCCGCAATATGTGGAACATTCTTCTTTCAGTTGCCCTACTGGCGACCCTCGCCTGGCTGTTCCTCCAGATCGCCCAACTCTGGTACAACGTCCTTCTCCATCCCCTCCGCAGTTATCCAGGTCCCCTTGCAGCCCAGGCATCAGGGTGGTACAAGACTTATGTCGAGCTATTCCTACAGAGAAGCTGGACTGATGTCCTGGTTGAGCTGCATCAACGCTATGGCAAGTCAACGACACCTGCGAGATGGATGGCACTAACATGGCACCAAGGAGACGTGATTCGTGTTGCCCCAAACGAGGTCTAGACAAACTTCGCCGACACTTTGCTGCTTCCTTGACTGATCTCTGAAAGCTCCATTTCTCTAACCCCCAAGCGTACCACGATGTCTACAACAATGTGAACCGCTGGGACAAGGACAAGGGATTGTACGAATGCTTTGGCGAGGATCACTCCTCGTTTGGCTTCCTCCAATATCACGAGGCCAAGCAGCGCAAGGATGTCTTGCAGCCGCTCTTCTCCAGACGAAATATTCTCCAGATGCAGTCCCTTGTCCGGAAGAATGTAAGTAAAGACGGAATCTCTGTGGAGAGCTGTCTGACTCTCTTGCCCTCAAGATGGACCATCTCGTGCAGAGACTCTCTGAGGACTTCGCGGCAGGAAAGTCGTCGGACTTGTTCTTCGCCTTCCGATGCTTTACCATGGACACCATTACTAGTTTCTGCTTCGCCAAATCTGTCAACGCCATCGATGTTCCTGGCTACAATGCCCCTATCATTGAAGCGATGGAAGCATCCGGGCCGGCTTTTATCCAATTCAAGCATCTGCCTTGGTTCCGCAAATTCGTCTTTTCTCTCCCGCCCAATATCGCCATAAAAGCCTCACCCGAGACAGCAGGCTTGACGCGTCTTCAAGTCATCTTACGAACCCAAGTCGACGAAGTTACCGCGAATCCAGGCATACTCAAAGAAGCCCCGCACCCTATCATTTATCATCGACTCCTCGATCCTGAAGCGCACAAAGGTCAAACGATCCCGAACAAGCAATCTCTGTATGAAGAGGCCCAAGCTTTAATGTTCGGAGGCGGTGACACCGTCGGAAATACTTTGATGGTCGGCTTCAATCACATTTTGCAGGCATCAAATCATGACCTCTACCAATCTCTCCGCGACGAGGTCCGTTCCGTCTGGCCGGATCTGGCGACTCCTCCGAGCTCTTTTGAGACATTCGAGTCTCTCCCGTTACTCACCGCGACCATCAAAGAGTCTCTGCGTGTGGCGCCAGGCGTGGTGTCTCCTCTCCTTCGCGTCGTCCCAGCCAAAGGTGCAACCATCGCCTCGCATCGCATCCCCCCGGGCACTGTCGTCGGTATCTCAGGCATCTTTGTCCACTCTTCCGCGACCATATTCGACAATCCAACCGCATTCATGCCCCAAAGATGGCTCCGTAGCAGCACCTCCGCGGGCAGAGACCTCGAGTCCAATCTCGTCGCCTTCAGCCGGGGCCCGAGGTCGTGCCTGGGCATCAACCTCGCGTGGTGCGAGCTGTACGTCGCCTTTGCCACCATGTTGCGGCGCTTCGAGCGCTTGGAGATCGACGGGGACTGCCCGCCCGCGGACTTGCGCTTTCGCGACTCCTTCTTGCCGAACTTTTACGGGGAGAATCATCTCAAAGTGCGGTGCAAGCCGGCGGTTGAGTAGGGGGCAAACCATGCATGCGCCGACATGCTGGCAGGCGATGGTTTATTGACGCAGCGGTTGGCCTGGTTTGGATCGCTCCACAGATGCTGCTCGGGTGGATCGGCTTTGCTATGACAACCGTGTGCTAGAGCCTGCTTCCTTGGTCAGAATGGTGATATGACCGGCTACTCATATGAATGGTGAGCGTGAAGCCCATTTCGGCGAGGAGATGCGGGATCAGAAGGAACATTTGCCAAAGTGAGGTTCCAGGGCCTGGTTGCTCGCTCCGAGACTATATTAAATGGCATGTTGCTTTCTCTTGTGCGCTTACTAGGGAGGCCATGGGAGAAGGCTATATTCGTATCAGGAAACGGGTACGGAATCAGAACCAGAGAATCAAAATGGTCCCCCATCCATTCATTTCCATTTTTCGATGAGGACCCCGTACCATTATTATAATCGGTACTTTTTTTTCCCCAGTCCCAGCATCGCCTAACCCATCTGTCCGTCCACCCACATCCCTGAGGGTAATAACTCTGCGGCATATAATCACGGCTACATAGCTGGCTGATCAATCAATCAATCAATCAATCAATCAATCACCTCATCTAACACGTGGTGGAATGGCTGGACTCACTTACTGCCATCCTCCTCGTACCGATCATCTAGGTACCCCCAGCAAGGAGTTGATTCACCCACTTGTCAAGACCGGGCATGTACGCATCGACGTCGTAGAAACAGTGCAAGATGCTTTTCACCTCCTGCCAGTCCGTCAAACCAATCTGTCTTGCATGCCGCGCGAGGTTCGTCGCGAACCACCAGGTATTGTCGTCCTCATTGCCAAGGTCAGTGCCGCCGCCGCCGCTGCCACTGCGGTTGCCACTATCGTCACCGTTGCCGCTGCTGCCGCTGCCCCTGTTTCCGGTACCATCGCCGTTGCCGTGGTACGGTAAGGACGTGGGATTGTGTTTTTTCTCCGTCCAGCTGCCGACGCAAAGAGCGTAGAGCAGGGCGTTGTGGTGCTCGCCGTGAGGTGGTCCTCCCGTGAAGTCACTCTCGCGACTGGAGCCGTCAGTGGGGTGACGAGCGAGCTCTGCAGCGTGCATGGTCAGCGACAGGGCGGATCTGAGGCGGGCGAGGAAGTCCCGCGCGTTGACGAAGACGGTCTGCACGGACTCCAGGTTCGTCCGGTTGAACTCGAACATGATCAGGAACGTGAGCGCGAGCACCCGCTGGGTCTGCCAGTAGAGGTTCTGGCGCGGGCTCGGCAGCGGCGGTTCCGTGGCCGGGTCGAAGTCGAGGCCGTGCAAGGCCGAGGTCTTCAGGATGAAGTCGACCAGGCGGCTGTGCAGGATGGTGCCCTGGATGTGGATCCAGACTTGGACCATGCCGAACAGCTGCTCCCCCGGATGCGATTCCGCGGGCAGACCCAGCATGTGGTCCCCGAGGAGCATCTCGACGAACAAGGCGCGGAGTGGCTTCGCAGAGACACAGGGGTCGAGTCGGCGGAGCATGGCTTGCCGGTAGGGTTCCAGGTAGGCCTTGGACGGCTCGAGATAGGCCGCGAGCACTTTGGGGACCCATTCCTCGACGTCGAAGGCGGAGAGTGAGAAGCGGAAGACCGACAGCTGCTTGTTCTGGTAGAGGACGCGCAGGAGGAAGCCGAGGTCGGCCACGCCGCCCTCCTGGTCGTACTTTTGCTCGAGCAGCTTTCGCAACGTGTTGGCGTGGAGCGCCGCTTCGTCCAGGTCTCCGGCAATCAGAGCCCCGCGGAACAGCATCGACACGCTGTCCAGGACGAGGGACTGGGTCTGGCCGGCGCTGCCCTTGACCAATTCCCGGCGGAGAGCCTTGATGCTTTGGTGCTTGAGCAGGAGCGCCTCGTCCTCCAAACCCCGATGGGGGCTGATTTTGATCATGAAGGCCACGTTGATGAAGAGGAGAGCTTGGGCGCTGCACTCAAGGCGGAGCGCCAGGACCCCGTCTCGGTATTCCTGATTCTGCAACGCCTCGATCCGTCGGATGGCATCCTCCGAGCCCATGAAGGCCGGATAGATCATCGGCAGATAGCCGTGCTTAAAGAAGGTCAAGATCTGGTTGACGCGCGGGGTGACATGGATCGCGAGGGCGTTGAATGGGTCCGAGTTGCCCTTTTGCAGGATCGAAACCAGACCCGGCGAGACCAAGGCCTGGTTCCATGCTGCCTCGCTCGCGCCTGGCGGCTGTGACTCCTCGGCAACATGCTGACGTTGGCGGTTCGCGTTCTCCACGTCGGATCGCTTCTGCTTTCGCCACTTGTGCGATAGTCTGGCCGCATGAGACCTAGCGGTCGCCTGGTGTAGCTCGCGCACCCGTTGCGAACTGCCTTGTTCAAGCACAGGCAGGAACGTGATGTTGATCTGAGCCATGGCGTCGCTCCGGCGCTGATGAGATTCTGAGTGAACGTCTGTCATCCACCAGAGACAGGTGTTGCAGGTTCGCTGTTCTCGACCGCCCTCGCTGGCATAGGGTCCTTATTAGCCGAGCTCGAGCCATTTCCGCCCCCATCGAGATCATTCGTGTTCGCCAGAGGTTTGCATATGTAACTGTCTGGATGCAGAAAAGGTGTGGGTTTCACGTGGAAAGCAATGCATCAGACCACGGCCACTGATTAGCCGTTTGGAGTAAAAGCACGGATGCTTTGGTGTTTAACGCCCCAGCTTATCCAAGTGTTTGGATAGGTTCAGTGCGAGTCGCGGTTAATGGCAGGGTCCGAATTGGGAAGCATGCGACGACGTGCATCTTGCGCCACCCAATGGCCATAGCAATGCTAATTCTTAGTCCACGGGGAGTCCTGTTCAGCCTCTTATCAACAGGAGCCACAGAGAATTAAGCACAGCACCAGTAGCATTGGCAAAGCTTACCTAACTTCCTGCCTCATACGTCGCACCGAAGCTGCGCGCAGTGAGAGACGAAGAAACCAACAATCACAACTCCACTGTAGATCCCAGGACCTGTAAATGACCTCGATTTCTTACCTAAGGACGAGAGTTTCTTCCATTCTGTAACCAAAACGTTAGTCAGCACTGCCGTACAATTGTGAGTGGTGTCTCTCTCTCTTTCTAGTGCCCATGTCGCCAGTGCTTCTTGCCATGCTCATATGCCTGAGCAAATAGAATTCTGATGCGACTATGAGCAAGGCTCAGCGGAGAGGATGAGAAGTTTAACAGGAAGGTGAATTCGACGTTGACATGTCTGGTGTTGTAGAATGGCAGGTATCGAGCACTGGGTACATTGTACCGAGTAGTCGAGACGTACTTGTAATATTCCGTAGCTAGCCGCTAATATCTTACTGGCATAGCTCGTCCTAGCGTCTTGGCATGTCGCGGTTGGGCAGGTGGTCCGTGCACGTTGCCACTCCTTGCGTCGTCCAGCACGCAATGTGTGAACCATGATTCCTAATTATATATCCCCCATCCTCACAATATGTGATGTCTTCGCGGCCTCTGGACCACTTCCGAATTCTCATTACGGTCTGCCTTCAGACCTATTCGTTACAGTGAAATGAGCTGTACGCCTGTGCTGCAAAGGGGACGCGCCAACACGCTGGACATGTGGCTTGCCCCTACGCACCACCCCTCGAGCAATGTTCCAGGTCCCCTTTTCAAGAGTTGACAGGTCTTTTTCCATCCCGACCCTTTCTGACGGCTTGCTTCAGACTGGCTGTTGATATAACGTCTGGAATTGGCCTACTATCAGCTCTGCCCTATAGAAGCTGCGACATTGATTGCCAGGACCGAGTACTCCTTGCTTGCCTAGCGTTTTGCATTTACCACCAGTATCACTTAACCGGAAGCGCTCGGGTGGTCTATGTTGCTCCTGAAATCGAATATACAGACCCATTGCATCCAGGTGTCTGTTGAAAGCCCAGAACCTGACCCCTGATTCAATTTTATTCCAATGCTTGCCTGATCGAGATTTGCAGGCCGGTTCGCAATGTCCTCCGCTATCTGAACTTGGCCTTATGGCCGAGACCGCGATCCAGATGACGAGGCCTAGATGAAGCTGCCTATAATCTCTCCCAAAGAGGGCATTTGTGGCCATGATATTACACAGACTGCTTCCCTCTTCTCTTTGAGATTTTGCACAAGCTCTTCATCCACTCGTTTACTGTCCATTCTGCCTTAGTCACTCGTTTACTCTTCTAACACTCGCTTGTAACCATGGTCTCTTTCGCTTTCTTTTCCGCACCGTCACTCATTACCATTTTCCTTTTCTTGAATGTTTTGTTCGTACAATATGCCGACTCTCTTGCCAGTACAGACACCATTACATGGGGTGGATCAAACGACCGAACCGGCTACCAGAACAACCACAACATGGATCCCGCTGTCGTTGGCAGTGCTCAATTCGGGCTCCTCTTCAAGACCCTTCTCCCCGGAGCATATCCCATCAATGGCCAGAACGTCCCCGAACAGATATTCTCTCAGCCGCTGGTCTATACTGGCTCGGATGGTGTTCAATATGTCTATGTTGCAACAACCCAGAACAATGTGTACAAAATAGTTGCAAACACTGGTGTCATCGTTGCATCTCGGAACCTCCATCGCCCATTCCTGGTCAGCGATCTGGACGGATGCGTGGATATCAATCCGACCGTTGGTGTGACGGCAACAGGTGTCATTGATCCAGATACGGTACGTTACTCTTTACCTTTCCTCGATCTCAAACTCTAACTTCGGACCAGGATACATGGTATATGACGTCCAAGACGTACATTGATCAAAGTCTTACGGGAGCGACTGGCCGCCCGAATGGTCGCTATTACGTTCACGCCATCAGCACCGTTGACCTCTCCGAAAGACCTAATTTTCCAGTCAACCTCGAGGGAATGGTGGCTCGAAACAATCCCGTTCGATCATTCAATGGTGGGATTCATCATCAACGTCCTGGTTTGCTTCACACAGGTGACTATGTGTACGCCGGTTTTGCTAGCCATTGGTATGTATCCCTCCATTTTACCTGCTGCTAGAATCAGGGATGATACTCTCTTTCTGCGGTTTTCGTTTTACGACTGACCAAATCGTTACAGTGTCCAGTACAACTTCACCGGCTGGATTGTAGGCTGGCACAAGAGCACCGGACAGCTCGTGGAAAGATTTGCGACCGAAGGTGGTAAGTCACCACTGCGTTTCCAACGACTGCGATCAGGGTACATTGTGTCTAACTCAACGCAGCTGGAGTCGGCCCTGACGTTCCAGGAGCGGGTGTGTGGATGTCTGGTGGTGGTCTTGCGAGCGACGACAAAGGCTCTATGTTCTTCGCTTCCGGCAATGGTTATGCTTCTCAGCTCAACGGGATACCGGTCAATGGCAGAAATCCACCAACGTCACTGGAAGAAGCTGCCGTCCACATGGCAATCAACGACGATGGTTCTCTGACCGTCGTCGACTTTTTCATGCCCTGGGAAAAAACACAACTTGATGGTGCTGACAAAGGTAGAAATGGTTCCCACACTGCCGAAACAAAAGCTGACTCGGCGCAGATCTCGGGACATCGCCATTGGAACTCCTCCCGAGTCAATTCTCCTGTGGCGACGTCCAACGCATCGGTGTCGTTACCGGAAAGAGCGGAAAGACCTATTGGCTCAATCTCGACAACCTCGGAGGCTATCAAAATGGACCGAACAAGCTGGACAACGTGATTCAAGTCTATCAGAACGAAAACTCGGTCTATGCTGGAGCTGGTGTTTACCCACTCGAAGGTGGTTATATCTACATCAATGTCATCCAGTATCAGACTCACGTGTTCAAATTCTCCTGCAACGATGGCGTGCCATATTTCAACAAGGTGGCAGATTCCCCCGAAAAGAATGCCTACATCCTCGGCGTCGGCCACGGGACTGTCACTTCGCTCAATGATCAGCCTGGAACCGGCTTGGTGTGGACGTCGGATGTCGAAGGGTCTAACCTTCGAATTTACAACGCCATCCCCGGCGAGAATGGACTCATGACGGAAATCAACTCGTTTGTCACACCAGGAACCACCAAGTTCACCAGACCAGTCTTTGGAAATGGCATTGTCTACCAGGGCACCACAGTTGGCTATCTGTATGCTTACGGGGCGCCTGTCAATTTGCCCCTGAACTGTACAGGTCTTCAATTTGGGACAGCTAATCTCAACACAACCACAGCGCCAATGATTGTGCAATGTACAGCCAACACTGCGGTAACAGTCACCGCTGCCAGTCTTTCAGGAAATCCAAACTTCGCTATTGGAGGGTTGCCCACCTTCCCTCTGACAGTCGCTCAAGGGCAATCGTTTTCATTTCAAGCGACCTTCACCCCGCAAACCGTTGGCCCACTGTCTTCCTCAGTGATCTTGAATACAACTCAGCAAGCTACCGGCTTCAGCATCAACACCCCTGTCCAGCTCAAAGGAACTGGCCAGAGTCAGGCTGCTCTGCTAATGGTCACTCCAAACACTGTCAGCTGGAACGGTGTCATTACTGGACAGCAGGCCGGCGGAGTCAACCAATCTGTGGTCATCAGCAATCTTGGAAACAGTCCTCTATCTATCAGCAATATTATGTATTCCATTGTTGGCGAGACTGGACCCTGGATCTCGCCTAATGGCACGCAAGCAGCAACCGTGGTTTCAGCTTTCACATTCTACAATATGCCTTCGTCAGTTCCTCCTAACAGCGCTGTCACCGTCCCGATCAACTTCAACCCTCCATCCTCCGGCAACTACGTCGCATTCGTTCAATTTGTGTCCAACGGCGGCACCAAAGTGATTGACGTCCTTGCAGCCGGGTCAGATCAACCGAATGCTGTCCTCGAGTTCCAGAGCCTTGACGGGGGATGGGTTTCATACGACAATACTACCGCCTTCACTTTTGGCAACGTCACGGAGAACACCAGTAGGTATCTGAAGATGCGTTTGACCAACAACGGCTCTGCTAACGCAGCGGCACTGTCCGTGACTGTCAGCAAGCCTCCTTTCGGTATTGCTGGAAGCATCATCGGCGCCAACAACCAGGTCGACCTTGCAGAGGGCACCCTGGTCTACGCGGGACAAAATCTCACCGCGACTCTCTTCTGCTCGGTCCCAAAGAGTCAAATCAATGTCGACCCTTACAATGGCACTGCGCAATGGACCATGAATCTGAACGATCCGAATTTTGGGAAGCAGCACATCCAATTCTTCTGCAATGCGGTGTCGGAACAAGCACCTCCATTGGACCCGGTCACCCAGCAAGGCATCTACAGATACGGAGGCTGCTTCAAGGAGAATAATCCAGGCCGACAACTTCAGACTGCCATCTACAGTGGGGCCAACAACACTAATGAGCAGTGCATTTCCTTGTGCTCAGCAGCTGGGTACATCTTCGCTGGCACACAATATGAGCAGGAGTGCTGGTGTGGCTACAATCGACCGAAGACAGTGGTAGATGACGCCAATTGCAACTTTGGATGCACCGGCAACGTCAATGAGATATGTGGAGGCAACGGCATCGATGGGGCTGGCTCATATATCTCCCTCTTCGGCGACATCACGCGGTGGAACGGCAATTCTACCGACGCCCCGGGTCCATATGTCAATCCTGGCACTCTAGGATACAATAGCTTGGGCTGCTACACCGAAGGATCCAACTCTCGAGCACTGAGTGTGCAGCCCAACGCAAACAACACTGTGGCTTCTTGTCTCCAAGCTTGTCAAGGCTATTTGTACTCTGGTGTCGAATACGGTGGGCAGTGCTTTTGTGGAAATACATTGGCAGCAGGCTCCGTGAATGCCAGTGCATCCGATTGCGGCATGACCTGCAACAACAACCAGACGGAATACTGTGGAGGTCCGAGCCGTCTCAACATGTACATCTATGGCAACGGCACCCTTCCGAATACGCCGCCTTCAACCGGTGGAGGAAACAACAATCCCACTCCGCCGTCGGGTCCAACAATTCCGCCGACAATTGGCAATTTCACCTACCAGTCTTGCTACACTGAAATCCCAGGCCGCGCACTCGGTGCCTTTGCGCTTGCCGACAACAGCATTACCTTGCAGACATGCGCCAGCAACTGTACACAGTATCAGTATTTCGGTGTCGAGTACGGGCGGGAATGCTATTGCGGGAACATCTTGGGCTCAGGTAGCGCTCCAGCGACTGACGGACGTTGCAACATGGCATGTTCAGGCAACGCCAGCTTCACCTGCGGAGGACCAAATGGGTTGACTCTGTATCAAAATGTGAACTGGACCGCTTCTTCTACTCCTCCACCGCCATCAAACCCGACGGGCCCAAGCATTGTCCCCAGCGCCGGTAACTTCCAGTATGTCGACTGCCACACGGAAATCCCTGGTCGTGCTTTGGCGGGCAAGGCAATCGCCTCAAACGGCATGACGGTGCAATATTGTGCCGGAAACTGCACCGGTTTTACGTACTTCGCCGTCGAATACGGTCAAGAGTGTTACTGTGGGAACAGCCTGGGCGCTGGCTCCGTTACAGCTACAGATGGACGATGCTCCATGACTTGTGCTGGCAACTCGTCAACCATTTGCGGTGGGCCGAACGGCCTAAGCCTGTACCAGTACGTTGCGCCTTCAAGTTCGAGTTCAAGTTCGAGTTCAAGTTCGAGCGTGACGAGGACTACCACACTGATCACATCGACTATTGCACCTTCGACCTTGGTGGCATCGACAAGTGCATCCACGTTTTCCACCTCCTCGGTTCAGTCTGCGACGTTGTCATTTAGCAGGACTTTGGTCTCGAGTTTGAGCCAATCGTCTTCGAGTACTGTATTCAATACCACCGTTTCGACACGGTCTCTGAGCTCGTCAACGACGTCGGGATTCTCTTCGACCTTGTCAACAACTACACGCTCGGCCTCGTCGTTGACCACTCTTGGCCCTACAAGTTCGAGCACTTCTACGACCTCGATCCGAAGCAGTACTAACTCTGCGTCGCCAACAACCTCGTCAATTTCACCTGGCTCATTTTCCTTCTCCTCGAGCACTACAACCGCATCCAAAACCACAACTTCTGCGGGTTTAGCAACTTCTTCATCACCGGCTTCGCCTTCAACAACTTCAGTCACGTCGTCTGGAACCAGCTCCAGGACCTTGTCCTCAGCGAGTGCGAGCACGAGCACGAGCACGAGCACGAGCACGTCTAAGTCCGGGCTATCTTCAAGCAGTACTGGCTTTACTACTAGCCTCCTGCCTCTTTCCTCGGCGACTAGTAGTGCTACAGTCTCTTCAAGCTCAACTTCTGCAGCCACGAGCCAAACTGGCCTTTCGACTCTGACAACAACCCGCTTGACCACCTTCTCCACTTCATCAAGCTCCAGCACGAGAACATCTACCACAAGCACCTCTACGTCCTCGGTGCCATCGAACCCGTTCTTCCCGGCCGTCTATCTCGGCTGTGCCCCTGAGCTCCCCAACGGACGCCTCCTCTCCGTCGCCTCCACATCAAACTCTGCAATGACCATATCCTCCTGCATTTCGTTCTGCTCGGCCCAGAACCTGCCCCTCGCAGGCCTGGAGTACTCCAGGGAATGCTACTGCGGGTACACTCTCGCGCCCTCCACGGCCGTGAACGCTACGGGATGTAACATGCCGTGCGCGGGCAATGCGCAGCAGACGTGCGGTGGGCCCAGTCGGCTGAGTGTCTACAACAATACTTCGCTGTCTCCTCCCGGCGCGAAGGCCACCATAGCGGGCTATACCCACCAGGGATGCTTTACAGATCCCTCCGCCTCCCAGCGCACTCTGCAAGGCTACAGCACCTCCAACGCCACCTCCATGACGCAGGAATTCTGCATCTCGGCCTGCCAAACCAGAGGGTACAAGTACGCAGGCGTGGAGTATAGCAGGGAATGTTATTGCTCGAATCAACTCGGCATCGTGAGCAACGGGGGCAAAGGGTCGCAGGCATCAGAGGGTGATTGTTCCATGTTGTGCGTCGGCGATGAACAAGAGTTCTGTGGCGGGAGTGCGAGAATCGGTGTCTGGATGAGTGGTCCTTGATGAGGACGTGACGGTTTTCTTTTTCTTAGACAATTCCTCTCTCGGCCATGCGGCAGATGTGGCGTTTCCTTTGTTTTCCCCGTGTGTTGTTGACAAGAGAAGAAGGCATGTCAGGGTTTGACATTTGTATGAATACATGGTTGCTTTGTAATACAAGAGGCTTTATCGTGCCGACTTTTCCCTTCACGTCATGAACAAGGTGGCTTTGGGGGTGTCGCAGAGACGATCATGTTAGGAGAGAAGTGGCGAAGGTTTCCCGTTCACCAGGATGCAAGGCTGCTCTACAGTCCCTCTCGGCAGAGTCAATCGCTGACATCCTCGACTATTAGATTTGAGACATACGGACGGCAAACCGTACGTGACACTAAATTGTTCAAGGACCGGTCCCTCTCGTCGTCCTATTCATTGCTCACTAGGGAACCTCACAGTTCTGGGGCTAGTCCCATCTGGAGGACAAAGGCGGACGCCGTCACGCGCGAGGCTGTGTGCCTGTGACTGGGACGCGGCAGTCCAAATTAACAGTAAATGGCACCCACCAAAGGGAGAGGAGGTAGTGGCGGAAACACGAGAGGAGGACAAGAAGAAAGAAGAAGAGAAACTCGAGAAGAAGATGGGCGGGAACTGTGAGAGAGAGAGAGAGACAGAGAGAGTCAAGAAAGCAACAAGCCTGGCGGCCGTGACGTTTGATTCGCGAACCATCTTTTCGTCTTCAGGCTGATCATGTCAATGTACAAGTAGCGCTGCAGCACGCGCTCGATCTCGGGCCACGCGGACAGACGCATCTCGGCAGTCGCGAGCTGGACGAGGCGCGGCCCGTGGTAACAACAGTCCTCGGAATCACAGCCGCCGTGCTCGGGCGCGGGCGGCGAGGAGACCTGGCCCTGCCCCTGCGGCCCCTGCCTCTGCACGCGGACATTGCACTCGGCCATGGTCCCCACGTACAAACACCAGAGCCTGTCTTGGGCCGACCGCACCTGCGTCTCGGCCGGGGGGCGGAAGGGCGACGTTTCCAGCTGGAGGATCCGGGCGTCGAGGTCGCGCAGCGCGGTCGCGACGGCGCGGCTCATGTCAAAGGCCCACGAGCCGGCTTCCTCGAGCTTCGAGCCCGCGTCCATCCTCTCGTGCGCGGCCCGGCGCACCCAGTACAGCGCGGCCAGGCTCATGCAGGCCTCGGCCAGCGCCGTGGCGGCGGCGGCGGCGGCGGCGGAGGAGGACCTGGCGAGTTCCCATTCGTGCATGCGGTCGAGATGGTGGTTGAGCAGGTGGCCCTCGAGCACCATGATCTTCATGGCCCCGTTGATCAGCAGTGCGAGGTTCAACAGGTTGCGGTTGAGCATGACGATGCCCAGGGCGTCGAGCCACTCGCGCACGCCGAGAAAGACGGAGCGCAGGGCGGGGGACAACGAGGGAGACAGGTCTGCCGACGAGAAGGGGAATGCCGAAGGGTGGTCCTCGTTGCCGTCCTTGTTCAGGTCGTCGGTGATCCGGGCCGGGAGGTTCTCCTCGGCCCACCGGTACAGGTCGAACGACGGCCGCGTCAGGGAGAGGCACGCCCGTGTGATGTCCTGCTGCAAGACCACCATCAAGAGCCGTCGCTCGGCGTGCACGGTCCTCCCGACGGGCTGGAGGAGTCGCCTCAGCATCGTCCCATGCACGGCCGCAGCCTCCAGGTTGCCCGCCGCTATCTCGGCGCAAAAGAGCGCATACACGTCCCACGCATCGGCCTGCGCGCCGGGTCTGTCCATGATGGATTTCCTCAGGTTGCTCGTCGCTTTGCCGAGGTACTGCAGGGCCATGATGCTCGAGCGATCCCGGGGCGTCAGATTCGCGAGAATCGCCGCCGCGCGCGCGAGGTAGGCGTAGCCCGCCACGCCGCCGTCGTCGAGCCCTCGGACACTGTCCCTCCAAAAGCGGTCTATGTGCAATCGGCCGCCCGCGACCGAGGACTCGTTGACGTGCACTGCGGGGAGAATGAAATCCCGCGTGAAGACCAGGAGGCGGTTGACTTCGGGCGTGACGACGATGGCCTTGGACGAGAATGGATCAGAATTCCCCGCCAGGACCACCGGGGAGGGGATGCCGCTCTCGTAACCGCTGTCATAGTCTTCTGTGCGGGGGGGAGAAGTCCCTGTCGGAGACGGCTGCTGTGCTGTTCTCTTCTCGTCGTTGTCGTCGCTGCGTCCCTCTGCCCGCAGAGCGGATTGCTTTTCCCGCCGCCGTTGATGTGCCTGTCGAGCAACGTGTGCGTTGATGGTCGACTTGTTGAGGCCAGACGACCTCCCTTGGGCCTCGAAGACGAAGGTCACTGGCCTGTCGCGACCTCTGCTCATCGCCGCATGTTTCCCGCCTGGTTGGGGTCTACTTCACTCAACCAGCTGCGTTACACATTCGAAGAGAGAGTATCGACTGCGCCAATCTTTCACAACCAACAAAAATGTCATCAATAATGGATCTCCGATCGGAAATTATTCCAGCCTGCAAAGACGATCTCTGGCTCGGCTCTGTGCTGTTATCTCCTGAGAATTCGAAGAGCGCAGCAGCGAAGTGGAGATACAGTCGCTCGCTTACGTAAAGATGCATGCTTAGTCATGGGCTGTTCGCTCCACTAGGCGCCAGCTGCTGCCGCATTGGGAAGAAAAGTGGGGATCTCTCCGCAGACGAGGCTCCTCGGACCTGACGTTGAAGACCGAAGCTACCAAGAGGTGCCTTGTTGGTAGCGAAAGCCAAGGGAGCAAGGGTTTGCTGCAGGAGGGATTCTGGCCGGATATCCACCAGGAATGAGCAAGCATTCTAAGGAGTGCTGGTGTCGAGAGACGCGCGGTTTCCATTGGAGTTACAAAGCACCTCAACCCTGTCGTGCCGACTCCTTGAGCATATTAAAGCATACTCATCCCTATATTCAAAGGTCTGGTTGCCTTCTATCGACCATCTTCACTCACGAGACTGACAGACCAACTCAGCCTCTTGTTTCAATATGCCCTCCGGCGGCTGCCTCTGCGGCAAGATCAGGTACGAATACGAAGGGGAGCCGTTGAAGATCGTAAGACTTGTACCCCGCCATTATTATTCTTATTATAAGAGAGAGGGCTTACCAAGCAACAGCTCACCTGCCACTGCGGACAATGCCACAAGTCCACCTCGACCATGTTCAGCACGGGCATCTTCCTGCTCGACAAGCAGTTCAAGCTGCTGTCGGCGTCGGACCCGACGACGCACCAGACATATTCGTACCCGCAGACCTCGGACGGCTCCATCCAGACCCTGCACTTCTGCGGCGTCTGCAGCACCACCGTGTGGAGGACCGGGGCCGCGGACAAGTACGCCGGCATGCTGAGCCTGCAGCTGGGCACGCTGGACGACCCGCACGTGAGGGACCAGCTTGCGCCGAGCGTCGAATACTACGCCAGCCTGAGGACAAAGTGGGTTCCGAAGATCGACGAGACTGAGCAGGCAGAGGGATGCTGAAAGAGATGGGGGGGGAAGGGCAAGCGGTCTGGGGTAGGGATAGTAAGGTTCGCTGCAGAGACGTGGATGTGAGGATCGAGAATGAAGGTCTTGATCGACACCGGCTTGCCGGCGAAAGAGCGACACCGTTTCTCACCGCGAGCGCGGCTACCGCCGTTGTAGCTTCTCGAAAGTTTCTCGTTGAAAACCGGGCAAGAAGCGAGCTAAGGATCAACAAGGCATTTCTTTGCGATTGGAGAAGACGCATCAGCAAGGGAGTCTTATCTGAGAGAGGGCCACAAATTTTCGATTCTTTGCACGGCTGACAGTGCTGTATGGATTTAAACGGCTTTAGAGAGCCTCGTGTCCTATACACAGATCCTCCCAGGTCCAGGATCATTCTTCTGGATCTTTGTATCGAGTCTTCGGCCGAAGACTTGACCGGGGAACAACCGGTCAGCATCCCCAGGTGGTGTCTCAATCGACGATTCCGGGGTAGTTGGGGCGTCCAAAAGACCCGGCTCCGCCATTAGGTGTACTGCGCTCATTCCACCTTTTCTGCCGATTCTTCGACATGGGTGACCGCTGGCTTCTTGTCCAAGAAAGCTCCAGTGTTGACTTGGACGTCGTGCAACGCCTTTTCTTGGATCTCGGTCTGATACGTCTTGAACTTGAAGACGCCGACTCGCTTCTCGAAGAGCTCGTCAATCTCCTCCAGTGATCTCCCTTTCAACTGCTCTCGATCAGCCAAGGCCGGATTTGTAACTTGGGTTATGTTCTTACCTCTGGGATGCAAAGGAAGTAGAAGATTGCGCAAACAATGTTACTCCCAAACCAGATGTAACCATACCGGGGGCCCTGGAAAATATCAGTAAACAGACTCGAATCTTTTTTGATTCTGTCTTTACTCACCCAATTCAGATCGGTGGGGTTGATGAAATAGGGCGTGCAGAAACTGGTGAGCCATGCGAAAACATATTGGATCGAGGTTGCCGACCCGACAGTCCACGCACGGAGGCGGGAGCTCACCAGCTCTGTGGCCACAGGATACGTCGCGGCGCCGACACAGCCTGGCCAAGTCAGCAGGACCACTCCACATGGGAAATGCGTGGGTGCGAACCGTTGTAGAAGAAACCCCAAATGGCGACCATCGCCACTGTGACCTTGCCAGTCTCAATGGTAAAAGGTGAGACACTCTGCGCAATGGCCATTCCAAGGAAGCAGAGACTCGTCACGATCGACCCAAAGATACAGATGAACCTTCGGCCAACCAGATGGCGCATGGCGTACATGCCGCAGTTGACCCCGACGAACCCGATGCAGGTGATCATGATCGAGTACTGGAAAGCTTGTTTGATCCCGGCAATCTGGAAGAAGTACGTTTGGTACGCAATCGGGAACCAAGAGCCGCTACCTGCTTGGGTCAAGATAGTACCCCAGCACAAAAGCGTCCTTCGCAAGTCGGCACCTTGGTCAAAATCAGCCGCAAAAGTCATATCCGCACCAGGCAGCATCACTCACCGCGAAACATATCCAAAAGCCCCACAGACTTTGCAGTCCTTCTTTCTTCCTCGACACCGCGAATGATTTCTGCCCATTCGAGTTCAAAATACTCGGGGGCCAGCGAGTCTGCGCGTAACGTCTGCAGGGACTTTCGAGCCTGGCTCTCTTTGTTATGGTGCAACAGCCACCGAGGGGTCTCAGGAACAAAGAAAAGCCCGATGCCCAGAAGGACCGGCACGATATAAAGACTCCCGATCGGGATCTGATAAGAGCCTTTGTCCAGACGATCCTTGGTATAGTTGTCGACAATGGTGCCCAGGATGGCACCAATATTGACCCAATAGGCAAAGAGAGCAACCATCACTCCTCTGAGATGAGCCGGTGCGATTTCGGCTGTATAGATGTTCGAGAAGGTGACGAGGAACCCATTTGAAAATCCAAGGACAATTCGACCAAGATATATCACCCCCTTATTTGTGGTGCCAATTTGAATGGCCAATCCAACGCAGTTCATGATGCAGGCCAACCAAAGCGCGGTTTTGCGACCGTAGAAGGCACCGAAAGCTCCAGCGAGGATGGACGAGAGAAAGGCACCGAGCGTCAAGAGCGAGCCGATCAATTGTTGGAAAGTGCTGTCAATCCCATAGCCACCCGGGCTGGTCGGATCCGGGAAGCCAAATACTTTCAGAAAGCCGGGCATTGCCTGGAGAGCACCAATTGCGGCGCTGTCGAAGCCTTTACAGCTCCTCCATGTCAGTCGCCTGTTGCTCATCAAAGTCAGAGCCCGAGGGCGTCCACTAACCATACTGAGTATTGGCAGTCGCAACAATGCAAGCAATGATCAAGCATTTGCGATTGGCCCAAAGGGACGTCACTGGCAGCGTGACTTGGCTGGTGTGTGGAACCTCCGACATGTTGATACTGTTCGATAACAGATGAAAGGTTGTTTTTCCCTCCCTTGAGTCAGCTCTCATTCGCGCGCAGGGGCTCCCAGGATTATATGTACTCTTGTTCCCTCCACAACACTCCAGCCAAACCTGGGGATCCCTCCACAAACTTGACGTGAGAGATGCGTTCCTGGGTCAGAGATCGAACGGGCTTGGTTTCTTCCCCTTCCGAGGTTGGACGTCCACATGTGGAGCTTAGCGAGGCAGCTTCGATCATTTCCTTCGTTATCTCAGCCGCTATCAAGCTCGAAGCCTGGACGAAAGAAGCAATTGGACTTGTAGCACGCAGTACCGCTCGGATTCGCCCTTGCATCGACACAAGTCTCCTCCGCATGTGGGGAGGATAAACATCCGACCTCGTTCTTGATCTGACTGGACCACTCATGTGCTGGTTTCGAGATGCCCCAGAATGTGGGATTTCTCTTCGACGACATATTCAGAGCTTAGTGGGTGACAAAATATGACTGGGTAAGTGGGAGTAGCGAGGATCACTAAAGCTCCCAGGCTTTTGAAAAAGACTCTCGCCTGCCGTCCGTCTAGAGATGGGAGTTTGGCTTCTATCGCGAACTTGGCTGGCCAGTTCTCCATGTCCTCCATTGCTGGTCAAAGGATCTTCTTACCTCCAATGTTTGCAACTTTCTGCTGCGCACTGCGTGCAATACCAACGAATCTGCCCCACATGCGGAGGCATAGCAGAGACACGCAGATGATAACTGCCGCCTCTCATTGTTTCGCGCTGGGGTCACCTGGCCCGGCGATTCGCCGCTGCAAGAGGAACGACGGCAAGTTTGATGGTCGTTGGATAAAGCTGTGATGGATAGAGCAACTATCCCAGAAATAAACAAGCGTGTTCGTCTGTCGACGAATCAGAGAGCCATAAATCCGGAAGGATCTCCCTACATTGTCTGTCCAGCGATGTCTTTGACCGACCCTGAACGCTGGTCCCGTCGTCTGATAAGTCGATAAGGGGAAAGCGACACCTCCACAGTCTCGCGTTTGGACGATTTGAGCAAAAACAAAGGCAAGAAATACCAGTATAGGTAGAAGGAGGAAATAGTATTATAGAAGCCAGTGCCGGAACGTGAGCCGAAGTCGCAATCGCTTATCCTCTACCGAATACATGGCAACATCTTGCTGATATCGATAATTGGGGTTAACGGTGTAGGCGAATTGTGACCCAAGATTCAGACATTCACATTATGCGGTATTTATCCATAACAGCGGCTGAATTGGAGCGCAAAAACCTAGCTTTGGGAGGCTCCAAATCATCTCAATCATCAAGGTAGATAGTCGAAGTTGAATAAATCCCCACCCTGCTGGAAGTTCATTAAGTTGGGCACATCCATCATCTGAAGTCCATTGACATCCTGATCCGAAGCAATAGGTTCCGGAAACTGATTCATACTGCTCCACACGTCTCCAAGATAATTGGTAGAGAAGTTAAAATGCTGTGCTTCAAGGAATTCAGTGGTGGGGTCTCCATAAAGAGGGGGATTGATCCTCGTATCAACGCTCCCGCTTTGCAAAGTAAACGGCATGGTGGGTTGTGGGGGCAAGTGACTCTGCAAGTTTTCCTGCATGGCCTCCGGATGGAACGATGTTGAAAATGTCCCATCTTCAGCCCTCCCGCTTGACATGGGTGTATATGGGGCACCTGGCGGTGATATCGTAAATGGTTGACGTTCTGGTGTGTTGCCTTTCATCTGTTCGTCGGATGCGAGCGAATGCCCGGTTGACGCCATTGGACGACCAAACTGTGTTGGAATGGGAAAGTTGGCACCCATCTCATCGATGGGCACCCCTGCTAAGCCTCGACTATTCGTACTGAAGCCCCTAAGAGACACATTGGCTCCATCATAATCTCCGACGGCCAAATCATTGACTGTCGGCCCTTGCCGCTGCAGGCGCTCTCGAGTCTCTGCAAATTCTGCAGGGAGCAGAGAAATCATAGTCTTCCGAGATATCAGCCCACGAATGGAAAATGACAAAGGAATCCACACTGACCTCTAGGATGGTATGGGCTCTATCGGCAGCGTTGTTGCATTTCGCAAGGAAGGCGATCGCCTTTCGGCCGATTGATATATCCTTGAAAGCGGATTCCTTTCCTTCCCAGTCGGCAGAATCGATAATGATGAAAATGAGTGTCACGACAGATCCGAAGACCATGTGCAAGATAGGAAAGCCTCCACCTTGGAGAAGGTCCCTTCTGTACATTTCTCCGCAAAAACTCAATATAGTGTGACACGCTTGAACGCAGGCCACTGCATACGGAGAAAAAGCGATGTTGGACGAAGATATGGTTTGAGTCGAGGCTTTGGAGAGGTAATGCAGGAAAGGTCTGTAGAGGTAGAGCTGAACGTGAGCATGCGACATGCGAAGTAGATATTGCGTCCTGAATCAGGTAAAGTCAGTGAGTTCTTAGCCTTCTTACACCTAGAAGAGGACATGCCTACCGCAGCAAGGATCTGGGTGCCGAGTGGGAATTCAGACGGAACCCAAACGGCAGACTCTCCATCCACCTTTTGAGAGCTCTCTCAATATCTCTAACTTTCTCAATGCTGACCAGATATGTTGCGGCCTGTGTTCCGTGCGTTTTGCTGATCCCTCTGGGCGGATATATCTCCCTTACAACCTGTTCCAAGATCTTGTGAAGGGCGATGATGGCATTCAGACCCGCTATTGTACAGACTTCATCCGGAGGTTGAGGTGAAATGACCGTTTTCGTGATGTAGGCATCATTAACTTCCACCGGCAAATCTTGGTCGACATTCTCGTCGCTCAAGAGCCTGGGCATGCCGCACGCGGTTGCGAAGTAGTTGCTCAGAAGTCTCAACACCCAGAAAATCCGCTTTCCAACTTCCCGGCCGATTAGATCGTCATATTTAGATTTGGAGCGATGTAGACCCATTCGGAGGGCAAGCGTCAGTGCATGAGTCACGTATGAGTAACAGGTTCCTGCACGAGCGGTGCCTACAGTGAAAAGGATGAGGAAAATCATTGTTTGGAGGGATCTTTCATCTGTACAGTCGCTAATGTCGATAAAGGCACGGCTGGCAGCAAAGTAATGCAGCCTGTCTGAAGTTAGCTTGAGAGATATGCACTTGATAACGTGGCAAACTTACCCTTCGGTGATCTCTTGCTCACGAGAGGACTCCATGGAGTCTAACTGAATGAACATACACCCCAGAGCAAGAAGTGCATAGAGAAGAGGCAGGAAGCGCAGCTGTTCGGCCGTATAGTCACTGGGTGGTATTGCGTACATGTTCTCAAAGGAGCGGTCGAAGGTCGGTCGATGTAGGATGGGGAAAAGAGAATATGATTCCACCGCAGCGTCCACCAAGGCACGAGCCCTCTCTTTGGAGGGGAGGCAGGCGGAGGCCGCAAGAGAGTAATCACAATCAAATAGTTTTGCAACTGGCCTCATTGGGGGGCGTATTCGTGAACGAACATTGTCGCCCGGCCAGTTTTTGATCTTTTCTCGCATCCGTTGGATGAATGCTCGGTCTCCAGAGTATCCCTGAAATCCATCCTCGGCTTCCTCAGTTGCGTGTCGCGTGAGGATGAATTTGGGCGCCGCCCAGGAGATATCTTCGTCCGAGTACTCTGGAGAATGTTCAGAGGGGTGATGTGGGCTAGAATGTCCGGCCAATTGACCCTCTGACGCGGGCGACGTGCGGGTCGGGTCTGCTGGCCGAACCAAGTTTTTGATGCATGACTCCAAAGCTTCAATCCTGGTCTTGAGAGACTCCACGTGCTCAGCAGTACGAAGGCATTTTCTCTTCCTGCGACGCGGTTCTGGATAGATACAGTCTAACAAAGTTAGGGATTTTGGAGGAGAAACAATATTCGTCTCGTCTTTGGCTGACCTTGAAAGGATATCGCACAGTGCTTGCATGGACTCTTTCTGTCACATTTAATCTTCCGCTCTCGGCAGGAACTGCAGGCTCTCGGGACAGGATGGAGGGTTTGCGCCTCGCGCTTCTTCATGTTGAGCTCGGGACGTGCGGCGTGCGATTGTCCAGGATCGCTATCAGCAACGGTGTAGCGGATATCTGTGCCATCTTGTGTCTCTTTCACAGTTCCATTATTCTGAAGCTGGGAACCCTGGTTAGATGAGGGCCGCATAGTATCGAGTAAGTGTTCATTGACCATGGCTTCATTCACCATGTACTTCGTGAGAATGCGAAGATCATACGGAGGATGGAGTCATATCCACGAGACATAGGACATGAGAATACCTCGATTTAAATGTCTGTCTGGAAGTTGAGCTTCGTCTCTAAACAGCGCAAAGGCAGAAGACGAAAATATGGGGTGATGGTTGCGGTGTGAGGTATGGAGGGTCGAGTAGCAATTGATGACAAGAAGTCCCACCTGGAGGAAGAAACGACTTAGCGGCGCCCGGGCTGGTGACTTCATGCGTGATTAATTAAGCCATGGGTTCCTCCGGGCAGCCGTGGGCGGAATGCACCCTAATAGAATAAGTCCGCTAACGCCGGGAAACTGTTGCGGTAGGCACGATTTAGGCACTGAGGATGCTTGTCTTAGCCCTGTAATTAAATATCCTAAAGCACGTTCTAGCCAGCCGGACGCCGCCAAACTCCAAGTTCTAACTCGCTACTTGTATATTATTTACACCGCATAGATCCCCCCAAATATGCTACCATGTATCTTCCAACACGCCACCTACGGAAACACCATCCAACTCGATCAAACCTTAATGATTCTATGGTCACGGCTATTCTAAATTTACAGGGTGACGTTCTCTCAGAAGACCGCCGTATTGCCGTAGGAGCACTGGTGCTGGAATCAAAGCGAGAGTAATAAACCCAAGCATAGAATTTCCCCACTACATTCAAGTCAGTATCGTCATCAGGCTTGGACAAACTCCATGTTCACAGGGAGAACTTACCCCATATCCGAGACTCTGATACAGTGAAGGCCCCGCGAGTGGAAGAAACGCCCCAAAAAAGGATCTCGTCACCGTCACCGAAGCTATTCCAGAAGCCGCATACTGGGAGTACGAGTCGATGATGTACGTTTGGATGGACGTGAAGATCCCGATCATGCCAAATCCGAACGGGAACAGGCCGATGATGGGGACGATCCAATGGACCTTTGCCTTGATCGACCACCCATACCAAAAGAAGGATATGGGCACGAAGAAAGCAAAAAGCAGGCACATTGTCAGTCGCATCTCGGGCTGGTAGACGCCGTTATTGAGGTTCGTGAGGCGGACGATGATCCGGTCGCTTGTAAAGCCAAACAGGGCCTGCCCACAGAGCAGGCCCAGCCCCAAGCCAATGTAGGCGAGACCAGTCAAGTCTGGACTCCAGTGATACGTCTTCTCAAAGACGGTGGTGACTGTTGTGAAGAGCAAGTAAAGGCATCCGTATATCAGCGCAACGTAGATGGCCAATAGGGCAACGACCGGGGACAGAAATAGCAGTTTTAGAGGCCTAAACAAGCTGCGCCCGAGGAGAGTTCTTGTAGAGTGTTTGCCCAACGTTTTGTCATAGCAACTTGTCAGGTCCTCCCGTTCCAGCTCTTTTGCAAGGCGGTTGGTCTTGTGGCGGATGAGGACTGCGTGGTTGGTTTCGCGGTAGAAGACGAGTATGAACCCCGTGCATGTACCTGCGACGATCAAGAGAGTCCAGAAGACCTGCGGGGCCACATATGAGTTAGATCAACCCGTAACACATGGAGCAGTGGGCAAGTGGCCTAGAGAACCTACCCATCTCCATCCCGCCCCCTGCGCGATGAAACCTCCACAAATTGGACCAAGGACCGGCCCAAACAGAGGACCAGCAGAGAAGATTGACATAGCCAGCCCACGCTGTTCCTTTTCGAACAGATCTGCTATCGTTCCACCGCCGATAGTCAAGCAAGCAGACCCCCCGATGCCTGTGAGCACCCGGAAGACGATCAAGGACGAGATGTTGGGCGCCAATGCGCAGCCAATTTGCCACACCACGAAATGTAACGAGGCAATGGTCAAGATGATCCTTCGACCGTATATCTCGCTGAGGGGGGAGAGGAATAGTGGGCCGATCTATAGAAAGCACTGTCAGGACCGAGCGAATACACATGGCTTTCTGTATTTAAGAAGACTGGAGGACAATACCGCGTAACCAAGGACATATGACGAGACAACGAAAGTGCCCAATATCGTTGAAGTGTTGTGAAAGTCGACGTTGGCGAAGCGAACAGCAGGCGCAAAAACGGAAGACGCAAATGGGCTATCGGTTTGAAAACCCCGTCCATGTCAGATCATCGTGCACCAAGCCAGTATGGGGTGCTGTACATACCTAATCAGTGTCATTGAGCTCACGAGGGAAAGAATAGTCCATTTTCGCATTGGGGTGTAGTTCCGCGGATTCTCTGGATCATCTTGTCCTTCCCACCCGACGATGCCCTTGTCGAGGTCTTGCTCTGGGAGCACATCCCTCTTCAACGTGCTGGCTTTTCGCCGGCGTCTCGTTTTTTCTGCAGACCCGTTCTGCGACGAGGCTTCATTTTCGGGCAGATCGGACTGGATGGGTATTTGCGGAGGAATGCCATCTTGCGAGTCAATGGCTACGGGAACCTCGACATCTCTGTTGTCTTGGTCTCTGGTGTTGGTTGGAGCCATGAGCTTCGCCTTCAAGGAGGAATATCAATGCCGGTATATAGTGATACAGTGGTTGCCAAACAAGGCTGCGTCGACATAGTAGAACACATGCTTTCTTGCCTTGGCACGAGCATTTATAAACATCTGAAAGAGGCCGCGAGATCTCCATAAAAGACGCGTTGACATATTTCCGGAGACATCTGAATAGGCATGAGGTCAGGCATCTCCTTGATGCACCGGTGTCCATTTACTCTTACCGTGGGCTGGACGAGAACGAGGCGCCCCTCGGTCTTTTAAACAACCACTTCTCCGTGATTTGGGTTAGTGCGAGTCGTAAAAAGTGGATCAACTGGTGGGGCACCCACAAGCGGGACCAATCACGTCTCTCTTCATGTGCAGCCAAACCTTGACATCTCGACAGCCACCGTGCAGAAGCTCATGATCCCCTGCACGAGTAGAGAAAACTAACTGATCGACTGACGGGTCTCACTAGAAAAGGATCGCCTTAACCTCGATCGCGGTCCGGGATCTTCTCGCGCGCCGACGCCTTTGCCGGGGGAGATGGGTGTCTACGTCGATGCTTTCAGATGGATTCTCGCTACATCCACTAGATATGAGCTCGATTCGACCCGGAATCTCCAGTGCCCAAATGCGAGGAGATATCTGTTCTCAAAGTCCGTCAAAATGGTCATGGAGATAACGGAGACAGGTGAAGTGGGTAGCCCCTTCGCAGTCTATCGCGCGTCCCTACAATTGTTGTTTCGAAGTCCACAACTGCAGAAGGCTTTAAAAGAAGACTTGACGCTCGCGACTGCTCTTTCTTCAATCAAGAGCGAGCGATATTGTGAAGACGACCTAATCCTTTAGAATCTCCCCCATCTCCCATTGACCACCCACTTCTCATACCCGCCAAGATGACTTCCCACGGACCAAGTACCTGCTGCTACAGGGGGTTCAAGCACGAGGGCGAAGCGACGGGTCAAATTGAACAATGGAAGGATTTCGAGGTCTACGTCAAATACCCCGAGAACAAGTCCACGGACAAAGCGATCCTCTTGTACGTTTCTCTGACGGCTTCCGCAATCACCAGTCCTGCCCAAGCAACTTAGACGCCTTTTTACTGATGTGCAATGACAACTCTAAAAAAAACAGCTTGACCGATGTCATTGGCCACCGATCAATCAACTCGCAACTGATGGTCGATCAACTCGCCGCCAACGGGTACTTCGTGGTGATGCCTGACCTCTTTTACGGCGACGCCATTGAGCTGAACAAAATCGGCGAGCTCGATATCCCCAAATGGTTTGCGGGTGGGTACAGTGCCAAAGGCATCGGACACGGCCCATCCACCGTTGACCCGATCGTCGAGACGTGTTTGTCCGAGATGCGAGCGAAGTACCACTGCAAAGTACGTGGAATCCTTTTGCGGGTCTCCCTTTGCTTTGTTTATCTGGTTACCAAGGAGATAAAGATTTTCCCCTGTCAAAATCTCTGACGCAAAGCAACAGAAAATCGGCGCGATGGGATACTGTTTCGGAGCCAAATACGTCGTTCGCTATCTGCGTCCGGATCAAGCGCAAATCGACGTAGGATACGCCGCACATCCAAGCCTCATCGAGAAGGACGAGCTGCAAGGCATCAAGGGACCCTTCGCCATCGCCGCGGCCGAGAACGACCACGTCTTCCCGCCCGAGAAGCGTCATGAAAGCGAGGAAATCTTGAAATCCTTGGGCCTTCCTTACCAGATAAACCTGTACGGCGGGGTTGCGCACGGGTAAGTCCCTTTTCTCGCAATGGAGACCCAGATCGAATTTTCTCAGCCGCAGTCGAACGGACCCGCGCTAACTGCCCACACTCTTCCAGCTTCGCGGTGCGCGGAGACCTGAAGGATCGCACACAGCTGTACGCGAAGGAAGCATCTTTCTTGCAGGCTTTGCAATGGTTCGAGGAATACCTGGAGAAGTGAGAAGAGATCCGTAACCGCTGATCTGGGTTGGCCCCTTTTCTTTTTGCACCGCCTGCTGTAGCTGGCCTTACACATGGTGCTGCCCCTTTCAATAGAACGTTTGTCGTACGGCACTCGGCTGGGGCGGACGATTCTCGATAGGTAGATTGTTTCTCGAACAAGGGTAATATGGAGATAATCCGTCGAGTGAGAGGTTGGAAAAGTTCCTTGAGGTTTATAAAATCGATAGATAGATAGGAGATCTTGGGACAGGCCGCACTGATTCTCAGAGTTGCACATTTCGAGACAATCTCGGCCGAGTGGTGCGTCAAATGTCTACTGCAAACATCCACTCCATATCTCGCTCCCAACAATCCCCGTTACTGGTGTAGGTTGCGAGATGTGCCAAGGGATTGTCGAGCTCGCCAAGGCGAAGGATTCTACCCCAGAATCGGGAGAAACCTCGAGACACACTGCTCTCAAAAGGGTTACCTGGTAGGCATTTCTCATTACTACGCTGTCTGATCTCGGGTGACCACAGTGTAAACAAGGACTAACATTCTGCCTTTCCCAATCTGTGCCACATCTTCTCATGGCCACACCACCACGATGATCAACTGCTGGTCCAACCCGATATCTTACTCCCAGGAGCAGCGATATGAAGATGAGAAGGACTCGCTCCTCAACCCCTAACCCAGAACTGAGCAACAGTGGATAACCCCAAACCACGCCGGTCCAACCAAGCGTTTATGCAAGCGTAAGTAGGAAATGGTATCTCAATGGCAAAGGCATCTCAATCAACACAAATGAAATGACTTCATCAATCTCATACAACCGACCCCGCGTGAACATCGTACACTGCCTCGACTTCGATGTAGACCCCAATATCATTGTGGTTGGAGAGGAAGGTCGACTCTCCGAAAGGGCTGACACCCCTCTTTTCATTGTCCTCCGGCTTTGTCGACACTCATATCTTGAGGGCAGCCTTTTCATCAATGATGGAGAACGGACTGGTCTTCTTCGCGACGGGTCGTTTTACGCGAAGGACGGCGTCTTGGTCTGACATTCTCCTGCCCAGTGCGCGCTCAACCTTTGCACCCAGGCTCAGTTTGCTCAGATCGTCAGTCTTCTTCTGTGAGGGCACGAAGCGTTGCTGTGACAGACGCTTGTTTTCCAGTCTGTCCAAGCCTTGCGTGAGATGGCGGATCTCGGCCATGCCGGTCTCGGGACTGACTGTGATATTTGCAGGGCTGGAGCCGGAAACGAGAGTTTGGGAATTTGAGTAATTGCTGGTTGTGGTGGCAAAGGAGGGAGAGGCCGAGTAGGTTGAGTAGCGTTTGGAAGTACGCTTCGAAGTGAGCTGCTCAAGGTGTTAACAGGACGACGGTGCGAAGGTGGAAGATCCCGGACTTACGCTGGGAGCCATAATAGGCCTTTGGGATTCAAGAGATCGGCGAGACATGGCCGCGACAGACAGGTATTATGGTTGCGAGTTTGTGTGGTGGTTTACCCAGCACTGAGGCCAAGTGATGCCAATGCGTTGGACGGCAAGTTGGTGATTGGACTGGCCACACACCGGTGCTCTTTCCCCCAGTGACCCAGATTTTGCAATACCAAAATTCTGGGAATGTGGGAGAGCGGCGGAGAGGAACAGTGATGTTTCCAGAACAAATGGGCGCAAGCAAGGGTTAATAAGTCTGCGTGTGCACGGATCGAGTCGCAACCAGCGGTGACGGTGGAGTGGGAGATGAGCAAGCGTGGCCCGAAAGCGCAATTCCGCTGGTGATCAAAGTCAAGTCCGGACTAGACGTTCTAACCGCCAATGCTGACTCCAGCGGATGGAGTTCAATCTTTGGTGGCTCTGGGCAACCCGACGAGATTGGCGTTGACCTGGTATCTGAGGCTGTAGCGGTATAAAGAGCTGCAGTGAAGGTGGACAGAAGGTGAATACTGAGGGATGTCGAGTAGTGATAACAAGGGAGGTGGGTTGACTCAGGTCGGTGAACGGGATTGAAGAATGGGAGAGGACCGAGTAGTCAGCGGTAATGCTAGTGGGAATGGATCAGGAAGATTTGTCACTCCAGTGGACTGGGTTGCGAAGGTCCTGGAGTAGCGTCAAGAGAAGAGGAGGAAGAAAAAGGATAGCTTGGGAGATAAAGGAGGGAGAGAGATGCAGGCTCTTGGTGTATGTCTGGACGTGCGTGTCTACCAAAGTGTCTGGTGATGACAGCTGTAGTGAGCAGTGATCAACAGATGCAGGCACAGCACCGGGCGGTCGGGCTCTTCTTGAGCTGGTGAGCTGGCAAGCTGGTGAGCTGTTAGGGCTGCCTACCCAGGTTTAGAAACAAGCTTGTTTAACCCTTAGTGGACACCTGGGCAACTTCCACAGTGGCGCCCCAGAAGCCCTGGGTTACCTTTTGTTTCCTTTGGGGGCGCAAGCCTCCGGAATCTCTTCCCCTGTTCAGTCTTTAGGGCCTGGTCCCTGGGCCAGTCAGCGCCCGTTGTTTCTTCTGGTACCTGGTCTCCCTCGTATCGTCCGGAGTCGCCCATCCCTCTTTCTGCGCCCCTGCAGCTTGCCCAGTCAAGCCACTGCTTCAGGATTCAACCCAGAACCCGAAAACTGGTCCACCACGTGGCGGTGGCCGGACCTTGACCTGCATGATGGCCAGTGGCCATTGACCATTGAGCACCGCAGCCGTTACCACAGAACTCAGAATTGGGAACCGAGGAGCAAAAAGGTAAACGGTTCATCGATGCGTCCAGCCCTTTGATCATACCACTAACCTACGTAAGGGACGCATTGATCCCGCTTGTACACGTACACTTCACCTCTTCTCTGTTGTCCGGCGCCTCCTTCCGGCCTCAAGCTGCTCGAGTAGATTGCAAAGGCTTCAAAGACTATCAGTCCGGTCATGCGCCCCTGGACGAATCTGGCTAACCAGGGATCCCAACCGAGATGGGTGGTTAGTGTCCTCTTCGCCCTGTGCTTCTTTGGCACCAGCGCCTGTGATCACCAAGAGTCCAAGACCACCAAGGATGATTGATTGGGGAGAGGCTAGAAGGAAACCAGAAGGCCTGGTCGGTTTGAGCAGTTTCCAGGGAAAATCCCCAGCTCCATCGCATCCCCTAAAAATCCCCGTCCCTGGAATCGGATCTCGACTATGCACGCCAGTGTTTCACAACCTCTTGTCCAGCGTCACGTTGAGCAGGCCCCAGGTCTTGGTCCATGCAAGCCTCCCGCTGTCCGGTTGTCCGTCAAGCTGCATGCGGCCTGCCATGGGCCATTTTCCGAGGATGGCCGGCGTCAAAGTCCGAACGAATCTTTTACATGATGCCCTGTCAAAACATGCAAGCCAATCTCGTCTCGCTTTGAAAGACCGGTCCTTACGTACTCGCAGGACGCTGAACAGCCCGCACTGATTAAGAGTTGGGACACCGTGAACCTTTGGTCTTCTGGCACAGCGTACGGGAAGCAAGCCACAATCAAATAATAATCGAGCTGGTGCCTGTTGCGTGCTATTTTCTTGTCAGGCAACACGAAACCAGTAATAGCATCGTCGGACTCCAGCGCGAGAGAAGGGCGCGCAGGAAACGAACTCATTCTGCAACAGGCCAAAACGCTCGAACGGGTCGAGAAGCCCACCCATGGAACAAAGGGGGGCTCTTGCATTTGCACTTTGCAAACCCAGGTGGTCCTCTATAATCCCATTGATCGGCGGCAGCATTGATATTGGCTTGTCGCTTTCGAACATATGCATCTGGCGGCCCTCGCCGACATCATCATTATTATCATCATCCATCAATCATGCCAACCAAAGTAATGCCAGCCTTGCGTCCACCATTCGTTAACACTCCCCGTCGCCCCGAAATGCTTCGCCAACCAGAATGCTAATCCACCTACAACGCCGAAACTGCCCACAATTTGCAGTGCAATCCATCCCCTCGCGCGCATGCTGTCCTGCCATCTTAAAAGTCCCAGCGGATCCTGCATTTGATAGCTGGGCAAGACATCGATACCATATGCCATGCCGGCTTTGTCGCTCTTTCTTACAAGGGCCTGCGCGTTGTCTCCCTGCTGTAGAGGCACGATTGTGCCGTCGCGGACTTCCTCCCCCATTCTCTCCACAAGCCAGACAGCTCTCTCCCCCCGTGCAAGCCGCTCATACCGCTCCCTCTCCCTCTGCAAGCTCAGCTGCAATTCACTCGCCCACTTGCTCAGCCGTATCTGCGCCAGCCTTTCCTCACGTTGCGTGTGGTCTGCGACTTTGGCCAGTGCCCAAGAGTTCGATGTGTTAAGTGAGACTTCTGAACCCACGGGGATCAAAACCCCAGAGTTGGAAGTGCTTAGTGGTGTTTGTAACGGAGAGGTGAGCGTTGAATTCCGCAGTGAGGTGTTGTACGAATGCGAAGGGAGAGAAGGCGATGGTACAGAGGTTAATCGTGGATGTGCTAAGTGCCAAGTCACAAGTTTCCTCGCAGCGGTATGGCGTAGGTAAGCGACCGTCTCAGGCTCGAATATTGATTCTACGAGCAAACTGAGCTCGGAGGGCAGGAGCGGTTGGATATATTCGGGGGACATGAGGAGAGAGGCGTCCATGGTGTCGAGGTCGGGACCCTTTGTTGAGGTTACGGTGTAGGGTGCTGTTGCTGGCTGTGTCGCTGCGGGTTGGGTGGTCTTGATGGTAGATGTGACTGATTCAGCTGCCGAAGGTAGCGAGGTCGGGAGTCGAGGTAAGCTGGACATGCTAGAGTCCAGAGTCTGTTTGATATATTGCTGATCTTCGAAGGTGAGGAGATCCGACTTTGCAATGAGAGGAATGATGTTGCATAATTCAGACAACTGGCGAATACACTCGCAGTCGTCTTGCATGGTATCTGTGGATCACAAAGATCAATCACCACTCAGCTCCTGAAACATTGCCTATCGATTCGGAGCAAAGCATTCGCTTACCTTTCGAAATCAAATACAACACCACGTCGACCTGGCTCGCACCTCGCCCACTCAACAACCCCGAGAACTCGCTCGTGAGTTGATCAACACTCACCATGGCGTTCACGAGTTGTTGCTCTGCATAGTGAACAAGCCTCTCCAGTTTCACTGAATCAGCGGTATCCACAAAGCAGACATTCCGTTCAAGCACAGAGTCTCCCATTGATTTGCGCCGGCGCAGGATGCGAGACTCCTCGATTGTGGACCACCATTCCGGATACGGTTTTGTCGAGGCATAAACTTCGTTAATTGCCTCCGAGGTACTGTTAGAAGTTCGGTGCGAAGTGTGAGACGAGTTCGTGGGTATAATTGGATCGACATGGACAATGTCTTCGCAGAGTTGGACGATAGATTTTATGAGAGAGGTCTTCCCCACGCCTGCAGTTCGCGGTACAGTCAGTGAGCCTGCGTTCCTTACACTTTTGCATGTCTCTTCATGCATAGAATAAGAAGAGCGCAACATACCTTTCCGACCAGCAACCATAACCTTGAATCTCCCTAATTTCTTTCCCCGTTCTGTAAAAGGTCGTCTGGACGGCATCTTGATGCTTGGCATGATAAGTTCCGGCTGGCTGTCCTGTACTCCTCCAGTTGAAGACAACATTTCAACACCACTGCCTCGTCCAGTTCCGGTCTCATTCTCGTCTTCTTCACCACTAGATAGTATTGCCTGACTGCCAGTCTCATCCGCATTAGTCAATAACTCATCGTCGGAATTGGCGGACGATTTGGTCTGTACCGATCTCCGTGAGGCGAGAGATTTCGGGCTGCCGGGTAGAGAAATGTCTCGTGAAGGTAACGGCGACGGAGTGACAACTCTCTCGGGAAGGGGATGAGGAGGGCTAGCATTGGTCTCGGGGTTCGCGGTGGACGAGCCCCGTCGGAAGCGTTCACAGTTCGTCCCGGGTTTGATAGTTGAGCGGCGTCGACTCCCACTCCTTGTTGGACCAGCTCCTTCTGCTTGTCTGGCAGTGGTGTGCTTGACTGATGACCGATCGTGGTCGGCTTCTTCAATGGTATCCTGCAGGCTGCTCAAGGGAGATGTCGACGACGGCGCCCCGACACTCCGATCGGGCTGGTGCGGTTTAACAGAGGCATCAGGATCTCGTGAGAGGAAGAAAGTAGTAGCAGGATTGCTATGGCGGTCGCGATCACTGGCTATTGAGGGCGGATGAGAATCGGCATTGGACGACTTGCGAGGGCGTGGTGGCTCTGCGGTATTGTTATCAAGGCCGATTCCTGGTCTCATGGTGCAGTCATCAAGAGGATTTAAAAGAGCAGGCGAGGGCACAGTCGGTAAGGAAGAGAGTTGCAAGGAAGTTGATGTTTCTTAGGATAAGGGACAGGACTGACAGCTGACAGCGAAGCAAGGTACAAGTCAAACAGGTCACCGATGTCGCGGCCTGAAGTTACTCCTCAGCCTATCCTAGATTTACCCCACGGCGCAGGACTTGGACACACCACGCGGGGCGGGTTTCTCTTATCGCTGCTTTGGCTGCCTCAGCTGATTGTGCCTGTTCCTCCCACTTCGAGCAGCGAAAGACATAATAATGCCTGGTGGTTCATCAGCATTGACCCCATTCCCGACCGTTACGAAGTTTTGCAACTTTTTACCGGTAATCACCATTAGGTTGGATACGTCTCATTCACAATGAGGGACTACTGTACAATTCCATGCCCACACCAGCGCCATCCTATCTTTAGGGAACCCGAGGTCTCGGATAACGCGTTTCCCTTTCGTACACAGACAAATACATGACCTCGCTCGAAAAGACGCGCTTGCCCTGGACCATGACCCTAGCAAACTCGATCCCAAGTTTTTGCTTGCCTCGCTCGCTGGAGTTGTGAAAGGTGATGGGAATCCCACTTTCTGTTTCGTCCTGAACAATTCTGAAGCTGGCTATGCGAATAACACTGCTGGATCGTGAAAATATGTGTAATGTAATGGAAAGTACTTTTTCCAAGTACGCCGGTGCCAGGAAAATCGTCGAAAAACAACCCCATCACTTTTTTATCGCTCCGCTTGAACCATGGGAATGCAAGAAGCAAGTGACGAAAGATTCTTTCAGAGACTGATGCTGTGTTTCAGCATCCCGCACCTGAGGCGACTTCACGCAGCCTGGCCTTGGCCACGTCCCTTGGGAGTGACGGTACCAGTGCCAGCCTTTGCACCTCGTTGAAATCCACCACCACGTCCGGCGTCTTTAGGGAAGTTGGTCTGACTGCCGGATCGGCTACCCTGCATGCCACCACGGCCACGGTTTGCGGTACCGCCACCACGATTGAAGTTGGCATTGCTACCGCCGTAGGCGTTGGGACGGGGTCGACGTTCTTCGACGTAGATCTGTTCGCTACCGACGGTGTGGGGGTTGGCAGCAACGGCAGCAGCGTAGCCGGCAGGGTCAACAAATTCGACGAAGGCACAGTTCTATTTTCATCAGCAAACAAGAAAATCAATCAATGAAGCATGGGACTTACCCTAGGTCGTGACACGTCGAAATATTTGAGCTCGCCGTACCTCTCGAGAACCTCTCTAAGGATTCTGGCATCAACCTTGTCGTTCACGTTCTTAATGTACGCCATCGTTATCCCTTCTGAGACCGCTCTGTTCGGAGGCCGGTTGCTCTTCTTACTGTGATCTGCAGTCTGCCAGCCGTTGCTTTGCGAGGTCGGGGTGCTGGAAGTTGTGTTCGCAGTTGTTGGCACAGGTTCTACGGGAGCCTTAGGAGCTTGTGCAGGTTGTGACAGCCGCGGAGCTTTCGGCTGTGGTGGAGGGGTAAGAGGAAGGGCAGGAACAGCTGGCTTTTGGACACCACCTCCCAACATGCTGGCCCAAGTCTTCTTCGCTGGGGGGACTTCAGCTGGAGTTGGGGCTGGTGCAGCTGCTTCTGGGACTGGCTCAGCAGTAACGGCTTCAGGTTCGGCAGGCTGCTCAGTTGCGGCAGTATCGGTGGATTCCTGGACAACCTCCTCCTCTGTGGTACCTGAGAGCTCTGTAACCTCCGGCGCTTGTTCAGCAGGAGCGGCAATAGCATCGCCATTGACCTCAGCTGGTTCTTCTGCTGCCAGAGTCTCTTCTATCTTTTCTTCCTCTAGTTTCTCGTCGACCTTCTCAACAGCGTCCTCGGTAGCGACGACATCTTCAGTATGAGATGGAGCATCAGTCACACCTGCAGCAGGGGTGGGCGGCTCTTCTGCAGGGACTTCTGCCTGAGGTTGTTCATCTTCAACGATCTCATCCTCATCATCACTGAGGTAGCGGAAGATGTCGTTGAGGACGAAATAGCCATTGGGTTGTTCGGCGAGGACGAAAGTCTGGACAAACTTGTGATGCGGTTCTGATTTATTGGACATTTCGCCGATAACCTGAACAACAATATTGTTGAACGAGGCCTGGGAGTCGACATTGAGGACGCGCACTTTGCAGTCTTGGAGATCGAGGGCTTTAATTTTCTCGCTGATGGCCTATGTTGCCTCCTGGTCAGCCAAGTTGAAAACCTCTACAGGGATATCCGACAACGTACCTTTGTCCCAACCGCAGGAACAACTTTCTCAGCCTCGACACCTGTGACCAGTTGTGACTTCTTGGAGTAGAAGAGGTGGATTTTTTCTGGGCTCTTAGAGAGAGTTGTATAATATTGTTCCACAAAGTACCAGCCAATCTCTTGAGGATCGGCCTTCTGCTGAGTGGCAGAGGTAGTAGTACTCTGAGAAGCGGAGGCAGCATGAGTCGGCGCAGAGGGGGTAGAGGCGGCAAGTTCAGCAGGCTGGCCGTACTGGTTTGCCCCGTACAGGCCATTAACGGGAGCGGTCTCGGTCGCCATGGTGAGATATGAATGTGAGAGCAGCCTGATGCGGTTCAGCGTCGTGGTTTAGACCGAGGGCAAGTCGCGTCGCTGGGTGAAATAACTGGATAGGAGACTATGAGTTTGGTCGCGGATGGGAAACAAGATGATTGAACCAGCGGCGCGGTCAACCGAGCGTGATAGATATTGCAGACACTTAGTCGATAATCTAGCACGCAGGCAAACAGACAAGGGTTTCCTCCAAGGGAAGAAAGCGACAAGAGATTGAAGCACAAGAGACGCGCAATAGAAAGAGGATGGTGGAAAATGAAATTATGAAAGGCTGGGGTATGTGATGGGCGATTGTGCGATCTGTGGTGGATGAATCCGAAGGTCAATTGCTGTTGCTTGGTGCAGAAATCGCCTGTTCTAAGGGCAAGTCTGAAAAATATAAAAAGCGGAGGCAAGTTGGAGGCACTGGCACACTGGCACACGCAGCCTTGGCGGGTCGAGATCGCTCTCCACTGTGCCGCTTTAACTGCCAAAGGGCGGGCAAACATTCCCTCGCTTTCGATTGCATTTCACTCTACTGCCATGATTGGTTCTCTAGCGAGGCACGGGGCGAACTACAGAGCATCTGTTCTTGCGGTGACGCGCATTATGCAGTTCCAGGTGGGTTTACCTGCATTTCAGCGTCCTTCACTCGTGAAACAGAGAGCAACGCTCGACGACAGGACATCTGGCTGATTATCCAGCAACATTCCACCTGAGAGCCTACTGTTTTTCAAGACGTACCGAAGAGCGGGAACAAATTGACTTGGATCCGCAGTGCCGTCGCCAATCCATCTCACCAGTCGTGGCAGGAGAGACACCGGGTTGACCCTCCTTCTCTTTAGACATTCCATATCAAGAACGACAGAGAGCTTAAAGACACTGCTGGACAACCAGAAAACAAGGGCCAATGTCCTGATACACCTGCTACATGTCCGAGTAATCTACAGGAACATGGCATGCACGGGATACGCTGCCGAGAGGAGCATAGCTGGCAGCAGGGTTCCTGTTCCAAGGAGCACCAACTCCATCCAAGTTGGCGACGTCTTCCCGAGCTACATGAACATGACAGTCAACGACACAACTTATCTCCCAAATACAGCGCCTCAGCTAATAGGAGAGTTGCAACCTCGATAGAAGAGGCTCATATTGACAACAGCGTATCCGAGGGCTGTGAATAGACCCTTTCCCCGCCCAGATCTTCTGACTGATCTCTCCCCTCAAAGGAGACGTACTGCGGAAAGGAGAAATATCAAGCAGGCTGCAACGAGAGGCATAATGATGACTCTGACCTTGACAGCAGGATCCATTCGTTCAAGAGATGCAAGTATAGCAACCCTCTTGCCCCAGCTGTCCAAGATGAACGGCATTTCAGAACGTCCCGTAGTCCTCTATGACTACCAATTCGCGCCGAACGCGCGAAAAATCCGACATCTTTTGTCATCGTCTCGCATCCCGCTCCAGGTTTGCGAACGGCCCTTTGTGAGGCCGTGTCCTATCCTTACTGACCTAGACATCACGTACAGACGCATCCCCGTCAATGCCATAGGCCGCGATTTCTATGCCGACAATCGCGTCTTCGTAGAAGCTGTGCAGACCGTCTTCCCAACAAAAGCGGCAGCTCTTGCCCAAAGTCCGGCTGATCATGCGTACGGAGCTTTCGGGTATCGTAAGCTTTGGGTCTCTCTCCCACTTGTGCCCGTGAAGAGATGAGCGCGGAATTTCTTAAAGACAAAGAATTATTCTCTGTCTTCAACCGCCCAGACTATGAGGAACTACGGCTCAGTGCGCTGGCTGAGTTCCACCAAATGTTGGACGATATCGAGAACGACTTTCTGGCGAACGGGCCATGAATCGGAGGGGACGGATGCTCCATTGCCGATATCCATGCAAGTTGGATGATTGAAATGGTGTTGCAGACAATGGACGTATAGAGCGAACCAGGCTTTTCGGCCAAGGATTTTCCGAAAGTCCACGCTTGGATCAATGGACTTCCACTCCACGCCGCTGAGAATGGCGCCGAGAAGATCAGTGCAGAGCACCCGAAGCAAAAGTCCTTGAGCAGGGGCTATGCGGCGAACGATATCGGCATTGATTCTGTGGACCCCACCAGTCTGCAAGCAGGAATGCATGTCTCAGTCGGTACCACTGACGAGTAAGTTACCCTATCAATGGCGCAAAAATCCACCGGTCGACATTAGCACACAGTGCCAAACCTGGAGCAGACCACAGGAGGGCTCACTAGTGGGCCTCAGAAGGCGAGAGATAGTCATCGAGCTGCAGAATGGTCTTCGCATGCACTTCCCTCGACTCGGCTTTGTGGTGAAGAGGCTGTGAGCTGAGAATCAAGCTTCGGTGCGCTCATAAGAGGCGCAAAGCAAAGGGTACTGCAAGGTGACCTTTGGCCGTGTGCAGGTCTAATCGGCGTGTGTTCCGCGGACCAATCTCAGCTTGATATACCCCTTCCGCTGGGATATTCTCGATTCGTTCTCGCTTACATCGGCTGTGCACACGCGTCCGAGACTTTCAGTAAAATCCAGGACTTCGTGGCACGGCAACGGTAGACGATGAAGGGAACGGGTCAGCAGCCAGAGCTTTGTCCTGAACATCGTTGACGGGATTGGCATCTTGTTCTTCTTTGGCCAGGCGTTCCTTCACTTCTCGACTTTTCTTCTTGTTGCTCTGCCAAACTCTGTCCTCCCTTTGAAGTTCTTCCAACACTTCTTCCCATTCACGCTCTTGTTTTTCATCTCCGGTGCCCAGGATCTTCTCTACGTCCACTTCTTCGCCATTCTGCAGCCTTGTGACGACCTCCCTAAGCTTTTCTATCTTGTGATCCGCTCGGCGAGAAAAAGTCGTGAATTCGTTCTTCACACCCATGATTCGAATGGCTTGGGAGCCGATCAGAATGTAGATCCAAATGAAGTATGTCGCTGGATTTGTGGGTTTATTCTGCATAGACTGTTCGCGGGGCTTGGGTCTGCCCCGAAATGCTCTGGGAATGATCGAGTCCCATATGGAAGTTTGCGCTATGCGAGGAAGATGGCGCTCTTGGGAGGACGTATGGCGAGATCGGCGCAGCCAGTGTAGCCGGGACTGAGCTGGACTCAGGAGATTTGTTCTGAGCAGACGAGTCTGAGCCACGCTGCAGAATAGTAGGGGCTTTGTGCAGCTCATTTATATTCAAGGACCAGCGGTGTGCATGGTATGCGGGATGTTGTCTGCAGTCCGGTTCTGATTCTCTACCAATTGCTGAACTTTCATGTGCTCGCAGAATCCAGCTGCGCCAAGTCGGTAGCTCCGAGGCCTTAACGCCGGGCCTAAGTGGCGAGTTCCATGTTTATTTCATGGCCAAATACGGAGTATCGCCATTACGCGCCTTCAACTCATCGATGGCAGACATTGAACTTAATCAATTTCAGATAATGGCCGGACCGGCAAAGTAGTGCTCTATGCACTTAACGATCATAATACTCTTACAATGACAGTTCTTCAGGATGCTGTTGCTTCGGCGCCAGTTGATGTGGCTCGCGCCCACCTCAACCTAACGGCTCCCACAACGCGAACCTTGAGATTTTTGCGAGCTGTTCTCGGCCTTGGTGCCTACGACAAGTGTGAATCCAAAACCGTTCGTGCTTCAACAAAAAAGGCAGCGCAATCAAAAGGCTCTAGTAGCATAAGTCGAGCACCAATTAGACCTGCGATCAAGAACAGGCAAAAGCCAGGCGCAGCAATCCAAATCCATGAAAGCAACGACGAGCAGCTGCCGCGTCTGTCGAAGGCTGAGCGACAAAAGATAGCCACCGAAACATTCAACTCCACGTTGAAGTGTCTTGGAGAGGCTGCCAAAGCTCTAAGAGGAGCTCCAGCAACAAGCACCACGCTGTCCTGCGACTCCATTGACGAACCACTCCAAGCGAGGTCACCGAACAGAGACCGAAAGAAACCTGCCATCAACTCCAAGAAGAACACCCTCGGCACTCTCCCGACAGATTGGAGCTTAGTGGCAGATATTTCCTACTCTGCATTGCAGTTTTTGAGGATATATGATTCCGAAGATGTGATATCCGCCTCGGACAATAGCCTTGGTCTGGAGAATGCCGCGTTGATCTTGCTAGACAGAACCATCTCCTTGAATCTCACAGCTCAAGCACACCGTCAGCTCTGCGACATCCACGAAAGATACTATGGGGGTCAGGTCAAAAGGCGACCTGCTTCACATACAAGTATCGCGAGGTTGCTATTAGGGCGACCAGACGCAGCAGACGAAAGCCAAAGATTCCGATTCACAGCATCGCTGCAGAGCCAAGCCCTGCGCCTTGCTCTATTGGTTGGACCAAAATGCATCGACTCGGAACTCTTGAGATCACTTCAGCAGGAGACTATAGGGAGTCCAGCCTGGGTCACGTCAAAAGGGCTGGGGAAACACTTCCTGACATCGGAACAGTCTGGTTCGCAGCTTCGCACTATCTCCCTTGTGTTGTCTAAGCTGTACGCCCTTTCGACGAGCTCAAAAGCAGAGAGCCCATCACCACCGGATCTTTTCAAGCTCTTTTGCTTGTCGTTGCGTATCAAGTTCGAATCTTGGGGCCGCTCTGGCCACTTACCAGAACCGGCTACGGAAGTATGGCGACCGCTTCACAGAGCAATCAAGCAACTGTTTGCGACTTCCAAGGACCTGAGAGTGTCGACAACATGCATGTTCCACGCACTTGCATCATTCCAGAAGCTTATGAAGGCATCAGAATGTGAAATTTTGGTTCCCGCAGATTTGATGGAGACTCTATTACACATCATCCAAGATCCAGACGAATATCCTCAGCTCATTGCTCTGGTGGAAGAGCGGCTTCGGCAAATCAACGGCGTTTCGCATCTGGTATTACGGTGTCAAATCGCTGTATCTCGCCTAAGAGCTTCAAGTGGATCGCCAAAGACATTGGAGTCGTTAAACGGCGTGGAAAGTGCTCTTGCAGAGGCAGGAGAACTGTCTGCCGTAGAGCTTGACAGGTTCCTACTGTACCTGGCCCAGCTTCGCAAAGCAGCCGCCGAACTAATCTTGTTTGACAAAGCACGACCTGTTCCGGAAAGAAATGAGCCTTCCCTAGATTTTCGGACGAATCTTATCCGCTTGACCTATTGTTCCTTCAACTTCCTACGTCGCCACATCCGCCCGGTTCTAATGTCAGCTTCCAATGATTCGAGCATCGAGAAGAGCAAGGCCTTCCTAATCACGCTTCTGAGGACCGTTGATGCTGTCCTGTCAACCGAACAATGTGCTATCACCCGAGACTCAGACCTGGCGGCGGCGGCATTGGAGGCCCTCGAAGGCTGCTCGGCAGTGATCCAAATTCTTCGAGGCGAGTGCGCTAGCTTAATCACGCAGTGTCGAATGGAGACGTCGTTGAACCAGCTTAGATTACGGATATCTCAGTTGTTTTGGTCACGATACTCGGAAGCCGTCAAAGAGGGCAAGCCTCCTTTGGAACAGGCCAAGATCCTAGACCTGTCCCTCCTGGGCCTGTCAGATTTACCATTGAGCGACCAAAAGGGAGCGCATGGTGCGATCAAATATGAAAGGCTAGCAGCTTGTTACCTGGAGGCGCAAGACTTTCAGACGGCCGAGACCGCTCTTCGAAGCGCCATCGAAACCAGCATTAAGGAAGACGTCCTTAGTCATGTTGCAGCGTCGCTCCTCTCTGATTCATTTCATGGTGCATGGTCAAATTCGGACTCGGGAAGCAGAGCCTTTGGAAGAATTTTAAACACATATACCAAAACCATTCTTGACCATGCCTCGAGAAGTGGGAACGACGACAGCTTTTACGATGATCCATCGTTGCCAACATTTCATCGCGCTGTGCTGCTCGAGAAACAGCTGCTTGCCATTTTTGAGCTAGACGTGAATGGCCGTCGACTTAGTCTATGTGCAACAATGGTGAAAGCTCTATTGTCACTCCTGCAACAGCCAGTATATCAGGTGTATATCATGAGGTTCATTAATCAGCTATTACAGTTGGCCTTGAAGAAGAGGGTACCAGCTGCGACCTTTGTCACTGACTTCTCTGTCATTCACAGAGTACTCGCGACTGACCTTACGACGAGGGAAAATGTCTTCCTGCGGAGGTATGAGCCAGAGCTTCGTGCGCTCCTCGACCTCCAATATGGATTTCTAACTGGATTGCTACCCAACCGAACATTCTCGCAAAGGGTAAAACAACTGTGCGAGATCGTTCGGACATGCAGGGTCGACGAAGAGATACGTGTGAACTGTCTTGACGTGGGAGCATATGTCAATCCACTTCTGCTCTCGGTCGAACATGCGGCATTCCTTGGAAAGTATGATGTTGGTCTAATGGCTCTGGAAGCTTTACAACATTTAGTAGAACTTGGAGTTCACGTTCCAGAGATCTCATACAAAAGGATCCTCCTGCGGAAAGGTCAAATCCACGACTTGTTAAAGGACCCTCAGTCTGCCCGCAAGGCTTTTGCGATGATTGAAAAGGCCATTGAAGGCGAGAATGACCGACTGTTTGAAGCCGAATTTGCACTCGCCTATTCGGAACACCACCTGTGTGCGGACGATCTTGGTGAATGCACTAAGTGGCTAGAACGTGCTCGGATTGCATGGCAGGCCCGTGAACGGTCAGGAATCGAGGCGTCGACCAAGGCCAGATTGCGAGAACAGAGCACGTGGTGCAGAGCTGCTCATTTGGCGTCGCGACTGGCTTATGAGTCAAGTCAGCTTGCGAATGCCCTCGTTCTCGCACGACAGGCCGCCAAAATATCAGCAACTATCTGGGCTTCAGTTGAAAAGGTTTCGGCTTCCGAAACTCCTGCGCAGCTAGAGGGGTCGTTCGATCAAGAACTGCACAGTCTTTCCGTTGAGTTCTCAAATCTTGACTTGTCCTCCCCTCCGACGATACGAATGAGGCCGGGTGCAGTTGTGCTTGAGCCCGTGGTGTCGTTATGCTGCTCAGTGTTCAGCCACATGGCATTTCTGAATGCCCATTGCGGCATATATCAAGATGCCGCTATATTCTACGAGCAGACACTGAAGATTGCCCGTAAATGGGGGCACTTGATTCATACGACAGTTGCGCTGAGCCAGCTAAGTCTGCTGCATGCTCGAGCAGGTCAAACGCAGAAGGCACAAAATAGTCTTCAGGAGCTGTCGCAAATCACCATGGACTTCCATGCAAATTGGATACGGGGACTTGTATCCCTCAATCAAGCCGAAACGTGTCTAATCCTTGGGGACGACTCAGCTGCTTCTCGGTGCCTGATCGAGGCGAAGCAGCTTCAAGTTGACAAGGGTTGTCCGACCATCGAACCGGCCGTGAGTGCATCTCAACAGGGTACAGCCACCAGCGCCTCAGTGAAGCCTTCAGGGAGAAAACGCGCCATCAAGGGACAGAAAGGGAATGACTCGATCAAATGTTTACCAAAGGAGTGTGCATCGTCCTGGAAATCTTCTTTGGAATTAACCGGCTTTAGTAGTAGAATCTCAATTCTGGAATCTAGGCTTCGGACGTTCCATGATTGCGCAGGTTCGAAGAATCCCCTCGATACTGGCATGCGATGCGACAGAGACGGCGACGGCCGTAACTCCACATCAATCGCTCTCAATTTGGTCCAGGAGGCACTCAAAATTTTCTCAGAAGATACCATACACAATGTGCTCGCTGAAACGGCTGTCGCCATCCCAGTAAGGTACCGATCAGCGAGAAAAAGTGGCAGAGTTTCATTTATGCAAGCTGCAGGCTCTCGGATAATTGATCAAAAGAACCAGGATCCAAAGAAGAGGTCGAAGCAAAAGCAGGCGGTGGAGACACTCAAGGACGGCAAGGCACTGCTGCTTCAAGCCTACGATATCCTCCAGGAAACAAGCAGCAAAGAGCAAAATCGAGTACCTTGCGACGTTGTTCACACTTGTCACAAACTATTGATCCAGATCAGTCTGCTCTCATCAGCCTTGAACCAACCATTGGTCAGCTGTTCTTCGAACGTCGTCCTGGACATAACGAGCCCCCTTGATCTCGCGCTTACGCGAGGACGCTTCGTGACTTTTGGCGAACTCCATGCAGCCAAGACGATGAGCATGGAAGATTGGCCCAATGCACACAATGTCGATGACAGCCGGATCTGTCGAAACTCAGACAAACTGCCGAATTATGACACGAGCCTTCTACCATCATCGTGGTCTGTCGTATATCTTGGGCTGAACGAGGATAAAAACGAGCTTTTTGTGGCCCATTTGGCGCACCAGAGGTCGCCATTTGTTGTCAGGATCCCTCTAGCACGACCAGATCCATCAGAGGGAGAAGGCGAGGAACTTGACCTGAAAACTGCCAAAGCCGAGATGCAAGAGATCATCATGAAAGCAAACTCTAGTTCTCACGACTCCAGGGGTTCTTCAGTCGATAAGTCGGTCAGAAAGGCATGGTATGCCGAGCGTCAAGACTTGGATCGTCAGCTCGCCACGCTTCTAGAAAATATGGAGAACATCTGGCTTGGTGGCTTTCGAGGACTGCTCTCTGCTTCTAACACCGACGAGAACGGACTCAGAAAATTTGGACAATGTCTCTCGTCAACGCTGAATCGGCACCTTCCCTCGAGGCAGAAACTGTCGAAGTCATGCGACCATGTGGTTGAACTCCATGATCATGTGTTGGAGCTCTTTGTGGCACTCGGTCATCCTCGAGAAGTGGAGTTGGAGGACGCGGTCACAGACCTCCTGTACTTTGTTATTGATATCTTGCAATTCAATGGTGAGCGCAACGCATATGACGAGATCGATTTTGACGCCATACTGGTTGAGGTATTGGATGGGCTGCATTCTTACCACGATCGACGATCAATCGCGCAGGAGAAGCGGGGCCACGTGATTCTGGTCTTGGATAAAGAGTTGCAGGTGTTCCCCTGGGAGTCGTTGTCGTGCTTAAAGAAACAAGGGGTTTCTAGGATGCCATCCATCGCATCCGTTTGGGAAAGGTTGAAAGTCATTCGAGACCAATCACACGACCTCCAAGGTTATCTGATTCCGGCAACAGATGGTGCATATATCCTCAACCCGTCTTCTGACCTCAAGGCAACGCAAGAGACCTTTGGCGAGATTTTGCAGAGTCAGCTACCCGAGTATCGAGCCATTATCAACCGGCAGCCTGAGGGAAAAGAATTTGAGACGGCTTTGAGAGACAGTTCGCTCATGCTCTACTTTGGCCACGGCGGCGGCGGGCAATACATCAGACCTCGCACTATCCGTAAGATGGACAAGTGTGCTGTGACACTGTTGATGGGTTGCAGCAGTGCCAAGTTGACCGAATGCGGAGTATATGAGCCGTATGGGATGCCTTTGAGTTATCTCGGTGCAGGCAGCCCTGCAGTGGTGGGAACATTGTGGGACGTCACTGATCGGGATATTGACCGTTTCGCAATGGAGATGATGGCGGAATGGGGGTTGATCGATATTGGAGCCAGCTCAGGAGCACAGACGCTCAAAAAGCCTGGGAAAGCTGGAGCTGGCAAAGAGAACGGAACAAGGCAACAGATATGTGATGGGCAGAGGATAGGACGGGTGGCTTTGGATGAGGCTGTGGCACATGCGCGCGATGCGTGTTTATTGAAGTATCTCAACGGTGCAGCGCCTGTCATGTACGGAATACCCGTATTTTTGGGCTAAGAGCAGATATGAATATCAAACTCGAGTATCAAAGCCGCTGTCTTCATAGCCCTGTTCTAGGCATGTCATCTGTGTTTCATGAATGAGGCTGAGGTACGCCATGAGAGACAAGGCACGAGGCTGACACCATCACCAACGAGGCTGTACCGAGTACACGTCGCAGTCACTAAGCCATAATTGGACTAGTTGCAACGCCTCAGGCGCCAGAGCTCGTCCGGCTATCCAATAGGAAGTCAAGATATAGGGGTCGCGGGGTCCACGGAGCTCATGGGTGGCCGACGCCCGCCGCAGGCTGATCCCGTCACTGCAACAAAGGCAACAGCCATTCCACTGCCTCCTGCACCTCAGTTGATCTGATCACCTTCATCATCTCCCCCGTCCTTTATTCAACCTCTTCTTGCCACAACATTGTCTGTATCTATCGAGCTATTCCTCACCACCTCGTCTCCCCCACCCACCTGGCTGATGCAGCTTGACTCCCACCGTCGTCAATTGAGCATCACCATGCCTTGCCCATGGTCCTCTCGTCGCTGCTCCTCGCGGGCGGCTGACGACTCCACTATCACCAATGCTCTCCCTTCTCCAACCTCTACACCCGAAGTCGAGGACTGGAAGAAGATTCGCAGGTTCAATCTGCGCATGATGAGAAAGCAGATCCGCTGCGTCATCCTGCTGATGGCTCTCATGGAAGCCCTCCGGGTTGGGCCACTGCAGATTGTGTATGCTGGCAAGCATGAATATCCGGCTCCTGGAGAGGACGACTATGGCGTATGCTCTGACTTTCATAACTTTTCGGAAATGGCGATGGATGCTGACACTGTTTGTCGATCAGATTGCCTACACTGTCGGATACTTCGTCAGCTGGTTGTACGTGTGCGTATTCATGATAATTTGGATGCCGCTTTTCGATGTAAGCCGCTACGCTCTCCAAGTCCTGATATTTGACAAGCGAATTCAACGCCTTACTAACGCTTGTGGTTTCAGTGGTGGGTTCCAAAAACCCTTCCCGGCTCTGACGACCCGTCCAAACCCTCAACGGCGATGAAAGTTATCTGCCTGCTTAAGAAGCTCAACATGATACTTCTTCCCATTTCCATCTGCGTCTCCCTCCTCACGTACGTCTACTACCTGGCACACACCTTCATCTTCGTCGACTCTCGCACCCGCGGTTCCACCAGATTCCCCAAAAACACACGTAAAAACTGGCTCGTTCGTGCTTTCATGCTTCTCGGTATCGCCATTACCACGAGCTTGGGGTATGGTGCGTTCCAGACACTTGAGAAATTAGATCTCGCACGGGTGAAGAATATTGAGTACGCTTTGATTGTGGCTCCTGTGCAGATCAACTTCGGTGTTCTTTTGGGAACCGTCATGCAGTTCCGCATGGAAAAAAGACTTGCACGCAAACAGGCACTGAAGTTGCAGGCTGCCAAAGTCGAGGACGGCCTTGTCGAGGAAAAGGCGGCCCTGATCGAGGTCTAAACAGCCCTGTGACTGATTGGGTCAGCACTGCAGCCTTTCCTTCGATCACACTGCCTGCATTGCTCAGTTACTGAGGACAAACGGTACCCACTTGGACACATTTGCTAGGCAGTGGAGACCAGGAAGGGCTCAGATGACAGCCCGAGTGAACAGTAACTGATGGGCGGCGATGGGCGTAGCACAATGCCCAGAAAGACAGAGACGCGAATTTTACTCTTTGTAACCGCCTGCACAGGCCCCGAAGGCGTCTAGGGAAAATGAGGCCTTGGGAAGAAGGAGATACGAGACAGACCAGTTGGAGAAAGTGGACAGCTAGGGTGCGTTGGCATAAATTGGCCTTTGGGGGCTGGAGTTACACGTTTCCATTCATTATTAAATATTACGATCGGTCAATTGTTTCTTTGGCCCGTGTCTTCTGCGACCCAGTATTCGAGGCAACACAGCACAGCCTTGTGTTTCCACTCTCTAACCAAAACGTTGAAAGCTATGCTCCGTGATCTTGCTGTAGACGGCTGTCCAGGGCGAAACTCGACCAGAATCATACCGAACACAACAGACAGGAGTGTAGGATTGTTCCTGCCACTCCCATACCCCCGAGAATCATGAGTCTAGCCCCCTTGACATCTTGTTGAACAGATGTCGACGCGACCGAGAGTCAACAAGACAGCTTACTCACTGACAGAACTTCCTCTCGCCTATACACAAGACGAAGGGAAAGCTGCGTACCTCGCCCTGGCCTTCCTTGGGCCTCCCGGCGTCACCAAACTCGCCCTCGTACTTCTCCACCGATTTGTCCATGCTCCAGGCCGTCTCGACCCGGACATTGACGAAGCCGACCTCGTTCAACAGGGCTTCCATCGCGGCGCGATTGATTCCGTGTCTTTCGACGCCGCCCATCCTCGACCGGGCGTGGAATCGCTTGGACTCGGGCCCCGTGTCCTCGAAGTCCGTCAGGGCCAGGCTTCCCCCGTCCTTGAGGCAGCCGAGCATGGTGGTCAGCACGGCCTTCAGGTCTGGGATGTGGTGCAAGACCAGGTGCGAGGTGATGAGGTCGAACTTGAGCCGTTGGCCGTCGGGGTCCTTTCCGTCGGCCGGAGGGAGGTGTTTGTCCTCGGGATCCTCCAGCAGGACGGCCACGGGGGTGATGTTCGAAGGGGCGCCCGGTGCCTCCAGCTTGGTCTTGAGCACGTCGATCATCCCCTCGGCGGCGTCGACGGCGACCAGGCGTCGCGCGTAGGGTGCAAGCATGAAGGAGAGCAGGCCCGTGCCGCAGCCTATCTCGAGTATGTCCAGCCCGTTGGGCCCCGGGGGGTTCTTCAGCGCGGGGAACCGCGGGATGATCGCACTCGACGCATGCTTGCTGGCTGTGTGGACGAAGGGGTTGCGGTCCCAGGATGCTGCCTCTGCGTTGAAGCGTTCATTGCCTGACCCGGCGTGAAGAGATGACACGGCACTAGCCATGGACGGACGAAATCTGGAGATGGAGACGACAGTTGAGATGAATGTCCTCAGGAGTCGTGCGGTTATCACAACGTACTATCCCCTTACCGCTGACGCTGATGTGGTCAAAACTCCAGATGTTCTGTCTCGCTGCTGCTTCAGGGCTTATTCCGACAAAGAGATCACTCCTCCCTCCATCCAGCCTCTCCCCCAATGACAAACTCGTGGTCAGATCACCCGCCTCTGCGGAGAAACAGAGGCGTCTTTCCGAAGTCGGGGAACCACGACCACAGTTCGACCTCGGTTCAAGATCGCCTTCTGGGGCAGAAATGCAGAAACATTAACACATGGGCAACTCCTGTAGCGGTTTGAGCGTAGCCATGCTGGCGTCGACGAGGCCGTCACAGGGGTCACGATATGTCAGGACGTCACAGGATGTGGGACCAGGTCAGGATATGTAGCGACAAGAGTATTTGCATCCACGTACGGGATTCTGTCCAAACTTCATGCTGTGATAGGTCTGCGGCTGGTATGGGATTTCCTGATCAAGTACCTCGGGTCTATCACGCCATTCCGTGCGTTTTGTAGCCCGTTGCCCTGTCGAGACACCTGGGCTGCGTGTACAGTATACACACTTCTCCGCTTTTCCCAACCTTGCACCTCCTCCGGCTCGGGCAGAGGTAGATATATATATCCACGCGAAGACCAGACTCGAGGGGTCACTGATCGAAAGGAAGTCACCATAACGGACCTGTCCTTCCTTCTCCCGTCTGCTCTCTGACCTGAAGCCCCTAGATGTGAACTCCCAACTCCCGCCGTTCGGGAATTCTTGTGTATATCTATCTATATCCATACTAAACCCGTCCTTTTTGGGCCTCTCTCCTTCTTCTGACTCCCCCATCATCATCATGGATCCCTCCCTCACCGGCGCAAAGGTGATAGCCCAGGCCCTGCACGACCTGGGCGTCTCGGTCATCCACACCCTGGTCGGGATCCCCGTGGCCGAGATCGCGGAGGAGGCCATCGACCTGGGCATCCGGGTGATTGGGTACCGCAACGAGCAGGCGTGCAGCTACGCCGCGTCCGTGTACGGCTACCTCACGGGCACGCCGGGCGTGTGCATCTTGACGGGCGGCCCGGGCATTCTGCACGGCATGGCTGGGGTAAGTTGATGGAGCCTCGCCCACGAGCCCACAGCCGGTTGAGGAAGATTCTTGTATATCTCTACCATGTTTGTTTCGTTTTTTTGTACTGCTCTATTTATTTCTCTGCTGAGCCTTGGGGTCGGTGTGTGGTATAGATCGGTAACGCCTCGGCCAATGCGTTCCCGCTGCTCGTCCTGGGCGGCTCGTCCGAGTCCAGCCTCGCTACCAAGGGCGGCTTCCAGGAGTTGGACGCCATCGCCCTCTTGACGCCGCACACCAAGCGAGCCATCCGCCCGACGTCGCGAGACCCGGCCACCATCGTCGCCGCGATCCGCAACGCCTACCGCATCGCCTGGTACGGTCGGCCGGGCCCGACGTTTGTCGACCTGCCCACCGAACTGATCATGGAGCCCGTCCCGGCGGGGAGGTCGACGTCCCACCCGCCAATCTCTGTCCTGCCACCACCTCACCCGGCTGCAGATCCAGCCCTCGTCGTCGCGGCAGCGAACCTGCTCAAGTCGGCTTCCGCTCCGCTCGTGATCGTTGGCAAGGGCGCAGCGTACGCGCGGGCTGAGAGCTCCATCCGCAGCCTCGTCTCGGCCCACCACCTGCCTTTCCTCCCGACGCCCATGGGCAAAGGCATCGTCCCGGACTCGCATCCCTTGAACACGTCGTCCGCTCGCTCGGCGGCGCTCAAGCACGCCGACGTGGTCCTCCTCCTGGGGGCGCGACTGAACTGGATCCTCCACTTCGGCGAGGCGCCCAAATACCGCCGGGACGTCAAGATCATCCAGGTCGACATCTCGCCCGAGGAGCTCGGCCGGGCGAACAGTCTCGGGCAGCCGTCGCTCAGCATCTTCGGAGACATTGGCTTCGTCGTGGATCAGCTCCGCCAGCAACTCGGTCCTGGGTGGAAGGCGTTTCCGAGCAATACCTTCCGCGCCTCCTCGTCGCCGTCCTCATCACAGCCATCGTACTTCTCCCTCCTCTCGGCAAGCGCCGCTAAGAACGAACAGAAGTCTGTCCGTCTAGCGACCACGCCCACACAGCCCAATGCTCTACTGACGTACGAGCGCGCCTACCACATCATAAAGTCTGAGCTGCACGCGCTCTCACCCCCTCAGGACGGCGGGGTCGTGTATGTCTCCGAGGGGGCGAACACGATGGACATCTCACGCAGTGTGTTTCCCCTCGAGCATCCGCGCCAGCGCCTCGACGCCGGCACATACGCGACCATGGGCGTCGGGATGGGGTACGCGATCGCCGCGTGGGCCGCGTACAACATCCCGCGCCGGGCGGCGAAGAAGATTGTCGCGCTCGAAGGGGACTCGGCGTTCGGGTTTTCGGGCATGGAGATCGAGACCATGGCCAGACACAAGATGGACGTCTTGATCATCGTGATGAACAACAGCGGCATCTACAAGGGCGACGCTTCGGACGAGACCGGCTGGAGAGAGAAGCAGGGCCAGACTGCCAGGGATGAGACAAAGATTGCCACCGCCGCCGAAGGAAAAGAGATTGAAGGTAAGAAAGATGCTCGCAGGAGGGGACTCCGAAGTACCTCCCTCCTCTACGAGACGCGGTATGAGTGTCTCGCCGACATGGTCGGTGGACGAGGCTGGCTTGTGCGCACCGAAGACGAGTTGGCCGAGGCGACGAGGCAGGCGTTCCTGGAGACGGAGAAGGTCTGTGTGTTGAACGTCATCATCGATCCCGGGCTGAATAGCGCGGCGAGCTTTGGGTGGATGGAGACCAAAGAGAAGCATGGTGGTGGCGGAGGGGAGAGCAAATTGTGAACGATCTGAGTTTGTACTGGAAAATAACCTAGGCGTTTGTGGTAATTTGAAGTTCCTCATATCTGATTTCGCCGTAGATGTCGTCGAGTGCAAGAAGTAAGAGTATAGCTCGTTGTGCGCGAGATTATTGGATATTTCTGTTGCCGTTCAAGTTTGGATTGCAACAGCATCCGACCAGACTTCATCAACTTTGCCCTCGCCATCGAGGAGACCGAGATCGTCCAGTATGTCGAAGAAATCGAGGAATCTTTGTTCGCCGTAGGCGCGCGCAATTTTCACCGCAGATGCTGGAATTCCTTGTATAGAAGCAGGTATGTCCTCTTGATAGGACGGCCACGTCTCGGCTTTCGCGTCCGCGCCGTTCGCAAGGAGATGGCGGATGATTGCAATGTTGCCATTCCCAAGTGCCAGATGGAGCAACGTCCATCCCATCGAGTCGGGGAGCTCGATTCCCAATTCGTTCTGGAAGGACGGGAAAAGGGCAAAAAAGGCGTCCTCGACGCCATGATAGACAACATAGTGAAGTGCCGTCCACCCAGACCCAGGAGATCTCTCGAACGGATCGACGCCGTATTTGATGAGGGTCAATGTGTCCTTCGGATTGCCGTAGACGGCGCACCGAGCCAGTAAGCTCCATCCTCCCACGTCGACAACTCCACAATGCGACCAGTCGAAGTCGCCTTGGCTTCGCAAGAGGTCGAGAAACAAGGACGACTCTACTTGGCGGCTTGTCTCTGACCATAAGTAAAAGGTGGGTGACCACCCAAAAGCACTTACGTGCTCGAGCGTTGCGCCCTTGGAGAGCAAAAGCCTGGCAATGTCCAGGTCCCTGAGCTTCAGCGCCCACGACAGTGCCGACGTTTGGTACTCGCCGAAAGTGGAATCAATCCGGGCTCCATGATCAAGCAGCTCTTCGCATATATCGACGTGCCCACCTTCAATGGCGTGACAGAGAGGCGTGCGTTCCCACTCGTCTGAGAAGGTCACGCTGGCGGGACATCTCGACAGAAGTTCTCTGACGCGCAGTGCATCACCGTTATAACATGCTGCCAAGAATGGATCATCGTTTGGAACGGATAGACGTGTGCTGACCATGATTCTGTCCACTCGAAGCCCGGGTAACCAGCCAGAAAACTCTAGTTGGAGCCCCCACTTTGAAATAAGATCCAGTTTGAGAGACCAGATTGATGTATAGTCTCTGTCGCGGTCAAGAGATATGGCGGACGCAGTCAAGGTTGCTAAACTGGCGCAACAGACTCTCCATTGACTGACACATGTACCTTTCCGGTTGACAGCGGATTTTCTGCATCTGGCTCCCACAGTGGTATATTCGTTTTGACAATTTGAACATAGTTTAGGCCGCTGTGCAACCATTTTGGCAGTCGCCATGTCGTGGGACAGATTTGTCGTCACTTCGGAAATCAGCTGCAAACGTTGGCTTTCGGAAGTCAGTAACTGGTATTCCTCCAAACGTTTCCCACTTACCACTGTAGTATGCCCAGCACCAAAGTGAGGGAGCTTTCGACATGTGCCAATTCAGTCGTTAACTCCTTCGCTTTTGCCTGGCCCACGAGCGCCCAGTGTATTCGGCCATGATGTCTGCCCTTTGTAATCGAGGCCAAAGTATCCTTGAGAGAGGCGATATCGTGACGGCATGCCTCCAACATCGTCGCACAAGACTTCGCAATGCTGCCTCCATCATTGATGCTCCCTTGTACCTCAGGCAGCGTCTCCAGAAGGATTACAAGCTGCTGGACTTGGTGGGCGGACTTCTCGATTTTCAACGGTGCCTCCCGAAAGCGTTGCAGGAACTTAATTGCCCCCTTTACTACGTCAATCAGCGTAACGATCGAAGCTGCTCCTCCAATGGGTTCCATCATCTAGTGGTTACCGTGATTAAAGAGAGCACGGGAACATGTCCCGAGAGCATTTGCAAAGTTTCGGTCAGGGGATCTGATCCTCCCGCAATACCATAGGCAAGCATTCTTATCAAAGAATGAGCAAGTAGCATGATGGCGCCCGGGGGATTGTTGTACTGTCATTTTAACCGCGCGGTAACTGGAGCAGATGAAAGCGTTTTACAACGTCGATTTTGTAAGTGACCGTTGATGTCCAGCTGGAGCAGAGTAGTGTTTCACAATGTCAAGTTGTTTTCCAGATGGGAGGGCGCGACTAGCCCAGAAATATGGTTGTGGGTTGGTCTGATGGTGGGCGCTTTGGTGCAGTTTGGCGCAAGGCTGGGGGCCAAGAGCATGTGCTCACTCGATGCCTCTACCATCTTCAACGGAGCAAAATCGTATCGCAATCAAGAGCATTAGCCAGCACCGTCCAGAGCGTACTCGTTCATCTATCCAAGGTCAACAGCCTACTAGGTATGTATTCTTGCCGAAGGGAGTTTCACGCATATCCATTACAGGTTCGATTTCATTCTTCAGTGCGTTTCCGCGTTCCTCAACAGTGATCGTCGCGCAACTGGCGGTCCAGACCTTTGATCGGTGATCGACCATTCACCGACGCGTGGCAGCCCAAAGCCACTACGGTCTAGGAGTGGATGGTCCCAACAACGCGGAGCTATAGCACAATCAACACCCATGATAACAACCTGAGATGAGAGAGGGCGCTGTGAATAGCTGACAGGAGTGGTGGACTTGTTGCAGGATCTTGAGTACAAGGAAGGGTAATTGCCGGGGATCGATTGCTCATTCCCATGCTTTGGATTTTCTCATTTGCCATGGGTTCGATGACAGCATGGAGTTACATAGTAATGTGCAGGTTCACCAACCTCCTTGCCAGCAGAACATTGTGACATTGTCTTTCAACCTTCCTTGTAGCAAATAACCCAGTTGAGATAGCCAATAGGCCAGGTATGGCACGCTTGACCACTCTTGAACTTCCAATTTGCCAGCTTCTCACTCGGCACATGCCGGTGGAGGAGAGCTTCGACTTCCTCAGGCGTTCTGGTCCTCAGACACGAAATGTAGCCATCCCAAACCCATATAAAGGGCACAATGGGAACGAGGTAGGTGAAGAACAAATGTCCCGGCGAGCGGAGGAAATAGATTGGCGTGATGAGCATGGCTAGCGGCCAGAGTAGACTGACGAGGATGAAGGAGCTGAGATGTCGAGACTGGAGCTCAAAAATGCTGGATAAAGGTCATTCAACACACTCCAGAGCAGAAACACGGGAAACTAACCAGAAGCCATCCGACGTCTCGATGGTGTTTGTGAGCACTTTCGCCGCAAGGTCATCGTCAAAGTGGTGGAAGGCCAGACTGAACAGGCGCATGACCTTCTTTCCCTTTGCGTCAGGAACATCCTTGAGCAGGGTCTCCTGGGTTGGGGCATTCGTGGCATCCACACTCTGCGGGATGTAGCTGATGTTCTTGCTCTTCCTTGCAGCTACCTCCCAAGCGCTGACGTGCGGGCTGATGTCGGTGAGGACAAATTTCACTTCTTCCTTTCCTGTAGCGCGAAGCTCGCTGTTCAAGTGATTCTCGATGTATGGTGTCGGTCCACCGGCGCCCGACGCGAAGTCGACGTAGGCATACTGGGACAGTCGAGGACCAAGGACCGTGGATAGCACACGAGAGACGAGCGCCGCCGGGGAGGTGGACTGGATGAGGGGAAGCCTATTGACCCAACCAAGGGTCAAGTAGTCTTGCACTTTTTCTCGGAGGGTTTGTGGGAACCTGCAATGTTGTTTAGGACATGCCATCAATCGGCGTAAGGGGGTGAACCGTGAATACCATGGTTGATCATTGACTTCGAAGAAATGCCTCCGACGAAGCCAGACAGTCTGGCTAGCGGGCGTCATTGAGATGCGGTACACCTCTCAAGCGTCTGGTTTGACAGTCCATACCACTGCCAGGCCGGTGGAATATAAATACAATGTGACTGTACATCTCAGGTGGCATTCAACCTTTTGTGGGTGCGAGGTGTTGAATCGTATTTGCGGGAGCGTTTTCAGTGCAGCTAGCGAGTTTCAGCCTCGACAGACGTCATCCAACTCTGCTGCTCGCATTCTTATGCGCGTCCAGCCCGGCATCTGGGCGGAATAGCGATCAGCCTTTAACCTTCCAACCCCGTGGCAGTGGAGCGTTGCTAAACTTGGGACGAGCAATCGTAAACTTATCTCCTTTTAAACCGTCAAATACTCCCTGTTGCCTCGCAGGGCTTCATTCGAACCTACCTAGTCATCGACTCCATCCACCATCTCTAGACTTGTTTCTAGCTCGTCAGAATGCTCCCGCCACATCTCGGATTCCTCGGCCACGTGGTCATCGAAATCCCAGCATGCCTCTCGTTCTATCTCTTTCCCTCTCGCCAGCTGGGAATGCACACGCCTCATGCACATGCTGTTGTCCGGCAATACGCCGCGCTTATACTGGCCTCTGTCCTGGTGGCAATGGTATTCGTCAACCGGCCACGGGATGATGTTTCTGGCAAAGTCGCTGGAGCCCTAGCGATCTATCATGTTGCCCCTTCCATCCGGTCTGTAAACAGATTGACCACACAGGCACGGTTGCAAAAACCAATCATCGTCTCTGAGGCATTTCTCTACCTGGTTGTACATGTCATATGCTGTGCTGCGCTACTCCACGACGCCTGGTGCGCCCTGTACACGGAAAGTCAGCCTTAGGGGCGCCGACACAGCCATCCCTCCAACTCCGCAATTTCAGTCAACGTCTTCGGCAACCAGAGTTTCCGTTGGGCTTTCAGTTCCTGCATCTGACCCTTGATTACTCCTTTTGAGCATCATCATTTCGACCGCAATCCCTGGCCCGAAGGCACACGCCACGATGTGGTCCGTCGTTTCACCCTCGAGCAGTCGGTTCATGACGCTGAAGATGGTGGCGCTGGAACTGTTGCCGTGAGTAATGTAAACCTCATAGCTCGCGCGGAGGAGTTCGGGTTTCAGATTCATCGCCCGTTCCACCCCAGTGATAATCGTGGAGCCGCCAGGATGAAGCGCCCAGTCATAGTCCGATGCCTTGAATTTCCCGAGGTCGACGAGCTCTGGTACTGATCCTACCAGATCCTCAAACATGGCAGGTACCGCAGCTGAAGCTAACTTGGGAACTCGCTGTGTCAAGACCACTTTCCAACCTAGCACTCGAATCAGCAGTTGAAATCTCCCACAACGGGCGTGCTCTACTTACCGACAGGGTCAACGTCAAAACCTAGATCCTTTTCGGTGTCTTCAATAATCTTATGGTCCCAACCCAAGAGCTCCAAGATCGGTTCTTCGTCATATCGGTCGCTGAACCCATTACCGAGCACCACGGCCGACGCACAGTCACTGAACAAGGTGACGCCTATTCTGACCTCCTGGTTCTTGTGGATCGAGTCCAGCTCAGATCTGACCAGGGTGCTTGATATCTCGCAGGCAAAGACCAGGATGCGTGCAGGCTTCCGTCGAAAGCTGGAACCAAGCGCGATGTTCGCCGCTGTTCGTAACGCTCCGAGCCCGCCAGAGCAACCCACTCCGTGCAGAAGGACTTTTTCTATGCTGGGGTTGAGACCGAGTCCTTTGATGACATAATGGTCATAGCCTGGATTCGCCGAGTTGGTGCAGGTAGTCGCAACGACATGGGTGATTTCAGACAGGTCTCCTCCCCATTGCTTGATGGCCTTGCGGCAAGCTTCTATTGACAGCTTCACACCATGGTCGAGAAACAAGTCGCACAACTCGGCTATGGTCGGGGGCTCAGGCGCATTCGCAATTGGATGGTCAATGTTGCCAATTGCAGAACGAGAGTCGATCCCCGTATACTCGTTGATCCTCAGCACCTTTTCGAGTCTAGAAGAAGGCGTCAATTGGGCTCACCCCCTCTCGGGTCAATGGATGAAGGCTTACGCTGGGGTACTGGGATAAAAGCGCCTGGCAAGGGTCTCCAGATGGTCTGGCTTGATTTCATAAGGAGGGTATTCGACTCCAATGCCATGGATGTATAGATTGGGTTTTTGGTAAGGCGGGGTGACCTTGGTGTGTATTGCTGAGGGCGACATTACGGTGGGTGGTGGAGGCTTGACGGGTTGGTTCGCGAGAAGCTTGAAATACGAGCCCCAACAGTTTTTGGTGAGTGATGACGTTGAGATATTATTGCATGGATGAAACACGCATGAAACAGAGGCTCTAAAGATGGTTGACTGCGGGCGTGCAAAGGAGCGACAGTTGAAAAGAGAGAGGCAGCGCGTCTCTGTCGTCGACTGAGAGACTGCGACAAGTGCTGGAGGGAGGAGGGCGTGTAGGTTTTGACTGTAGGAGCGGTAGAGGGCAGATGCTCACAAGCGAGCCATGTAAGAAGTTGGACAGATTCCCTCGCACTGCTCGTGTGCGTCGGGACTCGTCCTTGGAAGGAACCCGCGAATCAAGGGGCGAGGATATCATAACCGCATGATTCGACTGGGGCGATCTAATCAGGATCTGATGTTTGGCGTTGCCTTGTTGCAGAAAATAGTCATGGCCAGAGACGAGCCAGGAACTCTGCCCTTCCGAGTGGCTCTCAGCGGCACCATCTGCGCCATCTGCGCATCTCCTCGCTACATCCGCGTCAACCTCCATCGCCATCACCGTCCCTCCATCTCAGCCATATTATCCGCGTCATGGCCCACATCGACAGCCTCACAAGGCTCGCCACCTCGGCCCTTGCCATAAGAATGGCCTAATGGCTTGACCCAAAAGTGCTGGCTTTACGGCCGTGCAAGTCCCATGCCCACCCCCGACAAATCAGCAATGATCTGGCTCACCACCTGCATCGCACTCTTGCTGGGCATCACACTGTACTATGCTTTCGCACGAAAGCCCAGAATACATCGTCACGGTCATGCCTTGAGGCAAGCATTCCACTCCATCCCATCACAGCTGCCTCTGTAGCGTCGACTACGCCTACTAACCAATACCACGCAGACATGCGCCGGACTCCCTCCCGCTCCTTGGAAATGCCATTCAGTTCCTCAAACCGCGCCATGTCCTCTTCGACTGGTTCGTCAAATGCCAGCAGATGTTTGGCCAGGAGACGTTCGAGATTTCCGTTCCTTCGCTACCTCCCGGTGTGGTCATCAACAGTCCTCAAGTCTTGGAGTATGTACTCAAAAACGAGGCGGCCATCACCAAGGGCGACTTCTTTAGAGAACGTTCTTGGGATCTTTTTGGTAGGTCACCGAGTTGAACATGAACTGACTCTTGAGCTGAAGCTGACTTGACGTGGCTAAGGCTATGGCATCATCAACGCATCCGGCGAGCTGTGGCGCGCGCAACGGAAAGCCGGGTTGAAATTCTTTAGTGGCACCAACCTCGATATCATGATCGAAGAGGTTCTACCGGAGATCTATCACGAGTCCACCAGGGATGTCCTCTCTCAAGCTGCCCAGGAGCGATCTGTGGTCGATTTGCAGAAGATCTTCCACGATCTCACGACCACGGTGGTTGGACACATGGCGTACGATGTAAGACTTGCCTACCTGCCGTGGGTGACAGCGGTCAAGATATGGTAGCTGATTCTAACGGACGCTCTTCCAAACTCAGATGGAAATCGACGCCACCTCCCCCTTCAGCAAAGCCTTTGATCACGCCTCCTCCCAAATCGGTCTCCGCTTTCAAAACCCCCTCTATCGCATCACCGAGATCTTCACAGGCTCTTCCTTCCGCGCGGCCCTCATCGAGGTGAAGCGCTTTGGCCGCCAGATTGTGTCCGAAGCGCGCAAGCGCCGTGCTCGGGAAGCGTTTGAGAGTCTCATCACCAACACCCACGAGGAGGAGACCAAGCTCGAGCAGCAGCGAAGGCAACCCGACAACGACGACGAATCCGGGTTGGGATTTGGAACCTTGATTGATTCACTCATCGAATCGTTGGGAGATCCGAAAATCGTGGCCGATGCAGCGCTCAATTTCCTATCCGCGGGTCGAGATACCACGGCGCAGAGTTTCACCTGGACATTCTACGCATTGCTGAGACATCCTGAGGTGTTGAAGCGGTTGAGGGAGGAAATTGATTCGAAATTCGACATGGCGCCTTCTTTACCAGCAGATATGAGTCCAGTAGACGGTGCTGCAGCCGCGGATGTTGAAAGCGAGGGCGAGGATATCGAAATCGACGTATCGGCCCTCCAGCCAACATCCCTCCCGTACACCACGGCCGTCTTTTATGAATCCCTTCGCCTGTACCCGCCCGTCCCCTTTGAAATCAAGCAAACCACTCAACCAGTCACCCTGCCCGACGGCACCTCCTTGCCCGCAGGGGCAGTCGTCGTGTGGTGCATCTGGGCCCTCAACCGCTCCTTGTCGACGTTCGGCGAAGACGCCCACTCCTTCCGCCCCGAGCGCTGGTTAGAACCCTCCACCTCCAAAGCGAGCCCTCCTCGCTCGGACGGGGATGCCAACGACCCCACAGCCCCCCCGCCCGGCCTCAAGTTCACGGGCTCCAGGTACTCGGCGGGCGAGTTCCCCGTCTTCAACGGCGGCCCGCGCAGCTGCCTGGGCAAGAAGATGGCCGAGCTGATGGGCGCGTGGGTGCTGGTGCGCGTGCTGCGCGAGTGGGACTTCGAGGAGGTCAACGACGGCTTGAACATGGACGGGTCCTCGGGCCGGCGCCGCAGCGCCAATTCCCTCACGCTCCCCATGCAGGGCGGCCTGCCTGTGCGGGTCACGAGGAGGACGGCGAGGAGGAGGAGGGTGTGAAGGTTGTTATTGCGTACTTTGTACTGAGTACTCACTTGACCTTGAACCTGTTGATCCTCTGCTATGTATATTCTACCACAGTAGACTACACTGCATTTGAATTGCATGATCAGCGATCACGAATTGGGCTGGCGCTGGGATGGTGGCTATAGTTGGGTTCAAAAAGCATTGAAGCGAGTTCAATCGTTGAAAAAAGAGCTCGTTTCATAGAGTCAAGAAGAAGAGCCGTGAAGAAATCCGTCTCGAGGCATTGTGCGTAAAGTACAACTAGAAGAATCTAAGTGGCTTGTTGAGCAGAGCTCGACATTTATACGTTGGAAAAGACCGGGTTGTCTCAGAGGTTGTGTCGTCAAGTTGTAGGCAGGGGAGTCAGCCTCGCCTGCCACAGGGCACGGTGGAACGTCTTTTTCTCATCCTGCTCTCCTCCGTATCGGGAATCATATCTCGTCTACGTCCTCTCCTGCAACACTTTCATATCGCATGCCTCGGCCAGTCCTCAGCTTCAAAGGTACCTCGTACATGTGTGCGTAATCCACCACTTCTCCGCCCAGGTAGCCCACTCCGTTCTTCCTCCTCCCAAACACGGGAGCCGGATCACACCAGAAGTCTTGACAATTGCCCACAATGCCACGACTGAAGGGGTTGGAGTTGCGAGATTGCAGGTGGCCGTGTGATGCGTCGCTGGCAGTCACCATAAATGCGTCCACGCCGAGGATCTTTGTCCACCGTGTGAAACAGCCGTCAGGCCGATGGGGAGCTGGCTGAAGGCGGGAGGACGCGGCGGCGGTGTCGTTCAGAGAAGTAGCGGCCGCAGATGCGCCTTGGGTGATGGGGTGGTTGTGGGTCGGGAGTAAGGGGCGATGGTGGTCGTGCACTTTATCGTGGCGCTTCATGTTTTCGTAGGTGGTTTGATTCTTCGAGATCTGAATCGTTTGGACCGCAATCAGCATGATCACCCAGACAAGCTGGAGACAGGTCCAGAATGTCAGTGCCACGGTCCAGGGGTCACGGAGCACGAAGGTACACAACGACGCAGAGAGGACATGGCATTTAGCGACGGCGTCGTCGGAAGGCGGTGGGAGGAGATCAAGGTAGGACAGAACAAGGCGGACGTAGAGAACGATTCCAATTGCCATGCTGAGGATGTAGATGTAAAAGTGGCGAATGTTGTTGTTCCCCACGCAATTGTCGATCCACGGACAGTGGTGGTCTTGTTTTGCAACGCATCGGTTACACCGCCGACAGTGTTTCGAACGTAGGGGTTTTCGAATCATACACTGTACGCAGAAGTTGTCTTCATCGAATTTCCATAGGGAGAACAGCTCGTCGATCATCGCACGTTGCTGGTTTCGTGATGATAGTTTCGGTATCCACCCAGGGTCTTCAATCATTGAGAGGAAGTAAAAGTATGCTGTAGCGCCGTACAATATAGTGAAGCAGACGGTTGTGAGGGGATTCGTCGAGAATGTCATTGGGAGTATCGAAGTCACGTAACTGACCCCCACCCAAAAGAGCGTCCCGGCAAAAATGCCCGCCAAATACGGCGTTTTGTGGATGGCGCGAAATTCTAGCGGTCCGATCATCGCAATTCGTTGCGCAGCATACTGCATTCCCAGGCAGACAACCAAAAATACCGGAACTCCAATGAAGACGCTGAGGTGACTTATAATGTACAGGCCGACCATGATGATCAAGAAAGGGTACAAGAAGAAGAATTTGGACATTTTCGAACGGTCTCTGACCACGGTGTGTAGATTAAGGGGGAGAGTCTTGACGTTGCCGGAAATGTCGTATCCATGGTCAGATAATGAGCGATGGTATGCTCGTTTGGTGTTCATTTCCTCGGCACAGGTAATTGGCGTCTTGCCTTCGTTGGTCTTTGCGAATCTGTCCGCGCCGTACTCGATGAGCTTGTCCAAGCAGGCTTTTGAGCCTTTGACCAAAGCCCAATGTAAGGGTGTATATCCATTGTCGTCTGCGGCATTGACGTTGGCGCCCCATTTGAGGAGGAGATCCACGCAGGCTGGCCAACCTTTGTATCCTGCCCACATCAGACTAGTATGGCCTTGAGGATCGGGGATATCGACGGGGATATTTTGTTGTAGAAGAAGTATTAATAGCAGCGCGTTCCCATCAATCGTTGCTAGATGGAGGATGTTGTATCCTTGGCCGTCGGTCAGAAGAGGATCTGCGCCGTTCTGCAATAAAAGGTTGACGATATAAAAGTGACACCTCTGCGAGGCCCACATTATGGCGGTGGCATTGGATTCCCCTCCTTTTGCATTCACGTCCGCACCCTGCTCGACGAGGTATTTGCACACGGCATATTGGTTGTTAATAGCAGCCCAGTGCAGAGGGGTGATTCCCTCATCGTCTTTATATTTGGCGTCGTATTTGCCAGACTCGATCATCTTCTGGATGTGTTCGAGAGCGCCTATTCGGGCGCATTGCATGATATCCTCTTCCAAAGGTATGCTGGGCACTGCCGGGCCATTTTGGACAGGACCCAGTTCGACATCTTCCGAGGTCACCTTGGGGGAGGCCGCGTTGGCCTTGGAAGTGGGTGGATGGGAAAGTTTCTGGGAGGTCGGAGAGGACATGGCGCTGCGTGATTGAGACTACTGTCGCAGAAAGGCACATAATGATTTTTCCATAATGTTCGGGTCGAGAGGGCAGAATATTCAGATGCACAGTCAAAGAAAACGCAGTCTAAACCTCCTGGCCTCCTGAATCTTCCAGTTCGTCCGCAGCTGGACCCCAAACTGACAAGGCCGCCTCGGATTTGTCGTATAAAGGGGCCTATCACGTGGAACCGGTCGCCAAGAAGCGCCCCTCGGCAAACGTGCCTCATCGGCCGGATTCGTCCTCCTGCGAGTTCCGGGATTAATTCGATTGAAGCTCCCCTTACAAACTACTAGCTGGCATCCTCGACTTCACATCAAAATTCTCCTCTCCACTCCCTCCGACCTATCTCATTACACCTTTTCCTCCTAGGAAGTTCCTCATATCAGCTTCACGGGTCGGCAAGATGATGTCGAGGAACGTCTTGCGCCAGTCTGGCCGCATTGCTGGCGCCCTATCTGCTTCGGGCAGAATAGCTGCGGTAAGCTTGAAACTCCTTCAGCAGGCAGTAAAAGCTTCAGAATCACGAAAATCTGCGTCAATGAGGCTGTCTTAGCACATTTGGAGCTCGAAATTCATCAATTGAAGCTCTGCCATGGCGTTGTGGCTGGACTTCGAGCTAATGAAAATCTTCACAGTCCCGGGTCGTCACCCCTGCGCCTCTCAATGCTGCCTCAAAACAAGTCCGATCATACGCTGCTGACGCCAAAGCCTCCCCTACCGAAGTTTCCTCCATCCTTGAGCAACGAATCCGTGGTGTGCAAGAGGAAGCAGGCCTTGCCGAGACCGGTCGCGTTCTGTCCGTCGGTGATGGTATTGCCCGTGTGCATGGCATGAGCAATGTCCAGGCTGAGGAGCTGGTCGAGTTTGCCTCCGGTGTCAAGGGAATGTGCATGAACTTGGAAGCCGGCCAAGTCGGTGTTGTGCTTTTCGGTTCGGATCGTCTTGTCAAAGAAGGAGAAACCGTTAAGCGGACTGGCCAGATTGTGAGGAAATTGGTTCGCTTGCTGGATATTTAGCAACTAACAGCTTCCAGGTTGATGTTCCCGTCGGCGAGGCTATGCTTGGTCGCGTTGTTGACGCTCTTGGTCAACCGATCGATGGAAAAGGACCAATCAAAACCACCGAGAGGCGTCGTGCTCAACTGAAGGCTCCTGGTATTCTTCCCCGACGATCCGTCAATCAGCCTGTCCAGACCGGTCTCAAATCTGTCGACGCAATGGTGCCCATCGGCCGTGGTCAGCGTGAATTGATCATCGGTGATCGTCAAACCGGAAAAACCGCCGTCGCTCTGGACGCCATGTTGAACCAGAAGAGATGGAACAATGGCAATGACGAGACCAAGAAGCTCTACTGTGTCTACGTGGCTGTCGGTCAGAAGCGATCCACTGTTGCCCAGCTTGTCAAGACTTTGGAGGAAAACGATGCCATGAAGTATTGCATCGTCGTCGCTGCTACCGCCTCCGAAGCGGCGCCTTTGCAGTACCTCGCTCCATTCACTGGGGTAAGTGCCTTTCTTTTGTTCTCCCCTCGCATAGAAGCAAGGAGAGCTTCATTCCCGGACCCCAGGACCTTTTCGTCGATCTCATCGTCCTTTCACAACTTATATTGACCTTCACGAACATCTACTAACTCTACTCGCGTCAGACATCTATTGGCGAGTGGTTTAGGGATAATGGCAAGCATGCTCTCTTAATCCACGACGACCTGTCGAAACAGGCGGTTGCATACCGTCAGATGTCGCTGTTGCTCCGTCGCCCTCCTGGGCGTGAGGCGTACCCGGGCGATGTTTTCTACCTCCACTCCCGACTTCTGGAACGAGCGGCCAAGATGAACGACAAGCATGGCGGAGGCTCGCTGACCGCTCTCCCGATCATTGAGACGCAGGGTGGTGATGTGTCTGCCTACATTCCTACGAACGTCATTTCCATCACGGACGGCCAGATTTTCTTGGAAGCTGAACTGTTCTACAAGGGTGTTCGACCTGCCATTAATGTCGGTCTCTCTGTCTCGCGTGTGGGCTCTGCTGCACAGCTCAAGGCCATGAAACAAGTTGCCGGTTCCTTGAAACTCTTCTTGGCTCAATACCGAGAAGTGGCAGCCTTCGCGCAATTCGGTTCCGATCTCGACGCCGCCACCAAGCAGACGCTCAGCCGTGGCGAACGATTGACAGAACTCTTGAAGCAGAAGCAATATAGCCCCATGGCTGTCAATGAAATGGTTCCTCTCATCTATGCCGGTGTCAACGGCCACCTGGACAGCGTCCCAGTCAGCAAGATCTTGCAATGGGAAGCCGACTTCCTTGCGCACTTGAAGAGCGATCAAGCTGACCTTCTGGCAACAATTGACAAGGAGGGCCAATTGAGCAAAGATCTCGAGCAACGATTGAAAGAGGTGATCGTGAACTTTACCAAGAATTTCTCATAGGTAAGCAGTCCCGACAAGCCCAGTGCGCAGCAGAATTGCTCACTCTTCGCAGAGGTGCGGTGAGAAACTTTGAAATGCTTGTACAATGTTCTGGCTTGGTCAAAACTGGACGACAGACACCACTCGAGTTGAGACACAAAAATGGTCGATTGCAAGCTTGATGCAACTGCCAGTCAAAGGAGGCAAAGTGTCTCATTGTAATTAGATACATAACAGTCCTCAATCAATTCCATTTGTGCTTTAGGTTGTCTCGGCAGTTGTCACAGCGTTTCAGTTCTTCGGTGGTGAGACAGACCTTATGCGATTCTTCGAACCTTCCAGTCCTACTAAGACCGCATACTGCGCATAATGCCAGGTATCGAGCATCTATATTCATATGCCGTCATGCTATGCCTCTCCTCGTCTAGAATTGACATACAGGGCGAGCTGATGTCAAAAAAACGAGTGGCATATTTTGAGAAGGAAAGGCCAATGGTGGTTACTCTGACTTTATTCGCTCAGAGGCAATCGTCACTTACAAAGGTATTTGCTCAACCCATGAACGCAGCGGTATCCCTATCCTCATTGACAATATTAGCTACATCTGATCTGACGACCACCTCGTCGCCATTCACAGAATGCTTCTGGTCTGTGTCGGCTTTGGTGATAGTGATGACAATCATTTTCCAGGTCTGCGACAGCCTCAGCTCACCGCACAACAGGTTAGTCAATCCTGGTGGCATCTGTTCGGAGCTATGTGCTGACTGTTGACGCTACGAACACATATCAGACTTTCCTGCCACTCGACAATGTCCTGGGGCTTTCTCGCACCTTCCTCTCATGCAAGGTCATGACAACGCTGCTCGCACGTCTCTAACTCGCAAATGACATGCTGGTAGAAGCTTGCCTGCAACCTCTCCGAGGCGAGGTCGTCTCCCTGGCCAAAGTCACACTCGACGCACTTCCGTACAGCTTCAGCGAATCTGCCGCCCAGTCGCGCGGAGACGCTGCAAAGCAATCTTTTAGCTGTGAAAAAGTCGGAGTCGGCCGGCCGATCACAAATCCTGTCTTCCGGTCGTCTCAATTCCCAAAAAGGCGTTTGAAAGGCAAGCTCAAGCAGAACTTTTCCGAGGTTGAACAATGGTCGATTGCGAATGTACGGCATCGGCTACGGCATCGGCTTCGGCTGCGGTGGTCTCGCAGCAATTGCTTGCTGATGAATGGAAACATTGGCGTATGATTCTTCTGCAGGTTCGTTGCTATGCAGCGAGTCACTGCCTTCGTCTTTAGCCGCGCCCGATACCACAATGTCGTCGCTCGACCAAGATTCTTTTAGCCAGCAAGTCTCATGGAACTGCAAGAGAGCCAGTGCCAATTGTTTGCCGATATGAATCCTTTTGTGGTCCGCCAGGAAATCATGCAGCTGCATCGAACGAGCAGCATCCTTGAGCAGTTCGCTCAACGCCCTCATTTCAACCCTCCTGGTCCCCGAGGTGACCTTTTGCATCCTGGAATGGACATATACTAGATGCTTCGAGCTGTCACTCGTCTCAAGATATCCGATGCAACTGTCTGCGGGCAATTTCGATTGCATGAGAACCTTCTGAATCTGATTGCAGAAGTTGTTGTGGCTGCATAGATTGACCAAGGTGTCCAATGAATGTATTCCTCCGGACGAGCATGGCGACCGCGTCAACCGGCAGTCGAGCAATGGCACCGCTTGGGAAGAAACGGCCTTCTTTTGCTTCTTCGCCTTCTGTGTTGCGTCGATACGGCGTTCCGAATCCTCTGGGGGAGCGTCTAGGACCCGTTTGGCTGTCTTGTTCATTGACTCCAAGACACCAGTGGTTTCGATGGGACGGATCCTTGCAGTAATCATTGATTCAATGTTCAACCAGCATACATGTGTCTCTGCAGATGCTGGGACCTTTGGTGTGGACTGTATCGTCAAAGACTTGAAGGCAAGAACAAACTTGACATGGCCAGAGTCATTGTACGTTGGTTGGAGGCCAATATAGCCCTGGTGCTCTGTATGTTTTGTGCAAGCCTGACCGAAGGCCGCGTAAAGATTGTTCGCGGCAGCCTCCACGGCTTTGAATCGCTCTACTCTGGCTTTTGCGAAACGATTGGGCTCCTGGGGAGGGCGTCGTTCAGCTAGACGCTCCGTTTGCTCGACCAAGATTCGGAAATCCTGTGCGCGGCCTTTGAGACTGTTCAGCGATTCAGCGATACGCCCTTTGGAACACACGATGTCGATTTTCTTGCCGATTCGGTGCGCTTTCTTATTGAGTGACAGTCTGCCATCCTGACCGAATTAGTTCGAGTTGTTGCAGGCGAGAATGTCAGCGATACTCACTTCCTCTACTTGTGCAGCGACATATTTGAACGACTCGCTGACCTCCAGCAGCTTTGAGATTTGGCGGCGGATGAGCTCCAGGCAGTTTGTCGCTGCTGAAGCATAACCGCCAGAAAACCGATCAGACAGGAAGGCGTCCAAGGCGGCATCTTTCCACCCACTATCATTCTCATCCTGCAGCATTCGCACCGCCTGTTCATCACCAACCTCTGACGCTAGTAAGAGCTGCACCGAAATCTGGAAGATCTTGCATTGAACATCCAACTCGGCGAAAAACTCGTCCGCTTTGTCCGAAAACTTTCGATATCGAGAAATCGTCCTGCTAACGGAAGAATAGTGCTCCAGAGCAGAGATGACTAGGGGTAGCACGGCCAATGCAAGCTCTGCCATGACGTTGACCTTCTTTCGGTCCTGGCATGAACTTACAAGAAAAGAGCAAGCACGAAGCCAAAGGGCCGGAAAGCTGCTATCCATCAGGCTGGCGGTGTAGAGCCGATCTCAATGCTAGCGAGAAAAGGCCAGCGCGCATGACCTGCTACGCAAACACGAGCAAGGCGTCAATTGGGACACATCTGCAGCTCAGCCACCACCATCACCAACGAAACGGCCATGATTGAGAGATCTTCAGCCAATCGCACGTGCAGGAATGGCAAGGCAGACTCTCAATCAAATTCCAGGCGGTCTCGAACCCCTCCTCAGACACCACCCTACTTTGCTTCTCAAAACTCAGCTTTTCTTTGCGATTCCTCATCATTAGGCCGTCGGCCGACCAAGATGAAAGATGACCACCAAGATCACAAAGAATCACAAATGGACGACCGTATCATCAAGTGGGTAAAAGACCACGATGGTGTTTTCCCAGCAACAGATTCTGCCGGCTCCTGTCACAAGTTTGGATCCGAGAATGGGCTGGTCTCTGACCTCCACGACGAGTGTTTGCAAGTCATGAAGGAACTCAAGACAGCATGGCAGAACTCCAAGGACAACATCTATCTTAGGGCGCGGGAGAGGGTAGGTATTGGGGACTGCTATGGCAAGTTGAACCTCTGGGGAGACACTCTGCAAGGAGGAAAGCTAGAGGCCAGCCTGGAAGTGGCTCCCACACTACGCCAAACAATCCTGGGAGCCTTTGTCAGAATCGGACATGCTCTGCTGTTCGGTGAGTTGCAAAGAACGTCGATGTACCAATGGCCTCCAGAGTGTCTGTTAACCGACACAGCCTCACGCAAGCATTACCAAGCGAGCCAAACTACGGACTCCGAACACTGTCAAGTGCCTACCTCTAATCTTAAAGTGCTTATCGAGAAAGCTTCGCATGTCTTGACTGCAGAAGATTCGGATTTGTCCACGCTTCAAAGACACGACGCCACAGACGAAGAGGACTCTGATGCCGAGTCTGTAAGCGGCGGCGATGAAGACGACTCACCCTGGCCACCTGCGGAATCATGGGCCACCACCTTGCTTCGAGTTCTTAGCTTTCGGACAAGATTGCTCATGGACCTTCTCCCTACCATTCAGCAAATCTTGACAACCAGTGAACGCGGATACCGGCCTTACAAAACCCAGCCTCCAAGCAAGTTCCACGCGTCGGAGGCTGCGCGGCACTGGATCCGTCAGATCTTGGACAGATTCCAAGATGCAGATGGGCCGCTGGCTGAGCGATTGGGAGAGGCTAATTCTCAAAGGTATGACGAGCTGAGGAGAGAGAAAGATCCAAGTGATTCAACCTTTATCATCACTGAAGGAGCCGCTCGACCGAAATCGTTCTTCCGACCGGCGATCACAATCTACGATTCTGGCTTGGGGACCTCGATTATCACTCCAGGTGCAATTCCAGCTTCGGCCGCGTCACATTCTTCATTCCTCCCCAGCCTTGCCGATGGCACCTCGCGCCGCGTGCCCAAAACGCCAAATGCTGTGGCCTTGGGCATTCCATTCAATTGTGAGATATGCGGCCACAGGCTCACCACGATTAAAGACCGCACTCAATGGAAGTAAGTTTACCACATCAGCCATCGCACCTCTGACATTTTCAGGGCTCATGTTTTTGCGGATATTAAGCCCTATGTCTGCACATTCACCGGTTGTAGAGATCAGTTGACCGTGTTCCCGACAAGGAAGCTATGGACAGAACATGAGTTTCACAAACACAGATGCTATTCTTTTTTCAAATGCTATATCTGCTCTCAGCACCTGAAAACTGAAGAGATGCTCTTTGATCATCTTCGCAATAAACACTCGCTGGCAGAATCAAGGCCACAACAGCTTGGAGCAATCATCCAACGGGCCAAAAATGTCCAAGCACGACCGATCGAAGGAGAACAATGCCCTCTCTGTCGGAGAGCAGACTGGTCAACACAACGAGCATTCGTCAAGCATCTTGGAAAGCACTTCGAGGACATTGCGTTGTTGGCGTTGCCTTTAGGCGATGATTCTGAGGAAGAAATAGAAACGGATGAGCCACACAAAGTATCAGGCGCGTCCCCTGCTGGAGATCGAGATCCCACCAAGGCAGTACCCCTTTCAATGGCCTCGACGTCGTTGAAGGAGCCTTCTGTCCAACAAGATTCCAGCAGAAGCGAGGGACATTCCCAGGGCCATGACCCAGACCAGCCGAGTCAATCTCACACTTCTTCCGGTCTCGAACAGGTTTACAGCAGATCTATACCGCGACCTCTTGATCGTGCTCCTAACTCATGTAGCGCTAAATGGCACGAAGTACTTGGTGAAAGCTCTACAATCACAACGAACGTTGGTCATACCGCCCCCCCTGGCCATCGCTTCTACTGTTTCCTCAGTAATTGTGAGAAAAGCTTTATTCGACGAGGAGATTACAAGAACCATGTAGATCAATATCACCACGGATTTGAGGCTGATGACCCTATGAAAGCTCTTCGCAAGATACCTCCATACAACCACGAAGAATGGAAGGTACAAGAGGGAGATGGCACCACGGCTCTTCAGCAAGACTCACAACCCAACAATACTCCATGGGAATTACAAGTCAACTGTCTTATCGTCTCGGAAGAAATTCAAGAGATCCGGAAGAACTTGTGGTCCAAGTCGCTTGACGACTGTAGACAGATTTTGAAACGTGCGGAAGCCTTGAATGATCTTCTGCACGCTGCGGAAGTCCTGTTCCTACGTGAAGCAGTGAGCCAGGGCAACTTATGGGAGATTGAAGTGAAAAAAACCATGGCAACTGTGGATGGCAATCCAGGTCAGGTTCGATCACTCCTCTCTGAAGTTCGGGCGAAGGCGTTCCCGGTTAACAGAAGCCTGATGGACCAATTTCTTGATTTTGCCAAATATCCGTCGCAGACTGAATGGGACCAGCATAAGTCAGTCCTAGTACACTTGCACGAAAATGAGCGTCGGCCCTTGACTGAGATCGTCAAAATTATGGAGGATAAGCACGGTTTCGTGGCATCGTAAGTCGTCTTGATCTATGGCTCAAAGGTTCTAACATCCTCTAGATCGTCACAGTACCAGTCGACGTTTGGCCAGTGGTGTTTCAGGGAAGGTGGTATAAGGACCACACAGTTCATTCCGTATGAACCTCGGAAAGAGAAAGTACGCCGTTCATGTGGTAAGGCTCTGTCCAATCATCTGTCTGTATCCTGGAACTGACTCTAAATGAACCCAGTACAATGTTATAAGGCCCATCGCAGGTGTTGTGGCATGCGCCCCTGCCAGGGGTGCCGTCGGAAAGGTATCAATTGTGTAGACTACCAACCATCAATCGCGAAGCCCAGGTCTACATCATCACACTGTGACGGCGTGGGGCCATCTCGAGACAAGACCACAGCAGACAATTCCGCTATCGACCCCTGCGGCGAAGATTTCCAGCGTCAAGACTCGCCTATCGCAAGGCCGGATTTTCAACCTCCTTCCCTCGGCGGGCCGGTCCTGGACGAATTAGCGAGACTCAACGCTCCTGAGGTACAGACGAGCACAGTCACCCGCCTCGATCAGAATTCGCCCCCCGAATGGAGCCGATGTGTACCAGTCTCAGGCGAGGACTTTGAGTAACATACCATCCGACGGAATCGCTCTTCCTCAGAGCCACCTCTGGTCCCATTCCTCCATCGCCGTGATCCCGGGATTCAGAGCCCGGGATTTTACGCAGCACGGGGAAGAAGGGATGACATGTGAAAGTCCCGCCAGTCACAAATGCGAAGCAGAGGGAGGAGGGGACGCTGCCCTTGAGAGACTCTTTAAGACGGTATAACAGCAGGAACAAGGGATTGAATAGGATTGGGGTTATTGTACGATGGCGTGCGGTACCGGAATTGAGATGAACGGATTGAGTTGGCGCAAGGCTATCAGGAGAGCAAGTTCCGGGCCATCCACCGTTTACGATGCTGCGTACCTCCCGTACAGGTCCTTTACACTTTGTGCTAGATACATTTTACGATTTTACGATTTTACGATTTTACGATTTTCACGCTCTAACGCTCTATGCCCCATGCTTCATGCTCACAGCGGCAGAAACCGGCCCTTGTCCTTCCCCTAGCTCTAGGTATCTATGGCTTGACTTATAATCTTCATTTCAGCGTGCGTGGCTGGTGCTTAGAGCAGTATGAATCCCCGATGACAAGACGGTCATTGAACATTATGCACAGGCATTTATTTGCTGTGTTTCATGTATACGAATCTATTTGTCTATACAGGGTGAAAGGAGGCCAAAATTAACCCCCCCTTCCCGGGAACACCAGGGGCAGTCACGGGGAGATCAGGCTGATATGACATGGCCAACATCACATCGAGCCAGTCGTTCTACAGTAGTCCGAACGGGGGAATCGGCACTTGGGACGGCTGTTTACCCAACAGCCCGAGAGGGGATAGAGGGGAGAGAAAGAGGAAGGAGGTGAGCAAAGTCGCGCTGATCGATGGATACATACTCAGTACCGAGCAATAGAAACCATGATAAAAAGGCGCCGGGGCTCCCCCCGTCCGAATACCTGGATCCTGAATCCTTGAGCGGTGGCAGTGGTGGTGGTTGTGGTGGATCCAATACGAGGTTAGGAGTGTCAAAGTTTCCTCTTTGGGTAATTTATGCTTCCCAACTCCAATCCCAATCCCTGATAGCATTTTTCTCCGTGGCCTGACACAGTGACGCGACCGCCACCACGACCACGACCACACCGCAACTGACGTTTTTTTCCGGGACACAGCGATCCGCCCGTCCCATCTTCAGGAGGGAGAAAGAGAGGGAAGCTCCGGGTGGGAAGGATCGGCCGGGGTTGGCGGCCACGCATACTGCGTACTGTTCAGGTAACAAAGCAACAGCAAGCACTTCAATCTCCCCGTCCGAACTCAACTCTAACCCGGCACTGGCAAACTCGGCCATCTTCCCAAAGACGAGGAAAATGGAACAGACGATGCGAAGAGGACCAGTGTCCAGACAGAGACATCGATAGCTTTAAGCCCAAAGAAAGCGCTTTTTATCTAGGCCGATCTCCCCTCCCGCGGGTGTGCGCGCTGGCGCTGCTGCTGGCGCTGCGGCGGTGACGTCGGTGGTATCGAGATCATGGGCATAGGTGGCAGTGGTCTTTTGCTGACGTTCTTCTCATACCAGTCACTGCACGCCTCTGCCATTATTCCCCCGAAGTCTTGATCGCTGAGGTATCTGAATGCCTTGGACGTGATCCCCGCACTCTGCACCTGCACCTGCGCCTGATGCGGTGGGGTGACCAGTTTGGGATCTATATCTTTCCCCGGCCTTTTCTGATCAGCAGCACTCCTTTGCGCCGAAACCGACCGCTCCGGAGTCCCATCTGAGCCAGCACCAAGTCGACCAGGCGCATTTCTGGCCTTGAAAGACGAAGGGCCTTCTTCAGGTTTGGTGACCGCTGCATCTATTCCCTCCGGTCCTCCCCCTCCCCCATCTTCTTCATCACCACAACCAAACAACCATGATGACAATACAAGGATCAACTTTTCCTTTGACTCATCTGGGATCCGGCTGAATATTTTCAGAGCATCAATGACGGCCTCGGTCAGGAACACCTCTTTCTTGGCTCCGCCATCAGTCCGCTGAGAGATTTCATCCGCGTCGACCCATGACTTTGCAAGCAGCCAGACGGTCATCTCGAGCCTCACCCGGGCATTATCTGCATGAATTGAGAGTTGCTGCAGAAATACGGCGGCACTGTCGGGCCACTCGAGGAAATCCCACAAAATGAGATTCAGAAGGTACAGATTGAGGAACAGAGAAAGGTCCTGCTGGATTGAGGGAGTCTTGCTTCGAGGGTTCGCCAAGACGCCCTCCACAGCGTGATTGATTGCCGACTTGCCCATTGCGACCGACCAGAGACTGCTTGATACTGAGGATCCGGACCGACTGTCTATGTCTTGATTCGGGACGCCGCCCTCTGAGACATCATCACTTCTTCGACGGTGCATAGCGTCTGACTGTGATCTGCGGCCGTCTTGTTGCATCGATTGCAATGTCCCGAGGAACTTTTCGGCAGCACCTCGAACATCCAACATGCTGGTGGCTTCAAGCTCGGCCATCGCAAAATACGCCAAGGAAAACATGGGATGGAACATGAAGCACACCGTCGAGAACAGGGAGCCCACTCCACGTTTGGCAATCATCTGTGCCAGGCCCTTGAGATGGACTCTGTTGATCTCAGGACTCAACGAGCGAGCGTCGGCCGACATTGCTAGACAGACACAGAGCAGAGCCTCGTCCGAAGCCTGTGTTTGGGGGTCTGCCAACAGTTTCGCGATGTACTTGTATGCTAATGCTTTCCGCTGATGCAGCCTCTGTGGCAATGGCTGGCGTCGAGACCAGGACAAGAACATGTCACAGAATATCAGAGTCCATGGCAGGCCGCCTGCCGGATACATCTGGATACCCCGCCACGCAATGTCCCGGCACGGACAGAATCGGCCAGTGCTATTGCTGCCCCAGGCGGCTGTTGCCTGAAATTGGAGCCACTTGATGACGAAGTTCTGTTCCTCAACGGTGAGTGAATGAGGGTGCGAGCGAAGATCATCTAGAATCGAATCGGCCGCCGATGATGATGACGACGATGTTTGACTTTGTGCCGTCACTCTGGGAGGAATGGTCTTGGTCGACTCGTCTGTGAGGCTGGCTGAGCTCCTGCTCCGACGATTCTTGCGACGTCTCTGTGTCGTGGAATCCTCCTCTTTGTCATCCTTCGGGTCAGAAGATGTCAAGTTCGATAGTCCATCTTCCGGCGATTTCTCCTGTTTTATGGCAGGCGGCGTGGCAGTCGTCTTGCGACGGGGATGTGGAGCTCTCACTTTCCGCTTTCGGAGGATCCAATCATCCTTGCCTTTGGTCGAAAATACTCGAACTTGGGATTCGAGCGTTGGAGGGGGTGCGCCAACGTCGTCCGAGGACGTGTTGGCACTTGTACCGGCTTCGTCTCGTGGCTCTAATCGTACACGAAAGCGATTCCGAGACATTGGTGACGACGAGGCCTGGAAATTTTCGAAGGTAATGACCTATTGATGAGGAACGAGGGGACTGAAGAGACAGAAGGCATGTGATCCGTGTTGTTCTGGCCCCTTCTCCGAGGAGGTGAAAGCGGTGGAGGACAGGATATCAGTCACAGACGACGAGCGGAGTCGATCGTGGACTGGGCCCGCGCATGAAGCTGATAGCGCTCGTGATGCTCGCAGCGACGCACCGGATTGACACATCAGCCAGGGTCTGTACATGCTATGCTGGAACAATTGGGGAGGATGAACAGAGGCACGAGACCGACGACCACTTGGTACTGCTACGGGGTCTCGTCTGAGCGGGTGCCCGGATATTGGATATGTTGTCCGGCGCCGATCTGATGGACTTGAGATACGAGTAGGGCCAGGGGCCCTGTTGATCGAGGTTGGGGCTAGAGCGACCGAGTTCTTGTGGGAATGTCTAAAGCCCGAAGTCCCAAGCTCATCAACGAAATCTCGTACGTTGGCAACCCGATATCACGCCAGTGAAAATTCGGTACGGGCCTTGCCATGTTTGACATGGCACAGCATGTGTGGGAGCAGGAAGTGAGGATGTCAGTGGCTGAGAAGCAGGCAGTTCGATGGAGAGTCCAGACCCGAGACGACGGGGAATGGGCCCCCTTGATGGTGAGGTTAGTGGCTTGAAGTCCTTGATCCCTGGCGCCGTGGTCAGTGAAGGCCGTGTGGGGTGGCTGAAGGTGTCGCAGTTGGATTGGAAATCCCGTGGCAGACATTCGTCGGAGGAGAGGAGGAGGCATGCCCTGGGCAGTTACGAGCAATAGTGGGCACGGAAAGGACCTAATACTGCAAGGACCTACCAGATAGGGATGTGGTGGTGCCCCGGATGGGTGGGAGATGGAAAACACAACGAGCTGCAACATCGAACGATGTTGAATCCAATTCCCCGTCTTGGTTGCTTCTGCATGAAGCGTCGCACTGGGCGATTAGTCCGCGGAAGAGAGGTACCGGGTACGTGGTAGAAGCTGGCCACCAATATATTTCCTGGTCTGTCACTTTTTCCTCCCTCCTAGGTACAATTGGTAGGTAAGCAATAATAAGGGAGACGGTGGAATTCATTAGGCCTACAGGGCACCTACCCACCTGGCAATAATAGGCATCAAATTAGGCCTGCTTGCTCGTATCCAATTACCTGGTAGGTCGGTAGGTATTATTGTACCTGTACCGAGTACTATAGGGGGCCCCTCATCCACCACCATGGCCGCCTGGGAACACCACCTAACAGGAAATGCACCCGCCTACCTTAATTATTCCATCCCTACAAGTAGTAGTCAGGAAGTCAATCGCCCTGCTGGGCTGCCGGGAAACGTCCCCCGGATGATTTTCGGACTGGTCCTTGCTTGGCCCATCTCTTCTACCACAACCACCACCACCACCACCACCACCAGATCTCTGCTATGGCATTGTTTGGGCACCCCCTTTCTCGTGGTCCCTGACTTGGTTCTTGATGCTCGTCGACACCCCGACATCCTCGGCTCTATCCCTTCTCCTTTCTGTTGGTCTCTTAGGTACCACATCAGACCCCCGTCCGTCTTGAATCACATCTCTCAGCTTCATGCTCTACTCTTATATTGAGCTAGCTGGTCAGAGGTGAGTAGTTGATAAGAGCGCGCCGAAAGCTAAAGGGAAGCAGAGGTCTAGGAACTACTACTCGCAATTAGACATCCCCCTCCCCGCGCCTCGGTGCGTTCTCCCACTTCTGACGAGGGGCCGGACTTATCGGTAATGCGCTCGAGGCGGAGGAGGAGAAAAGGAGGAGGCGCAATTCCCATTTGCCGAGCTTGATGAACCTACGATGATGCAAAAGATAGCATTAATAATGTCAGAGCACAAACCACAACATATACAAGTCACTACTCACACACGCGGGCCATGTCTCCATGATTCTGTACCTCTACTCTACTGCTGCTCCTTTCGAAAGGCTCTCCCAACGTAGCCACCACTACTTCCGCCGCTGCAGCCACTACTACTACTACCAGCACCGCTGCTACCACCCGCGATTACTTCTTCCCTCGGCACCAAAATCTCCTAGTGTAGCCTTGCGACTCTCCAGGCCCAGGCCATCAGCTTACAAATTCTTGCATAAGGCTACTGGTGCTACCGCATCGCCCATCATGAAATCGGCCCACGTCTTCAAAAAGGGAGAAGATCAGCTCGATGTCCAGATCAAGGACATCCCCATCCCCAAGCCAGAGCCCGACCAGGTCCTCATCAAGGTCGTCGTCTCTGGTACAAACCCCAAGGATTGGAAATATCCCATCCTCGTCAGAGGCATCACAGGACTCAACACGGGCGACGACGTTGCCGGTTATGTCGAGGCAATCGGCTCCAATGTCACCGAATTCAAGGTCGGCGACCGCGTAGGTGCCTTCCATGAGATGCGCAAGCCTCACGGCTCCTTCGCCGAATATGCCATCGCCTGGGAAAAGACCACGTTCCATCTTCCCAAGCAGACCTCGTTCGAAGAGGCGGCGACCATCCCCTTGGCTGCCATGACTGCCGCCGTCGGGCTTTATTGCCGCTTGGGCTTACCGGAGCCATGGGTCACTGTGTCTCAGGCCCGCAAAGATGCTGTCGCTGGCGGCGTGGTCGTTTATGGTGCTGCTTCCGCCGTGGGCGCCTTCGCAGTGAAACTCCTTGTTCGCTCCAAGATACACCCCATCATCTGCGTTGCCGGTCGGGGCATCCAATTTGTCGAGGGCCTGATCGATAAATCCAAGGGCGACGCCGTCATTGATTACCGCAAAGGCGACGAGCATATTGTTGAGGGCATCCGTGCTGCTGTTCCGGCCGGGCAGAAACTCCTTTACGCTTTCGACGCCGTTAGTGAAAAGGGTAGTTACCAGAACATTATCAAGGTTCTTGATCCGCATGGACATATTAGTTTAGTCCTACCGGGGAAAAAGTACGAAGAGATCCCCAAAACAGTCAACCAGACACTCACGACCGTGGGCTCTGTGCATGGTGTGCCCGACGATTTGAGCGATTTTGGATATGCCTGGTTCAGACTGTTCAGCCTGGGTCTTAAGGAAGGCTGGTTCAGCGGACATCCGTACGAGGTAGTCCCTGGTGGGCTGAACGGCGTACAGACCGGTCTGGAGAATCTTCAGCATGGCAAGGCAAGTGCTGTGAAATATGTATATCGAATTGCAGAGACAGAGGGCGTGGATCGAAGCAAGATTTGAGAATACGAAATGTCTCGACAACTTCCAAGTCTGTGCCAGCAAGGCGGGGGCATTGAGGTGTGCCGCCAACACATGGTCCTGGGGTTCCGACCGTTTCGAGCGGGTAACCAAGTACTGCTAAATGTCCAATGAAAACAGTGCGACTTATATCAATCGCGGTTTTGGAGCTGTACGACCGTGGTCCAAGTAGCTCTGGGGTAATCGTTACATTCGAAACATCCTGATCGATTCAACATACACTTCCACGTTGTAAACCAGCAGGAGGCAAGTTGATCGTCGGTGACAGATCGAGCTGACCTTGTAGCCAGCTGAATGCTAGAAGTGGCTTCTCGAAGAGGCCAACGATATGGCTCCACGAAATGCAAGACACCGCTTTGGCGACGGGGTCCATTGGAATTCCATTCAGGTTTGCTGAGTGTCATGGCTGATGCTGGAGCCCGACACATCATCCCGATCTTGGCCGACATGGTGAAAGGGATACCGAGTCTTATCGGAGTTGGCAGCTGCTCATGGGTTCACACAACTGTGTGGGCGCACCGCTTGATCGTCCGTGTGACCATTCTTCCAGGGTCAACATCGTGCTTGTCCACCTTCTGGGCATCCTAGGAGTTGTCAATAAGTGGCTAAACCTCTCTGCCCGGTGTTGAACTAGATGTCGATTAAGGGCGCATTACAGTGTTTCCCAACAAATAGGCGGTGGTTCAGAGATGTAGATTAATTTTCCGATAAGAAGTCCGTGATCTTCAGTAGGGATGTTGTCGGAAGAAACGGGAGAGGTTCTTGTTAGAATTTACTTCACCTCTTGTGACCAATTCTATTCTGTCAGTGACTCTAGCTCCAAGAAGCGTTGTTGGACCAGCCTGAACCAACAGCTTTGGTCCTTCACGTCCATTTGGCTTGGGGACAACCAGACACCGCCCCGAAGTCACATAAGAAGGAGCCAACACGGAAACCCCCTTTGGGCGTGAAGAAGTGGCATGAGATGGACCTTCAAGTGAGGCGACCCCAGCCAGGGTGCAGGGGTCCAAGAGCGCCCGAAAGTAAGAGCACGAAAAGTTGGTGACTGATGTTCCTTTTCCATGAGAGAGTGGAGAGCCAGAACTCAATCACTATGTCAATAGGCTGGTCCTGCTGAATTTGGACAAAGTAGCGTCAGACCAATTTTAGGGTAAGCATGCATGATTTGCTTACAACAAAGGCCGCTGGATGCTTGTCTCCGCAATTGCAAAGGACAATCATGATGTGACCGGGGAGAACCTGATAGATACAGCGGGTTACATAGCAGGACCCCCATTTTCAATGCGGTCAGCAGGTCCAGCCAGCAGCAGGGTCGATCTTTGGATGGAAACATCCAGCCCTCTCCTCAGGGGTCCGTGTATCCGCAAATGCCAATATTTTGTACAGGATGTGTCGGCAATTGGAAGCCGCGGGCTTGCAGCGGCCGTCAAATCCATGATCGACAGATAGCGCAAGTTTAGAGCAAAATGAAGTCTTGAGGAGGGGTAGGACAGAGATTTGCAGGAAGCACATCATGAGGGATGGCTTGCCGTCCGGACGAGTCGGCAGCGGTCGGCAGCTGGCGTAGGGGGCTTTTTTTCTCTTTCCTCGGAGGCTTTAACTTTGCTAGGCTGTTGCCCTGCACTGTGTGTGGTGCATATGCTGCAGCTAAGAAAGGCTTGGGGGATGCCTCCTTGTGCTTCAATTTTGGGGAGGCCTTGTCAATGACCTCTGCTAGGGGATTGACGGGCCTAGCGGGCATCTTAGTGCTCGAGTCTCGGTACTCCACGTAGGTCTCCGGGGGCCCGAGCGGCGCTGTTCAACCAAGCATCGGCGGCCAAACCTCGTCCAGTAGCCGGGATTTAGCGGGTGCACGGGGGACTGTGCAGTTTGTTTCAGGTTCCTCCTTCACCTAGATGGGCGAATGGCGGCTCTCTCAGGCCATGGGGGCGTCCGAGAAAGGCTAGGGGATTGAAAAGTAGATTGAGAAGTCGCTCACATCGACTGCAGCGTCCGTCAGGTTTCTCGTGTTTTTCTTCCTCTTTCATACAGATGGCAGCTCGAATACTATTAGCAACTTCCGGTAGAAGGCAGGGCTGGTCCTGGGGATGTAGGTAAATTCGGTGGAGGGATCCTGGGTGTTGTGTGCGATCAGCTGTCTCTGAAACTGCGCCCTAGGAAAAATGAGTAGAGAAACCCACCTCTGGTTGCCTTCGGCCAGTTCGATTCGATTCGACTCGTCTGCCCCTCTTCTAACAATTTGCTTTCGAGAGTGTCACCTCGGTCCAGTGCCGTTGTCAGGCGTTTGCTCTCCATTGGGGAAATGAGTAGTCCGTAGGCTTTCCCGGGATAAAGATGACTGGTAGAAAGGACATTTTGACCAGGAATCTGGCGAACAGGGAAAAAGGCTGATGATTGATGACGATGATGGGATCGGACAGAAGCACTAAACGATTTCTGTCTTTTGGGGGCTTGTTCTGGGTTGGGCTTGTTAATAATAAGTGGGAGCGGCCACAGGGTGTTAACTGGGCCAGTGGCAGCGACCAACCCACGCCCATGCCAGTGCGCAATCCAAAATCCACATCCGCCATCCACATCCAGATTCTGACTTGGCTCATGGAGCTTTTTCACTTCCGTTTGCATTTCTTCACTCCCGCATTTTCCACCTTGCCGGCAATATCGCTACCACGACATTCGCGAGCCATTTATCCACCATATACGTAGACGGCCTTATCTTGCACTCTCTTCACTTTCCCCATCCGTCTCTCCTTTCGCCCAAAGAGGCCGACCCGGACTTTATATCCCTCCAGTTGGCTTGCTGACCTGTAAGGAGTCACCAAGCCGACTGGAAAGGAGCCTGCCGCCAGTCTCCCAGACCTTCATGCCGCGCAACCCTGCGGCGAAGAAGCATCAGCACAACAACCGCCATGAGAACGGTCTTGTAGGACCGGGCAAACGTGTCACCAAACAGAAATCGAATGGTCATCTCAATGGCACCGCAAAGGGTCCTGTCCCAACCGAGCCTGTCCCCCAACCCAACCCGGCCGACAACTCTTCGAGCGCAATAGCCAACGATCGATCTCTCGCAGCCACCTCTGAATCGCAGCAGGACTCCTCCAAAGGGGCTCTCGATTCTCAAACGGCGACCGGCGAGCCGGATTCGAGCGCTGCAAAAGAGAAGGATATCAAGTGGGAGGCGAATGGATCTGCCATGTTACATCAACGACGAGGCGATATGGTGTCTTCTCGATCCAAGTCCTCTCAGGACATCAGCGCCCTGCATCTGGCCTCGACAATCCTGCGCTCTCGCCCAGCCTGCGACACCGTCTCCCTACTGATCGTCCTTCTCGCACTGCCGTCGATGGTCTTGACCATTGTCCAGGCCTTGTTCGCGTCTTTGACTCTAATGCCAGGAGGTGGTGCCCCAGCTTCGCTAATTTCCTTGCTCGACATCTTTCAAGGATCGGCTGGCGTTCCCAACTTCAGCACTACCGCCATAGTAGACGCAATCTGTTTCGGACTGTGGGTTGGACTCTGGACATGGGCACAAAATTTTGCGCTCGACCTGGCTCAGATACAAATTGCGATTACGCTTGGAAATGGCAGTTCTGGGAAGAACAGTAGAGTCAACACATTCTGCGTGGCGGGGGTACTGCTGCTGCACCTAGCGCGGAGCCGAGATGTTCGTCGATTCCTCTATTCGAATCTGGTACCTGTCGACCTCCTTTCCCAGACTGGGCTCATGGATTTTCTGAAATATCTACCCTCGGATCACGATTTTGGCGACAGCCCCGGCCCACCGTCGTATTTTCGGAGTCTATTCGCCATACACATAATCGCTCAAGGCGTAATGGCGAGCTTCCGTCGTTATATATCTTCCTATACCACAGGAACGGCAAAATCGAAACGAATAGATACTGAAGCCTCGGCGGGGTCTGTGTCGGATGCCTCGGTGCTGGATGGCTCAGCCCCTACGGCCGTCTCATCCTCTGTCGACTATCTGCCGTCCCCAACACCTGGGTTCAAAGATGGCAAGGAGAACAAAGGCATGAGTGCGAAGAAGCGAAGACGACAGGCAAACCACGTCAGAAGCAGACAACCGTTTTGGGCTGCTCTCGCCAGCACCAAAGTCCACGTCTTACGAGAGGTTGAGCACAATAAGGCTCTTCCAAGTGTTGGGAACAAGGAAGGCAGCCCTTTCGAAGCATCTCATCAGGACCTCGTCTGGATTATTAATGTGGAACCTTCGTCGATCTCATTTGAAGCAACCTACATCTACGAATCGGAGCAAACACAAAAGCCTCCCCAAGGAACAGACTGCAGGCCATTCTACGTCCGCATCAACGGCGCCAAGTGGCACGCCGTATCCCTCGAGCCAATTGAAAACTCCTCCCACCACGACAGTCCTGGTGCTCAGTGGGCAGGTACGATATCTGGGCTGGCACCAAATTGCACCTACACCTGTACCTTTATCAGCTGCGAGGGAGATGAAGGCTTTGCGTCCATCATGGTCAAGACGCCGATGCTGTTGGATAAAGATCTTCCCGCCTCCATGGCCCCTGCGTCCGTCCGCCAATCTTCAACACCATCTTCACCTAGCACCACCCTGAAAAACTCCATTGCGACAGCCGAAGCCAAACTAAATGAAGCGCGGAATCGACTCACCAAAGTTCGACGCCAGCACAGAACTGCGTTAGTCAAGGTGGAGAAGGAAGTGGATAGCTTCAACACTCGACTGAAAACCGCCAGTGACGACACGAAGCAAAGGCAGAAATTGTTGCAAGCTGAACGAAATATCCGCCAGACTGAGGATGCAACCCAGGAGCTCGACGCAGCGCTCGAAGGCCTGGTTTCCACGCCTGACGATGAGGGTGAAGACCACGCCACTGCCAAAGATACGCATGATGAACAGCAGAAACTCCTCTCTGAAGCCAACGATGCTCTGGCAAAGGCACGTTCAACTGCGCATGATGACAAAGCTTGCGTCAACCAGGAATTGAACGCCATTGTCACCCGAAAAGAACGTCTTACCGCCCGCAATTCTAAGCTGACCGAGCAGCACGATAGGATCACTCAAGCCAATGCCCAAGGACTGAATGAGAGAGAGAGAAGGGCGGCCGAGTCGAATGCCAAAGGAGCTGAACAACAGAAACGCGAGGCCGAGCTCAGTCAGGAGATCTACAATCTGGACAGGGATCTGAGGAGTGCAAGGCTGCGATGGGAAAGCAATCTGCGCGAACTTGACATTTTGGAGAAGCAAGAGATGGCTCAAAGACAAATGATGCTCAGCAACAGCGGCCCTCTCACGCCAGAAGGCGAATTGCCTGGTACTCGTCCTCCCCCGCAACACGCCCGTCCGTATGCGTTCGGCAGCTTTCAAGCATTTCCCAACAGCCCCATCATCCCCGAAGTCCAAGGCTCTCCTTTCGCTGCATATGCCAAGACCCTCCCTTCCGGTGACCAACGACGACCTAGATCGGATACCAATCGTTCTGCTGGTGGAATTAGCAATTTCTCTGCCGACTTTGAAGATGCTGATCCGATACCGCCGATGCCAACCACCACTGAGTACGAGATGAATGGCCGCAAAGGAAGTGGCAGCAGTAGGGGCAAGAACAACGGCAGTCCAGCAGCTGCGGGGGTTATCGGCGGCGCATTGCGCAGTCCTCAGAGAGGGAGCTACAGTCCAGGGCATATTCCGGGTTCAACCACGTGGTAGGACCACAGATATGGTCGTCTTTTTGGATGATTCAGGCTTCATGTTGGCTGGTTGTAGGGCTCTGATGTAGTCGACCTAGGTGGTAGACGATCTACGATAGCTTCTTCCCCAAAAGTGTTACTGATCCGTATGCATCATAATGCTGCTCTTTACCTGTGGTTCAGGAGTAGTCTGAGGTCTGACGGGCGTTTCCTTGGGGCCGCCCTACCACGGAGGCTAATCGGCTCCCAAGAGGCTCGTTCGAGGTCCGTGGAAAGGAGAAGGTGCTGCTTCGAACCTGGCGAGTTGGTTATGTGCGTACAGTACTTCTCCTGCCAAATGAGTCAGACTGCTGATCACGTGATGTCGCATGCCCAATAATTTCTCCGTTACTTGTGCCTCATTTTTAGACACGTCGATCGACTTCTTGCCTCGACATCCATACATGCGCAGTCTGCTACGAACGTGTAGCGCAAATCTGCCCGTCAATCGACGTGTCTCCTCCATATTTCCGCCCTCAAGTCTCCGTTATTTTCCCCGGTACTGCGCCACGATGGCGAAAGACAAGAAGAAGAGCAAAGAAGTGGTGAAGAATCCGAAGGGCACGCGAGACTGGTCTGGTGAGGATATCGACCTGCTCAAAGCTATCAGGAGGCAGATCGAGAAAGTATTCGAACACTATCGCGGCCTAGAGCTAGACACTCCAGTCTTTGAGCTGCAAGAGGTTTTGAAAGGAAAATATGGCGAAGATTCCAAATTGATTTACGACCTGCAAGACCAAGGCGGCGAGCTCCTGTCACTACGCTACGATATGACGGTCCCATTTGCCAGATGGCTGGCCATGAATCCGGATATTGAGACTTGGAGGAGATACGCAATAGGCAAGGTCTACAGGAGAGATCAACCTGCCATCTCGAAAGGGCGCATGCGCGAGTTCTGGCAATGTGACATCGACTTTGCTGGTGAAAGTGCCCCGATGTTTAATGACAGCGAAATGATCTCGATCATCGTCAAAGTCTTTGAAACCCTAGAGTGGAGTGGGAAGTACACAATCAAGATCAACGACCGAAGAATATTGGACGGGCTGTTTGAGGTTTGCGGTGTTCCAGAGGAAAAGATCAGGACGATATCCAGCGCAGTCGACAAACTAGACAAACTGCCGTGGGCAGAAGTAAAGAAGGAGATGGTCGAGCAAAAGGGGCTAGAAGAGTCAGTCGCAGACAAGATCCAGACGTACGTCACCAGGAAGGGAGGGGAGGAGCTATTGGAGGAGCTGCAGAAAGACGAGGCTCTCATGAGCAATCCCAAGGCCAAAAAGGGCATTGAAGAGATGGGGATTTTGATGCGCTACCTCCGGAGATGGAAGGCTCTTGACAAGATATCCTTTGATCTATCACTGGCGCGCGGCCTTGACTACTACACAGGTATCATCTACGAAGTTGTCACTGAGGGTTCTGCCCCTACGCGCACACCTGCTCCGGCGACCGACCCTGCACCTCCCATGGCACCTGTTGCCACGAATGGCGCACCCAACGGCATTCCTAAGAGGGAAAAGAAAAAGGTCTCTGAAGACGAAGACAGATCTGAAGACCCGTCCGTGGGTGTAGGATCGGTGGCTGCGGGTGGTCGCTACGATCACTTGGTCGAACGATTCCGCCCTGAGGCCAATATTCCCTGCGTTGGGGTGAGTTTTGGCATTGATCGCATAATTGCCATTACGAAAGCCAGAATTGCAAAAGGCGAAAAGTTCAGCTATATCACACGCAACAGGACCGACGCATATGTCATGGCATTTGGCGGTTCTGGCTTTGGAGGAATGTTTGAAGAACGAATCGACATTCTCGTTGCTCTGAGGGATGCTGGCATAAGAGCAGAGACTTTCTGGAAACAGAAGGCGAAGCTGCAACGACAATTCAAAGAGGCAGACCGTGCAGGGGCACCAATCGCAGTCATCCTCGGTGAAGATGAACAGGCCCGAGGTGAGGTCAAGGTCAAGCAAATGGGTCTGGCAGAAGGCGACCCCGAAAAGGAAGGTGTGCTTGTCAAGGTCGAGGATGTCGTTGCGAAAGTCCGGCAGCTGCTGGCAAAGATAGACGAGTAAGAGTCGAGGTCCGGGGAAGGGGGATCCAGACCATGAAATTTCTGAGATGGCGCTCCGTGCCTGCAAGGCTGTATTATTAGAGCGTCGCCTAGATAGATAAGGCTGGCCAATCAGAGCACCGAAGAGTCGGTCGTGTCGCAGGTCTCCGCCAAGCGCCTGCGTTGAAACACCCCCTTTGTCTCAGTACGCATCGTCTGCTACAATGGAACCTCAACCTGATACCACCCAGCCACTGGAAGGCTCAACTCCGAGACTGTGATGAAGAAGCAAACGTCGCAGCTGGTGTTTTGAGATCCAGCTGGGCCAATCGCGACCCGATGGCCGTCCGCTGCAACCACTTCGCCTCTCCCTGCCCGTCCCTTACCCTGCTCACTTCGTAGCATTCGTCGTCTGAAGCCGCTGTCCGGATGCCCATCACACCGAGAACAGTCAGCTCCCTTCAATTTGGCTCCTCGTCGGCATCCCCTTTCCATGCGGACTTCAAAATGTCCATTTAGAGTCGCAAGTTTCGCCAATTCTTCTCATCCTCCATCTCCCATCTTCCTCATCCTCCCCCAAGAGAAGTCATTCGTTCTTTGTTGCTGGTCCAGCATCTAATTTTCTTTCTCCTATCTGCCATTCCTTTGTGAAAAAGCATTACATTCTATCGCGATGCCGGCTGTCCGCTCCTTTTTCACTCTTTCCGTTTTGGCCGCTTGCCTGGCGCAAGTACGTGTCTTCTGCACTCTCCCGCGTCTTGTGTTACTTCTTGGCTGACCGGCAGATAGGCTTCGGCTGGTTCCAACATGGGTGGTGACGGTGGCTCGAGTTGGGGCAATGGAGGTAACAGCGGGATGGACCAAGGAGGCCAGTACGGCAGCGGTGGCTCCGGCGGCCAGGGGGGCTCTTGGGGTGGTGGCAACAGCTACAACAATCAATATACCTCGACCTGGGGAGCCGCACCAACCACGGTCGTCCAAGCCCAGAGCTGCCCTCCCCAGAGCTGCCCGCCTCCCATGACCAGCACTATGACCGAGACCGTGAGTGTTCCCTGAATGGCGCTGATTTGTGCCAAGTTTGGCAGCACTGACATCGAGGATTCCAGACTACCGTGACAGCCGTGTCGCCCTGTATGGGAAGCACCGTGACCGCCTATGTGACTCAATGGATGAATGCTCCGCCCGGGTGCTGGTGCGGTGCTGGCAGCCCGCCTCCCATGGCCTCCGGCTGGGAATGGGGAGGAATGGGCGCTGCTGCCGTCTTCACATCCTCCAATCCGTCCTTTACGCCTGGTCTTTCGTCAATCCCGGCATCTGAAGCCGTCCAGACTGGCGTGACGGTGGCTGGTGCTCCACCAGCTGCGGCACCGACCGCTGCTGTCTCTCCTGGTGGCTTCTTTGGAGAATCATCGAGTAAGTGCCAACACTCTTGTGGGATACGAGATCACGCTGCTGACATTCCTTCCAGGCTCTGCGATGACGACATCTGGTACGGAATCTTCTGGCCCTAGCAGCAGCGTCCCATCTAACATGGCGGAGCCTACTAAAACAGGGGAGGCTCCTAAGCCAGAAACTTCGAGCTCGACGACCAGTACAAGCTCATCGTCAGCAGCAGCATCTTCTTCAACCTCATCCACCTCCACCACCACATCAAAATCCTTGTCTTCGTCTCCATCATCATCAACGACAACAACGACAACCTTATCTTCAAGTGAATCCGCCGCATCTGCGGTGGCCGCCTCAGCGACAAGCGGCGGGTTTCCGGCCGGCTCATTCAACACTATCGACCCTGCAACCCTTACGCTCAAGAACGCCTATACGCTAGGCATTGGAAGAAGAGCACCTGTACCGACTATGTTATCATAGACTCGCAAAAGAAACGAAAAAACCGCAACATTGAATGAATATACCCCGTGATTTTGAGGACATGGACGACATTGGATCGGACAGTACTATTGCGTTTCAGTTCTTGTATATTGAAGAAGCGGGACTCTAGGCAAGACATTCCCTGGTCCCTAGCTTTTGGGCGGCACTTTCTTATCGGAAAGTGTCTCGTGCTTGATAGGAAAATCTGATGCAGAGGTATCCTGGACGCGATGTGAATCTGCGTCGTCGGGCCCTGCTTTACTACCATCTCCACCTTCCGTTCTAGCCTTCTTTGCTCTTCTCTTCATCTCGCGCTTCGAAAGCGGTTTTTCCGCTGTGAGCTGATTGTCCTGATGCGCCGAAACTACCAGGACTGGTTCGGACGCCTTTCGTTTCAATTCGTTGACGGTCGTTGCCGCTTCCTTTCCCTTCGCCATTCGGTTCTGAACAACTTCGCGTGGAGTAGAGCTCTCCTTTCGTTCCACCTGGCATTTGCTGGCAGGGGAAGCACGCTCGCCTCCATCAATGATATCGATGACGCCTCGAAAACTTGTCCTCTTCATTCCCGCCAACCTCACGACCTTCCTGGCTTCTTCACATAATGCTTCCTTTCCCCGTTCTTGTCCCAGTCCCCAAATCATGGCCAAATTAATCACATCATGAGGTCCTCTCAACCCCAGGGCATTTGTGGCTTCACTGCTCAAGATTATCCCTTTACCCCTCGTTGCCCGAATCAGAGCAGTGGCACCACTGATCAAATTTCTCCTCGCCTCATTATTTCCCGCCGGCTGAATAGCAGGGGAGTAGCATATCTCAAAACGAATCCCACGCTGTAGTGCCCCCGAGACGGTTTTGAACTTCAACGGAAAGGAGAGCCGCTGAGAGAAATCGAGGGAGATCAGATCGCAATCGAGGGACGTGCAGCAGAGTTGGAGGGTCTTCTCTGTAGTAGGCCGAAGGGCAAGCAAGGAGTATGCTGGCGAGAACTGGGAGAGGCGATGGTTTTGGGTTGCGTCGGAGATTGTGAGCGTCAGTCGCGTGAGGACCGTGCCGATGCTTGCTGGAATGGTGATTGAGGACACAGGGATAGCCTGAGGTGTAGGCGGAAGTTTGCCTGTGACAGACAGAGAAATAGCAACCACCGAGTAGCCCAGTTCGGCGTGGAACGCGAGAGTGTGTGAGAGGTCTACATGGTTAGGAGTGTACACCACGTTAAGGTCGTGGAAAGGCATCTTGTTGGCTTTGGGAGACGCAACTCTGCGCCGGTTCGAGAGCAACGACGAGCATATTGTTACTGAGGCTGCCCTTTAGTCGAGCTTCAGCAGAGATTTCAGCTGCGTGCACCGAGCCTTGGTGCTGGAATTCAAAATGGCGAAAAGACCGAATGTCGTGTGGTTCTGGTGCCGGGGAAAATCTATCCGGTAGTAGGCAATTTCAAAGTCAGATCCCTGCCAACGTGGGATGGTATGCAGATCTAAAGGCTACCGCAGCACAGATCGCTTTCCGTACCACACCTACGGTTCCCTCAATTCCACCCACTTATTTCTCCATCTTCATTGTTTGGCCCATTGCCTTTAATCGCTAGGCAGTCACCGGCCGTCTGCTTTGCGGCTGGCCGTGGTTTTTTTCCTTCGCAGCCATTTAAGACGTCGTCGCACACTGTAGCCTTGTCCTGCCCTACTTCCAACCTCCAACGCATGACACAGCCCCACGATCTCCTCCTCGCAGTGAAGCCGACGCAACCGCAGCCATGGCGCGAGTCTACGCGGACGTCAACGCCAATATGCCACGGTCATACTGGGACTACGACTCGGTAGCCATCTCGTGGGGCGTTTTGGAAAACTATGAAATCGTCAGGAAAATCGGTGAGGCGTTTCATCAAACTACATACACATGTCAAGAGGTGGGAATAACTGACGGGGAATTGCAGGTCGTGGAAAATACTCCGAAGTCTTTGAGGGCATCAACATTGTCAACTACCAGAAATGCGTGATCAAGGTGCTCAAGCCGGTCAAGAAGAAGAAAATTAAGCGTGAAATCAAGATCCTTCAGAATTTGGCCGGTGGCCCCAACATTGTGGCATTGTTGGACGTGGTACGGGACAGCCAGAGCAAGACGCCCTCTCTGATCTTTGAGAATGTCGACAACACCGATTTCCGGACCCTGTATCCCCGCTTCGTGGACTACGACGTGCGCTACTACATCTTTGAGTTGCTCAAGGCGTTGGATTTCTGTCACAGCAAAGGGATCATGCATCGAGATGTCAAGCCGCATAACGTTATGATCGATCATGCGAAAAGAAAGGTGAGCAAAGCCAAGTCACCCCAGATATTCCGAGTTTGAGGCCATGGTTGGTGTGCTGACGATGTTGGGGTTACATAGCTTCGACTTATCGACTGGGGTCTCGCTGAATTCTACCACCAAGGCACAGAGTACAACGTGCGCGTCGCCTCTCGCTACTTCAAGGGGCCTGAGTTGCTTGTCGACTATCAGGAATACGACTACTCGCTGGACATGTGGTCGTTGGGAGCAATGTTCGCCTCGATGATCTTCCGCAAGGAACCCTTCTTTCATGGAAATAGCAACTCGGATCAGCTCGTCAAGATCGCCAAGGTTCTGGGTACGGATGATCTATTTGAGTATCTCGATCGCTATGACATTGAGCTGGATGCGCAGTACGACGACATACTTAGTAGGTTCCCGAAGAAGCCGTGGCAGAGTTTCGTCAATGCGGATAATCAGCGCTTTGTCAGCCCGGAAGCTATCGACTTTCTGGACAAGCTGTTGAGATATGATCACCAGGTATGCTACCATCAAGCTCGTTGAGTATCCTCTGGCTGGATGCTAATCTATTCTGCGATAGGAACGCTTGACTGCTCAGGAAGCAATGGCACATCCTTACTTCGCCCCGGTGAGGAATGCGGCAGCACAGCAGCAGCAGCAGAATTCCCAGAATCATGTCTCTTAAAACGAGCATTACTGGCAAGTGTGACTACCCATCCCTAGGGAAGGTCCACTGCAAAGGACAAGGGAATAGGGCATCCCAAGGAGGTATCTCCGAATGAGTGATGAGAGATGACGATGATGCGACCTCCACAGCGCCGCGGCAGCGCAAGAACATCCGGCTCAAGAAAGGGCTTAAAGATGGGGAGTCTGGAGACTAGTGAAGGCCAGCATGAGAGGATGATAGAGTCTGCGAAAACGTCTTCTCGGAGAGAGGAATGAGGAGCTGTGTAAAGGCGCTTTTGTTGCAGGAACTCAACTCACTTTTGGCACCCTAGCATAATACATTTTCGTACCATGCTGTCACTTTTGCTTTTGCTGCCTTGGTGATCGTCCTGTAAGGCTGTGCTTTAGCCCGACTTGTTTGACCGTTTTATCTTCACGGAACAAAGCTGCCGTCTACGCATTAATACTCTCACTCGTCTGGCGGATTCGATGTACCACCGTGTCTACCGTTGTTTGCAACAGTTCTGATAGGTTTACAGTTGTTCCATTGTCACGGCCCCTTTCTGTTACTCCGATGACTACATCATCTATGGGAGCCCTTCTGTCAAGCTCGAACTTCCTTGCTCACCAGCGTCTCTTGCTTGCAAGCCACCCCTCGCCTGAGCTGAATTTGACACCGCTTCAACCTGAGGGGAAGAGGAATTGTTATCATCAGCCGGATAACTGCTTGCATCGTGGCTGGGATCAACTCCTACGACCGCGGCAAGGGAACTTGGGCATTTTACTGGAGCGTCGTCTGACAACCTAACATTTTCTGGTTGACCATATCTGCTGGAAATCTTTCCTGACGAACCGGCGATCTCCAATCTTTTGGCTTGGTTGAATGGTGAATGGTAGCAAAACCCGCAACAGTCTGGCCGTTGATATCATGGCTGCCAAGGCGCTAATTGCGAGGCTGAATGGACGTCATGTTGCTCTTCGCACTCCTCGTTGCTTGCAAAACTCCTTCGAGCGATCGAGTCTTTTGCAATGAACTATTCAACACATCTTTTTGGACTTTGAGTCTGTGGGACTGTGCTTACAATCCGTCGTGCTGGCGTATCTGGAAAACGTTGCTACGCGACCCTTACCATCCGTATGCCTCTCTCCGTATTGCCGGCAGATTCGTAGGAGGACGGTAAGCTTGTCAGTATTCTTGAAGACCACTCAAGTACCATTGGAGCACCCAGAATACCTGCAGTTGCACAGCAATAGTCCGGAATCCATTCGAAGGCCGTGAGGATGCTCGGACAGATTGCGTTGAAAGCGACACCAGATAGAGACTATGCTCCAACGACGGCATCGGCATGACTTCTCAAAAGGTCGGGACTATCAACCTTGAAGACCAAAAACTGGAGACACACATAGGCTCCTGGAAATTCGAATATAACACTTGCGTTAGCAGAATACTTCCTACAATCACAAAGACCCCTACTCAGGAAAGAGACTACAAGAGTCAACAAAACACAAAGTGAGAAAGAGACTTAACGAAGTCAACAAGCAATGGAACTGGTTCTAGTAGGCGATCCTCCTCCTCACTTCGAGCGAATGAGAATACCTGGATAAACCAGCACCGGCTGGAAGACAGTATCTCAATCCACGGAAAAACCTGCCACGAGCGGGTTTAACTTCCCACCACCCCCATATCAAAGGGGCTGGTGGTAAAAGTTTTTGCACTTTTTGTGTCCCTGGATTTTCAATTTTGGCGCGCGCGCTCTCTCTCTCTGTGTGTGCGTTCGTGCCTACACCTGTTGTGCCCTAGATACAATTTGTTGCTGGCGGCCTCCTCCAGCTGAACAGATATCGCGCCAAGGATCTTGAGGCCGGCAGAACTTCTGGCTTGAGATCGAGGACCTCCCATTATTCACAGTCAGTGAGATGGAGGAGGCAGCCAGCCCTATTTCTTTCTATCACGTCTGGCTCGCTATTGTAGTGAAGGAGTTCCCAAGGACCATCCACAAAGTCTTTACAACATCCTCACTCAATTTGGTGTCAAGCAAACAAAGTGAGTGAGCCAGACACATGAAAGTCCAGAGGCAAGACTGGACCTTGAAAACTTTGACCGCTTTCAGCAGAGCGCTTGCTTCACCCAGTCCAAGTACGCTAAACCATTGCTCGAGCATTCAGGACACAGTCCATAAAACAACTGGTACGGAAAATCACTGTGAGCTGGTCAACATAATCAGCAACAGCGGATGGTTGAAAAAGACAATCAAGTCTCTCACAGCAAGTCCCGGTTGTTATGGATCCAGAACCAAAACTTCGCGAACACGAGGACCGCGGGCATACATTGACTCGATCGCTCCTGAAGACACCCTGGGGCTGGTTGCCTCCTCAGAGCTCTCGAAGGTCTGTGAGAGTGCCTTCAAGATCGCAACGGGTGTTAATAATGTCACGTTGGCTCCACGCGGACAGCCCTCGGGGAGTACTTGGAGTTCGCTTTTGCGAATTTCACCGCTTTTAATATCTCGATTTTGTGTTTCCCTGCTCTTTCTAATTCAAAATACACAGGGTTGCGCCAATCCCCCAGATGCACTGACCCTCGCATCTGCTTTGCTCCCGAGGCACCTGTTTTGGACCACCGGCCATCCACACGGATCTTCGAAGGATAGAGCCACCAGCACGAATTTCTGATAGCTTTGTTTCTCGCGCGTCGATATGAGAGACTTCATTCGGTTATCTCACTTCTCTGGATAAAGCGAACAACCGCCCCCCGCAGATGGATATGATTGTGACTCCTCCAGCGGCGGTGTGAGCGATGGGTACTGGAAAATTTCGTCCATCCAAAATTGGGCAAGACGGAAATTAACCCTACTGGGTCACTTCAGCCTGTTGACGAAGATATGGAGATTTGGAAGAACAAAGCCTGAGAACGAAACAACAGCAAATTTACAAGAAATGGAGTGTGCACAGATGTTTGGATCAAGAGACCCTTCTGGCCTCCTCCTATCACCGAGCAGCGGTATCGGCCACCATCTTACACCTGCTTGATCTCTCAGTCACCTGTCACTCCTTTAATGATCACCATTCCATCCCTCTCCTGCCGAACGCAAGAATGTACTGTCTCGGTAACCGATACTCTCTCAAAATGGTTTGGGTTCAGGGGCCAAGCAGCCTTAACCTTGGCGTAGGATTCCGCTTGAGGCTTCCGGTGCTTTGCTGACCTGCATTAGTCCCTAGGCATTTACAATGCACGGCTGTCTTCTGGCACAGGGACCGCTGTCATTGCAACTTTTATAGTTCTTCGCTCGTATTCATGGCAAATGGGGCCGATATGGAGCGTTAACAAAGGGGAATCAACGTCATTTGCTGTCAACCACGCGAATTTCGAAGAGATACCCGTGAAGTGGCAGCAAGATTGTGCCGGAATCGACCCATTCTGACGCTGATTCCAACCTTGTCAAGCACCTAGCCGTGTCTTATGAGGCCCAAGCCTCCTTACTCACGCGCCATGTTGAACTACAGGAGTGGACGTCCGCCTACGCCACACATCGCTTCAAGGCGGCGTCTTTAAGGGGGTCACCGCTCCTTCGCGTGGGAAGCAAGTGTTTGGATGCTGTCAGGTTCTCGTATAAGAAACTTTGGCGTCTTCCTTGGTCTCACATACTTCCATGCTTCCACTTGTCAGAACAAGGGAGAAGTCACCATTAGTTTGAGAAGGGTGATTTCGTTGCGCAAGGCTAACAAACCCTCACTCCTCGCCAATATTCTGCGTTGTCCTCACGTATTAGGAGGCGGCCTGTTTCAACCTTTTCTTGTCTTCCTCTTCTCTTGTTCTACCTTGCAAACCCCTACAAATTCACAAGGAGATAGGCACAGCAGAGAACCTGCTCGGAGCAAAGATGTCGGCTCCATCAGACAATCTTTCGATCCTTCTTGCCTTGCGCGACTCCCTCAATGCATCCATCGATGCCCTTTCTTCGCTCACGCCAGAAGAGCGATCCCAGGCATCCAGTGTCAACAAAGTACGCCAGCAGATATGGTCCACCGCCACTCGAATTGCAAGCGAGACAGTCAATCCTTCGCAAGAAGCGACCCTTATCGCCTTCATGGTAAGGAAGATATTGACGTCTTGTGCCTAGACGTATGCTTGTTTATTGACGCCTCCTAGCCATGGCTGAATGCGGTCGTACGGACTGCGTTGGAGCTGGACCTTTTCAACCTTCTTGGACAATATACGACTGCATCCGAGCTTGCGCAGAAGACCGGAGCGGACGTAACATTGATAGGTAAAGCTCATATCCTGCTAACAGCAGGATTTCGGGAAGTTGTCTGCTGACATGGTGTTAGTGCGCATCATGCGGGTCCTAACGGGCTTTCACATTGTGTTGGAGCTTGGGGAGGAAGCGTATGCGGCGACGCCTGTTTCGCGAGCTCTAACTATGCCAGCCACCGCCGACTTGAACAAGCACATGTGGGTTTCTGCCTTTACCTTCATCGAAATATTGCCCCCATATCCTTTTGCTTGGGTCTCCATGAGATCAAGCCTGCCAGGCACTGACAACCTCTGTGATCTGCCAGATTTGACAGTAGCTGGGGCTGTATTGGAAAGATGCCTGCTTACCTGGCTGAGCTTGGTTACAAGAACCCCGACCAGCCTGACAATACACTCTCGCATTATGCAACAGGGACTGACTTCTTTGCGTATCTACGCAACGACCCCGTTCGACTCGTTCGTTTCAACTCCGCCATGAAAGGTGCCGCCACATTACTCGCGAGCCCTGTCCCGAGCTCCCTTCTCGCGTCTGAAGGAAACGGGAATGGCGTGGTAATGGTCGATGTAGGCGGGGGCCATGGTCAAGTGACCCAAAGGGTCATGGAAGAGAATCCGCATCTCAAAGGGCGCTTCATTGTGCAGGATCTCGGCGCTATTATCGACGAGGCACGTGCCAGAAATCCCAAGTACGAGGTCATGCAGTACGACTTTTTTACTCCACAGCCTATTCATGGTCAGTACCGGCTCCTCACGATGATTTCCTTACTTGTACAGCTCATATCTTTGAACCTCCTGTTCTAACATGCCGTCCGATGTCTTATAAATGCCGGAGCTAACGTTTGCATAGGAGCGCGGATCTACTTCATGCGTCGTGTCCTGCACGACTTCCCGGATTCGAAATGCCGCGAGATCCTGACGAATCAGATCCACGGCATGGTCAAGGGCCAGTCAAAATTGCTCGTCTGCGAGACTGTCCTGCCGGCTGTGGGGTGCAGCGGCTTCGAGTCGCTCGCGGACATCAGCCGGACTACCTTCAGCTCAATGCAACGGAGCGAAAAGCAGTGGACGGCGCTGCTGGCGAGTGTAGGCCTCAGGGTTGTCAAGATATGGCCTGCTAAAGAAAAGGGACCATTTGCTGTTATTGAGTCAGAGCTCGAATGAACCCCCTTATGCATTGAGACATCGCCGTTCGGCGATGTCCTGTGGATAAAGGAGAGTTCAGTGAGAAGAACTGGAATCTCTATCTTCGCCATCGTACTCGGATGTTTCCGTTCTCGACAACGATATCTATTCTCGTAGCGAGCTTGAATAGGGACTGATTGCTGTACATGCATTTAACAAAAATGGGAAGCTGGTCTATGCTGTCGAATGTAGCGACATACGATCTCGCTGCCAAGAACGAGTCACGTGAAGCTCTTCGAGGTCCGTCTTGCGCCACTGTTCTTGTGCTCGGCCGTAGCAGCAATAAATCTAGCGCAAAAGTTCAAGTTGCGACTCATAAATCCCCCATAGACTCCAGATTGTCGTCCAGTCATATATGAGAGCCTGGTTTGACTAGCCTCTGTCTATTCCTTTTTCCTTGTTGTCTGAGTCGCCTAGAATTGACCTAAAGAGCAAGAACACAGTGCAGTCACGCCGCAAGGCAGTCGAGCAAAATACTTATCAGATCTTTGCTTCGGCGCCCTCCTGCTTGGAGACGGCTTTCTCGTTTCAACATGGCGCTCAATGCCGCATCACATAATATAAGTATGTTGAATGCCATGTATTCAGCTAGAAGCGCAAAATATACTGACATGCTTACAAGCTGGCGAGCCGACTGGTTCTCCTTCTGGTCCACCGCCTCCAGTATCCTCCGAGATAACCTCTGCGGCGAAAGGCTCGGCTGCACAAGACGCCATGGGTCAAAATGTCCCCGGGAAGGACCTGCAAAACAACGAGAAAGGTCAAACCGTGATGGGCGAAGCAGGCAAGGAGAAGACTGCAAAAGAAAGTATGCAAGATAACCTCGAAGGCCCGCATTGATATACTCTTCACCCTCTCATTTGTATTTGCATGATCCGGACTACACGACAAGAGATGACTCACCCGAAGCCAAGTACCGGACTGCCAGACGTTCCATGGTGTATGACTGGGAAAGCATCTATAAAGGGCGGGCAAGATCTCGTAGTCATATCACTCATGTCCCTCAATAACAATCCACTCGTTGCACCCATAACGTCATTGAGCTCATATCCACTGCGTCCAAAGAATGTTAAGTCTGACCATCATGCCTTCCGCAGTTGAGAGAGAACGTAAGAAGGCCGAGAAGCTCGCCAAGTTCCAAGAAAAGCAGAAGAAACAAACTGCGCCCGCTCCCGCCGCTGATGCTCCGAAGACCGCAAAGAAGGAAAAGGTCAAGAAGGCCGCCGCCGTTGATGCCTACGAGCCGCAGAAGATCGAATCTGGCCGCTATGAGTGGTGGGAAAGCAGGGGCTACTTCAAGCCACAGTTTACGAAGGAGGGCAAGATCAAACCAGAGGGCAAGTTCGTCATTCCGATACCTCCTCCCAATGTGACGGGATCACTGCACATGGGCCACGCCCTTACGAACGCATTACAAGACACGATGATCCGACATGCAAGAATGAAGGGAAAGACTACGGCCTGGATTCCTGGCTGTGATCACGCCGGTATAGCTACTCAAAGCGTGGTGGAAAAGATGGTTTACAAGACCGAGGGCAAGACCCGGCACGATCTGGGCAGAGAGGTTTTACTGGAGAAGATTTGGAGCTGGAAGCAGAAATACCACGCCAACATCACTAACCAGCTCAAACGTCTGGGAGGGTCCATGGATTGGACGCGGGAAGCATTTACCATGGACGATGAGCGCTCCTTTGCCGTGCGGAAAACCTTTGTCGACCTCTTCGAAGAGGGTATCATTTACAGGGCGGACAGGTTGGTGAATTGGTGCTCTGCTCTTTGTACCTCTCTGTCGAATCTCGAAGTGGACAACAAGGAGCTTAAAGGGCGGACGAAGTTGAAAGTGCCTGGCTATGACAAGATGATCGAATTCGGTGTTCTCACCTACTTCAAATATCCCATCAGCAAGGGAGATGACTCGCACAAAACTTCGACCTCACCAGACCGCTTCAGGGGCTATGAGTTCATCGAGATCGCTACAACCCGTCCGGAAACCATGCTTGGCGATACAGCTATTGCCGTGCATCCTGATGACAAGAGATACAAGCATCTCGTGGGCAAGCTGGCCATTCACCCCTTCATTCCCGATCGCAAGATCATAATCATTGCGGATGAGGAAGTGGAGATGGACTTTGGTACTGGTGCGGTGAAGATCACCCCTGCGCACGACCCCAACGATTTCACCAAGGGCAAGAAGCACAACCTGGAATTCATCAATATTCTCAATGATGACGGCACGTTAAATGCGAATGCAGGGCCCTATGCGGGCCAAAAAAGGTTTGATGCCCGTTATGCTGTCATCAACGACTTGAAAGCGCTCGGCTTGTACACGAAGCAGGAAGACAACGCAATGACCATTCCGATGTGCCAGAGGAGCAAAGATGTGATTGAACCAGTCCTGAAACCACAGTGGTGGATGAGGATGGCTGATATGGCTAAGGCCGCGGACGAAGCGGTCCTGGACGGCCGGATCCTCATCAAACCTGAATCGGAATCCCGACGCTTCCATTTCTGGATGCAGAATATCCAGGATTGGTGCATTTCTCGACAACTTTGGTGGGGTCATCGAGCACCAGCCTACTTTGTTGAGCTTGAAGACAAGACAAGTGACGAAGCCGACAGCAATTACTGGGTGGGGGCCATGGACGAGGACGAGGCCCGGGCCAAGGCAGAAAAGAAATTCCCTGGAAAGAAATTCACGCTGAGATGGGATGAGGATGTGCTCGATACTTGGTTCTCCTCCGGGCTGTGGCCATTTACGACACTTGGGTGGCCGAAAGAGACTTCAGATATGCGGGAATTATATCCAACCAGCATGCTGGAGACCGGATGGGATATTCTATTCTTCTGGGTGGCCAGGATGGTCATGTTTGGTCTGAAATTGACCGGCGACGTACCCTTCACAGAGGTATACTGTCATTCACTGATTCGAGATGCAGAGGGCCGGAAGATGTCCAAGTCACTGGGCAACGTGATTGACCCGCTGGACATCATCAGGGGAATTACGTTGGAAGATCTTCACAAGACGCTGTACGCGGGCAACCTTGACACAGCTGAGATCGAGCGTGCCAAAGCATACCAGAAGACGGCTTTCCCTAAAGGCATCGAGGAGTGTGGTGCCGACGCCTTGCGGTTTACGCTGGTAAATTACACCACTGGCGGAGGCGACGTGGCCTTTGACATCCGGGAGATTGAAGCAAAGAGACGGTTCTGCAACAAGATCTACCAAGCGACTAATTTCGCGCTGGGAAGACTTGGTGGAGACTTCGTCCCCGATGCGAGCCCAACGGACAACAAACCAAAGTCACTGGCAGAGAAATGGATCCTCCACAGACTCAACACTGCCGCGCAGGAGGTCAATAATGCCATCGAAGGGCGGGAATTCTCCGTGGCTGCGGGCACGCTGTACCAATACTGGTTCACCCAGCTGTGTGACACATTCATCGAGAACTCGAAATACATCCTCACACCAGAGGCTCCTGAAGATGAGAGAAAGTCAGCCCAGCAGACCTTGTACACAGCACTTGAGGGCGGCTTGCTGCTGATGCATCCTCTCATGCCTTTCTTGACCGAGCATTTGTGGCAGAAGCTCCCACGTCGGAAGGGCGATACCACTGAAAGCATCATGATCGCGAAATACCCCGAGTTCAACGAGAAACTTGACGCTCCCCAAGAAGCTCAGAAATACGAGTTTATCATGGACATTGCGTCGGGAATTCGAAGCTTGCTTTCTCAGTACGCTTTTAAGGAACCTGGAGATCTTATCATTCAAACTTACTCGGACTCGGCTTTCAAAACCGTTTCGGAGGAACAGACGTCCATCAAGTCTCTGGGCGGCAAATACGCGGGCAAGATCGAAGTCCTGCCGCCGGCTACGAACTCCCTTCCGCCAGCTGGGTGTGCTTTGCAGAGCATTAACGCGGACGCCGCTGTGTATCTGAAGATTGCCGGACGGATCGATGTGGCGGAGGAGTTAAAGAAGCGCCAGAAGAGCATTGAGGATGCCCAAGCCCGCGCGGAGAAGAGCAAGAAGATTATGAGTGGAGCTGGGTGGGAGAAGGCAAGCAAGGACACAAAGAGGAAGGAGGAAGAGAAGCTGCAGGACGCCGAGAGCGAGGTGAAGAGATTGGAGGAGGCGATCAAGGACTTGGAGAGGTTGAAGCTGGAGGGCTGAGAAGATATCTGGGCGGCCGTAAGGGCTTCGAAGCATTGGCCTTCACTTTCACGATTGTTGTATCAGAACACTAGCATTTTCCAAAAAGTCGCATAAAAGGTGTCTACTTCAAAATCTTGTTTGACACGGAGAATCCCAAATTTCAGGAGACACAGCCTTGCGGGGTGTGCGGGAGGCTGCGCCCCTGGCTATGGCCTTTTTGATGGGATCCGTACAAGGTGTGGCGTTGATTGAGCCGAACGTATGAACAGCAGACGACGGAACGCAGCTCGTGGTGGTCGTTGAGACATGGGGACAATACTTGGGACCTAGGTAGAATGCACACAAGGGGCAGATAGGTCCCATCTCGCTACGATGAAAGGAGCCATCTCGGGCAGTAGCGGGAGGGATGCCCGTCGAGTTCCGGGGCGCAGGCAATAGAAAACTTCGATGATTCCTGACGGAGAATATCATTGTGAAATGCTTCTGTCTGCGGTGGGCCTCCGCGACGCGTCCAATTGCGTGTCCCTCAGTTATAATTACACAGCGTTGTCGAAATTATATTTTGCGTTTGCAGGCTTCGTACGCCAGTCTCGCCGTCACAGCAGCATGGGTTGAAGAGCCCAGGAGAGTCAATCGACACAATTCCACTTCCCCCTGCGCTTGCGAGCTGCGCGTCACCAGCAACGCCCGCAGCTTCTCCCCCAAATGCCGCTGACGCACTTGTTCCGCGCTGAAACGCGACACATGTCCTCTTGTCAACGAGCCTGCCTCCGCACTCCCAAGTCCAGTCAAAGACTGTTTCGGGGTCGAGGATGCAGAGCCTCAAGCTACTTGTCCTTTAATAATAGCCATAGATTGCATGCCACCCGGCGTCTCTCGAGAACGTCCTTCCCTGCCCTCAATCGCCTCCCGAACGTCGATCCTTTTGCCTCACGAACGTCAATGACGCGCTCGAGCACCCAGCAACAGTCGAGAAGCCATGCAGGACACTCCCACCATGGCCACGGCCACGCACACGACACCTCCTACCTGACCTCTCAGAACAAGAATGATGCTGGCGTCAGGATCACGAGGATTGGGCTGTTCGTCAACTTGGGCATGGCCATTGGGAAAGGGATAGGGGGTGTAGTCTTCCACTCACAAGCACTTATTGCCGACGGCTTCCACGCTCTCACCGACCTGGTCTCCGACTTTATGACCCTCGCCACTATCTCCTGGTCCTTGAAACCGGCAACGAATCGATTTCCGAGTGGATATGGCAAGATTGAGAGCTTGGGTGCTTTGGGAGTGAGCGGCCTGTTGCTCTTTGGGGGCGTTGGCATTGGTTTGAATGGGTTGGATGCTCTCTATACCCAGTTCATGCTCGACCCTGCAGCTGTGGTTCATGCGCATGAGCATGCTGAACATGGGGGCGGTGGGCTGTTCTCATTCCTGGGACATAGCCATAGCCATGGACCTGCGTTACCAGACCTCAACGCTGCTTGGCTTGCGGCAGGCTCCATTGTGGTGAAGGAATGGTTATATCGAGCCAGTAAGTCTCCGGGTGAATGTCGACCTTCTATCCACATCTGCTAACCTAGCCCTACAGCTATGAAGATTGCCCGAGAACGAAAGTCGTCCGTTTTAGCCTCCAATGCCGTCCACCACCGCATCGATTCCTTGACCAGCATTGTAGCCCTTGCTACTATAGGGGGAGCACATGTATTTTCGGACGCCTCGTGGCTTGACCCTGTGGGTGGACTGATTATTTCCGCCATGGTAATAAGAGCAGGCTGGAACAACACAAAAACCGCTCTCCTCGAGCTCGCAGACGTCACGGTGGACGACGAGATCAAGACCCTAGTCCGCAGAGCCGCGTCTCGAGCTCTAAAAGGTGATGCCGCCAAGGGCATTGAGCCTGTTGAGTTCGGGAACGAGACGGAGATCAGAGACGTCCAAGGCGTCAAATCTGGTCAGAACTATCTCATAGACATTGAACTCGGGGTACCCAAGGACTTCACACTTGAGCAGATGGAGAACATCGAAGACGCGGTGCGGGAAAGGTGTGGTTCGAAAGTCCGCGGGGTTAGACGAGTTCGCGTCAAATTTGTGCAACTGGACGATCCGAATGCAACCCTCGCCGGCGATTTCATTGCCACGGACGTGAGTCCAAGAAGCAGTCCAGAGCCGGAAGATGAGCGCGACGAGCATGAACACCACCATCGTGAAGAAGGGCCAGGACATGACCATCCTCACAAACACGCAAATGGCCATGCAACAGCCTCGAGCCACAGAAAGAAAGATTCCTGAGCCATTATGGGAGCCTCGTCTGGCCCACAATGCCTCCCGAATTCAATGGGCTGCGGAATTTTACGCCGGGTGATATCAGGCTGATATCATGGCGCCAAGAGGCCCATCAGAAATGTTGCTCCCCTCATCACCGACGTGCATTTACTCCACCTCTGCTTCCATCATTCGGGAATCTCCTTTGTTCCTGAAGGCGTGAGTAATTGTTATGCTTGACCGGCGGTAGACGAAACACTGTGTGTCTTGTCATCTGTACAATATCCGAGGCAACTGTCTGATCAGAATCCAGACCATGACCTCCTCCGGGCCCCTATATCTCGGCTTCGATCTATCCACCCAACAATTAAAAGGGTTGGTGGTCGACTCTAGCCTCAAAAAGATCCACGAAGCCAAGTTCGACTTTGACGCCGATTCCAAGGGCTTCAACGTGAATAAGGGCGTTCTTGTGAATGAAGCCGAACATGAAGTTTTTGCGCCAGTGGCAATGTGGCTACAAGCCATCGACACTCTTTTGGGTCGTCTGAAGGACGACGGCCTCGATTTTAGTCGGATCAAGGGGATTAGCGGCTCGGGCATGCAGCATGGAAGTGTCTTCTGGAATGCTGATGCGGAACAACTACTTTCTCAACTCGATCCTTCGAGAACACTAGAGTCGCAGCTCGACGGTGCGTTCGCACATCCGTTCAGTCCCAACTGGCAGGACGCAAGCACCCAGAAGGAATGTGACGAGTTTGACGCTATTCTGGGCAATGAATCGCAACTAGCACATGTAACTGGCAGCAAAGCACACCATCGCTTCACTGGCCCGCAAATCCTACGATTTCAACGTAAATACCCAGATAAATACATCAAGACATACCGGATCACTCTTGTGTCATCTTGGATCGCTACTATCTTCCTCGGAAAATATGCCCCGTTCGACATCTCGGATGTCTGCGGCATGAATCTGTGGGATATCAAAGCCGGCAACTGGAACGAGAAACTGCTGGAGCTCGCTGCAGGACCATCTGGTGTGGACGCGCTGAAGAAAAAACTGGGCGACGTGCCTCAAGACGGTGGTATCCATCTAGGCACCGTCTCGCCCTACTTTATCAAACGCCATGGCTTTTCGAATGAATGCACCATTATCGCCTCGACTGGGGATAACCCTTCCACAATCCTTGCATTACCGCTCCGCAGCAACGATGCCATGGTCAGCTTGGGCACAAGCACCACCTTCTTGATGTCCACTACCGAGTATAAACCAGATCCGAGCACGCATTTCTTCAATCATCCGACTACACCCGGACTATATATGTTCATGTTGTGCTATAAAAATGGCGGGCTGGCTAGAGAGAAGGTTCGCGACGCGATCAATGGCAAGCTAGGGGTTAAGGAGAAGAATTCCTGGGCAGAGTTCGACAAGCACTTGCTTGAGACGCCGCCCCTTGCACAGTCCGACGAGAAGGACCCCATGCACTTAGGTCTATATTTCCCTCGCCCTGAAATCATCCCTAACCTTCCGGACGGAGAGTGGCATTTCTCATACAAGCCGCAGAGTGATGAGCTCAACCCCGAGAAATCTGTTCCACAGCCCCCTGAGCAAGACGCGAGGGTCATTGTGGAAAGTCAATTCCTCTCCCTCCGGCTCCGTTCTCGCGAACTCGTCTCAAGTCCTGCAAAGGATATGCCCCCGCAACCACGCCGGATTTATTTAGTGGGCGGCGGCTCACGCAACAAGGCAATCGCCCGCGTGGCAGGCGAGGTGCTAGGCGGTTCCGAAGGTGTGTTCAAGCTGGACGTCGGCGAGAACGCGTGTGCTTTGGGCGCCGCGTACAAGGCGGTATGGGCGGTCGAACGAAAACAGGGCGAGACGTTTGAGGAGTTGATCGGGCAGAGGTGGCGAGAGGACGAGTTTGTCGAGAAGATTGCGGGTGGGTACAACGCGCAGGTGTGGGAGAGGTATGGTAGCGCGTTAAAAGGCTTTGAAGAGATGGAGAACAGGTTGTTGCGAGAGCATGAGCAGAAGTGAAATGTCTATGAGGGATTGTAGTACAGGGGATGGGGAGAGCGCCCGAGTCACCAGATTCTCACGGGTCCAAAAAGAATCAAAATCAAAATCGAACCACATCTAAGATTCACCATACGCTCAAGATGAAACAGTCCATGCTCTTACGGGGATTGATCTCTTTGGCATCCTCGGAAAAGACCTTGGATTCTGTTCCACACAGCTCTACCTGAAGGCTTGCACGGCCTTGCCGAATACACCTGTACGCATTGGATGTAGATACCTCGTTACTCTCACCATCCTGGTCCCCCCCCCCCCCCCCCGGCAACACGTATAGATAGATACTAAAATCCCAGGTCTGGCCGTCTGAGATAAGGCGGGACAAAGGGCTACGGTCAAATTTATGCCTCGGACTCGGTCTCAGGCAGCAACCCTGTCTCCCGCCCTCGGCAGGTCCAGCTCTGAATCTTGGGCCGTCCCTTTTGTGCTTGCTGCCCGACAACGGAGGGGACAGAAGGGGAGAGTCCGGTGTCGAGGTGGAAGGTTTGGATGGATATTGGGCGATGCGTCTATGAGCCAATGAGAACGGACGATTCTCTGTCGGTGATTCCTCTAATTCGAGCGGGAAGAAGCGATATATTTGCATCAGGGGAGGGCCTCGGAGGAGCTGGAGCGGTTGGACAACTGATAGAGCTTGCCAGCCAGAGTCAAGGGTGTGTCGTCCGCCTAGGCACCCAGGTGCTTGTTCGAACATAAATCCATGAGCGATGCACTCTTGCTGAACAAAAGGTCCAGCTGGGAGATTGCATCGAGGCGTGCAGATCGTGGGGGTCTCCTCGTTTGCAATTTCTTGATCCATTAAGATATAGCGTCGAGGCAGGCTTCGATTCGCTTATTCCGAGATGATTGTCCCAAAAATCGCACACTCCGCTTTCAATGCCGTTCTGTCATATCGTACAAGTCCCCTTTCATTCTGCTCACTTGAAAAACCGTCCCATCACGTTACTCGCGAGACTTCTTGCAAGTCCGGAGCCCGAGAGGGCTGATCCCGCAAAACTCGACGCTTGGCTGAACTTGTCGCAGCGCGAGAAGGCAACAGTGTTGGTGATTGTGAGAACCAGGGCGATCACTGCATTCAGCAGGTTAGTATTCACGAGCATATCGATGTCCGTCCGGTCCACTTTGAAAGATTGAGAGCTTCCCACGAGGAATACGTACCAACGGTGACCAGCCAGATCAGATTCTGCAACCTCACCAGTGCGAGAATTGCAAGGCCAACCCACAATGCCGGCACAATATACATGCTCAGCCAGAAGAACCTCTTGTCCGTCTTATTCTCCACCCTGCCTGTTCCTGCCGCCGATTCAAAGACCCAGTGGGAGTCGCCCGTGGATGTGTTGACTTCGTTCCACCAGCGAAGGCCCACAAGACGACGGCCGGCAATGTTCTTGAGATAATAAAAGTCGATGGACAACAGGAGGAGCGTGAGGATGAAGACGAGAACGAAGTTGCGGATGAAGAGCACGCCGAAGAGGTACATTAAAAGACTTCCTGGGCTCGAGTGTTAGTACAGCCTCTCTCGCGTTGCGTGGATTGTGTTTGGCAGCATAGTGGTAGTTGTTTGGACGTAGACTTACCTATTCGGAAGCCTAGATAGGTGAGGAGAGTGATGGGATGGGCGCTGAGGCGCCAATTGAGGGAGCCTGGCTCGTCTGCCATATTGGGTCAAATCCTAGTTATCTTTCGTGCAACTGCGTCGCATGTTCAAGCTGGATTGATTGGAACCTTGCACTCCGCAAGTGTGAAGACGATGAAGGCTGGAAAGGAGTGCGCGCGTGGAACACATGAAAAGCATCCACGAGCCACGTCTGCGTAAGGCGGGCGGAGAAGACCAGAGGTGCCCCTTGCTGCTTTAATGTTACTCGCGGATCGTCCAACGGCTCGGCTGCTTCCATCCCAGTTACTTCTTTCGATGTCACCAGGCATCGGCGAGGTGAACCTCAACAAACACATCAGCCATCAATGGGAAGCAGAATATCGGAAGGCTGAATGGCTCCTCTAACTACAACAGACTGATAATGTCACCTTCCCTCCCTCGACGTCCTGCGAGATCACCTGCAAGAGCAGCTCAAAACACGGCCGTGCACCTGCCCAGCAATCGAAAGATTCGACCTTTGGTCTATGCAATTGGAGTCGCCGGTATAGTCGCATCGGGGGCATTTATCGGTGCGATTTTGAAGACGAGCAGGCAACAAGAGGCAGCAAGAAAGGTGAGCCAGATGCAATATCATTTGTGTCCATATTAGACTCCGCATCACAGATTCGCTTTCCATCGATGATCAAACGTCCCTTAACCCTGTTCATGAAATCGTTAAGACTGCTTTGCGATAAGCCAGAAGCTAACAAGCTCTCGATCCCTTCTCCAGCAAGCACAGATATCCTTGACTCCACCAGTACCATCCGATCCAACTCCAAACAAAGAAACGGGCCAGCGACCAGACACAGCTGGACCCGCGACCGCTGCGGTGGCTGAAAATAAAGTGTACCTCGGATCTCTTGAGATGCTAGAGGCGAAGCGTGCCCAGCTCTTGGGCCAAAAGACGGCGCTAGAACGGAAGCTGCAGGATTTTCGAGACTCTCAGCGAAGAAAGGCCGAAGAAGAGAGGGAGAGAAAGGAGTTTGGGTTGAAGAGATGATGCTCTGAAGCTCGCCTCATGGCCGTACTGGCCGATTGAGAACCAATATTCCAGAGTTATCCTTCATCACCCTCTCATCTGGCGATGTGAATGGGAATCCCTTAACCACCGCACCCCCGGCGGTTCTTCTCACAACAATACCAAATGGCCCACGGGTTTCACGCTCCACCAATGGGTTTGCTTCGATTTGCGTGGCATCAGTGGCATTGGCGACGACGTTGAACGTGGATAAATCTCCCCCGCCTCCACCAGTCCTCAGATCCTCTCGCTGCCCCAGAGAACTATCATAGATCTCTTGCATTATAAGCTCCTGTTGCCATATGGCGACCGAAACATCGAGCTCGAAGCCGCCCTAGGCTATTTCAAAAGCCTTCGCGCGGTCTCTGTCCTGCATTCCCACAGAGGTCTCGGTCCCGACCTCGACAGATTGGATCAGGTCAGTTGGCTGAGGCTGTCTGGCTCGTGGGTTGTTATCTTCAGCTGGCCCATGACTGGAGTCAGATTGACCGGTCTTCTTCGGCTGGACGGTTGCTTCCAGCTCCGGAATTGAAGGGTACTCGGTGTTTTCTGCATGTTGATGATGTTGCAGGAGGCTCAAGCTCTGACCCTGACTTGATCCCGGGCGTTGGTAAGAGTGGGGCGGTGGCATGTTGGCGAGGGGAGAGTGCTGTATATATACGTTCTGATGTGGCTGAAGGGAGGTCCGTGTCTGCGTTCGGATGTGAGGGATACTGTCTGTGCATGCGATGCGTGGTTCCGAGGCCAGAGGGTGTAACTCATGGGGACGGATCGCGTTACAGACTCGCCCTCGAATCCAAGCTGCGAAGCAAGGACGAATCTCCTGGTTTTGCTCGAGCGTCTGTTCACATTTGGGGCACTGTGACACGATTCGCAACTTCTCATAACGACACATGGCGGCTTGGATAGAGCGATATACAGAAACGACGCCCAGCAAGAAAGAGTACGAATCACATAAATGAATTCGAATTACAGAAGAGAAAGAGAATAAAAGAAAATAATATGTGTCAAATACATAGCCCCAATTCACAAAGCACCCTATCCAAGGCGGTGGTCACTGTCCATGAAACACCCATCATTCATTCATTGATCAGGTACTCGCCACGATAGGAGGGGTTGTTGCGGGCTGCGGAGTTGCCCAGGCGGGAGTGTTGAATGGATTGATTGGTATCTATCCGTTGAGTGCCAAGCCCTAGGCACAGTGCCTTCCGTGACAGGAAGCCTGGCATCATTCTTTGCAACACAGTCCGCCCGGGCTGGGTGTGTTCTATGTCTGATTTAGGCATGGACTTGTCAGAAGCGCACTAATGGCATTTGGCCAGCTGGAATATCTGCTCTACCAGCGTTCCAGCAACACTCGTCTGTGAGGACAAAGACACGGGGAAGGCGACCGCTTGTGTGCTTTGATTCTAGCTGTCATACATAGCATGGCACTCTAACTTGGATATTTTCCTACATGGGTATGCTATTACTTGAGAGCCAGCAAGCATTTATTTGGTCTGCTGGTCCGCTGTCACGACTGCAAGAGCGAGAAGGTGACCAAAAGCCCTCCGTGTGGGGGGGTGCTGTATCCCAGTCGGAACCTACATAGGTGAATCGCTCTGTTATAATTATGATCCCTCTGGTTCCCTTTCCGGGACTTTTCTACCTCTGCTAAGGACATCTGGCTTAGCTACACGGGAGGCTCAACCCCCGATAGAGTGATATAATGGACTTACACCTCTGGGCCCACGCTGGCAGGACTGCTCTAGGCGCCATGCGGTCAACCTGCACCAGGTACCAGGGTAGAGGGTAGAGTCGTCGACTTCAGGTGGCAGCTGCTGGGGCATATGTTTTCGCTGCTTGACGGCAACCTTGGAAAGGCCCATTGGCGCTCCTGTCTGGGAGGCAAAGACAGACTTGCTTGCTTTGGGAGAGGCATACCTGCTTTTCTTCGGTCCAGCCTTGTCGGTCGGGTTCGCAGGGGCAGTCATGAAACACTCAGCCTCGCCAGCCTTGCTGGCCCAATACGGGCACGATCGCTAGGTACACATCCAAGAGTCACGCACTTGACGGGCATTGAAAATGCAAACTTGTATTGTCATTCCCCATCGCGCGATAAGACGGCGCGCACTATTTGGATTCCCATCGATGTCCAATGACTCGAGACAAAAGTTTGCATAGATGCCATGCAAAAGCAGAGAGACCGAAAACCCGCACACATATCTCACACAAAACTCCAGCTCCCATACCTTTGTCGACCCATGTGTGCCATTTACCTTCGCACCACCCCCCTGGACGTCTCCCGTGTACGAAATCCACCAGTATTCCCGAAAAATGCTGCTTCACATTACGTCTAGACCCCTTCCATTCCCAGCCGACGTAAGCTTCAACCCAAGCGAAACATCCTCGCAAATCCGCCGGACCGTGTCTGAACGAGCCTCTACTTCTTCGACGAGGGTCCGAAGTCGGCTTCCACAGCTTTCTGCGCACTCCGCTGCTTCTCGACCTTGAATTCGGCCACAATCGCGATGTGATCACTCGGGAAGTGGAAATTCGGGAACCCAGGTACCCGCTTAAGATACTCGGGGTCGATAGCCCCGAGCAACCCAACCACGCGCAAAGAGTTGCTCGAGTACCAGATGTAGTCCAAGACGTCGACAAAGTTTGGCGTGTAATTCGTGAACGGCATTTCCCCATCAATTGCGGCATAAGAAGACTTGAGCGTAAAATTGTGTGACATACCTGCGCGGGAGAAGGCGCCATAATCTCGGCCATCCAGATCAGCATGCTCGGCATTGAGACCTTTCTTGGTGAAGAGATCGTAGACTGCAGATCCTGCCCCCGAGTTGAAGTCACCACAGATGATCATCGGAATCTGAGGACCAGAGGTATATGACAATGACGGCCCAGGGTCCGGTAGCGGCTCGTCTTCTGAATCGGAAAAGCGGAACGCTTGCTTGTTAGTTGCCGGCGGAAACTTGGCGTACTTGTCGGTGAGCTTAGACAATTCCTCCATGAGGACAGCCGCTTGGATCAGTTTCACGTCTTTGTATGCGGGATCCCAGTAGATGTGAGCATTCACGACAACCACGCGGGAACCCGTGACACGGTTCTCCAAGAACACAACTGTCGCAATGTCGTCTCTCTGCCAGACCCGGTTGAGCATGTCCGCTGACGCCTTGGCGCCAGGTCGCTCCACCGCCTTTCTTCCGAGGACAAGATGTTGAGTATCCAGCACCACATATTTCTTGTCTTTCCAGAAGGTGCCACACCCATCGACAAATTTAGCAGCGTCACCCAGCGTCTCAGCACGGCTCTTCTGAGCATAGTATCCCTTGTATCCCGATATGGAAAGTTCACCGCGAAAATAATCGTCGTAGCTGCACCGGTCCAATTCCTGGAGGCAGACAATGTCGGCGTTCATTTCGCGGATCTCTTCCAGGATCAGAGTCTTGCGGAAGCCCCAAGTGAGGACGCGCTCCGGAACGTAGCCATACTGCTGCTGCGTTGCGTAGCGGTCGCACAGAATATTGTAGTTCAGTGCCTTGATTGTGTCCTGGGAAGTGTCATTCTCATCGATTTCCTCGATTTGGTGCCATTCTCGTTCTCGGGGAGGTGGAGGTTCTGACACAAAATTAGTTGCAAATCGCCAAAAGCAAACATGCGGAACAGACCTGGCATGCTTTCACGGAGATATTCAATCAGTTTCCTTGTGCCGCCCTCCGTGATTTTGTCGCGCTGCCCTTGCTCCAGTGGATTTCCATAGATGCCGAGCACCTCCAGTTTGTACAAAAAGCCGAGTTCGTAACACAGGGTTTGAATGTGGTTATTGAACAGGAGGAGTTGCTTGAGGTTCGTAAGCATGCCAATCTCTTCTGGCAATTCGGTGAGTTGATTAAAAGAGACATCCAGGTGCTCGAGGTTCTTTAATTGTCCAATCTCGGGTGGCAGGGCTTCTAGTTGATTATATACAAGGTCGAGGCGTTTCAAGAAATGGTAGGACGGATTGAATAGCACAGGCGAAAGCGCACAAAGACCCTGGCCACCCAGATCCAACTCATCCCAGGTTTGCCTGTTGGCAGACTGTCCATTTGACGTGGTTGTCCGAGCGGTATCCGTCTGAAGGTCTTCCGCAGCCGCCCCTAACGGGACGTAGTTGACACCCTTGGAGTGATGCGCCACAGTGCGCGCTCGCTGGTTTGGGCCGTTGAGATCTTTGCTTTCTTCCCAAAACTGCTTTTGTTCCCTCCAATAATCATTGTCCGGCTCGTCCACATCGTCGTGCGGCAGTCCATTGCCGTTTCCGTTTGCGAGATGTTCATGGGCGTAGGTGGGTAAATGAGGGGTTCCAGATTGAAAACCAGCAGAAAGATTGTGCTGGTGCCCTAATTGCCCGGCATGATGGTGCTGACCGTGGTGTTGAGTGACATTGTGATGGCCATGATGGGGTGGCTGGTATTTGGGCAGGTGAAGGTTCGCGTAACGCTGATGGGTTTGCGCTCCATTCATGAGACTGTGCTGTGTCTGATATCCATTCTGGGAGTACATGTTGAAGTTGTGCGCGACAGAATGGCCCACAGGCGATCTCGATGGAGAAGGAGTGTCGTTGGTGAAAGGTCTCCGTGCGCCAGAAGGCGAGGTGGCTCGATTCTGATTCCGATGCGAAGTGTGTTGGGTGGGGTAATACTGCCCGGCTCCAGGCTGATGGAACCGGAATGCACCATCTGCCATCTAACACGGCAGAGCGGTAGGACTTGTGTAGTTTTCTGCTTGTGAAGCCGAAGCGCAACGAGAGGGAGGCGGAGGGGCTGGGACGACTCGGAGCGTTATGGAAGGTTGAGCGGAGGGCAAGCAGAGTCTTCGTTTCTTCAACATGAGATCCGGCGAGGAACTCAACGTCAACTGACAGACTGTCGCAGCTCGGAGGTTTCAGGGTAACCGGCACCGGAGCGTTCGATGGGGAAAACGAGGATGCGGTGATTTGGGAGAGGATAAAGGTTGAGCAAAGGGAAAGCTTGAGGACAGATCGTACAGCTGCGGGTGAAAATGCCGTGGATTGTTGTCACGCGGGCACGGCGAGGGTACTGTGTGTGGTTGACTGATGGGATATTGAGCTGATATACGGCACAGATATCAATGAAGATGGTGGATGAGCGAGTGTCAAAAGGTGTTTGATTTGCGCAGGAGAGGGCCGTCAGGGTGGGTGGGATAGGACTTGTTAGAGCACGACGACTCGCCTCTGCTGCTTTGCACCTGACTGGGTGGTTCTGGGTGCAGGTGGCTAAAGAGCCGCCCCCTGCGCTCCTCCCAAAGGCTTGGCATTGTTTCAGTGTTTGTCCCTGTGATTCCAAGGAGGCGAACGAGTTTGTGCTGTATTATTGTTCACAATGTGTGTCTTATGACTGTTCCCATCCATCCATCGTCCTTGGTCCATCGCTTTCGGCGATCAGACAAGCTTCTATACAAGTACAGAATCGCTCAAACCACGAGACATCCGTGAACGCCGCATCTGACCGTGCCCTCTCCTCCGCAGAAGTCCAAGTACTCGCCTCCCGTCGACACCACCTCCCAAATAAATGCCGCGAGCCGGCACAACTCGTCACAGTGTTTGCAGACCTCTACAAGACGCGCCCATCGCACTTGATAAACTCGACCTACGACCAGTCTTGTGGACCCAAACTCGATTTTGTTGCGGTATGAGAGCACCGATATCGTGAAGCTATCCAAGTCAGGACGACGCCGTAAGTTTGAAGGCATCGGTGAGGCATGGGATGTGCCTCAAATAGTTGCTCGGACTTGAGGTGGCAGTTTCAGGACAATGACGACCTTTTCAGCGAGCTCTCGCTTGGCTTTGTCGAGCTAGAGCCAATTCTAGTTGCGTCAGTCTCTCCCTGAGGAGCCTGTCCGCTCCAGCGACTGTTCGATTTCTGTAGATCGTCCGCGAGCCTCTGCTGAATGACTCTCAGGGACACCCTTTGACATGGATTCAACTAGGAATATCGTTGCTTCATCGAACGGTATTTTTTCAGAAAGTAGAGCGCCTCAATCTCCTTCTTCACAAATTCTGCTCGCTTGATACCTTGACGTATCTGCTCCTCGTCTGTCAGATGAGCTTTGGACATGAATGCCTTGTGCAGCCTAGGTCGAAAATAGTCGTAGCCCAGCGGATAGTGTTTGCCCATTTCCAGCAGCTCTGCAGGTGACCTCAGTTTAGGTACCCTGCTCCGAGGATCGGTATGGATCTGACGGTTCTCGTACCTTTGTATATACTGATCACTTGCTTCCTGAGCTCCAGATTCATTTTGTCTTGTTTACTCAATGGCAGTCCATGGTCAGGTTTTATGTTTTGTGGAAAAAGTGGTTGATGGTATGCATGGGCGGGATATGATGAGGACGACGTTCGGGCGCGGTGACGTCGAACTAAGCGAGCGCCAAGACTCTTATAGTACCACCGAGCTGCTTGTTAAGAGTTGGCGAGCGTTGTCCTCCTCTCCAACGTTTTACAGACTACATACCTAGGTACGTACAACCTCAACTCTCTTTGGGTTCTTCTGCCCAGACCAAGTTTCGCACTGGACACTTCCGACCACTGTCAAGCATTCGCGACCAGAGCCATACTCCTCATATGGGAACGAAAGGAACCACGATGTGACTGTCATACTGACCGCCAAAGTGCACAGTATGCTTCCCCTTATTTCCTGTATGGAACCGCCCACGTAGTGGAGTGAACTCAGCCAGAGTCATCTGATGGCCAGCAACTCTAAAGACCAGCTTTTCACCGGCCTCAAATTGAATCGCTGCAGGCCAGATTCCGATTTCCAACCTCACAATGTGACCCGGTGGAATCTTCTCCTCTCGGGTGTGATCATGGGCAGGCCAATGAGGTTTGGATAGTTTCGGGTCGAGAGCACGATGACTTGCCCTCAATATGCCAGAAGGCCCAATGTATTTCAGGCTGTTGATATCTTCAACCTCATCCTCGGATGTTAAGCCAAGCGCATTCAGTGGTATATTGATGTTTTGCAGGACCTTTCCTTCTCGATCGGCTTTGCGGATGATCACGAAAACGTCCATGTCATCGTGGTCGGCACATGACATGTATATGACTGCCCTTGACGGCCCGATGAGGGTGGATTTTTCAGTGAAAGGGTAGACGAACTCAGCGAACTCGGGATCGTTGTCAGCCTGTTGAGCCGGGATGTCTGATTGATACGAGGCTTTGCCCGATGCAGCAGTCCCGGACACTTCTTTCAGGGATTGTTCACCCGAAAGCCATAGTGTCTTGTACTGAGTCTGAGGGATTGGCCAGGTCGGGAAAGGGATGTTTGCGATAGGTGACTAGTACGAGGGATCTCAGTCATGTTTCTTCACTTATGAGGACCTTTCACTGACCTGATTATAGCGGATAACGGAGATTCGGGCTTTTGGAGTCTCCTCCCAATTATTCTTGATACCTTTGGTATAGAAATCGAGGAACTTCTTCAAGTCGTCAATGGTCTCTTTCTGGTACAAGTCGTGCCATTCCTGCGTCGGATGCAAGCGAAGCCTAAGCCAGGCACTGCGTCAGTCTTGGTCCTCGTAACGAACAACAACTTGGGAGAGCTGACCATTTCTTGCCATGTGGTATGTCTTCAAACCCCCTGATCGAGCCAACGGTGTGCAGGCCAGTTGACATGCTGGTGAGGATGTACGCAGGGACGTTGATCAGTTCTATCTTCGCCCGCTTATCCTCCCAGTATGCGTTCATGAGCGGATACTTGGCCAACATTGAGATTGGATCCTCCTGCAGATTTTCGCCTGGAGGTACGAACAACTTTAGCAGGGTTCTTTTGTTTCTGATAGGGCGCTCGTCTCACTCACCATATAGCCCATGGTCTCTCAGAAAGTGCCAGAATGGCAGATACGGAACTCCGCCGCGACAGAGGGATTCGCGATACATGTCGCTCAAGCCTTCCAAGGGCAGAATGCAGCTCAGGTGAGGCGGTCTCTCTGCCGCAATGTACCACTGAGCCATGGCCAGCCAAGAGACGCCGATCAAGGCTACATGGCCATTGCACCAAGGCAAGCCTGCTATGAATTCGACGGCGTCGTAGCCATCCCTGCCCTCAGCAGTTCCGTTCCACCTGGAGCTATCAGCATGTAAAGCGTTTGGAAGGACACACCAAATACAGACCTCTGATTCCCTCCAGATTTGAAGATACCCCTCGCGTCGATATTGACTACAGCGTATCCGTGCGCAGTCCACTCGGCAGGATCTGGCGCCTCGAAAGACTCAAGTCCGGAGAGCATGCTCTTTGGGATTCCCACTCGGCCTGGAACCAGGTCTAGCCCTAGAAAGCCTGTGTGGAAGCGCCCAAGGAGGTGAGTGACTGTCTCCCAGACCACAACACAGGGCTAACGCTTACCTGTCCCAGACTTCCCATAAGGACTCCAAGCTATCAAGGCGGGGACCTTCTCACTGACGTCCGAGGGCCGGAAGACATCAGCGCGGAGGACTGTCCCATCTCGCATGGGCACCTCAATGTCGCGATCCCAAATCGTCGCGACGTCAAAGCCTCGACGAGAAGGATCCTTCTTGTAGCCCTGGGGCAACGTGGTCGACGACGGATTCAGGCCGTTGTAATGCGCATGCGGGTCATCGATGGACGAGATCTTCTTTTGTGCGACCTCTATGCCTCCGACGGAGAAGATCTCTTTAGACGAGGCCATGCCGTGTTACAGAGCTTGGATGGCAGGGTATCCTTGTCCTTGTGCGAGGTTGCGCTCTAGAAATTGATTGCGAGACATGGCATTGCAGCAGCTGACAGATTGGCCCTATTTATCCTTCTCCTCAGGCCCTCGCCCGTTGATGTGTTCAGAAAGGCTCTAGGTCGTCCGTCGGTCGAAGGCTCGCGGACGACAACTTGGCTCTCGTGTGTGGATGGGATTTGGCCGGTCAAAACGTCAGCATATCAGTGAGATGCTCTGCGGTGATAGTAGGACCGGGCATCCTTAGCTAACTCTTCAAATCAATAACTCGCCCGTATCCAAAGACGACCAATGGGAGTAACCCCTGCCTGTGGTACATAGAAGAGGCTTCATTGGACGCAGAGGGCGTGTCAGAACGTTAGTGGAAGGAAGGACTACGGCAAGCAAAAAAAATACGAAGGCCACTCCATTCCTAGACTGCCGGCCTGGCTCCCAGCGGAGTCTGAAGGTATACGAAGAGGCATATCGGTGCAAGGCCCAATTATGGGCACGCGGGGGTGGTTAAGCGTCGCGTTATCGCCATTTGTGGCAGTGGGCGCGTTTGCGCCAAAGCGTAACCCTGCGAGTGCCTTCTCCACGTTATATGAGCGAAGACAAGTGGTTTGTATTAAATTGGGAGAAAGGGGGGCCGTGTTTCGCAGTCTCGGCCCTTGGATCGAAGCGGCGAGGCTGAAGATGCTCGCTGCACAGCTTAGGCCGAAAGACCGAAACTTCAACGGAGAAACCTTTGGTCTTGTCGTGAGATTTTGGCGGGTGCGAGTACATAATCAAAGGCCCCAGTCTCCGCTTCAGGTGAAGGACGGGGTTGCCTGAAGGTGAGGACCAAAAGCTTGTCCTTTTGAAGCTTGGAGTGGTGGTGAGGCTGGACCTAAAAGGGGGTGGTAGCTTCGAAATCGCACAAATCCCATGCCTGGTTTACTCATTGGTCACACTGCCAAGGACATACTATCATGAAGATCAGTGGAGGCTTATTTGTGTTGCACCGACGGGTTTGTCTACCGTAGTCGTCAAGTGTCGAATACTATCAGGCCTTATTGGAGAGTCGAGGTCTCGAGGGCGAATAACGTGACAATCCCCAACCACACACCCACGCACGAACATCACACCATGGCTTGGACGGCGACCGATGGAGGATGCTAGAAGACGGTACTTGTATACTGTTCTCGAGATACCCGGCATTTTCTTTCGGGCTAATCTTTGAGTGCTCTGTACGTACTTTACCAAGTATGTTCACTGTGAAGCCACGGTGGCTAGAGTTGGTACAACGGGAAGCGTTTCAAGACGAGGCGGGTGGCAGTCAAGAAGGCCCGACAAACATCTAGACACAAAGCCTCCAATCACCGTCATCAGCTGTTGAATGAGAGCAGAAGTTGATAGTCCGCTATTCGCAGCACAAGCCGCAATCGGCCGGAGTCCACAATGTGCCCGCAAGTGGTACCTGTGTCGTTTCACCAACCACCCTCTCCTGTCTCTTACGCCTTGCGATCCCTCCACTTCTCCAAAAACACCTGCTGCATACAAGTAGGGTAGGGAGACTGGCAAAGGACCATGCGTCGGAGACTTGGGGATAGCGGACAGTTAGCTGTACGAGTACGAGGATGCGGAGACTTGTTGATCGTCTAGCTGGTTAGTCGACGCTGCTGAAGTGCCTCTTGTGGTCAAGACGCGGGGAATGAATGGTGTGCGAAATGCCAATCACCGAGTCAAGGTTTCAAGCGATCCCTCGCTCATAAGAGGACCGAGACCCGGGGATGTACTTGTAGTGTTTACGCGTCGTTGACGATATGCGAGATTTCCGGCGCCGAAGATCGGGGGCAAAGATGGGTGGACGATGAAGAATGATTTAACCGGAAAGAGAGGATTGTTTTGGACGGGGAGAAAGAAGAAGGGAAAGTCTCCAGAGAAAAAAAGCAAAAAGGCAAAGCTGAATAAATGGCGCAGGCGCAGGGAGGGGAGGCGGTTGTAAGGGTCTTTTAACGCCGGCGAGATTCCATGCCAACCACGAGACGCCCAGAGATGCGAGATGCTTGGTCAGGAATGGCCAGCCCACCACTCCCCAAACAGCCGACCCAGCCTCTTCGTGCACACCATGTTGCTTGTACTCGGTACTTGTACCTGAGCTGGACAAGCCCCGTCCCAGTCACGATCGGCAAACACGGCCTCTTTTTCTGCTGGGATTCGCTTCTGGTGATTCCTCGTCTCAGAATGACGTCGGCGATATCGGCATGGCCTGTCCACTGCCGTCGCCATAAAATCACCCAACTCCCAACACCCAGCTCCAACACGGCCGCCATGGCACATAACACAGACTAACCATGGCCGATATACACGTGCGTGACCATGTCAGGTCGCCGACAGAGACCTCGACCTCGGACCTATCCCGCGAAACCACAAACTCGGATTATGGCGATCTGGACCACGACGAGGAAAAGTCCCAGGACGGCCGCGGGCCTGCGTCCATTGCGACAGGCCGGTCCGCGAGCCTCACCAGGACAGTCACTCGGAGAGAGACCCTCTTGTCGCGGATCAGGTCCCGGCCGCCCATAGGCACTTTCACCCATCCGCTCGAGCACCGCCAGACGACGGTCGAAGATCTGGTTGATTTCGATGGCGCGGATGACCCCTACAGGCCCGTCAACTGGACCATGAAGAAGAAAGTAATCACCACTGCCCTGTACGGGTTTACCACAATGTCCGCCACCTGGGCGAGCAGTAGCTACAGTCCAGGGACGGAGCAGGTCTCGCATGATTTCCACGTTGGGACCGAGGTCTCGACGCTGGGGACGACGCTTTTTTTGATTGGGTTCGGTATTGGTCCGCTGCTTTGGGCACCACTGTCGGAGGTCTATGGCAGAAAGAATGCTGTCCTCCCACCCATGTTCGTTGCCGCCTGTTTCTCGTTCGGGACTGGTGCAGCCAAAGACATCCAGACCATCATGATCACGAGATTCTTTGCCGGCTTCTTCTCTTCGGCGCCTGTCACTAACACTGGCGGCGTTCTCAGTGACTTGTTCCCAGCGTCCCAGAGGGGTATTGCAATCGCTTCCTATGCAATGGCAGTGGTCATTGGCCCAGTATTTGGACCTATCGTTGGCGCCGCCCTTGTAGTTCAGCCGAGTCTCAGATGGAGATGGACCGAGTACCTCACGGGAATCATCCAGCTCTTCGTCTTGGTCTTCGATGTCATCTTCCTGGACGAGTCATATCCTCCACGACTTCTGATATACAAGGCGCGGCGCCTGCGACATCAAAGCGGGAATTGGGCACTTCATGCGAAATTCGAGGAGTGGGACGTGTCTGTCACAGAGTTAGCAAACAAGGTGAGCAAGGCTTTATCTCTTCTCGGAGCATGCAGTGTGCTGACCGACTGCAGTTTTTGGTTCGACCTTTCCAGTTGTTGATGACCCCGATCTGTGCACTTGTGGCTCTCTATGCGAGCTTTTGTTATGGTATCTTGTATATGCAACTTGGTGAGCATTCTTCTCCTTCAGCGGTTGGACTCAAGACTGATCTCGTATAGGTGCGATTCCGATCATCTTTGGCGAACACCGCCGTTGGAAACTACTTCCCTCTGAACTTCCATTCCTGGCGATTCTGCTGGGAGCCATCACTGGCGCCATCATCAACGTTTTCAACCAACTGGTATATAACCGCAAGTCGGGAGGCAAAGTGGCCCCCGAGTTGCGTCTGCCTCCGATGATGTTTGGATCTTTTCTTTTCTCGTCAGGCCTCTTCATCACTGGGTGGACATCCGACCCGAAGTTTCCGTGGATCGCCCCTGTCATCGGGTTGTATATGACGGGGCTGGGGTTCTTCACCATCTTCCAAGCGGCACTGAACTACCTCGTCGACACATTTCAGAAGTACGCTGCCAGTGCGGTGGCAGCCAACACATTTTTGCGATCATGCTTTGCTGCAGCGTACGTGTCAGCCCTTTTATTATTCCCCCTCAGTATTCGACCGGTGCTGACGTGATGGCAGGTTTCCGCTTATCGTGTCTCCCATGTACCACAACATTGGGGTTCCTTGGGGGACGAGCATTTTTGGGTTCTTTGCCGTTGCCTTGATACCCGTACCGTTTGTGTTCTTTGTTTTTGGAAAGCGGATAAGAGCGAAGAGTAAATGGAGCAGGTTCTAGATTTTGTCAGTTTGGAATACAGATGTGGGATACTTTCAGGCCCTTCTTACGATATACAACACTTTAGCAGAGGAGTTGATCGGTGGAGGCCTAAATGGCGGGCTGGCCCTTGACTTTGGCTGGTCTGACAACGAAGCGTACGAATAGACATGCGTATCATATTATGCCAGTGTCTTGATTGTTTCGGCCAATATCCGGTTGAGCCCAGGGGAGCAACCACACGGTGCATATTACCTATACGGAGTAGCTATTTAAAAAGCTTGATCCGGGCCGAAGATGCAGGCACATCATTAATAACCACCAACACCTTTTGCCCCTTTCATACCTACAAGTTGGTAGTTGTTCGGCTTACACAATTACCCTTTGGCGGGTATTATAATTTTTAATGGACAGAGGCCAGTACTAAGGCTCGTTTCCATATCACCAGCTATTTCTCCAGTGCTACCAGAGCCACCAGAGAGCCCAAGGAACGAATAACTTGACCCAAGACAGCTAGGAGAGATTATCCACCTGAAACAGACGGACGGGGCTGATTATTCCGTCATGGCGAGTGCTCAGCTCCCCTCCCTAGATGGGTGTGTCTGACCTGCCCATTGAGGTTCAATCCGCGTTATCTGTTCCTCCCTGGTGTCGATGGCTCCCCAATGGAACACCACTCTGTTATTCGATGGCGGATGCGAATGTCGGTCTAGATGGCGTCAAAGTCTCCTACTCGTGCATAGATCAGCATGGAGGTTGAGTGATTGATTGATTGCACCACCACTCGACCCATACATACCAGGCTGCAGCATTTCTTCAGGTCGAGAAATAACACCTCTGGCCCCTCACCGCAGCCATCAGGCATCCTCGATTTCTTCCTTATTAGACCGAGTCCGCTTCTCTCCTGGACGACACTCCATTGACGCGGATGCATGTGGTGTTATTGCGTCGCTGAGCACCATGATGTCGCCTGACGCCGTTCAATTTGAGAACAGCCGCGAAGAAGGTCTTGCAGATTCCGCGCCATTACTGGGCACTGCATCCAATGTCGGCGACGACGGCGAACGAAAGAACCATTCCAGGCTTCTCCTGAAGATCTACATCGTCGTGTTCTGCCTCAACCTCGCATTCCAGATCCTGGCTCCCGCCCAGACCCAGATCTACGAGTCCATCTACTGCTCGCAATGGTACCGCCGGCACCCAGTCGATTCCTTGCCACCGTCCAGCGAGATCCCAGAGTCGTACTGCAAGATTGGCCCTGTGCAGACGCAGGTGTCCACACTGAAGGGATGGTACGAATTCTTTGCCGCAGCTCCGGGGCTTCTGATGAGCATCCCCATGGGAATCCTCACCGACGCCATCGGTCGACGACACCTGCTGATCCTCAACATCACTGTCCTTTGCCTGACACAGGTGTGGACGACGTTTGTCACCTGGTTTGAGGGCCAGATTCCTCTTCGGGCTATCTGGCTGGGGGCTGGTCTCAACCTCGTGAGCGGCGGGGTTGTCGTGACAGAATTGGTTTTTGTGGTAAGGCCGCCTCGCACCTTCTCCTGCATGGCACCCAGCTGATGATCCCACAGTGTGTCTTGACCGATGTCAGCCCGGGTGACCGAGTGTATGTGGTCGAGTTTGAGGGTTGTCGACTGGATCTTGCAGCTGACTCTGATGCAGGGTAGAGACATTCTTCCGCTCCACCGCGTGCGGATACTTCAGCAAGGTCATCGGGCCCGTCCTCGCCGCGACCCTCATGCGGCGTGATCCGTGGCTCGCCATTTACCTTGGACTCGCGCTCCTAGTCATCACGGTGATCCTCGTCGCAACCGTCCCAGAAACGGTGCACCTGCAAGTCACCGCACGGAACGAACAGGCCGAAGCGCATGGTGACCAGGACCCCACCGCCACAGATGCCCGAGGGCGCAGCACATGGCGACAACTCGACCTGTCCCGCCTGGTCAAGATCTGGAGCGACTGGCGCCTCATCTTCGTCGCGCTGACGTACCCGTTCCGGCTGATCTGCTACGCGCTGAGCGACCTGCTCCAGCGGTACGTGTCGGACCGGTACGGCTGGACGCTGGCGGACGCGACACTGGTCTACTCGCTGCAAGCCGTGGCGGCGGGGCTGGTGCTGTTCACGCTGCTGCCGGGCGTCTCGGCGCGGCTGGACGCGCGGTACGCGTTCAGCCCGGTGCAGAAGAACGTGGTGCTGTCGCGGGCCTCGCTGGCCGTGCTGGCCGTCGCCTTCGCCGTCATCGGCCTGGCGCCGCACCCGGCCGTCCTGGCCGTCGGCCTCCTGGTCGAGACCCTGTCGACGGGCTTCCCCGCGACGCTGCGCGCGCTGGCCGCCGCCCTGATCGACGCCGACGACAAGGGCCGCGTCTTCTCCGTGCTCGCCATCGCCGAGACCCTCAGCGTCATGCTCGCCTACCCCGTCACCGCCGCCCTGTTCAACGCCGGCCTCGACCGCGGCGGCGGCCCCTGGCTCGGCTTGCCCTACGACGTCATCGCCGTGGCCGCCGCCCTGGCCTGCGCCGTCATGTGTCTTCTCCGTTTTGAGCGGCCTGTGCGGGTTGCGTGAGGGTCATTTCGTCAGTCGGGACAACAGTCGGATTACTCGCCTAAAGGAACGGAATCGACATTTCGATGTATCACACACATACGGTGACTGGATTTTGGAGATCCTTGGCTACATCAAAAGATTAGTGTTTTCTGGATCAATCAAACACACCCTAATGAGATGGATGAAGTGGGCGTTCTAAATTTTGTCGTTGATTAGCTTCTGCGGACTGGGCCGCTGGCTCTGATACACACAACACATACAGTTACCCATAGACACACATGTAATATCCGTAGAGTATATAGTGCATGCCCAGGTATCTTAACATCCAGCTTTGCCTGACACTGATCCAGGGTTCATTCAGGTTGAACCTCGATGCTATCACACCGGGGGTATAGATGCAAGGGCTCCGATGTAGATATCTCGCTACCTAGGTTCATGCCAGCGAGTCGGAACCGCCTCGTCCTCGCTCTCGGTATCGATTACTTACAACTGTGTACCTACCTGCATACCTAGGTATGCAGGTACTTCTGGTGGTTCCGCAGATGTCCAGGGACTAATATGAACCAATCAAACCCCCAATGGCAAAGCCAAAGCCCACGGTTGCATGTTCACAAATCAAATGCAGTTCAAACCGAGGCTCCCCAGGCTTATCCACGTGTGCAAAAGATTCAATGGGCATAACAGCTCTTTGAACCCCCAGATCCTCTCTCCGGCAAGTGCATCTCTCTTCTATATTCAAGGTGCTGCTATCGGTGGAAATCCGTACCGTACGTCTAATAAGGCTGTCAGCCAGTAGGTGGTCATCATTGCTGCTGTCCCCCTGTATCTATTCCACAACTTCCACCATGTTGCCGGATCCAGTCACGGTCAAAATCCCCACGTCCTACGAATCCCTCCCTGTCAAGGATATCAAGGTGTCCCATTACCCTGAGAATACACCGGAAGCTACCCCGGTGGTAGTGGTGACGTTGAACCGTCCAAAGCAAGGCAATGCCTTCACAGTCCAGATGATGCGCGATTTCGAACTGGTCTACCCCATGTTCGACCTCGACGAACGAGTCAAATGCATCGTCATCACCGGAGCCGGCAAGATGTTCTGTGCGGGCGCGGATCTCGAAATCGGATTCCCCAGTGGAGGAGAGAGGGAGAGACTGGTGGATCATCGCGACAGGTACGTTTATCGTAGTTGGAGCGCTGTGTCGTTTGCTGACCCAGCACTACAGCGGTGGTCGCCTCAATCTGTGCATCTATCGATGCCGGAAACCAACCATTGTCGCGATGAACGGATCCGCTGTTGGTCTGGGTATGACCTTGAGCTTGTCGGCTGCCATCAGAATCGCCCACGCCTCGTCAAAATATGGCTTTGTCTTCGCCAGACGGGGAATCACCATGGAGTCAAACTCGTCCTTCTTCCTGCCAAGGCTGATTGGCTACTCGAACGCCCTGTACCTGCTCACGACAGGCGACGTATACAGAGGCGATTCGAAGCATTTTGGAAATCTTTTCCAGGAGGTCATTGAGGATCAAGCCGGTGTCTTGAGGCGAGCACTTGAACTCGCTACCACCATTGCAGAGAAGACAAGTGTGTTGGCTGGATTCATGAATAGAGAGTTGATGTGGAGAGGAAAACCATCAGCTGAGGAAACTCATCTTCTCGATAGCGCCGTCCTCTACCACATGTTTGCCAACCCCGATTGCAAGGAAGGTGTACAAAGCTTCATGGAGAAGAGACAGCCAGAGTTCTCTGCAACTCTCGAGAAAGACGGCCCGCCCTTGTATCCGTGGTTCAACGAGGTCGACACTGGTTCAAGACCTCGCGTACACCCATCAAACAAGGCCAAGTTGTAGACTGGCTCCGAAATTGGGAAAGAGAGGGATATGAACCCTGCAATGTCTTCATAGCTTGGCCCTAGTTTGCTGTTCGTGCCACTTCATCAAAGCTTGTGCCTCCCTCTTCCTTGCATGGTTCTGCATTGTATTTATCGCGTCCGTCACCTCTTGGTCACTAAGTTTGCTCAGCTGATCTGGGTCCAGCTCCTCGGTGCTTGATGGTTTGGAAAAGGCCTTTACCCAAACAAATCTGCTCGAAGTAGGGCCAGTGCCGTCGACGACAGCCGAGCAGAAATTTGTCTGACGTTCAAAGCAGTCCCTGCTTTTCGGAGTTTTGGGGAACACCATGGCAAAACAATGCGGCATCCCCTCGTAGCCCACGAAATCCACCACTCCACCACCCTGATGCATTCTGCGAGCGAGAATCGTGATCTCGTCCTCCAGTCCTTCGTTACCCAGGCACAGCCATGCTGGAGGCATCCCCTTCCAGAGTTCCGGGCCAGCAGCTAGAGGTGACACGAGAGGGTGTGCCATCACTGATGCGTTACAGAAGATGTTTGCTCGAGGAGGGCTTGCCGGCCATAGATCATCCGGAAGAGGATCTGATTTCGACACGCCTTCTGGAGTAGGTGGATCCAGATAATCCAGGTGAGCATTGTGGTTTATAGAGGGCATGGACCGAGATATGTCGGCCCACGCACTGTTGGGGCAAATGCCCGCTGGAAGCTCAATGGGGACATCGACACCATGGAATTTGATGCTGGTCACACCCATTCTCTGCAGTGTCAAGAGGAGCTGCAATAATGCCACAGCAAGATTCCCGCCAGCAGAGTCCCCGGCAAATACGATATGTTTCGCAGGTACAGGGTCGTGGGGCAGGCCCTTGGGAGGCGCCAGGAGCGACAAATAAGCCACCAATCCATCGAGCAACTGAGCAGGGAAAGGATTTTGAGGGGCTAGACGGTATCTGACAGAATAGCAGCGACCTCCAGTCAGTCGTGCGAGACGGGAAACAGGATCTCTATGCGAAGCCGGGTCCATCAAGAAGTAGGCACCGCCATGGAAATACAGAATCGTGGTGTTGGCCGAAACGCTTGCCATCAGAATTCTATAATGGTCGTCTTCGGATACGTCTGGTCTAGATTCATGAGCAGGCACGCCTTTTCTGAAGCCAGTCCACTCGGCTTCCACGCCCACGACGTCGGGAAGAGTGTATGTTTCGCTACCGTCTCCAAGCTCTTTTATAGCCGCCACAATAGCTTCTCGCGGGCCGGTCTCGTCAAGAGGTGGTGGAATGGTCACTTTGGCGATGCAAATCGGTCCCTTGATTCCAGGGTCCTTCTTAGAGATGTGTTGCAGATATCCCATGGGCTTTCTGACCCTCATGATAGATCGCAGAACAACCACAACCACCTCTGTTGTCAAATCTTGCTTTGATGAATTAGGCGACAAGGAAAGCGCGTTGAGGACGATCGTCTTAAGCAATAGTGGCAGTCGCGGCAGGAGGAGCCTGACAAGGGCTCGCGGAGAGAGATCCATCACAGCATCAAAAGCAAGACTGTCTAGTGAGGTCTATTGCAATACCGCGTCTCGGAGGAGCGAAGGAAGAACAGCCAAATGGCAGACAGGACCCGACGGAAAACAAAGCTCAATGAAAGAAGTGCATTGCAACAAATCTGAGGGCTTACGCACCCACCACGAGAAGCGCAGTTTCGGCGACAAGCGAAAGGCGGCGACCAGTTTTGGCCGGCGCAGGCACTGAGCGGTCGACGACGTCATAGACGACAAGGCAACAGCTTCCTTTGCACGAGCATTTGGATCTTCTTTTCTCTTCCATCCTGTCTAGATTTGTTTTATATTCACCTCTCGTCCTCTGTCACCACAGCAGCTATGTAAATCCTCCTTCACATCGAAATCACCCGCCGAAGGAGACACAGGATTCTACTCACCAAGGCTCTGGGCGATCGCTGACTGTACAACGTCAACTAACCACTTGTAGGGTCCTCGACCTCGGCTACTGTCCAGCAACAGTTCCTCCCTCCCTCCCAAATTCCATTGTGATCACCAAGAAACCCATCCGTCTTGACGGTGGTACTCCCAAGACAACTTGCGGGAAGAAACGGCGAGATATTGTGCCGAAATCTCTCAATCGATCACTCAGCTGCTCCCTCGTGACCCTCCCGTCGACCCTCCTTACACAAAATTCTCGAGACGTCCTGCGCCGATCATGTCCTCGAAAGAGTCATCCACAAGCCATCCTCCCTGGAAATATTCGTGCCGCGGGTGGACCCTTCTCCTATGCCTTCCGCTTCTGCCTGGCTTCGTCCCAGATCATGGATGATTGTCGATGGCATTAGGCTCATTTTGGTAGGGCTGTCAATACGACCGAACAAACAAGAGGTTCGCTATTTTTGGCTGCCGATACCCCGGGTTCACCTCCTATTGCAAAAATGGATAACGCTCTTTACTTTGTCCTCCCCCCCGGGAACCAGGGCCAACAGCACCCAAGCGCACGTCGGCTACTTTCTTTTTCCCTCATACTATTATTGCGGGTACTTTACCCTCCACTACGGTACAGTCACAGCCCCCCAATCGACGTGTGTTGGAGGGCGGGAAGGGCGTGCTCTAGAACGCTGCGAATGGCTTGGGAATTTTCCCATTGGGTTCGTCAGACGCCTTTGCGTCACATTCTCGTGTTTCCTATGGCTTGGACATCTTTGGCTCCAGGCTGAAACGTTTCGTTGCATGCTGATCCCCTGCAGAGTACCGGGCCTTAGAATCAACCATTCGACCATTTGTTCATGTTGTCTGCAGTCACTTCACACCAAAACAAAGCACACCCTAGTTAGTACCTCGAGTATGCCTGTGTCTGCCTCGTTGCTTGGCCGACTATACCCGAACCTGTCTCGTGGCTCCATTCTGGCGCTCGTTACCGACTTCTCAATAATCCGTTGTCGAAGAAATGACCTGATTTTTTGATAGCTCTCATGCCCAAAACCACTCCAGCAACCCAGATGTCCTGAAACTGTTTGCTAACCACATACACGATCATGACTTTGGACCACAGTGTCTCCAGCGACCTTTCGGCGGATATCACGTCGATAGCTTCATGGGATTTCTCGTCAGAACCAACCACTCCGGGAAGTAATGGTTCGCGACGCAGCACCCAACCAAAGACCCGGACGCTGGCTCCCAATCTCACGCGACGATCGCACAAAAAGTCCCGCGGCGGTTGCTTTAGCTGTAAACAAAGAAAGATCAAATGCTCAGAGACGAAGCCTGCGTGTGGGAGTTGTTTGATGAAAGGACTTAGTTGCGTCTATCCAACGGAGCCAGCAGTGCGCAAGTCGAGCAATCTGCCGCTGATAAGGCGGAATCCCAGTACTTCCCCATCCTTCCCAGCTGCCACATTTTCAATCCTGGACATGCGATTCTTCCATCACTTTCTCACCATCGCCTATCCACACCTACCAGTCGACAATGATCATGTCTGGATCAACGATATCCCTCAATTTGCTGAACAGCACGAATACCTGATGCACGCGTTGCTTTCGCTCGGAGCCTCCCACCTCAGCCGCCTCACAGGCGTGGACTACCGAAGAGAGTCTCTGATTCATCGCGGCCAGGCTATTGCGGGCCTCAACCAAGCACTCAGCCAGACCGCGCGTTCCTACGGAGAGGCGGACGCCATGCTCGCTTCTTGCTACGCCCTTACCTTTCAAGCTTCATATATGAGTGACGGCCTGTCTGATTTCATCACCATGGTGCGAGGCTGCGCCCTTACAACGGAGAAAATCAAAGAAGAGCACTCCCCTACGGCGTTCAACCTGCAACCAGACTGGCACTTCAAATACATGGCGCCTCGTCTGCAGAATCTGCCACCCGTTGACCCTCGATTGCTGCAAGATGCGTATACGGCCCTCGAGAGCATTCGGCCGTTTTTGACTGGTGGCACAGAAATCGATTTCCACGCGGCACTCGTCGATGTAATCACCTCGCTCCAAGCCTCGCCAGCATCAGGCTATATACAATTCATCGGCGTGTATGGCGTATGGTATGAACTATGCCATGACTCATTCAAGACCTTCCTGGACCCAAACAATCTTGTCGCTCAGCTCCTTCTTGCTTACTTCGTGGGCGTGCAGTTGTTGATGGTTCCTCTCGCGGCGCATGAGTGGCCACACCGTGCAGATGTAAGCCGCGTGCGCGTCCTGCAGGGCACAGTCGAGTGGGCTCAAGGAATTTTCCAGAGACTCGAGGATTCAGAATGGGAAGCGCACCTTGATTGGCCAAAGAACGTGATTGCCACTGTTCTTGCGGAAATCAATGGTGATGTGCTCCAACTGCCACCTGTCCTGCAGCTTCATCTTACAACGCGGGATATCACCCCCCAGTCGACGATTCTGACACCTACTTGATGTGGTTCATGAGAACAGGATGATATCAGTCATCATGGAGACGAGCATACCCGAAGGGTGGGAGAAAGACAGAATGACAATGCCATCATATAAAAGTGCAGGTCAGTATTCATTCGCTAGAGAGATGCCGGTTGAAGCTCGAAGCATCCACTTACGGTCGATTTCTGGATCTTCCAGGAAGGCTTTTTGGAGGGTTAGGGAAATGCCTTCCCCCAAGTGATTTCTCTTACAAGTATTGTATGTTGCATGGGGAGGTTTTGTCCAGATGGGTAATTCAACACCAGCAGATTGAGCGTCGATTCAGGCTCAAATACCACACCTATAGGTGACTGAAGGTAGTCTTTCCAGGGCGAGAAATTGATATCCTCTTCTCCCAGATCGCACTCACCCATGGTATACGTGAATCCCCAAGCAATATGTCAACATTCTCGAACCAGTGAGCGTGACCGAGTGGTTCACACCCTGCGAACCGATACGTCCAAAGCCAGTCATTGAAAGAAAGATCTGTGCGACGGAGCTGGTTTAAGCGCCACGAAGTTGTAAGGCCGTCCTCCTGCAATCCCAAGTCCATTTTCGATCCTCAGTTATCCCTCCTATTTCTCAACGCCTTTGCCCCCCCCAAAGTCGTCCTTGCAACGCCAGCGACCGTCCCATGATTCTTCGCTGATCGCATCGAATGATTACCCAGCCGGCGGCAATTGGAACCATGTATTTCCCACGACCAACACCTCGAAATAAAGTTTTCCACCTCTTCGCCGGGTGTGCCATTCCCTGTATTATCGACTGCAGCATGCTCCTGGATTGTGGGTGTCCCTGACTTCCTGCCCTCGCAAACGCGTAGTTCGATCGATCGAACATGAGCAAATTGTTGCATACCACTGCTTGACGACAATCTATTTCCCCCTTCATCACCACCCATCTCTTTCGACACAAGCCGCACCTTTACACTGCATTGTCCACGACGCCGCCTTTGTTCTTGTTCAAGGAGAGGTGGATATCGCCCGGTCGTCGTCGGCTTCTCGCGTCGCCCGTGCTTTCTTGTAGGGCGTACTCTGCCCGCGGCTTCTGCTGCATGAACTTGACCGGGTGGTAGAGCGCCAGGACCGTGAGGGCGATGAACATGGGCACCGCCTCGAGGACGTACAGGCACCACTCGTGGGTGAAGGGGTATCCGTCGATGCCCATACCGAACTCGACGACGCGGTAGACGGAACGGACCTATTGCGTTTGGGGCAAGTGTTAGGGAACTTGTGTTGTCACCGTTACTGGAAAGGGAGAACAAAACACAAAAACAAGAGAGAGAGAAGGAGAGAAAATAATATAGAAGGGAAGGGGGAAATGCAAGTGAGGGGACATATCTGGGAATGGGTATATATATACTCACCTGCACCCAGAATCCCGCGATCCAGACCGCCCACACAACCTTCCTCACGCGAGGATTCAACCCTGCGTCCTTGTCCCGGCTCACCCTCTTGACATATTTGCCCAGCACGACGAGAAAGACACTAAACGTTGCGAGCTGCAGGCTGAGGCCGACGAGCAGCACGTTCGTGCCCACGGTCTTCAGGTCCCCCTCCCAGTTGCCCGAGCTGGCGATGCCGGAGCCAGAACACTGGGTGAGGAAGCTGAAGATGTCCGAGGTGATGAAGATGCGGCCCAGCCAGCGGGGTGGGATGCGGAAGAAGACCTGCTGGTTGTTATTGTCGTTGTGGTCCGCAGCCGGCAGGGTCGTCCGGATCAGGCGCGTGAGCAGCAGGTACAGCGTGGCGCAGACGAAGATGGGCGAGATGACAATGTACGACGCGCTCACGGCGTACAGCGGGATCGAGGCCAGGTTGTGGATCGACGCGATCCGGATGGACCACCCTGCCGTGGAGATGACGCAGGCCACGAACAGCGGGATCGTGTACTTGTGCTTGTACGTCGCGCGCCGGGTCGCGATGAAGTTGGTGTACCCGTGCCACAGGGTCAGGAGGAAGTATAGCACCGAGAAGATGACGGCCGCCGCGGTCGAAGGGGAGTAGAAGTACAGGTTCAGGTCCGAGTTGTCGTTGTTGTTGTCGTTCGACATCTTGTGTTAGACAACCTTCTGGGAGAAACAGAGAGGCCTTTTTGATGGTTTCCTTGCTTTGGAGATGTTATCTTGGGATCGTCGTCCAAGTTCTCGGTATATATGAAAGCGTAAGGAGAACAATGATTACGAGTCAACCGGATTGGAGAAAAGAAGGACCTCGAGCATCAAGAGAAGAGGGAATGAGGCATCTATATATACACGCCATCTTCGTCCCATTCATCCTTTCACATGAAGCCCAGGAAAACAAATAGCACCAGAATACTTCGTGACAAGGGAAGCGGACAAGAAATGAGAAGAGTGGAGTGACCCGCATGGTCTTCATATGCCTGGGTATAAAGAAAATCTTCGCTCGCGACACTTTTCTGCACTGAAAAAAGTTGTAAGATAGGGTGCACGCAACCCACGTATTCGGATCGCCATCGAATCAGCGACGGCGGACAGCGTTTATCGGCTAGGGGCTCCAAGATTTCCCAGGCACGCCAGGACACTTGATTGGAGGAGGAGACATCTTCGCTTTTGTCGTCGCATAGCTTTGGAGACACGACAACAGTCTCGATACGTCGACGTTTGCTGGGTCTTCGCCTCGCTTGGCGGTAGATTATCTATCCCACTCTTGGAAATATCGACACTGCAGCGTATAACGAATGAGGCAACTTTCGAATTCGGGATGTCGGATTATCGAGAAAATTGGGGAGGGGAGGGTGGACACGAAAGTCCTTTTCGGGGGTTTCAGACGTTGAGAGAGAGTTCAAGGAAATGGTGCTGCCTTGTGGGCGTCCTTGCGGGCGGCAACCAGGGTGCAAGAACAGCCAGACCAGGAGGCTCAGTTTGCGGCGCGCGGCGACCAGGCAGAAACATATCTTCCCCCCATTCCAGTCCAAGATGGTATGGTTCGTATCTGGGGCGAATCAATTATTCCTGAGGTAATGGGGTAGGAGATATGGCAGGAGATCACCATGCACGTCCGTGGCTGGTTTGAAGGAGGCGCTGTGTCTGACCAAGGCCTCGCCTCTCGGCCTACCGTTTCTTCGTCCCCCGTAGGAAGATGGTTACCCAAAGTTTGACAAGCCAAGGGAAAGCGTACTCGGGTTCAGGGACGCCCTAAAATGACCCAAGATCGCCTGGCCTGATCGTCGCTCTGTACGAGGTTCGCTGTCGCGACAGGCTTTCCAGATGCAGTAACTCTCGTATTCTTACGGCCACCCTGCTGGTGGATCGAGCCGCTGCTGAGACCTTCCATTTCCAGGGACGCTGGAGCCCAGCCGCAAGACACACAGCCGCAGCGGAGTGGCAGGAAATACAGATGGGGTAGATGGGGCCAAACAAATGGGCAAGCGCGGAAAGGAGAAACTCCAGGCACCAGGGATATTCAAACGATGAGGTAGGTGGAGAGAAGTCGTCGGTTTGCAGGGCGAGGTCGAGCTGGCCAATCAGTGCGCACCAATTCTCGCGAGGCTGCTCGTATTCGCATGGCAAGGCTTGGCTCATACTAGGGCGAGGCTGAAGAGGCTTCTCCACTCCCAGGGTGCAGACAATGTACCGAGTACCGAGTACACATGTTGCTGGGGAAAGACTTATGTCTCTAGGGAGCCAGGAAGAAGCGAAGGAGTTTTGCTTGAACAAGAACTTCATGGCCGATCGTAAAAACAAAGGACATTCGCTGCTCGAGACGTCTGAAATTCGCCCACCACGCGCATTTCAAGCGAACACTACGAGGTAATACTAGCTCAACCCATCCTGGAGCAAGTTGCTCGCCTTGCGCTTGCACTCCATCCCCCGCTGAGTTCCAGATGAAAAAAATACCCATATTTTATGAGAGATCAAAAAAAATATAAAGCGATAATCGAGTTGCGGCCAAGTTTAGTGAAGATTTTCAATTTCATGTATTCATGTCAACATCTAATATACATTGACCAAGGTGTATAAATGCTAAATGCTCCGAGAGTCATAGTGCCGCCTATCAAGGTCAACTAACCGTAAACCAATGCACGGACCTCAATGCTCTCCCGGCCCTTGGCTCCCACGGGCGTCCTAGGATCCACGAAAGCCGTGTGAGGAACTCTTTGGCCGACGCCTTCCTTGCTGTCATAGCACTTCAAGAACAGCCTCTCATCATTGTCCATACCAGACCAGTAATAAAATGTCTGGTTTTTGTTATACCTCACTGCAGCCGTCTCACCCGTCCGATGAGGGTATCTGTGCTCAACAGGTACAAGGTCGTTGTCATCGACAGTATCGGCAGAGGCAAAACCAAGAGGATGCGCCTGAACGGTGCCGTTGATGGGTCGCCAAACGTTGATGATTCGGTATCGGCCCTTCAAAAGCTCATCTGCTTCTTCGGGATTGTGTAGCTTCACGCGCCACTCGGTTGACCGCGGCGTCTGATCAACGTGCACTCTGGTGACAGGGGCACGAGGAGCCTCAGGGTTCGACCGACGGATGGTGTGGTCAAAAATGGTGACTTTATGTGCACCCGGAACGTTCTCCAGCAGCAGTTTTTCTACCTCGGGATAATAGACTTTCTTGATATGTTCATCGTCGACGAATTCCGTCTCTTCTGATGGGACGCCTTTGATAGCTTGAAAAGCGTCTTTGTCAAGATAGAATTCGGTTTCTCGGCCGCGGATGTCATTCATCTGGACGTCAATCACGGTCTCTCCGAAGTTCCGTTGTGGTTCGCCTTCAGGCTGTTTCTCAACATAGTTGTATGGCTTTGAACCATCCTCAGGGTCTCTGAAAAAGTTCAACTTTGTGTGCACCGGGCCTCTCGGGACATATGAAGAATCTTGAGCCCCAGAGAGGGTGGTGGACACGGAGGTCTGAGTCGTTGTCGCAGACATGCTCGTCAGGATTTGCAGACGTTTGAGGTAGGAAGCGTTTCACTGTCGAGAACGGAGGCGGGAACCAGGACGAAAGCGAAGCTATCATAAACTGCGTCGGATGCAGACGACCAAGGAGAGAAACAATGTCTGACGGGTTATATATGCGCGGTGAGCCGAGCACGCAATGTCGTATATTAGAAATCCATTGGAGTCACGTCATGGCTGAGCCGAGGGTTCGCCGCTTACCCCATGAATCTTCACCAAACTTCGTCCCCGCATTGATCTTCCAAGCCAATTATTATGCCCTGCTGGGATCAAAAAGTAATCGGAAGTGGCAAAACCGGTACTTGAATTCTAATCAAGAGGGCCCAGATACCTGAACGGGCAGATATTACCTATATTGAGAGCAAAACATCACTCCAATAGCAATCATCGTGCCCGCCCTACCCGTGCATCTCGGCGAGTTCTACAGCTCGCCTTCTTCGCTGCCGTAGTCGACCTTTTCGGCATCGTCTAGATCATTGATACCGTTCAGAGGTGGTTCTGGTTGCGGTGGCTGCGGTGGTCGCTCATCTGCAGGGTAAACCAGAGGCACCCGAGATGGCATTCTCCCGTGGTCGCCGCTCTCGGGTTCAGTATACATGCCATTGTCTCGACTTTCCGGTCGGTGTTGTGATGGAGCTTGTTCTGCATGACCATTGCTATAAGACGAAAGTGGACCGTTCCAGTTTGAGCCTCCGGACGAATGTCTCCGAGAATTGCTTTGGTGTGAGTTTTGGACCGAGGGCCTGCGGTGCTGATTAGATTGCGGTGCTCTGCCCGACGACGCATTTACGATCTCGTCAATTCTCCTCTGCACATCGTCGCCGGCGGCTCTTGAATCGTTGGAAGGACGATCGTCCGACGTTGTCGCAGGGGGACGGTTCGTCATCCTTTGAGGAAGGTTGATATTATCATCTCGTGAATCTCGACGAAGTCTCTTGGGTGAAGGTGCTGACTGCTCCTCGCCGATGGGTCGCTGTGATGGCATGCCTGATCCCCACTCACCAGAGTTTGGATCGTCAGTGACGTCTCTGTCACGTTTGGCACCTTGACTCCCGCTCTTTGCACTGTCGATGGGCGACAGGTCAGGCTGCGGCGTAGCGGGTTGGCGGGTCCGATCGAACAATGCCAGGTCGTCGTCTTTGGTATATGCGTCTTTTTGACCTTGACGCGGTAGGGTCGGGTTCTCGTAGACATCTGCCATAAGATTGCAACCTCTTTGGATATCGTGGAGATCGATGCCCAATTGCTCCCACCACGGCCGGCCTTTTTCATCGTCGGGAAGGCTGATGCCTGCATTCTTGACCCCCATGTACAAGGCGCTACCCGCAATTGCCGAAGGCGTCAATTGGAGGCACATGGTGGTAACAAGGGAATCATTCAAGAACGCCCACGATGTGTTTCGCAGTTGTTTGTTCGCTTGGACATCATAATACCGGAGATAGTCGAGGAGAAGTCGGTAGGGCTGCTCAAGTTGCAGGTCAAAGCACAAGGCTTCTAGTAACAGGTCCTCATTATGCAGAATGGTGTCTCGCCATTTCCAATACTCTTTGCTCTGTTCGTCCACCACCAGATTCGGCTGTTTTTGGGCGACCCGACAGCATGCGACCACCAGCTCCTTCATCTTCCGATAATTCTCCTCCACCTTCGTGGCCAAGAATATGGCAGTCGCTGCGACTGAGTAGTGGTGGAAGCCGGGCCTGTTGTTTTGAACCATAGCGTGGCGCATGAAGAAACGATGCAAATAGACAGAAGCCGTAGCGAGGGTCAACTGAGGCAACTTCAACATGATCCCGACCTGGGTTATGAAATTGACACCTTTCTGTCTGTTGGCCAACTCTTGAGTGACAGCCATTCCATCAAGGATACTTGGGGTGAGAAGGAGTTCTTCGGCGGTGAATAGCCATTGCGACTGGGTCCTTTCCAGGACGGCGTTCTTGGAGAAGGGAGGAGAGGCGTCGTGGCCGGTTGTATCTTGAAATGAGGGCATCGTGGGTATTTCGGTGGCAGTTAATAAGGCAGGGTCGAGCCGCAAAATTGACCGTCGGATTGAAGTCCAGTCGTTGAAGCAGCACCGGCTAACCCTTATGGCCGGGATGCGACTGCAACATTGAGAAAGAGGTGGAGACACGGCCGGATCCTGGCAGATTGGGGGTTTGCAGATGTAGGAGCACAATGTCAGGAGGACACATGTAGGGGGGAGGGCAGGGGTTCTTCTCGGGACTGGCCGATCCAAGGTGAGAGATCGATGGCAGGTGAGGTGACGAGGGATTGATTTCTTGAGTTTGCGGCCCTGAGATGTTTACTGCGGGTCAGGACAAGGCTACATTACCTAACTCCACACGTGCGAGGGGAGCCGATAAGGCTGGTGCAAAAGGTGCAGCGTGCAGTAGTGTTGCTTAGCTAACCGACAAGAGCCGTCTGGTGCCGTCAGCGATGAGGACGTGGACTGCGAGGCAGGTAGACCGAGCCGATTATGGCCGAACCGGGGGAGCTAAAGTTGCAGTATGACATCATGACATCATGGCATCACCACCAGTCACGACCTCTTCGGCGCCGTCCCACCTTTGCGTACGCACCGTGGTCGACTTTCAATCATTGCTCGACCCCCTGCAATATCTCTCAACGCCGTTGTGTGTTCTCAGGCGCTTCTTGGTTCCGGCGACCGAGGGGCCAGTTTGGGTGAATTTGTCTGGATGTCTAATGTCATCAAGAAACCGAGTCTTGGCCGCACAACTTACCTAAACACCTTGCGACACCAATCAAAGACGCTAAGCTGGTGCTGGGCAAGATACGGTACATTGTACCTTTGGGTGACACTGTGCATAGAGTTTGAAGGGGAAGCGATGCACACTCCATTTTGGGCGGATCTCGAGGATCTCGAGCCCAGCTCATCCAATCATGGGACACCAGCTGCGTCCCGAACAAACTCCTGCAAGGCTCAACTATCAAACCGTGGTGGTTCTGGCTCTCTCGTATTTCAATTTTTGATGAGGGATGGATCTTCGAGCAGCGTATCTCAAATAGTCCTTTGGCTGGACGTGATGCTGCTCAGTAAAGACCAGTCACTATGATATTGGCGAGTCATGCCTGATAGTCAGCATGTTCTAGCCTCTGCGTTATCCTGTCTGTGAACTAATCTCGCTCCTCTCCTGCAAAACGTTCACAGCCTCGGCCCCTTGGCCGCTTCTGGTTCGTGTTGGGTGATTTCGGAACTTGTCCCCTCCGGCTAAAGGGTAGGAGCAGCACGTCTCGGAGCCATGGGATACTCCCGACACCACGAAGACAATGAGTGCGGATAACAGCAAGGACATTTCAGGAGGGGGGTGGAAAAGAATACTCGAATATGCTAAAGGTGTAGCACACTATGCCGAGGCCAAGCGACATCAGTGGCAGTAGTGTATGAATGACCCGACTTGGTCCTCTTGCCTTCCGATAGCTACTCGAGCAGTTGTGCGGCTAAGACCTTCCTGAAGAAGAGTGGGAAATCCATCTTGCGGAGTCGCATCACCGAATTTCGAGACGCATAATTCCCGAAAAGTTGCCAGGTGTCAGAAAGAAGAATGCGGCTCGCTGACTCAGGCATCTCGACGCTGTGGCCGCTGGTGTGGGTGGTGCGAGAAGTCGTATGTTGACGGGGTCATGGCGGGCGTAGGTCATTCATTCATGGGCTGTGTGGTGCGCGCCAACTGGCAGCTCCAACGAGCACCTTGCATAAGCCGGGTTTGGTTAAGCGGCATGGTTAACATCGGGCCCGAGCTGGTCCATTAAGTCACCTACCTAGGTCGGTAGGTATGGAGGTACAGTAGCCCTTCGCTCTGCGGGTACGCGAGCAGTGCCTGCAGCGTCCGTAACGAGTGCACCGACATGCAGCTCGGGAGATTTGAATGCTGTTTAATGCTTCCTTATGCTTTGGCTAGTAACCAGCATTTGGGGATCCGGGTGTGAATGGGCTCTAATTACACAATGCTCTCATACAGTCGCAAAGAGCCGTATTGCACAAAACCATCTGCAGCAATCAATGAGGTACGGAGATTGTCAGCTGCAAATTCTCTCTCTCCGGCTCGCACGACGGGCATCGCTTGGACGTTGGTCCGAGAACGGAGTATGCAAATATGCACCTCGTAGGTCCGTACGGCGTACGGAGAACAGGTACAAGATCGACCCGACCGAGCGTCCAGCAGGCCCTGCCAAGGGGCTTGCAGTCCGAGCCTCCCCATTGTTTGCCCCCAAGGCACCAAGGTTACAGGGGCCCTCACCCGGGCTGGTGGGCCTAGTCCACCCCCAGTTAAGCGAGTCAATTAATAGTTGGTCAGTTGTGCCCAAGGCACGCACGGGGTGGTTAGTCCCGCTCGCTGCAATAACCATGGCTACCCTCACGACGCAAGCTGACTTTCCCATCCACACTTCCATGCGCCCATGCGCCCATGCGTCCTTCACCCTGGCTTCCAGTTTATTCCTAGGTTCAGTTAGCCCATATCATCTTCTGCCAGTCAGGGGCCCTTGTTCAGGCTGATCAGATTCTAGCGCTTCCATCACTTCCCTGGCGCCATGACGCCTCAAACACTCACATCACGGATTTTCTCTCTCTTTCTCGCACTGACTGACAACTCACTCACACCCCCTCCCCAAACACTCTCGACCGCCTGCTCTCCGTCTCCTGCGCTATTCTCGACCGTTTCTTCCTTTGCCTCGACCCTCTTCGTATGATCCCGATCGCACCATTACCTCATCTCACTCGCACGGCTCAATGGGAGGCTGCTCCCACTCGTGCCTCAGCCGCTCGGGATGTTTTGTTCGCAATGCGCCATATCCTCACCTTTCCGTCAATCACTCTTCGTCCCATACTATCTCGCTTGCAACCGTCGTGGCTATACTAGACCAACTCGAGTTATGTCTTCTCAGGTGAGTCTCCGGACCAGAGGAGCCCACTTCCAAGTCGGTCGGTCTTCGCGAGGTGCAAGTCCACGGTTGAGGCTTGGATCGTAGGACGTCCACAAAGGGCCACCATACAGGTCCAAATACACTTTGCAGGTGGCGATTTGCCATTTCAAATCCCTCTCGACCGGAGTAACTATGGCGCCTTGTGGGTTTCTCGCGATCAGAGCTCTCCTTTATCCAGACCATATCCCTGGTGAAGCTAACATGATATACAAACACCTCGCCCTCTCCCGGAGGCAAAATCCAGACTTGCCCTCGTTGTGCATTAACCCTACATACTAGAGCTTCTGTGTCCCGCGAAAACAGCGCGAGAGGTCAACAGAACGCCATCGGTCGTGACTCAGCTCCCTTTGGACATACCTCCCTTCACAAGGCACGTACCTGCAGCAAGGCGGGCACACTTATAAGCAACCCAAGATCTCGTTTCAAGGGACGCACGCCTACACCACGTCTCCAGCCCACTAAAACAGCTTCCTCCACGCGAGTCCCCTGCCGAAGCGCCGCGGCGTACTGCAGTTCTCCGGGGGTCCCCATACCAATAACGTCTACTGCCGATGTATCAGCAGCGACCTAAACTCAATCAGGAGAAAGCCACGAGCACCCTCCCCAGGCCCAGCTCCTGCGATTTCTGGAACGCGAGCATATGCATGGTTGATTGAACTGACGCCATAGCCCTGTCGCGGTCCTCCAACCTGATTGCCGGTCGCCGTTTTCGAATCATTTGCGCACAGGGATCTGCCCCGTCAGCAAGGTCTGTGAGATCAGCCTCGCCTTTTACCTAATCTGAAGACAACCTCATTGCCTACGCCTCAAATCTGTTGCGCCTACTCGGAAATTAAGTCGTTCAGCAACGTGTCATGCCACCAAAAGCAAAACGATCAAAATCTCCCGACTCCCAGTTTCTGTTCGTCAACGAAGATGCCTCGACCGTAACCCGGACCACCAAAGACGCTGAACTGGACAGGACAAAGCAGAGCCATGTACAGCGTCAAAATTTTGCCCGCAAACGGCGGTTGCGAGAACAGTCAGAGTCTGCCCCGCAGCAAGCCAGCAGCCAAAGTTCAGTGTCCTCCAGTCCTGCAGTGGCCGGTCCGTCGTCTTCTACAACTCAGGAAGGGCCTTCCCATGGCGCAAATTACTTCGACATCATCCAGAACATCGACCTTGAAGACCCGTTGTTCCAATCAACCAGCCCTCCGTCCATTTCGCAAACTGCCCTCGACCCTCATCTCTCGGCACTGTTCTCGGACCCTTTCGCTTCCACGCCTGCGTCGCCTCCTATACCTTCACAACAAGCCAATATTTTTGGTCCTTCCCACAGTTATCGTCCGGGTCATTACTTCGACACGTCCTCCGCGAGCTACAATCTCTCCCAACCGACAAGAAACGTGGCTAGTGTTGTGAGCCCATCAATACCGCTGAGTGGGGTGTCCAGCCCGCCGACCAACACTCACCGCGCCTTGGAACAATGGGCACCGCCTCTAATCAAGCATTATAACACGGTCATACTACCAGAAAAGTTCTGGAAAGACACCCAAAAGGTACCGATGGGTCAATTCCGTCATGCCCCCTTGATCCACGCGGACATGCAGGCTTGCATGACGGAACCGGCACACATGTATGCATTTCTTGCTTCTGCCGCGGCCCAGATGATTGCTCGGGAAGGTAGACTACTGTTACCGAATGTTTCGGAGGAAGAGATCCAACGGGTGCCCATGTTCTTCAAAACCAAAGCCCTACAGGCTCTACAGGCCAAACTCGCCAATGGGCAGCTTGATCATCATACGGCTGCGGACCTTCATCGACTCTACGCTGCAGGGATACACTCTGACAACTACGAGGCGGCCGAACCACATTTCCAGGCTTTGCTCTCCATGGTCGATGCGCTGGGGGGCCTGAGTACCTTCGATGACTATCAGCTGGAGAAGATATTCATGCTGGACTGCATCGCCGCGCTAAAGCGGCTCGGAGTCCCACGTCTTGTTGTGACTTTAGATCCCGGCCCACTACCGGAGGGGTTGTTGTTGAGTATCGAATCTCAAGGACGACTGCGTTCTCAACCAGGGTCACTGCTGGAGATCTTGGTGGATACCTTCAATGAATGTCAAATGTTGGCCGACAGCTTCACCGATCTTGTCCAAGTGTTGAGAATGTCAGGCTTCTTGGCTGCTTCCCCTCGCTACGTCCACGAGTACTACAAGTGGTTCAATTGGCGGAGTTTAATCATTTTACACCGACTTCTCTCTATGCCTCTCCATTACGACATGGACGACAGGACTCACAGCGTGAGGATTGCCGCAGCCTACTGCGCTGTCCTTCTACGCTCCCCAGATCTGGGCCGGCGAGCCGCATCGACTTCGGTGAACTCCCTGCGAGTGAAGCTGGAAAGCACCGACCTCGGGCTTTTGTGGCAGCCCCGCACCGATTGTCTGCTGTGGGTGGCTGTTTTCGGAGGCGTCTGTTGCACCGGTGGAGAAGACCTGGAATGGTTCGTGCACCTCGCGAGAACTGCGGCAACTGAAATAGGGGTTGGAAATGTGAGGGAGTTAGAAGACTTGCTGGCGGCATACCTCTATGATCCTTATTCGCAGCGCGAATTGGTGGTCCAATTCGCTGGTCGGGTTTGGCCAAGACGAGATCCATAAGTGCTCAATAAAAAAGCAGATGACCTCAGACTTCCAGCAATCATCCTCTCAGCATCAAGTGATACTCTCACCAAGCCAAAGCCGCAGCTTTGCAACTCCGAGTATCCGCCAAACAATACTGGACCACAGAACCAAGTGGGATACCCCCCACTTCTCAATTTTTGTGAGTGTCCATTCCACTTCTCATCCACGACCTCTTGCTTGAACGGGACAAAGGCAAGGGGTAAAATTGAAAGCCCACTCGGCGAAATACTCAGGCTAGCCTTGCACCCACCGGTCCCTCTACAATTGGCCGGCGGTACCTAAGCTTCAATGCAGGCGAGGCTTGAACAGATTACGTTTCTGTTCGAGAGATGCTGCGACTTTGTGTGGGCTTGCTTACATCATCTATGGATTCAGTCCGTCATGCAGGTCTTGCGATTGCTTGGACGAGGTCATGCACCTGCCCTGCGGCTGAGGGGAGCACAACTCGAAACTTCTAGAGGAAAGACGAGGGCCAGCTCGGCGATCAGTAATCGCCCCGATTCGTGGGAAGATCGTCTCCAATACGGCATGATATGTCAAGCTCAGCCAGTCGCCGAGTCATACATTGATCTTGACGACAGCAAGTCGCGTCCGGTGCAAAGGGCGGATCTTATGGTGAGTTCCGAAACTTAATACTGATCAAGAATAGTGTGAAGCGGGTGGGACATCACAGGCGAATAAGATGACAGGTAAAGTGATGGCGAGGGTGCCATGGGAGATGCCACTCACGAGGAAATGAGACACTGACATTCCATCAAAACGAGAGGACGGCCAACGACCAGGATCATGGATTGGTCCTCCATCTCGTGTGATGCCCGATTAGCTGCCGGTGGGAAGGTGCGCTGAGGTATGATTCACGGCGATGAGAGCACCATGACCAAGAGTATAGGACGGGATAACGAGCGGAGGGCAAGCGCGAGCTGATATAAAGAGTGGAAGATCAGGCTAGGTGTACCGCGACCAGGTGAGCCTGGTGATATATATGCTTTGTGGACTGGGATACGGTGATGAACGGCACGACTGATCAGCCCTGCCAATGTTCATGTTTCGTTGTAGAAATGACAGCGGTCAGAACTTCGAAGGAGCAGATGAAAATGATAGACCATGAACAACCCTTCCCCTCTTTTTGTACCGACGCGTATATGCATCGCAGTCGGTCCTTGGTGATCCTTCCCCCGAGCATTGCCAGCCCAATGGTCCCCGATTCCACAAACCTTAGCGAGTCCAAAAAAAAAGGGGGCAGCCTCGTCCAGGGGGAAGGGGGGGGGGAGAGAGAGAGGCGGCATCTTTTTGCCAAGTTACTCCGTCCTCCGTACATACACAAGCCTCACAGCCAGTCGGGAGGCGGCACGCGCCGCCGCTTTCGTCGCCTGCGGTTCGCGATTTGATAGGTGATTGATTTGATTGATGACCTAGCGATTAAGGCGGCGCTGTCCGCAGATTGCGGCAGGGCTGGGTGGCTGGCCAGCTTGTCCAGGTGGCCGCCCTGCACGACGGACCTGGGCTGATGCATGGACATGGTATTATTGTGAGGACGAAGCAGAAGGAGGGAGAGTCTGGTAGGCCATCATACTCATCATACTCCAGACTCGTCATGCTCCAGACTCGAGCTTTGATCTTTGAAGTTAGGTCTTGGACTTGGAATTGGACTTGAAGATGCATTTGAGGGCCTGGATATTATGATGTCTCCTCATACCAGTACCCGTGGCGCCGCCTATCCATCGGCGCACGCATCGTTCATCTATCTGTCTGTATGTATCATGAAGCGTCTTCGCTTTCTCTTTCTTGTTTTTGGATTCTCCCGTTCTGGCAGATATCCAGTGCCATGTCATCCCCGTACCACGCAATTTAATGCGATCCTATGCAATGCAATGCAGAATGTGAACACAGCGCTATGCAGACGCCACGCCATGACCGATCGATACGGCGGGTTGAAATCCCACCAACACGCCCCCCCAAAAAATGGGAGGAGGGAACAAAAAGTTAATTCGTCCGCGAGTACTCCCTCCTCAGCACAATCGCCTCCTTCATAAAGGGACTCCGCTCCCGGAGCCTGCGGCCCATGAGCAAGATGCACACGGGGGCAAAGGAGAGCAGCAGCGCCAGAAACCCCAGCAGGCTGCTGGCCCAGTGGAAGCCCAGGTTCGTGTACATGCTCTGGGCGGCCAGAGGGAGGAAGGCCGAGAACAGGTTCTCGCCCAGCACCACGGCCGCGCACGCGCTGCCGGCGTACTTGGCGTACGCGTCCACCACGTAGTCGGCGATCGCCACCACCACCACGTTCACCCCGTATCCGACCATGGCCAGGCCGATGGCTGGCGCGATCCAGGGCATGGAGGGGGAGGCGGTCCATCTGTGAGGGCATTGGTGAGATGTTAGTCTCTTGGTCTGATGAGGGAGAGAGAGGTTTGAGAAGACGATGGGGGGTTTTTGGTGGGGGTTGGGCAAGAGTGCCGAATGTCCAGGATTGTGTTGTATGGGATGAGGAGGAAGACTTACCCGTACACAAACATGCCGCCGGCCACGCCGACAAAGCTTCCCACGATGCTCACATACAGCCGGGCTTCGGGGATCGGTGTCCCTGGCACTTCCGTGTTGCGGGACACAGAGCCGAAGTACAGCTTTGCGTTGATGAGAACGCCGGTCCAGCCGACGCACTCGCCGATGACCACGGCCGCCTGGACATAGCCAGCCTGCGAGGCCGTCCAGCCATACAGGCCAGAAAAGACCTGTTCGACGGACTGGGTGAAGACGTAGACGGTGCCGAGCATGAAGGCCGACCACACCGTGAAGACGAAGAGCACCGGCTCGGTGAAGAGCATCCGCAACGGACGTTTCGTGCTCCGGACCAACTTGCGCGGCAGACTCAGATGGTTCCCGTCGTGGGGGCCGAGGATCGACACGCCCGCCTTCTGCAGTTTCAGGGCACGTTTCTGGAGGATGATGGAGCCCCTGCTCTCCTGGAAGAAGAAGACGTAGATGGGGAAGAGGGCGCCGTACCAGATCAGCTGCATGTACGAGATCCACCGCCACGATAGATTTTCAAAGATGACGCCGGCAATCACAGGTCCCATGCTGCTCCCTGCGAGGTAGAGCGTGACAAAGAGGCTCACGGGGATGGTGCGGGCCCGGTCGCCTTCCCAGATGTTTCCGATCAAGGCGGCGGCGGTGTTGGAGAGGACGGACACGCACCCGCCGGAGAAGAAGCGCGAGACGATCAGCGTTGCGAAATTGTGCGCCACCGCCTGCGGGACGATGAAGCAGATGAAGACGAGGTACGTGGTGAGGAAGGCGGGCCGCACGCCAAAGTCCTCCATCAGAGGCAGGACGACCAGGCCGCACAAGCCACCCCCCAACGCCCAGCTGGTGACGGGCCAGTACGAGTTGGGAAACCTGGCGTCGCTGACGTGGAACTCGTCGTTGATGGCCTCGTGGGCGACGGTGATCATGGTCCCGTTCAGAATCGTCGTGAAGGTCGCCATGATGCCGACCGCGGTGATTGTCCACTTCTTTCGCAGGGACCAGTTGTACGGGTTCTCCGGGTCGTCGGGCCCGTACCAGTCGATGGCGACTGGAGCAACTCCGTCACCGGGAAAGCCGGTAGTGTGCCCATTTTGAATCGGGATGGCTACCTTCGACTCCTCATCGAACCCTGTCATGAGCGAGTCGGAAGTATCTTTTGCGCGAGGCAGGGAAAAGGAGGGTGGAGAGTCTGTTCGAAAGGAACGAAACAACCTGGAGGAAGTAGTTGCAACGAGCGGAACGGAGGGGGGCAAAGATGCACACAATACTGACAATCCTGTGTAAAGAAAGACAATATCCCACCGAGGCAGAAGGACGTAAAAGAAAAAAGACCTACTGGGTATTTCTATCCCGGAGTACCAAGTGGCGGAGGACCAGGCCAGCAAGTACGAGGTACTGGATCTCTCCTCACGTTTTTTCCGGCCCATTACCAATGGTCGAGTTCTGGAGATGCCGGACTTGGGCGGACTTGACAAAGTGTGCAGCGCTTTCGAGTTTTTGTATGACGACAAAACCGTTTGGACACCGCGAGGGTCAAATTTTCTCCAAACTGTTACCTAATGAATTGCCCGGAGAATGCGACGCCCCAGCTCAGAAAGTGACCCGAGTGGCCGGGTTGTGCACAGACATGCGGCTCGTGGAGAGAGAGGGTGATGCGTGCGGGAAGGCCATCGATGTTCGGAGCTCGTTCTGATGATGATGGACCAAGGCTCGATGTTGTCCGGTGCAATGGCTGTTGGACGAGTAAGAACGTGTTTGACCGGAGCCCCAGAGCCTTGCACGTGCCTCAGGAGCTGGATACGTGGGACACAAGGCTGACATATACAGTAAGGCGAGTGAGTGTCTGACAGAATATTTCTCCTCTCCTCCAGGTCATGGCTTGGAGTCAAATGTGTCATTTAATATATTTTTGGTTTGATCTTCACGTGGTATGGAATGTGCCACGACCACCACGACACATCAATACAAGGGTGGCTGCCGTCTATCGATATCATAACCCTGATTCCCGCTTTTCTTCATAAAATTATTCTCCCGAGCACTCGACTGCCCAAACATCGCCCTCTTTCAGTCAGAGATGCGGCACCCCCAAACTCGCTAACACCAGGTTCAAAATACTAACCACGCCTTCCCCCAGGATCAACCCACTCGCAAGCACAATGACCCTTGTCTCCCCCCTTCCTTTCCATCGTATCCACCATAGAGAGATCACGCCACCAACAGTTCGTGCCAGTGTGAAGCTGGGAGTGTTGTACATTCCTACTGCCACCGCAATCCCACCCGGGATCCATGGGTGCAAAGCCTTGCACCAGGGCTTGGAATCTCTGTATGCGAGGAGGTATATCCGTAGAGTGGTGGTGAGAACAAATACTGCACCAAAGAGGAGGGCGAATTGCCAGGCCATTGCCGGGAGACCTTTCCCAGTCACCAACCGGGCAGTAAAGATCCAGACATAGGCAGTGGGAATCTCAAACAAGTCCCCTGGAATCGGGTACACCGAGACGTAGAGCTTGTACACTGCCGCAGAGACAAAGGCTCCCACGACACTCCCTATAAGCTGACCATAGAACTGCGCCTTGGGCGATGCCCCGATTAAATGTCCCGCTTTGAGGTCTTGGAGAATGTCGCCTGCTTGAAGCGCGCCGGCTTCGCTTACAGCTCCCGCCAGTAAGTTGATGATTATACTGTGGTTCGCATGTGGTCCAGTCGGTGTGATCAAGGCGAAGACCAATTGTGTGAGTTTTGAAATCCCAGACACGGGGTTTAGATCTGTTTCACCGAGAGCGCGCACGCCCATGATCGAGAGGACCAGGGCAAGAAAGATAGCAAGGATGTTGAGGCTGATAGGGATGTAAGCGCCGAAGGTTATGTGGATGCACACAACACAAAGTATCAGCGTGATTGGAAGGAAGATGGCGACGGTCCGGTTGGACACAAGGTGGTGCGGCGGCGCATCGTCAGGAGGCTCGTCGGGTGCGGGCTTCCGTGGATTGCCAGTAGAAGAAGACTGAGACTCTTGTGGAGACGTGTAGAGGGGAATATAGCCCGCTAGTAGTTTGCCGAAGTCGGACCAGGAAGAACCATCTCTGTAGTGCGCTTGGATGGACTTGATCCAATCTGGACCATAGTGAATGGTAGGTCGAAGGAACAGCCAGCCTAGGTTGACGACTGCATCAGCCAGCATAATTGCCAGGCTGACCCAGACGATCCAGCCTTTGCTCCCTGTTTCCCAGTCATCCACGGGTCCTGGCGCCCACCCGTTGTTTTTGGCTATGGGACTTAGTATCGCCCAGCCTACAATAGCACCGAGAAGCATGTGGAAGGTGGTGGCAGGACCCATGATGATACCTTGGCCAACATATGCCGGCGAAGGATTGAGCGTCCATTCCCAGGTATTGGCCAAGTATGTGCCAAAGACGGGCAGTTTGTGGAGAATAGGGAGGAAGTATTGGATCAGCGTGTATGCACCGGAGGCGAAGAAGGCAACCACAAGAAGTCGGATTTGCCTTTTCCAATCCCCTCGCATATCACGGTCTTCCGCCGGCTCCGGCGGGTTGTCTCGATCGCTTTCCCTCAATAGTTCCTCGCGCTCCTCGGTCCCTTGGGTTTCTATCTCTCGATCCTTTCCCTCTTCGCTCTTGGCATTGCCATGCAGAACACTTATCATGAGGGCTGTGGCAGTCCCACTGGGAAACTTGAGGCGCTCGCGGATGATGACCTGTTTTCGCAAGGGTACTCCGAACACGACGCCAAACAAGCAAAGACCAATGCCCCAGACAATGAGCCTCCACAGACTCAGATCGACCGGCGCACCCTCGCTCTTTTTCAACAAGAACTGTATGCTCGGCATCACTCCGACAAAACCTAGTCCGAGCGGCATAGTGCCCACCGCGCCAGCCACCGTCTGGACAAGGACATTTTCCACAGGTGTGAATGGAAGGACCAAATAACGAGACAGGGACTTGAAGACCGCAAATCCGATCAGCGAAGCGGGCATTGCCATCCCAGAAACCCAACCAGTCTGCAACCCAAAATATGTGTTGGAAAAGCAAATGATGATGCCAATCAATGTCCCAACTGCAACACCCCGAAATGTGAAATTTGTCCCATCCGAGGCCGAGTTGTGTGCCCCAGGGGTGGCATAGCAGGCATGGTCGGATCGAGTGCGGGAGGTGTCTTGCTGTGGACTAGCCTGCGGCAGCAGTTCATGGTCTTGGACGTCGGACGTGGAGGGGGAGTGAGTGTGAGAGGGTACCCCTCTGTCAGGAGCCATGTCGGGCTATTCGCAGGGTATTGGATCTCGATATGGTATCCCAATCCAAGAGATCCATGAGGAGGCAGGAAAAGGGACGTGCTGGCGCCGAATTCGACTTGGGTTGGGCTAATGCTGATGGAATGGCGTGCGAGTTGTAGTGCGAAAAAGCGAGGCTCAAGATTATCAAGATAGTCTTGTAACTATTGCCGATTCTGGCGTCATAGCTCCGTTGATTCTCCGGGCATCACGTGTGGGTGCTTGTGTCCCTACAAGTAGGGTGCCTGGGCTGTCCAACCCCCCTTGCCCCCAAGTTCCATACGGTTGGGTACCTGTAACTTTGCCTGCGGTGGGCTGATGGTGGGGGTTGGAGCCCGAGATGCACCTCGAAGTCACGCACTGCTCTCGGGGCGGCCCAGAGGCTGCGGCCAGAGCTGCCTCCAGCTGCCTCCAGCTGCCTCTGGAGCGTCTGCGCTCGTGCACCGGCCCATCGATCGGTCTGGACTCCCCATCTCCTCCAAAGAATGCATCCAGCACTGCGGTCCACTGCCATGCATCTCATTCCTCTCGTTGATTCTGCCATGCGCCACGAGTTCCCACTTTCCGAGGCCATGGCGCTCTTCCGTCCAATCTCGTGGGTTTCGAGAAGTTCGATGACGCTTTCACGTCTCCTGCCAGTGGAACAAGCGGGCATTTCTGGCAATACACCCATTCTCGAGTCCAAAACTCCCAACGATCATCGCACTTGCCGATCTCCCATGGCTGCCCTTTTCGGCCTATCTCCAAAGTGTTCCTGTGACTCTCGGTTATTCCGTCATTCTCGATCCTCTTGTTACGAACTCGAACTTGGGTCACCCAACCCCGGTACCTCCTCACCTATACTACCATGTCTCGACCTTGACTTATAGCAAGCCGCCATGCCGCTTCATCTCGCGTCACAGCTATGAGTATGAGCGGACACTGTGCTGCCTTTCGGTAGAAATTTTGCAGTCTGAAAGCGCAGGAAACTGGGTTTGTGGGATTGGTGTATAGAGGGGCAGACTCCTCTACCTCCTCCAACTATGGCTTCAGAAGCGGCGCGAGAGCGCGAAATGCACAGGTATTGCTCTTCTTGGGGTTGCCCACGATTCGACACACTCACGCGACCTATAGGTACTATCAACCGTGGCTCGAAACCTTTCTGTCCACCGACTTTGAACCTGCCTCGAACTTCCCTCCTTCTGCTGACCAGGCCGAAGCCCACCGACCACGCTCCTCCAGAGACAAGGCGTTGACAGCCTTCGCGCAACTGGGTTGTCTTCGCCTGAACGCCAAAAGATGCGTAGTCACTTTGCTAGGCACTACGAAGCAATATATCATAGCCGAGGCCACGAAATCTCTGTCACTATTGAGCGACGCTCACCACGACGATGGAGATGAACTATGGTTCGGAAATTCTTTCATTGAGCGAGAGGGCGGCATCTCGGCTGATGCCATGTATCCTGACAAATATACTGCCTATGATCCAGATGGCTCTTCCTTCACCACCCCAGCGTTGGTCGTCAGCGATATCTCGACCCATGAGAAATATAAAACTCGAGGCTACGCTGGTCGGGGCGTTTCCTTTTATTGTGGCGTACCAATCACCACACAACTGGGCCACGTCATTGGGGTCTATACTGTCACCGACGACAAACCCCGTCAAAATCTGTCGGCAACGGAACTTCATTTCCTGTTCGACATGTCCGTTATCGTCATCCAACATCTGGAGAGTGTGCGAAACGATCGTGCCAGGAAGAGGGGAGAGCGCCTTATCCACGGGATCGGGACATTCATCGGGGGCGACAAGGCTGGAGCGACCGAAGATAGTTCCATTCCCCAGCGCAATAAGTCCAGTGAGTCCAGATCGAGCCAGAATGCCTCAGAGAGCACCAAGACCGCGGAATTTATGGGCTTGGTAATTGGCGACGCAAACGTACCTGCGGAGGACTCCAAACGTATGGGAGTTTCAGAGCGCGGCCGTGCAAATGGCACAACGACAACGAAGTCTTCTGGCTTCAGCCAGGAGGGCATCCTCAACCACGTGTCCAGACACACACAGGCGACGCATCCTGCAAAAACAGCCAAGAATAAGGTATTGCAGGAGTCTCAGCAGGTGTTTAATCGTGCCGCAGCTGTCCTGCAATACTGCCTCGGCGCTGATGGGGTTGCGTTCCTCAATGCGAGCTCCGCAAACCTGAGTTCGGGTTCGAGCATGAAAACTTCTGGAGCTGCTATATCTAAATTCCATCATGCCAAATCCAGTGGAAGTAGTCACGCCGATCACCAGAACGGATTGAGGGGCTCAGACTCGCAGGAGGGGGCACCAAGAGACGACTCCTCGACCTCCAGCGATGATACTGTGAGTACACGCAGCAACAGCGACTCGTCCGCTTCCCAAAACAGAAGACAAAAGTGTGAAATCCTGGGCCTTTGCGCAGTTGATTCGGACCAATCCATCAGCATTGCCGACCCGACCATGCGCCGTCTAGTTCGCCGTCATCCAAAAGGGAAATGCTTTCTATTCGACCAGTTTGGCAAGCCGGCATCTAGTGATGAGAGCTCCGAGTCTGCATCTGCTGCAGATGTCTCCCAAGGCGATGCTGATCAACTGTCGAGAGTGGGAAAACATGTCCCCACAACCAATTTTCTACAGAAAGCACTCCCCGGCGCGAGGAAGATTGTTTTCCTGCCCCTGTGGGATTTTGCGAAGGAACGGTGGCACTCTGGACTGATAGTTTGGTCAAATGATACAGGCGGTTTGACTAACGTTGAAGAGGATATGGTTTATCTGAGAGCCTTCAGCAACGCCATTGTGAATGAGCTCAACCGAATCGATCTAGCCCTGTCCGATACTGCCAAGTCGACATTCCTTGCCAACATTTCTCACGAGCTACGCTCGCCCCTTCATGGTATCCTGGGAAGTATCGAATTCCTTCACGATACTGCTATGGATGATTTTCAATCGTCCATGGTTATAAGCGTTGAAACATGTGGAAAGACACTCCTGGATACAGTTAACCATGTCCTTGACTATGCAAAGATACACAGTCTGTCCAAATCTCAGCGTCCGGATCCAGCGTCTGCGCAAGGGCATGCGCAACGGAGCAAACCCGAAACCAATCTCACGGAGGATTTTGATATGGCCGTTGTTGTGGAAGAGGCCGTTGAAGCGGTGTACGCCGGCCAAGTCTTCAGAACCGCTAATGCAGATGCGTTGGAAGGCAAATCGCCAGTTCAGACTGCTGCGAGTCGAGCCATGCAACAACGGCTGGAGCGAAGAGCTAATATCAGCAAAGGCTCCGCCAAAGCATCAAGTTCTGTCCGCCTTACCTTGAACATCGACGATCATACCAACTGGTGGGTCCGATCTCAACCTGGGGCCGTCAGACGGATCGTCATGAATATCCTTGGGAATGCATTAAAATATACCACCAAAGGAAGTATCAATGTTGGGCTCGAGATTGACAGCTCCCGAAACAAGGGTAGCTCAAATCTACACATGCTGCTGAAGATCGCCGACACCGGCCGCGGCATGTCGGGTGATTTCATGAAAAATCACGCATTTACTGCGTTTTCTCAGGAGGACACTTTGGCAACGGGGACCGGCCTCGGGCTCAGCATTGTCCGACAGATTGTCGACTCTCTCGGAGGCAAGATCGACTTGTCCAGCGAGAAAGATGTGGGCACTGAAGTAAGAATCTGGTTTAGGCTTCCAAAGAGCCAAAAAGATGTGAGCTCGATCGCCGAGGCTCGCGTCATTCCAGAGATGCGCCAGCGCACCACGGGCCGGGAGATGTGTATGCTTTTACCGTATGATGAGAAGAACAGCGAAACCGATGTCCGTTCTCTGGTTCCGATGCCAACCATAGAGAGCTCAATGCGGAATTTGGTGTCTCAGTGGTTTCGAATGAAGATCACCACGACAAAGACCATGGATGGTATCTCGCCAGACTTCTTCATCTATCCTGAGCCCCCTCCGATTGACTACCTCATGGACTACCATGGGAAGCCAGAAACGGAGAGAGAAGTCCCCGTCATCATCTTGTGTACGAATGCATTCGAAGCTGCATCCCTGAGGTCAAACGGTATACATTACCTTACCGATATTGGGAGAGTCATTGAGGTAATCGCGCAACCTTGTGGGCCGCAGAAACTGGCCAAAGTCCTTCATCGATGTATGCAACGGTTGGGGCTGCTTCAAAAGGACCATGCCAAAAAGCCCCCAAAGACGGCTTTGTTATCTTTCGGTCGAGACTGGAACGCAGATAAAGAGAGCATCCGAGCAAGGGAAGATATAACCGGGCAGGGTGGTGAATGGGTTCAGGACGTTGATACCCCCTCTACGCCTGACGGTAATAGTGCAGCCAAGCCCAGATCGCCCGACTCTTCGCGCAAGGTTTTCACCGAAAACCAATCACGGTCTCAGAAGCCGTCATTGATAAAGATGGGCGCTTCGGAAGAGGTCGTCACGTTAACTCAGTCAGATGTCACGGAAAGCTCTGCTTTGCCTCGAAAACCGGACACAAATAGCCCACGGGTCCTGGTGGTCGACGACAATCACATCAACCTCCATCTCCTCGTAACTTTTGTTCGCAAAGCTGGCCACCCCTATGAATCAGCCACCGATGGTTTGAAGGCTCTAGAAGCATACAAGAAGAGTATCCGGGAAGATGGTGGTCGAAATGCCTTCAAGCATGTTTTTATGGACATCTCCATGCCCGTTATGAACGGGATAGCTTCCGCCAAAGAGATTCGACGATTCGAAAAGGACAACAAAGTTGATCCACCCGCCAAAATCATTGCTTTGACGGGGATGGGGAGTGAAGTTGCCCATAACGAGGCAATAGACGCCGGATTTGATGAGTTCTTAAGCAAGCCGATTGTAAGTCAACCTTCACGTGGCCGTACTTCCACTGAGAAAGACAGCAAAGCTCCCCCTGTGTTCATTTTACTGATGTGTATCGTTACAGAAGTTTAAGGACCTACAGAAACTACTTGTCTGAACGGCATTTTGCGTTGGACGAGCTTCAAGCAACCAGGTTCTGCGTTGTGGGTTGTGGGTTGTTGGATACTGTGATACCTCTATGCATTGCTTCTGGCATTTCCTTTGATGTAGGATGAGAAAAGCTGATACCAGGAAACAAGGATTTGCTTCGAGCACCAGCACACAGATCTTGTCGTGCTTGGGAGTGTCCTCCTAATTCTCTGTCCTGGCTTCAACTTTCTTACCGTTTCGTTGCTTGTTACATCCGCGCGACATCCAGATCTCGTCCTTCGTCCTCGGTATATATGGCGTACCTTCACAAGCCAGGCGAGAAGGTGGATGGGTGGGTGTATGTGTGCGAGCATTACTACAGTTCCAGGTCATTCACGGTTGCCGGCCCTGTCTCCCTTCCCGTCTCTCTTCCTTGAACTCCTTGCTCGTTTGCGCCGCTTTCTCGTCTACCGAGATGCCTTCTTTGCGCACTGGGTTTGTCTAACGGCAGGGGACGTGGTGGTGATGGGTTTGATGTTATTTGCTATTGCTATTGCTAGCCGCATCTGTCTGCTGTGTTTTTTGTGCAATTGCTTCCCTTCCAATTACCCTCGTACGAAACTCAACACACCTACATGTGCTTCCTTTAGAAGGATTGCGTCGCCCAAGTCCACGCCGCCTCCTACCCGTGTGTGCCGCAGATTTTCCCCCTCCCTCCGTCATTGCAAACAAATCTCTGTGTGTGCCGGAACTGTTGCCCTGTGAAAAAAAAAGGAAAAGGTCGAGAGGAAAGAACAAGATGGGGTATAGTGAAGTCCAAGAATTGCTTGAAATGCATTCAAATTGTTGTACAAGGGTTTCGTTCAGTGATGGAGATCGAGGATGTTGGTCGATTCTCCTCAGGCGAGGAAGAGGCCGTGGAAGTTGGGAGAACAGGTAAGTATGTTCAAGACGTTGAGCTGTGGCTGGGTGTAAGGGAATATGTGGTCGGGAATCGGATATTGAAAAGCTCAGCGAGTAAGGACAGGCTGAGACGGCTTTGACATCCTGTTACGAACTTGGAGGTTTGAAAGCGATCAATCTTTGTTCGTAGCATCCAGATATTCAAGTGGTCTGAGATTTGAGTCAGGCGTGCGTAACCAAGATGTCGCTCCTGATAATCCAGCCTGCCCACAAACCCCTCAAGGAGGAATTGCGACTTTCCAATACATACCAAGTGGTTGCCAATACGGCGAGGTCATTGTTTGCACAAGTCAGTGTCAAGGATTAGAATAGTCCGCTGGATATGTCGAACCCCGAATGCCTTGGGTCTGAGATGTACTCAACTGGTCACTCTCTTGATCCAAAGCCCAGTAGGTTGCTCGTAGTAGTCGTCTTTATCCCTGCGTTTCTGCGCACGATGCAGCCTCAGTTGAACATCGTGCTCCTCGTTCTTGACCTCCTGAATCTCCAAATTCAGATTGGTGATCATCTTGTCGACTTCCTTGCGCTTTCTCGAGTCATAAACAATGGCGTTCTTCTTTAGTGAGTCTTGAAGCTCCAGGATGATTTTGTTCAAATTTCGTTTGCGACGAGAGAGGTCTTCCAGTCGGGCTGTGAGAGAAGCGATTTTATCGGCGGCTTGAAGTTCGACAGGTGTTGGAGGAAGGGATTTGGTGGCCGAAAGGGAGGACATCAGAGACACAGCCCGTGGTTTACCATTGCGGTCGTTGGCGTTCGAATCGTTACCGACGGCTTTTCTGAGGATATTGGATGATTTTCGGGAGGAGATGGTGGAGAAGGGGGAGATGCTGCTGTAGTTGTCATAGCTGCGGTGGCCACTATTATTCGCCGCGACACGTTTGCGGAGGACGATCGGTTCTGGAACTGCTGCAAGGGGGATCTGTGCCATGGGCACAGGACTGCTTGTTAGTTCCTCTCGTGCGATGGGACTTGAAGGAACATGACCGCTATCATCCGTTGCGTTGGTTCCATAGGTGTTCCAACTGGATGAGGTGTCGGGCTCGCGCTGTAACGAGTTTTGGTGAGTGGCAGGATCGAATGAATCCTCGCTCGAGCTCCTCTCGAGGCCGACAAACGAGGGGGTATTGGAACCCAGTGTAGGACTGTCAGCTCCATACTCCTGGACGGTACTGGGCGCAGGGCTTTGAGCTGGCTCGACGATGGATGGACGTGGACCAGGGCTCTGAAATGGGCTGTCCAGTAGCCGGGTGTATTCCAGCTGCTTGGGCGATAGTGCTTGCGGCGACAGCGCTTGTGGTATCTTTCTGGTTTTGAGCGGGGCGACTGGCTTCAGACTTTCTTCCGAGTCCACAGGTTTGAGCGTTGGAAGTTGTGAAGCGGCGACAGAAAGAGAGTCGATGGGGGACATGGCAGTCTTTTCGAGAGAGTCGGTTTCTTCGGGTGTCTCGCTTCTTGTCTCTTGGTCGGGTATCTTATGCCGCTCTACCAGCTTCAACGGTCGGGTACGAGCTTCCGGGGTGTTCTTGACAGGTTCTACTATCGCGTGTCTACCACTTGCTCCTCTCCATGGTGGCCGCTGGACGGGGTTGTCCAAAGGATCATCTGCTGGATTTGGTGGCGGAGACTTCACCCAAGTCGACTTTTTGACTGCTTCCCTTTCCTTCAAACCAGCCAAGATTTGCCGCGTTCTCTCCTTAAGTTGGGGGTATGGCTGGTCGCCTGCGGATGATGTTGCCACTCCAGGACGGACGGAAGAGGGCTTCCCTGCCTGGCTGGGTTCGCCCGAGTATTCATCCCACCGGGTCTCTTCATTTCCCTCTTTCCGTAGATTCCATCTCTTTTTGATGCCCTCTTCGGGTGTATTCTGTGAGGCTGGGACGGGTAACTTCCGCGGTATCTGACTTTTGAACGATTTGTCCGACTGCGTGGGAGTTGGAAGTGAGGGTTCAATGGGAGAGACCAGGGAGGCATCAGAGCCGTTAGGGTGGAATGAGGTCTGGCTGCTCAAAGGTGAGACACTGACTTGACTGGCGTCATGTTGATGTCTCGGCTGAGTCGAGGGCTGTTGAGGATTGTAATCGGAGATATTAGGAGAGACTGAATCCTGGTCAATGGAGTAGACCGACGTTCGTTCCTCCATGGGAGGCACAGGCCGACTGCGGCAAAAGTGGTCAGTGTGAAGAAGGGATTCAGGAAAGGACCCGGACGTACAAAGGGAGTTCTGGAAGGGCAGTGGCCGCGACACTACTGCGGCGACTGTACAAAGACTCGACCTCGGGGATTGTCTCGAGATATCTTTCGTCCATTGTTGGCTCGGGATAGGGATAAGCTTGGTAACCCATCTGGTAGTCTGGTATGTTGTTCCGTCTCCACATGTTTGCACTCTAACTCGGGGACGCTGCCACGGCACTGGAGAAGGGTTGCGACGCTCTGACAGAAGGAGCGTTCGTCATAACGTGGGCAGTCTCGACGAGTTCGGCGTGACGGAGCAGGATGTGTGGGAGGAGTGATGGTTGAAGGTGACAGACGTGAGTTTCCAACGGGCGCGAGCTGCGTGAATGGATGGCTTGTCGTGGGTGTAGGTGGTCGCTTCTGGCTTCTGCGGGCTGTCTTGTGCAGCAACAGACTGTCGAGTCGAGTCCAAGTCGTCTTGGTGATGGAGCGAATATTACGGGGAGCCAGGGGGTGAGATGCGTTGTCTGATTTTGTTTGTTCAGACTCAGAATGGCCGTTCGACGAGCTGCCGATTGGCTGAGGCCGAGTTAATCAGTACCCGGAGCTCAATGTGGCAGAATAAAGGTGAAACAAGGAACGACGGGCGCCGTTGATTATTTCAGGGTCATCACTTTCGAGACACAGCCGCAGTCCGAGCCACCTACCTGGGGTATCCCTGGTGCTTGGGGATCTTTGTCTCGATGTTCCATGCGGTCACTGGACTACCGAGTTCCTCTTCCACCACACGTGGTTCCTGCCAGCTATTTACGCGTTGTTATAAACTTTTGTTGTCATTGCCAGACTCGTACTGGGTGGTGTGGAGATGGCACAACCCTCGACCAGTCAATAGGGGTGGCCTTTGGGACACCCTGAAGGAGGAACCCGGTACCGGCGGCCCGGTAAGAGTGGCTTGCAGTGTTGGCCGCACGCGAGGACTTCCCTAGACTTCCCTAGAATCCCTACGAGCACTCGGAATAGCAGGTCAGTGCCCAAGTGAGCCTCGCCAGCCTCATTAGGTGCTGATGGGTGCCTATGGGTGCCTAGGAAGCAATAGCGGAGGGGGCCCAACCCGACGATAGCGATAGGGAGCGCCCAAGTAACCCCTCCTGCCCCTTAACCGAGCCACTCTACTAACCATGTTCTTTTTGGGGGGGGGGGGGGGGTTAGGTACACCTCACTAGCACTGCTTCGGGGATCGCACACTTCGGAGATGATGTCCGCCCCGTCACCAAGGCTCCTCCTCCCCCCTCCCCTTCCCCTTGCCTACGGCCAGCACCGATGTGATCCTCCGACTAAGTGTTGCGCACCCGATGAGGACTATCCAAATATGAATTCAATTGGTCGACGCCCGAAGCAAATTCTTGTGTCTCTCTATCGGTGTTGTATACCTGCTCGACACCATTTAATCCTGATGTCCCCGATTAACATGCTTTTTTCGCCCTCCTTGACGCCCGATGGTTAAGAAAGGCACCAGAAATACTGCCACAACCGCGCCCGCCAGAGACACCCAAAACGTGGCTTGATACGGCCGATATCTGACAGCCCCGACCCCTTGTGCGGCCCCTCCGGCGGTGTTGTAAATGCTCGTTTGGATGCCCAGCCCAACCGTTGCAACAAGCCGGGTTACCGTGTTGAACAGGCCTCCTGCCACCGACTGCTGCTCACTGGGAAGAGACGACATGACGTACATATTGGTGACCGTGAACTCCAGGTCCTGGGACAGCACGCTGAATAATAGAGCTGGAAACGCAAGAGCCCAGAACGATATCGAGGTATATATCGCACTGAAAAGGGCAGAAGCGATCACGGCACTCACAGCCCCGATGATCATGATCACCCGGTTTGAAACTCGGTGCATAATCATTGCTGCCAGCACGTTGACCAGAATTCCTCCGATCCCCGCTGGGAGGAGATGGACAGCGACCATCAGCGGCGACAGCTGGTTGATCCTTTGCCAGAGTAGCGTCAACCAAAACAGATTCCCCGCAAAGCCATAAAACCCAAGGCAGAGCACCGTCACCACCAGGGTGAAGTTTCGATCTTTCCAGACTCTCAACGGCATGAGTGGATACCGGAATACACTTTGCCAATAGATGAAGCCAGCGACCAGGACAAGCCCAACCACTAACAAGGCAATCACGTATGGCGTCCCCCATCCCCGTGGAGCGTCGCCCGCCAGAGTCAGGGAGGCGGTAAACATGGCAATGCCACCCACGGCGAGAAGGGCTCCCAGAAGGTCGAATTTCACAAAGGTGTCCATGTTGAGTCCTCCAAGTGTCTGTTCGGTATCCGGTGGAGTGGTCCACAGGGCCGCAAAGAAGAAGAAAGCATAGATCACCGCCATGACCCAGAATGCTGCTCTCCAGCTGGCAACTTGCATGGTCACGCCACTGATAAATGCCCCAAGCACGAAACCGACCGGATTGCCTCCGGAAAAGCAGGCGAAGGCTCTGTTCTTCCGTCGACTCGGTCTGTCATAAACCGCGCCGAGCTTGCCAATGGCTGGGGGAACGGAAGCTGCCGAACTGAGGCCCAGGAGACCACAGAAGATATCCAAAAAGTAGGCATTGGTGGCAAAGCCCGTGATGAGCAGGCAAATGCTGAAAAAGGCCAGGCTACAAAGGAAGAGCAGTCTTCTGCCAAACAAATCCGCCACCCGGCCGAAGAAGAGCAAGAATGTGCCTGCTGCGAGGGTCTGGGCAGCACTGATCCAGGTCACTTCAGCTGCTGTCATATTCAGATCTTTGCCGATATAGTTGGTCATGCAGAGGATTGCCCCGGTGAAGATCGAACTCTGTCCCACAGCGATTGTCGTGGTAAGAACAAAGAGGCATTCTTGGAAGAGACTGCTGAAACACGCCGGGCGACAGCCATAGGGGTCGGATTCGGTTTGGGCGAGTGATGCTCCGATTGATGTTGTCGGTTCGACCTTTGGAAAATCGACGGGCTGTGTCCTTGCTTCGACATCGAGGTCCTGTGCAGGACAAACCTGGGTGGATTGTTTCTCCATTGCCACACAGCCGCTGGCCCCCCCGCCGCAGCGCTCAAGTACAGCAGTTCACCCTCAGAATGTGATGTCGAATAAGGGCCAATTAAAGATGGAATGCAAGCGAACAAGTCATCGAGGAGACAAGACTCTCGCCCACCCAGAAAAATCTAGCTCGAGCGAAATGTGGCAGCGGCGGAGGAGAAGCTCAAATACATGCGAGCTACAAGGGCCGAGAACGAGCGAGCCGACTAAGAGCGACGCGCCGTCGGCAATCGAAGTTTGGTGGCGTCTCCAACGGTCGACAAGCACGAGTCAAGCGTTGAAGCATTATCTAAGCTGCTCTCCGCTTCTACGGACCTATTTCCGCATATTGCGGGTTGCCGGAGATGCTCGCCTGCTCGCCTGTTGCAGCCTTGTTATCGAGTCCACTATCCGATGGCTGTCCAATGTGTAAACAGCTATCCGGTCATCAGGTTGGTCAGGGGAGGCTCAAAGTCTATCGGGTGGTTCGTAATCCGCTGCCGAGCTGCCTTTACTGGTAATGTTCCCGTAGCTTGAAGGTGAGTGGTGTTTGTGGTTCAAGTTTTGTTGCTCTATTTTTCTGCTCTCGGCTGAAGTCGTGCTGTACATTACACCATCCCATTGTACACTTCCGTCACTACCCCTTCTCGAGACGTTCCCATCGAGGTACCACGACGAGGATTGCTCGCCCTGCCACTTTCTCCCCCACGACCTGCACCCTCCCTCAACACTCTGATCAGTCTACCCTCTCGTCTTTACATGTTCCGTCCGCCCGTCACTTCGATGGTTTGTCCGTTCACATAGCTGAACAGCGGGGAACACACGGCCAAAATGGAACCTGCGGCCTCGGTCGCTGTGCCAGGTCGTCCCAGGGGGATGTCTCTGTAGGCGGCATTTGGGTCCTCTCCTTTGCGGTCGGCAATTTGCTTTCCTGGGATGCCCAGCGCGACACGCTGGCCGTCGGCGGTGGTGATGAAGGCTCCGATTTCCTTTGCACGGGTCAATCGGGTGTCGATGTGCCCGAAGGCGATGGTGTTGGCGCGGACGCCGAACTGCCGCAAGAGTAAAAGTCAAGGTCAGCATCAGTGTCTCAACTTATCAGACAGTGCGGTATCGCCCTTCGCACAGGAACAAACCACGTACCTGCGGTCCCCACTCCTTTGCGATGGTCTTGGTCAAGCCGGTGACGCCCGCCTTTGCCAGACTGTAGTTGGCCTGCCCGGCGTTGCCATGGGTGCCAGACGTGCTCGAGATGTTGATGATGACTCTCTTCTCGCCGTCCTTGACGCGGAAGTACGGGGCCGCCTGCCTGACCAGCCGGAAGGGGGCGGTATTGTGCACATTGATGATGGTGTCCCACTGTTTATCGGTGATCTTGTGGATCACGCCGTCCCAGGTGTAGCCGGCGTTGTTGACGATGATGTGGATCTTGCCGTTGCCGAACTCGGCGGCCTTGGAGACCAGCACAGGGAAGTAGTTTGGGTCGGTGACGTCGCCGGGCACTGAGATGGCGCGCTTGTTGCCCGGGGTGGCATCGTTGATGGACTTGGCCACGGCCTCGCCCTTGGCCGCGTCGACGTCGCACACGACCACTTTGGCGCCCTCGTTGGCGAACAGCCGCGCGCACTCGGCCCCGATGCCCTGGCCGCTACCTGTGATCTGTGGGATCTTCGTCAGCTTGCGGTGCTCGTGGATCGCACAATTGAGACCTCGACGGAGAGTCACTCGTGCTGCTGCTGCTGGGGTGAACTCACAATGGCGACCTGCCCGGCCAACATGCCCGAGGGGTAATTGAGATGGGAAGCGATCTGCTGAGCTCTTTGCGCCATGGCTTGCTGTGTGTATCCGAAAGACTTCAACCAACAGTCCGACTAATGATTTTCGCAGGTGCAGAAGACCAGAAAAGGAAGTCAAAGAAGAACCGCAGTCGACTTATTGCAGATAGCTATGTAGAAATGTATGGAAAAAACCATCAATGATCTTGAATTGGAGAGCCATCGGAGAGTGGTGGTAGTAAGACTCGTAGCGCAGTCGCACCGCAGTCAGATTTGCCGAGGCATCTCTGCGCCGCCGCCGAGCCCGTAACCGAAAGGGCGTTTTCTGCCGCCGGAACGAAGCCTGCGCCGAGAGAGACAACCTCCCCCTCTGATTCAGATATTACTTATTACACAGGTACTGTACATGTTCCTACGGCGGCCGAGTACGTTTGTGCGAGTCGTCCCTCCGTCGCAAGTGGCCGGTTTGCTCCGACTGGGAACCGACCAACCACCTGTGCCCGCGCCCTGGAGATGGCCAGGACACAGCACAGACTTGTGTGAGGATGAGGATGAGGACGGGACTCTAATCACGTCGTGGGTAAATGCCTAGGACCTACCTACTAACGCGGAGAGGTACAAGAGGGATGTTCGACCCATGCTATCTCTAGGATGTTTCAATCCGAGATCTGAGTTTGAGATTATCCATCCCATGGACCTAAGTACCCAGTAAAACATTACCACCCATCCAAAAGACGCGAAGGTACCAGCTATTATTTCCTTGAGAACCCAACTTTTTTTTTAATCCTGAACCCGTACTTTGACCTGTTATATTCTCCCCAAAATCCATTATCGAACTTTTTTTCCCTTCTGGAGTAGGATAGCATGGCAGATGCCGTATACCATGAGAAAAATGACAATACCCAACCAACATGGACATGCTCCGGGAAGGGGGGGGGAAAAACTCCCCGCGAGTTCCTCTCATTGTCTCCCCTCAAAGTCTTGGTCGGTCGCCACCTCTTCCACGGGGTTCTTGTTCAAACTCTCGAAGAGCTGGAGGTAGCTGCCGATCAAGAAGGCCCACGAGCCCCTGTGCACGGTGGCGTTCGGTCAGTGAAGGGTAAACGAAAGCCTCGAGATATCACGTGCACTTTTGTTGGTCTCTTCAACGGGGGAAGTGTGGAAGGGGGGGCATTACGCTGAAGGTGGAGGGAGGGAGAGAGGGAGAAAAACGTACCAGAATGTAGCCAATCCGGCCTGGTACTGTGCTCCGGAGTTCTTGTACGCCATGCCCAGACAGCCGCAGAGCGTGAAGCCAAACGCGCCCACGAGGTTCCAAAACGCGATGTGCCACCCCAGGAGATGCGGCGCCGGTTTGTACCACTTCTGCTGCGTCTCGAGCAGGTACAGCGTGCTGCTGACGATGAAGCCGCTGCCCCCGATCACCTGCGGGATCCAGTACGCGGCATTGAGCCGCCACTCGGGCGTCAGGTGATTGAAGATGCCGGGCAGGGCGGTGATGCCAGAGATGCCGAAGACGGTCGCGCCAAACAGCTGAGCCGACCCGGCAAGGAAGCCAAACTCGTGGAGGTAATGCGTCCGCAGGTCGTGCCACGAGGGGAACCACTGCCAGGCCCTTTTGCCGCCCTTGGCCGGCGGTTGCGCGTCGGCGACGGTCAGCTTCGACGGCTTCCCGACGAAATTCCGTCGGTTCTGGTGGAAGTGGTGACAGTGGTGGCGGTTGGCGACTACGCGGAGTCTCGCCACGCCTCCTTTCTGCTCGTCGTCGTCGAACAGTTGCTCCACGGCCCAGCCGAAACAGCCGGTGTTGTTGGCGTTGATGGCCTCAAAGATCAAGAGGATCGAGCCGGTTTCGAAGAAAAGGATGGCGCCGATGAATGCTGTGACGCCTCCTCCATAGTAGATCTCGCCGTCAAACTCGGTCGAGGGGGCTGCAACCGGGAGCCAGACGAAGAAGCCCTACATAGAACCGCAGAAGTGGTTAGTCGAATGCGTTTGCTCGGCCGTCTGGGAGGTTTCGAGAGATCAAAAGCATACGTTCAAAACCCAGACGATACTCCCCCAAGTGAATATAAAAGCCACGAGCCACGAGATATCCCAGACCGGATAGTACGTAAAGGTTCTGACAACGGTTTTCAGGACCTCTCGGGGATCCGACGTTCGTCTCGGGGTCACAAAATAGGCCTCTTCCCCCGGCTTCGGCCTCTGGACGAGCAAAGGATGTCGGCCCTTTCGATTGTCTCGCGATCGCCACAGGAACCTGACATTTTTGGCGGGGACGTCGGATTCGGAATAGCGCTTGGGGACTTCCTGCTCGGTTTCATCATGGCCGTTTTCTTGCGAAGTCTCAACTTCATCCGGGGTTCCTTTGGAGACGGACCCAGAATGGTTGAAATGCGCCCGCGTGGGATTGAGGCAGCTGAAGGGTCCCTCGGCGCGTTCCAGCGTCAGTCTGGTGTCATGTCGGAATGGCTCTCGCGTGTGGAAATGCCTGTTTCGAGGCGGCATCGTGGTGAGGAGGGCTGTCGCGAACAGGTCTCGCAGAAAGTCCGAGTGTTATTGAGAGCTGATTGTGGCGCCGATGTGTGTTTCCATTGAGGGTGGTCCGAGGAATGCTGGATCTTGGACCTGGACCTGGACAGAGACATGTAATTAGTGAAAAGTTGGCCCCCTTTGCTGCGTCGCGGGTTTAAATTCAAAACATGATGATTCCCGATGACGACGCCGCAAAGTTTTAGGCTGATCGGGCTCCCCAGTCGCCCCAACTGCGCCAACTGCGCCCGCTGCGCCAGAAATCAACCACCACCAGTCATCACCTCACCAGGCCAAGATTGTGGCTTGATGCCCCCTTCCAGTGGCCATCAAATGGGCTTCCAGAATTGCTTCACTCGCCCGTCACTTTTTGCTTGATTCGAACAATGGCCGCCATCCCTTTCACCTCCTCGTGTGCTGACCGAGCCACCCGCTCATGCTTACTGGACCAACACCCCTATACCACTACAGTACTACATGCACTACAGTACTACATGGGGAGTCGCGAGCGAAAAAACCTATCATCCATCAATCCTATTTTGATTAGCCGCTCGCCGCTTTGCTCACCCTTGGCTCACCTTCCGCTCCCTGAGCGCTCCCTAAGCAACTTAGTCCTTCTTCAACTCGTGTCGTGTCCTAACATTGGTTCGTCGTTGTTGATCGTGGCCCTCCGGAAGAAGTTCTCTAGACACTGCAGCATTTGGACTCATCACCACCAGTGGCTGTCTCAGCCGCCGCAAACCCCGAATTACTTTCATAGAACGACTTCTTCACGCCGATGCCGGATTCTGCGGACGTCTCCCAAAATCCACCAACCGAGAGTTCTTTCGCCAGTGGCCCGCCTTCTTCCGTCGACACCTCCCTATTGTCGAGTAGGTCGCTCTTGTGGCATACGAACACGATCGGAATGGGCCGGCCGAGGTGGGACTTCCATTTGCGGCGGAGTAAAGCAGAGCTAATTATTTGACTTCTTGTATTCGTGTCTGAAATGAGTTGGATCTCTCGAACAAACTTCGCGGCGTGAGGCTGTACACCAAAACATACCCTTCCCCGGGTCTTGGTCCACTGGACGCGGAAGCTCGTGCAGTCTTCCCGACCGCCAGTATCGAGAATCTATAGCTTGCATTTCTGCCCATCAATTTCGAATAGCTGTCGGTATGAGTCTTCCATGGTCGGATCGTAGCTCTCGACGAAGGACTTAGAACACAACTATCGGTCACGGTGATCAATGCGACCTTCATACCTGGATGGTTAGCGCCGTCTTTCCCGCTTGGGCATACCCGGGGACCACCAATTTGAACGAGGGTTGCTTTATCGCCATGCTAACACGGTGGAACGACAGGCTGCAACTGCACCTCTCGCTGTGCGGAGGCGATAACGACGATATAATATGAGAAAGCAACAGGCGTCGAGACGACCGTAGCGGGACCAGCGGGTGACCATCTCATCGCTCCGAGATGGGCACTGCTGTATTTTGCATATTGTAATGGGGGAGGTTTGAGAGGCTTGAGGTGGTAGGTAGGTAAGCGACGAGGCTGGGTGATTTGCCTGTACAATGTACAGGCCGACAATCCTGCCTCCTGATTGGTCAGTTCCGGGCACTACCCCAGGTTAGGTCCTTCTTCTCCTCGGCCTGGCGGGAGGCAGAGTCCTCAGAGAGAGATTTTCTTTCCTTGTATAGTTATTCAAGCAATCAACTAGTCTACAAGATGTGAACGTTCCTGTTGCCTGCCGCCGTACGAGTTGATGCCCATGGCTAGAAGCCTCGTCCCAGTTATGATTGGGTTACATTATACAAGAAAGAGCTCAAAATATGACCCGGTTAGGGAACAAGGGTGGCGAGCGAACAAATGGCAGTTACTGCAAATGGGGGGCCGTGGCGAAACATGTTAACGAGATACGGACGATTTTGTCGAGAGCTTAGAGATTAACGTACAGTGGGGATAAGGTCTTTGCAGCTAAGTGGGCCGGAGCTGGATGTTCTCTAAGTCATGAAGGTTTGGGACTGGAAGATCGGTGGAGCTTAAGAAAATCATGTAAGATCTGATGCAGCCAGCAGCCTGATCGCTGTGAAGGATTCGTGACACTTCTTCGGTGCATAAAGCTATATCCGTCCCCTGCTCAAGAATTTCTCGGGGATATCGACGTATCGTGCCCTGAGGAATTCGCCCACATTCTTTCCAATAATGTCGTAAGTACTAGAGGCGCCAATCCCTCGATCAAGATGATCATGAAACAGGAAATGGATCGCCCAGGCATTCGGGAGTTCAAATCGGTCCTTACACCACACAATTAGTAACAGTTGTAGGCGCGTGTGCTTCTTCTCCTGGTGGAAGATCTTACAATTTTCTTCCCATTGTACTCCTTTGCCAGCAACTCCTTCATCTTCTCGGTGCTGAGAAGACTCCGAAGCCAGTCGTACTCGTCCTCGTGTCGGACCCAGAAGCCGCAGTTCGCATCACTGCCTTTGTCTCCACTCCGTGAGTGCACAATCCAGCCTAGCGGGCCCCTTGTCGTGGGACCAAAACTTTGCAGGCTGGCGGGATCTGCGGTGGAGGGTTGATCGGGCTGCTGTTTAGGGTACTCTCGTGTGTCGCCAGGAGCTTCGATTTCAAACGCGGGGCCTTCGGGTGGGTGGACGGTATGATGGACCTTGCTCTGGGGCAGAAGAGTCACGTAGTACTCGAAATAGGGTTTGGGGAACGCCGTCCGGTGGTCGTTATGGAACGTGGCCCCGGGATATGCCTGCATCTGGTTGTTCCATATGGGTTTCATGAACTTCTCGACCGCAAGGTCTTCTCTGCGGGGCGCCTGCGCAAAGATTCGGAATCCGACCGTGGCGCGGTCTTGGTCGACAGGGTCGTCGGGGCATGTGCCATTCATCATGAACTTCAGCAGACTAAAACGGTGCGAGTAAGGAGAGAGCTCTCGTCGCAACTGTGCTTCCCACATTTGTGCCTTTTGCTCGATGTCCAAACCGGTCATATACCACAGGCTTTCGGCCTGGAAGCCTCCTTGAGCCGTGATTCCGACTTTGGTGGTGGGAGGAGGCGGCGACGACTTGACCCCGTGAAGGGCAACGCGGTTAGGCGCGAGTTGTGTGAAGCCTACTTCATCGATGATAGCAGTGACATCGGAGTTGAAGTACCAAGGTCCCTGTATCTCATAGAGCAGTTGAGCTTTACAAGTGTCGATCGTCACAAAGCCTCCACCCTGTTTCGCCTTGGTGATGACGACGTCTCCAGCAGCTGAGATCTCCGCGATCGGGTACCTGCATTATCAACAGTCAGTCTTCTTCATCCCACCCCTGACGATATGACAGATGACTAACCCGAGGTCATCCCATCCTTTACCTGCCAACAACGTCTTAAACCCCGAGAAGTTGCCGCCACAAATGTAACTTGAGCACTCAATCAGATGGCCCGCGATCAAAGCGTTTGCAAGTCGATCAAGGTCTGAGCGCTTCCAATCGTACCACCAGTAAGCTGCGCCCACAGTGGGAGAAGCATCTGAGACGCGTCCACAGAGGACTATATCAGCCTTTTTCAATGCCGCCGCAATACCCAGGCCGCCTAGATAACATTGCGCGCCGATCGGTTGAAAGTTCCAGTCGTCCAAAACTTGCCCCGTACAAATGTTTTCGAATCTTGACTCCTTCCTGGCTTGGGTCTTCTTGATCGCTTCAAGGACATTATCTCCCTCGATTCGCGCGGTCTAAAGGGTGCTGATTAGGACGCGCCCTGCTTGAAGTCAGGCCAGCATTAGACAGGGCATACCTTTAGCTGCAACCCTTGCTTCTGGATCAACTCGTTAACAACTTCCTGTAGAGCCTGGACGTCTGCTCCGCCTGCATTCACCGCTACTTTGATGCCGTACTCTGCGATGTAAGGGAGCGCAGGGACGAGAGAGTCGACGAAGTTAGACTCATATGCTGGTCCGGACGTCGGATCAAGAACTTGGGTTGCCTCTCCATTGGCCATGTGAAGCTTGCGCGAAATTGCGGCGGGCATGTTTCCTTCCGACATCCAGTCTCCCACAATGACATTAACAGGGTCGTTAGGATAGTTTTTGGCGATGTCATGCAGCGCTCTCCCCCTGTCTGCGGTCGAGCCAGATACACCTGAAATAAATCTTGTTAAAAGGATTGCGTCTTTGCCTTGGAAAGCGAATAAAAATACATACTGGCGATTCGTATGACATTTTCTCTTACGGCTACCATGGTGGCTGGAAGTAAAGTAGTACAGGGATCCTCGCGTGTCAGTAAGAGACTGCAGTTTTGAGTGAAACGTCCGCAGCATTCATACTATTCTCATGAGAGTGTACTACAGCTCCCCGAGGAAGGTTAAGTACCTGCTCGGGAATCTTGACCTTTGTGCAGGCTTCAACTCCTGGGGAGAACTAGGAATGAAATCCGACTACGGAAATAGCGTGCTCCGCGGAACTGCACAGGAACTTGTATCGTTCAACCACTGGAGCAACCGACATTAGAGCAGACTTCCACGGAAGTCATGCAGGAACCGCAACCCTGATCGCTTCGATCGGAAATCGGAGAGACTCCTCATCTGAGGAATCTCCCCAATATTATAGAGCCCCGTACACAACGTATTGAGGCCAAAATAGTCCCCTAAGTGCCCGAGCAGCATCGAAGGGTTCGTGGAGATATTCCAAGAAATAGTTATCAGTGCCGAGGCGCAGACACGTTTTAGACCTTAGACAGGATTATGGCCAACATATTCCAAAACAACTGTACAAATCCTTAAGAGCTACTAACAGTTACCGACAGAGGATTGACGTGAGCACAGGTAGTTTAGTTAGTCGTGGTCAAGGACAAGATCTTTTGCAGACATCCAGTACGCTGCCGCACACCTTCATACGGATAAACCCAAAATTGGTCGTTCTTCTTCTGAATGGCCTTTCCAACAGTTAAGCTTTGTTGACAATCTCCTTGATTTCTGGGATATCACTGCCAGAGTCTTTTGACCCGTCACCGATGATCGCCTCGAGAGACAATTTCTGTGATTCCTGGCCAACCAGGTCTCTCTGATAGAGAACGACCAGGTCGTCGTCACCAAAGATGGCCGCAATCTCTTCCAGAGGCTTGTGCAGCGTATCGGGGTAGTAGAAGAAACTCAAGACACCGCCGAGGGCGGCAAAGAAGATGAAGAGGATGTAGAAGCGCCAGCCAATGTTCGCGAAAGCGGTCGGTGCTGCCTGGAGCCAGCAAAGGTTGATTCCACTGTAGACTGCCATTCCGAGTGCAAATCCTTGAGCTCGCAAGTGACTTGGCCATATCTCCGTGATGTAAAAGAACTCCGGGCCATCCAAAAACAGCTCAAATGAACTGATGTAGAGAAATAGCATGGACACGGCCGCGGCTTTTGCATTTCGGTTGTCGGATTCCAGATAGGTTGCGATAAGACCCGTGTAGACGATCAAGGAGACCATGGACATGAAAAAGCCGGCAGAGATGAGATAGTTTCTTTTCACTCGATCCACGTATGTCATGGCTAACACGCTTGTTATCCACGACTGACCGATGTATCCAGCGGAAAAGGCCAAAGACTTGACTCCAGTGTAGCCAAGTCCCTTGTACAAGGTAACTCCATAGTCTGTACACATTAGCGTAAGTTACGGATTGGAGGAAAGAGAATGCTCACTCAGAATTGATAATGTACCATCACTCATGATACAAAAGCAAAGAGACATACTAATAATGGCCCTTTTTCTGTATGATGGCCGACGGAAGATTTCGGCGTAGCCACCTTTCAAGGATTTATCCAACTGGATCTGCTTGTAGATCTGCAGGAACTCCCGAGTTGCAAAGGTGTCGTCGGGATCCCGTGGGTCGGAATGGAGCCGATGAATCACACTCCAAGCTTCCTCGTGTCGGTCTGTTGATATCAAATAGCGCGGAGACTCCGGCAGCCAGTAGATTCCGCAGAGTAGGAGAGTTGGTGGGACCATTGTGATGCCTAGCGATAGCCGCCATGCATCCGGGCTTTGATAGTAGTAGTACCCAATGGCACTGACCCCATTGATGAGGTATCCGGTGTTGATGAAAATCGCATGAATGTCCGAGAGCATTCCACGGTTTTTGGGCGGTACAATCTCTCCGATCCACAGCGGAACTCCACAAACGATTTGGAAGCCACTAAATCATCATTATCAGTTACGCCGAAAAAGGGGAAGGCCACCATGGAAAAAGAGCAGACTCACCCCCAGCCTGAAAAGAATCGAAAGACAATGAACATAGCAGGGTGAACAGACCCTGTCAGCAAGGCTTGTGAGACCAACAACATCACTGCGCCGAACGTAATGGACAATTTCCGTCCAAAACGGTTTGCCATCCAACCGTGATTGAATGAGCCGAAAATCCCGCCAACGTAGAAAAGACTGTTCATACAGCCCTCGAGAGACTGGGCATGTGGCCCGTCCAGTTGCATGGCAGACACAAACGTGGGCTGGCCCAACAAGGTGGCTATGACAGCAGCTGCCATTCCAAACCCCAACGAGCCGAAGCTCATGAAGATACAAATAAAAACAGTGTAGGCCTTGAAGTGGCGTTTGCGTTCCAAGTCGTACGATGCATCCTCCACATGAGCCTGACTCATATTGACGGTGAGTGTATCGTACTCTTGCTACCAAGCAATGTCGATGATTCTTTGGCGGGTCGAAGTGAGGACTCCTCAGTCCTGCGCTGGTGCGTGTTGTGTTGTTCCGAAATCAACGGCGCTTAGTGTTGTAGGCGCCTTATATCCCTTTATTCCTGGACCGAGAGAAGCCATTCTTTTGAACACATTTCGTAGTTGATATTTCTCCCCAACCTCACCCCCAGATTTGTCGTTGGTAGATTTCCGTGGAATAGTTAGTGGTTTGTAAAGATGCCAGCCATTCGGCTGGCACCTACCCTAACTAGTCCAGGAATGCACCCACACCCCGTAACATACCGCCATTCGAACCAACCCCAACATGGCGGTGAATTTCGTTTAGATGAGCGAGCCATCAGAGAATCAAGAATTGTTGGTAAATTCCTACCAGTGAGGCCGTTCACGGCTTATTGGGCTTCCATCGATGCATTACTGGGGACTGCTATTGTTCATTGAAACGCACCTCAGATAGTACCCCGTAAGCTAGACGTCTATATTGCATTTTGTCCGTAGAGCGGGGAAACCCCCGCGAGGCAGAGTATTGGGGTAAGTGCGGGGTGACAATGGAGATGCTGCTTGGAGAAGCCCAAGAAGCACGCACTGCGCGGTTCGGCGAAGTCGCATCATCGCATTTCAGTCATATGTATCCTGCATGGCGATGTGCGCGAGTGAGCTAAGACCTGTGATTATATGAATACGAGATGAGCCTTTCCTCCAATCAAGGGCCTGAATCCCGCGGAGAACCATCAAGAATGTTCACCATTCAGCCCACAAAGCGCAGGGCCGCGAGGGCTCAACTGGCGCAGCGCAAACGGTCGGGTTCGCAAGCCTGCTGCCACTGTCGCTCACGGAAAAGCCCTTGCATCTGTACGGCTAGGGCAACATCATCTCTGGCTAGTGTAGTCGACAAGGTGGGATATGCTCCTCTTACGGCGGGAGGAGAGACTCGGTAGGTGTGTGCTTTATACAGGACCCTGGTTCGTCATTCACGCATTTTTGATTCGTGCTGACAACTTCCCTGGATTTGTCGCAGGACTTCTGAATGTCCACAGGATCATCAGCACCTATCGCAGAGCTTATACAGCCCCATAGAATCCGACATTCCCTCGTCTCATCCTAGAATGTCGATCGGGACAAAATCCAATCAGCAGGGTGCGCTTGCTGAGACGACCTTGCTCCCACATCCGACGGCACATCCTCTCCCGGAGTGCCCACAGTGGACTTTGCCTCCTTTCATCAGGCGTTATGTACACGACTGTCATGCTCTCGATTGTGGCTACCTGGCCGAGAAGGGTTGTTTCGTAGTTCCTTCACAGGCCGAGATCAATGGACTTATTGAGGTCTACGTTGAGTACATCCACCCTCTTCTGCCACTCCTCGATCTGGAAGAGTGGCGTGATATGGTGGGCAACAACCCTAAAGACCATCCTCAGAGTGAGCCGAGAGCACTTAGCCTTCTGGTGCTGCAAGGACTCTTGTTCGCGGCCAGTGCTGTGAGTTCACTAAGCAGGCAACGAGACAAAAGCACATGCTGATCGGGCAACCAAAACAGTATATCGACCATTCCACACTAGAGAAGTTAGGTTATACCTCGAGGTTCAAGGCACAAAACACTTTCTTCTATCGGGCCAAAACTCTTTACGACTTCGACATGGAGACCGACCCGATAGCCATTATCCAATGTCTTTTGCTCCTCACGTACCGAGTACGAACTTCTCTCAACCAAAAAGATGCCTTTTATTGGGTCCGTACGGCAATTACACATGCTCAAAATGTCGATCTTGGCGGGATGTGTAAGAGAGCTCCGGAAGGGAGGCAAAAGAAACTGCTCAAGAGACTCTGGTGGTGCTGCCTGGTTAGAGAGGCTCTCGTTGGTCTCGCCATCCGCCAACCCTTGTTACTCAGACATCGCGAACACGAGCCGGCCTTCCTTGAGATCGATGACTTTGGGCTCACCTCAATTGACCAAGAAATCGACGTCAGGACTACGCATGGTGGTGACCTTGCAGGCAAGCGCACACTGGCAACCATCTGCCTCGAGATGGCCAGACTCTGCGTTTGTATCGTGCAAATCCTCTCTATGCAGTCAACGGCAGCTGCCTCTGCCAATGCAGGACAACCGACCGTCTCCCTTTATGAAACCTCAAGTAGTACGGGTAGATCCCGAGATTTTGACGACCAGGAATGTGCAGCACGGCTAAAGAACTGGTTGCGAACATTGAATCCCGATGCTCGCATCCCAGGCCGAAGCATTGCGCCGGAAGGAGATGCCACCCCGCGTGTCGTCATGGCGTGCAGGATCATCTTACATATGACCTATTTCACTGCCATTGGCGGTCTCTACAGGAACCAAGCTGTGGCCCCCCGGATCATGCGTGGGCCAAATCGCTCGCTGAACATGACCGCCAGGTATGCCGGCAGGCAAGTTCTTCGCTCGGCACACCAGATCGCGCTCCTGGCCCAGAGGACCATTCAGGACGATTTAGCAGGGTACATGGCCCCTCACTGGTACGTTGGCTCACCTTCTGTGGTCCCGGGTATATGCTGATATGCAACAATCTCGTTCAGTATCACCAGTCTCTTATCGTCCATCGTTATCCTGCGAGTAGAAGTTAGGTCGGCGCCAAGTACCAAGTCCGAAGAAGCACATTCGGGGTTGAGACACTGCATTCACCTCCTCCAGCTTATGGGCCAGAGGTTTGAAGGATGCCAACGCTTGCTGGATGCCTTGACGCCAATCCCTGATGGTTGGGGAACGACGGGCCCTTCTCATGAGAATCCGTTAGACTCTGCACACTATGACAACCTTGACATCGATTTCGGATCTTTTCTCGACGATTCTCCGTTAGAATACACGGGACAAGACAATCAGGATCAAGCAAATGCAGAGGATACATTCCACTTTGATATTCCCATGGACGAATCGTTCGAGGCCTTCTTCAACAATCCAGAAATCGACGCCGAGTTTGCGGCGCTTTTATAATGATAATATGAATATCTATGTCCTCGATTTGGACAGCACCCGTGCCTCCCTATCCCGCTTGAATGATGTGACCATCTGTAAACCGTGCAGGCTACTCTTGAAGGTCGAACCCAGCTCGGCAAGAACCTGGACACAAGCCGAATATTTTTGTAGTGCCTCGTTCTGCTCCATGCCCGAGACCGTGCAGCTATTCCAAACGTGGACGATGGCAGCAGTGACCACCACAAAGACTACTCCAGGATGGACAAACCGCAAGCTATAATGTCTGCGGTAAGCAGTGAGAAGCCCGCAGATTCGAGAAGCGGAGTGGGTGCATATTTCGGCATGATCCAAAACAACAGTCGGATCTTCTTCCGCTAAGAGAGGTCGATGGAGTAGGATGAAGGCATGGTAATAATGCATGCTGTAGCACATGAATCAGATTATGTCGCAAACAAAGATACCAGCAGAGGGGAGCACACAACAAGAAAGGGGCATCTGGGGTCGTTTTGCTCACTGGAGTTGTAAGATCGAGGAGCCGTATATTACCTGGGTCTCCATGTTGCCATTTTTGTCAAGGTCGATGTCCACCTCAGGTGGCAAATTCTTCTTCCATTGTTCCAGCTCGCTGGTAATCGCTTGGATTGCATTATCGTGGCTGCGGATTGTACTCGGAACTCCACCATAACTGGAACACCTGTCAACGTCTCTGGTGTCACCACTGACTGCTAGCCAGCCTAAGCTTACACGGTGTCGGCAATCTTTCCCATGATAGAAGCGAGACGATATATATAGACTGCAACATTGTAGGCAGGGTTTTGACAATCCTCTGGTTGTCGTTCCGACCGGTCTCGAGCTGGTTCGTGGCGTGGCATATTCGGTATAGATACGACTTCCGGTTTCCGGGTTGTGCATCCAAGCTTCGTCATCAGTGATGGGCGCCCCAGATACAAGCTCCACTGACTATGCGATCGTCATTATACGTTCCAACTTCGCGACTAGCAAGCGGCGGTGCTAACAAAAACAAAATCGGCTGCTTACATATTAAGCCAATAATTAGCCCAGAATATCTCTTGAGACAATTTTCGGGCGCCGGAAAGGTCGTGGGGTTGGAGAGAAGGTTCGAGGTTGGGTTCGAGGTCAAGATGGAGACCCATATCAGTAACCAGGTGGACAGATATACCTCCTATAATTAGCCATCTTCTCAACATTGACTGGTGTAGCGGCCGTATCGAGCATACCAGAGTAAAGCCATCCTGACTATCTTAGCAACAGATTCCAGAAGTGGGAGGAGTCTTGGTGTTTCAGGCAGTTTAGCTTACCACTTGACTCGCGCGCGTTGACCATTTCGTGCGACGAGATGAGTGAAATTGCTTCCAGCGTGGCAAAGGTGGGTTTATCCAACTCAATTTCGAGCAGTGTTTTCGCCCTCTTCGCAAAGAACTCGGAGCTATCTCCCGGTATACCAGGAATAGTACGAGTTGTGTAACAGGCGCCGATGGCGAGACTTGGGACAGAATCAATCCTTTAGCCATAGTCTCTTGAGCGTCATTTGAAAGGGACACTTACATAGCGTTCTGGAGAGTAGGCGAGTAGAACAAAGAGTCCTGCCCGTGATCGTATATTTCCTTCTCTCTCCGGTAAACACATTCATTGACCTCATTGCATATGGCATTGTGCCACTTGAAAAACAATTCCGTCAATTGCTTTTCGATCCGAATGTCACCAGACCATTTTAAGCCGGCCCGTCGCAAGGAAGGATCTCCGTATTGCCGTACACTCCGGAGGCTGGGTTGCAGTAGGTATGATGTCGAACTTTGTGTGAAGGCATGATTGCTAGAGGGTCCATAATAATGTGGCCGTCCGTTGTCGTCATGAGTGGTTCTCCCTCCTCCGTTTTTCATTGATAATGGTCGCCCACCCCCGTAGTCAATCCTTCCCGCTAACCGCCTGACAGAATCACGTTTGTCCATGGGCGCGGCCCAGGCTCGTTGTTCTCCCGTCAAGGGCGATCCAGTGCCATGGGTCAATAAAGAGCGTGACTCTTCATGAGCTGGCCGGTCTTGCTCTGAGCTTGGTTCGAGAGTTATATGTCTCCGCGATGTCTCTCCTGGTGATAGGGGATCATTAGTTGCATCGCCAAGGGGGAAGTCAGACATGTCCTCTTCCGACTCTGATGCTTCATCGTAGTGTTCCAGCAACTCAGCATCACTGAATCCAGGTGCCTCTGCTATCTGCACCCAGTAGTCAAGAACGGGCTCCCGATAATGTTCAAGAGGGCTCGTTTCCAGGCTTGACTGACGCGCCTGAGAATCATTATGGACTCTGGGATGACGAGTCGTATGTTGCCTTGTTGTCGGATGCAAAGACGCTTCGTCAGATGCAGTGACCGTGGCTCGAGGTTGAGCATTTGGTTGGAGAGCAGCCAGATGTTCTGCGGGCACCTCAAGCCTGTTACGAGCCGATTGACTGGAACAGTGTGTTCTACCACGGTAAGAATTCCGTCATGGGCAAATATGGGGTATCAACAATATTGGAAAGGTTCGTCTAACACCTACTTTCGTCTATCTTCACCGAAAACGCAAACAGTTCCATAAAGTTGACAATTGGTGCATCTGGGCCGGTCGTTGTCGCACTACATCAATTCATATGTCCAATGTGAGCTTCGTTGCCGGCCTTTCGGTGTGGATTTTACTTGGGCTCACCTTGGTCTTCCTCTTCCGGCAGGGTGTACATGCCGTTGATATGTGGCGCCGCAGACGGGTCATCCTTGTATTCCGCTCCCGGTTGGCCATGATCAGTAGAATGGGATTATCTCCGTAGGAGTTCAACGTGGCTGAACTACAAATCCCGAATCTGGACGGTGGAAATGTAGATGGTGATGAGCCTCGCTGTGCTGAGGCTGTCACTAGGGCATGATCAACAGTCTGCGATCAGTCTGTCAACAATTCCGCGGAATTGGGGAAGATATCCACGGAAATCCGGGATTCATTATATAGTGGCCCTAGACAAGATGCTCCCCACAATAGCTGGCGGTTGTGTTATGTGTACAAATGAGGGAGCTTGAGCGAGGATAGGATTAAACCGTATATAGCAATTTGGTTTTTCGTTCTCGAGTAATAGAGGTGGTTAGGCGAAAGGAGCCAGATTACGGAGGTGGCTCCCCGCCTAAGAGCTCGGTACGGCTGACTTATTTGCACGGCGGCCGCATCCCCTAGAATTCCTGCCTTGGAGAGCCTGCGCTTTCAACTCGAAGGATTCGTTGCAGATGGTTCCTGACATCCTGCCGTGGTTGATGATTTGAAGGCTAGAAGATGAAAATCAAAAGAGCAGCCTTCCAGGCGAGGGATCTAGCCACGCAGGTTGCGCGGTTCGCGAAGATCCGATTTCAAGTTCTCATATGTCCCGAGAGACGCGCAGGACGAAGATTTGGTCGAGCTGAGACTGGGACGTCTTGAACAAATGCCTTTGGCCACCCTCTTTGAACAGTACATGCTGCCCCTGACTGCTGGCCCTGTGATCAGTGGCGTTCTAGCAGCACGTCGCACTGCCGGCGAATTGAAGCACCCTGTCACGCATTCAGCGCCCTTCGATCATGTTGATAACTTGGTGCAAACAAGCACATCTGCCAATCTGCTATGTGGACATCGCCCACCTTTTAGCTCCCAGCATCATCCATTTCCTCGTCGATTCGGTCAATCGTCATCAGATCACTGTTAATCGCTAACAGATTTCCGTTTTCCAGAGCCCCCGAAAAGGGACTTTCAGCCACATCGAGATCCAGGCCGAAGGCCGGCGTCCCGGAGCCTTTCTCAAACATGTTGCTTCCTCGGGAGCCAATCGACATTACAGTCGAACTGTTCGTGTATTTGCTCCAAATTGAGAGCATCGACCGGGGCCGGTGCTGGCGATCCCTCGTTTCGAGCATTTGCGCGAGCGTCCGCTTGGTATCCCAGCTCATGGAAGACCGAATGCTGTTGATCGATGAATGGAAAGAGCTTGCGAAACTGTTTCGTGAAGAGCTGTTTCCAGATAGACGAAGCAATGAATAAGCCAACAAAGCAGACTCTGAGAAGGACGTGCGGTCGATGCTTCGTGAAGACTCACGCGTTCGAAAGGCCGCTAGAATGTGTTCCTTCACTAAGACTGAGCGTGCTCCACTCATTGGTTCTCGACAGGACGGCGCGGTGGCAATGTCGTCCATCCGTGAGAGGTAGACTCTAACGATATGAGGACCCAGTCCATGCCAGTTGTTGATCGAGGCATTGATCTCAGTCTGGAGATAGTTACCGAACCCGACCCCAAAAGTCGACGCCTGGTCTTCTCGATTCCGGAGCTCAAAATACTTTCGCAGATCACTGCAAGTGCCAGTAGTGTGTCAAGTTTAAATGGCTTGACCCCATGTGAGCATAGCGGCACTTGACGTATTGAATCTGAATTGTCGACAGGCGAATTGAAGGGGAAGATGACGAGGACGCAGGAGCAATATAAAACCCAGACTGCAGATACTCGGGACCAAGCAGCAATTGGCGAGCGAGCACCGACGTCGTTGAAGGTGCGCCTGTTCTTCTTCACGAAAGCTTTGCACCATTCGAGTATCGTCCTTATCGCCATCCTGGCATCTCCACAATCGAAAAGATGATCATGAAATGCCACTTGCGGTTCGAGACACCGTGCCGACATATGCAACGTACCGCGTGGTAGACCGTCTCTGAGCATTCCCTTCAGAAAACCTGTTATAAGAAGGTGTTCGCGATCTTGAATTTCAGGCAGAATAACCTCGAAGCGTTCTCCAATGCAGCTGACAGCGAGGCGAAGCGCAGTGTCCTTTGGATCTTGAGATTCTGACCCCAAAGGGTGCCTTTGCAAATATGACAGGTAGAGATTGAGTAAAGCCATATCAAGATTGTATGCAAAGCCGTACGTCCGCAGTAAGGCTTGGACGTTTAATAACGCGTGGTATGCAAAGTCTGCCCGGCGGCCAGGTCTCGAGGTTCGGCCGCAATTGATGGCTGCAGTGACCATACACCGCGCGCAGTTGTTTATCGACGTGGCTGACGGGGGGTACATCTCGTCATTCGAGATATTGCTCGTGCAAGCCTGCCAATATTTGTACTCGACATAAAACAGATCGGATGCATCATCGAAAAGACCAGCAGCGGCGAAAGTGGCGGCGACCCCTCGGATTTCGCACACTTCTGATGCTGAGAGAGTACACGGGTCCTCAAAACCTGGCCAGAGAGGAAGCAGTGAGCAACGGATCACCTTGGCAATCGATAAGTGTGACACCAATAGTGTGGGTACAGATCCTGGCTCAAACTCGGAGTTCCGGGAACTGTTATAGGGACTCCATTGTGAGGACGAAGCTTGGTCAACTAAGCGAGCTGGGGCCTCTTCACTGAGCTTTCTATTCGTAATCGACGCATCGTCCGTGGAAGCAGTCTCCGCGGGCGTGAGAGGAGGAGTCGAGGAGAGCTGCGATGATCGCCTCTCATAACGGCCGCTATTGATACTTGAACGGTCGGAGGGAGATGACATAATGTCGTGAGAGTTGATGTAAGGAGCGCGTGTCTGTCGCATTGGAAACATTGCCAGTGAGTTCCCAGAAAAAGAATCGGCAAGTGTGCCTTTGGGACCAGTCCGTGCAGCCTGTTGCTGGATTTCTATGCCTCCGTCAGATGAAAGATACTGTTTCGCTAGGTTCGTGTGGTCTGCTTCCTCTCTAGACGCATAGTCACGTTGCGTCCTGAAAGAGCCACGCCGAGGCAGTGACTGGGCGTCGGAGCTTGCCTGTAAGTTGGGAGCTGGGGCGGTGTCGGGCGTGACGACCGGTGCATAAGCCGGTACAATGTGTGGTTCGACCGAGCCGTCCTCCTCGAGATTCGTACCCATCACAGCCTCCGTTGAAGGCATAGATGGATCTGCAAATGTTGTCTGGTCTGTGTCGGCGGTCAGACCCCATCTTTTCATTTGGAGTCTGAGCTGGGAAGATCTGATTTGGTCAGTCCCCATCTCGAAGCCCGCGATTTGACATACGAAGGCTCGAATTTTTCGCTCTTCAATACTTCCAGTATTGTCGTCCTCCAGTACCCTTCACGATGAAGTGTAGTGATCAGATCTTGGAACTTTTCCCAGGTGGCCTGCGTGATGCGGGGGGCATTGCCTGCCTTCCCATAGACCCAGCGGTGTGGCGGCTTGTCATCATCGTATTGACGCGCAGGCTCTCGGAAAGACATATCGATCGTAGGGGCGTCTAGGAGGTCGTATGAAGGTGTCGGCAAGCACTTCGACCGAAATCAACATCAAGCTGAAGGCACATTGTTCGCCGAGAGCTCGCAGAGGAGCAGACTCCTACTTGAATGAGAGACCGAAGCGAGAATGGTGCTAGTACTTCAGAAAGGAGGCAACAACGGTCCTCCCCTATGATGCAACTAGCTACAGTTGGCCTGCGCCCGATCACGGCAGTGATCGAGGAGGCTGAGACAAAGATGCAGTCGTGCGAAGGCCAATCAGCATTGGGCGCTGGATCCACGGGTGGCCCCCGCATTGTGTTTTCCCCAAAGGGTTTTAGGCGATGGCCAGCTCCCGAACAAGTGGCTGACATCGTTCGGTCCCTGAAACCCACAGAAAAGACACTCACGAGCGAGCTCCTGTGGACTCCGATAAGGCGCCCAATCTCAGCTACTATCATTGTCCGTTGCTTGCTCGTTACGACCTCGTTACGACCTCTCTAAAACCACCTTACGACATACGATAGTACAAGCAGGACTCTACTCCAAGTCGTGAGTTCATGAAACCTGAGTTCCGGGGATCAGGCGCAGCGGTAGCCGAATCTTCACACCCTCCAGGCCTTGGTCTCTCCTCCAGATGGTTTGATTGGCCTGAGTCAAAACAACCCGCAGACTAATGCTTGAGCGTGCCCTACCGTGCAGAATCCAAGCCTCCTAGTGCTGCCCGTGGGCGTTGATCTATGCGCTTATCTCGATTTGGGAATTGACAAGCCCGAACATCCATCCGCATAGGTTCGTGGCCCGAGAACATGGACCAACATGCGCATTCTGTATGCACGGACAGCTTGCCCCTGCACAGCCAAAAGAAGTAATTGTCAAGGGCACCCATCGTGCTCGACTTGACCACAGCTATAAAATGATTGTGTCTCAGGATGGCAGAGAGGTGGGCAAGCTCACGAACTCCTTGGTAGACAATTCCAGCTTTCCTCGGGGAGACGTTCCTTCGTCGAGTAAGCTGTCGCACTCGAACTGCCCAATCTTCTCCAAGGCAGAAATATACTGATTGAAAGCCAATCATCTTCACCAGCTGTCAGTAAGTGTGCTCGGGTTTGAGGAGGATTCCCGCAGTCAGTTTAGTACTAACAGAAAGTCACCACCAGCAATGAACAAAGAAGACTTTCAATACATGGGTGACCACCACCAAATCGCCGACGGTGCCCAGTACCCCGCTCAGACTGTCGAAGGAAATGGACAACTCGTCGACCATTCTCTCGAAAGCCCCAGCTGCAAGGAAGCAGAAAAGTGGGAGTATACCGAGCGCCCCACAATCAACCATGGCCAGACAAAGTCGATCAACGGTAGTGCGCCATGGCATGCTCTCGCTGCAGTCAAGAAGGAAGAAGTTCCCAAGAAGCCTGTCAACTAGGCAGTGAATGGTGAAGGAAGATGGGGGTGGATCAGTGTCTGAGGCAACGGCATGGTTGGTACCTTGGCCAGGTGCAATACACACGACATATAGGCGCTGGTAGAACCAGTCTTCCCTTGTTCCAAGTTCCGTTGCTTTCAAGGTTCTTCCGTGCTATTCTTCAGACAACGTCTTCGTGGCCAATATCGTGACGCGTGGGATGGAGACACTCAACTGCTGCCTCGCGACTGCAAGCAGCTGGCCAAGCTTCATTTTAGCTAATGTGCTTCTCGAACTCTCGTCTTTACTGCGTCAACCTCTCACGGCCGGAAGAACCTCATCGTTGAAGCATCGACGGCTGAATACTGCGTGGCGGTGAATGGGGGCTGCTCATGACTGTCGTGTATTGTGGCAAGATGGTCGCGACAGTTGCCCTCCCACGTTGGATCACTGCAAACAAGATAAAGCAGAGGAACAGTGTCGGACTTGGCCCGCAGCTCCTGCTTTTGCTGTGAGACATCTGCGGCGGCTGAGCTGACGGATACACGGGTCTGACGCCGCCACTGTTCTGATCATTTGCCAACATTTGTCGGTATTCTACACAGGCTCCGTCGATAGGCTCTCGCACCCTGACGATATTTCACCTCACATTTCCTCTGGCGAAGCAATGCGTGATTGGCAATATCGGACGGCTCTGGTGTCTGCGGAGCTTGCTGACGAACAGTCTGCCAGTGTTCCGTGAACAATCTTCGTTCGATTGCCATGTTTTCGTCCGCAACCCCAAGAGGCAGCACATTGCTGTCGAAACACTGCATGCAGAAACTATACATCGGGTCAGTAATGCGACATCTGCACACAGATTGACTCTAGTAGAATATGTCCCTAATCGGTCCAGTCTCCTGACTCTTGCTCGGGAGATACTTGGCAGATAGATCCGAGTCAACTTATCAGCCAACTATCCACGCCTTCTGTCTAAAAGCCTTGACTCTCTGATTGGATTGACCTCTGGCTTCGGAATCAGAATCGAACACGGCCGGCCGTCTATTCAGGACGGATCTGAGAGTCGTACAGCTTCTCCGCCGAGGATGCGGACGACAGTGCTTCCTTGGATCTTCTTTCAAGGCGACAAACAACGTCTGATGCCCGGTTGACCAATGGCAGCGCAGAAGCTTATGGGGACTCCTTATGCAGGGCAGGGATTTCTTCATTCCGTTTCCGGTATAGGCTGGTCGCCGCGATATGGGATTCTCCACAATAGCCTTTTATGCTAGCAGAAAGCAAACACCGAGATGTCTTGTTTCACTGGCGGCAGGCTCCATCCTCGGGTCAATCAGATGTGGGGTTGAAATATGATCTACTGGCTTCGGACGAAGAAATAGACCTCGGTGGAACACAAAGAGCCGTTTCCAGGAGACGTCGCCTATAAAACGAGGGTGTAGCCTGCCAGGTACCGTGTCCTTCCCAGACATTTCTCTCAGATTTCCTTTCCCCAGAAGAAGAGAACATTCGCTCTTACTTGCTCAGGATCACCATTGCCCTGTTGACTACTCTCTCGTGGTCATGTCGCCAGACACACTCGCTCTAAACGGCAAGGTCGCCATCATTACCGGATCAGCCAAAGAGAACGGCATTGGCGCAGGTATTGCGTCTGCCCTGGCGCGTAATGGTGCCTCGGTGGTCATCAACTATGTCTCCGAATCGTCTGGCCCTCGCGCCGCAGAGGTGGCCAAGAAGATTGAACAAGCCGGAGGGAGAGCCGTTGTTGTGCGAGCAGATGTATCGACCCCGGAGGGAGCGAAGCATCTTGTTGAAACCTCCCTCAAGGCTTTACAGGTCGACAAGGTCGATATCCTAGGTATGTGGCATCTCAAATCGGAACTCTTACCCTCATTTCTTCCGGCTCGCATCGTTGGAAAGTTGACATGGGATCAATTATGTGTCATAGTGAACAATGCAGGGGGAGGTCCCATCGTCCCAGTAATGCAAGCGACAAAAGATGACGTGGAAAAGACCTTCGCGGTTAACGTCTTCGCCTCTCTGTACATGACGCAAGCCGTGGTTTCTGTGATGCCTCGAGGAGGGCGCATTATCAACATCGGCTCCATTGCGTCGAAAATGGGCATGGCGCCAATTCCGTTGTATAGTGCATCCAAAGCCGCCATGGATACGCTGTCATATGCAATGGCAATGGAGGTATGTAGGATCCTCGTCGATTGGTTGTTGATGGCTTTTCCACCCAATTGCCCTCAATCGCAAGCATCTGAGACGACTATTGACGGGTCATGTTGTAGCTCGGACGAGGACATGGGATCACGATCAACACAATAGCGCCGGGACCTGTTCCAACAGGTGAGTAACTCCCAGCCAAGAAAATCACTCAAGTTTCGCGAGTATTCCTCGACTCTACTCTTGGTTCTTGGGTCATTCCCTGAACTTGATACTGACCTTCGAGGCATTGCAGATGGTCTGCCCAAGGGGCCGGTTGCCGACGCTGTGCACAACTTCCTCATACCACTCACGAGAGCCGAAGAGAGAATGGGAACAGTCGACGATATCGCCGATGCGGTGCTTCTTCTTGCCTCGGAAAAGAGTCGATGGATAACTGGCCAGTTCATCTCAACGAGTGGCGGAATTACCGGAGGATGAGACTTGACGCTTTGCAAGCCGGAGCGAGTTCGAGAGTTGAGCGGCTCCCTTGAAGTTGACCAGCAAGCGTGCTAAATTCCAAGTCTCCTGAATCTGCCTAGGACAAGCACGAAGCGTGATCAATTGCAACGATGACGTTTGGGGCTCTCATCTCCATCAATTCGTCAATCCAGATCAAACCTTTCGCGACATCAACGGCAGCCTTGCCACTTTTGATTCTCATAGCTCTCATCACGTTGACAGTAGCACCCGCATGCAGTCCATTGTATTGGTTCAACCGCAAGGAAGCGACCATGATAATAGCCCAAAGGCTGAGTTCCGGAAAGCAAGCGCCAATAAAAGGGGCTGTGGAGACGAGAGCCGAGAATCGCTGTAGCAGTATGGTGAGCTCATCTGCTATGAGTGAAAATGCTTGCTTCACGCTGGCAACCAAGATGAGCAAGGCGAGTCTGACCAGCTCGCGAAGCACTGCCTCCGAAGAAATATCGCTAGGTGAATCTGTATCGGTCAGGCGTCGTAATGAGAGTACAAAATGAAGGACCGGCGTGATTCGTTTCGCCGCCCTGGCGCCATCTTTCCAGAACGAAGGATCACCCCCATTTTCATTCACGAATGCCGCCAACTGTGCCCCTTTTTCGAGGGCGATTGCGCAGTCCGCAAGTCCCGCTGGGGAATTACGAACCCGTACGAGGAGATCCTGCATAGACTGAGAGAAAAGGTTGTTTCCAAAAGTCGCAGCGGAGAAGCCAGGAGGAAGCGGGAAGCGTGGCTTGCGATCGAAAACGGAGGCGCCAAGGATATCAAACCTGCAAACAGTCAAAATGTTGCTCATTCGAATCACTGATTCACTCTCGCGCTCTCCCGTACCAACAGGTGAACATGACGATGTTGCTATTCAGAGCTTGAATACCGCCGCGAAGCCGGACAATGTTGTTTAGGCCGTTCATATGGACATTGTATCGATCCCATTTGCCGACAGTAGACTACTGCAACAGTTATCATCAAAGCCTGAGCCTGGTTTAAGGTTGAGGGAACCGACATCATGGCAGAGAAATCCTAGGACCGTTGTGATGACACCCTCACTGATATTGTGGGATTCCCTTCCAAGCCTCTGAGCGACTTGATTGAGACACAAGCTGAGATATTTTGAGGACTCCTCAAAGTCACTGTACTCACAACCTTTGCGTTCAGTCATCTGGTGGAAGAACAACGCTGCGTTTGCCAATGAGAGGTAGAATGCGGTGTTATCGATGACGGCCATTGCAAACCACTCATGTCGGAATGGTCGATAGAGGTAGTCCCCCTCGTTGTGCACTATGGCCAGTAAGCCAGAGGACTGAGTCAAATGCTTTGAGGAAGGAGCATACTGAATTGGATCAATTGGCGGGCTCTACCATCGGTTTCCACAGGAAATAACGCATAGGGATGAAGCGAATTAGGAACATGCTCATAGCAGCCCAGGTCTTGATGTGCCCTATAAGCACCTGTCTCCCCGTTGCCTTCCATAGCAACGCTATCGATTCTCGCTGGAGGAAGCCTCAACTCGAAAGTAATAGATTTTGGACGCTTCTTCCGCGACTCGGCAACGCGAGCCATGACATGGTGCCGAACGATTCTTTGGGTTCTTCTTTGCTTGGAGTCATCTGGACGGGATATGTGGACGAATGTGAAGTCTGCACAGGTACCGCGGCTCTTGGTCTTGGGCACCATTGGAGTTGAAGTGGGATGTAAGTATGGCTTGAACAGAGGCTTTTTCACTGGAAGTTGGGGAGTTCAAGGCTAGAACAAGCAATGTACTTATGTGGCAGCGATTGCGTCTGACAAAAACTCCTACGCAAACTCCTATTAGATCCTGCTGGTAATCCTACATGTCAGACGAAGTCATTTCTCTCCCGAGTGGCCGCCAATGGGCGTGCACATTGAAAACTCCATCTGGCAGGTCTAATATCGCGCGACCTGAAAAAAGTGTCGGCATCATTGAACATTCTCCCTCCAAGCCATCCAGCCCTCTTTTCACCTGGCAAATATATGGCTCCTTTCACGTATTACCCATCCTTCCTTTGCTGCACCCAATGATAGTGCGCTGTCACATGTCTTCCCAAACGCTCCGTTCTTCGGGTCATGCGCAGATGCTTTGAGCAGCTTCCATTCAGAAGTCAGTTGTGCAGCCATCCAATTGCTCCGCGTCTGTCGTTCTTCAGGGCTGGATCGAGTCAGATAAGCTTTGTCCCAAAGCTTCCGTCCTATATTCCACCTCTGCCTGCGACACGAAAATCTCTATCGTACTCCTTCCGAAACCGACGTCAAGATGCCCCTAGTCCTGCACCCCAGGATGTCTCCGCTTCCACCCAGGCGAGAAGTACAAGGAAGAGCAAGGCTATTCGAAAGAAGGACATCAATACAGCGAGGCCGTCGCAGAGAAGCCCCGAGGACTGGGTCGCCGAGGTGGAGAGATTTCTTCCGAGACGCTTGAGTCGGCCAGATGATCTTGAATCTCGAGCCGTCATCCCGCCTGACGTAGATGTTGAGGATGTGCTTCGGACTCTCACCAGTGCTCGCAATCAGAGCGATGTGGATATTCTGGGCTTCCTGGCGCTCAATCAACGCAGATTCAAAGCGGTTGTTGGTCTTGTCGAAATCTTGCTGAAGGCTGTTGCACTCGCAGCTAATGAGCCATTCAAAGACGAACTACCGTCCAACATTGACTGGCCACATGGATCGTTTGCGAAGCGAGATGGTGCTCCCATTGAACTCGAACGCCCTTTGCACGTCAGCCGACGGCCTCTTGGTAGCTCTCGGCAACCTTTCGACTTCGCTTTGTCAGAGAAGAGTCAAGAGATCACAATGGAGCTCATCTGGTCTCTCCTCGCCGACCTTGTTCTGGCTTCTACCAATCGCCCTTCAGATGAAGGGAAGCAGATTATGAACACCGTACATCAGATCTTGGCACTCATTCACAATCTGGGACTCGTTCCCCCGACTATCTACACCTACTGCCTCCCTCAAGGTACAACGACTCTTCAACAGTCTCCCATCCTTCATCTGCTGAATTCGAGAATTTTATCGACGCTCTCAGACGCTGTTTGGCATGCCTACCAGGATGAGGTTACTGCGCGGTCTGGCAAAACGGAGAGCAGTCCCTGGAATATCTTTCGAGAGCCGCCGCCTAGTCGCTTGCGACCTAAGAGGCGTGAGCTTGGGCCGGAAGTGTGGCTGGAGTTCATCCTCTGGTGCTGTGTTGAGGCTGGATTTGCCGCGACCGGAGCTCGAATCATCCAGTCGTTGCAGACTGACGCAGGCGGTCCTTGGCAAGCTATTCATTGGCCTGATAATCGAGTGCCGTCAATAGACTGGGACCAACGAACTCGCAGGGGTGATCTACAGAGTCAAGGCGAAAGCTACCACGGGGAACAACTTGCAGTCGACACTCCTCGAAAGTTTGTTAGCGCAGAAGTTGTTCTGGCGATCGCTGACTGCCTGATCAACAACCTCAACGTCTCTGTTACAGACGGCGAAGTGCCTGTCACAGAAATCCAAGATGATATCAAAGGGCTAATATCTTTTGCGGAACCGCATGGTCTGGCACCTGCGTATTTCGACTATCTGGCTGTTCGTCTACTCCAGACTGAAAGTATGTATGATATGGACAAAGCCAACTCTCTGCGAAAGCTAGCGTCTACTATCTCTCAGCTTCGAGCCATGCATTATGTGGAGGGAACCCATCTACAGAGTTCCGGGCTTGACTTCGATTCCATTCTGGATCACTCCGAAGTGCATGCCGGGATCCTTCACCAGGGCCTGCAAGCCTGCATTGAGGCGAATCTTGTCACAAAGGCTGTCGACACGTTCACAGAAATCCAGAAAATGGTTGATGGTAACAAACTTGAAGCTATCGGAGAATTTTTGTCGCTTTCACTCAGTCCAGAGGATGGTTTCTTTACTTCCAGGCATGCCAAAGGTCGAGGTGAATTCCTTAATACCTACGGACAGCTTCCTATCTACAAATTGCCTCCGTTCCTCGATCTGGTGAGCAATGCGGGGTTGTTTGGCTTGGGAGATTGGCTTCTGTTCTCAGAGGATATCGACGGAGCCATCTTGCCTCCTTCCACTTGGGCAAAGCGGTCTGTTACGGCTGCGGTAACGCGCTATGCATCAGCCAAGAACGACCCTATTCTGATCAAACGCATCTACAGCTTGACCAAAAGATCGGGCAGAAAATTGACCGTAAATGTCATCAGAGCTTTGGTGGTGTATCACGTCAATGCGTGCGACTGGACAAGTGCTGTTCTCAATCTCAGGGATCTGCGGCGCGCTGAAGGTGGCGGTTACAGTCCCAAGATCGTCGCAAGTCTTGCAGCCAAGATTCTAGCCCTAGAAGTCGATCCGGCGGTCATGCGACAAGAAGATGCTGAGTCCGATCTTTCACAGGCAATGCTACTGCTCTGTAATATTCTTGACGGTATCTATGACTCTCCAGCGGCGAGCTTCAGGATCGCCCAAAAGAGGACCTTCAGACAACAAGTGGGCTACCTCTTGCGCCTCTTGGAAAACGTGGCGGACGGCGAACTTGCAGAAACTGCCACTCGCTTCAAATCGAGATTCCCAGTCAGTAACGAGCCGAACCTTGCGACGGACACGTTCAATGTTCTATTCTCCGCAATCGTCGAAACCAGGGGTGTACTAGAAGGGCGAAATATCTGGCATTTATTCTGTAAAGATCCAAGGGACTACCCTTCGTCAGTTCTACTGGTCGGTGGCCACGACTCTACATCCGACGACCATGCCACAGACAAGGACGAAGATGAATTCTTTGAAGGGCAAACAAATGATGCACGCAATGATGTGGTCGGTTTCGGCGAACCTGACAAAGATTATCTTGGCTCAAGAATGATTACGGTCGACTCGCCTCAAATCTCCGACGCCATCCAGCACGCGGGTTCTCAAATCCCCGTTGCTTCCCCTGCCTCGCTCAATATAAATTCTGCATTGCCACTCGATGATTTGGACTTAGCCGGCAACCCAAGTTCCAGCACCTCTGACGTAGGAAGCGAAGACCCAGATATTCCTGTCGAGATGGTCGGTATGGACATGGATTCGGCACCGCCGCTTCTGAATCCAATTGTCGTTCCCAACATGCGCACCTTACAAATCATCGTCAGAGGAGCTCTGTCTGAAATACAAGACAGAAAGGAGCGCAAAAGAGGCCATACTGACCTCGATGCAATCCTCAGATGGGCGGAACAGTTCTATGGGGCGTTCAACCTAGCGCGTGAGGATATCGAGACCGAATTGCGCATCTCCGAGTCCTTACCGGGGAAACTGAGGATTGCAACCAAACATCGCCGAGCAGCATATGGATTGCGACGTGAGAAGTTCAGACTCGACGTGGGCAAGCTCTTTACCAAGGGAGTCTTTGTCCCTAGACGTCCTGGCCCTCAACAACCGGGGCAGGAGACAACCCCATCGAATGGGACAGATGATATGACAGAAGTTGCCGTAATTACGACGCAGGGCGAGGCTGAGGATGGAGGTGAACAGATTGAGCCGCCTTCTCGACCGACTTTCAAGGTCCGGAAATTTGCTACCTCTGTCCAGCATGCATAGCCTTGACATACGGAGCTGGTGCTGGTTGTGAGATCTGGATAGTTGCCAGGCATGGTTACAATGTAAATTTAAAGACCTGTACTTTCCATTGTACAATATCACCTACATGTTCTACTTGTGCAATATCTGCAAAGCAGGTCCCCCCAGTCGTCGTTCTATCTTAATAACCACAGCGCTCTGCGTGGAACGAGCTCGAGTGAACGCAGTGACCGTGGCGCCGACAAGGCTGGAAGGACAGGGGCACCCAGTACTGCTTGAGGGGCATATTGAAGTAGATGGCCGATCGCGGACGTTCACCTCTGGTGAAGATCACTCCGGTACCACTCCTGCATATGCATTATACGTCAGAGATCAGCGGCCCAGGCGGGCCACTGGAGCCCTAAAGCCAACCAACCTCCGTTCTCGATAGGGTTACACGAAGAGTTCGATGCCAGAGGCACAAAAGAGGGAGGGAGGGGAAGTCTCTCTGCCATGCATCGGATGAAGGACTCTAGAGCCTAGAATCTAGAATAGGTCCCCCCCCTCTCGCTACCTCACTCTCCAGTCTCCACGGAGATGAGCCGGGGACTTTTCATCCGTAAGAAAGACAAATATATGACGATCGGCTTGGGAGGCCTAGCAGCAAGGGCAACAAACACCCTGCCCCAGAACCATCCTCGTATTGCGTACGGATCCGCATCCCCCGCAAAAGCCACAGTGCAATAGTAGTAGTCCGTTGTGGGACGAGACACGATGGGTCAGCCGTGATGCGCTGATTTCGTGATCTCCCCCATCCCTCTTTCGTAACGCGTCGAGGACGCAGCGATCAGCGTCCAGTCCGGTTCTGGGGATGTGAGGAGTGTTGAGAACTCTGATGGGAGTGATGATGTATATTGCTCCGTGCTCCATGGCCAGAGCAAGAATAGGAGGGAGGGAGGGCAAACCTAAAGACGCAGTTGTGACATGTGCGATTGCTGGGTTCCCTATGGCTTATGGCTACCTATATATATTTGGATGCACAAAACTTGCGGACAAGCAGATAGACAGGCAATGGTCCAGGCGAGGAAAGACAAGAAGGAAAGATTCCTGTTTCTCTCCCCTCCGTACAGCTGAGTGCACGACTTCCCCCGCTACCTGACCGGTCAGCATTCTCCTCTTCGCTCTCTTCCCCCCTTCCTCAGGCCCAATCAGTTGTCAGGGCTGGGCAAAACGAGTAATCATTACTCCAGCATCATTTTTGAGGAGACGCGGGGGGTGGAGAGGAGAGAGGGCGAGGAACGCAACAAAAAGCGGCCATGAAGGTCTCGTCTATTCTCACCTTCCTCACCTCGATCGTACCCGCCGCCATGTCCCAGCAAGTCAATCGCAGCGCCACTAACGGCTGGGGTTCGACGCCCTCGCAGCGCCACTATATCAACCATACCCAAGCCTTGCAGGTCATCAATGCAGGAATCCAGCGTGCAGAGGCCATAGGGTAAGTTGTTTCCCAACCCAACCACAAGAAGGATTCGACGCCTAGGGCGGACCAATTATGCAAAGGGACCATGTTTCGTTGACGAAAATTATGGGCAATAAAAGTGTACCGCAAAACATTGCAGTGCTCGATCCGTCGTCGTGGCTTGTGGCTTTTGTCCATATGGATAATTCTTTTCTGGGAAGCATTGTAAGTCGGGCACAAATCTATCTACCCAACCCCCTTTAGGCAATGGCAAGATCCCATCATGTGGTGGTCACGCCACAGAAAGTTGCCCCTTTTGGGTGGGCCATTTCACCAGGTGCGAAACGGAGGGCCAATTCTTACAAACATCCCAAACCAGGACATCTCTCAGAAGAAGGCCAAAACCGTGGTGCTCTACAACGGCATCCCGAACAACGCCTTGCAGAATCGCAGCGAGCCGGGCGGTGATCTCTGGGGCATCCAGGAAACCAATGGTGGTACGGTTGTCTTTGGCGGTGGTCAACCAATCTTTGATCCTGATGGATACTTCATCGGCGCGGTGGGCGTGAGCGGAGGTACCGTGGAGCAGGACATTGATGTGGCGGTGCATGCGGCGCAGAGCATCGGCACGACCGTCACCTCGTCGTCGTGATTGCGCGATAAAAGAGGGGAAATGTGTGTTGCTCACCGGGGGGTCATGGAAAGTGACGCTCTTTTTAATCTGGCAACGAAGTCAGCGCTTGAATTGGAAAGGTCCAAGATGAACGGCAATTCGGTCCGCACAAAGTAAGCATAAGTCCTCGTATATACCCCCGTACAGGGTAGCTTTACCATTCAAGGTACTTGCTCCAGATCCTGCATTCGTCATTCAGATAATACGGGTACCGGATCTGACATGGTCGTCAGGCCGCCAAACAGTAATCATGTGGTTGCACTTGCATTGGTGCCGTTGTCCCGGAGCTGAGCTTGCATTGACAAGGCAATTATATAGGCAAAGACGTGGCGGCCGATGCCTGAGGGATTGATTGTTCGTCGATCTCTGGCTGGTTGTTTTGTGCATTTTGTATGCTTGCTGAGTTTACGCCTCACGTGAATAAACAAAGAGCTGATCCACCATTCGCGCGAACACCTAGTCTGAGAGCGCGCACGGCATTACTATTATATCACCATTATCATCATGAGTTGGACCTCAGCATTCGCCCAGAACAAGGCCACCCCGAGCGATGCTTCGATAAGGGCGAGCGGCGAGTCCAGACCGCGGCGAGCCGAGTACAACGTCTTGAGGAAGAAGAGAGACAAGCGACAGAAGGACATGCACCGGCCGAGCAGAGACGCATTGGTCAACAACGAGGACGATGACGACGACGATGAGTCTGTGGGACCTTGGAAGGAGAGTGCGCAGGAGCAGAAGGTGTCGAGGTGGAGGCGGATGTTCAGACGCCGGCGTGGGATTTAAGGATGGCGGTCACTTGTGAGGGACATCCGTTGCTGGGCCAGACGCTGTATAAGACACTATCCCTCCTCTTGTATGGGCCACTGGTATGGTGGAGGATGGCGGTGAATGGAACAAGGTGGCTCAACCCAGTACGGAGTAACGAGACATGATTTGCGCTTCCCCCAACGCGCTCAATTTGCGGTGCGGAAGCCACTCGGCGGGCTGGTGGCCGGGACGTCTTTACAATATCCGATTTCTCCCGAGCTGAGGCTCATTGTATGGCTGCGGCGACTGCGGTGTGTGTCTGACAAGTGAATAAGAATAGCAGCTGGCTTCCCGCCTGAAGGATTGGCCTGCAGTGACAATGATTGCGCTTAGAAAGACAACGAAGTCGTAAGTCGCTGCCTCAACTCGAGGCCGGTCTAGAGAGCCAGTCAGGCTCATTGGCCTCTCGCTGGGGGAAATGTTTGGTGAACATTCTCACGGGGACCCTATCATTTGCACGACCCCTTTCTTTCTCCCGTACCCATCGAGTTCAGATTTCGAGAAGTATCTACTGGTCATACTCGTGGTCATCTCCTTTCCTTAAGTAGAAGCTGCAGCGGAAAATACATGGCGCAGCTTGAAATCATACCACCGGACCACCAGCCAATTCGTCATGTCATCACGCGTTTTGTTAGCAGCCAGGGGCCACGTTCCGAAATCCAAGCCCAACCGCCGATAACAAAGCATCCCTATCCATCAGACTGCTGCGCGGCTCGACCCATCAGATCTCCTCGTCGGGATTCGACTGAAACATCTTGCTACCCGAGTTATTTTGCGGGCGCTCCTCTCTGCACATGAGACCTTAACATGTTGGGCGCAGTCTGCTACTTATTGTGATGGACGTCCGCGACCTCGTCGACGACGACGCCCTCCAACGATTGCTGTCGACAACATGATGGATTCAATCGAACAACCTTATAAGATGGAGGAGCCGCCCTTTGTCGAGAACGGCTTCCAGCGACTGAGACATCTGACATGGGTAGGTTTTTGGTCACCATGAACATCAACAACAACATTATCGTGTCAGTCCATACTGACGAGCTTCGTCTATCAGGCATGGTTCACCTTCCCAATGGCCACGGGCGGCCTAGCCCTGCTCCTGTCCCCCAAGAACCAACCACACACCTTCACCGGCCTCGAGACCATCGGTGAAATCGTCTACATTTGCGACCTGTTCATCTTCGCGTTCATCGCTTCGGCCATCACGTACCGGTTCGTACGATGGCGGGGCACCCTCAAAGCGAGCCTGGTACACCCAACCGAGTCTCTCTTCTTCGGCACGGCATTCCTGTCGCTTGCCAGCATCATCGCCGGCATGGCCCTGTACGGCATCGAGCATACAGGCGATTGGCTGGTGGTGACCTACCGCGTTCTTTTCTGGCTGTATTTCGCCTGCACGTTCATTGCCGCCGTCGGGCTGTACTGCATGCTCTTCACCAACCCTCGACTGAAGATCCAAGACATGACCCCGGCTTGGGATCTTCCCATGTTTCCATTCATGCTTACCGGCACCATCGCCGCGTCGGGGATCGAGTTCCAGCCTCGCGACGCCGCCATGCCCATGCTCTTCGCAGGGCTGACCGCCCAGGGTCTCGGCATGCTCATCTCGATGGGCATGTACGCCAGCTACGTGCGGCGGATGATCAACTACGGGTTCCCCTCGCCGGAGTCGCGGCCGGGCATGTTCATCGCGGTCGGCCCGCCGAGCTTCACGGCGCTGGCCATCATCGGCCTCGCGGAGCACTGGCCGCGCGGGTACGACTACTTTGGGCCTGACGACATCACGGCGCAGGTGGTGCGGATCCTGGCGCTCCTGACGGCCGTCTTCATCTGGAGCCTGTCGTTCTGGTTCTGGGCCATCAGCGTGGTCAGCTGCCTGGCCGTCTACCGCACCTTCCGCTTCCACCTCAACTGGTGGGCCTTTGTCTTCCCCAACGTCGGCTTCACCCTGGCCACCATCAACATCGGCAAGGCCCTGCGCAGCGAGCCCATCCTGTGGGTCGGCTCCGTCATGACCGTCCTGATGATTATTCTTTACTTTTACGTCCTGTGTAACCACATCCGCGCCGTGTGGCGGAGAGACGTCCTCTACGTCGGCAAGGACGAGGACCACTACCACAAGGAGCGCATGGAGAAGATTGAACGCCTCGGCGGCGACCCCGAGAAATGCAACTGTGCCACCACTGGCGGTCGGTAGATGGACATTCTGGTTTTTTTTTAAAAAATAGATCGATAGAATTATGATACCCCCAGATAGATCGGCACTAGATCAATAGACAGACGGGGCTTGTGGACATTCGTGTATATGTTCTCGGTTCTGCCTTTTGCGGTGTCTCCCTGGGTAGAGAGGAAGGGCGGACACATGGAGTTTAAACTGGTATCTCCCCTGAGCCCTGAACTTGACTTTGTTCTCGACGCAGACACACTCACTCACTGACTACGGTGCTGTGCGGGAGCCTTTGGCCTGAGCAGCGCAGCACAGAGCAGCACAGAGCAGCACAGCGCAGTGGGTGAGTGAGTGGTGGTCGGCAAACTTGCTATTGTAATTTAGCCTCGGTAAGGGTCAGGAGCTGCGTGCCAAGACATAACGACATCTCCATGTCGTTATGTCTTGGCGTGCATTGCGCTGGAGGTCTACGCCGTACAGCGAGACCACGAAGGGGAAACCGCAGAAATGGAGCAATAGGAACACTCAATACATTGCAGCCAGAAACAGGCTCGTCCTCCGTTACTTGTCCAAGCTAAAGGAGGGACGGGAATAATATACAAGAAATCACCCAGCATACCCTACCCTGCCCGGCCCCCATCCTCATCCCCATCCCCGTGCAGAAAGACATCTCCTCATTAATCCTCTGGCCCATGCCCTCCAGATCCGACCGTTCACAATGCATGCATCCCAGATTCGCTAGCTAGTCCCTTCGATGCTCTCGCGTGTGCAGACAAGGCTAGACGTTTCACAAAGAAAGGCTTTACGCCTTCTGCTGGCTCCTGGTGCGGGATCCGACACCGTCTGTTGCGCGCGGCGTTGGTTGTTTCTTCTGCTTGGCTGGTGCGCCCTCAGCCTTCTTGGGCCGGCCGGCCGTCTTCTTGTTGTTTTCTGTGGGCTTTGTTTCTTCCTTCTTCTTCTCTGGTTCTTCTGCTTGCTTTTCCTCCGCCTCTGCCTCCTTCTTCGGGGCGCCCTTCTTCTTCGCGGGCTCCTTCTTCTGCTTCTTCGCGGCGGGCTCCTTGGCCTTCACGGTCTTGCCCTCGGCATTCTCCTCGAGAGGCCCCGCCTCGTCTGGCTTGTTGTCTTCCTCCTTGTCGTCCTGCTCTACCTCGTCGCGCTTCCTCTTCTCGCCGTTCGTGGTCTCGGCCTCCTCTTTAGACTCATCCTTGTTGTCGGCATCGGCGGCGCCGGCGTCGCCATTGGCTTTTTCCTCGACGTTGAGCTCGGAGGCCTTCTTGACCACGTCTTGGCCCGACCGCTCGATGTGGACGGCAGGGTTGTTTGGCTCCGCGTTCTTCTTGATCTTGTTGCCGCGCTTGGAGGTGATGGCGACCTCGCCTTCGGTCTTCTTCTCAGCGACGGTGCCTCCAGGCTGGCCTCCGCCCCAGTTCCATGTGACTGCGGACGAGATGGGTCAGCGCCTTGTCTGGTCATCAAATGTGCGGTGCAAGTAGGACATGATTTCACGCGGTGCAGCAGCCAAGTCCGTCGCGTGCTGTAAGCGACCACTGCACCATCTGTGCGCAGTTGCTCGAGCTTATGGCTGCTGCTCAGCGTGGTGGGTGGTTCGTACCTTTGTCTCCTTTCTCTGGCTCTTCGCCGGGCATGGTGACGTCAGCGATAATGACTGTTCGAGTAACTCAATGGGGGCGTTCTTGGAATGCAAGGAAACGAGGGAAAATTGATCGCCAAAGCTTCACGACCAGAATACAAGGTGTTTAGAGATGAAAATGGGGGATGGAGGAGTGAGAGGAGGATAAAGAAGTCTAAGGAAAGAGGAGGTGTCTAGGTCAGCTCGAGGGAGACCGCGCAGAGAGAGACATGACTGCCTGCAACGCGGCCCATCAGCGCCCGGGGCAGAGCCAGTGGTTGCTGCTGGGCGAGCTTGGTTGGACTTGTTGCGGGCTGCTGGGCTCGTAAGCGAAAGCCTAGTAAAGGGCCCCCCCCCTTTGGCCACTGTCAACCCCCCCAGTCCCCCAGCCTCTCCCCCCCCATAAACCCATCAGAGGAGCCGCCGCAGCCCATAGCCGGCGCAGGCGGGAGGGGCAGCGTGGCAGCTTAGGGAGCTGGCTGCGTCTTGTTTCAAGGAGGCTTGCTCCTAGCCAACACGACATGTGCCAAATTAGACGCCCATTGTCGCAAACCACTTGCAGGAGGCTTCCATTTCGGTTCGCAGGCAGCGTGCATCCGTTCGATGACAACCAGTGGCTTGCTTTTCTTTTTTAGCTTGGGAGAAAATCAAGATGTGCATCTCAGATGCCCGCCCCAAGCCACCCTCTTTCCTCCAGGTCCTTGCCTGAACTTTGCGGTGTCGTGTCCCCTGGACTAGCTAGGGTGCCAGCCAGTCACACAGACCTGGTTTGAAGTGCGATGGATTGCGCGGCCAAAGCATAAGTCCTATGACATCGCAGAGTGAGCACCAGGGCCATAACTGGTTCAGACACTCAGTCTGGAATGTAAGGCATGGAGAATATTGTATCCAAGGAGCTGTAGGGTAAGACAAAAGAATGTTAGAAAAATTTATTCGGAGAGCTGGTCGCGGATGCACAAAAGGGGCATAATTAAATGACCCGGAAGCCGAGCCTTTCGTACATACAGTTACTTGCAGCTTTTGCTGTGGCAGCCACGATCATCGAAATTAACCATGAACAACCAGGCCAGTCTTAAACATCTAATCTCCGGCAAATGCATCCTGGATGAAGAGCCGACCGAGATCGAGACATATTACATGATTAAACTATTTGGTGATTGCGTCCTCCCTCATTCTTGCTGTCACCCGCCCGTGCCAAAACCCTGTTGCCCATGTTTGGCAAGATTCAGCTATGGATTTGGCCCGCCACGGACTTGGCTGGTGCCGTCCTCTGGTCCTGGGAGGCCTTCTTCGTCGCCCGGCTCACGGTATGCCCCCGGCTTAGCCGCTCCACGTGTGCGCTCGTCGATGATGTTGCTTTCGTCGATGGCATCGGCGTCGTCGCGAGCTGTACTCGAGAGTCAGTGCCGCCGGACTCGCAAACGTTGAATTACAGCAAACGAAGTCAATAGCTTTTGTTGGGGGTTACTCACCCAGCTGCTCATCCGAATCAGCCTTGCTGGCATCAATTGGATCCTCGACTGCAGCGTCGTCGCTTTGGACGGGGATGTGGCTCTGGCCCGTTCGCGACTTGTAGTCGTTTTGCATCGTGTCCGCGGTGGTGCTGCCTTCAAGACCCTCACCGGTGGGTTGGTATTCGTCTCCTGGAGCTGCCGACATCTTGAGATGGCTTCAGGTGATTTGTTACTGGTGATATCAATGGAACGAGAGATATGGTTGAGTGGTGAGTAAATTGGATTAGGGAGACGAAGTGGTTGGAAATGTTCGATCCTGGTTTATATGCTTCTCGTGGTGCCATTGAAAAGCATCCTCACAGCATCGACCTCACAACGCCATCACCATCTCACCCATGCTCTGTCGTCATGACAGCGGGACATTTCGCACCCTTCATGCTTGGATCCGGAGGTCCATCTATGAAGTCGTGAGGTCATGAATCCAAGTCGCTCCCAGCTCTCTTCGGACCGGTGACGAGAGGCTTGATCGAGGAAGCTAGGAGGATCCAAAGGAACCAATCGCTATGATTCCACAAGGGTCTGGAGGACTTCTGAAGCAGTTGTTTAGTTCAGGTACGATCTCGACTAGAGTTGTGCTACTCGCAGGCACAACGCGAGAGCAAGGCGCAAGGCTGTGGATCGGTAACCAATCATGTGCAAGGGCCCGGATCAAGCAAAGTCATAGACGTCAAGACTTCGGACGGCCCATGCTTCGCCTTGCCGGACTTGTCGATCTGGCATCCAAGTTCTAGATATGCGACATGCTTTAAGGAAAAGACCATCGAGATCTTGCATCGTCAAAGGCAGACCAGCTGCGGAGGCGTAATCCGGGCCATTACGTGTGAACATGCTCGGTCTGGAAATCTTGCCCTAGAGCTCGACGTGAGCTACGAGGATGACTCCGCTGGTGTGACAGGACGCCTTGCATAATACTACGGAAAGCAAAAGGTAGGCTCTGCTCCGGAATGGTGTGTGAAGTTGATGCGAGCTTACCTGTTCCGAGCAGATTCTTGGAAACTTGGTATCTTCATCGAGGCGATGCTTCAAGGCCGACATCTCCTCGAGCTATGGATGGGGGCCGAAAGACTGTCTAGAACTCCCAGGGGAACAGCGTCATCTACAAGATAACTTGCTATTATTTGCACTTGCTGGAAAGGGAAAAATTCCTCTTTTTCGTCACGACAAATTCCAGGCTGTGGAGGTGGTCAGCACAACGTACTTGTCCCTAACCTTTATTTGGCATAGCAGCTGCTTTTCGGTGTGACCGAGTAGAGCTTCATCAAATGCGTTCTGTAAACGATCAGAAAAGGAAGAGGCACACTCCACATGTACAAGCACAACTACCCCTGGGTGGCATAAGAAGGCCTGGTGTAAACTTGTGTACCTGGGATTTCTGCGAAGTTGCAATGAGTCTTCGAGCAGGGTCACGATACGCAGTAGCTACGATTGAAGGTTAGTGGTGTCCCGGGCGAGTACTCCGTACTTCAGTATGGTTCTTCTGCTTGGCTAAGCTCTGGGGAAGCGTCTTCCCCGAATTGCCTGGTTTTGTGGAGAGTGTCGGCGCCGCCTAGTAGTAGCTCCCCGGGCCAAGGGAATGTGATTAATGATCCGTGATCAACGTTTCTCCTTGTTGCGTAAGGAAAACTGTGAAGTTGCTGGACATAGAAACTGTCAAGAACCCAACTCCTCCCAAAGATGCTCTGACCGCTACCCTTCTGTTGTAATCTACACGACTGACAATTAAGCACCTTGTCGAAGTCCTCAAACCATCCCATGCCCGGCTCATCTCTTTGGCTCGTCGCCCGCAAGGACGATGAGCCATTCAACAAGTCCCTGAAGGAACTGATCGGTAGTACCCTGCCATCAGACTTCCCCCATGCGCCCAAACGCAATTTTATCCCACACGTGACGATAACCTCAGACATTGATCCTTCAAAGACCTACGGATCATCGTCGCCGCAGGAGTGGCTTGACGGCCTCTCCCTGCCCGAGTTCAAGAAGGAGTCGAATGAGGTGAACGTTGAGCTCGAGCAACTCGAAGCCGGGGAGCCCTTCTTCAAGAAGGTCACCCTCCGAGCCGCCAAAGATGCCAACTTGCTCAAACTCGCTGCGGCGTGCAGGCAGCAGGGCCTCGTGCTGTCCGAGGGCGACGCGCAGGGGTGGGCGGAGCACGAATACCTCCCGCACCTGAGCCTGTTCTACGGCGACATCCCCCAGAGCGAGGTGCAAAAGAAGATCGGCCTGATCGAGCTGCAGCTGGGCTTCGAGTTTGGGAGTCTCTTCGATTGCTGTGGGGGCACTCTGGCCATGGGCGCGAAGCTCGTGCTGGTGGATACCAGCCAATCCCTCGAGGACTGGACACCCCTAGCGGAGAGAGACTGTCCCTGGGTCATGTGGAAGATGGCCAAAGGTCTGCTGTGAAGGGTCTGCTCAGGATCCACTTTTGCGCCCCGACCGTGCATCCAGTGTTGATTGGGTAGGGATCGCCTTTCGAGGGATTACCGACCTTTCTCGGTCCATGTATTTCTGCTGAGGCTATAGTCCCAACTAATCCTCCCCAATGAAATCATCTTCACAGTGTGGTGACGACCTAACACGTTTCAATACTCGACCAGTTCCTGTGTCGGCTGACTCCGTTTTCGTGCTGGTGGTATCATGCTCGGTCCCTGTAATAGCATTGAGCTCCCTGTGAAGCGATCGGGGCTCATTCGAACCCGTTGTCCTCACGGTTGAGCTGACTTCAATAGCCATGACCGTCTCCTTTCCAAGCCCTTGAGACAAAGACGAACTGACCGCCCAGCTCGATGTCATTATAAGTACGTCTAACAGCGAGGATTAGACTAGAACAGCAGATGGAGGCAGACGTCTAGTTCCAGAGATGTGCAACGACGTTTGTGGACGGTAAATCTGTTTTTCCGTCTCCGGCAGCGATCAAGGGTGCCATGTTATGAAAACGTCGAACGTTAAGCAACCGTGAAAGACGGACAGCTTTCCTCATGAACCGTTGTACACGAATCATGCACACCGTATGCCCCGGGCAGCAGCGGATCTGCCTCTAAGAGCAAAGCAATTTCGAAGGATGCCGTGTACAAGAACTTGGTTGCGGTCACCGTAATAGGTACCTACGAATCTAGCTACCGAGGTATCGACCACGCGGACGAGAGGTATCCTGCAGGGCAATGGTTGGCAAGTACTCGGCAAAGCAGAGAACGACTGGACAGCTGTGATGACAGATGAAGCATCAAGGCAGCATGTATCGATCGGTGAGCTTTTGCTGATTAACAGGGCAGTCTGCATGAGAAGACTTCCCTCTAGCCTGCCGCAACCCGAATCGCGCTCTGAATGCGGCTGGTATTGAGAGAAGAGCCCTTGGAGCTATGAGCTTCCCCTGTTGCCGCCAACCTTGTTTGTCAGATATGTCCTTGTCAGCAACAAATCGCACCAAATGCATGGCATGCTTCCTCCATTGGGAAATCCCCACCACGTCCTAAATCGGTTTCCTTGTTTAGACGGCCGAGTGCTGTACTCAACCTCGGGTTGTGCCCTTTACTGCTGCAGCTGTTGACAGCAGCCCGACCATGCCAGCTCAGTTGCCGTGTCTCACAGCTGTCAAGATTTGTTGCGATCTCCGCAAATCTCGTGGTTGCACAGCATCCATCAGCTGCTGGCATAGATCTCCCACGACCACCCATGGCACCTTCACAGGTTCATCAGCTCGTCGACAATGTCAAGTCGTGCATGCAAAGCACAAGATCGGTCGGTATGGCTTTACTTGTGCTGGCATTTGTCGGTCTTATGGCCACATTCGTTTATCGACTCTACTTACACCCGCTCGCACGATACCCTGGGCCTTGGTACATGAAAGTCAGTCCGTTGTATGATTTCTACATCGGCGTGCGGGAACGCAGGCATCTTCATTTCCAGTCTCTACATGAGAAATATGGTATCATCCCCTCCAATCGCGTAGATGGGACAATGAACTTGCTGATATGTCTGGGCTAGGCCCTGTGGTTCGGTACAGCCCGAATTCCCTGGCCTTTAACGAACCCCAGGCTTTCCGAGGTGAGATTGAAACATTGTCAGCTCCAATGACGCTTTAATGAGGTCGAGAATTGCAGATATCTATGGCTTCAAGCGCAATTTTCGGAAGGCAGATGCAACAACCGTTGGCGCCTCTAGCCACCCGGACGCGCGAAACACTTTCAGCGAGCCACTAACGGAGAAAGCCATGAAGAAGAGAAGGATCCTCTCACAAGGGTTCTCGGAGTCTGCACTGAGAGACGCCGAAGGTTGGAATTGCCATCTGTGGGGGCCTGATGAGGACTGGGTTGCTGATATTTCACAGAGTTCATGATCGAAAAGATAGAGACCCTCTGTAGACAGTTGATCAACCCCTCCACGGAAAAGGTAAAGGATATGTCGCTGTGGTTGAATTATCTGGCCTACGACATCATGGGAGAAGTCGTCTTCGGGAAGAGTTTCGATATGCTGACCAACCCCTCCTTGCGCTATGTATTGGACCTGATCGATTCCATGGTGTTTTCTACATTGTTGGTAAGATATCTATATCTCGCCATAAACGCCGCTACTGATTCAGCTAGGGTGGCATCGTGCCATGGATCTACAGGAGCGGCTTGATCAACATCTTCTTCCCGCGACTGCTGCGTACACGGACCAAATTTATTGCTTATGTGGCGGGTGTCGTAGCGAACAGGATCGCCGCTGAATCCACTCCTACTTCAGGAGGACGCAAGGACTTCTTCCATCATGTATGTTGCGAATCATTGCTCTCGACTCGACCGTCAACGGCTGACAAGAAAGCTGCTCAATGCCAAAGACGCAGAAACGGGCAAGCCGTTGCCGATGGAGTTCCTCTTCTCGGAAGGCGTGCTGCTGGTTGTCGGTGGGAGCGACACCAGTTCTACAGGCAAGACTTACAAAGCTTGAACCCTGAGGAGGTGGGCCTGACTAGTTCCGCCAGGGATGGCCGCCACACTCTTCTATCTGCTCAAATGCCCCGAGTCGATGAGCAAACTACGCCAGGAACTCGACAGCACGTTCAGCAGCGTCAACGAGATCAAATCTGGAGGGAAGCTTGCTCGTTGCGTCTATCTGAGAGCTTGCGTGGACGAGGCGCTACGCATGGCACCCCCAGGTCCTGGCATACTGCCGAGGACGGCTTTGAAGGTGAGGCTGCTAATCCTCCTTCCTCGCGAGTCAGGTTAGACCCCATTGAAAGGGCTTACCGAAGTCAATCGACAGGGCGGAGAAACCGTGAACGGCGAATTCATACCAGAAGGCGTAGGTTATACCGTCGGGGCCAGCCTTGTGCACAGGAGTTGACGAGGTCTAGATTGACGTTGGGGTCGGTTGGTGGGCTCTCGCCTACAACGAAAAGTACTTTCCCGAGGCAGCGACGTTCCGACCGGAGCGGTACATCGTGAATGACGAGAGTGCGGACGAAGACGCCGCGTCGGCCAAAGGTTGCTATTGGGCGTTTTCGATGGGGCCTCGCAAGTGTCCCGGCATCAAGATGGCGTATCAGGAGATATACCTCACGATAGCGAGGCTGGTCTATCTCTTCGACATGAAGCCCGAGCGTCCGGAAGAGATGGCGAAGAACTTTGAGCTTCTGGATCATTTCAGTAAGTTTGCAAAAGAGGACTCTCGTATGCGCTGAAGCAAACTGACAAAGTGCCAGATGTCAAGAAGTCGGGGCCGACGGTGTCATTCACCCTGCGTTCAGGGAGAACTCTCTGAGTCGGAGCAATCATTCAACCTTCTCAAGATGTTATCGTGAAACTGTTCATGGCGGAGACGAGACGCACGACGTGGTTGAACATTGAAACGAGTCCGGACCTGGTGCTCTTGTTAGGGTTGAGGTAGACGCCCGACCACTTTGGCATACTATGAAATGCTTACAGTGCGACCACTCCAAGGAGATCCGGAATACGGATCCACGATTTCTGCGATGGTTGAGGAGGCAGTTGTGACAGGATCGAGTGTCGATAGTTGCTCAGGTCTAGTAGTTAGGGCAGCTTGCCCAATAGTGGTATGAAGGGAGGACGAGGCTGCCGCAACTAGGCCATCCCCTGAAGCCATTCCAATCTGCTGCCTTTACCTAGTAATTGTGGCCGGAATCGACAACGGTCACAGTGCGGATTTTCCACGGGTGGCTTCAAGTTGAATAGCCGGAATCGACCTTCTTTGGACTCCAAGTCCCATCTATCCAGGACAGTAGCTAGTTTTCTTTGCTGCCCGTAGCAACCGCTAGAGCAGCTCTATTCTCAGATCCTTTCGGATGTCACCAGACCTCCAGTCTCCGATGACCCGCAACCAATCCTCGTATCCTTTCGCCCACATGCTTCCTCGTGCCAATTTCTCCAGGGCTTCCGGCCCAGAAGCCGCCAGCTTGTAGAGGTCGCCCTCGGCGTTGAAGTAGCTGGGGGGACAATTGGACATGGCTATGAAAGCCGGTGCTCCGGCGACAATCTGCTCGGTCCAGGCATCTTCTGCCTCGACAGTGGGCTCGATGGTGAAGGCGAACCGGTTGCCAGGCCTCGGGCCGTTGCCATCTTCCTTTTTCACGCCTTTGGCCACCTCGGTAATGATGAAGGCAATATGCTGCGCCAACTCGTCGACCATGGCGGTCTGGTTGGGGGTGGCCCCGGTCTGCGTGAGGCCCAGCCAGAACAGGTTGGGGAAGCCGTTCGATTGCACTCCGTGCAGAGTTGCGATGCCCTTGTCCCATTTATCGTCGAGTAATTGGCCGTCCGGGCCGATCACTTGCAGATGCAAACGTGCCCCAGGGCTGTTGCCCAGGGGAACTTCATAACCCGTACTAAAGACGAGGGTGTCCACGGGATATTCGCGTCCGTCAAACACGATGCTGTTCTCCGTGAGGCCGTCCACTCCTCGGCCGTCGGTATCGACGAGTGTTACGTTGGGAGCATTGAAACTTTGCAGATACTCGTCGTGGAAACACGGCCGCTTGCACCAGCCGGGGTACCAAGCCTTCAATCTCTCCGCGGTCGCCCTGTCCTCGACGATGTCGTCGACCCGGGCGCGGATCTTCTCCTGCCTGGTCAGATCGAGCTCGTTGAGCGTGGCCAGGTATGACGGGGCGTCATCGGCCGACCGAGGCGCATTTGGACCCCCTACCAACCCACTGTAGGACGGGAATTTCGTCCACTCGTCGTCGACCATGTCGACATTCGGCCGGGGAACAGTGTTGGCGGTGAAGGTGCTGAAGTTCGTCCGTCGCTGCTTCTGCCACCCTGGCCTGCCATGAATCTCGCGCGTCCACCAGTCCACATCGGTCTCGCGTTGGCCTCTAACATCCACCGCCGAGGGCGTCCGTTGAAACACATAGAGGTGTTTCGCCCACCTTGCGAGTTCGGGGACCAGTTGGATGGCAGTGGCGCCGGTGCCGATGATCCCGACGGCCTTGTTGGCCAAGTTGGCCATCGCTGGTTGCTCTTCGCAGCCTCCCGTGTAAGCCCAGTCCCAACGAGACGTGTGGAAGCTGTGTCCCTTGAAGCTGCCCAGTCCGCGAAGTTTGGGAATCTTCGGCCAGTTCAACGTTCCACCAGCGAGGATCACGAACCGAGACGACACGGAGATCTTGTTACCTTCTTGTCCTCGGCGTGTGGACTCCAGTCTAGTGACCCAGTCATTCTTCGAGCTGTCCCAGGTGATGTCAATGGCCTTGACCTGGAAGAGGGTTTTGTCCCTGAGATTGAAGTGGTCGGCGATGTTTTCTGCATGCTGTCTCAACTCGGGCCCGTAAGAGTATTTGTGTTTGGGCATGTACCCCAGCTCTTCCAGCAGGGGGATATAGATGTAACTTTCCACGTCACACATCAGCCCAGGGTAGCGGTTGTAATACCACGTCCCACCATAACCGCCGGCAGCATCAATTAGACGGATATCGTTCACATCAACGCCGGCTTGGATCAGTCTCGCGGCAGCCAGCAACCCGCCGTAGCCGGCACCGACGACCAAAATCTCACAACGTGATCCGTCTGTGAGTGAGTGGACTCCCGGGTCCACGGCATCTTCATCTATCCAGATGTCTCTGAAGTACGTTTGGTACTGTGACGTCGAGTACGGGATAAACTGGCCCAACCCGTCCTTTCGGAACCGTTTGGCACTTTCTCGGCTGTACTTGTCAAGGACAGGGGCGGCGCCAGGGACGATGCCGTTTAATTCCTTCTTCGTCTCGAGCTCCAATTCCGTCTTGATATCTTCTGGCAGGGCGCCCACTGGTTGTAAGACATCTGCCATCCTCGTGAGTAAGGGGAGAGGGTCGATCCAGAGGGGTAACTCTGCAGCAGAACAGATTCCCTCGGCTATCACCTTTATACCAGCGAGGACGAAATGTACACCTTAAGAGTATCACCAAGGGATGTGTCAGGCTGCTGGTAGTCAGCCATTTGCGTAGATCGGAGCCACACACTCCGCACCCCTCGACTTCGATGGGTACTTGTCCAGGCCACACATCTGGGGTTGTTTCATCGTTATTCGCTGTGAGGGTCGTAGCATCCAGAGAAATGATTTTGCTCTGTTGTTCCACAACTGACGAGGTCAAGGGGTGATGGGGTATGTAATGAGTCCGAAGTAGCTGGACCTCTGTACGAGTCGGTCGTCTGCCAAGACCCTTTGGCCATTCCAGAAGCCTCTATTCATTCCCTAGCGACTAGCTGCATCTCTTGGGCCCTCCGTAAAGAGAAGTTTGAAAGTCCAAGTAAGTCACCTTGGAGGCTTGGACGCAGCCCTCTCCTAGTCATGAAACCTGCGATCGATGTCAGCAAAAGCATACACACCAGGTGCTCGTCAATACCTGGGTATCGTCACAGAATACTGACACGGACTGCTCTTGGTAAAGGTGCCATTCTCTGGAGTGCCCATGACTCGGGATTTCCTGACTCTTAAAACAACACCCCGCAATCTGGAAGCCTATACAGAGCCTAGACGAGGTCGCGAAGTACCAGCGAGAGGGCGTTGCCAGTATTGATCGCACAGTATTACTCCTTGGGTATCCGGACGAGATACCTTCAAATCGTTCTGCACAAGTGCCACCGATTAGTTAAGAAGTTGGCCTTCTTTTCACGTGTTGCGTTGATGCCGATCATTTACGGTGCACAACCCATCGGAGGTGAGCGTAGTACAGGTATAGCTTGGGGGAATCACTGCCCACTGCGTCGGCATGTATAAATCGTAGACAGGTGACGTCTTATCTTGCCACTACTTAGAAACTCTGCTGTCCGTAGAGCCAAGCGTACAATCGTACATCTCCAGTGGTACCCCCCCAAAGGCCTCCACGCCTCTTGAAGTCACAGCCTTAGGCAGGGGTTTTCTCAAAGTCTCCTCCCTCGTGCTTCTGGTCGACGACTTGCTCAATGTTCTCGACGTAGACAGACATTTCGGCGCCTTCCGAATGCTTTCCGGCTTCTTCCAGGGTTTCAGCAACTGTTTCACCGAACAGAGCTTCAATTTCTTCAAGTGTCTTCAACCTCGTTTCCGGGCAGAGGTAGTAGAACAGAACAATGCCGATGCAGTCTGATATGAAGAAGATTAGGAAGTATTTCCAGCTTATAGACTGCAGCGCCAAGGGAGTCACTTGGACGAGCATAATGACAATGGCGTTGAAGGTTCCATAGAAAGATGCGACGCCAAAGGAGCGGATGCTTGTAGGCAGGATCTCAGGGGTGTACTGTTGGAGGGGTAACACCGGTCAGCACAACTCATAAAGGTCCAGGTGGACCCGAAAATACTCGAGAGAAGAATATCTAAGAGCGCTGGATACGTACCGTTGGTACAAATGTGTTGATGGGGCCAGAGTAGCCACACGAAAAGAGATATATGGAGACGGCCACACCGACGCCTAGACCGAAATTTGTGTTCCCAGAGGCTTCGTATCGTGCCCATAGGATAACAAGTACGAGAGATGCAGGGATCATGAACCCATACGCCACGTACTGGTTCCACCGTTAGCCAATGCTCAGGACAGCTCAGAACAGTGCAAAGAGGCTCTTACGATAAGTTTCCTTCTTCCGATTCTGTCACAGAAACACATAGCTAGACCTGCCGAGGTAGTAGCAATAGTGCCATACACACCGGTCAAGACCAAGGACAGCACAGTCGAAAAGCCCATGGTCTGGTAGACAATCACTTGGTAATTTTGAATTGGGATGACTCCGGTCAGTCTGATGAGGTCAGTCGGCTTCCAGGGCAATCTTCTCAGCTGTTCCAAACGTAGCAATCGCAGAAAGAAGAAAAGAAGAGCAAGACTCACTGTGAGAAAAGAGCAATTCCTATCACCATGATAATCCTTTTGCGGTACGATTTTCGTGTTAGAATCGTCCTCACTCCAGCCTTTTGGGACTTTTCGAGCTCAATCTGTGCCTTGATCTGGTGATATTCCCGCAGGTAGAAACTCTCGTCGTGCAAGCCACCATGCATCCGCTTCAGGACGGCCAATGCTTCATCGTATCGGCCTTTGAGAGCAAGCCATCGCGGAGAAAATGGCATCCAGAAAGAACCAACAATCATCATTATGGCCGGTACAATCTGTAGACCCAGCAGTAATCTCCAGGATACATCGGAATTGATGAAATAAAATCCCAGACCACTGGCCATGATTAGCTTCGTAAACAGGGAAGTCGTGCCCTTCCGCGACTCACATCCATTCCGTTAACATGTACGATGCGTTGACATTGAACCTACGTGCGGATTAGCTTTTCAACCCGAATATATGAGCCAGTAAGGAGTTCAACATACCCGTATAATCCACCGATGAAGCCTCTGATCTCAGGGGGACTGATCTCGCTCGCATAGACCGGGCAGATACTGAAGATAAGTCCTGAGGCTATACCACCTATGGCACGGCCGGCACAGAACACGGCAAAGCTTTTTGCACCAGTTTGTAAGGAACTTCCAAGGATTGCGATGACACAGGAAAGCTGGATCGTTCGCAGGCGTCCAATCTTGTCAGGGAGATACCAGTTCAAGACGCATCCGAGGAACGAACCGGCGTAGTATGCAGAGCTAAAAGCCCCGATTTTGGTTGCGTCCAGGTCAAAATACTTGAGGAAGCGCGAGTAGCCCAGGATCGACGTGGTAATGCCTACAGTAGATGATCAGTTACCATACACGACTTGGAGATACGATGGACATTGAACTCACCGGAGTCGTACCCGTAGAAAATCGACCCAAAGGTGACATACCCGAGACAGAGGAATTGATATTTGTTGATCGCCATTGTGAGGGAGAATGACCGCGACTCGGATATCAGGCAGAGAAACTTGAGGTTGTGGCTCTGAATCAGACAAGCGAAGGCAACCCATCCCATGTTTTAAACATAGGGAATATATGGGGTCCCCACATACCCCAGCCTTGGGGATTGCAAGTGTACCCTAGCTGTGTCAGCAGTGGTGGTGTGTCATCGCTCAGTGACACGCCCTCTCGGTATGTGTACTTTGGGCCGCAGCCCGCCAGAAAAGCCGGCCCAGATCTCCCGTCCAGACCCAGGCAGTACACATTTCCTATCAATTCGAGCTTGTCTTGCTCTGAGCAAGTCCTCAAAGTTGGTCCGTGTATATCTTTCGCAATGTATTGTATACGCAGGTGGTACCGATTTTAGGGGTTCTTGTAGCCTCAAAGATGGGTAGCCTTGCGTTCAGGACATTGTATTCGCCACGGGAGGAGCTCGTGGCTTAGGCAACGCTCTTGCCGTATCTTTTGCCAAGCAGTGAGGTAAAGAGATCGTTCTTGTCGGTTTCCAGGATGATGAGGCCATAAGCAAACGAAATGGTGTTGGAAGATTTGGGGTCGAGGTAAGAGGACACGGATCGTCATCCCATGGTTGGGATGTACTCCTTGACAAAATGGCAAAAAGAAGCAAATATGAACACGACCGGAGTAATGCCTTAAGAGCGAACTCATGTCCTGTCCCTAACGAGGATCCTCGTGATCAGGGGTAAAGACGGAACCAAATTAGAATGCATCATGATCATATCGCCATTCTCTTCTGGGTTGTATCCAATTCGTCGACACAGAGCCCGCGATTGAGAAGTTGAGATCCTCGTGGCAATGAATCGAATCCTTTTACACTTCGACGGATTCCTGCTTGATCCTTTCGCAGCTGATTTCATACAAGGCATTACTCCGGTCGTGTTCATATTTGCTTCTTTTTGCCATTTTGTCAAGGGGTACATCCCAACCATGGGATGACGATCCGTGTCCTCTTACCTCGACCCCAAATCTTCCGACACCATTTCACAAGGTCACCGTTTGGGCCGTACTTTCAGGGTTAAGGCTGGCTCGCGACCATGGAACAACGAGTCTGGGCCCACGGAAAGTAGATAGGCCCTTGTAAATAGACTGTGCTGCCATGAGCGAAAGAAGTGGACGTTAAATATCAGAGTTGGCTGCGGGGACAAGGCGAGAAGGAACCAGGAGTGTGTGTATCCGGCCCTAGCCGAGGTCAACCCCGTGGGCACGAAGCTACCAAACGGGAGCGCCTCGGGAAACTTAACTACTGAGCATCCTCCATATTCCTCCCTTTCACCTCTGTATAAAGAACCTATAAACACTACCATCATTATTGTAGACCAAGGCACTGGTATTGGTCCGTGTTCTCTAACCCAACTCAATCGACGCGTCAAATGTAAAATGTCAGCGCCGCTCACAGGGCATCGAGGTACAGAAAATGCCCTAAGCGGGGTGAAAGATCAGAGGTATTTGTGGACATGCTCATTGAAGGGCTGGAATGGACACTAAGACGTCCCAGGCGAATCAGAAATCGTCTTGCACAAAGAACGACCAGAGAGCGGAAAGCCGCATATATTCAAGATTTGGAGAAACAAGTTGCGTCCTATCAACGAGACAATGCAAACTTGCACGTGCAGGACTTGATGAAAGAAGTGGCCGAACTCCGGAGAGCACTGCAGAAAGCGCGAAGTAAACTTCTCAGCATTGCTACGACGGCGAATTCGTCGGCAGAATCGTTGGCACCGCATCTCCTTCGTAAGGGTTGGTCTCATCTGAAGGTGGTGTAATGGTCAATGTTGAGAGCTGATGCTGGGCACAGCCACGAAGCAAGATCAGAACGTGCTTCAACCTTCGAGTGCAGACCCGGAGGGTATTATCGAGGACAAGGACGACTTTTCAGATCGCGAACAGTCCGAAGCGTCGGAGGGAGTGTGCTTGACCACAGCACACGAAAATAGAGCAGACTCCGAGTCTGTTTGCTGCGACCAGACAAGAGCTACTGCCCAAAACAACGACGTCCTGCCACAGTCTGTTTCCCCCTCGCTCAGACACCAGACGGCCCAGTCAAACTGTACAACGATACAATGTCAGCGCGACGGGGTTCCAGAAGCGTTGGAGCCATCGTCGTTTGATTTCTCGGAAGAAATAGCAAATGTTCCTTTCCCGAACACATCGGATACTTTAAACACATTAGATGCAGAGATGATAGGTACGGCTACAGTTAGCGATGAGACCTGGAGTGCTTACGATACCACCTGCTTCGATAACAACTTCTCGCCTACCACCCCGATGACAATGATGAGTGGGAAAGATACAGGAATCTCAGCTCCCACTTCTGTGTTTTCAGCACACTTGGATTGCATAATCAACATACTCAGACGAGGGGGAATTGCACGCCAGCATACCCGGTATATATCTCTCAATTTTGCTGTCCTGGTCAAAGTTTCCCTCCTGAGCCGGCGGTACTAACCAGGATCAATAAAACAGGGCTCCGCAACTAATCGACGCCATGATAGACGGATTCTTCGAGGAATGCTGGCCCAGCATGAAGAACTGGCTTGAGATCACAGATTCCTACACGACAATCCGATGGGTGCTGTGGTGGCAAGTCACACGCACAGCCGAAGCCGCGGCCGATATTCCCGCCACGAACACGCCCACGCCTGTCCAGATTGCGCTCCCACACCTCTCTGCCATTGACTGGATTCCCTTTCCAAGTATACGCAACACTTTAATACTGTCGGACGGATATGATGTTGACCAAGTCTTCCGAAACATGCACAAGTCATTTGTGCTGCAGAAAGAATTTCCCGTTCGAGATGGGTCCGCTGACCGGTCATATAAAAGCGTGACCGGACTTGTTCAGACTGCGCTACGAGCCACCCTCGATCCATCCGACTCAGCAGGCCACGGACCGGCGCAAGACCTGTGGAGCGAAGGACCGCTGAAACGGACAAAAGCAGCAACGAGCGCCTATTGCCAGCAGCTGATAAACTTTGGCCGATGGGTGCTGAAACTGGATCCTGGTTTCTTTGTGAAATACCCCGGCCTTTACGATTCGTCTATAGTGGCAGATGGACCTTGTTTGGAACTGGTCAATGCACCAGATGTGCCGCCGCCGAAGCCTCTCAACATGAACGCAGTAAATACTTACGCTAGTCTACTGCTGAAGGACCAGAATTACCACACGTATGGCATGGACTTGAGGATCCAGCACACGCCAGCGCAAAGAAGGAGGTAAGGAAAGGGAGACATATTCGTTAGATTGTACATTGTCTTCAACGTCCGAGATCTAACCCGAGTTTCCCCCTATGTAGTTACACTATTTCCCCGGTCAATTGAAGTACCGCTACATATCGTCCGGCATCGACGTCGACGTATCAGGGTGATCATTCCTGATCTTGAGGTACTCTTTTGTAGTACCAACAACTCCTCCGCGGAACATACTACCTTCGATATATCGCCTAGCGTCGACCATCTCTCCTGTTTCCCGCCGTCTTAGTGAGCTCTTGAAGCGCGTCCGCATAGGACGGAATGGCACGCGGCGTTCAGGCTGATGGTCTCAACAGCTGGATTGGGCTCTCGCGTGTTCATTATCGTCCCGTCTATCCTGTTCTCTTGCAATCGAGAGTGCCAGAGTCTATTCACCGCCTTGGTTCGAGGATACTTCTTCAGAGAGCGGCCTTATAGCACCCAAAAGATTTAGGCTTAGGAGCATTTTGCTCGAACATTTTAGTCGTTAAAAAGTGTCTAAGATGGGCTTCATAAAGTCCATGTTAAATTGAATGGGAAAGGGGAACCTGCGATTCCTTGGTAGGTAGGCGCATTAGCCCGCCCCTGACAATCACATGACACCGCGTTTGGAAGCCACGGACGCGTCCGCGGGGAACGTCGATGCGGCCACTCCAGCTTCAATTGTGCCAGTCGAGTAAACACGACAACGCAACATCGGACCGAGACTATTTTTCTCTTGTGTATCGGCATGTTATCGCAGCATACATGACTGATTCTGAATTGCGCTTTTCTTCTGGTGAGGATGGCCGAAGATTGTGCAAACCCGCTGCTGGCTGGATGGCTGAAGGAATGGATGGATGAGGCAAAGGAACGAAACAGCAAAGGTTATACTGTGTATTCCGCCCTCTCCTTTGACATTTTGTGCGATTGGACTAACAACCACAGTTATAAAAAGGCCTATCAGTCCATAAAAGCGTGCCCCTTGGCTTTCAGCCACCCTTCCGAAGCTCAACAACTCAACGGTCTGGGCCCAAAATTATGCGACCGACTTACGGAGAAGCTGAAACAGCATTGCGAGCAAAACGGACTGCCCATGCCCAAGAAGAAACGCAAGAGAAACAGGACATCGGAAGGCTTGCCACTAGATACGGCCGAAGCAGTCGAAGCTGAACAGTCGTCGCCAGTCCGGCGAAAGCGGAAGACCCAACCATACGTTCCAAAATACAAATCTGGTGCATATGGGTTGATAGTGGCTCTCGGCAGCTTAGACCGAGAGAGCAATCAGGCTATCCCGAAACCTGACCTCATTGAATTGGCACAACCTCACTGCGATGCGAGCTACACTGTTCCGAGTGATCCTACCAAATTCTTCACAGCATGGAAGTCGATGCAAACATTGGAGTCAAAAGAGCTTGTCTGTACTAAAGGTCATCCGACGAAAAGATATTACTTGTCGGATGAAGGATGGGAGGTCGCCGAAGGTATACAGGCAAGCGCTGGCGGTCGAGTTGTTGCTGCGAACAAACCGAACCAGCGAAAGTCTGCACCAACTCGTGGCCTAGATGGTTCGAAATCAGTCACGCCAGAACCTAGGAAGAAACAGTCTGCTTCGGCCGCTCCACCACAGCACACCCAGCTTAGTGGCGCCCCAGCTCACGGGGCGTTTGACCACTTGGAAGTGTTATCGATCTCTGAGAACGACTGGCCAGAGCCGGAACCGGAGATGAGTTTTGGCCGCCCGAGGAGCGGAAATCTTGGGCAAAGACCGACTAGTTCCAGCTCCTCTGTGCAAGACACCATTATCCTGCCGGCAGGAAGCTTCGAGGTAAAAATGGTGCTTGATATGCGCGAAGTCCGCACAACAACTGACCGAGATTACATATCTGGGGAGCTGAAAAAGCAGGGCATAGCTCCAATTATCCGCTCACTGCCACTAGGCGACGTCTTGTGGGTTGCAGAAGTAAATCCACTCTACGCTAATAGTCTCAAGGCAGCAATCGTCGGTGAGGAAGCCGGCGACAAAGTGGAAATCGTTTTGGAACATATACTAGAGCGCAAGCGGCTCGATGACCTGATCAGCAGTATTAAAGACGGGCGCTTCCACGAACAGAAATTCCGGCTGCACAGGTCAGGGATCAAGAATGTGACCTACCTCATCGAAGAGTACTCAATCTCTTCAGAAAGAAGTGAGAAGTATGGCGACGCGTTGGAGAGTGCTGTCGCTAGTATGCAAGTGGTTGACAACTTCTTTGTCAAGCAAACGTCGAAGCTGGATGATACGATTCGTTACCTTGCCAGAATGACCAAAACCCTGAAGGGATTGTACGAAAGCAAGGACATCAACGTCATTCCAGCTCAAAGCTTCGAGGCCGAGGCCGTATCGTTATTACTCGAACGGTTCAGAAAGACTTCACCGGGGAGAGCCTTTGGCATGACATTCTCCGTATTTAGTGCCATGTGTGACAAATCGGAGAGCATGACGCTTCGAGATGTCTATCTCAGGATGTTGATGTGTACAAGAGGTGTCACTGGAGAGAAGGCCATTGAAATTCAGAAAATCTGGCCGACACCGCGTGCTCTGGCTGAAGCTTTTGAAGGGCAAGAGAAGGGCACTGCGAGGGATGCGATGATAAGCGATCGCCTCGGGTCTACTATTCCTCGGAAGAAGGTGGGAAAGGCCTTGAGCACCAAAATCGCAGAGATCTGGGGGTGACTCCCATTTGGTCGATTGGCGGACTGCGACGATGTTCATGAGTTACGGCACAATTTGTTTATGTAGCAGTACACTTTAGGATCCCATGTTGAGGGCAGCCTTTGCAGAGCTTGTGGAGAGAGGTCGAACACTCTCCAGCCACATTGTGCGCAGCGTCTGCCACTCCACCAAGCCGCAATGTTCGTATTCGCGCAGAGCGGAATCCGGCACCAGAGCCGATGGAGCACAAGACCCAACAACGAAGCCTTGACCAAGCAACTGCAAGCCTTGCTCGCCTTCCCTTGCCCACATCGAATCAAGGCTTTGCGCGGGCGACGATCAGGCCTTCCTCTACATATCTTCCCCACACACGGCACGATGACGGAACTCGGAGGTACGAGGACTCGTAATTGATCGACATACTACACTGCACGCTACTACTAGTACTGCGACATTGAGATCTGCGTAGGTCCTTAAAGAATGAGGGGCCCCGGCGACGATGATTCCACTCTTTTGTCGACCACCCCAGACGGGCTTTATCATCAAAACCCTTGAGGTAGCCTTTCCTGGATTGTCGTGATTGTCCCAAGTCTACAAATTATCCCGCTCTCTTCGCGGCCGACATTCAACAGTAGCGTGTGACCGACTCAGGGTTGCGATGTGGCGTTGCTCCTTGAGAAGGCAGACGACGAAATCACAGAAAGGAGTTCCGATCTTGTAGGACTGCTTCTCGAGAAGAAGTGAAAGGGGGCCCACCACTGCTACGACCCCTACTTTCACATCGCTGCAGCTATCCTCTTTAGACAACACAAGTCGCCAGAAATAAAGCCTTCTATCCAGCAATGCTTGGGATTGAAGGCCTCTCTGACGCCTCCTTCCGTGGCGACGAGCGCTGGAGAAGAGCATCAAAATGGACAGGCTATGCACCGTGGTTTGTACTTGCGATCGGCCTTCTGAGCATGGCCGAGATTGCACTTGGTGCGGTATGGATCGCTTCGCTGACCACCGACCTGAACTTGTAAGTCGCCACTCATTCCAACTTCGCGATGCTTTCGCCTGGGGATAATACTAACACCAGACCTCCTGCCAGCGGCCAAGTCATTCAGCCTATCCTCATCCCAGGGCTGGCCTTCTTTAATGCCATCCCTTCTCTCCACTTACACGTGCTCGCCCGGGTCAATCCACCTCGACTGGCATTGTGGTTCTCCACAACACTATCAATCATCCATTTTGTCAGCTCTATCCTCTTCATGGGCGCCTGCGTTGGAAATCACCCTCACGGGTCGCTGCAACGCAATGAATGCCCGTCGGCCACCGGTGGGAATGAAAGTATTTGGGATGTCATGGTTGCACTGCAGTTTATTAGCGCGGTGCTATACGGCGCGGTTGCAGCCATGGCTTGGAAAGTCAGAACAGTGGTCGAGGCGAGGGATGAGAGGATTGCTCAAGGCGTGGAAATGGTAAGCGAGGAAGAGAAGCAGAGAAGGGAGAGCGAGGCGAGGGAGAGGTGGAAGTATCTTTCTGCAGGTTGAGGAGAGGAAGTTGCATGGGTTTTCTTTCCTGGTCGTGGAGCCCGGCATACCCCGGCATTGCAGAGGAGCTTTAGATGTCAATGTCGGTTCACGATACACATGATTGCGGTGTTAGAGTCGGTGGGATCTTTGTACTTTACTCGTACTTTGTGGTAGGAGTCAATTTTGTCGGAGTTGGAGCACAAGAGTGTGTGAGTAATACAGCGGAAATGTGAGGGGAGCATAATAGAGCACCAGGAACATGGTCATCAAAGCCAAAGACCTATATACTAGAAAGTCCTCCGGATCAGAGGAGAGCCTTGCTGATGATGAGGAAGTCCAATCCAATTCTCAAGAGCCTCGAGCTATGCATAGAAGCTGGAAACCATGCCGCTTTAGACTCACATGACTAGAGATGATTTATGCACAGAGCGGCGGGATATTCACCCCAAAGAAGTCACGCCGTGAAGCGAAGATGCGCATCACCACCAGCCTCAGGCACGACCTTTTCTCCACTCGTATCTTGCATCCGAGTCCCATTCCACTTTGGGTGTTTGTTTGCAACTTGGCCCAATATCCACGCTCAAGTCTCCGCGTGTGCTGCGCTGGAACGTCCTTGCCACATGGCCTCACAACAATTGCATCTGCAGAACTGGATCAGGTAGCATGCGACGACTAAGCATGCAACTCCACGCGCCATGTCTCGGAACAAAGAAAACAATCCTCTTTCAACCGCCCAGCGCAACGCGGCGATCGCTCCCTTGCACAGGACTTTACCAAGTGACGAGTTCTTCACGGACAGCTTGATTGACGACTCCCGTATCTCAGATGTCTCGCATATTCCGTCTCCAGTCAAGACGGGGCCTGTCAAACCTCGACGCGCCCTGGGCACAAGCAAAGCGTTGCAGACAGGCAAAGATTCCGGCAATCGGTCGACTCGCACTTCATTGTTCGACTATACTGCGGCCCGGACTAGCAGACACTTGAAGCCTTCACCGAAGCTGTCCAGGAGGAAAAGTCCAAGCCCTGCGCGAACGAATGGGCTCACGACACCGCCGCATTCCAGACACGGCCCGCCTCTCAATAGCCCTACCGAGTTCTCCAGTCCCCCCGGCGGCCTGCACGAGTCCTACCAAAGAATAGCGGACGAGGAGGATCTAGCCGCGACGGAGAGGGATGTGGACAGCGAAGAGGATGAGATCAATGGCGGCAATCAGCAGGATACATTTGAGACAAATCTGGACATGAGCCCCACAAGAGAAGGAATAGTTTCAGAGCCTGCACATGTTTCGCAACAACTGACGCCGGTTCAATCTTCATCGCCATCGCGCGCAAATATGCAGAGTCCCGTAGATGATCGAGTCGAAAGTCTCTCGGAACCGCCTACCTTGGATTTCCTCAAGAACGAGCTGACTGATTGGGTCCTCGCTGCCAAATTGACGCCCCACGTTGTTGATCGCGCAAAAGATCGAGCAAGGCTTGAGAAGTTGAGACAGAGCCGAATACCGATCAACTTTGGAGAAAAGTCCAACGAAGACCAGCTCAATGGGGAGCACCGACGGAACGGTCTTGCCAGCGTCGCAAGCCGTGGCCCGATCTCCTTCGACAATGTTTTAGCCGTACATACAAACGGATTGCACCGGACGTACTCAGAGACGAGTGCCGACCTCGACCCTCAAAAGAGGGTCAAAGCCTTCAGGCGAGCAACGCGTCCTGGTGTCAATAGTATCGCACCCGAGGATGATGATGGTAGCGATACACCTCCGGAATTACGGGAAAAGGAGAGATTGGTCGCATTCAGCAAATCCAGTCGGCCGAAGAAGGAAAACAACGAAGACAGTGAAACACAGAGACCAGCATCCGTACCAAAGGTCTTAGCGTTTTCGCGTGCCTATGGTCGACCCCGTCCTCACGGGACGCCTTCCGAGACGATGGAAGATCAGGGACTTCCCGATGACCCTACAGTTGCCTCTATTGCTTCAACAGTATCCGAGCCTCTTCCCGGGACGACTCCGCACCCGGACGAGGATCGAGCAACACGTTCATTCCTTGCCAGGTGGCGCAAAGAGACAGCGGAGAGACGTGCTGCAAAAGCTCGAGAGGATACTGACCCTAGCGAGTCCCAAATTGACTGGGCTGCTGCAGCTGCCGACATCCCATTACCATCTATTGAAAAGTCTTCAACCCCCCAAGACACCCCGCCAAAATCCATGCCATCTTCCATTAAAACACAAAGGTCCATGGACCGGATGCGGAAATGGGAGAACGACTTCACAGGCCTTTCATTCCAGGTGTCAGAAAGCCCACCAGTGCGTACGCGGACGAACCTCAATGACACCCTCAGAGAGAAAGAGATAGAAGACCTCGCCAGACAGGCTGTCACTACAAACAGACTGGACAAGATCCGTGAAAAGGATCCGAATGTCATTGTCCGTAAGACTTCTCGGAATTTTAGTCCGCAGGAGCGCAAATCAGCACCGCCAGAGCCACAAGAGACGTCGCCAAAAGCCGATAATGTCGACCTGAAGGATCTGGGAGAAGCAGTACCCAATACACCAGTCGTCGTTTACAGGTCGTCAAGCAGCAGTACGGACAAGTCCAAATCGTCCCAGCGATCAATGCCAGATTCTTTGGATCAATTACAGAGGCTAGCCCGGGCCGTCAGCACTACCCCAAGACCAAGTCCAGCTACACATGAGTTGTCTCTTGTTCTTGACGATGCGTCTGCAGTCCCGTTGCCCACTTTAGAAGATGACTTGAAGTCTCAATCTTCACTTGCAGATCACGACAACATCGACAATAAGAAAAAAGTAGCCGAGACTCCAAGAGTCACGGGCGGATGGACCGATACCATTTTACCAGATACCGTCAAGACAAGAAACCAAACTCAAAGGGTTACAAAGTATGCGCAAACGCCTCATGTCAATGCGGGAGGCTGGATAGAGACGCCGCTACCTAACGGAGATCGAGTTCCGAATATCCAGATACCGAGGATTGTCGAAGAGGAGACGGAGGAATTAGTGACTGGAGAGACTCCAACAGACGTTGCGGCAGCGGATGGCATGGAACATAACGCCCCTCCGCCAGCAGCTCCGGTGGAGGAGCCAGGGTCAAAAATTGCCCCAAAGAAAGAAGAGGTCATTCTTCCCAAAAGCGCCTTGACTAATGTTTTGAATGAAGCCAAACAGAAGCGGCTAGTATCACACGACATCACTGATCCTCCTCGAGACGAGAATGACACGCTTAACCTGGGCGACGCGACTATCCAGAGCTTTGAAGACCTCCTTACCGATGCTGCAGATATCACCGCAGACCTCACTAGCCTTATCAAAGCTGGTGCTGAGGAGGAAGTCCTAGCTCTCAGAGAGAGGAATAAATTGACTGCTCCTATTGCCTTAGATGAGGATACCTCATCAGCATCTGAGGTTGCATTTATTGGTCATTTGACAAGTCGGATGGAACGATTGATGTCAAATTTGCATGAAGCTAGAAAGGGCATCGCCCGGCTAGAACAAAAGGTCTCTCACACACCATCGATGTCTTTGACAGGACCGGATCAACAAATGCAGGCGCTGGTGGCTGTCGAGGATCCAAATCAACCCTGCGTGAGATGTGGTCGAAGCAATGATGACATCTCTCACCTTCCTCACCAAAAAGAGCCGGTTGCCATCTCGTCCTTCATGGCACTACCCATTGCCTACACAACATTCACTCTCCCCATTCCCCTGCTGTTCCACCCGCGCACAGCATCTCAGGACAACAAGCGCCGGAACCGTTTCATCGACGTTCTTCCGGGTAGTCCCACGTGGCTCGGATATCTCACCTTCTCCATCTGGATATGGTATATCCTCGAATGCGTCCTAGCAGAGATCTACGCAAGGCCGCTCTATGCAGAGCGGTATATCTGGCCAACTCAGCCAGAGCCTGAGTTTCCTTTCGTACTTCCGACAATGCTCTACAGATGGATCCTCGGTGGGAGCTTGGGAAGTATGCTAATTGCACCTGTGGTGACGGTCTCAAGCGTGGTTTGGAGACTGATTGTGGCTGTGTGTAAGGTTATGGGAATGTGGTTGGGGTGGTGGGATGGCTTCGTTGATGACGACAGGACCAGGAGCATCATGGCGACTGCTACGAAATCCGCTGCTCAAGCGGTTAAAAGTCTCATTTCCGGTCCCAGTGGCGCCAACCCTATCGAAATGGAGGGTTTGAGTATGATGAATGACGAAATTTTATGAACGATTCAACGACACGGTTGTGCAGGATACTGTGCGGATACTGATTGCTTGGATGGGCGACTACGTTTCACTTCGTGCATGTCGGAGCCGGGTGACATTGTATGGAGTTGGCAGGGTGGATATAAAACGGATGGGAAAACCAGGTCCAGGAATCCAAGTCTGCACGGCGTTGGCAAGGCACTGGTGACGGCCATGGTTCGGTCTCTGCTTTGTACCCTGTGTGCGAGGCACCGCACCGGAACCGCGTTACCTCTCGAGTTTGTTCGCTTCTAGGACGCTGGGCTGTATCTTTGGATCATGAAGAGATGGGAGGACAAGGACAAGCCTTGCTGTTCACAAAAGGAGTCAAAGTTTCGGCATGTTTTCTGCCCAGCAACAGTGGTGAAGTGAAGCGTACCTGGGCTTTTACGTCGTTTGGTGGGAATTGCTGCTGCAAGTCGAGATTATGTACTCGGTACCGCTGTTGACTGTACTCCTAGTGTAGGGACCAACGGGTGACTCTTGAGTTGGCAGCTCTTTCATGACTGCTGTTGTTCTGTTTCTGTCCTGCTCTACAGTCTGTGTCCCTTTGGGTTTCTGCTTCGTATTCATTAGTGGAGCCAACGAGACCAATGTTCGTAAGTGAGTTGCGTTCTGTCCGCGAGACTGCCTCCATCATCCAATTCATTACGACCAATAAGACCCATAAGACCCCGTAGCAAGGAGTAAATAGTAAGTAGTAAGTCGCCCGTTATTCCTTTTTCCCGTCCCGTTATTTTCCCTCACCCCGCCCCGCCTGCTTCTTCTTCTTTCTTCGCACCTCCTTGTAACACTCCGTCTTTTCACATGCGGGCAATCTCCTTCCCCCACACGCGGTTCAGGACCCAGGTGAAGACAATGACCACCCGGCTGCGCCAGTTGCGGTTCCACATCAGGCTGCCGCTGCGCCAGGCCAGCCAGGCGCTCCGCCCCGTCCAGCCCTCGTGGTTGGGGCCCTTGCCCGCGATGACGCCGTCGTGCGCGCCGATGTACGAGACCAGTTGTTTCTGCGAGTACGCGAACGGGCTGCTGAAGGCGGTGCTGCTCTCGGCGGGAGCGTTAGCGGTAGCGGTAGTAGAGGATAGCTCGGAGGGTGGTGGTTGTTGTGGTGGTGGCGGCGAGCCAGCGGGCTTCTTGGCCCGGGATTTGGCGAGCGCGTTGAAGTTCTGCACGAGGTACTGCGCCTTTTGGACCGCGACTTCGGCCGTGGTCGGGAGGGACGCGCCTTCGACGTCGGCTGCGTCGCCGAGGGCAAAGACCCCGTCGTGGACCTGGCCGATGTCTCCGTTCTGGAAGACCCGGAGGTGGTCGTCCGTCAAGACGCGCTTGAGGCCCCGCTGGGACAGTTTGACGTCGATCTGGTCCAGCAGCGGGACATGCTTGTTGCCCGTCGCCCAGATCAGCATCCCGTAGGGGACACGGCCTTTGTCCTTGATGTACAGCGCCTGGTCGTCGACCCGCTCGATCCTCGTGTTGGGCGCCACGTCGATGTGGCGCCGCTCCAGCTGACTCGCGGCGTACTCGTGCAGCTTGTTGTCGTACGCGCTCAGGATGTGCGGCGCCACGTCGTAGACGGAGATGCTCACGTACTGCGCGACGAGTGGGTAGGTGTACCGCAGCTCGTCCTGGCACAAATCGTCCAGCTCGGCCGTGAGCTCGATGCCGGTGGGACCCCCGCCGACGATGGCGATGTGGAGCAACTCGCGCGCCCGTTCGGGGGACACGTTGGGAAGCGAGGCCTTCTCGAGCAGATCAAAGAGCGTCTTGCGCACTCTCATCGCGTCCGAGACGTTCTTGATGAAGATGGCGTTCTCCGCTACGCCGGGCGTGTCGAACGTGTTCGGCATACATCCGGGCGCCAAGATTAGATAGTCATACTCGACGTCGAATTCGTCGTTGGCGAGTCGCGGGTCTTCCTCAAAGGCCGGCGCACAGCAACACGTCTTGGTCTGGAAATTGACGTCGAGAACGTTGGCTTTGATGAAGCGCAGTGCGGACCGCGATTTGCTGCGGACCGGTTCCTCGGCCAGGTAGAAGTTGAACAGACCTACCGCCGCAGAGGCCAGGAGCGGCGTGTATGCCGACGTACGACGCGGGGAGATCAAGGTGATGGAATAGGCATTGAGATCGATGTTCTCGGCGAGGTAAAAGCCTGCCCAGCCAGAGCCGACGATGACGATGCGAGGTTTGTTCGGGGCCGCCATTGCTTCAACAGGGCGCCTGATATAGTTCGATTCTCCCCGGGGGACGAACTTTGTCTTGGAGATGACGGAAACGAAGATATATATCACCCTCTAGAGTGCTCGAGTCGCAACCAGTTGGTCTTACTCACTTACTAACTAGCAGATCACAACGCGGTCGCCATCGTTCGTCTCGTCGATGGACTAATGTATCATCAGGCAGCAGTCTGGACTGGGCGAACAAGGAAGCAAAGGGCTTACCTGATGGCCCGTGCTTGATAGGAACATTGACTTTGACAAGCCTGCCTAGAATCTTGGGACGCCGTGGCGACGCGCCCAGTTCCATGGGTCTAGGGGAACGTTGCAGAGCAGCCAATCAGAGGAGAATTCTTCCAAACCGAATCAAGGAACAGGTCGGGAACCGTTGCAAGCCCGGGGTGCATCTGTTCGGTCATACTTCACCTCAGCAGGATGCAGGAGCCTTGGTCAGCGCTCCATACATAGAACGTCATTTGGCCTGCGATGGACCCGAAAGAGGCATCGTCAAAGCGGTGAGAGAAATAGAAAGATACGAAGCATTTGATCCCGTACAGGAGTAGAATACGAACTCGCTCGATGTTGCCAAGCCGGAACCGGGAGTTCCGAGTTCTTCCGAGTTTCGCAGATACAGCCTGGTCACATGATCCATACGGCAAAGGCAACACCAAGCAAGGCTCGACGACGACGACGACGGCGGCAACATCACCAACGGCAGAACAGGATACGACATGACACCTCTCTCTACTGCTGTCGGGAATTTCATTGATCCATTCAACTCAGACAGTGCCCTTCGGGGCTGTTGCTGCCACCATGCAGTAAAACCCCCCGGGCCTCCCTTGCCGGTACTATCACGTATCACTTTTTGCTCCCTTCCTATCCATGATGACAATTTCGGGAATGCACACCCTCCCAGAGACCTAGTGTTGCTTTCATCCATCCTTCAATGCTATCAGCCTTTTGCCGGCAAGAATTTGTTTGTGTACAAGTACAGTCGCAATTAATGAAGAAAAGACCGGGCAATTCAGATACCCCTTTCCCCCGCAACAGGCGCATGGTCTCGACGCAATAACAGTTTTCGACATTCTGTCCGTGCTTTTCGCCATTTTTTCCTTTCGCAGAAGAATCGAATGCCCGACTCCGTGAGATAAAATAGAGGAGAGACGATGTTGCTGAAGGCTCGTGTCGTTTTACTTCACCCATGCACTAATGGCCAGAACCATAGCTGCCGTTCCATCCTCGGCCGCCACCGTATCCGCCATAAGTGCCGAATCCAGTATTCGAGCCATAGCCTCCGTATCCAGTGTTCTGATGAGTGTTTTGGTGGCCGCTGCCCAATCCACCTCCATATTGAGGATACGCGCCGAAAGCCTGTTGACCCGAGTGCTGCGATGGAGGAGGCAAGCCACCTTGCTGCTGACCGGGGAAGCTGTTCACGGCAGATCCAGGGCGGCCACCTTGCATCGAGGGACTTGGTCCTGACGGTTTGGCGGGGTCCTCGGAATGAGCCCCATGCTGCTGAGCCAAACCCTGAGCCTGTCCAAAGCTGGAGGATGAACGTCCGAACGGGTCAGGCATGCCACCAAAGCTGGTGCTGCCCGCAGCACTCTGCTGAGCCTCAGAAGGCTGAGCCGACCCTGCTCGACCATAACCACCCTCTCGCCCAAAACCGCTGACATTCGCCGGGGACGACGAGTGCTCATAGGAGTAGCCTTGCTGAGGTTGTCCATACATGTTCGACTTGTACGTATTGCCATAGTGGTTTTGTGCACCATAATTGTATTGACTGCCATAGTATTCGTTTTCTTGACGTCGTACATCATCAAACATGGGTCGATTCGCTCCGTAACGGTGGTTTATCGAGCCCATATAATTGGCACCATACTGAGGATACTGTTGGTTGTATGCGCTCGGGTAGCCGTAACCAGGATATCCATGACCTTGATTTTGCTGCATGTGACCAGAAGGTTGCTGGGTCGGGTGACCGGGAATGCCAGGTGCCGGAGTATTTTGTCCACTGCCTTGTGCTTCCTGTTGACCCATTCCGTGTTGGGGACGTGACGTGGCATACTGCCCTTGACTGTCCGGAGCCGAAGTACCAAACGTGCTGCCAGAACGTTGAGCATCTTGCCCATGGCCATATCCATAGTAATTGTAAGCGTCGCGACCGTAGTAAGAAGAATAGTCCGGCTGAGAGGTCGCCGTGCTAGGTTGGCTCGGGACTTGGTTGGAAAAGGGCTCTTGAGTCTGGGCCTGAGTGGTTGGAGGTTGACCGAAGGGATCGAACGGTTTCTGGCCTTGACCATATCTGTACTGCTCTGCATACGCCGAGGAAGTCTGAGGTGACGGTTCGTGAGCCGGCTGGGGGGCGGAAGGCAGGCCAGGTGCTTGTCGTTGAGCAGTCGCTGAAGCCTCGGCCAGCGGTTGAGTCGGAGCAGCAGCGGGTGTTTGCTGGGCTTCGGGCACAGCTGGAGGCAATGAAGCACGGGGAGCAGCGGGTGAGTCGTCTGGAAGTTGAGTACGTGTCTCCGGCTCCTCTCTGTCTTCGTCGACATCAATATCATCCGGTCCGTTCAATCCCAACTTGCCAAATTGTACAGCCGCCTTTTCAATGGCGTGATTGCCGGGCATAACTACTGCCTCTTGCTGCTCCATAACCTTTCTCGCGAAGCTAGCAGATCGACTGGTGCCTCCGGTGGCTTTCAACGCGGTGGCAGCGTAACCTGAGACTGGTCGAGCGGCGGTCTTGGAAGCTTCCGGTGCAGCGAGTGGATCTTGGGTGCTTGCGACGGTGCTAGCTGCAGTGGCAGATTCAATGGGGTGGGACGTGTCTGGGAGCTTCTCCAGATTCTGTTCTGTGAGTTCATCTTTAGGTGGTGTTAGATCTTTTCCTGTGTCCGAATGCGGCGCGGATGGCAGCTCACTTGGTCCTTCTTGGTTGTAATCCACCGCTTCGATCGGGGGCGGGGCGATTGGCTCAGTAGGAGGTACGGGCTCCTCGATGACCGGCTCGGGTTCAACTGGTAGTTGTTCAGGCTGCGCAACAGCAGGGGGAGGGGGTGCGGGAGCCTTCTTGGGAGCTGGAGCAGGGGGTGGTTTGGCAAACAATCCAGCCCACCCGCCGGGTTTGGCGGTAGCTGGCGCTGCAGCGGAAGCGGGCTTGGGCTCTTCGGTTTGCAAAGAAGTGAGTGAGTCCTTCCCAGGCTCATTTGGCCAACTCTCTGTGGCTGTCGCATCACCATTTGTCGGGGCAGTGTCGACCGCAGCAGCGTCCGCTGGAGCGGGGGTGGCAGAATCCAAGCCGTCAGTCGTCTGTGCGGGTTTTGTACCATTTGTGTGTGCGGCAGAGACTGATTTTGCACCCCGGCCACCTCTAGCACCACGTTCAGCACCGCGACCTCTTCCTCGACCTTCGAAATTACCACGGCCACGACCCCGAGTAGAAGCGTCGGTTGATGCGGGAGGAATCTCTTTGGGCTTGGGGTGTTTCTTCTTGACCTCACCCCATTGTGAGATGGTACCTAAAGTAGGATGGTTAGCGATTTCAGGCATAGGAACATAAATATTAGCTCTCTCACCACTTGAAATGCGATCAACAGCAGCATTGACATCGCCGTCGGTTTCGTTCAAGGCATAGACCAAATCTTCATCGCTCCAACCGGGACAGATTTCTTTGAGGAGAGGGACCTTGTCGCCAAACTTCTTGAGCAGTTCACCGACTTCACCCTGATCTTCTAGCGGCGCGGGAGGGAGGTTCTCTTGGTCGTGATCTGGTTTGTGTTGTGATCTCGAAGGATTGCGAGTGCCACGGAAACCACCTCTGCCACCTCTAAATCCGCCACGACCTCTTAGGCCGCTTCCGCGGCTTTGGACTTCTGCCATTGCTGTGTAGGTGTGAAGGATGTGGAGGGATGTTGAAGAAGAAGGATGGAAGGGAGGTGTGGCTCGTGGCGGTTGACAAAGGGAGACGGTGACAATAATCGTAAATTAGTGGAAGTCGCAGCTACTAAAAGAGCAGCCGGCCCCGCGGTGAAGGGAGGTTACAGGGTGAGGCAAGTGATGAGCGGGTGAGTTGGATCTAAAAGCACAGTGATGTTGACATGAAGACAGAATGATTGTGGCCGGAACACATTCAAGAGGCTTGTTTAGTTTCAAAAAGGCAAAAGCAAAGGCGGCCACAGATTCTGGGGGAGGGAATTGCCAAGCACCTGAGACTTGGACGGTGCTGAGGCGGCTAAGCCCAGGGACAAACCAGGGCTTCCAGGCACCACGACTAGTTGGCTAGTGGTTGCTAGCTGGCTCCCTAGGGGGAGTTAGTGAGGCGTCTCAGTGCCCCCACACAAGTACCCAGCGGCGAGAGCAGCGTCTACGACCTCATTCCACTCCGTCAGTACTGCGATACCCAGAATACACCTCAGCATACAATGATTGTGCTCTAATCGGGAGTCCAACAATGAGACTCACTCCTTCTCTCGCCATCCGCAAGCTGCTCGCCTCGATTCACCCTCCTCTTTCTCCCCAATCGCCTCGCGAATCCAAACAGCTCCTCAACGTCCTCGAATCCGCCTTCCAGCGACGACTCGACGAAACCCATCCCTCCCCGAGAGCCGCAGCAACAGGCATCGAGATTCAGCATGGCTCTGAATTAATCCCAGATCCGGCCCAAAGAGTCACCCATTCCACCCATTCTCACCTAGACACCATCCTCGGTCATCCGCTTTTCAAGCAACAGTCGCTTACTTTTCTTCAAACCCATGGTCTAGCTGCCACGGCGGTCAAGACATTCGACGATGCTTTATTGAAGCAAGGTCTCGACTCCGATCTTGTCCAGTCCTGCGCTCTGCAATATCTCAAAGGCCGTGAGAAGCGAGGCAAATCTCCCAAGGATGAAGGACTGGGACCGAGGCTGGCTCGTTGGTTCAACGCCATGACCGGCTCTGAGAAGAAGGATTTACTGCTCAATGAAAAATACATGGAGCCCTTGGTCTCAGTCATGTACGCTGACGGACTGGAACGCGAAGTCTGGCAATGGTTGCAAGTTCTCTACGAACGATCTTTCGCCAATTTCATCTTCATCCCCACCGACGACTGCGCCCCTGATGCCGTTGCTTACCTGCGCGCGGAAGATCGTCTCGTGTCTCTGATGATCAAGGAAACCGCTCGCCGCGGACGGCTGCAGGAAGCTGTACAGCTATATACGCAAGCATACGAGTATCGTCTCAACTCCGGAAGATCCGTCCTCTCAGAGGGAAAGTCTTCCCCCGAGCCTCTGCAACGGTCCTGGCGTCAAGTGGCTGGGGCAATACTCTTACAAAACAAGCGCAGCAAAAGAGGTCTACCAGCAAGCCTTTACGATCTAATATTGAAATACAGCCTGACGATCGATTATTCTCCTTTCGACCCGGCTATTCTCCATATCTACCATCCGACAACTCCAACGGCTCATCCGCTGTTTCAGAAACTCCAAGAATCATCGTTCCTAGAACAATTCGCCAGATGGCAGAAGAACCCCAACAGATTCGTTCGGAGGATCTTGCTTGTTTCCGTACTAGATGCAGCCGAGCTATCCTTGAGCCACGCTCATCCTCGTGAAGCCAGAGAGTTCCTCGACTTTGCCGAACGAACATATCCCGACTTTCTGCGCTCGCATGAAGAAAAGACCGACACGGCGGAAAGATTGCAACTGGCTCGACAGGAGATCCTGGTGAGAAAGGAGTTCCGTTCGTCGGGCTATGCCACTGCCCCGGAACTGCAAGTACTAGTGTGAGCAGAGCCGGAAGCAGCATGACCTCCGACCCAAAAATGAGAACTTGATACTCCACTAGTCGACGAAAATGATCCGTGTCGTACGCCAAGCTGCTGTTGAACAATAGGCGAGTCTGCAACAGCCGACTGGGCCAACATCCAAGGAGACACCTCTCCAGCTAGCTTATAACACCTCTTAGTCAAGATCGGGATTCGAGTCGAATCGCGTGACAGCACGGCGCAATACGCAATACGCAATTCGCAATACACAACACGCGCGGCCGAAGAACGAAGATAGGGCCATCACTGTGGAGACTATCCATCAAATCAGGTGCAAGAGAGCCCGCCCTGGATGAAGAGGTACTCTGTCGGTTCAGCTCGAAACAGGCGGACACGTGCAGTGACTCTTCGAGGGACGCACGACACAAACCGAGTTATTCGCAAGAGACGCGACGGATGTACATAAGTGCTCCGCCATTCGCGGGGCACACCAGAAGAGCGAACAGAAGAGCTCGAGGTTAAAAGACCTCGCTTTTCGTCGTTATGTGCATGCGACATAGTCGTTAGGGCCCCTGCTCGGCCCAAGAAGTGGGTTATATACTGTTATTCCGCTACTGGGATCTTTCATTTCCAGACTTTTGGGAACCCTAGAGTAGCATACAATATGCAGCGTCGTTAAAGACAATCTGTTCCGCCAGTGGACCAGACGAAATCGAAAAGATGCAAACCCCCGTGTTGCCTACCTACCTACCTGGCCTATTCCACATACACATGCGTAACGGCACCCTCCAGCTCCTAGCCGCAACATTGCAACACGTTGATCCCCGACCCATCTCATCGCCCTGCGGACCTTGGAGGGGGAAGTAGTAGGGCCGCAATCGTCCGGCTGGAATATCGCCGTGAACCGTCGCGAGCGGTGTAGATGTCGGAGAAGCTGGCTGTTGGAAAAAGAGCAGGTTGGATGGGTTGCAGGTGTCTTCGGGGGTCCTTGGGTGGGTAGGTACCTGGGTATCTATCAGGTTGTCAGCAGTGAGACAGACACGCACCCAGTCACGACTTGTCCATAGCCGTAACATGCCACAGGATCGGCATTGCTCTGTATTCTGATCGACAAGGCTGTGCTGCATGAGAGGTAAAAAAAAACAAACAGATTAGTCTTGAGCTTGAGTGGGAGAGTGAAGGTAGCAGTCATATTGGGCTGCGGAAATCCCATGATATGTCCCTTCCGGTCAGTGTCGCCGCATGAGTCCAGGCTCGTATCTAGTATACACCCACGCTTCCAAGCGCCATAGATCCTTTCTGGGGTGCGGGGTGCTTTCATATCTTCGAGGGCTCGTCCTTGTCCGTGCCTTTCAACGCGTCCACGCGCGCCTTCATGCCTTCAATCATCTTGGTCAACTCCTCGTCCGTACGGTTCGAGTTCGGGATCTTCCTGGCGCTCTGCACCGCGGGCCTCTCCTCGATGCGCTTCATCCACTTGTCCACCCCCGGGAACTCGCTCATGTCGATGTCCAAGAACAGCGGGCCCGCTCGGACCCAGGCGTAATTTGCCATGTCGGCGATCGTGTACTTGTCACCAGCGAGCCAGTCGGCCTTGGACAGGCGGATCTCCAGCACACCGTACAGGCGCTTGGTTTCGTCGAGATAGCGCTTGATGCCGTAGGCAGAGTACACCGGTGCCATGGCGCGGAAGTGGTTGGCCTGTCCTGTTTCACTGCTCAGCCCCTTGAATGTCTCAGTCACTTTTCCTCGACCGGGACGCACCTTGCATCGGTCCAATGCCGCCCATTTGGAACATCAACCAGCTCATCATCTCATAATAAAGCCCGCTCCCGTACTCGTATGTGAACTTCTTCTCCTTGTCATACATGTCGGTCAAATACAACATAATGGCGCCGCTTTCAAACACCCGCAGGTCACCGTCCTTGAGCGCGGGGATACGGCCATTGGGGTTGATTTCGAGGAACCACGGCTCCTTTTGTTCATTGGTCATGATGTTGATGCCGCGGACATCGTATTTGAGACCCAGTTCCTCGAGGACAATGGTGGGTTTCAAGCCATTGGGGGTTCCTGCCGTGTAGAGCGTGAGGGCATTGTACGGAGGAGAGGACATGTTGCCGGCTTGCGTTCGAACAGTCTTGTCTGGTGAAGGGTCGAGCCTGAGGAGTCTCTTCTGGTGTACCTGGATCCCAGATTGAAGTAGTGGAAGACTCTTTGTTTTTGACCTCGTACTCGGGTTCGCAATTGCAGCGGTGCGAGATGTAAAGCTGACGGCAGGTGAGAGGCTTCCCAAGCTTCTTATGGCTCGCGATGTGGTGTTGTTTACCGGCGTAGGGAGGGAGGCTGTCAATCCAATGACGTGTCGAACTGCGCGTGTTCTCCTCATGGATTGGATCTTCCCCCTCGTCTATGCTAAGAACCGAGGGGTGTCTTGCGGCAACCTATTCTCGTATCATTATCGTTGTGGTGACATTGAACGAAGCGTCTAGGCAGCCGGCCCCAACCTTCACACACACCTGACCGTGATAACTATGGCGATAATGAGCCAGCAAGCGGCAGCTTTCCTTGATGCTGTCGCAGTGATTGGGTGGTTCGGTAGTCGGCAGGGTGGTCGCTAAGGACTTGCGGGAATCGACACGCTCTTCATCTGGAGCCAGTGTCCCCAGAATGGCCGCATATTTCCCCTGAGCTTATAAAGCAGGGTCGGAACACTGTGGTGCTGGGGACGCCGATTCATCTTTGTCCCTCTTTCACATCGTGCTAGCCGTGACCTTCGGGCGAATTCTGGTTCCGGGCCTGATATCTTGATGCCTTCTCGGCCGATACATGCCTTGATGTGTGGGATCATATCTGCGACACGTGGAAGAGACAGAAGACGCGCCTCAGAAGTTTTGATTACCAAGGGCAGGGACATGTCCTTACCAGTTTATGTCTCACGAGAACGCTAGTAATACTGCCCAGATCGCCCAAATCATGACTGTCCTTCCCTGCTGCTCCCAGAGCTCCTGTTGACGCTCCTGTTACTTGCCTTTAACATCGACTCAGTTCGCCGGGTTCCCGCTTTGGTTTGTCGGGACCCTGCTCACCGGCGCAGAGGTTCCATCTGCGTTCTCCCCAAGAGCCAACAGTCCCTCCTTGTGGAAGGGCTTTTGGGCCCTGGCAGCCTTCTCCTCGCTATACCTCCATATTCCAGCTGTTTTATCGGGCACGACGCCTTCCCAGCTATAGACACCAAAGCTGGTCACCACCTTTACCAGGTCCTCGAACGTCTTTTCAAATCTATCCTTTGGATCCGCTTGGACGAAAAACATCCGTTCCCAATCTCGCTTTTCTTCTTGCTCCTTCTTGCGCAACGCTCGCTGGGCATTCTCGATTCTGGACTTGTAGTGCGAGGCAGCCTCCATTTCACCCTTCTCGATGCTTTGGGCGACCCGTGACCACGCTCTTCTACTCTCAAAGACATCTTGCTCCTCTATAGGGGCGACGTTCAGTTTGGACAGTTTGATGTTCGATGGCTTGAAGGTTTCGATCTCTCTACCCTTCTTGCTGTCGCCCTCTCTTATTGTAAACGAGTCCGACCATTGCCCGTCCGCTGTGTAGAGGGGGTTTTTCTCTGAGCCTTCGCCTTCTTTCCACAACGACGCTGTGAAGCTGTTCTTCTTCCCAGATAGCCAGCCCTTGCCAGTAAAATCGATTTTGGCGACATATCCACTGCTCGAAGCGATATGTATGAATTTACTCAACTCGACAAAGGGTGCTCCGTAGATGAGACTCTCTATGTGCAGAGCAGGCAGAGTGATGAGGTAGGTCTCGGCATGGTCACTGTTGGGAGGATGCAGGGTCAAGAGAGCATGTCCAATCTGTTTGACTTGGATAGTTCGACTAAAACTGGCTTTCTGACCGTTGTAGCCCTGCAGCCGTATGCGATGCCTCTCGTTGGTAATGCAGTAGGCTGTGACTGGAGGGTGGTGGCTGACTTGCTCCGAGACCAGCGTCGTCTCGCCGAATTCGTCGTCCCATTTCCCCAGGAACAGCTCGCCTAGGAATGGGTTGAGTGGCTTCTTCTCCGAGCCAAGTTTCTCTGAACGCGAGCAGTATTGTTGTTTGAGAGTGTTGAGCAACCACTTCAGTACCAGTAAAGCGCGCCTGGCAGGATCCTTCTCTTGAGTCGGCGCGATGAATAGCGACGTGTTTTCAGCCCAGTATGCAGAAAATTCGACGAGGGATTGGGTAGAGAGGATGAAGGCCGGGGCGGTTAGCGAGGACAAGTCGCCATTGAAAGAGGCAATCGACTGGGTGCATTTGTCAGTGTCCGGAGCATGCGCTGTGTTTGTACCCTGCTCTCAGGCCAACTTATGGACTCACCTTAAGAAATGAAGACCACGATCCCTTGCTTTGATTTGGCACCGCGCCGCCTTCGACTTCGGGCATCGTGTACTTGGGTGGCCGCTTTGTGCAGTACTAACGAGACGATGGGGCAGTCGCGTGCTCACGGACTTCTGTTGCGTGTTATGGTGAAGAAGTGGAGGGAATAGCGTAGAGACAATTCGAGGAGCAAAACAAAAAGAGAGCGACGATCTTTGTTAAACAAGAGAGGGAACACTCGTTGATCCAGGGAAATGGTGGACGGGCGCAATTGTTGAATGTGACAGCGAGGGTCTCAATGTGGTTGGAGGGAGCCAAAGTCCCCTTCAATCTCGGTGACGTATGGTGGTTGAAGCCGAATGGAACCACCACTCAGGCACGAGCAAGCCGTCACTGCCACATGGAAAAATCGAGGTCCCACTGGAATAGAACTATTCTCCTTTTGGCTGGAAGTTTTCAAGGTATGTAGGATAAAGCTAGGGTACAGGGGAGCTATTCCTCACTTAAAAAGTTCTGCTCTCGATAATAATGGAGGCAGGCAAGCGTCATCTCTCCAAAAGATATAAGGATGCGCAGGAACCCCTTCAGCGGCATTCCCAGTTCTTGATGTTGAGACCGTTTCACAGAGTGCCAGCAGTGTTGAAGTCCTTCAACGCCTCTGCCACACGAGCGCTCATGGTCTTCTCACCTTCACGCACCCACACGCGGGGATCGAAGTACTTCTTGTTGGGCTTGTCCTCACCATCTGGGTTACCGACTTGCTTCATGATGTAGTCTTTCTTGTTCAGCACATAATCACGGATACCAGTCAGGTAGGCATATTGCAAGTCGGTGTCGAGGTTAACTTTGACCACACCATAGCTGATGGCATCGGTGTATTCCTTCTTGGACGAGCCGGAGCCGCCGTGGAAGACAAGGAACACGGGCTTGTCCGTCTTGGTGGACTCCTTCTCCTTGACGTATTTTTGGTGCTTGTCCAGCAGTTCTGGGTGAAGACGGACGTTGCCGGGCTTGTAGACACCGTGAACATTACCGAAGCCTGCGGCAATCGAGAAGTAGGGAGAGATCTTCTTCAAGGTGGTGTAGATCAAGTGGATGTCTTCGGGCTGGGTGTAAAGGGCGTTGTTGTCGACATCCTCGTTGTTGACACCATCTTCCTCTCCACCGGTAATACCAATTTCCTAAATACCCCTTAGTCTTCTGATTGCTCCGGACCTTTTGGGCATACGTACCATTTCAAGCCATTGCTTCATGGGTGCCGCCCGCTTGAGATATTTCGCCGTGGTCTCAATGTTCCAGTCAACAGCTTCTTCAGACAAGTCAATCATGTGTGAGGAGAACAGAGGCTCGCCATGTTCCTTGAAGTAGGCCTCGTCCGCGTCCATCATGCCATCGAGCCAGGGAAGAAGCTTCTTCGCGCAGTGATCGGTGTGCAGGACAACAGGGACACCGTATGCGGGAGCGACACAGCGGATGTAGTGAGCCGCAGCTACCGCACCAGCAATAGATGCTTGTTGCTTATCATTCTTGACACCCTGTAAAAGGTTCTCAGTTTGCCGTTCTTTGCACCGTGCTTGTGTCAACGAACCTTGCCACAGAAGTACGCAGCACCTCCCTGAGAGGCCTGGAGAATGATGGGGGCATTTGCGTCACGGGCAGCTTCCAGAGCGGCCACAACGGTCGAGGAGGAGGTCACGTTCTACACAGCAAAGGTCAGTGACAGTCCCATTGGGTTGGGGCTGGGCAGCTTACAATGGCGGGAATTGCAAAGTTGTGCTCTTGAGCGTATTTGAAGAGATTCAAGACATCGTCACCGACGATGACGCCCTCCTTTCGCGACAAGATATCCTTGACACCCATACTGGCGATTGCTGTAGTGGGGCTTTCGGGGGTTGGTTGGAGGAGGGGTGGAAATCACAGTAGCAAGGTCTTTCTCAAGAATCTGAGCTATGGATAAGCAGCGGCAGTGTATATCACAGGAGAAGCCAAGGGCAAGGATGAAGGAGAAATCTGTGAGAAAAGAATAGAATCGAAGTGAAAATGAGTTCGGCTTGTGGGAGAGGAACAAAATGAATGCCGCTGGCTGGCTTCCGAAGCGGCGATGGGAGAAAGTGGTGAGGGGCAGCAACTGGCGCAACCAGCAATGACATCGAGCTTCTTTTTGCCCACTGGTGCCACTGTTGTTTTCAATTCCTCGGCCAGCGAGTTTTCATTCGCTTTCCCGCCAAACCCCCACAATCATGCTCTGTCCCTCGTCCCGGTTCTCTCCTTACTATCGATGTCTCATCTACGGATCTCACACTGTTCCATCCTTTTGCCCTGCGGAACTTTACGGGATTTGCCGCCCACAGCGCAAGTCCTTTCCCCACGATGAGCCAGTGGACCCGTTGGGGATGCACCTGGCAGTTACTTGGGCAGAAGAAACAGCTGACAAGAGGAGAGTGCCCAGCTTTTGTGCAGAGAGTATATTCTCACATTGACGGTCGACCATATTCAGACAGTCCTGTATTACTCGGGACCAACCCTTTGCCAGATTCTACGTCCTCTACCACAACCGTCAAAGATATTCCAAACGACACCTTTACTGCGTGAACTCTTCCACACCGAAAACAAGTTTAACATGTCTAATCATGGAAAGAGCTCAGAAAAGGACGCCAAAGGATGCAGACTGCCAGAGATCCCAAAAATGCCTGACGCAGAAGCCTCGGGTTGGCAAGCCAGGGGCAGTGGAGCATTCCTGCTACTTCAAGAGTCGTTTTCAAGTCTGCTCAGTGGGTCCGCTCTGAGAGAAGAGGAGAAGTGCAGTTAATGAATGGCCCAGAAAGATACCTTGGACGGAACGGGCTAAGGAGACCCGGTACAGATTAGGTGCTACGGAGACAACGTGAGCTGGTGGCTGCTTGAGCACAGTTGCAATCCCATGACGAAGGTGAGTTGACGGTAGAGCTGGAGCATGACGGGGACATCGAACAGCATGCAGAATGAAGGACTTTTCGACCCCGAGATTATCCACCTGCATGATTCTAGTCATCTAACCCCGGCTTAATAACACGAACATAAAGAGAAACCCTTGACCGAGGGGAGCAACCTCACTTTTGCTCGGCCCATTCATCCGCGTACTTCTTCAGCCTGATGGTCTGGATCTTGATAAACCCTGTGGTGTCCTCGGGGCTGAAGTTCTCCAACGAGTCCATCGACGCCTCCTCCATGGAGTACAGCTTCTCGCTGCTGCTGGTACGGCCGAGGACGTACGTATTTCCCTTGTAGCAGCTCAACCGGACCTCGCCGTTCACGTTCTGCTGGCTGTAGACCAGGGAGTTCTCTACGAATGCACGCTCCGGGGAGAAGTCTAGAGGGGCGGAGTCGTTAGTACAGGTCGACAGGGGAGACGCAGTGCCTTCAACAGGGGGACGTGGGAAGGGTATTCCTATACGTACACATTCCGTTGTAGACTAGAGAGAAAATTAGTATCCGAGAACGTAAATGGTAGGGGTCATGACTTACGGTAGTTACTCCAGTTGTGAGTGACGAACTAAGAATCGAAGCATCAGCTGCCGCTGCAGGTAGACGGACAGGGAAGATGCGGGACTTACCTGGTCTCGAAGAGCCCTAACTTGGCCATCAAGAACCAAACCTTCGAGGTCAAGGTGTGCGAGGCGAAGAATGGTCATGGCCGGGGACTGTAGGTGGATTAGTTAGAGTTGTGAATCCGAACATTTGCGGCGTGATAGAGAGACAGGTAATCAGCCCAACCGGGCCGGTGAGAAGCATGAGATCCCGACAAAGGGAGCTCAATCTCCTACCACATGCCTTTGATCTGGCTTGGGAATCAGGGATGGAGAGTGGAGGGGAAATAACTTACGTCGTAACATCCACGAGACTTCAACCCAATGAACCTATTTTCGACAATGTCAATTCGGCCGATACCGTGGACTTTTCCGATACGGTTCAGCTCCTTGAAGAGCTGCACAGAGTCTGTGAAGGTTCCCTTCGGCGTGACGACCTTGGTCGGGATACCCTTCTCGAAGCTGATGGTGATGTTGCTTGGCTCGTTGGGAGCTTTCAGCGGGTCGTCAGTCATGGTCCACATGTCGCTCGGCGGCTCCTGGTTCGGGTCTTCCAAGATGCCAGCTTCGTAGCTGCAGTGGGCGAGGTTGGCATCCATTGACCATGGCTTCGCCTTGGTGGATGTAACCGGAAGGTTTGTCGCCGCGGCATAGTCGAGCAGATCGTTCCGACCCTGGAATCGGTTGAAGAACTCGGGGTCCCTCCATGGAGCAATGATCTTGATGGTAGGCTGGATCGCGTAGAAGGCGAACTCGAAGCGGAGTTGGTCGTTGCCCTTGGAAGGATTAGAAAATGACCACACCTGAAGACACAAGAGCTCGTTACCTTGGCGGTAGCACCATGGCTCACGGAGTCGCAGCCTTCACGCTGTGCCACTCGCATGAGAGATCGGGCAATCACTGGGCGTGCAAGCGACGTGCCAAGCAGGTACCGCCCTTCGTACTGTGACACTACATTAATTTCTGCGAACCAGTCACCGGCGTCATATAGGTGTAACTCACTTGAGCATTGCACTGCACAGCCCTGAAGCACAGTTCTTCCACAAACTCCTTCTGCAAATCCTCAATTACCATCTTCGTGGCACCAATCTTGAGGGCCTTCTTCTCGACGGCATCCCAATCTTCTTCTTGTCCAACATTGGCAAGGAAGCACACGACCTCATAGCCATCGTCTGTGATTCATCTATCAGTCATTTGTGTTGCAGTGCAGAGAACCCAGGACTGTGAGGATCTTACCGAGCAGCCACCTCAGAATGCAGCTTGTATCCAGGCCACCTGTGTATTCAAATCAGCAATTCATGCTCCCATTGTCCTTCTGACTCATATCTAACCGCTGTAGGCCTGTATACCATTAGAGAGACCAAAGTTGTTGTTGCTGGGCTGTCACTTACCAAGCAGACTTTTCCCTTTGCCATGTTGTCAATATGTGTGTGAAGAATGAGCTGGACCTATCTTGCAAGCAGTAGAGAGGCTATCAAGGTGGCTCCAGCAGCTGATAACCGCTCAAGGATGTCACAAATTTTCTTTTCTACCCCACGTGAGGTCGAGAAACTTTTTTAGAGTGTGGCGCATTAGAGCATGATAAGGCTCTGTCAGTCCACTAGTACCTTGGCGGGGCATTACCCTAAGTCGAAAGGAGTCAGGCGCAGCGCGTCGCGAAAATACTGTAAACATTTATCCCCTCGAATCAACCACGGCAACCAAAAATTTCTTGATGTGCAGGGAAAACTCTGACTGCATGATGGGCAAAGATAACCCACCAAGAGCCAACAGAATTCAAAAGGGCCACATGTAGACGACGACTGGGGTGAGTTGTCTTCAATAGTTTATTTTGAGCCTCAGTCCAAGGCTCAGGGATCAACAAGCAGCGACTCTAAGGATTGAACCATATCTTACGGACCAGGATGAACAGCCTACTTTGTCGACATTCTAGCACGGGTATTGACTAGTCCGGCGTTAGAGGGGTAAGTTCATCCTACAGTGACTTGTTGGAGCGAGAAGGTTCCCCTGGCTAGAGCCAAGTGCCGCAGAGCTGGGTGAAACCTCCAGTATCTGCAGCCTTTGTGTCGATATTGACCAGGATATATGCAGACGTTTGCAGCTCCGCTCTATCCAAGATCTAGCGATATGAAAAGGGCCAAAGTCGTGTAACCAAACATCTATCAAATTCCGTTTTCCATATTGCACCAAATGTCCGATTTAACGAGGGTTTTAAAGTAGTCCCTGAGGTTGGCGGGAAGTGGGCATACTCCCAAATGGCGAGAGGTTCAGGCAGAAGAATCGTCGCCGGGCCGTTCGAGCTCATAGAAGAGTAAGTACACCTCCCGCTGCATCGAGAGCACATCCGACAGGCGTGCCTCCTTGATTTTGTCGTCCGATATGCGCCACCATCGATCGTTGGATTTTTTCCGTCGCCGGAACTTTCCTGGTATTGGATCTTGTGTTCTAATCTGTTTCGATATTTGGGTATCCGTTCTTTGTACCGGCGACATGACACTGTCTTCTTGCGTGGGTGGACGGGAATCCTTGCCATCTACCCCATTAGAAGTTGGTCTGCTGTTGCCAGTCGATAGAGAGGCTGTCGACAATGATGTAGTCGAGTTCCCATTAGGAGGTGCGGCGGACCCGTTGAGTCCGTCACCATGCGTGGCCTCCATCGTCGGACTAGGCGTGGCCGACGAAACCAAGCTCGTATAGCGACTTGCGATAGCGTATGCGCTGAAAGGATCAGGTGTGGCGAAGGGAGCGTAAACATGGTTTCTCCGGAAAGACTCGTAGTGTCCGCTGTGATGACTGCCTTTGTGACATACCACTCCCAAGAGCTTGTACCAATGTTCATTTAACAGCCCTCCCAGACGCAGTCTCTGCGTATATGACACTTTGGCCATGTTTTTGGTGGAGTAGCTGCCTGGATCGAAGACCGACCGAGACAGGTGAATAGCGATCACTTTGGGGAACACTGTGATGCGGGTCGATTTTTTGATCTTGCTCTTTGGCGCCAGACTCGTGTCGGGTAATGTGACACCCTCGGGGGTCTTCTCTGGATCATCACGTAGCGCCTGCTCGATGAGACCAATGTCTTTCTCCAGAGATTCTCGGTCCTTGTCCGTCGTGGATGACGACAGCTTAGATTTCTTCCACTCTAGAGCATGCGTCAGCCGGCATTTGTCGCATTTAAAATCGTCAATTTCTTCGCTTTTGAGTAGGATGTCGAAGCAATTATCTAAAGAAGTGGCGCTCTTCTGAGGAACATTCAAGGTCAGAGAAACAAAAGTTGTGACAGTCGGTTTTGTCCGAAAGCCGCAGCGCTGGCACTGAATATGGGATTCGAAGCGGCCTTCGAATGGAAAACCTTCGCGAGCTCCTATCGTGACCTCGGTTGATGCTGAAGTCATATGAGAAGGCTTGGAATCGGCCGTAGAGGGATCCTCGGTCTGACCTGGGTTTGCAAACCTGAGCCGCGCCCGCTGTGCTGCATGGTATTCGTCGCAGAGCCGTTCGAGGACAATCTGGAGAAATTCCTGCGCATCTTGCTGATTCCGGCTAATGCGTGTATTGAATGCCCTCTCCAACGCCTCTATCATGGGTCTTGCACTGATGGTTTTCTTGTATATGGGACGCTCGTTCAAAGCATCCAGCATGTCCTTCAACGCTTTCGTGACCGGCCCTTTTTGTAAACCCACGATTCTATCGGCCTTTTCACCCTTGCGCAGCACGGGGGGGATGGATTCATAAATCTCGGGTCCTTCAAGCTGTCTCCTGTGCAATTCCTTGATCAGGTAGAGCCTGAGGTCACCGAGGCCAGCAAGTGCTTGAAGGACCGAATTGATGAAGCAATCGTTGGCCGGGTTGGACAGACCAATAATTGTGCGTTTGCGGCCATCATTGGTATTGTAGGAATTCTCGCCGTCGATGAAGAAGGTCGGCGCAAAGACGTAGAATGCAGCGATTGCAGCAAGAGAAGCGCCAGCCGCATATGCGACGACCGTGGCAGGCTTGTCAGGCATCCGGATAGTGTTCTGGTGTCGGGGTCAGACCCATGGCGCTTACGACGACTGATCACGACATTGGGACGAGAAAGGGTCGGTCGCGTTGACGAGAGAGGTAGTTGAAGGACTGCTGGGAGGAGGAGGTGGTGGTTGCTTGCAAGAAGGTTGAACGGAAGAGAGGCAAATCTGGGGGACGGGACAAGGGGGGTTGCTCCGTATCTTTTTTTCCCAAGTGCTTCGGCTCGGGGCAGGTACGAGGATTCGGTACAAATCAATTGCCCAGCTGCGGGAGGGAGAGTCGGGATGGTTATTCTTAGTGGAGGAGAATTCCTAGGCACTAGGCCCCAGGCAGGTGCCCATCGAATCAGCGAGGGCGCCTAGGGCCTGGCGAACCTTGGGATGGAGGGACCCCGGCACCCACCGGGGCCTTCAACTTTGGGGACCAAGTCGGCAGATCTTGCCTGATGCATGGCCGCCCGGCAGGTACCCGTTGAGCCCCGTTTAACCGGAACTTATGCCGCTGCACAAACTCAAGCTCACACATCTCACCTACGAGCAGGTATATTATACTTGTGGATGGTACTCCAAGAACAGTCTGTAGCCGCCGTCAATCGGAGTTTCAGGACGACAAACTGACGGTTTGCTAGGATGCTGGTGGCCTTACCGGCCGAGGTAGGTGTGTGTGTGGTCATCGAGTGAACATGAAACGCTGAGAAGACCTGGTGAGAGGACATTGTTACTCGTGTCTTCCAAGAACCTCATTCTCCTGCGAGTTATCACTTGTCTTCATGAGGTGCTAACCTACAAGATATCCTGCACCTTCATCACACGCAGCCTGCGCGCCACTCCCAAGGGCAGCACCCCCCTGCTTGTTATTGTGCCCGACAATGTCGACAACCAATAAATCCCCTTACATCCCACTCCCCCACTCTGGAGATTTCATCAGGCTTCTCGAGTTAGAGCCAGGGCAGCTAACAGACGATCTTGTCGGGAGATTCATGGTGCACGACCTCAAAGATGCGCAACCCGAATACACAGCGACCTCGTACGTCTGTGGCGATGATAATCGCTCCCATCATGCCATACTCATGTCGGGCTCCAAGCTTGGTATCTACAAAAATGCAGATGAAGTTTTGAGGAGATTCCGCTCCGCAGTGGAAACTACATACCTGTGGATTGATGTCATCTGTATAGATCAGGACGACGCGGTAGAGAAGGCTAGAGAGGTGAATTTGATGTACAAGGTATATGAAAATGCCAAACGGACCGTGATATGGCTGGGCCCAACGGACGACGCCGCCACCTTCGCGATTCAATATGCCAGGACACTCAACGCTAGCACTTACCTCGATGAGTACACACCTACGGTGATGTACGCTGGACATGAGACACAGTACTTGCAGAACAAATCTCATATACTCGACGTCTTGGACACCCATCCACAAAAGGAGTCGCTGATCAACTCCTGCGCAAAACTTCTCCTCCGCCCATGGTTTACACGGGTCTGGACCCAACAAGAAGGTGCCTTGAGCTCTAATCCTGTGGTGGTCTGCGGTGCAGAAGAGATACCCTGGATTCAGATATTTTCGTTGGCGTGGCTGTTCTTTCCTAGGTCCACGATGCGGTGGCCTGAGTGGTTCCTCTCCGACGATCCCTCGAAGACATATGCGGCAGTTGAACAGAACATGATGTTCATCCGAAGCATCCAGAGGTACCGGCTTCGTCAGATGCAGATTGCGAACCACGAGCCAGAAACCCGAGAAGTCGGCCTGATAAACGCCATGTACGATGCGTCTCGATTAAAATGCTATGATCCACGGGATAAGATTTTTGCCATCCGAAACATTGTCACAGACTTGGCTCAGGATGACTGGGCGCCTCAGCCCGATTATATCTCCCCCTGGGAGGAGGTTTATACCGATTTCGCGGTGCGTATGGCGGAGAGGGAAAGGCGCGAAGTGCTCGGCTGGTCGGGGGTTTCTCAGCAGGAAGAGTACTCCGGTTTGCCCTCTTGGGTGGTTGATTGGAGGTCTCACCCGCGGACCCAATATATCGTGTCTGAGGAATGGTGTGCAGGGGGCAAGGTCTTTCGACCAAAGGCAGAGCGCATACCCAAGAAAAAGCAGCATTATCTGACGAAACTGCTTGAGGCAGCCAATCAGCCGAGGAAATATCTGCGATACGCCTTGTCAATCACGGTCGTGATGCAAGACACTGTTGCCTTTCTCAGCGGCGTTCTTGACAATGGAAAAGGAGTTAGTGACACTGCACAGTCTTCTCAAGAAATGCTAGCATTGGATCAAAAATCTCAGGCCTTTATCAAAGCCCTGTCCTCTACAATCTACATCAACTCCGAACATGTGCTGGACGCTTACAACGCAACTCTCATTGCCAACACTACCGAACAAGACACCGTCGCATCACCTGCCTATGTTACCTCTGGTGTGCAGCAATGGCGCTCGTGGCTCTCATCCAGGGCACCATTAAGGACCAACATCGAGACTGATAACGAAAGTATCGCCCCCGGATTCTATGAAGCAATTGACAACATGGACACATTCCGGTACAAACAATTCTGCTTGTCTACCTTTGGTTACTTCTGCCTTGTCCCGGACCTTGCGGGAGTGACCGATACCATTGCTATTGTTAAGGGAGTGGATATGCCGGTCGTTCTCCGTCCGATCGGCGACGTCTACGTGTACCTAGCACAATGCTATATTCACGGCATGATGGAATTGAAAGCCGGCACACTCATCGAGGAGTTTCGCGTCAAGTTCAACGCCAAGGAAGGGAAGGTGGTTGTGGGTAGACCCGAAGGCGACATCAGGAAGAACGGCTTGAAGATGGATGCGGGTGAATATGTCAGGGTATTGGGGACCCTTGGGGAAAGGAAGGCCGAGTTGATATGATGTCTATCTACCTAGGTAGTTAGTTTCTGGTGCCGAGCAGGCCTTGGTGTAGATGCTGAGCGTCATGGTTGTTTCGTTGGTGTTGATGTAAGGACAACTCTCCGGTACTGAGAGGACATAGAGGAATATGTACTTGCGGACCTGTGAGTGCGAATGACTTCTGTAGCAGAAACAGCCTTTGCGATGAATTTCTCGGCCTATATGTTATGCCCAACACAATATCTTGTCCGGCATGGACTGTAATGAGCCAGCCGACCACAACGGGCGTTCATCCAGTCTCAAAACTAGACGTCGCAGGCGCCGGTCGAATACGAGATACGATGCAACGGCGGAATGGCTTGCAGTGACTCATGAAGTCAGTCCTATACAATGCTCGCTTCAACTGACTACGGCGTCTCGAACTATAGTTCACTCCTCCTCCCCCACACGCGACGATCATGAAGGTTGTGGTCGAAGAATACAACGCCGAATGGGCGCTCCAATTCCAGCAAATCAAAGGAGAGTTGCAGGACATCCTCAGAGGGGTCAAATACATCGGCATCGAGCATGTGGGCAGCACGTCCGTCCCAGGATTGGCCGCCAAACCCGTCATCGACCTCTCTATCATCAGCAGCCGAGCCGACATGGAGGCCGCCATCGACGCATTGACGTCAAAGGGAGGATACATCTATAGAGGGGAAATGGGCATCCCGGATCGTCATGCGTTTCGAAAACCTGGGGCATTCCCAGCGAGGCATCTCTATGTCTCTGTGGACGGATGCCAGTCCATCAGAAATCAACTGGGGGTGAGGGATATTTGTCGCAAGGACCCCGCAGTTCGAGACGCCTATGGCCGAAAGAAGCTCGAGCTGGCCCGACGAGACTGGAGAGACGTCGATCAATACTGCGAGGCCAAAAACGATATTCTAGCCTGGGTGCTGGAGAGGGCCGGAATGAGCAACGAGGAGCGGGAGCAGGTGAGGCAACTGAACACGACGGCGACCTCCTAGTGGGCAGGTTCTCGCCGTTCGAACCGCCGGGCCTTTCCTTGCCTCTTGTGGTGGTGCGGAGTTCAGCTCGTCCATTTTGTTTTGAGTAAAAAGAAACGACATGGGCTTTGCTACTCTGGGAATCCAGCCAGTGGAGGGTGAACAAAACCTCTCTTTCGGTATATCCTGGCCCTCGGGTCGTTGTGACGATCGAACAGACGAGGGCAGATCTTGACTCGCTATCTTATCACTCCACCGACAATACACCCACAACAGATGTCATGGGTGGAACATGGAATGCAGGACGCTGTGATGGGTATTCGCACATGTGCACAGGGACGGTTCTCGAAGGATCGACATGGCAGGTGTGCTTCTCGCAGGGTCTGCTTTCGCGTCATTGTGCGTACAGTGTGGGACAGTTTGAAAGTTTCTAGTGAGGCAGCGTTCGAGGGAAGCAACGATGGATCGCGATGAAATTGCTGAGTGAGATGGAGAGAGGTGTTCGGGTCATCCACCGGGCGGTGGTCGATGGGGAGGAGGCTGCATGAGACCTGGCGAATGGGCGAGTTTTTTTGCCCTTCGAATAGGCGAAATGGATGGAAAATTCTGCGCAAGCGAAGGAAAAACGACGAAACTTAGATGCATGTAACTTTGTGCCGCTTCGGTTTTTTTTGTTTCTCATGCATGTCGCAGTGGTGCGGGCGCTGTTTGGAGTCTTTCGGGGCGAGGGTTACAGGCGCTCAAGCACGCTGGGGACAGCATTGGGGCAGCCCAGTTAGCTGCAATAGGCTAATAGGTGGCTGATGATGGGCATGGATGCAGCTAAGTAGCCGAAGGATTCGGCGGCGGCCAATGGCCAGACGGGCCCGCCCACGTCGCCTGTCCCAGGGGTACGCGTCTTGGCTGCCATCATAGGCCAGTGACCGCGGTGGGAAGATTCTCAATCGGGCGGTTGAAACACAACAGTCTATGTAGAGCACGGAGTAATTACAATCTCGCAGTTCCCTTTCTGAAACAACGCACCCTCGTCTTCTGTACATTATCATTTCCTCCTCTCTCACCCAAACACGACATATTTTCATTCTCAGTGCCTATTTCCCTTAGACCATCGCTTTTGACCCGTCTTTGTCGTTCGCTAATCATCCCCCCGGATTCGAGATCACCATTCCGCCGAACCCTTTGTTCCTTGATCGGCATACTTCTTTTGTTCGCAGAGCCACATAGACTTCTTACACCCCAACTGCGCTGGCCGGTGAGGTTGCCTTCCATCGTTTCCATCGGCAACACTATTATGCAAACACGCCTGTAACGTCTTACTTTACGAAGACGGAAGACCACCATAGCAAAATGTCCGCCGCTCAAGCGCTTTTCCCGCGGCAAACCTCGTTCACGCCCGACCCCAGTCTATCAAAAGGAGAGCAGGTCCTCCAGTTGATTGCCAACCCTTTTCAAGCTTCAGTACGTATACTCCCAAAGTCAAACACGTGAACCCATGCCCTGACCCTTCTCAGCTTCAAACAGGTGCCTTTTGGGCCTCCCTTGGCACCTCACTAGGACTCAGTGCTGGCCTCGCTCTCCTATTTTGCCTTATCCGGCCTCGAAACAATGTTGTCTATGCCCCAAGACTGAAAAATGCGGACAAGGATCACGCTCCGCCTCCATTAGGGAAGGGGTTGTTTAGCTGGGTCGCACCCGTTAGGAAAGCATCAGAACCATATCTGGTGGAGAAAATCGGCATGGATGCGGTCGTCTTTCTGCGCTTCACTCGAATGCTGCGAAACATGTTCCTGGTTTTGGGCATCATTGGCATTGTTGTCATGATTCCGGTGAACGTTACCCAGGGGAACAAGGCAATCACACACGGTCTGAACGCCTTCGCCATCATGACCCCTTTATTCATATTCGGAGGGGGCTTGTGGGCTCAGGTGGTTGTGGCATGGTTAATTGACGTGGTGGTGATATACTTTCTATGGCACAACTACCGCCGAATTCATCACCTACGACGAGTATACCTCGAAAGCCCCGAATATCAGAGAAGTCTACACGCCCGGACAATATTGATTCGAGATATTCCGACCAACCTTCGAAGCAACGAAGGCATTGCTCGAATTACCGACGACGTCAATCCGACGGGCACAGTTCCGAAAACGACCGTTGGACGCAATGTGAAGGTACTGCCAGAATTGCTTGAAGAACACGAAGAGGCTGTCAGGGAACTAGAGTCTATTTTGGCAAAGTACCTGAAGAACCCGGACAGGTTGCCACCAACCCGACCAATGATCAAAGCTCCCAGCAAATACAGGGGTCAAACGACGAATGGCAAGGTCGATGCTATCGAGTACCTCACGGACCGTATCCGGTCCCTCGAGATGGAAATCAATGATATTCGGGAGCGCGTGGACAATCGCGATGCTATGTCTTACGGTTTTGCCAGCTGGGAACAGGTTTCCGAGGCGCACACCGTCGCATTCCAGGCACGAAACAAGCGGCCTCATGGCACCAAGATTCGCTTAGCACCGAGGCCCAACGACCTTATTTGGGACAATCTCAAACTGTCTCGAGCTTCACGGAAGAGCAAGCGGATAATGAATGGTATCTGGATCGCTGTCCTGACGATCATCTGGACGCCAATCAACGCTGGAATTGCGATCTTTCTCTCCAACCTGTCAAACCTGGGTCTCGTTTGGCCAGCCTTCAAAACTCAGCTGGAAGCACACCATACAGGCTGGTCTATCGTCCAGGGTATTGCCGCCCCAGCAATCACTTCGCTCGTTTACCTCCTGCTTCCGAGCATCTTTCGGCGCCTTCAAGTTCGTGCTGGTGATGTGACGAAGACCGACCGAGAACGACACGTCTTTCGGAACTTGTACGCTTTCTTCACCTTGAATAACTTGATTGTGTTCTCCATCTTCTCGGCAGTTTGGCAGTACGTGACGATTGTGATCCAGTACAACAAACAGAGTAACGACCTCTGGACCGCTCTCAGACAGGGCCAATTCTTCCTTGTGATTACGACGACTCTCTGCCAGATCTCACCATTTTGGGTTACTTGGATCCTCCAGCGAACTCTGGGCGCCGCTACTGATCTGGCCCAACTGTGGCAATTAACCTACACCTGGTTTGCAAGAACATTCTTAGCCCCGACTCCCCGGCAGAACATCGAGTGGACTGCACCTCCAAGCTTTGACTATGCCAGTTATTACAACTATTTCCTTTTCTACACTACGGTGGCCCTTTGTTATTCGACGCTCCAGCCGATTGTGCTTGTTGTTACCGCATTATATTTCGTGATCGACGCATTTCTGAAGAAATACCTTCTCATGTATGTGTTTGTCACCAAGACCGAATCTGGCGGTCAGTTTTGGACCACCATGTTCAACCGAATTATATTTGCAACGATCCTCTCCAATGTCGTTATCGGTGTGGTCGTCAAAGCCAGAGGAGAATGGACCCTCGTTGCGGCGATCGCGCCACTGCTGGTCATCATGCTTGCCTTCAAGTGGTATTGCATGAAAACCTTCGACTTGGACTTGAAGTACTACTCTCGAGGTGGTATGCACGATCAAGAACGTCTGGCGGCGGACGCCAAACCAAGGGAGCCCGAGAAGGTCTCATCCAAGTTCGGTCATCCGGCATTGTACCAACCCCTTATGACGCCGATGGTGCATGCCAAGGCCAAGCATGTCCTCGCTGAGATCTATCGTGGCCGACTACAGTCTGATGGGGGCCAATCGATGGCATTCTCAGACATAGCCATGCAACCTATGGCCCAGCCGAGCAAGCCGGCCCAGGACGTTCCTTTCGAATTTGTCCCTGAGGCCCAACAAGACTTCCAGTTCTATAAAAATCGTGAGGACTTCCGTGAAGACGCAGGTGATATGCTTTCCTCCTCACGAAGCCAAACGCCTGCGTCGTCGTTTGTCGGGCAGAAGGATTCTTCGCCATCAAGTTCTCGGGACACGAGCCCCGCGCCCCAGGTGATAGCACAACACCAAACACATATCCATCGCAAGGAGTTCGACCAATCCAATGTTCCGAGCCAGTTCAGACACGGTCCCGCCGCTCCTTTTGACGGGACCGCCAGTGGAGGTCTAGGACCGCGTCATGGTCCGTACACGGATCCCTATGATGATAGGACAAACCTGCTGGGGAGTGCGGGCGATGTCAGAACACCGAACGGCGAGTTCATGTCCCTGGACCGGTGGCGGACTCCCGGGGTGAGTCGGGATGGAAGTGAAGCCGATGGTTATCGGGACGTGACGCCCGGAGAAGAGCTGAATACGAATTACGACTATTTCCGAGGGAGGCGGTGAAAGAGGTGGCATTTTGTGGGTTTCAAATCTCGGTAAAACTGTACTTGGTAGATTAAAACCCTTTGTATAGAGAAAAGTGCATTTATGAAGATACGAGCTGGTACATGATCGCGATGACTGCATATGGAAAAATGAAGATTCCATTTGAAACCATTGATCACTTTGAGTTATGGGTGCTTTCTATTGATGGGTGGCTGCCCCGTTCGTCGTGTCAGAGACAAGAAAAAGGGGGTATGTCTGTTGAGAATTGACTATCAACTCATCCTCCGTGACCAAAATGACCAAGTAGTCATAAAAGAAAGGAGACAGATGAATGATGACGCAGACAGGGCAAAGGTCTCATGAATGTCAGACGAACGGCTCAGAACGCGTGAAAGCGCTTCTTGACGAGGCAAAAAGGAGATGAGACCGGGATGACGCCCATCTACGTACACAGCTCTCCTGTATCTCCTTTGCTGGGAGGTTGCGATTTTCGTCGCATCGTCACAAAACAGTCGTCCGCGTAAGACGTTAGTCTCTGCCCTTGCAGGATCACGCCTCCACTCAACCCATACTCAACTCAGATCCGATTCATTTGGTAGTCGGACGGGATCCGCGTATAGACCACGGGAGGCTGCTTGTAGCCCCATGTGTTTGGCGGAGCGAAAGCCGCATCACCGTACGCCATGGGTATTCCGTGCTGCATCATTGGCGGAGGCGGGGGCGGTGGTGGTGGCAACAGCTGCTCTTCCTCGTCGACGGGATTCGGGATCCTGATCAGGCCGGCGATGCAGAAGAACATGACAGCCGTGGTGGCGGCGTAGACGATGGCGTAGACCATGCTGAACATGTCGTAGGGGCCCATGTTGAACCAGTCGAAGACCATGACGGCGGCGAGCCCCAGCATCGAGCGGGCCAGGAACGCCACGATCAGCGCGGACCAGTACCTCCGATACTTGTGGAAGCCGTGGTGCTTGCCGTCGCCCGGGTCGAAGCCGAGGGCGATGACGGTGCCGTAGATGCCGGCGACGGCCATCACGCCGTAGACGCCGATGGACACGCCGATCAGGATCGTGTTGGCCGTGGTCAGCGTGCGGCAGCTGTCCGGGTCCTCGCTGCTGGATGGGTCGAGCGCGTTGACGAGGAAGTACTTGTGCGCGAGGTCGACGCCGAGCCCGGCCAGGAAGGCAAGCATGGCCAGGAGGACGATGGTCCACCGCGCAGTCTGTCCTATCACCCGCATGCCACCCCGCTGGGCGACGTTGCCTAGTACCGCCGCCTCTTCGCAGCTGGCGAAGATGGAGATGAACAGCCAAAACTCGGCAATGCTCTGCGGCTTGTCTCGCACTTCTTCTGCCCACAAATACACAATGTCGACAGTGTAGTGGCGGTACCTGAGGAAACGAAAGACGGCGTCCGCGAAAAGAAGAAGCTATGTTGACGTATATAGTCAGTCTCTAAGGAGTATACCCGTGGACATGGTGAGAGAGAGCACCCACAGCAGAGTCAAAATCATGATCCCGGAAAGGGACGACCACCCTTTCAGCCCATGGTTCTTCCTGAACCACAGGCCGTTTTCCTTTGGGGGTCGTCCAAAGAAACTCCAGATGAAGATTAGGAGGACAGAGACGAAGCCGACGCAGGTGGCAAGAAACGAGATGAAAAGCAGTGTAGGCCGACCCTCGAGATGGATTACCTGTGCAGCTACATCGACGGTGTTGCCCTCGGGGTGTAATTCATCGCAAGGACTCGCTGGTCCTCTGGCCTGCAGGTTGAAAAAAGATCCATTGCAGGGTCGTTTCCAATGCAAACGAGCAGTGCTCCCAGAACGACGAATGCTGGAATGGATCGATAGCGAAGGGGAAATTGAAAGCCGGCCGAGTAGCACCTGCGCCTTATCAATGAGGCTCCAGAACTCACAACCAAGCATTAGTCGGTCAAAATCAGTGGCAACGGCAGCAGGCATGTCGGGCTGAAGGCGCCTTTGGCGAGGCATGTGCCGCGCCGAGTCAACCTTGACGGTCTTGTTTTGCCAGGTCGACAAGCACTCCAAGCTCAAAGGCGTGTTTCTTTCACGCCCCGTCTGATTCGTGGTGAGTGAGGCTAGAGAGCTTTTAGTTTCTCTAGAATACGAGGTGCCGCAGGCCCAGACCCTTTTTGCCGAACTTACCAACGACTCGGGCTTCATCATCGCTAACTTCGTTGCATTAGGGTTTAGGCAGACCTTGAGCGTAGAGAGGGTGGCCGGAGGTCAGCAGACCGAGATTCGATTGCATCTCCACCCATCAAAGATTGCTGAGTATTTCGATATCAGACATGGGATTTCAATCAGCCCTGGACAATCGGCCTAGCGGTTGATCCGGTTTGTCGGGTCTGCTTCGACACTCGCCCGGTACATCTAGTGACCAATGATCTCGCCTTAGTTTATTAGACCACGGTAAAAAAAATTGCTCCTCCATGCGCTGCTGCCCAATTTCATTGTTGTGTGGCTGTCGCAAAGCTTGAAGGCAGGTCGAGGTCGGGCTTGCAACCTAAGTTTACCATCGCATTGAGGCTGGAGCAAAGAGACAGGGCATCGTCACACGACTGAGCTAAGTGTGGTTTCCGAAAGGTCATAAGTAGGCGAGCCGGGGAGCATCTCGTATTGCTCTTCCCGTGGTTCGGCTAGTGTTAAAAGGCTTCGATCTAGTGCGAGGACATGAGCGAATGGGTTTCCCGAAGTATTTCAGCAGTGGGAGAGATTCAGGATCCAAAGGCGGAGGAGAGTTCGGTACATGTGGCCTGTGATCATGGGCCAGTTCGTCAACAAGAAGTAAGCTATTTCGAAATGAATTCAGCGAAGGACGTGACCGGAGACGAGGCTGTGGGACATAAGGAGTATTCAAGAGAAGACGGAAGCTGTCCACACTCGGAAGAAGCGAAAGAAGGGGCTAGATTTCGCCAAGATTAACTAGTGCCAATATAGCTAGACCAGTGCTCGGCATACTTTCAGCTCCAGACGAGGAATTCGATTCATCGGATGGTGCTGAGAAGAGAGAGGCTCTAACCACTCACACATCGACGTCGAAGATCTAGCCAGTGAGTGTACTGAGCACTTGACAGTGTGAGCAATGTCCCCGAACCCTACGTCCACCGCAGATCCAGAAGCCGTCAGTTGAACACTATGTCTGCGGCCAACAGTATGCTACGACTCTCGGAGGTGAGTTTGGACAGACATGCACTAAACGTACTATCTCCAACTACAAGTATATATATGCGGTCGAAACAAAGATACAGGGCCACGTACCTGCGACTCTCTTCGGCCTTATTTATCATTTTGCCGGGCACAACGTCACAGCTTGTCGCACGCAGAAGAGCTGCGATGTGTTCGTCTTTGTGGTTCTGTAAGCCGCTTGAACGACTATTATCTCTCTGGTACTGGTTACTAGTATATGAGGGCCTATATCGGACAGAAACGTACCATACTGAGATTAGAACCCTCGACTTCATTAAAGCAAGCCAATAACATGATTGAGATCGGACACCAAAGATGCTCTGGAGTCGAAAGTCCAAGATGATCCCAGTGTACCTCTCAAGATTTCGACTTTACCCTCAAGGCATTCGTACGAGCTCTGCAAAGATATATCAATCCATCATGATCAGCCCAGGCCTGACTTTCATCTCCTGCCGCCACAGGCAGAGGCTCTTTAAACACCAAACTTTGCCTTGTTCTCTTCTACCCACTCGTGGAACGCCGTAGGCGGTCTTCCCCCATACTTGGAGATGTTGGCGACTGACTCCTCGTACCTTACATAGTCTCCACCACCTTTCACATCTTCTACTCTCTTCTTGAGCATCATGATCAGCTGCTGTGCTGCGGGCTCCGGCAGGTGCGCAGCTTTCACAAAGAAGTCTACGCCTTCTTGATCGTTAAGGCGTGCGACTTTCAGATCCTTGCCGATGACCCTTCCAATAGTGTCCACCGCCGCGGCTTGAGACATGATCTCAGGGCCACAAAGTCGAATAACTTTCCTCCCACCGTTTCCGTCGACGGCTTGGGGTCCTTTGGCGGCAACTACTCCACAGACTCTTCCAATGTCACTGGGCGAAATCCAGTCGAAAAGCGCTTCTGGATATGCAATTTTGATTTCGCCTTCCTGGGCCATCTCCTTCCACCGCAGGGAGTTGGATGCGAAAGACCCGGGTCGGACGGTCACGTAACCGTCTGATCCAAAGACTTGATCGAGGTTGAGCTCGACCTGGCCATGTCCCCAGGCGATGAAGTTGCTCGGCGAAATAGTGTCCACACTCAGATTGTCCGGGACAGTGTAACTGCTCAGAAAGACGATAAACTCAATGCCTGCAGACTTGAGCGCGACGATGGAGGATTTCATGTGATCGGGCGACCGAATCGCGTAGATGAACGCACGCTTCGCTCCGGTCCTGCTCACAGCAATTTCAACAGTCTCGAGTTTTGTGAGGTCCGCGTAGACTCTCTCGAAGCCAGCCTCCCGCTCTTGTTCGAGCGTCAAGCCTGGGATCGCCTTTTCCGGATCGCGCATTGCGAGGAACACTTTGCCGCCATGTTCCTGAGCGGCTCGAGCAGCGACGGAGCCAACATTACCAGTTGGGCCGAAGATGATGATGCTGTTCGGGCTGTTCCCTGTAGAGGACATTATGAGTCCCAGATAGGACAGTCAAGAGGATCAGGCGAAGTTTGGAGGTGTAATGATACAATCTGCTACTAGTAGTACTACATAGCAGGTAAATAGGGACGTTTAAGCACAAGCGTCATTAATGAGGAGTAACTAGTATGTATATAGTAAAAATTCAATATTAACTCCGGGAGGTACAATCCTTATCCCCGATCTTGCGACGTACCTGCAGCACTAGCATTATCATTGGCAGCAAACAAGGGCCAGATTGAAACTCGGTCAACTGAACTCAAGAGCGTTACTGATCCGCTTCGAGCTAGCCTGCAAGTGCAACTGGATTATACACACTCACTTGACATCGTACGCAGCTTAGTCACCTGTGGTGGCCGAATCGTTTAACATTACAGAGTCGTGAAGGGAAGTACCATGATAGGGCACCTATTGGGACTACGATTCCTCCCGTCTCGCTCTTTTGTTAGGCACTACGGCCACTGCCACTTCGGACTGGTTTCAACATTGAGCTGAGACCGGTTTCCCAAGACTGGATACGGATCTTTCCGAACCATGTCGACATCAGTTCAGACTAGACACAGGACTGATCCAGCCTCAGGTTGATCGGATCTTCGTCCGGGTTGGATCCGAGCTCAAGATACATAGTAGTCTGCGGCTGTGTTGGGGTGCTTGAATCGCTCCTTAGGTTGGACCGGGCCAAGTCCCAAACCAGCTTTGTTACAGATGCGATCCGACCCAGGTTCAGATCTAACTGATCCAACTCCAGTTCGAATCAGTACGGCTTGGAGATCTCAGATATTCCTGTAGAAAGTTACTGCTGCTATTAGCAATCCTTTTCGTCAAGGTGGGAGGCGGAAATACTACTGTATTGCTAGTACTCCCGCGCACACACTTGATTCTGATATTATATTGAAGAAGTGGCAAAACCGTAGCTTGGTCTACTGCGTAGGATGTGTGGTCTAAACACTCAGATCAATGTCAGGTGGACCACTCGAAGTAGAAGTTGTTCTTCCACCTTTCTAACCTAGTACTGGTACCTTTTGTATGTTGACACACCATAAATGCCATTTGAGTACTCCGTAGCGAAAGCAAATTGGAAATGTAGTTGAAACGAGTCACCTTTTTGTCCGAATCGGGTAATGCCCAGATCATACAAAGCTAAGCCGTTTATGGTGCCAAATACCCCCAATCCATCACTTTCAAGGTTCCCCGTTTTGCACTTCAGCCTCATTGCTCAAACTACAATAGTTCTACATAGTATTATTCCTCCCAGAAATAGACTGAGTTCATTGCAGTAGATCAACCTAACCTGGAGTTAGCCCAAGCCAGGCTCATCAGCGTCTGAATCTAGCCATGCCTACTGAAAGTAGCAGCTGGAGTACTACATAGTACTATGTAGTACTCTTCATTTACTCGATCACACCAAATTCAGCCCAGGGGAGTCCGTTTTTGGAACTAGCGCTAACCCAGCACCTCGAATGAATTCTGCCTTACTGCGAGCCCTCTTGTGCAACTCGGTCCGTGTCGGCCTCATCTGCTGACTGACGTGGCCCAATATATTCTATGTACCACTAGCAACTGCCCAAGTCCTTGGACACGTGCTAGGCATCGAGTAGCCGCCAGCCTTGCTTAGCGAGCAAGATCAATTGTCCACTTCTTGTCACTCCACACTACGATGTTGACTTGAACTTATCTGCGCTATCAATCCTGAATTGTTCCATCACCCCCGACAATGTCGGGTGTCGAGGCGGCTTTCGGCATTGCCGCCAGCGGTGCGGGTCTGCTCTCGCTGAGCATTCAACTCGTGGAATCCGCTGCAAAGCTGAAAAAGATCTACCACGCGGCTCGGGATGCACCTCGAACGATTGCCAGACTCCAGCACAGTTTAGAGACGATAGCCCTAGCCTTGCGGCAACTCGAGCAACGCCGACAGCAGGGAGGTGCCACCGACGCTCTCCTCACCCGCTGCATCGCCGAATGCGAACTGCATACCGCCGACATACAAGAACTGGTTGATAAAATGGATGACCGCCTCTCTGGGGATGCGAAGATAGGTGGCAGGTTATACATTGCATTCAAACAGCGGGGTGTCAAAGAGCTACTTGATGGGCTAGAGAAGGCAAAGAGCTCTCTCGAGCTAGCATATATGATGTACCTGGGCGAAGAACAAATGCGACGAGATCAGGCGTATACTGATATGCTAGCAATCCATGGCACTCTCATCAGCGGTCTTCAAGCTCAACTTTCCGCCGGGAACGCCAGTCTTTTGCAACAGTTAACATTGCTTGGCCAGTCTTCGGTGTTGTCGCCGCAACATCGACAGATGATATTCTCAACACAGACGGATAATACTAACACTGCTACAGCCCGCGGACCTGTTGTCGCTGGGTTTCTGGAAACCGAAACGACTGAGATACGAGGGGTGTCGAATGTTCAAGTGATTCATCGCACCAGCCAATGTGAGCGCTCTTTTGGGATCAGAGGCGTCAAGAGAAAGAACAACAACCCGCGATTCCGGGCCACTTTTCGATTCCCTTCTTGGCTTACTACTCGAATTTTTGATTTTGCCGCCACTCAGGCTCAGTGCGGGTGGTCGATACACTTGCGTACATTCAATCAAGTACCAAGAAACTCTCTCATCTTCCACTATTGCCAAAATGGCAACCTCGAAGGAATGAGGAGACTCATTGAAGGCGGAAAGGCAACACCACTAGATACCCTAGGCGACTGTACGCTCATTGAGGTAAGCACTTCCTCCGCCCAAGACATCAAGGCCTCTGACGATGAATGCAATGAGCCATAGGCTGCTGCACGCACAGGGCAGTTGGAAGTCTGCCGATTCCTCCTCAGCCAGACCACTTGGCTAGACCATGAGAGGCTGAGCAGCGCTCTGTGCAACTATAGCCTGCGCATACACAGCCAGGATGCAGAAATGTACCGCCTTTTCTTGACGGACCCAGGCTTTGAGGTCTATACAGACCTCGACGACATTGGTCGATGTACATGGTTAGAAAACTGCGTGAATATGGACAACCTGGAGATCGTGCTGCAAAATCAACTGCCCGGGTTCGATTCTGGCTCATTAGAGGCGAGATTTGAGCTGGCCTCGCAGCTCCCATTGCTGGATGCGGCTGATTTTATGAGATTCGTCGGACTCCATAAACCACTGGATCCAAGATTCGCTTCGTTGAAGAGTAGCAAGGGCAGAACCGTCCTCCACTACGTTGCTACCAAAAACCCCTTGCGCAACCAAGGATGGTTCGATATTGGGCTCAGCGCCCTGAAGAGTGGCGCAGATCCTTCGACCATTGCCGCTCCTCAATACGACTTTGGCTATGATCCGGCCGGCTGGCAAGCGACGCCATTGCTGGACTTTCTCCATATTCACGATTGGCGATTGCAGGGCTTGGGGACACCACTGGATCGGATTCATACCTGGGCCGAAATGATACAGCGAGCCGGACTGGGCCTGTGAGAGTACGGTGAACACGAGAGTGAGGTTTGGAGAACTCTCGGTGTCCAGAATGGCCCTGGACTCCGGGACCAGCTTCCGGTCGTGGTGCAGCTTGTGTACGGACCAACACCGGCAGACTGGAGTCTGATTATTGACCAGCCTTGGAAAATCAATGTGTACAAACTGCAGCAGCCTCCTGGTGCATTCGGCGATGACCCTCGTCTCCCAACAGAAATCGCCTGGGTCCCAACGCAGGACGAGGAAGACGAGGGACCCTGGATATTTATTGAGCGAAAGGAACGCGTCACCAAAGATGTGGACCTCAGAGATTTGGTATCTGACCAAAGAGACGCCTTTTTTGATCTTGTGGATGATTCTCAGGATGATTCGGGAGTCATCATGATGATGCAATATAGAGCTTCGCGCGCGACTGATGGGACTCGAATGAGGTCACGCAGTCAGCCGCCATGTCTCAGTCGAAGGGGCCGGGCATACAAGTACAGTCACATTTTACACAGAAGCCAATGGCTGCAGTACCATCTATGCCCGCTTGACTCGCGCTGGAGGCTTGGCTGTGTAAGTAGATGGTACGAGGGGCCGTTTATACCTGGCATGGAAATTCGCGGGAGTGTTGTCGATGAGAGGAATTGCCTCAAGGGCACGTGTTCGCGAAGCCCGCCTTCGGCCCAGGAAACATGGGGATGGTATACCAACAGTTTCCTTGCCAGAATTGCCGATTGTCAAGACGAAAACAGCTACAACATGGACTGGGACCCAACACCGCAAGGCTTGAGACACACATTCACACGCAATTGTCCCCAAGGGTGCAAAAACGTTGATATTGGTCGGTTGAATGTGCCAGAACCTTTACGTTCTTACCACCCGAGCCGAAGCTTCGTGGAGGAAGACGAAGACGGCTGTAGCGAGAAGGATTTCAACGAATCAAAGTATTGATATATCACATCGACGCCTGCAGCCGTTCTACCTTCCATTGCTCGCAGTCGGTACCCTTCAGAGGTCCCAGCAGGATGTCGAAGGGATCATCGAAAACAGAGTGATTAATGATGTGTACATTACCATCTCGGATCAGCTGGTGCGGATTTGGGAAAAGGGGGTTGGGGGAATAGGGACAGGGTTGTTACAAATGAAATCTTAGGTTCTATCTGTGGGTAGCTCTCTTCATCCCAATCTGTGTGCCTCACTCAACTCTCTTGTTTGTTGGCTCGCAGCACCCTCCAAGCGTCATAGAATCTGCCGCTCCTGTCGCCAATTCCACGTCCCCCAGTGTCTACCTACAACATGCTATTCTCCACAACTCACGTCGCCGTGCATTCTTTTCTATTTCTCCAATTTCCAATCGTACTCAGCCTCCATTGCTCTGGCTCGTAAGTCTGATCACTCCTCGGTGAGATCGAGGTTGTGTTCGCTGCAGTACGAACGAAACTCGAACTTACCGCCGGCCTTGATGCACGGCAAACACAGGCCCCCGATCCCGCGGTAGACGTCAAACAGCAGCTCATACTCCGTGACGTCCAAGTAACGGAGACGGAAACGGCGACACCCGAACGCGGGGCTGCCGGGCCCTTCGATCTCCCGCAGGCGCTCCAATCTGGTCATGCCGTGAATATATTCCATGAAGAGGTCGCCCAGGCGATACACCATCCCTTCCTTCTGCTCAATCCCCCAGGAGTCGGACTTGCTGATGATCTCGCGGTGCCAGCGCTCTTCGTGCGGGACGAACTGGCAGTCATGGCACCACCAGTCGTCGTCGGTGTGTGGGTCGGGGTAGAACACGGAGGGGAGTTTGGAGACTAGATCCACGCGGAGTCTCACGGCTTCGTTGGTGAAACCCCCGAGGAGATCACACGGGAACAACGCTTCAGGGTTTTGCGAGGTCAAGGTCTCAACCTCCTCGATCGACGACTGCCACATCATGCGTCTGGAAGCGGTTGCAAAGACAGATGGGAGATCGAGAAGATATGCACAGTGGAGGAGCGTTAGATTCGACCGCACTGGGATCCGTCCGGTGTCTTCAAGTATGCGAATGTCATGGTCGACGAAGTTGGCGAACGGCCAGAGTCGGGGAAAGAAGGAATTGAGAGTCTCCTCATACCAGGCGGGAAGTTTGCCCTCGAAGAGGTACTTGTCAAGCAGCATGGCCACGCGGTCCAGGACGTAATCTACAGGCCGCGGACAAGCCTCCTCCTCGCTGGCAATGCGTAGAAAGACCACGAAAGAATCAAACCCCTCCGCCGCCAATACCAGGGGGTTCTCCGGCGTAAACTTACCGCTCGCTGGCATCCAATAGTCCGTGAATTGCGCGCGGAAGAATCGTGTAGTCTTGCTCAGTGCTCGACTCGAGACACGTATCAACACTTGGTCACCACGTGTCGAGGAGTCGGTAAGGTACGCATCACCGTCCGGAGCGAGCTCGTATAACAGAAACCCTGGAGTCTTGATAATCTCGGTGGTCGGGAACCAGATGGATGGGGTGGTGGGGGTTGGCGCATCTGCGGTGAGATCATGAGTAGACATTTTGTATGCTTGTGGAATGATGGAAAGAGATTATGCTCACGAGTAACACGGTAAGAGCAGGTTTCCGTGGACTTTAATAGTCGAGCCATCTGCGGAGGTTTCCCCGCGGGGAAGGCAGTGGCTTTAAGGGGAGGCATCTTTCCAAGCAGCGATGTTAAAGACTTCACAGCTGTATCGACTGTTCATTCATTGTACTGGCAAAGAGCCATAAGGCAGTGAACTACTTCTTTGTCGGTCTGGGGCGCGAAAGTAGTTGTGCAGCCTCCCTGTTCTTTGTTCTCCAGTAAAACATAATGAGGCATCCTCTTTTCGAGCTGCATTGTTGGCTCAGCGTGCTTCGCGCAGCGTGATATTGCAAGGAGGCTGTATACCGTACTTAGTAGGTACGTAGATGGAGGTCGAGATTAACTCGCCAAGGCGGGAATGTCTTGGCAGCCAAGCCGTCATGGATATGCCGAGATGCTAAGCGACTTTTCATATCTTCCCGCCCGAGCTTGTCTTTCGTTTCTGCTTTGACAAGCAATCCTCTTCGTTCCCTACTTGTAGGCCTGTGGCATCGGCGTGTGTACAGTCACGCTCCTTCTTGTCCGTTCCTTGCACCATGTCTCCGAAAACACAAGAGCCCCAGATCGTCGCCATCACCGATCTAGATCCCGCGCAAGCGAGATGGGTGACGCTCAAGAAGGTCGATTTCATAGACCAAACGGGCACTCCCCGCAACTGGGAGATCGCCATCCGCAAGACGACCTCCAAGTCTGGCGTTGACGCTGTGGCCATGGGGAACATCTTCGTGCACCCTTCGAAGCCGCCCAGCACCATGCTGGTCCTCCAGTACCGTCCGCCGGTCGGCAAATACACCGTCGAATGGCCCGCTGGGTTGGTTGATGAGCACGAGACGCCAGAGGAAGCCGCGGTACGAGAGATGAAAGAGGAAACCGGGTATGACGGGAAGGTCTACGACGTGTCACCTATTTTACCGAGTGATCCTGGAATGACGAATGCCACGATCAAGTTAGTCATGGTAGAAGTGAAGCTGAACGCCGAGGAAGACTTTATGCCAGAGCAAAGACTGGACGACGGCGAGCTGATTGAGAGGGTGATGGTGCCGCTGAGCGAACTTTATGAGAGGTTGCTGAAGTGGTCCGAGCAGGACAACTTTATGGTCGCAGCAAAGTTGTTCTATTTCGCAGCCGGCATGCACTTTGCAAAGCACGGAGGATACATTTGAGGCCACCCTCTGTTGCAGATTGACGCTGGGGATGGTGTTCGACCGTCGAGTGGCGCCCGCAATGTGTCAATGTGACTGGCCACACCGCAGCTTTTGTCATAAGAGGACAGAGGGAGGTGAAGAAACTGGCCTGGGTCGCTTTCATATCACATTCGGTTTCTAATCTGAGATTGGAGATTGGAGATTGGATAAAGCCCGAACCAGTGGTGCCGAGACAACACCGTCCAAATCCCTCGACCCGACCCCCAGAGCACAACCCGAGCGAGGACCCCGCGATATACCTGTCAGATAGCATGCATGAAGGTGGCCTGGCGTTGTCATTTCACCGTGGCAGATGGAATGGAAGAAAGAGACGGGGGTTATCGGGCGAATTAGACAATTCAAAGGAAATGCCTGGCTCGATATATTATGGAACTAGATGAATAGACGAAGAAGCTATGACTAGAATTATCAATAACCCAACCACGTAAAGGAGTCTCACAGATCAGATGCTCCGGGAAGAGGGCAGAGCAAAGAACTCAGCGACGGAGTGAAACCATTCACAAAGCAGTGGTACCCCTCCACATAGCCCGAGGATGATTGTGTCCGGAGGCAAACGGTTGGGTTCTCTAGTGGTGCATTGCAACGACCTTCGTTGCATCTTCGTCGCAGGAGCCCGAGGTCCACTCCACCGGACGCAATAAACAAGGGGTCGACTCTGAGGGTGGCCAGGCTGCCCTCAAGGCGTCTGATCGGGATTTGCCGTGAGGCGTTTCTGTTCGTCAGAACGCTTATGCGCCTGTCGGTAAATTATACATGGCTATTTCGCATAGGTTGGCCACGGCATTGACCCCGCAATGCCGTAAACTCGTCGGTTGGGCTGTACAGCCCGGTATCGTCGCCGGGAGGTGCGCAGATCTTTGCGATCTTCGCCACCGGACGTTTCAAAGAGCCTCGTCGGGTATGGAGCAGCAGCTTCCTCGACACCAATTGTCTTTTTCTCTGCAATTCTAGCTGTATACACAGCGCCTCTGTGCAGAGATATTGAAGAAAGAGCCCCTGTCGAGGCCTCGCAAAAGGACAATGTGGGACGAATGTCGATTGATGTGTCGAGACAAAGGCTGTTGGAGAGAAAATTGCCGCAGAGCCGACTACGCGAAGACGCTAGTCCCAATACAGTTAGTGTGCTACCCATAGCTCAACATACAGAAATCAGTCCAAGTCAACGCACACAGACAAATACCAGAGACTGGCCCGCTCGGTCTGTTACTAATGCAAACCGAATACTTCCTGGCCTTCAGATCTGCCATGAAGCTGGTCTGCTTGAACAAAAAGCCCGACGTCTGCCTTGCCTCCGACTCTTGGGAGGCGAGCCTCGCCCTTCTCGTCATCAGGAGAACATGCCGGACACAACGGACCAAATGCGACCTCATTGGCGAGCCTCAATAAAGCCACCCGCGGGGCCAATACCCAATCGTACGGCAGAGAGTCGACTTAGCGTTTGAAGTGTCAACATCCCTGCGACGGTCTCGAAGCAAGCTTTTTCGCTCCCGAACACGAACCCATTTTCAAGAAACCTGACTAGAGGAATCCACCACCAGGGAAGGGCCAGGTTCGGCGGGTGCCTCCCCGCCGTATGACTATTCACACTTCTCCGCATCGATTCCCTCAAAGGAGACATGGACAACGCTGAAGATGTATCCGAAGGATTATCCGACAACCGACGCATAGGGATCTGCATTCTCTTTCCAAAGCCGGAAGGGGGTTTACGTTGAAGCGGGGAAAGAAACAGGAATTTGCCCGCACAGCTTCGATATATTCCCCAGGCTGGGAGTCATACAAATGCCATGGGGCAAAGTCTTAAGGGCTCACCTCTCCTCCTCATATTCGCTGACCCTGTGGGCGGGAAAAGTATTCAACACGTTTGACAGACAGCGCCAGCAAGACTGCTTGTCCTCATCTGACAAACCCACAGCTCGCATTTCACCACCATGAAACGCTTCTGGGGCCTTCGTGGGCGCTGGCTGAACGCCGCCATCTGGGCCTTGGCCATGTTCGCCGTCATGATCTTTGGGTACAACCAAGCCGTGGCCGGCGGAGTCCTCACCACGACCTCCTTCAACAAGCAGTTCCCCAAGATGGACGTTATTGACACCACGGGTGCGCAAAAGCATTACAACTCCACCATCCAGGGTAAGCTGTTTGCCATCATTGATCATGCTGTCTCGTCTTACCTGGGAACCAACCACTCACTCTCTCAGGCACCGTCATCGCTCTCTACACCCTGTGTGGCACCTTTGGGGCTCTGGCATGCACTTTCCTCGGCGACGTCCTCGGACGACGAGGCACGATCTTCCTGGCCACCGCAGTCCAGATGGTCGGCGCCATCCTGATGGCGACCTCGTTTTCCTTTGCGCAGTTTATTGTTTCTCGCATCGTCGTGGGGCTGGGCACCGGCGGTATCATCGCAACCGTCTCGGTCTGGCAATCCGAGCTTTCCAAGGCTGAGAGCCGCGGCGAACACGTCTCGGCCTTTGGCATATTCTGCGGCCTCGGCCTGGTGCTGGCTCTGTGGATCGACTTCGGGTTCTCCTACTACTCCGGGTCAATCTCATGGCGGTTCCCATTCGCATTTGAAATCGTCCTCTCGGTCATCGTCATGACCTTCATCTTCACCCTGCCCGAATCTCCTCGCTGGCTGATAAAGATGAACCGCGTCGAGGAGGCACGGGACATCATCGGACTTCTATACAACGTTGATGCACACGACGATGAGGTGCAGAAGGAGATTCGCGACATCCAGTCGGCTCTCGAGCTCGCTGGGACGGTGTCCCTCAAGGCTTTGTTCAGGATGGGACCTCAGAGGACGTTTCACCGAGTCGTGCTGGCCGCATGCGTGCAGATCTTCCTTCAAATGACTGGTAAGTCGCTGCGCTACATATACTTTCTTTCGATTGGTGTTCGCTTTTGCCAGCAAAATACTTTACCCTGCTTCTTCATCTTGTGGAGATACCTGACTCACAAAACCCACCAGGTGTCAACGCAATCACATATTACGCCTCGTCCATCTACGAATCCGACCTGCACTTTGACGCGACACTCTCTCGGATCCTCGCGGCGGCATCCCAGTTCGCCATCATCCTGGGCTCGTGCCTGTGTTCGTGGACGGTGGACCGCTTCGGGCGGCGGAAGCTGATGCTGTTCAGCTCGAGCAGCATGGCGGTGTGCATGGCGTGCCTGACGGGCCTGGTGTCGAACCCCAACGACAGCGGGGCGCTCAAGGCGGCCGTCTTCTTCCTGTACCTGTACTACGTGGTGTACACGGTGGGGTTCCTGGGGATCCCGTTCCTGTACGCGTCCGAGATCGCGCCGGCGCACCTGCGCGCGGCCGTGTGCGGCATCTCGACGGCCGTGTCGTGGCTGTTCAACTTCCTGGTCGCCGAGGTCACGCCCGTGGCCTTCACGGACATCGGGTACCAGTACTTCATCGTGTACGCGGCGCTGAACGCGGCCTTCGTGCCCATCATCTTCCTCTTCTTCCCCGAGACCGCGGGCCGCAGCCTCGAGGAGCTGGACGAGATCTTCGCCGCCTCCAAGTCCATCTTCGATCCCGTCCGCGTCGCCCGCAGCCTGCCCCGCCGCCACCTCGACGAGTTCCTGCGCCAGGAGGGACAGACCGTCATCCAGGTCGAGCCCAAGGGCTCCTCCTCCGGCGACGGCGACGGCGAGGGCGTCCAGCACGTGGAGAATCCGGAGAATGTAGATCCCCGGGCCACGGAGAAGGGCGAGGTGTGATTTCAGGGGGGACTACGTAACGCCCCCCCCCCGGCTGGCGGAGAAGGTGGAAGATGGGGGTCCATGGCGGGGGATTTGGGGCAGCCGGGCAGAAGAAAAAAAGGAGGGGAAATGTTGGGGAAGTCGGAAGTCAGGAGAGTGACGATCCCGGATGGATCTATCGCTTGGATATTGTTGATATTACAGCATGCAGTAGTAGGTGCCACGTACCGGAGCCGTAGGGTATAAAGCTCGTAAGCTCGCGTCCGGTGGACATGACTGTAAGCTATCTCGAGCTCCTCGGCGCTCTGCTTTGCCCTCTTACAGCCCACCGATGCAAAGTACATCGCAATGACTGCCACACAATTTACAGGACCGTCCTAAGAAATAAACAAGCAGGGAAGGATTACTCGAGGCGACCCGGGTAAGCAACACCCAGATAGACCAAGCCTTGACCAAGCTTCTCCAAGCCTCGGAAAATCCAGGGCGGGAGAAGGGGGCCCTGGCAACCACAAGGTTATGGCTACCTGTTAGCCATGGACAGAGCCTATATTTTTCCCTCTTGCGGTTTGGCTCCGGCTCTGCAGTGATCGACACGCATCCCACGCAACTAATACGGGTGTCGGTAACTCTATACGTCGACTACAAGTAGCCGCGCAAACGGGTTCGTTGCTCTCTCGGGACCAACGGACGTCCCGCCGGTAGAGCCCATAGCCGAGGAGTCGCGGCAGTTGTATTGTCTATGACATGTACAACGGAACGGGGTGTTGCGAAAAGGGGTCAATCAATTGGAGATTCAGAGCATAAGGCTCGCTTCAGGCTGGATACGTGGCACTGTACTCGAACAAGGGCAATTCCAAGGATGCGCAACCAAGGGAACCAATATCCATCAGCCCAACTTCTCGTTGAACTCTGCGGCATTCTGTTGTGCCTCTTTTATGGCGCAGCAGACACAGGCACCGCAGGATCATCTATTCCCCTCCCTTGCAGCTTCAGTGGGGAGAACGCAATCCTTTTACTCTGTCAGTTTTTCGAAGTTTCGTGTGTCCCGGCCTGAATTCATGGACCAGCCCGAGGCGAACCCATCGTTGTGTTCTGTGCACTTGGTCACTATCTTGCATGCCGTGAAGTCCCCACGCCGCAGGCAGACGAGGCATATTCCATGTAGCTCGTTTTCGAATTTCTCGGCCATGTCTTCGATGACCTCGTCCCACGCCGTTTCACAAGAATAACAATTTGTATTGACACATGGCACTAACGTGTCCTTGACATGTGATTTGGCAATCTGCCGGACGATGCAGATGGCTTCTTCAAGAGTCGCAGGCTTTCGGTAGTTGTCAAGCGGAAGACTGAGGCCAAACTCGTACAATGCTTGAATGAACTGTGCCATTCTGTACGCCTGGCCGTCGCAGACTTTAGGGACGCCTTCTTCCCGCTCGAATGTGGAGATTGTCGAATGAGCTCCTAGTCCACCCCAGACTCTTCTATCCTCGCAAAGAACACTAAGGATTTCGTAGCAACAAGTAGTGAGCTCTCTGAGTTGAGCTATAGCGATTTGTTCCAGAATTTCTTGGACATTTGTCAGCAAAGAGGCACCGCGCGAGGGAGACTTGTTCAACAATAAGCTCACCATGAACTTTGGGTAGAGGAGGAATGCGCGAGAGCTCGGAAATGAATACATCGCTCTTGTTCTTTTTCGTGGGCCATCTCTTGTATGCCTCCAGGGTGAGGAAATAAAAGGCTTCGACATCATCCAAGACGTATGATATCTTAATGAGCTGAGCAAGGTCTAGTCTAGAGTATCCACTCTTTTTGGCCGTCTCCCTCAGGAAACGATGATGGAACCATGATCTTGCGATTGCGCTGCAGCCGTATTTGTCTGCCACAATCGCGGTCTCTAGAACGCCGAAAGGGAATGCTTCTAGCCTTGGGTCCCACTTGTGATGTAGGATCCTGCACAGTTCCACCATGGACCGAGGGTCGTCTTCCGGCAGCTCCAGAGTCGGTGGCTCCAGGGGACTCAGAGGAAGCTGGCCTTCGCGGAAGGATCCGCTGAGCATGGCGTTGAAGACCGGTGAACACATCGTCATGAACTTGCTGCAAACGCGAATTCGGAGGGTGCTTGGCCGTTTGTTCTCTGCGACTTCCTGCGTCGCTGCTTCTGGGCCGTCACTGCTGTTCTGGGAGGCGTTTGGTTCGCTTTCTTCCGCAGTCCCACGTTCACTGCCAACTTTTAAGATCAAGTCGCCGTCTGGGTCGACGAGGATAAGTTCCGATTCACTTGTGGGAGCCATGCTGTGCTGGGCGCGATGCGTTGTCCTGGGCCAGTATACTGAAGAGCAATGAGAGACTCTGGGAGGGAGAAAGTAAGCTGAAGAAGAAAGCCAAGGTGATCGAGGAGTGGTGATAGATAAATGAGGACCGCGAACGTCAAGTAACAAGCTTGGCAGTTGGAAGCCAACGTGACAAAAAGTGAAATCAGAAATCAACACAGACCGTTGTAATAAGACGGGAGTGAACGTTGAAAGAGAATCACCTATGATGACTCTCAACAAGATGAGTTGCTGCGGCAAGCACCGAGCAAAGACATACCAGAGGTATCAGCTTCCGCTTTCCCATACTCAAGAGACACTGCTTTCCGACTCGTAAATCAGACAAACTCAACGTCCCAGCCCGCGGACTGTATCATATATGGCTTTACTCATCCCATGACGCATGCCTCTCACAGCGTGAACCGTGGTCGTGAAGAATATCGGACGGTCCCGTCTCGTCCTTCACACACCCAAGGCAAATGCCACGCGGCTTCTGCCTTGCTGCATTGATCTTCTTGTCGAGTTCCGTCTTGATGCTGAAGTCATGGTTGCAGCCGCAGCGAGCACTCTTGGGACAGCACAGCTTCTTGTCGCGGAAGTCAATCTCGCCCAGACTTTGGAGATTGCGCAGCATGGCAGCTGGCGAGCGTCTGGAATTGACTTCTGGATCATTCGAAGGCAAGAGCGACAGACTCGAGAGTGTCGCGCCCAAGACTCCGATTCTGATGGTGTTCCCATAGCACAGTCCGGTGTCTTCAGCGTGGTCGCAGTCATCTGTTTCTGGTGCTTTCTCTTTGGGGATCGGGGTGAAATAACCGTACCATTTGGGCTCCCTGGATACATGTGCAATCAATGCCGGGCCGATGCCGGCAAGTTCGTGGATATACTTGTGCCCAGACGAGTATAGGAGTTCAATCAGACGCGCAGGCACGTCGTCCTGATACACGGTGTAGAGCTTGGCACGGATCGCGGATGGGCGGATATGGGTGTAAAACGTCTTGGTCGCGAGCCCGAACATCTCGGCGTCATTCATGAGATAGCACAACTTGAGCATTTGTTGTGAACTTATCCCCTCTTTCAGAAGAGCGTCCGTATCGAGACAGTCACGGCCAGGCCCGACAAATCCGCACAGCTGGCCGTGAAACCAGGACCGAAGAGCACGGGTACAGTCATACTTGTCTGCGAAAACACCGAGTCCATGAAGAGCCTTGTAGCCCTTGAATTGGTGGACGCCTCGACTGTAGTGTACAATCTCACAGAAGAGCAGTGTTGCTTGGGGATTGTCTTCTGGCAGTGACACCGTTGGCGGATTCCCCTGGTTGAAGCAAAGCTGCCCTTCCGCAAAGCTTCCATGCAGCATTGTCTTGAAAACTGGTGAGCCTATCGTCAACACCTTAGACGACGCCACGATACGGAGGGGGCCGTTTTTGGTAGCAGCGTTGTCATCGGGGCCAAGCGTCCCAGCTTGTTGCGTTTGTCGCTGCTGGGATCGACCGCCGTCTGGTTGCAACTCAGAGACGACTTCGGAAGTATGGCCCTCGTCTGCTCCAGCCGACAAACCATCCCACAAAAGAGCTCCAACCTCAAGAATAACGTCGCCCCATTTGTCAACGACCTTCAGATCCACATTCTCCCGGGTCGACATGCAGATGGTATTCAAGAATATGTGTGAGCAGCCAAATGCGGCAGTGTCCAGAAAATATTGTGGAATGTCGGGCGGGGATAGTTCGAACTTGCAAGGCGATGGATATTCGGCGGAGATCAAGAAGATCGAGGGCATGCTACTGTGGCAAAATATATATCTACGTCTCTCCCTAGTAACATAGAGTGGTGAATATAGAGAAGGCGAAAGTATGAGCGTGATACTATTGTGGTTTGCTCATGACACTGCGTTTGCGCTGGGAACCGTCAAGCAGGTGACAAAGGGTTGGGAGGAATGACACTCAGAGCGTCCGCGGTAAAGACTCTGAGTGAAACACTCAAACAGGGCTGCCATTGTCGTCCTGGCTCCATTCCACACAATCACGAGCGCTCAGTCCCAGTGAAGAATACCTGTCGTCGGGAAGGGACCTAGATAGTTTCTTTCCTGTGAGTATATCAGCGCGATTTAGTCCAATCGCCGTCAGTCGCAGGTAAGAATCAGCTGATTACCGTATTCCCGGGAAGGCAAGTAGAGCTCAGATCCAGTTGTGAAGGTCGTGTTTGTCCATTTGTGAAAGTGTATCTTGGTCCCATTAATGCTCGACATTACCTGCTTTTCCGACCCAAAGCCCTTCTAACAAGGTCGCCGACGCTCTGTTTTACGACCAAATGCTCTCCTCCTTCCCTGCCTCCAGCTCTTGAAGTTGTTTTCTCAGCACATCTGCCCTGAACGACCGAAACGCCTTCTCGATTCTTTCCCGCCGATCCGGGTCTTGGGCAATGGTCCTCCTCGCTGACCATGTTCCAGTGAGCAAGCCGGTCTCACCACCCAAAAATAGGCCCGCAATACCAAAGAAGGTGTACGTCATGACGTCTCCTAACGGTGTGGGCTGGAGCAAAGGGGTGATGTCCGGGATTGCCTCCTCACGGCCGCTTGCGAATCGAACGTGTGTGGGCTTCTCGGCGGCACGGAAGGCTTGATACATAGCATTGCGGTTTGCTCGTAGTCGGAAGGCAAGGAAGCTCCCTAACGCAATACCCGCAAGGGAGCCGATGAAGGCGTGTGTGGAAGCTTTGGATGCGGCGGAACGCAGTAAGTCGCGGTCTTCTTCTCGTAGACTAGGTCGACGTCAGCCGGTCTGAGCCCAAGAAGATCGTCTGGGGGTTGTGTTCTTGCTCACTCATGTTTGAAATGCTCCTCTGCCAGCCTCCCAAGTTCCTCTCCTTGGGTTCTCCGGAGAGCTGCAAATGCATCGACAGACATTGTTCTTTGTCTTTACTGCTTTTATGGTAGAACTGTTTCCTCTCAATCCTGCCTTCGGAAATCCCGGACCACCACAACACGCTTTTAGAAAGAGGTTGGTTTTTCAAATGAATGGAAGTTCTTATAGCTGTCGACTGTGCCGGTCCGCAGCTCGAACCACTTTATTGGTGATCTACGTCATCGAGCGAAGCTCCTGAAGCTTCCACAGACCCGGAGGTGCTGTTCCGACGACAACTAAGGAGTAGTACTCCACCGTATAAACTAGTTCGGAGTAAACTACTGCCTGGCCGCAATTTCCCCTGACAGCACGAGATGGAAGTATTACGGCGACTCACTTCAATAGTTTCATCTATCTTCATATGCCATGGACTTGAGATGAGACACCTTTTGTTATGACAGTCAAACAGGAAAGTGCCCGAGGCCCCAATAAACATCGGCACTCCTAGGCTTGTCTACTTCAAGACCATAGCGTTGCCGTTGTGGCCGTTGATGCTCAGATGGCGTATTCCCTGGCTCGTCAATTCTTGGGCCTCTATTAGGCAGATAACTTGACGGCGTCGGGACATCCATCTTTGCCTGGCCAAGCCCACTTTCTTGCGCCTTGCCAAGTAGATGCCGGAGCGCCGCTACCACAGTTTTTGTTTCTTGCGAAGATTCTGAGTCGTTTGATTGCAGCCACACAATGTACGATGAGCTGAGTGCATGAAACACCGCTTCGCGCAAGTCTGCGTCGTTACTGCTATCCCCGCGAGCACTTGAGGTGTGTCCATCATTGGGAGAAGTGAGACCAGCCAGAGATATCTCTTCCCCGAGCTCGGCACAGAGAATGGCTGTCGCGAAAAGGAAATCCTGGACGAGTAACGACAGGAACTTCCAGCCGTGACGACACAGGTGGCCGCCGACTCGAGTCTCAAGGTATAGAGCCCATTGATGTCGAAGGATTGCGAGGGCTGCCTCGATACAGACCCTGCGTGAGTATGCATATCGTCCATGGGTTCTGCCAATGGACATGTATTTGCGATGTAAAACAATCTGTGCTCTGTGGTAGATAAAGGAAAGAAAGGTGCAACGTACACTGATGGTAGCAGGGGGTTGCAATAGGAATGAGCTGTCCTGCGGGCGTGGTATAGGTTTCCATACGGGAATGATCGAGCCGTAAGTGCTTGTGAGTGCTTTGTCCAGTCTGATGACTTCGGAGTACGGAGAGGGGTTGACCGACATTGTAAGATCATTGATCGTTCCGAAAATAGACAGAAGCTGATTTTTGGCAACGTGAAATTGAGGCACAGTTCGGGAAGATTCTGGCCTGGGAGGAGGCAACTCGAGCATGTCCTCGTGGAGGTCTTCATCAAACAGATTCCTGGGATCGGCGGTGTCGCAGAGCGAAAGACTGATTATGCGCGGCAGTCCGAACTGGATAGAAAGATACATGTCCCACTCGACAAGCATGGTCCAGACTCTGCGGCGCCTCTCAGCTTCGAAACACGACATCGTTGGGAAATGGGAGCCGTCGCGATGATAGCCGGCCCGGAAGGCAATTCGGACAAGACTTCCCCACACCACCCAGGGGCCATGCAGACTCTTGGTCTGTTCTTCCCTCAAGGACTCAATGAACAAATAGAGCAAGATGGTTTCCACTGCGTATCGTGGACCGTGGAAGTATTTCCCCAGGACTAGGCACTGGATAGTCTTCTGACGATAAAGTCGGACGAGAGTTTCCGGCTGGAATTCCGCTACTTGCAGTCGACGTTTCTCATCTGGTGAGAATTGTTGATATTGCACCGCTAGGCACATCAAGGCAAACAATAACCCAATCCACACCGTTGAGGCTGATGTCGGGTCCTCCCAAAATCTGTCATACTGCATCCGCTATCAGCAGCGAAGGGCTGAGAGATGTATGTTGGGCTTCTCACCTCATTTCGAAATGTTGGGGGATGAACAATCACTGTCGGAGTAAGCACAAAGTCTAGGAGAGTCGTGTATCCATTGACTGACTCGCTTCATTGTCGGTGTTGATAAAACACACCGCCATCAAAGTATCGACAAAACCCTTGGAAGGGATGGCACCGAGGATATCTTCCCTACTGGCTTTCTCGGAGTATCCAAGCAGGAGATCAGGCTCTTCCTCTGCTGTTCCATTGCTTGGGTGGTCTTCTTCGCCAACAGAGGAAGTAGTAGTCTGATCTCTCAATGCAGGAATCTGGATGCGAGTTGGTTAGCTCTCGGCGGTCGTAGTTCCGAAAGACAAACCTACGTTTCGCAGGATCGCCAGCCAATGTGCACTCCCAACATAACTATCTCTGCCTTGAGAGTGTTGAAAGTACTCAGACGCATCGGGAAAGAGCCGTGGATCCTGGTGATAGTCGTCATTCTGGTCGTCGTGGACTTGGACAGGGGGCCCGCTGTTCTGCAAGATCGGGGGAACAGGGGTTGCCTGCTTCAAGGCACTGATCAGGCATTCAACCTGAGTCTCAAGTTGGTTGACTCGGTCCCTGACATTGGAGGCGGGCAACTGATCCGGACTCCTTCTATTTGTTGGCCCTGGTAGGCCAGAGTCAGGGAAATTGCAGGAACCAGCGAGCCCCCGACGCGAGCAGTTGTGGCAGGGGTGGCAGCGATCACACTTCAATCTATACAGCCACATGTGAGCCCTTTCAGCATCTTGAGGGGTTAGGGCAGCATTCACTTTCTTTTCCTGCACAAATTGCATGACAACTGAGGCTTCTCTCGACGTCGACGAGCAGCCTTCGCCTGTTGCTCTTCCAGGGACAGGGTCATGTTGCGGATGCCAGAGCTTCAACATGTAAGACATACCTGGTGCTCTGGTAACTTCGAGTACTATATTTATGCGCAATCCTCAAGCTGAGCCGTCCGGAAGAGTGACTATGAGCAGGACCAAGGGGTGACGCTCAATACAAGTAAATCATGATCAAGGCTAAAGTTGCTCCGAGCCCGATCGTCCGACCCTCCGACGGCTGAAAATGGAAAAGCGCGAAATATGACAGCCTCGTCACATCAGCCTTGTTTGGTACTCCTCCTGCGGCAATTATTATCTCCGCCTCGCAGCCTTCCATGTGTAGCTTCCAGTGACTTCATGCAGTCGCTATTCCGACATCAGAATCGTGTGCCGCTCTCTCAATAGAGAACCTCCACAGCTAAAGGTAGGCATCATGGCAGACGGTCTCTACGGCATCAAACAGGCCTCCAAGACCAAAGCCAAGGAAATTTCATCTTCCACTGCTCTCGCTTTCTCTACCAACTTGGCATCACTGATCTCCAGCTCGTCCTCCGCCAAAACCAAGCATACCTCCGGCCGTTCACGTCCTTCTAAAGACAAATCAGATATCTTTACTACGCACAACAAGAATGTCAAGAAGCGATCCGCAGCTGACCTTGAGGATGGCCAGCAACGCCACAAGACCCGGGATGATATCGGCTCGGTCGATGATGCAGAGTTGCATCGGTCCAAGAGAAAGATGCAGGACAAAGTCCGTCTATACAATGCCATGAAGCGTGGCGAATACATCGGCAAAGAGGATTACGATAACCGTGGCCTGGTCGATTTCGACCGCAAGTGGGCAGAAGATCAAGCAAAAGGTGAAAGAGGGGACTCTGACAGCTCCGAGTCAGATGGCGACAGTGCAGATGAAGAGGAACTTGTGGAATACTGGGATGAGTTCGGTCGACTCCGGAAAGGCACAAAAGCGGAGGCTGCGCGCGAAGAAAGAAGGAAACGTATGCAGGCAAACGCTGCCGAAGAGGAGGAACGACTTTCTGCAAGACCATCCATGCCGAGTAACGTTCTCTACGGAGACACTATTCAGCACCAGGCTTTCAACCCTGACCAAGTCATTGCTGATCGCATGGCCGAGATCGCGAAGAAGAGAGACAAATCTGCCACTCCTCCTCCGGATACACACTATGACGCAAGTGCTGAAATCAGGACGAAAGGAACTGGCTTCTACACTTTCAGTAAAGATGCAGAAGAGAGGAAGCGAGAAATGGACGCTCTGGAGAAGGAGAGGCTTGAGACGGAGAGGGTACGCAAAGAACGAGACGAAAAGAAAGAGCAGAGGAAGAAAGAAATTGAGGAGCGACGCAAGTTGATTGCTGCGCAAAGGGCGAAAGCGCAAGCCGACAAATTCCTGAACGAGCTTGATATTGAAGGGATATAAAACGGTGAAGGACAACTCTGCACTTGCGGGAGGATGACCTACTCTCCTTTCAACGTGACAACCCGGCTAGTCATGGCTTTCGCAAGCATCACTCCCGCGGCGAGGATACCCTCGAGACCCGGCGGTATAAATTTACTCTTTGCGTCATCTCTGGCACTTGTCCATATCTCGATACACCATGGCAGAGATCGAAAGTGGAAGGACTGTGTCTAACGGCCGTCAGGATTTCGCAGCTGCCATGCTCAACTCGATGGATCCGATCCTCACCATCCCCATCTATCTGATGACAATCTTCGCTCCCCACTATCGACATGCACTGTCCGGTCGTCCTTGGGCCAAGAGGCTCCTGTCCGCCTTGCTTGGCGGAGGATTTGGTGCTCTGCTCCTCACCAAATCAGTCGGTCGACTCTGGGGCCAATTCTTGTGGAATGGAATCCTCTATTTTACAACCACGGCGGTCCGTGTAGATGTTTCTGACGATCTATATATGGCGTTGTGGTGGCTCTACAGCAAGAAGAGGCTACTCGTGGGGACCAACGAACACCATTTTACTTCTGTCACAAGCTTGATAAATACGTCGCCTGCGGATCACCTCCATATGGATTTGGCCAGTCGTGGCAGAAATGGCAGTCTCGTAATCCTACCGAAACCGGCAAATCAGGTATTCCACTACAAAGGACGGAGCTTCCTCCTCGGCACCGCTTCGCAGGAGAAGGCATGCACGATTCGCTGTCTAGGTTGGTCACCCAAACCTATTGAGGATCTCCTTGACGACGCATACGAGGGGTACCGAGCCGAGCTCGGTAGGTACTCGATTGCACTCTATATCCCCAGTAAAGATACAGGGCAGTGGGATACCTCGATATCGGTCTCTGCCCGGAGTCTTGAATCAGTCGAGACAGGGACTTTGGTGAAGACAGCTCTCCTTGTCGACATTGACAGATACCTGGCGGGCAAAGACTGGTACAGAAGACGGTGCATACCGTGGCGAAGAGGCTACCTATTCCACGGGCCGCCTGGCACGGGCAAGACCTCGTTGGTAACTGCACTTGCAGCGCATTTCCAACTGCCAGTGTATGCAATTACTTTCTCGGAATGGCTCACCGACGGTGTGCTTCAGCAGCTTCTGCATAGGCTCGATGACACTAAATGTATTGTGCTCCTCGAGGATATCGACAGTGCTGGATTGACGCGGGAAGGTCAAGATCTTGATAAAACAGGGCCAACCGAAAAGACGGGCGTGCTTTCCCGTCCTCTGACAAGCCCCAAGCGTCGCAGGAGGAGCGGTGTTACTCTTTCCGGTCTCTTGAATGCGATTGACGGCATCGGTGCTCCAGAAGGCCACATTCTTGTACGTCAGCCTTTTCCCAGCAGAATCTTGCGTGTCGAGAGGAGCTCAACGGCGTGTATTTGTTGATATTGAAAAGGCTAACAAATGCAACAGATATTGACAAGCAACTACGCTGACCGACTTGACCCTGCGCTGACCCGCCCTGGCCGCGTCGACTACCGCTTAAGGTTCGATCTGGCTACAAGGGAGCAGGCTCACAACATTTTTCTCCGGCTCCAGGCGAGTGACAACCCCCATGAAGCACGGGTTGATATGGAAAAGGTGGCTCGGGCCTTTGCCGACAAGATCCCCGAAGCAGTTCTGTCGCCTGCAGAGATACAAGACTTTCTCCTGCACCACCGTGACGACCCTGGAAAGGCAGTCGATGAAGTCGATGATTGGGTTCAGGGCATGCTCGCAACCAAAGCAAAGAGGCAGGAGGAAGTTGTTGACGCCGATGGGGACAACAATGGGAGTAGTGATGAACCTGAATCAACTGAAGGATCCTAGTCAACGTGCATCCATGGACATTCAGGATGGTACTTGAGTTGGGTTGGAATCTTGTCGGATTTCTTCACCCCTGGTGGCCCTTTACTTGGGATTGAAGGCGCATGGAGGCTGCCTGTGGCTTGACAAGGCGGTGTCCTGCACCACCAGGACCTTGGGTTAAGATTGTGGCTCCCACGTCCACAGGGTCTGGGCTGACATGCGTTCGACAGAGCCTTGCGGATGTACCGAGATCAATATTTGGATGCCTTGCGAGACAGTTTTTCAACCACCGTAGGGCCACAATCAAGGAAGCAAACTAGAGACAACCCAGATGAAGATACACGTGTGAATTACAGAACATGACATCTGCATGAATCGACAAGACGCGCTGATCTGCCCTTGCTGGACCATGTGTGCCTTTCTCCGTGACACTGAGCTCGGCTTGACCATGCCGAGTATTAAGTGATGGCCACTTGCTCCCCCGGATGAAGTATTACTACAAGATACTGTGAGCGAAGCATTTCTTCCCGTGTGACTATGACCAGGTAGCCTTGAGCAAAAACGCCTCGCACCTCTCACGGCGGTCAAAAAGACGAATCGAACATCGCCGAGTCGTCCAGTGCCCATCCCGAGTCGTACACGGCGGTACCATTATCCTGCCACGTCGTCCATTCCGTGACCTGCACGCCGCCGCCGCCGCCGGCGTCCTGGGTTGTGTCCATGCCACCCGTGTCCGCGGCCGTGGTGCCGGTGCTGGTGTCGAAGGTCCCGGGATCTGCGGCGCCCGATCCATTGGTCCCGCCGTAGATCGCGTTCGACTCCGCGGCCACGACTGCGTTCGTGATCGACGCCACGGCGATGCTGGTGGCTAGCTCGTTGAGGAAGTTCTGTTGATGGCTGTGCTGGCCGTGCTGGTACTGGTGCTGTGCCACGCCATAAGGCCTCGTCGGCCCCGGCACGTAGCTTTGAGGTCTTGACCAGAGCCCTTGCGGCGGCGCGCTGCTGATCCGCTGTCTCGGCGGGGGTATGCCATGACCTGCAACTGGACGCGCCGGTGCGGCGTAGCTCTGCGACGCGGGCCGAGGCAGCTGAGGCCCGGCACCGGTGAACGGGCTCTGACCCGGTCGTGGGGACGTCGGCGATGGCTGCGCGACGGAGGGTGAGTATGGAGGTCCCGTCAACGGGGATGCCGATCCCAGGCGCCGTATCTGGCCGTGCTCTGATCGGTTGGAGTCGTCGTTGAACCGCGGGATGGGGTGCACGTGCAGTTTGCTGCCGTACTGCACGCAGTGGGTGCACAGCTTGAGGACCTGGTCACACTGCTGACAGTGCAAGGACGAGATCGGGGTCGTCTCTGCAGACAAAATGTCAACGTGTCAACGAAGAGTCTCCTTCCAGCAGAAACGAACAGGGGGGAGGGGGGAGAGGGGGAAGGGAACGTACTATGTAAGCAGAGGCTGCACTGTTCGCCGCCGTGGGCTACCAGCCCGTCAACGCGCATGACTTTCCTCTGGCACTCGCGGTAAGACCTCGCAGTCACGCGGTTCAGGTTCTCTTCGGTGTAGACGTCGATGTACTCCGTGTGGGCGTGTCCCTTGAGCGCCTCGACGGTGCGCATCGCTGAGCCCAGCACCCCCGTCAGCAACGCTACATCTGTTGGCATCCGTTGGACTTACGCTGGGCACACTTCTGGCAGTAGATCCCGCTGGCCAGCCACCCGGGCTTCGCGACCTGGAAGGTCCACTGCCACGGCTCGTGGTGCCCCGGGTGGTGGTGGTGGTCGCCGCCGCCGAGCGAGTAGCAGGCCAGGCAGCGGTACACGGGCTCGTCCATCTCGACGAAGCAGGTCTTGCAGAAGATGACGGGCTGGCCGAGCGCGAGCGCCGCCGAGCACGACGCGCAGTGGTTGACCGCCGCGGCGTCGCAGCATGAACTGGCGGCCGGCGTGGTGCTCCTGACGCTGCATCGCGGCTCGACCACCTTGAACGACCGGTGCGGGTGCGTGTTGACGCCGCGCGAGAACCAGCACCCCCGGCACAGCGTGTACGGACACTCGAGACACGCGTAGCGACTGGGCGCCCGCTTTCGACAGGCCGAGCACGGCGGCGGCGGGGCCGTTGCATTTCTGTCCTGGGAGTCGTGGATGTCGGCGTGCACCATCGACACCGAGGCCAGGGCGTGGCTCGGCTGGTGTTGCAGCCAGCAGTGCTTGCAGAACGGCAGCCTGCAATAGGTGCAGTCGGCGAAGGTGACGTCCCAGGGGATACCTATATAACCCCTCAGCAGAAGTCCCCCGAGATCGATTTTCCTCGAGGCCTTTTGTTACCGGCTTTACAGAGAGCACATGTTCGTCCTGGGACGTTGGTGTCGGCAGCAGCTTGACCAGTCATTGTGGAAACCCAAGCGCCGTCGTTGGGACAGGCTATGCACGGTTTTCTCGCCCTTCACACAGGAGATGCTGTAGCTATCAAGTCGATCCTTGTGGTCCACCGTTGGTCTGCCTGGACGCCTATACAGGTGTTTCGATGGAGAGCAGGCAGTCGGGAGATTTGCAGGTTACAGGAGAGAGGGGTATAGGAGGGCCATCTGGAGACTTCCAGCCTTCAAGGGCTTGTTACCTGTTGTCTGCCACACTGTCTTCCCTGCATCGTGACCCATGTCACTCGGCGTGGGCTGAGGCAAGCAATCAGGCTGTGGCTGCGGTGCTACACGCACGAGGACTCGTCGCTCGCCTGGCGTCCAGACTTGGGACTCTTAGCCTTCCCAGGTCGGGTTCTGGGACTGTCTATTGATTGGGCTTCCATGGGACCCCTGCAAAGCATCCCAATCTGGGCCAAGGCAGCCCTGGTCGATGAAACCGTTTCTACCCGTACGCTTCCTCGAAATAGGGGAGCCTGTGATGAGGCTGAAATGCCACTGCCAAACCCTATCATTCCCAAGGCATTTGGCCCCCGAGGACCTTTTATTTCCAGGTGCAAAGACACGAGCATCAGACTTTGCAGATAAACTCAACTCCCAATAAATTCATCCCGGGCTTCCTTAATTCCTCAAAAGAGGTAAGAAACAAAAGACCGGGCAAGGAGCAGAGCAAACAGAATCAGGCTGAGTGGCAAAGTGCAGGCTGCCTCTCCCCCCCAGCTGGCCCCCTGGACTTCGTGTCTCAAAGACATTATGCAGCCTGTCATGCAACCGTCCAACCAATGAGACCAGGCCCGGCTCGACATTTCCGTGGCTTGGGCCTAGGTCGAGGTCCTGGAACCTATGAGATTGCGCCTGCCGCCTGGCGCACCACCTTTGCGTTCGTATTGGCGCGCGAGAAAGGTGACGAGGGAAGTTATTCTCGTGCCCACTCCGATCGATAGTACGAGATATTCCAGCCATGGGGAGAAAAGGGGGGCCGAGTCTAATCAATTAATTACGAGCAGTTTGGGTCTGACGAGGACGAGTAGTCGAGGCTCTGTGGACGAGGTGGGAATGCAAGGACCGGGCCCCTTTTCAGCCTTACAATCATATGTTACCGGGACGAGGTCTGGCTCTCTCCCTCCATTACAGCCAAGGGGGCTTGATGTGGTTATATGGTAACTGTGAGTATGGATATCTATGTTTGTATGCATGTTTGTATGCATGTATGTATGTATGCAACCGCCAATGCTAACCCTTGACACTCCACAGTCGAACGACACATAGTTGGCCCCCTAGGGCAAATAGTCTCCTCGTATACGATCCACCCGACTCACTCACTCACTCTGGGGGAAACTCGCGACTCGCATGGGGCTGTGGACCGTCACACCTCGTGTTCTACCCGTACCCGTACTGGTGGCTCACGGCGAGAAGGCGTGGTTCCAGCCGTTTTCGCATGGGATGCGTACGAGTAAACTTTGCAGCCCCCCTTCTGCTTCTTCCCCTGGAACGAAAAGTCCCCAGGTCTTGTTCTCGCCAGCCTGCCGTCCTCAATTGTCTCTCTTCAGCACTGCGGCGGGAAGTTGATGGTCGGAATCTGGACCCTGAGCCCGTGCGGACGTTCTCGACAGGCACCTGGTCTCTGTCCAGGAGGTTGTTTCCTGGGAACCTGGGAAGTGTCGAGCGTCGTGTCGCGGGGGAAGAAGCAATATGGAGGCGTCCTCTAGAACCTAGAGTCCAGACGCCATACAACATCATTGGCCGTAGGGGGTGAAGTCAAGGAGGGAAACAAAACCGTTCTAGAAGTTTAAACCACCTCCCCGTACCGCCGTGTGCTTCATGCTTCCTCGTCCCTAAGTATGCACTCGAGGTCGCTGGTAAGGCTGGATCCGAGCCGCGTCTGGACTGCGCCTTTGACAGCCCGCCACCACTATCACCCCGGACGTACGGATACAGAGGTCCTGTCCTGTACCTCGTGGGTGCGAAGGTTTCAGCCCCCTGCTGCAAAGGACCAGATCGCTCGCTGTTTCCGCCCATGCATGCGCGACGGAAACACCAGATGTGTGAGGCAATAGTCGTCGTGGGAGGGTCGTACAGAGATCTTGGCTTCTTGCTCTCACCACCACATGCACCACCCCTGCATCTCTGTCTGTCTCTGCCTCTGTCTCTGTTCGTGTCTGGCTCGCTTGCTTGCCCACTCGCCCAAACGCTCGCGGGGGAGCCCCTATTCGAGTCGGCTGGGTGAGGCTAAATATGGGTCTCGAATCTCGAACCCTTGACACTGGCCAGACTTACCTAGCCACCTACCCATACAGCAGCAAGCCAGCCACGAGTGGTTCCTCGTATATAACAGCGCAGCTCTTTCCCAGAGGAAACGTCGCCCCCTCCACTCCCTCCCACCAACACCCCGGCCTGTCAGCCTGATCGTCTGCATTGCGCTCGCTCGCCATTCAAAAACTGGTCTATACCCATCCTCCCACCGCCCCGTCCTCCTCGAAGAAGTTCCTCCGGCATTGATCATTCGTCATTCTTTCAATACTTCCTCCAACCAAGTATCAGCTCTTGCATTGTCCTGTACTGCTCCCTCGACTCAACCTACAACCATGAATCCCGGCTTTGAGAAACCCTCACATGGTGGTAAGTGCTCCGTGCGGTCCCTTCAAGTCCGACACGCAGGACATGGGTCTAACATGACTCGACTCAACAGTGGACACCCAGGCCACCGAAGTGTTGATGCCCGGGTAAGTACCAATCTCGCGTGCGTCCAGCGCTCGACATTCCCCTACTGATGTGGGTTCAGGGATCTTCGTTTCCAGCAGTCGCCAAATGCCATGGGCAATGCACACATTTCCCCGGCTCCCATGCAACAGCCGACCCACGAGTACCCCGAGAAGGCGTACGGCCAACCTCAGATGCCCCTTCCACAGCAGCGGTCCGTGTCCGGCCAGTTCCGCCAGGCCGTGGCCATCCCCAATCTCGGCATGTCAGCTGCGCCCGTGGATTGTCCGGCATGCGGCCAGCGCGCGATGACCAACGTCAGTTACCACACCGGGAACACCACGCAGTAAGTTCCATCTTCCCTTCACGGTGCATTAGCTTGCACGTGTATGGAGTGGCAAGCTCGAAGAAGCTGACCACCTTCTTCCCCCGCGCAGTGTCTGGGCCGGAGTCGCCTGCTGCCTGACCGGCCTCCTCTGCTTCGTCCCGTACCTCATGAACTCGTTGAAGGACGTGCAGCACCGCTGTGGCAACTGCGGCGTGTTGCTGGCGACCTGGCACAAGAGCGGCGTGGTCGAGGTCCACATGCACGGTTGAAAGTCATGTTCACCGACAGTTGGAGATTGAAAACATGCGATAACTCGTGGGGCGGGCTGGGAGTGAATTACTCACGGATGGACACACGGACTTTGTAACTAGTATATCTTCCTACCTGTTTTTGAGACTCGACGATCGACAAAAGAAATGGGCGTTAGGCCAGGCGAGGCCAGGCGATTGTCATATCCAGCCCGAACTTCCTGGACCATTTCCGAGCGCTGGATGGCCGGGGGCAGAGGGCCATGTCGATGATAATGATGGGGTTGTTTGGGAAATGGGCTGCAGCTTAGTGGCAGACAGACACACGGATCAAGATCCTCATGAGATCAATAAAGAGAGTGCAACATCTATTACTTTCCAGACGAGTAATTGTATCATGCATGGGATAGATAGTTCAATGTTAGGGCAGAAGCCGAGGAGGCCGTTTGTCTGTGGTTGAAGGGAAAGTCAGCCGATGCGCAAGGCTGTCATTGCTGGACGAGGCTGAGTGAGCATCACCAACTCCTTCAAAGGTTCGCCAGCTGGAGGAGTCGTATTTGCTGGCCAATGCAGTCCCACAAGTTCAAATACACAAATATCATTGAATCTGTCCTGGAATGTACACCTCCCATATTCCTCCTGCCAACACTCTACGGTCTACCAAATATACCTCGCCGTATTGATCCCTCTCCTGGCTCGGCCAACTGGCTCCATTCCATGCCGTCGCCTCATGATGACGATCCATAGTTCGTCGGAGCGATGCCGAAGCGATAATTGGCCAGATCAAATGCCACATACGCGTTCTGCAAGAACGTGTCCCCCAGAATGAGTGACCCCCCTTCGTCGGCGGCTTCCATGCCAAAGAAGCAGCTCGTCGAGTCATCCGTATCCGGCAGCACCAGCGCCGTGAAAGGAATCGAGATCTCGAGGTCGTCGCCGAAGTAGAAGTCGACCGACCCCGCAGGCACGCCATCGCAGTCGACATTGCCGTCGGCGACCGTGAAGGGCAGGTAGCCCACGATGCTGGCGTACATGTCCTTGGGGACGACGATGTTGGTGGTGCCCGAATCCAGCGTCATGACGAGATTCACGTCGACCGGGGTGAGTTGCTTGGGCGGCGACGCCGTGGTGCCCCATCCGGTCAGGGTGATGTCGTAGTCCTTGTACGCGCCGTCCGCGCCGGCAACCATGGGCCGCCACATGATGTCGCCCTTGTAGGCTGTTTCGTCGACGTCGCCGAAGAGGATGTACCCGCCACTATCAGGTCCAATCAGGGAGGACCAGAGGCTGAACAGGGGCTGGTCGATGGCACCCGATGTGACCAGCATGTCCAGCAGGTCTGGGTAACCGGGCTCGGCTTCGTTGGTGTCGAACCCCAGGCCCATCACGCCGTAAGTCAAGTTTCCGGTGATCGCGGTGGCCAGGCCCAATTGCACGTCGTCCACTTCCACACCGCCCTCGAAGGTCACGGTGTCGGTGAAAAAGTCCCCCGAAGGCACGGTACTTCCTTCTTCGTACTTGATGCTGAAGCTGTCCGTTGAAACCAGCTTGTAGGTGCTGGATTGATCCGAGTCAAAAGAATACACACAGCCCTCGGTGATGCTACACAGGTCCGGCGGGAACACCCATGTGTCCGAGCTGCCCGTGTCGACGATGAGCAAGATGTCTTGCAGAGGAGTGCCAATTCCCACGGAGATCTCGTACGAGACTTCTGCCGGGTCCCAGGCTATGGTGGCCAAGAACTCGTCGCCGTCATCTTGACGCCGGCGGATAGCTGGCTTGTTGACCCGTCGAGTCTTGAGCAGCACAGACTTGGTGGACCGGCGATTATGTTGCTGGAGCGAGCCGGAGGGTGCACTCGTGACAAGCTCTGTCAGGAAGACGAGGGAAGAAAGTAGGCAGAATGTAGGCAGATGTCGCATTTTGTCCTGGGTGTGCACTGAACAGCAAGAAAGGCCCTCCACAGACTGCTTGCAGCAAAGAAAGGGCTTGTTATTCACTCTTTGCCGTTGACCGCTTCTCCCTCCTGCTTTTATACATACCACGCTATTCTCCTAGATGTCGCAAGCTGGGGGTGTGTCTCAATAGCTGAACCACTCCGCCGCGATCAACTGTCTCTGCAATAAACTAGCAACCCTTCTCAGCCGCGAACTCTAGGCTGCTAGAGTGTCCAGGGCTGACCGCTCCCGTGCTCGCCATTGATCACTACTGCGCGTGACAAGGCAGACTGTCCCTGCCCAAGACCAGAAAGGCGTTGAAAGTTTGTTGCTGCCAGAGCGCCAGCCCAGAGCGACGGGACCGTACTGTGCAGGACGGGGGCATTGGCAAAACGCTCGACGGAAACTTTGCCATGTTTCCCAATCTGGCGCACTGCGCGAGAAGCGGTGCCGTCGGAGAGTAAAGAAACTTTGAAGAAGAGAAACTCCAAGCTTCACCAAGTCATTCGTTTCTATGCTTCGGCCGAGCTTAGAAGCTTTGGCAAGGCTTGGCCTACCTACCAGCCCGCCCTCTCAGGACGACGAAAGGGAGAAATATAGGGCTGAGAGGCGGGATAGACTTTCGTGTCTGCCGCCCTTGGGGGCCTTTTGTCTCGCTTAACCTCGTGTTTCGCGGGGGCCTGGATCAGGTGGGAAAGAGATATGCTTGCTGCCTTCCCCTCCGTCTCTGGACGTTTGCTGACAACCGAGAGACCGAAACGCCTTCATCTGGGGGCTTTGGCATGGCCGAATTCACACCCTCAGGGCGTGTGGAGGGAGTGCTCGTGCGGACCGGAAATCCCTCTACAAAAGTCCCTCATATACAGCCCCCGCCGGCACAATGGTCGATATCAAACTCTGGCGCGAGAAGAAGTCGGGGCTTCTCGCTTGGACCTACGCACGGAATAGCTGGAGGGCCGTTGATCTCTGCGCGAGGTGGTGCACTGCGAGAAACCCAGCTGGATGGCTCAGCTAGATTGAAAGACGAGCTCCGCCGCTGAAGTGATGTTTCGGTAGAGGGCATTAGCGCTCGAGAAGCCATGGGAGAGGTATTTCCCGTGGGTCTATGTATCTCAATAGTAGAGTATGCAACATCGTTCCTTTCCCTTTCCGTATCCCAAACCCTGCTATGCATGCGATTATTACAGAAGTCCTGCAGATAGTGCTGAAAAATGTCCTGTTATTTACCGTGCAACTCTTTTCAAGTCCATCCCAACGCCCCTAAGATATACAGATATGCTTTCTTCATCCTTCCCCCCCTCAGATGCCGAACAAGTTGCCTTGTATCATTTCCATCACACCACGAATGCAAGGAGACCCAATGCCCCAGCAAGAATGCCCCACGCGATGCTCTGCCTGGTTGCTGCGCCGGTAAAGATGTCTGGTGTGATTGAGGGTGTGATGGCGCTTATGCTCGAGCCCGTCGGCGTAGGGACGAAACTTGTGGCTGCTGCTTCAGCTCCTCCGGCTCCAGCTCCAGCTCCAGAGGCAGATCCGCTGGTGGGGGCTGCGGTGGGCATGGGCACCAATCCGACCTCTGCTGGACCTCCACCATTGCCATTGCCACTATTCCCGCCTGCAGGCGAAGAAGCAGGCCCGGTGGGTTGAACCGTGACAAAGGTAACCTGCGGCACCGTCACCGCGCTTGTGATCGTACTCCCAGAAGCAGTGTGTGTGAACGTCACGGTGGTGACGGGGAAGGCCACCGGTGGGGTCGGAGAGGGTGCAGAGACACCATTGCTTGCCCCGGAGCCTGAGTCAGAAAGAGAAGGTCTTGGTCCGCGGCCGTTGCCATTGGTAACCGTAGCAGTCCCTGTCTGCACCTGCGTTCCGACTGTTTCTGTTGCCGACCCAGTAGGGGCAGGCGTAGGCACAAGAGTGATGGTACTTGGCACACCAGTACAGATGCCTGGATTTTGCGGGACAAAATCGGCGCAAATCCCTGCTAGGTAAGACAGCGCCGCAGTGACCTCGTCATCCGACGCCCCCCAAGCGGAGACACATTGTTGGACAGAGCTGATGAATTGCTGGGAAGGGCAGAAGCACGTCGTATCAGAATTTGAGGCGCATTTGGGCACGAGGCTAAGCCACGTGTTCAAGCAGGACGGTAGCACTGAGGGGCAAGGAGAGGTTGGCTGTGCTGGTGGAGCGGCTGGTGGAGACGACGATGCCGAAGATGAGGAAGGCGGGGTAGAAGGCTGTGACGGCGGCGATGACTGAGACAGTGGGGGTGAAGCAGGTGATGAAGATGGCGGGCTTTGGGGTTGCGTCTCTGAAGACGAAGATGTTGGAGGCGTCTCCGTCGTAGCAGGAGGAGGTGTAACTGTAGACAAGGTCGAAGGAGGAGGCCTATTGCAACGAGTGCAGACCGTTGAGGTCGAGGTGATTGTGATTGTCGAGATAGTGTTGGTGGTCTCAGTCACCGTTTCAGTGCCACTTGTGCGCGTGTTGGTTACGGGACATGTGGTGAGTGTCGTCACCACAATTTCCGTCGTGATCACGTCAGTTGTGGTCTCGGTTGAGCTTGTTCCAAGCGTTGTGTCAGCCGTTGTAGTAGTGACAGTGGCTGAGGTGGTAGTCGTCTGCTGGCTCGGTGTGGTCGAAGAGCTCGTGGTCTGTGCAATAGAAGATGTAGTTGTGGTGGTGTCGGGAGTTCCCTGGGGTGTGGTTGTAGTGGTGGTCGAAGAGCTCGAGCTCTGTTCGGTAGGAGAGGTCGTGGTAGTGCTTGAAGTTTGCTGAGGAGTGGTTGTAGTTGAATCCGGAAGAGAAGTGGTGCTTGTGGTAACCTGCTCAGTGGAAGAAGTGGTTGTAGTCGAGCTGCTTGTGACTGGGATCACCTGAGAGGTGGTCGTCGTATCGACCTTTGACGTAGTCGTGGTGGTTTCAATTTGGGAGGTCGAAGTCACCACGGGAGTTGTAGTTGTAAAGACAGGGGTGCTGGTGGTCGAAGTGGTGGGAGCTGTGGTTGTCGAAGAAGACGAGGAAGAGGACGACGAGGAGTTGCAGTCGAAGCCAATGGAGTGAATACCGATGTCGCAACCATTGCTGTTGCTGCTGGGAGGCATCTGGAAGGACACGGATTTCGCACCACCACACTGCGTGTTCTCCACAGTGGTACCGCTTGCGCTGCAAGATGCGGTATGTTTGCAAGTGGACCCATCAGGCATAGAGAAGATGAAGTCCAGGTCGGTGTCAAAGGAAACCGAAACCTGCATGTGAGTGATCGAGAACTGGTCCTCTTGGGCGCAAGAGAAGTTGGGACCACTGTTCGAAGATTTGCTCACTTTGCCTTGAATGCATTTAGACTGGCCATGGGTCAGTAACCATTCCTTGAGGCTCGGGAGACTTTTCTTGCCTGGAAATCATCGCGAATGCGAAGCGATCTTTTCTTTGCATTGGGTTGAAAGGAGTCCTGGCAGGAAAATCCACTGAAGCCGAATCCTCCGTAATTATTGAATGAACCTGTTGGCAGACCAGACCAATCAAACCCACTCTGCTGATCAGTGGTGCAGTTGTTGTCGGTGTTTGAAACGCTGGAAAAGGTTGGCGAATCGCCCCAGCTTGTTGCAGCAGCCTGCTGCATGAGCCAGACAATGGCCACGAGACCGGCAGTCAATGCAGATTTCATGGCGGCGATTATGATGTAACAGAACAAGGATATTTGAACGAGCGGACCTGGCTGTGTTGTAAACGATAGACTTCTCCCGGAAAGCGAATGTGGAAAGCGAAAGACGGCAAGGAAAAAAAAGAGAAAGTAAGGTACAAGAGGCGAAGACTTTGTGATGGGCGAAGATAGGATTTGCTACATCCTCGAGGAAAAATTGAAGCCTTTTGTATCCGCAAGAGCGCGGGTTGAGTCTCACCTCGAACTGCTTCCGGAATGCAGACCATGTAGCGGCCATGCATCAACTGGTAACCATGAGGGTTTGCCGTAGCGGGTCCACCTACAAGACATTCTGAAGGCGAGTAGACAAATGGCGCGCGCAACAGGCAAGTGACATACTGTTGCGGTTGTGGATCAAAATCGGACGAGTGGTCATCGCCCTCAGCACCAAGAATGGAGAGACACGGGTTTGACGGCGAGAAGGCTGAAACAGAGATGGGCTCTCGAGCGACATCCAGTAGAGCTCAGGATCCACGTCTATGTCCCTCAAAATAGCCTGTATTAGGACACTCGAAACGGATCAGGAGCCGTGTCTTGGTCGGGAAGAACAAGAATGCCCAGTCGTGCACAGTAACACATAAGTGGACGGCGGGAACTGGAACCTCAGAGTCCGCTATTGAGGCTGTGTCTGATCTTGTCAGGCTTCAGAGCTCGGCCGCGGACAGAGATATGGATGGCCGCTGGGCGAGTCGCACAAGCTGAGAGCCGTCTCCTCGCGCTTGTCGGCGCAAATTGCAGTGGTTTGAAGATGAAGCGGAGGCGAGGCTGCACATCGACGTGATTGGCTGGGACTCAACCTCATGCTTGGCCCACTAGTCTATTTTGGAACCGGGCCTCGACGGCGGTTATGAGATGAGTCGCTGGGACACAGACTCTCGGTTATTTCAGGTTGGATGGAACAGAAGTCTTCATCATTCCCTGTGGAGGAAACGACGCATAGCTACTACACGCCACCACAAGTCGCCGTGGCAGCGGCGTCGAGGTATTCCCAACCCCCCCAGCTAAGCACTATATGCACCTGTACGAAAAGTATTTCCACCCAAGGCCCAGGACCACGGAAAAACGTGCGATGTGCACAGTCCATGTCCCCAAGAATAAATGCAAGAATAAACCTAGTCAGCTGGCGCCGGTCGATGCAACAATAATGGCGGGTCGCCGCCGTTCCAGCTCTCCCTTCTATCTTCATAACGCCGTACACCGCACGCTGTCATCATATCATCATGCCAAACCCCAGGCGTCTAAAGAATGTCCTTCCCATCTCTTCAAGAGGGTTCCGCCTTCGTATGGTCTGCGTTTGCTGATCGTTCCGTCAATATCAGTGGTGGCACCGACTCCTCTATGCCGTGAACTGTTCCATTCACCTCACCATTGACGTGCCCATTGGCGGCTGACATACCAATGTGGAGCGCTGGTTTGGGAGCAACCTGCTCGGAGGTGATCTTCCCTAGTTCGTCTGTTTCTCTTTTGCCACTCGGAGGACTGGGCTTCTCATCTCCCTTATTCTCTGCAACCGAGGTCTCAGAATCCTTGTTTGCCTGTTCGCTGACCTCTGCGATGCTGGCTTCGACTTTCTTCATTACTCTCTTGAACGGTCGTCGCAACTTCGGTCTTTCTGTCGGGCTCATTGGTGGTTGTTCGCCATTTGGTTCGCCATTTGCAGTCGAGTTGGGTGATTTGTTGCCGTCTTGAACCAAACCGTTGGCGCTATCGACAGTGGCCGGGTTGGGATCAGGGCTCTTGGCCGAGGTCTCTGTCGGGACTTTGGTTCTGTGGAGATACTCGTCTAGCATAGCTTTCAGAGCAGTCTGCCGGACTGGCTTGGCAAGATAGTCGTTCATCCCGGCCTCAAGACACTTCTCTCGGTCGCCACGAATTGCCGAAGCCGTCATGGCGATGATCAGAACTCGACTTACGTTGGGATCTGGATCGGCTCTGATTGCTTTGGTCGCTTCGTATCCGTCCAGCACAGGCATCTGGACATCCATGAGAACCAGGTGGAATGGCTTCCCTTCTTTACTCTTGGCTTGCAAAGCGTCGTAAGCTTGCTTCCCATCCTCATAAGCCTCACATTTCAAGCCAAGCCGATTGACGAACGAAATGGCAATTTTTCGGTTGATCTGGTTGTCTTCGGCAATACAAACACGCAATTCCTCGCGGGGAACCTTGCTCAGGTCACAGAAACTGTAAGTCTTCTGCTCTGTCTCAGGACTGGCCGACTGCGACCAATTCGCCATCGGGTCTGGATCTTTGGCCGAGATTGGAATTTCACTGGGCACACTGCTGTTCTTCGGTGCCTTGTGAAATGTAAGCGTGAATGAAACCGTCGTGCCGATGCCGGGCGTTGATTCAATCCAGATCTTACCGCCGAGCACGTTTTCTATCATGGCCTTGCAGATACTGAGACCAAGGCCGCTACCCCCATACGAACGCGCCGTCGACGAGTCGGCTTGCGAGAAAGGTTGGAACAGCCGCGTGAGCTGCTCCTGCGTGATCCCGATACCAGTATCGGCAACGGAGCAAGTAATCTTGACCCTGTCTCTCGTTTCGGCATTCTTCCGAGCCCTGACTGTGACCGAGCCCTTGGGAGTGAATTTGTAGGCATTGCTTAGGAGATTCATGAAAATTTGGTGGAGGCGGACTGGATCACCCAGGACCAAGTTATCGTCTATCTGCAGGTCTTCGACGGTCTTCAGTCCATGTTCCTGGTTGGTGTATGCTAGTGCCCGCACCACCTCGGTGATGGTCTCTTTCAAATTCAGAGGAACCGTAAACATCTGCATCTTGCCGGCCTCGAGCTTAGAGAAATCCAGAATGTCGTTGATGACCGTTAGTAATGTATCCGCACACACTCGAATGCTGTCCGCATATTGCTCTTGATCTTTACTCAAAGGAGTACCCTTGAGCAATTCAGACATGCCGATCACGCCGTTAAGGGGAGTTCGAAGTTCGTGACTGACGTTGGCGAGGAAGATTGACTTCGCTTTAGCGGCCTCCTCCTTCAATTTGACATTGTGCATAGCTTCGGCCTCCGCCTTCTTGGCTTTAGCTTCGGCCTCGCGCGCTGCCACGAGGGCTCGCTTCTGAGACTCGACCATGCTCGCGTTCGATGCGCTAACTTTGCGAACCTTTCTGTAGAGAAGTGCGTTGCCCAGTGAGATGGCGACTTGGTTTGTGAGAAGGTTGAGGACGATCATGTTGCGCTGCGTGAAGGCGTTTGGCCGCCCCTCGAGATGGATGACACCCATCAAATGATCAGCTTGGATGATAGGTATGGCAATGATTGACCGTCCATGAGGGTTCCTTGCCAAGTAGGCATCTCCTACATTGGAGAATCGATCATCTTCGAGCACATTGTGCACAAAGACAGTTTCTTTAGTCCGGAGGAGATAATGGGTGATCTGCTGGGCGGCCTGATCGTCGACCTCCGAGAAAGGAATCCCGTCAGGGTAAGTCTTGACACCTGTCTCGTGGTCTGCGCTTGCGGCAACACACCATCCTTGATCCTCGGAGTCGATGACGATTGCGCAGAATTCTGCTTGGCCACCAACCGATTCCAGGATGACTGAAATCATCTTGGATAGCAGGTTGTTGATTTGGAGCTCTGAGCTTATAACGCGGGAGAATTCCAGGATAGACGTTAAATCTAGGATGTCAAGGCCTAGGCCAGGGACGTCTTGAGGTGTTTGGGTCGCGACCGCGGCTTTCGGTTGCACCCATTGGTTTGTATACTCGCGCTTGTTCTGGATCTGTGCATCTTCGCCGACGTTTAATGAATGCAAATCCTGTGTTTGAGTAGTAGCGTCCATGGTCCTCGAGGTGGTGGCGGTTTTGATCAGCCACTCATGTTTCTCTTGAAGCTGTCGAGCTTTCCCTGCCGCATTGATTCTGTTCCAAGCGGCGATGGCTTCTTGAATCATCACCTTGCCGGCTCTCTTTGCTCCGCGCAAAAGTAGGAAGTCGGCCTGCATTTCCACTGCCAGTGCCTCCTCCATTGCGAAGCCGTGAACTTGGCAATGGTCAATAGCCATCTCGAGGTTGGAAATGACGTTGTAGTAGACTCGGGTTACGTCGGAAATGGCGGCGTCAAGTATCCTGGACCAGGCAAAGTAGTTCACGTCGTTGACCTTTCCCCAGTCATCGATAAAGCGTTTCATCTCCTTTGCTTCTTCGATGTAAGGTCCTCGTTCTTCTTCCGGCATCTCTTTTGCAAGCGCGATGAGAGACAGACCTAGGTAGAAGCGGGTGCCACAAGCGGGTCTGTTAGACCAAAGCTCGTCAAGACTTCCCGCGATCAACTCTCTCCCCTTTTTGACGACATACTCATGGTATCCCATCAGATGGTAAGCCACAAGCGACAAAGCGTGGAATATGTCGCAAGAACGTTGCGCATTTGCGGCGTACTTGCCACAATCGACCAACCATGACTCGGTCTGATGATCTTCATCATCGAGAAGAGTGGCGGCGTCCGCTGCTATAGTCTTTCCTTGCAGCGCCCGTGACACTTGTCTGATCACAGTCAAAAGGGTCCCACCTCGCCGATCTTTGTCCCAGTCATCAAACTCTTCTGGACCATAGGTGCAGAAAGCCTCCACCTCTGCCAGGTCCTGTCCTGCCCAAAATCTTGAAAGGGCCATGGCCCCAATGTTAAGGATGCTGACAAACTTGTCCCCGGACGACAATGAATATTCGAGTGCGCTATCAAGAATAGGGAGAAGGTTTCGCACCGGAGTCTGGTAATGGCCAATAAAAAGGGTGTACAGAGTCCAACCTCTGCCTCGTGTCCAGGCATCGTCAAACATGGTGTAGAATTCTTGTGCAATATCACCATAAGACAAGCCCAACTCGATGTCCTTGAAACGGCCGATAGCAGCAGCACCAAGCATGGTAAAGCCAACTCCAGCCTGAACAAAAACGCCACGATCGAGAATTGCATTGACATAAGCAATAACGAGCTGGTACCAGAGCAAAGCATTCGACCAGTAGAGAGCGCCAAGCGCTTCGGAGAGGACGGTACCAAGGGCGATTACGGTCTTGTCTTCGCTCAATGGAGCCGTCAGAAGCGCCTCCTTGTCAAGTTGTTGTAGTCTGAGCTCTAGCTTCTTGAATTCAGCGTCACATTCCTCCCAGGTCGTTTCTGGTAGAGGAAGGCCTAGCTCTGCCAGACATTCTCTTTGACTCATGAATGCTTCGATGAACTTCCCTTGAGAAGCCAGGACACGTCCTTTCAGGATGAAAGACCTAGTTTTATCGGCCGAACACTTTGCGTGAGCGAATGTCTCGTTTAGAAGTCCCAGAGCCTCCGCTTCCTCTCCCTGGAGATACATGATTTCAGCGGCATTAACGTGAAGTTGGAGAGTTTCGTCATAAAAGACATCTGGGTCGTCCGTGTTCCACTTGTCATCTTGCAGCAGTTGAAGCGCTGTCCTGTAGTACCAAAGGCCCGTAGCCTTCGCGCCGGTTTCGATTGCCTTCTGCGCTCCTCGCCAAAGGACATCGCGGTAACGCATCCGAGTCGGGATCCTCTCTTTCACGATTTCTGCAGACAGACAAATGTGGCGTGCCAAAGGGTACAAATTATACTTGCACTGGCTGAGGTACGTCATCATAGCTTGCGCGATGATGAAATGCATCTTGGTCGTGTTCTGACACTCGCGCATTTCGTTCGCCGCTTTCAAGTATCGCCCATGTGCAAAGCGGAATTCGTCGTCGGTCTCACCTGGATTTATTATGTACATGTTGACCAGTTGTTGAAGTCCATTGATGCAGTCAGTCTCCGATAGATTGAATAACTTGGCACGTTTGGGGCAGGTTGCATCATGCGTTTGATCTCTTCCGCTGCTGTAGAAGAAATCCCCGGTCATGATGGACTGAATCAGTTTGAAGGAGAAGGTGGTCCCGATCAAAGAAGCCCATGCAAGGATCGACCTTGCGGCGGGTGGCAATTCCTGCAGCCGGCGGGTCAGATACCCATTGTCCGTGCAGCCTTCAGTGCTGAACTCATTGAAAATCTTGTCTAGATCAAACTGCCAGCCTGATTCTTTCCAATCATACCATAAACAGTTCCGTTGATAGCATGTTTGGAGAATATCCTTGACGAGGAACGGATTTCCTTCCGACTTGGCGTAGACAACGGCCGCAAGTGGTAAGACCGTCTCCACAGGTTGAGACATTGTTGCTGCTACATACTCGAAGACATGCCTTTCGCGCAAGTTGGCCAATTCGATCTTGTTGGTAGAATCGAGATCGAGAAGTTTGACCGTCGGTTCAGGAACGTTTCCATCCTCCACTCTGCTCGACAACATAAGCACAACCGGCACCTTCGCTTTGATGATATGCATCAGCAGTTCGATGGATTCACTATCTGCATATTGTAGGTCGTCTAAGCAGACACAGATCAACTTCCCTGTGCAGATTGTGCGTAAGACGTCCATGTACGTGTTGATGAGTCGAATGGATTTGGTGTTTGCTGGGCCACGTAGAAAGTCGTTGGCGTCCCACGTTCCATGGTGAGGTGGAATTGTATGCGTCTTCGGACCACCACTGTCGATCGTCGGAACCTCGGTGTTGACGCTTTGATTTGTGGTATCGGTTTTCACCAAGAGCTTCTTGGAGAGGACAGTAACATCAAGCAAAGTGGAAGGTAGATCTAACATTGAGTGGAGGATTGGCCAAAAGGGCGTCACATGGGCTCGAAGATGCTCGTGATATGGCGTATTGACATCTTTCTCGGAGAATATCTGACGGAAGAGACTTGCCATGGCCTTGATCAGTGGTTCAAAAGGAGAAGGCCGAGCCCTGTCGAATCTGCCGAGTGCAAAATAACCATGGCGACGGATGACAGGTTGCACGGCCTTGATCAGGGCAGTTTTGCCGACTCCAGCCGGCCCCAGGATGGTTATGACTTCGGCCTTTGACCGTCGCTTATACTTGTGACTGTTTCTTCTTCGAGTCATCATCCCAGGTAGCATATCATTTGCAGGTTGCAAGCCCCCCGAGAAATTGCTGTCCCGGTCGGATAAGACGTCCAGGGGTGTGATTCTGGAATCGACGATGCCGCGAGGACGCTTTCCCAGCAGGTTGGTCTTGTTACCATATCCTGGAGTATGGACACCATCCAATCCAATGGTGGTGGAATTACTGCGAGACTCACGGAAACCAAATGAGCTTGAATCATCAGAACCCGGGGCTTCTTCAGCTCCATCCACGCGACTGTCCGAAACGGAGGAATTGGACCCGGCACTCAAGAGACCATGTTGCGAAGGGGATGGCCTCGTGCCAGACGAACTGTGCCGCTTGTGAGCCTTATCAATAATCTTGGTGATACGTTCCGTCTCGGCATGTCGGCCAAATTGTTTGGTTGGCAGAATGAAGAATGACGAGACATCTCGTTGCCCAACCTTGTAGTTCTTGATCTTTTCCTGATCGCCTTCGCCTAAAAACTTCTGGATCTGTACCAAGTCATACCTGAGACCGCTCATTGAGTGATATCGCTCATCCATTTGCTTCTGGGTCATCTTTGCAATGATATGTGCAATAGCATCAGGAACATCCATGCGTATTGCGGTGACCAAGGGAAGACGGTGCGTGAGAACACGCTGGACAATGTCGATAGGAGTTTCTGCATCAAAGGCGGGTTGTCCGGTGAGCAATGTCCAAAAGAGAACCCCCAAACTGTAGATATCTGTGCGACTGTCGGGTTCCGCTGGTAACCGCCCGGTTTGCTCAGGAGCAATAAAATGCAGTTTGTTCTTGACCCCGATCTCACGGCTGAGGTTGGCCCACCCTTCACTCGAGAGCAGATTTTCGAAAGCTCGAGGCCCGTTCCCACCATTAGCCAGTTTGACGGTCCCTGTTTCCCGGTTCCAGTGGAAAGTGTCTGAGCGAACCTCTCCATGGACGCTATTGGCGCCGTGATGCAACAGCTCAAGCGTCTCCGCGGCACCGACGGCGAAATCTAGAAATGCCTGAAGTGGTATCCTCTCTCCGGGGGTCCCGTCGGCCGCGACACTCATCCTGTGGTTATTGAGGCCATAGAACGCTGGCCCCATGTCCAGAACCTCCCGCAGATAATTTTTGCCGGGAGCTTCGTATACGCAGACGACTATGGGCCGGGTATCGCCTGGCGTGGTAGGTAGTTTGAAGATCTCGATCGGTCGGATGGTATGCTCGCACTCTGGATCGGCATCCTTCACGATAGCCTGGTTATAATAGAACTCTCTTTCTAGACGCAACACGTGCGTGCTGATGCGCGCCACCACAGGCATCCATATCGGGTCCGGGTCGCCTTTGGAGGACAAATTCTCACTGTCGGTTGAAGTACCGCTAATACTACTCCAATGATGGTGTCGAAGTGCGGGACGATGAGGATCGAGTTTCGGGGAGCTTCTGGTGGAACCGGACAGGGCGGAAAAGCTGGTTAGGGTACTGATTGACTCGCGCGGGTTGACGACCTCTGGATTGTGCAGGACGCCGTAGACATGCCTGTCCGGAGCGAATATAGGTTAGTTTTCGAATGTTGCGAATTCTCGAGATCGGGCGCTTTGGGGAACTCACCAGTGATCGTAGCTGGTGTGGAACGGCACGAACTGCAATCAACCCCGAATCAGCATTCATCTCGTGTTTCAAATCATTGTCAAATATACCGAGCGATCCCAAGTATAATTCGGGACTTGGGACAGACGTTCGAAGAGCCTGGCCGGCGCGATGGGCAGGTCTTCGCCCAAGATTTCGTCCATTTTCTCGTACTGAGGGCGTGACGTGTGCGGTCATGTCATTTTGCAGGAATCAAGTGGTCTAGGCTCTCAAAGTGGAGGCAGCCAATATCCGCGGGAGCGACAGCAGAGACGGTAACCTCAATTGCGGCGTTGAGGACGATGGCGAGGCATGTGTTGATGGAAAGCGGAGGGAAAGGAAAGATCCCGGTAAAGGAGTCGAGACACGAAAGATTGGAAATGGATGTCGGGATCGTCTGCACGATCTTCGAGCGAGAGGCACCAAAGTGGTGAGTGTGCGTGGTCGATGATGATTAAGCGTTAAGCAATTACTATTTGGGCAAGGGCGAGGAAGCGGGCGGTTTGAGGGGGGGCTGGTGGGCTGGCCGGGCTTCTAGGCTTCTGGGCTTCTGGGGCTTGGGTAAGCAGCAGCGTCGCAGAACAATTGGCGGCGGTCACACCACATCGCAGACCCTGGTGGCAGAAGGAGATGAGCACACGGCTCGCGGAGGCACAGTCACAGGTCAGTTAGGCAGCGGTTGGTCGGGGTCGAGCTTTGAGCACCGGCCGCAGGCAAAAAACCGTAGGCCAACAGATAGAGGGACACCACCAACCAAAGCTCAACTAACTGCCGTTGCCGTGCTGGTCAGGGTCCTCGGTTGCCATCCAGATGCCCCGCTAAAGGGACCCTGAGGGGTGCAGATAACGAGCACGGGGTCGAGTCGGCGATTTTTGGTAGGATGCATGTACGGAGCAGATATAAATTAGTACAATCGCGGCGCTGACTCGGCTGCTTCTTTTTGTTGTTTTGATCAGATAGGCAAGATTACTGATATAGGGCTAAGGAGAGCAGTAGAGCCCCACGAGGCCCAAAAGGAAAGGACCATGCACAGCATCTGTTCAACACTTATCGTCCTCCAACATTGTTGCAGTGGTTGTCGTCTGCAGGTAGAGAATTTGATCTTCTTGTGCTCCATCCATCATCTGTCCACCAATTTGTGTTCCTGGGTCCAGATGACTCCACAGTCAGCAAGCCGGATCGTCCCAGCCCGGCTATCTCCAGCCACATGATAGCAATTTGACACCAGATCGCTCTTTCCATGTATGTTACAGATGCCTCATTTTGTCTCTCTCATTCGTGTGACACAAGGAGTGTGACAGCCACAATGGTCATAATCATCGTCCACAGGTGATTCAAGCCATTAAGATATTGTCTGAAGGCAATGTTCGTGATCGGAGGCGTGATACTGGGTTGGGGTGGCTTGGTTGGGATGGATGGCGGTGGCGTGCTACTCCAAGTCGTGTTGCTCCCAGACAGAGTTGTCATGGTGGCCAAGTCACTGCCATCAGTTCCCGCAGAGCTCGTGGTGAGGGTGGGCAACGGCGGTATGCTTGAGAAATTAGAGGTTGGTTGAGCTCCTACCTCACTCGCTGGTATCGCTGAGCCAACTCCTTTACTGGTCCACGGGGTTGGCATCGGCAACGTTGAGGTGTTTGGTTCCTCAAGCGTGTCTCCCTGGTAGATGTTTCCCGTCTGCCCATTCGCCAATCGGTAGCTCCCCGTGATCAGGTTTGCATAGTCCCCGTTGGGAGTGGTATAATTTCCGGAACTAATCGAACCATATGAGCCGTCGGGAAGGTAATAATCCGTGGTGAACCTGTCCTAAAAACACCAAGCATGAGTCCAGGATTGAAGAGAGGAGAGAAGAGAGAGATACCCAGCACAATGGCACGTTGTAGCTGAGGACAAGAAGGCACTGCGTCGTTGCGGCACCTGATCAGAATCAGTTCATTGTACTGGATGACTGTCCTCGAGAGCTTGGGCTTACAGCATAGACTCCCTGGAATTTCTCTTGCTCGATGCGCAGGAACTGTTTCCATTTCGGACGAGACGATATGCACTGGCGCAGGCTGAGGGTTGACTGTTTGGATGAGATTGAGGTACAACCGGGCCAATCCAGGACCAATCTCAGGCACGTCCCTAGTAGACGCTCCATCAGGTGAGCAGAGATCATATCCCGAGCCACATGATTGACGAGGATTGAGGTCACAGAGGCAAAGGCACAAGTGCATGAGCACGACCAGAGGCACAAACGAGAGTGAGAGAAAAGACGGAATCATCCTGACGTAGGTGAATGTCTCGGCTGGCGATAGATTAGAAGGAGATGATGCAGACTGTCACATAGCAAGGTCAAGGCCACACATTCAGGAGATGGCGAGTCCGTCAGTCTGTAAGAAGTGACGAGTTGTGTTGCTGCCGGCTGAGGAAACCGCTGCCCAGGTGGAATACCACCGAGTGTGGTGGAAAGCGCGAACCTGCGGCTTTCTCTCACTCCAACCTCAGCTTCAGTCAACATTTCGATCTCGAGACTCTGGGCACATTGCCCATCGTTAACATCGACAAACTGGTTCATCCTTGGGTGAGTGCTTTCACTCTCGCCCAGCCTGTTTTCTGTCACTGACTGGTGTTAGGTGAGTACACGTTTGTCTTGGTTGCACCGCAGAAACACCCCCCGAAGGCAGACACAGAGTCCAGCAGTCATCAAATGGTCCTCAAGAACCCACCTCCCTGACACCCAACACGTCGATCAGTTTCCTGTAAGACACCGCAAAGCTCCCATTCCCAGCTCCCGGCCACTTCAGCATCAACGAGGCCCATCCAGTCCGGCACAATCCGCTCAGCAGAGCGCAACCCCTGCGTCGCTGCTACAGATGAGCTGTGGATGTTTTGTTCAAGTCGCCATCAACTTCAAGAGAGAGTGCCTGCCACTTGCATATTGCAATAGAAGATCGACAGGCTGGAGCAATAGGAACTCCTGGACTTAAAGCAGTTGCCAGAGTGATCAGCCGCGAGAGATTGGCCTCTCAATCCAGTGCTGCGCGTGATCTCAATCTTCCTGCATGCCCGGAGCATGCTTTCAATAGTCCTTGTCAAAGGAACGCGACTGTGTGACTTCATTCTCCATCGAGAGCCGCAATCACTCCTGATCTTTGTTCATTCCGCATACGCTCCACAACATGGCGCCTGATTAGCTTGCCAAGAAGCGATTCAGTTGTGCGAACGCGATGCTGCAGGCAGATCTGGTCAGTGCAGCAGATGCCAAGCGTGGCTGATCGCCAATATCATCTCTGTGTCAGCAACTTTCAGCTGTCGAGGAGTTCAATATTCTTGCGCCTCCCAGACTCAATCTTGCCGCCAGCAGACGCCACCGGTCTCGTATTCGGTGAAAGTTTCCGTGAAACTGGCCATGCTGGCGAGCTTCAGCCTCGTCGTTTATCGATTCGACAGCCAATCGTCGGAGGAGGCTTTGGTCCGTGAGCCCGAGTTCGCCGCCACCAGCCCCTGATATTTGGCGCACCTGATCCACCACGTCGATCACCCAGGTCGGGTGCTTGGGTCGGATAAGGATTAAGGGAGGCAGATCCATCCCGATTCAGAAGGCTGGGAATTAAGAAATCAAGCCTTGTCGCTCATCCTTGACAGCAACTAGGGTGATCTGCGGCAAATCATGTCTTTATCTGCCACAGCGAATCTCAATTCTGTATATCGCGATCTAGCAGAGTTTTAGGCGAGCGTGCACGACCGACGCGTCTGGTTGCCCCTCCTATTCAAACACTCATCTCGTGCACGACATTGGTGTTTACAAAGAATGGCAAGTTGATCTATATAAGTCGCCAGTCCCCTCGACTGTAGAGCTACTTCTTCATCCTCATCAACACTAATACAACAGTCGCTCGTTTCTATCCAATACTCACCTTAGTCTTTCGTGCAAACGATCTAATTCTTCCAACCCTTAATCTTCCACCAAAACCAAGCCCTTCCAACCGGCCTAATACATTCAAAATGCGCTGCTCAGCCATCTTCGCTGGCCTTTTCATGGCCGCCTCTGCCTTGGCTCTTCCTCTGGATGGTAAGTTCTCCACCTCAACGTCGAACTTCCCGAACACATACTAAGCTCATGCCCAGCCTCTTCCTCCACCGCCCTCAAGCCAGTTGAGGCCGCCAAGGACATCGCTGCCAGGGCTCCTGCTCCCCAGCTCGACCTTTCTGACGTCCTTGATGACGTCGCCAACACCGTTGACGACCTGGTCGACTCCTTGGAGCAGATCTTGGATCCCATTCTGGCGGCACTCCAAAACCTCACCGTGGTCATCCAGGAACTGGTGGTCGACCCCGACTCATCCGACTATGATGTCACGCTTGAGAACACCTACGTGACCCTTCAAGGCCTTCTTGTCGACATGAACGGTATCACGGGCACCAGCTTGAACAGCGACGATGTGACTGACCTGAACAACCTCAACGGCGCTCTCCAGACTCTGCTCGACACGGTGAACAACCTGATCTCCGTCGGCACTGTCAACGACACCTTGACCAACATCCAGACCCTCATCAACACACTCATCGCTAATGTGAACACCCTGCTGTCCAACATCAGCACTTAAGCGAGTGTCCACAGTGTGGTCTTGCATGTTGGCGAGCCTTTCGAGTTTATATTCGACTATGGCTCCCACTCTGGCATTGGCAAGCGGGCAATGAGGCTATCATTTCAGGCGCCGCGATTTCTACACGAAGGGCTTTTTCATTCTTTTAATTGGTCGAAAATGGGGACAGGAAGTTGGAAACGATCATTCTTAATCATTCATTTACACATACTTGGGAGTTGGATTTTTTGGACAAGGGAAGGAGGAACACACGAGTGGCAACAGGGAAATAGGGATCATGGACATAGAGACGAAACCAAACATGGAAATCTGTTGCATGGGCATAATGTGTTCCTCTTGATAATGACTTGTCTACCTCTTCAGGAGGAATTCAACCTATTGGAACAAACTGAGTGATCTCTTTTGATTGGTAGAGCATACCACAGTGAACAGCCCTATTCCCTGCACTCACAATGTGTGTTATCACATCGTTTGCCTTTCTCGTTTTCCATGTACATTTTCACCTTCGCTCACAGCAGGAGAACGTACAAGCAAGCCATCACAGCCTCTTGCCGAAGAGCTCAGCGTTTCGGATTGTGCACTCATCTCCTCTGGACAAGTTCGTTGAGGATTGTTGGCTTATTGTGTCCGTACTTCTGCACGTGCACCGTCTCCGGATCCGTACCCAGGGTCCTACCACTGCTGACTGTTGAGCCGAGTAACCTCGCTGACCTCCTCTGCCCAGTCACCGCCGGCACCATTGATCCCGTCCATTTCATCCAGAGGAGGCAAAGCAGGAATGTTCTTACCACCAAATCCCACGTCGACACCGGAGTCTTGGGTGGCGACCGAGTTGGGCGGGCCCAGGGGTCCTTCGCTGCTGAAGGTGTCCCAGCCGTTAGTCCCTGGGGAAGTCACCGCTGCTGGCTCGTCCCATCCGCCTCCGTCCCCGCTTCCGCTTCCACTGGTGCCGTCAACCGCATGTCCATTTTCGCCACGATGGCCATTCGCACGACCGCCGGATTTCTTGAGTTTGTCCTTCTCCTCCCACTTCTTCCTCACTTCTGCCTCGTTCCTCTCACACCAACCATGCAGATCCTGATCCAACTTGCTGTGCTCCTGTCTCAACACGCTCAATGTCATCATCTCCTCAGGGGTTTCTTTCTCATCGAGTTTGCCGTTCCACCACGCCCAGAACACAGAAGCGGCAGCAACCTCACGAACAGCCTTTTCTTTCTCGTCGGGGAGCGTCGCTAGTAAAGAGGTCGTGTAGAACCATTCGACTTCCTTCCAGCCCATGAGACGCTTACGGGCGACGGCGGACATTCGCTTGAGAACATGATCAGAGAGGTCACGCGGCGGAATACCTAGGTAGTGGGCAGAGACGATAACGTTGGCGTAGGTGGTGAACAGCTCTGGTGCATTGTCGTCGAGCTGGAGAACAAGTCAACATTAAACCCGTTAGATTTCCACAAGTCATTTACATCTTTGAACTTGACGATGCTCTGCTCGGCAACACACTGTTTGATCCAAGCCAAAACCTCCTTGAGTCCGTTCCAGTTCCCGCCGACAATAGTGAAGGATTTGCTATTGTTGTCCATCAGGTCGTGGCGAATGCGGTCGCAGAAGATCATGGCGGCGTCTCGCGAGAATTTGCCATCAAGGAGGACTAGAGGGGAGCCTTTGGTCGGCTTGAAGAAGAGGGAGATGGTCGGGTCGGGATTGATCCTATGCGGAATACTGTTAGTCCTCCAGCTCCGTTCTCTGCCAGATTCACCGAGGAAAGTCATCTGCATACGTTGAGAGTTTTGCAGGAGGAATGCGCGGACCGCGATCCTCGCGCGGTTCGGGTGGTTGACCAGATGAATCATCCATGACGAGAGATAATGAGTATCAATGTTGAGAAGGCGATAGTTTCCTTGAGACCTGGGACACAGTGAGGAGATGGTAGAGAACTTGGGATGAAGAAAGAGGTCCAGCCAAGGATGGAAAGAGCGACGACGATGAAAACGCAGTGTGTGGCAGAGAGAGGAGCTTGCGGTTAGCAGATAGCACGACTGCAAACCAACAACACCAGCTTTCAGGTTTTGCAGTCCACTTAAAAGACTGTATAATGCAAACTGTTTGGGGGTTGGTTTGGCAAAATCAATCAAGTCTATACCGCCAAGCCTGCCGATATCCTAGTTGCATTGCTGCCTTCAGTTCCCTCCGCGGCATTCCCTGTGTAGACTTTGATCGAGGACCAGAGTTCCTTCATTCCTTCAGGATATAGAGATGGCAGGAGGATTCTAAGACGAATCCAAGTTAGTCATCATCGTACAGGAACACTTCGGTGATGCTTTGCCGCAAGCCGCGAGGCTGACTTGACCAGAATGCATCATTGAAATACAAAGAGGGCACAGATGGAGGTTAGCAGCATGGACTTTGGGGACAGGAAACTGGAATATGCCAGCGCAAGGCGCAAATATCGTCGATAGAGGTTTTCCTGGTCAGTTCAGAATTTTGATCTCTCATCACCGGTCTAGTCAATCAACGAGCTCAACCCATCTGCGCCGCGCTCCCGAATCATAAATCGTTGCAGGCGTCGAAACAAGGAAGCCATGTACACGCCCCATCTATTTCTTTCCACTCTTCTTGATCCCCTGCTGGCCGGCGTTCAGCGGGCCCTTCCCCTTTGCCTTGTCGGCCATCTCTTTCCGGGCTTTCGCGTCTGCGCAAATGGCTCAGTCGTTGCTCCGGTACAGAACGGGATTGGATCTCTCGTACCTGCCGCTTGCTTGGCCTTGAATGCGACTTCATCTTCGTCCATTTCTTTCTTCTCCTTCTTTGGAGCCTTCAGTGGCTTGACTTTGCCGCCTGGGAAGAATGTCAGAAAGAGGCTGGTCAGACCACTTCGTCCTTTGCGGGAACCGACCTTCTCTGCTTTGTCCACCCATGATCAATTGAGTTCTGGTCTCCCTGCTAGTTCTCGAACGATTGGGGTTTCAAGGTTGAGGTTGTGGAAGTCTGGCAATGTCAGGCAAAAATGGGACAAGGCCTCGAGAAGAATCACCGCCGCAGTCTCGAACGGCCAGGCCCACAGGGATTCTAAACACGTGACGTCTTGGCATGTTTGCGTCGTTTATTTCTCTGGTCAAACGCTGAACTTTTGCGCTCTTCCATTTCGACTCCCATTCTCGTCGGCATACATTGATCTTCTTGAACCAAAGAGGCTGGCCTCGAAACCGCTCTCGCCGACGAAAATTGTGTTGTAAATGGTGATGCTGTATTCCGCGGTTGAGGGCAGGAGAAGAGGCACCCATATCAGCAGAGCACATTCTCGGGAAGATTCATGAATACTTGGGTGGATGTCCTGGTGGACTGTACCAAACTGTCTAGGTGTATGGTTTCACGATATGCCACCCTTCAATTTCTATCTGACACCGCTGTGTCTGAACTCTAACATGTGGACGCAACCCGTCAATGAACCCGCGGAGACTCTCGCCGTACACCAAGATCCCGTCGTCATCGTGCCATGTCCTCTGCTGAACCTTCAGTCTCCACAAGATGTTGAATCTCTATGGAACAAGTTCAGCAACCTAACAGAGAAATTCATGGCGAGGACGATGCATCGTTGTTGGGATATCAGTGTGTAACGATTGGACATGCCATTAATTCTTGGTATATGGGGGGGACGCAGGGGGGCTAGTGGGGGGGCTGGTGGCTGGGGAGTTTGGAGGAGGATTGGTGCCAGACATCTTCACGATGGAGTTGTTGGGAGGTTCAGCTGAGCGTTCTGCGGTTCGTGCTGTATCTGTCTTGGATTAGCCGCGACTGGATATCCGAAGGGTTGGCACAATTACTTATGGTATTGTCGTTGGACTTCTGGCTCGGTGTAGCTGATTATTGGAATGATGAGAGAGAGGCTATATCCAGGGTGTAGCGAGGAGGTATTTATGCAAAATCAATGGCGCTCGTTTGTCGACATCGTTTGGACGTTCAGTTCTATGACTTTGGTGCCAACGCAGCGAGACAACAAGTGTGTGATGTTGATGACTGTAGATGTAAACAGCATTCTATTCCGTGACGGCTTGTTATGCCATGCTCCCGTTCCCGCCAGGAGGAGACTGTTGGCCATCACATCTTGTCACCCTTCTCGCGGCATCTCTCGCCTTCTATCTGCCTTACAAGCAACACTGGTCCCAAGAGATTCCATGATAACAGTGCTGCAACTCTATCGGCGGGTTATTTGATGGGCAGTGGCTCAAGCTGTTGAGGTGCTGGAAAACTAACATTGTAGCAGAGCGACTATTCTCTCATTTCATTTCAGAGACCATCTCGGCGAAATCACTAGGCACATTGGGGGACTGGACCATTTGAGCGACCAAGGATGGAATGTATAACAATCTCATTCTTGAGTGAGATCCAGCCAGCCTGGAAGGAAAGGACGGCACAGTCTGACAGAGAATAGACGCGATCTCGGGATTCTCAGTAGCGACGAGGTGGCCGCCAGATCAAATATAGCTATTATTATTGATAAGGATAAGGATGCCATTATGCCTAAGGACAGGATAAATGCCCCTATTAATAATGGTAACCTTCGAGTCAATGGTGAATCTCTTCTCTGTACTATTTTCGTCAGACTTTGCCACTTGTTTTTGGCATCGTTACAATTGGTGAGTGGCTTGGCATGTCAGTTGGGTATTAAGAAGCCCATGCTGCCCTCGGACTTTCCAACGCAACCACATCATCCAACTCATCATCAGTGCCAGAGAGCAGAACCTGCACGATTCTCTACAGACTTCCAGAGCACCAGGGGAGAGGTTTGCGGTCCGAGTCACAGTAGAAACGTCATACAAATCTCGGTCGATTTGCATCTCTCGAAGCGCGACATGCCTCTTGAGCAGAAAGAATTCTCCCTCCCGCCACCACATCCACCGCCTGGGACGCCTGTTGACCCGGACGCAGTGAGGCCATGGCACTCAATAGGGCCTGGAATTTGGGAATTGCTGCTCAATGGCAGCAGAGATTCAGAGGAGAAGTCTGTCCTCCAGTGGTACGAGCCAAATGCAGTATCCGTTACCGACGGCGCAATAACTCATCCTTATGTCGAAGAAGTTTGTCTCCTCCAGGGAGGTCTCGAGGATCTCACACTGAGGCAGGCCTGGTCGACAGGGGCATACGCATACCGCTATCCGGGCATGGAACACGGGCCGTACAAGGCTTCGCCCACGGGTTGTTTGATGTTCGTCAAGTTATTATCTGCGAGCAGACCTGTGGACCTATCTACTTGAGGCTCTCTACCAAAGAGCCAGTTTTTGATCGACTCTGGGTCTCTGGCTTCTTGCCAGACAAGAACGGAAGCACTCGCTACTCACCCTAACGCCTTCCTCAAGAAGATTATCCCTCAGATCGGCATCTTTCAGGTTCAATTACCGTTAGGCAGTTCTCCAATGGAGCCGTTGAGGACAAATCATTCGGAAAAGATGTCGCCTATCGTCCCCTCGCAAATGATCACTCCCACCGCTTGGTCCATCCTCCTTCTGCTTGCTGAACGCGTTGTGACTTCTCCTCCGGACATCTTGTAGGGCTGGTCACTACAACTCCAAACTAGGCCTCGTCTATATGTCCACGGCCGTGAACCTAACGTCGTCCGTTGGCTGCACCTGGCCCGCGCTGTTCAGCTGTCCGCGGGCAACAGCCATTTCTGCATCGGATGGCATGTCGACAATCATCAAATACAGAATATCCTGGAATTAAACACACCGTCAGTGAGCAAATACAAAATGGGCAAGGAATGGGGGGCACTAAGTCCACCTACTCGCACGATACGACGCTGCCATTGCCCCTTTTCGACCAAGTCTGACTGCTGTTGGATCTGCTGTAGCTGAAGGCTGTACAGATCCTGGTACTGCTTCAGGTACTCTTGTTGTTGCTCGGGCGGGAGGTTCATGGCTTGGAGTTGCTGTTGCATGGCTACCATCATGGCCGACTGTTGCTCTCGAATGGCTTGCTCCTGGGACGCCATTGCAGCCTGCGTGCTCTGTTTAACTTTCTCAGGATCGCGCGTGAGACGCCCTCCCGATACCAGACCTAGGAGGCCGCCGTTACTTGCGGCAGAGTTCGGGTCCAGGTACTTGTTCTTGAATTGGACCGGCTCCGGGTTCGAGAGGATGTCTCCATTACTTTCTTTCGCCTATACTCAAAACCGACGTCCTGAAGTCAGCTTTGATACTCAAGGGAACAGAACACAAAACGGTGGCTCTGGACAGACTTGGAGTTGCAGATTACTTACATATCGCGCTTGGGCTCGTTTGTCAAAGTACTGATTTAGCCGAGCACCAAGCTTTTGCTTCTGCTCTGGCTCACCCGGCGACCGCGGCCTATCTACACCAATGGTTTCCGGATAGATCAACGGGGCCGTGCTAGTGGGCAGGCTGTCCTCTCCTTCCGCTGTAGCGGCTACTGGATTTCGAAGATTCTTCTTTGTCCGGGCAGTCAAGGTCTGCTTGGAAGTGGACGACGAAGACAAGAGCGCTTTGGATACGGCATCGGGATCATCGCCTGCGCTCTTCGGCGCCATAGTGATTGGGTTGTACGACATGAGGAGACAGAATAGCCCCCGAGGACGGAAGAATTCTCTGTTCATCCGGTCCAAGAACGAATTGGTCCTGCGCACGTTACTCGAGTTAGGCAACAGAAGGCCCACGACTTGTCTGAAGAGAAAAAAGACAAGTACAGGGGAAGGTCAGAACTCACCTCCACTTGGCCTCGGCCTGTGCAATTGCACCCGCGACAAACTGGACAGCCAAAGAGACGCCCGCGGCAATGCCGTTGGGGACAAACGAAGCGCCCACGGCGGCTAGCTGAATGGCTGCGAGCCATGCGTTTTGCTTGATGGCCTTGTTCATTGCACGGATGAACTCCAGGAAGGTATCTTGGTCGATATCGTACTGTCCCAGCGCCGGCGCGTACGCCTCGACGAAGCCCCGTTGCTTGTTCCCGGGTCGCCGTTGAGGGATGACCACGGGATAAGGCAGCCTCGGGGCTGAAGCTGGCGATTTTGAGGCGCTGGTGGTAGGGCGTTCATGAGCCTGGACAAAATCGGTGACTAAAGAGTCCACGTTCTGATCAGATGCCACCTCGTGCTCTTTCTCAGAATCGCTGGCTGACTCGTTTGATGGCGGATCACCATGGTCCCGCAAGTTGTCCATGGGTGATTGATGCGCTTGGGTCTAAAACCGCTCAGCAGACTAGCAGGACAAGTAGCAGAACTTCGAATCAAAGGACAAATGATGGTCAATGACGAGGGAGAGATCAGGACTGTCAGACTCGAAGATCGGGACGACTCCGGAACTGGATGCACTGTGCGTTTTGGATGGACACGACATATAAATACGATCTTGAACCTGGTCCAGCGATGGGGTCGGTCATGATCGGCGCAACACGGAGTACGCCTAACAATACGTAAGTGGTCCAGGCAGAAAGCGGTGCAAGATCGACAATGGGCTATGCATGATAGAAGCTATCCGAGGGCTACAGGCTTTGCCGGTGGGTGGCCTTGAGTCTTCTGAGGCAACATGGTAAGTTGGATGGACAACCTCCTCGTCCTATTGGATTTTCAGCTCCTCTATGGCTCACAAGGCTGTCCTAAGTACATACTCCGTACCTGTACAGCCTCGTGCTAGGCCGCATTGGGGAGCATTTCGCGCAACCAAAAGCGGGGCCGATGTAGATCGCAGATTCGGCGAACATGTCGGTTGTAACCTCCTCTCCACCCTTTCTCCATGCATCTAACAACCGCTTCCGAGGCCGAGCACCTGGACCGACGCATTCGACGTCAATATGGTCGGGGTTCCGGGACGCTCGAAAGCTTGTTGGACCTGCAGGATGCGCAAGAAGGGCGTGAGTTCCCTGGCAGGCGGAATCCCGTCCACCGTTCAAGAAAACGTCTTCGCTAATGTCTCCTGTTCACCCCAAAGTGCGATCAACAGCAACCATCATGCGGCCCCTGCAGACGCTCTGGTCTTGTTTGTGGGGGCTATCACAGACCCCGCATCTTCATCAACAGCAGACAGGAGAATGGTGATGCCAGCACATATGGCTTCACGCCCGAATCTTACACCGCACTGCAACAGAGCAAGACTGGAACTCGCAGCCTCACTCAAGATCTGGTTGCTTTGACGTCATCAACTGCGCTGTTGGTGCTAGAGCGATCTTTAGGATGCACTGCGCTAGAGGCAAAGTATTTGGACTTTTATTGGACCACTCTCCTCCCCAATGGTCAGCCGTTCCCGCCACGAGCGGCACGATATTCGACCACCAGCTGGGCTGGAGTCGTGCAAGATCTGTGTCATCGGCATAGCCTTGTACGGCTGGCCTTGCTCACCAACGCCCTGGGCTTGCTCGGCCAGGTGAGCGGGCGGCAGCAGATCATCGTGCAAGGATGGCGCTTGTACGGGAGGTCTTTGCAGGCGGTGGCCAAGTCAATTCCTGCCAACAACCAGGAAGGAAATGACGGTCTGCTGGCGGCATCAGGGCTCTTGGCCGCGTATGAGGTGTGTATGAACATCTGCGCCTGCGGATACGAGCATCGAAGCTGACTGGCGTATACTGTATCAGCTGATACAGACTGGCGAGGGCCAACGGTCGTGGCTCCCTGGTCCTGCCTGGCTAAGACAAGCTGCTGGCGAGAGAGCGATCATCTTATCGAGACCGCCCGAAAGCTACGTGGACGGCAACAATCACCTTCTTTTCGTTGACAGCCGCCTCCATCTGGTAATGTCTACCTCGGAATGCATAAGTTTATCGCCGAAAAATTGCTGACGCCGCCAATGAAGGTATATGCAGACATCCACCGTCGGAAGCGATCTGTATTTAGTTCCCCAGCATGGAAGTCAGTTCCGTGGTCGCTGCATCCCAAGGGTCCCCGAGATAAGTTGTTGGATATCTTGATTGAGATTCCAGCTCTGCTAGAAGACCTTGAAAGCCTTCTTGCAGGTCTGTCCAACGAAGTGGCAAGACAAGCACTCTTTCGCCAGCAGCTAGAAGAAAGATGTTGGCTATACCATAGTCAACTGCAGACATGGTCGACCACCTCAGGCTCGTCCACAGTCACTTTTGTGGAAGACAAGATCTCCAACGGAACCCACGAGAGCTCGGAGCCTTCCTCCGAACACTTCGCCATGGCTCATCTAGGCTTGATCTACTGGGCCACATGTAATATCCTACATGAGGTTTTGTGGTACGTTGCCGGAAACGGCCGTGCGGGTCTCCCAGCGTGTATCGATGCGAGACTGTACTGTCGCAAGATCGTCACGTTGATGCCCTTCCTCCAACGTCCGGCCATGGGCGCGTTTTTCTTGAACATCGCCGGCTTCCCGGCCGCCGTGGCTGTGGGCTTTCTTGCCAGGCAAGATCCGCCAGGCGAGGTCTCTGAAGAGCGCAGAATGCTTCAGAAAGCTTTTCAAGACACCCACGGGGCTCAGCTGCGGAACTTTCTGGGAACGTGGCCGTGGCGGACTGATCGGGAGACGGAAATAGTCAACCGCACAAGAAGGGAGGAGTAGCACCAACTACAGAATCCCAACAGCGTAATCCACACGTGCAATAGCATACATCATTTGTTACCTACCTAGGTACCATGGACGGTGTGCATCTTGCCTGCTCCTAACACGCAGAAACTGTGACTGGCATCTAACATAGCAATGTCAGTGTCCGATCTAAAGATGGACCTGCGTATGTCCAACGCCACTTCCGTTCCTAGTTATACTGATTCATGCTCGACCCGCCCTTTCAGTGTGTTCACTGTCCAGCATCGCAAGCCGCATTCTAGGATATTGCAAAGGTTCAAAAGGCTGGAAAAAGGAACGAGCCTAGGCCTATTAGCGGAGAGAACCACTGGTTTCAGAAACTTTCGTCGCCCACGGTTGAGGACCTCCACAGCCCGCTCTAGACGCATGATTCAAGCTGATGACAAAAGGCTGCAGTGACTTCTCAGTGATTTGAATCACTCCCAAAGACATCAACACCCCTCCTCTACGAAATCATACCACAACTGACATAAACATGGATTTCATCGAGCAGCTGGAGATTGGCCATTTCAGCTTGCGCCGGATAGGACAAGGCTTTTGTGGATCCGTCTGGGCGGCCGAAGGAGGCAAGATGGCCATGAAGAGAGAGGACGGCGGGCCAGGGCGGTCGGTCTTCAACGACTACAACATGCACAAACTCGTCCTCGAGACAATCTCGCAGCCGAGGAATACGATCAAGGTGTGCGTGCCACGCTGGCCGCAGTTCGTCAACAATACCGATGCATGGTGGGATTCGAATCTTGCCCGGTTTCCGAAGGGATATTCTGCCTGCAATATGCTCTGTTCGGAACGCATCCCACCTCTACCGCGAGAGGTCAGGGACCTTCTCGTGGATCGTTACTGCCCCGCAATGTCAGTTCAGACCATCAAGAACAACGATGCGGACCGAGATTGCCTGGTTCGTCTCTACCTTGGCCGTCGAAAGATCCAAAGTGAAGCCAGGAGAGGGCACAATTTCTTCTCCCTGCGGAACTATCCGCTACATTTAAACCAGGCGGAAGAGCTTGACCTGCCGATTGTGCAGTACGCGTGTGCCATGGCAGAGATGCTCGCTATGATGCACTGGACAGCGAAAATCGATGCGAATGATGTCGAGTTCGTTCTCGGAGGTACTCAGAAGCCGGGGATAGGAGAGTACACCAGTGACTTCTTCGGAACGCACTGTCTATGGCTCCTGGATTTTGACTGCTGCAAACCTCTGACAATGGACGAGGCGGGGGTGGAACAAGCTGCTCGTGCGTTCTTGAGGAATGACCCATATTTCCCGCGTCCTGCAGCCCAGGTTGCGACCGACAATGCTTTGTGGCTGGAGTTTAGAAGGCGATATCTCGAGTACAGCCAAACCGCTGCCAGCCTCTCCGGTACTGGTTATTTCGGACTGCCAGAACAATTCCTTGCCCGGGTAGAGGACTTGCAAGAAGAAGCCCTGCAAAAGAGATCAGAAGCCTCAAATCGCAGCACATCGGGCTAGGAGAGAGTGGCGACTCGACTTCACTACAAATCGCAGTCTCAAACAGATAGACATTTCGTCTCATGCAGCCCGAAAAGTGGTCGATGCCGACACAGGAGCCTCCTTATGAGACGGAGCAAATAAAATATATGAGGGGAGGAATCTACTGTCCTTCAAGAGACTGAAATTATCGTTGTAAACAGAGGTCACATTTGATCTAAGAACATCGAGCGGGAAAAGTGAAGCCCGGGAAGCAGTTGAAGGCCAAATCAACCTTAAGAGCGGCGTGATGGAAAGCCTTGGCAGTGGCCTGCCTGCGGCCTGCCTGCGGCCTGCCTCTTGACTGCCAATTCTGGTGACTTCCGCTATAAACACGTCACATCATCGTTTATCAGGTTTCATCTGTCGACTTTCATCTTGCGAATTGGTCAACCTGAATCACCAGCGTCTCTTCTGCTCAGTGAGATGCTCTCGGAAGCGATTTGAGAAGGACTTGGTGGGACGACACCGGTCGGGCTCTACAACTGCAAATTTTCCAGTCCAAGAATCCGCTGGCTAACACTGTTATCTCAACTGAAGGCTAGGTCTTGCTCCCGGCCTGCAAATCCACCACTTCGTCATGGGTTCGAGATCACCCAGCCAGTCTGAGGGCGAAATCTTGACGTCAGACTCGGAAGCGAAGGCAAAGAACATACCATCTTTCCGCAATAACAGCAAGATTGACCGTCGTGCCAGACCATCTTCCATTCCCTACAGCTCTACGTCTAGATCACATCGATCGCGTTCGAGATCGCCTTACCGAGCTCACAGGGGCGAGAAGCGCCCCCGCGACCATGACCACTCGAGAAATAGATCCCATAATGACACGCGCACCTTTGCTGTGAGGTACGAGGATGACGCTTACCGTCGCCGACGCAACGAATCCTACGAAGAAAGACGCTCAAAGCGGTCGCGAACCTATTCTCGGAGCCGCAGCAGGAGTCGCTCACCATATAGACATTCTCGTCGAAGGGAGGAAGGAATGGACGGCTCTGCAATCACCCGAGATCAAGGTAGCAGGTTTGAGTCCAACTCCAAACATGCAGGTGCTCAACCGGGGAAAGACGGGACCCCAGAAACCTCACAATCAACGCCCTCGCATGGCCTCCCGTCGGACCATGTCACCTCTAACTTGGTACCTCGGCCAGGATCTCATGTTGCAGCAGGACAGGGACAGAACAGGGGTCGATCAGAAAATGCCACGGCCGTTCCCGTTGGCAGCATCACCCAGGAGAGCGAAGAGCCTAAAGTCATAGACGAGGCTGCTTTGATTGAAGAGCGACGGAAGCGTCGTGAGGCCATTAAGAACAAATATCGTGGCCAAGCTCCACCGCTGTTGGTTCAGGCACTTCATCTAGGGGCTGAGTCGACCCCAACAAGTCCTGCGCCGGACAGCTATGCTACAACGCCACGTCGATCCGGTATGTTTTCCGTTGCTGTCTCCCGCGAGCGTACACTAATTTCGACAGAATCCCCTGTGTCGTCCTCGCCTCGGACGCCGAGAGATATATCTGCGCCGCAGTCTCCTGCGGAGATCAAGTTCGATAACGATGCAGATCTGACTAACACTGATAGAAGATCTCCGGCTGAAGATGGCCCTTCAGCTGCCGACTATGATCCCACTGTGGACATGGAGGAGGAACGAGCACGGCATGAAAAACGTCTCTTCAAAGAAGATGAGACATCCCTAGAGCAGGCAGATCAAGCAGTAACCGAAGCTGACGACAAGTCTGATCCTCCCCCTTCCAAGGCGACTGGTGAGTTCGACATGTTTGCCGACGAGGATGATGACGACGATATGTTTGCCGAAGCTCCAATGAAGCCTAAAGCCGGGATAAAGACTGCACAGGCCCTGGACGTCAATCTCATGGACAATTGGGATGATCCTGAAGGGTATTACATAACAATCCTCGGTGAGCTGATCGAAGACCGATACCATGTCACTCAGAACCTTGGAAGAGGGATGTTCTCCTCTGTCGTCCGAGCCACTGATAGACGAACCGGCAAACCGGTCGCAATCAAAATCGTCCGGAATAACGAAACCATGCGTAAAGCAGGAATCAAGGAAATCGACATTCTCAAAGACATTGCCGCCAATGATCCAGAAGACAAGAAGCATGTCATTCGCCTCCAACGATCATTCGATCATAAAGGTCATCTTTGCATGGTTTTTGAAAACCTTTCGATGAACCTGCGGGAGGTGCTCAAGAAGTTCGGCAGAGACGTGGGTATCAATATCAAGGCTATCCGAGCATACGCGCAGCAACTCTTTTTGGGACTGAGCTTGCTGAAGAAATGTCAATACATACACGCTGATCTGAAACCAGACAACATCCTCGTCAACGAAGCCAGGAGTACGCTGAAGATCTGTGATTTGGGGTCGGCCTCTCCCATCACCGAGAACGCCACTGCTCCGTATCTCGTTTCGCGCTTCTACCGGGCTCCCGAAGTCATCCTTGGTATTCCTTACGACTACGGCATTGATATGTGGTCCATTGGATGCACCCTTTTCGAACTCTACACGGGGAAGATCTTGTTCACAGGTCGCAACAACAATGGCATGCTTCGTGCAATCATGGAGTGTCGTGGAAAGTTTCCGCACAAACTCCTCAGGCGTGGTACCCTGACGTATGAATACTTTGACGACCTCCTCAATTTCCGAGCTCAAGAAACAGACAAGGTCACCGGGCGGACAATAATAAAAGTGATAGACATCAAGCCAAAACCAGTCCGAGATTTGAGGTCCCGGTTGATTCCGAAAGACAAGCGAATGAACGAGCAGGAGCGCAAAGAGCTGGACTTGTTTGTGGACCTACTGGATAAGTGTTTGGACTTGCGACCGGAGAAGCGTCTCACGCCCAACGATGCGCTGAAGCACCCTTTCATCTCAAGGGTTAAGCCATGAGCAGGATGATCCTGGGATATTTGATCTGGGCCAGCTGCCGAAAATGATCCAGCAATGATACTATCTAGCGATTTGCAGCCTCTTCAGTCAATCCATATCTTCGTTTAGCCCCCAAATGGTGATTTTGACTGCTGACTCAAGGCTGTATGATATCGCCGTCGTTCCCGCAGCTTATTTGTTCTACCCTGTCGGTTCCCCATCGGGGGTGTGCAAGTGGCGAGAGATGTCTTGTGAAATCTTGTTGCTAGGTCTTGCAATATCCCGAGACACGGCGACTACAGACGTCCCCGTTCCAAGACAAGAAGACAACGTCCGAAGGTTGTGCCTTACGTATCTTGCAAACACTGCTTCCATTTCACAGGGAGCATCGGAAGCATACGTCTCTTCGATGCATCGCGTGTGAAGCACCTGGAATGATCAGAAGCCTGGTGATGAAGAGGGGATTCGAGTCTGTCCTTGATGAACTTGGCGAGAGGTCATGAATGAAGCGCACATTGGGCCTGGAATAAAAAAACGGGGGGAAGGAGGAAGAAAACCTTGTGTGGTTGTTTTGTCACGAAAAGAAAACAAGTACGCACCAGCAAGGATTGAACCCCCAGACCCTTCTTCCTACCAAGTCTTCTGTCTCAAGGAGCAAAAAACTCAGACTTGTGAGAAAACCCTCGGAAGGATTTTTTTGTTCCTCATTCGGTTGGCTCGATGGTTGAGTTGCTCCCACCTATAGCTTCGTATCCCTCACAGAGCTCCTACACAGTCCAATCACTATGATCCTGCACACGATCGCAGACTATGAATTAGGGAGATACTGGGTAGAGCTCCTACATAGCCAATGCTCCGGCACAGTCACTACTAACTTGGGTGCGAATTAGGGAGATGATTCGGTCAAGGAAGACAATGGACAAGACTTATTGCTTCAAAGTCATTTCGCTCGGTCGAATGTTGGGAGAGATTTGGGCCTTCAAATGTATATACCCATCAATTTCGAGAAGTGGGTATCAGTAATGTACCTGGAGGCCGCTTGGCGAGGGGAGGGTGTCCTTTGTTGTGGTTATCACGGTCAGGCAGAGGGCAAGGCTGAGCGAGGCTGCGAGGCTGCGGGGCTGCGAGGCTGGGGGTGTTTTGATATTTGCCCAGGGCAAGTGTAGCGAGATGTCCTCGAAACATCATCGAGTCAATGCCATCCTTCACATTTTTCAGAACTATCTGCTATCCCTTTCCTGCACCAACTTTCGGCTATTCCACAATTTGGCGAATTAACCATCACACCCTCCGTCAATACATCATTTTGCCTTTCAGCATCCCCCCTTACAGAGCTTGAGCGGCGTCGCGGCCGGCAATGCGGCCAAAGGTGAGCGAGCGGAGCACACTCGTTGCGGGCGGGTCTGTTACGGTGTTCAGCTTCCCTCGATATGCAAGATGTGGAGGTTTTGTATGCGTGCAGCTCTGCAGATCGGAATCCCGGATGAGGGCGCAAAGAACAACTTACACTGCAGCTGGGTCAGCAACATATCTTTACTTTGGAAGGATGAACTTACTTCGTTATAGAACAAGCCGCTCAACTCTCCGGCACAGTACAGTCCTGGATATGGTCAGTCAGACACATTGCATATTAGGCTTTGCCTCTTACCTGGAATCGGGACCCCTGTCGTGGCAAGCACCCTCGAATCAAGGTCGCACTTGAGTCCGCCGTAAGTGAAGGTAAGTTGTGCTAGTACTTCTCAGCAATCGGCCCACATCACCTTTCATGATAGAGGCTACCTTTCATTGGATATCTAATCATTGTGAGCCTTTGATCTTTCTTGTTTAATAGCATGGAGATGGCTTACCCGTAATACGGGGGTTTGTTGATGGGGTTGGCCCAGTTGGTCTTGTCAGGGTTCAGGCTTCGAGAACATCAGCTATCATATCCCTGCGATATTCGTCATGCTCATACCCCTGTGTCCTCTTGCCATCAAGTGCCATCAGGTTGAATTCCTTATCGTTGATGCTACACCGGGTCAGCGACATTCACTGTTCTTCCTGTCTGGGAGACTTACGCCGCGTTAAACTCATCCACGGTCTTCTTCAGCTCTTTCGGATCCAGCCCCAGCTTTTCGGCCAAGCCCTCGATGGTGTCGCTCTTTTCAGGCTCTTGGTCTGTGGTATCATAGACCCAGCCTGGTCGGAAGCGCTCCATGATGGGACTGTCCGTGATGCTGAAACCCAGTCAGTATGCAGTCAGCGGGCAGTCAGTGGGAACCCACAAGTAGGATTTCTGGTTATGATCTGCTCCATGTCAGTGGCTGGACAGACTCGGGCTGCAACGACTTACCTCGCCAGGTCTCAAGGGCAATCATCTCGAACGTGGAAAACAGGCTGTCCATGTCAGCAGCTACTCCCCGAGGAATCCAATGATGCTCACTGTCGTTTGCCTTCATCATAGAACCTCTTGGAGTGCCTGATCAGTCAGCAACAATCAATCATGGCTTGAGAAGAGAGTCCGCACTCGTTCACCACAATACCGTAGTTGTGGCCCCAGATTACTGCATCAGGCTTCTTGGCTCGGATGTCGACGAGTTCACACTTTCAGCCAGAATCAGTATGGACGTCCGGCACCGAGAAAGGCAACATGCGAGGAGTGTGCTTACGTGCATACCACTCATCGAACCTGCCACGGCAGCACCAACTTCTAACCCCATCTTCAGGCCGAAGCCGGTATTGTACTTGAGGCCAGGTGCAATGAGCTCAAGATGCTCTGTCCGTGGTCCTACATATTTGCCCAGCCTGGTTCTTGTTAGCCAATGCATTTCTGGACGATCTCGGTTCTTACATTTCACGGTTGCCTTCGAACCCACCGCAAGCCAACATGACTTTCTTACCGCGGACTTTTGTCATGTGTCCATCTGCCTTTCGAACTTTGACGCCGTAGACAGTTCCGTCATCGTGGGTCAGCAGGTGTTCTGCTTGCGTCTCCCACATTATTGTTACATTCTCGAATTTGCGGATATGGTCGAACAGGGCGTTGATGATTGCATGGCCGCCACCCTAACTCTACAGTCAGAGCGAGTTATGAATTCAACCGATGACCCGCGTTACCTCCGGGAAGACGAAGTGCTGATCTGGAGACCGTCAATATGGAGGCCAGAATCTGAATCAAGCCCAATGACTTACTGGTATTGAACTCCAGCAGGACATTCTTCTCATCATGATGGTTGAGTTTCACTCCGTCTGAGACCGTCAGTATCTCGCCCAAGCAACTCCAGAGCAGGTCAGCTAACGGTCGAGCAGATACTGGGCAGTTATGGGGACTTCTTTCTCCATTTTGGCGCAATATTCCTGGTCCGCCAGCCCCTCGCTGGCCTTGTTAGTATCGGAGCCATGTCAGCCCAGATCATTGACTGACCTGACGCGCTATAACTGTCAGCAGGAACCTTCAGCAGCAGAGCTTTACCCTAACCTTCATTTCGTGCTTCCAGTCCGAATCGAAGTTGTTGTCTGCGGCAATTAGCACCAAGAAGGGCCTCTTTTGGCAAATCAGCACAAGCCTTTGTCCAGTCGCAGGTATGCCATTGTCCACCTAGAACCGGTTCAGCCAGTGTTGACGTTCGACAGGTGGTCAAAGCAGACCTGCTTGCACCGCATCGTTCACCTTCTTTACCAGCCTCGATCAACGCCACCCTACCCCTTCTGCCGAGCCTTTTGCATTCCTCGAGAAAGTTCAACGTCGTCATGGAGCCCTACCAGTGATAAGCGTCGTTTAGCCTATGGTACTCGGTGGCTACTTACAGCAAATCCACTCCCGACCACAACGAGGTCATACTCATGGTGGGAGCCTGTAAGGCTGCTTACAACCTGACTGACGACCGACATGATGGGACTGACGAGGAAAGGGTTGTGTTTGTGGAATATGGTGGTGCCAGATTTCCTTTGTCCAGGTACAAGGTGAGACGCTCTGCAAGGTGCCGGTTTGCACATGCAATCCTCTCCCTTTTAACTCTTTCCACCACCAGGGACGTACCCCTCAAACATTGCGGATTCTTGTTCAAAGCTGAGACCACCACCCCGCAAGAAACGGCGAATCGCGGATGATAGCCCAGGACAGCCCGCAGACTGGTGGAGTGATCTGATTCTTGTGTGTAAACTTTCCCCGCAGAGCAGCAACCTGTCATCGGCAATGACTTTGTTCATTGCCAGCAAGCCCTCGAGTCTTATTTCCCTCAGGCCAGAACGGTCCAAACTGTCTTTTACGATGCGTTTGCATGACCCGGTTGGGACAAGACCCCCTCTCGACCTTGTGGATGCGTGAATATGGTTTCCCCTCATGGATCCGACGGCAAAGGTTAGTACAACGTCATCTCTCCATCTCCGAGATCAGAGCATTCTCTCGGAAACATGGATCTCGATATTCGCCAGGGCTCTCGGAAGTGCCACAGCACTGGAAAGTCCTTCTCCGAGGACTGCTGTCTACGATTTTCGTGACACGCGGCTTCGGTTATTATAGTCTAGAATGGAGGGAGAGGCCGGTCTCAGCTCCCAAGTCAGTCCAGGATCGAGGCCGTCTACGATTACCTACTGTGCCGTCTGTTTCGAGGTCGCGTCATCGCACTTCAGGACGGTACCGCCTACTGCTTCGAGGTCTTGTTCGCGAATCTCTTTTTCCGCATTCGTAGCGACAAGGACACGGACAAGGACATTTGATTCGTCATTCCGAGTTGTAAGCGGGTGTGCAGCATCCGTTTTGGTGCAAGTGTTGCGAAGGCTCTTCGAGATTTGCTGGCCCAGGCCTGGCTCGAGACGGACCAGACGTCTTGACAGTGTTGTTTCGTGAACCGTCGACAGTCGAGCACCGGCAGCGTTCTCGGAGCTGGGTATGCCAACCAGGCCTCGAATTGGTGTTTGCTACTCCTCATCCTGCTGGTATCAGGGGCGCAGTTGCCGCTCTCTCCCGCTCATCGACCAGCTCAATGATGCGTTGCATACCGTCTGTACCAGACGCTGCCCTTGAAGGGACTCGGCAAGACAACAAACCGTACTCTTGCAAACTTGGGGACTGGTTTCTTGAACTTGTCCTAGCACCGTGCCTTGCGCCTCCACCTATCTTACTGCACCTGCTGGCACTTGGCCTAGTCTGGCCCGTCGTCCAGTTCCAAACCTAGCCTGTCTCGCGTTCTCGTTGAAATCATAGATATATGGAATGGTCCATTCCGGCCCAAGCCCGAGAATCTCATTTCTCCGCACTCCAGGTAAAGAGGTTGTGGTCATCACTGGGCTGACAGAGGAGCTCAAGTGCCTGATTCTCGGGCACGACGGCAAAGCGGCCCATCAGGCCTTCAGTGGCTCTTTGTTCCCTCCGTCGAACCCTAGAAACGTCGTTCTTGGGCCTTGATCCTTTCATCACTTTGTTTCATGCGATCGATGACGTGGGGACGTTGCCTTTGCGCAACCCCGCCCTCAATGCCCGCTTCGCCGTTTCCTTGCCGAATTCAGGGGCATCTGGAGCCATTGTCCCCCGCATCACAAGCGACTGGGATGGGGGTCCTTTTGAGGGCCGACTGCAAAACCAAATGTCTGGTACGAGCGTCAATGCATATATCATATCAGTGTCCGGAATCGCAGTCGATCTCGCCTCTGACCCCAATTTTGTAAACCAAGAAGCAACCCATCCTACATACAGCACCTACCGAGAAGATGGAAGGGGAATGCCTCTGCAAAGGTCCGTCGAGCCCGCCCCGTGTTGGAACCCCCCAATTGTCAAGATCAATGCCGGTCCGAGGATTGTGCGATGGATCGCTGGCTGACACCCGCCTCCCTGACCCAGCCGTCGCCGTCAAGGTCAACGACGACAACCTCTTTGGCGAACAGCGCCGCGGCCATCTGTGCCACTGTGCCAACTGCCGCAAAGTCGCTGGGGGCGTGTAAGTGTGTTCTGTCTGCTACGCGGTGTCTCTGGAATACATTTGTGCCCCGGACAAGAAACGATCCACATTCCTATAAGATGCACGCGGGACATGTGGGATGAGCGGATGGATCGTGGTTGCTGATTCAGGCCCTCAGCTTCGGCGCCAACCTGACCATCGAGGAAGAGAAGGTCGAGTTCCCTAAGGGCAAGGGCAATCTCAAGATGTACTCTGTTCGTCCTATCCCTCATCCGCCATCCCTCACTGCCAGTCCTGTACCCAGATATGTGTCTTCTTGCTCTAACGAGGTACTTCTTCCCACGCCAGGATCCAGAGACACTCAGCGGGACCCCGGTGCAGCGGTAGGTTTGATAGTCTGGGACACCTACCCATTCCTTTCCCCATCCGAGGTAGCACGTCTTTGACGCGGAGGTGCGCCCGAACAGGTATTTCTGCCAGACGTGCGGCGTGCCCGTCATGAGCATGACGCCGCTGTTCAAGGGCAAGGTCATTTTGAAGTTAGGGCTGGTGAGTGGTGGTCCTCATATATACGTTGCTTTGGCCCCTTCATCCTCCCCAATCTTGGGTTCAGACAACCCATTTGGGAATTGTAAGTGATTTTCCTGAACTGATCCGCTAATCATCGGGTGCTGGCGGGCCGTGGGTGGGATAAAACAGTACCCCAAACTCCCCGTGCCGGAGTGGGAGTCGTTCGCCTCGCAGCGCCAGAGCTGGGAGAAGCCCTTCGAGGGCACCATCCAGTACAAGACAAAGGTACGCACGTTACCCCTCGCCCAGACGGACGGGGGATTCCTATCATCTTGCGTTGTCGGTTTTTGTTTCCTGGTCAAAAGCCCCAGGGACGTGATTCCGGGGGGACAAGCACCCCTCGTCTCGTCAAGAGGAATTCAATAGGGAGATGAGCTGATTGAAATACCCGTGTCAGAGCTTCGGGGAGAAGATGCCCGGGTCGATTTAGAGGGTGGCGGGCCGGAGATAAAACGGGAGTATATCCTCTCTTTCCTCAACCCCTCCTACCGGCCGACCGAACCAGCGAGAGAGGGGCGAGGGAGAGAAGATGTGTGGATGCGGACGGAGTGTGTGCGGCTGTGTGAAGGGAATTTTACTTCAGTTTCAATAACCTTGGAGCTCTGGTGGTATGTTCGTGAGGAACCGAAAGTGAGATGAGAAGGCAGGGGCAACGAGACAAGGTATATGAGTACCTATAGTGAAGGAACAACCATTTCGGACGACAGACGACAGATGTCTCGAGCGTGGATCCTTCGCTGGGGCCTTTTCAAGGAAGCCTCGTGGGATATATTCTATTCCATGGGTTGTTTAGGTATAGGCCAGCACCGCCTCCGAGGCAGCACCGTTCAGATCAGAGGCACGAGAACAGGGGGCTTCTCGACAGGTACTCGGTACTTTGCCAGCGATGGCTTGTTCGTTGATGCAATGGTGCTCCTTATATCTTTGATCATCGTTCCCTATCAGTTAAAGGAAGCTTGGTTGGGCCCCATCTCTCTTCCTTCGGATCTACTTCGCTCCTATCTCCTGCCCTCCTCTCTCTCCCCTCTCCTTTCTCCCTTCTCCCTTTCTTCGTGTCCTACTCCCCGTGTGCCCGAGTCCGTACTATCCGTCGAACCCTATAGACCCCCTCTCCGCCCCGATATAAGTCCACCTAAGCGTCTCCCGCGCGACGGGCCCGCCCCTGACCTCCACCACGACGTCCTGCCCAGGCACGACATCGAACCCGTTGTCGCTGAAGGTCAGCCCGTCTCTTCCCTCCTGGAACACGAAGCCATGCACGGGCCTCGCCGCCGTCACCGTCACCGTGACCACGCCATGCTCCCCAGCCCCGGAGGAGAGTCGGACCTGGACGTCCCGCGCCGCGGAAAAGTCGAGGTACTTGATCGGATGGGGCCAGGCGGTGTCGGTGCCGACGACGCGGCCGTCCACGAGGAGCGAGGCGTGGATGACGTAGGGATCCCACGCGCGTGTGTCGATGGACGACGGCCGCGTGGGCGAAGCAGGGTCACGGGCGACGGCGCCGGTGTCGATGGGTAACTCGCTTCCCCGGAGGATCTCGGTCGTGCTGTTCGCCTTGACGGTGACGCCGTTCTTCTTGATCGGGTCGACCACGTCCTGGCCCGTCTTGATCGAAATCGCCCGCACGACCACGTCCGCCTGAACATCCTCGTCCGCGCGCGAACTGCAGACCCACAGATCGAATCTCGTCTCCTCGACGCCACCCGTCGGGTCCATGTGGCCCGACGTCCACTCGTGGAACGGCCTGCTCACCCCCGCGGCCAGCGGCTTCAGGGAGCGCTTGATCGCGTAGAAGGCGGGCTTTTTCACGCGGTAGTAGTCGACCACCGCCCACGACATGGTCGGCCAGGTGTCGTTGAACTGCCAGACGAGGACGCCGCCGCATTTTCGGTTCTTCTGGCCCTTGGGAGATGACGAGGCGGAGCCCCATTCGCGGCGCCACGAGCGATACGCGAACCGCACGGCGTCCAACTGCATGACCTGGGTCAGGTGGGCGAAGCTCGACAGGTCGTATTTGATCTGGAAGTTCTCGGCCACGTATGTCATGAGGCGGCGTTCGTGGTCGATCGCGCGGTTGTGGTAGTCCATGGTCATGCTGCCGGGGTATTGTTGCTTTGGATCCGTCGCGATGGCGGAGACGATGGTCGAGACATGCGGGTAGGCTTCCATCCCGAATTCGCTCACGAAGCGCCCGCCCATGGTGGGAAGCTCTTGGTATCGGCGCATAGAGCCGTGCCAGACTAGAAAATAGAGAGAGGGGACGTATCAGCACAAATTGTAGATATAACAGATGGAATTGGACGAGTAGAGGAGACCTCAGGGCGGGAGGCGGCGAAAGGGCCACATACCATCCCACTGATGAATGTCTCCCACAGTCGGATCCCAGGTCTTCTTCCCGTCTCCCCAGGGACTGCTTGGGTGATACACCGCGCCTGGACTCTCTTCCTGCACGACCTTCGGCAAAAGATACTCGTAGATATACCTCGCGGGAAAGCTGCTCTTGAGCCACGACTGCGGGTCCTTGTCGCCTTCATAATCGTATTCCAAGTGATGTTTCTCCTGGATCTGATAGTCTTCGTTGTTCCCGGCCCAGATGGCCAGCGAGGGGTGGCAGCGGAGACGTCGGACGTTGAACCGCGCTTCCTGCTCGACTTGGGAGAGGAAAGAAGGGTAGGTCGGGTAACTGGCGCAGGCGAAGCAAAAGTCTTGCCAGACGAGAATGCCCATGGAGTCGCAGGCTTCGTAGAACGAGTCGTCTTCGTAGATCCCTCCACCCCAGATTCTGGACGTGGTCACTGATCAGAAGTGGCTCGAGCAATCGCCGGGTAAAAAGGAACAAGTCAAGAAATTGGGCATAAAAGTCCCAAAACTGATTAACCACCATACCTTGTCATGATCTGGTTGCCCTCGATCATCAGCTCCATCCACTTCCTATACCCATCCTCTCCGATCCTCGGGAGGAAGCAATCGGCAGGAATCCAGCAAGAGCCGCCTGCAAAGACGTCGACATTGTTGATGCGGAAATAGAATGACTTGCCAAACTCGTCCGGCTCCTGGATGAGTTCACAGCGTCGAAAGCCGACCAATCTGGATCTGGAAACAGGATCGGCACCTTTCGTGGACAAAGTTGCTTGGAGCTCGTACAGGCGCTGTTCGCCATAGCCACGAGGATACCAGAGAGCAGGATCTTCGAGTTGAAATTCGGCCGTGGCAATGCCATCCTTGCTGATGCGTGCTTCTGACTGGTACAGGGCCTTACTGTCGAGGGACAACGACAGCTTGACGACACTCCCTTCCTCCAACTTTCCTTTTCCGCTCCCTACGCTGGCGAACAGGTTCCCCTTCACCACCTTCAGGTCCTCACTTACCTCTGCTCGAAACCAGATGTCATCGATTCTATCAACATATGTTTCCAGCAGAACGCGCTTCCATGGCCCGGAAGTGATCAAAATAGGACCCCAATCCCACCCCCAATGGCACTGTGCTTTCCGCACAGGAAGCCTGCTCGACTCGGTCTGATGAGCGATGAAGTCGTGTTCATGTGAGTGCTGTTTGACAAGTTCACGACCACGAAGGAGGGCCGAGTCAAAGACGATTTCCAGGACGTTTGGCGCCGCCAGAACTTCGTCTTTGGGTTCCGACAGAAAGGGTGTCACGTCGACGCGGTATTCAAGAAACATATTGTTTGCTTCGAGAATCTTGTGGCCGTTGAGAGTTACCGTGGCAAAGGTGTCGAGGCCTTCAAACACCAAGTCCGTCCTTGCGTCGGGCCGTCTGTTTGTCGGAGATGTGAAAACTGTCTTGTAGGTCCAAGACTTCTCTGCGACCCATCGCACAGCCAGTTCATTCATGTCAATGAACGGGTCCGGAATCCTAGCAGTGGTAGAGGCATGAGCTTGAGGAGCATGTCTTGACCTGGCTCTGGGGTTATGTTCACACATACTTCCCATTTTCTTGAAGAACGATATGAGTTGTGGTTGGCACCTTCGAAACCTGGAGCCATCCGTTCTCGGAGGTATCGTCAGATTGTCTGCATTGCCAACCAGAATTCAGCTCAGTAGTGATGGTAGTCATTGTAGCTCAGAGGATCCAGCTATTGGGACCGATCGACGAGGTACAGCCTGGCGAGATAGTAAACTTGTTACCTGTCGGCAGTCGATGGCTATTCATCAACCTGTCTGTTCACAGGATATCCCAGGATGCTTTGGAAGGCATGGGAAGAGAATGAGCCTGTTGAGTCTCAATTCCTCGAGATTCGTGCAATGGCAAATTGTCCATGCTGCTTGCCACAGACAAAGCCTATGTTGTGCATGCGGGGATCCTTCATCTTTGCCGATCCTGCTGCTGTAACGGTTCCCATGAATCCTACCTCGCAGACAACAGCTCGTATCCCACACTCCAGGGTCTTGTCGACATAACTGAAAGGTTCTTGTGCGTCTGTAGCCCGTGGACTCGGAGGCGCCAGAATAGATAGGCATCGCGACGCTCGCAACAGCCTTCGGAACGGGCAGCCATATCCTTTCTGACCCTCGGCGCCACGAATTCCGCCCCCGACATCCAATTGAGCTTTGTCCAATCAAGGTATATGTTGGCCCGCTTTTCTGACGGGGTGACAGTCAGAAATAAGGCCAGCGGCCCATGGATTGTCAGGAGAGCAGATATATAGGTCAGAAGCTAGGCCAGCAATTTGAAATCACGAACAAGCCCATGGTCTGGGGTCGTCCGTTCGGACGAAAGGCTGGGAGATGGAAAAGAATAAATGAAGGCTCATTGTCTGGAGGAGGTCGTCGCACCGCCATCCGTGAGCCCGACTCCAAGACTCTCACCAAGAAACAATAGTTGGGACGCAGTATTTTACGCCAACCTCTAATCTCGATCAGAATGTCCAAGCCGTCAATCCTACTTATCCCGGGATCCTTCGCGCTGCCCGAGTTCTATGACCCGGTCATCAACGCCGTCGCTGCAAAAGGGTATGAAATTCAAGGCCTCCACAAGCCAAGCGTGGGCTATGCAGGCGGAAAGGCTCGGGAAGGAGTGCCACCACCAACCATGTACGACGACGCTGCCTTCATTGCCAGGGAGGTCGAGAAGCTCGCGGATCAAGGGAAGGACGTGATCCTGCTTGGTCACTCGTACGGAGGTGTCCCCTTGACGGAGAGCACCAAGGGCTTGAGCAAGGAAGAGAGGCAGAAAGAGGGAAAGAAGGGTGGGATTGTGAATCTGGCGTATATGACTGCTCTGGTGCCAGCTGTCGGGCAGACAGCAAAGGATATTCTGGCAGATTTGCCCAAAGAGCAGCAATTGGACCTGAAGGTTGATGTAGGTTTTCATCCACTACTGGTTCTTGCTGCATCGCTGCTCGCATGCTAACAGCGCACAACGAAAACAGGAGAATGGCTGGATGTATCATGATCCGGCTGAAGCATCAGCGGCTATCGTGTTTTCCGATCTCCCCAAAGAAGAAGGAGAGGCCTGGGTGAGGAAGTTCCCCAGGCACTCTGCTCTCAGTTTCGTTGGTGAATTGACCCATGCTGGGTACAAAGACATTCCAGTGTCGTATTTGCTCTGCGAAAACGACCTGTGCGTTCCAGCAAATGTCCAGAGAGAAGGGATTGACCTGATCGAGAAGGAGAGCGGGAGGAAGGTTGATGTGACCAGTATCAAGGCGGATCATTGCCCCATGGCTGCCCAACCGGAAGCAGTGATAGACTGGATCCTGAGCGTCGCAGCAAAGTATTAGTTAAGGGGAAAGACGGAATCCAGTTTGGGAAGTCCAAATTGGACGGATACGTTTGATCGGATCTATTGCTCCGAACATCGTTGCTCCATTGCGCAGGGGTTGTGGCGAGCGAGTGTGCATGCGCGGTAGACACAAGTTTCTGCAGTTACTCCGACATGGACTTACACGATCTTGGTCGCCGTCAACCTCGAGTAATAAGCTAGTTAAAAAAACAGAAAGCCCCATTTGTCGGCAAAATATCTCTCAATCTTCCAGGCTTTAGGATCCCACGATGCAAGGCCAGGCGTGATGTTGAAACTCGGCATTGTAAACAGGTCCCGAGTGAAGTCTTCTTCGTCGATGACGGCGCACATATTAATGAGATTGTCTCGCATCTTGGCAAACGGGAATCTGTCTATGCCCGGTTGATGGATCGTCAGCAGTTGAGTAGTTGTGGGCTGTAATGATAGTGGGACGTTCGGGGAAGCAGGAGATGAGAGTGCTGGAACAGCCGAACAAGATCTCAACCCTAAAACCGCGCCATTGATATACAAGGCGCTGAACACAGTGGGTAATGGACAAAGCTCATAGTTCAAAGTAGAAACCTGTGTCTTAGGGGAGTGCTGAAGTGGCTGACTTGTGCGTGCTGTTAAAGAGGCTGAAATGTTTTCCCAGCATGTCAGGGTTGCCACAGGATCCTGACACCCAAGTTGAGCAAGGAGGTCAATGCCAGGGGGAGTATCGTCTTCTGTTTGCGTAATATGGCTTCTGCAGCGTGGGGGAGCATGGTCTATCTCGGGTGTGTTCGTTTTGGCTTCTCGAAGTCGTTTCCCTAGGAAAGGGCAGCCAGTCAGCATAAAGTCTGCCTATTTGACGCCGTACGGCGGGCAAGCTCAAGCAGATGCATAACATGGTCAAATGAAGTTGTATTCCAGGTCATGGGAAGAGAGGCCCCGGGCAGAATGCGAAAGGACCTCTGTTTTCGAGGGAGGCCACAAGGCGAGACGAGCCCATCAACTCCGATGAAGTCGGAAGGTGAGAAAAGGACACCCACGTCTTGCTCGTTGAGCCAGCTTGTCTTGTATTCGCTTCCTTGCCCTTGCGTCCGTGACATGGTGCCAATCATCCTTGTCATTTCTGGTCGGCCGGGTATTTGCTGGCGAGGTGTCCATGATCAAAGTGTTTTCAAGGATGTAGAGCCCTGGTTCTCTCATCTGGAGGGAATGCACCTACGTGTGTAGGCAACGGCGAAGTCAATTGTTGGTGCTGACGGGACCAGAAGCGGTACGGCAGAGTATTTGGAAAAGTCGGGACAGAATATTTATCACGTGATATGAGAAGCTGACAAATAAGTGCGTGTAATCCACAAATGTTCAGCCCTAGTGTCTACGGGGGATCAGAGAGACACCACCATGTCTCTGCAGTTGCGAGCCATCCACGCCATCTCAGTCGCATCCTCCCACTCCTTCTTCGCCACCATCGCTACCTGCTGCTGACAGTCAGCACCCTGGTATTATCAAGTAAGTGTTCCGCGTATGCAGTCCTGAATGAGGTCGGCTCAACCTTACTATTTCCGCAAAGGCACGAATTTCTGCATCGGGAAGCTGCAATGCCGATCATGGCTCGCTCTGCAGCTTCACCAGCCTGCCTAAGCACAATTTCGATTGATACAGAGCTGTGAGACTCGCGCGTGTCCGCACCGCCAGGAAGGGAACAGCCCCGAGACGTTGGCCATGATGAATTGTACATATAAAGCGCTGGATGCTCGAGTTCTGATGAAAATCTCGACTCCTCCGAGGGTCGTCAAGCTCTTCACACTTAGTTTCTTCTCTTCCGCTAGAAGTTCAGGGCCTGGGTCTTGATTGAGAAATGCCTCTGATCGAATTGGCAACCGTGCGCCTGCACCCTTCGTTGTCTTCCAACCTAACCGACTCCTTCACTGCCACCTGGACTCGAGCCTGCGGCCTCGCCACTTCCGCTGCGAATGGAGTTCCTTTCCAACTTTACCACTCCATTGACCCGACAACCGAGGACGTGTACTATCTTGTCGGCGGTTGGCAGAGCGGAGATGACCATATTGCATTCCTCTCGACCCCGGATGCAGTGGCCCTGGCCAAAAGCATTGGCGAATATATGACTGTTGCGCTTGTGCGGCATGTTGATGGAGACATCAGTGCTTTGGGCCAAGAGGATGGAGGAAGACCCAAGCGATTAAGGGTCACAGCATATCAAGTCCCTGAATCAATGATTGACAACTGGGCTTTGAAGTGGAACAACAGCCCATTTGCAAGCACGGGTGCTGGGGGATGGGACTTGAGCAGCTCGGTACAGAAACAACATAAAGCCTTCAAACAGATGGGTGAGGCGACGAACAGTGTTGCCGCGTTCGGCGGCAAAGACGAGAGTGGCAGCAAAACCTGGGTATGGCTCGAGAGCAGCGGGAACAGGTCCGAAGAGACTGAAAGATCTCAATACCCTCTCGAAGGATTTGAAAACATTCAGGCTGAAGTGTTTGAGATGAAATATGTAGTGGGGTAACTGCCGAATTGGTGGCCATCAAGATATAACAGCCCAGTATGGCAGCCCGCGGCGATCCTCATGCTTCCATCTGTTCGTAGCTCCGGGCTTTTCAGAATAATACATGAGGCGTTTCATTATACAGATTTTTTTTTGGTACTGGAGGTAGGACAAATGCAAATTGGCATTCATGGCGGGTGCGATAAGCTCCTGTGCTCCGCGACGATATTGGGATTGGCGCTGACACACTCTGCAGGGCCAGAAGAATCTTATGCGGTAGGTAAACTTCTGGTCATCGGCCAGGTAAGCCAAGTGCACGTATAGTCTAGCGCATATGACAGTTGTATTCGAGGAGACTTGTATGCTCGCCTGCCTTGACTTTCTGCACAACTGATGCGGATCCCCTCCCGATGATATCTCTGACGGGGAGGTGGCGTTGCCATGCGCTGGCCAAGATCGATCGAGAACGTGGAGGGTTCGCCTAGTTGGTGAAAGGCTAGAGCCGGACTGTCAAAGCGGCTGGTTCTGATGATTCAGCGCTGATTACAGTCAAAGTCGGCTTCCCGATTCGACCTTGCTTGCCCTATCATTCTGACGCTGGGCAGGTTGTCCCCATGGAGCGGACAGACCTCGTTCAGTCAAGATCCATGCCTCCGTTAGGGACAGCGACCGGTTGGGGATGGTTAAGCCGATGATAGTCAGCCCAATTCTCCATCTGGACTTTTTCCGACAACTGAGACTGAGCAGCCTCCGGGCCTGGTGTGCTCTCGGCTCGCAATACCTTGTCACCTTCGAAGACCATAGGCTGGCATCTCAGATTGTGAAGGCAAGTTTCCCACGTTCTGCCGACAAGCTTGCCTTCCAAGAGACTTTCACTGAAGAGGAAGAAACCTTCTTGGCAGCCAACAAGGTATGCGTCGAGGCCAGCATTCTTGAGGAGGATTTGAGCGCCGTGAATATCCCTCGAGTAGTGATTGTCCAGGTATTTCGCCCAGCCTCTGGCAGCGGCTTGCATTGATTCGCTTTCCGACTCCATCTTAGTCCATCCGATACCGAGCGCGATAGTCGCCTCATCAAACTCTGGTCGCTCCACGGCTGTCTTTGGGGGACTAGCTGGCGCCGAGGCGATATTGGTCTCTATTGGTAGGCGGAGCGACGTCTGAGACAATCTGACCGATTTGCGACTGGTCGGCAGCTTGGGCCGAGCATATGCCGCAGCAATCTCTTCCTTGAGTGCTTTTTCGTCCTCCTTCTCTTCGTACCATGTGCCCGTCTGGCTCTCCGCCGAGACCGAGATGCCTGTTTTCGGATTGAGCAAGACCATTCCCTCGCCGTAAATGGGCTCTTCTTCAGGAATCGGAGCCGGGGTGTCAACCGAAGCGAAATAAGAGCCGTCCGCCTCGACGTCGAACGCGGTCTCGTCACGGGAGCGCTTCCTCGACGGGTTGGTTGATATGGGAGTCACGCTATCGACCGGGGTCCAGGTGGTTGAGTGGTTGGGATACGACGTTGGCGAAGGTTCTTCTTGCTCCATCGCTTTGGGAGTATCAGAGGGAGTGGGAAGTTGGTGCTGTTCCTGAGGGACAAATGACATCTTTTGAATGGCGCAAAGACTGTGACCCGAAGTAAAATGTTATGTTCCCTTCCCTTTTTCTTTCCAAGCGATGGGATGAGGCCGGCAGAGATAGCAAACAGTTGACAGTTTAGATGTAACGATGCGCCGAAGGGAGTCGAAGGGTCAATACGAGGCAGCGAAGGCGTGGATATCAGATGATGTCGACATATGATATGGCCAAGGAGGGTATGTCCCGGAAGTAAGAGGCAGACGAGGGAGTAAACAAGAGAGGAGGGTGAGTGGAGGGACGAGCTGAGGTATTTGAACCGGGGACGGAAGAGGCCAAGAGGAAAGAGGCAGGGTCGCAATGCTTGGGAAGGCAGCTGGAAGCTGGAAGCTGGGAGAAGGCGAGAAGGCGAGAAGCGAAGGGAAAAGCCAGAAATCTGGGGGACTTTGCGGTCTGCAAGATTCCTATGGGAGAAAGTGGTAACGGCGTACCGTCAGTGGCCCATGGCCCAGGGCCCAGCAGCAGACGTGAGGTCTGAGCGGCGGCTTGACGGCAACGGGCAACAATGCACAAAATTCGGGATGCCTTTGGTAGCGATCAGCCGCCCACAAGCAGTAAAGCTCACAGGGATTGCCAGGAACGCCGCACTGATCGGGCAGTGGCCATTGGGTGAGGCGAGAGCTGCATGCCATCTGCGTCCTGTAAGCAAAAGACTTTGTTGCGCAGTATCCGATCCACCTGGGCCAGCTGTGGGCAAGGGACCAGCAAGCACAAATCACAGCGGCCAACCCAGCCGGCAAATGGGTCTGTAAGGCCAAAAGCGTGAACGGGCATTGGGAAGAGAGGGAGCAGCGAACAGGGTGCTGGTGGAGAGCATCAACCCCAGCCAGTGAGGCCAGGCCTCCTGGGAACTTTCTGACTGATCACCTTTTTTCCTTTGCGATGCTGGGCGGGATGCGTGGATCCCTGGGTGTGTGATGCATGCGGCAGCCGAGGAGCAATACAGTAAGAGGCAGTGTGGGGAAATCCGCGCCAGTCCCTACGAGTCCCTAAAGCCCGCAACAAACTGGAACTGGGCGCCTTTTAGCGGGCACCACCCTGGGCTTGCCCTCTCTGGCGCCCCCGTCTCTTCCAACGCCACCCGCTTATAAGCCCACCAGTGCCTGTCCTCCTAAGTGGTTGGAAGTGGCCGTCCAGTGGACAGCCTAGTAGTGGTCCCGCCCAACCCGCGGGCTTCCTGCCGCTCTGGCCACTCTGCCACATGCCTGCCAGTATGCGCAGTACGCCTGGCGACATTTCAGCTTCCCTGCTCGCCTGCTCCCCGGCTCCCCAGCCTCTTCACCGTACGGCTCGTCATGGTTTTATGTCAAAATGCTCAATGGCGTTCTCGTTATTAGGTAGATGGGTGGCTAGCTAGACAGTGCCTGCAAAAACTCCAGCAACGTCCCCAGTCGCGTCCTGCATCAAGTGTGGCAGATGAGACCTCCGTCACTCATACGATGCTTTCTACCATTTTGCCCCGTATATCCAAACTCCTTGTCTTGTGTCTCAGCAATATCATACAAGGATACAATGTCTATGTGCTCAAAGTTGGCGAGAACCGTGAGGTGTTCTCAGGATTGTCGCTGTTGTTGCAAAACTCAATCAACCAGTAATCCAGCCGGTAGATGGAGGAGCTCCAATTTTTCTGCTCTTTTCTCATTTTCCCCGGGACCCCTAGATGAAGTTGTCTTTCATGATCCAAGACCGGTGCTGAACATGTCTTTCAGGTTCTTCGTCTGTGCTGGTGCGTATGTGGGGGCCAATCCGCCGAGGAGAAGGAAGATGGTAAGGAGGACAAGGGCAAAGATAAGTGCCTTTCGCATGGCCGGCTTCTGAACACCAAATTCGGACCACGATCGACCGGCTTGGCCCACGTATTGCTTGAGTTGCTCCGCTCCCAGTCTGTAGTACAAAAGACCACCAAGCGCAATCGAGTACCCGAAGAACTGGGTTTTGGTGACAGGGGTGCCCCAGATCAACATGGACGCCGCCACGAGCAGGATATCCTTCAAGATACCACAAAGAGTGAGGACCAGTGATGATGTTTTTCCGATCTAGACCACTGTTAGGGATCGTGCAGACTCGTCACGAAAGCTTTTCCAACTCACCAGGAAGACAACTGAGACGTTCAGCAGGAATGCGACCATCGCATTAGCCACCAGCATGAAAATGCCGACATCGTAGACGTTTTGCATGCTCATGTTGGGGATCTCAAGCACCAATGCAGTCACACCATTCATGACAGCACATACGGGCGCAAAGTAGTAAAGGGACACCAAGGGGTCCATCTTGAATTCGGCCGAACTGAGGAGACGCTGTACCAGGACCAAGCGGGTGGCCTCGAACGTGATACCACCAGCCTGGTACATGAAACCGGTCAAGTTAAACTCGATCGCGCCATACGAGGCGATGACCACGCCGATAACGATGAATGAGACGTTACCCAAGGTCTTCAGGCTGGGAGGGGAGACGCCCATGGCCCATGTGGTCAGCAGAACCGCGACCGGCATGCAAGCCTTTTCAAGTTATTAGTGCTGTGGCCCAATCTCTTTACATGTGCTTCGACTCACTTTCAGCATCTGAATGAAGGCGACACTCAGGTAGAGATATGCTTGATTTCCGCAAATCAAGCTTAAGCTGAAGAAGAAACCGATTGGGAGAATTGCGCGGAGATAGACCTTGCCGGTCATTTTGACGGTTTTGCGTCCATCGAGGAGGGTGGTGGTTTTCGCCAGGAGCTGTGTCATCATAGTTGCAAAGAGCATATGCCTGGTCATAGGAGTTAGCCGCAATCTCCACGATTGAATCGATGTTAAACATGCCATGCTGTCAAGGTGATGGGGAATTCTAGAGAGGGGTCAGCTCATTTCGCGTCCACACAACGATTTTGGGAAGCATACTGAATCCAAGTGTATCCAACAGCCATTTATTGAATAGAATCACACCTCCGCTGAAGCCAATCCATGTTCTGCAATTCCATCAGTCGATCCATACATGTCTTGCTTGGGGACTGCACCCACATCACATAAAGAGACGGATGCAACGAGGGTTTAGGAGGTTGGGGCTTTTCTGTCGTCGGGAGAATGCTCGCTGATGAAGCAGGGCCTGATGGCTCAGTGACTCTGGTCTGTTCACCCGACAAGCGGGCTTTCTTCTCAACGTCGGCCATTGCAAGTTGTGGTAATTGAGGGCGAGCGAGAAAGTCTCGAAAGGAGAAAGGCGTGGGTGACCCCGAAAAGGTCTTAGGGCGCAGCACTTTGGCAAGGACTCAAGCAGACATGGGAGAGAGAGCTGATAAGGTTGCGTAGACCACAGAAACCCCGGGTTGGGTGCTGTGCTGCAAAGGCAGGGCAAAGAGAATGGCGAGTGCAAGCTGCGCGTCGCGACAGGATGGGGGATTATTTCGCGATGGAAATTTGAGATGGGAGGCTTGGTGACAGATTGAGATTATTGGGAACCAGGGAGAGTATCGCCGCAGTCGCAGCCACAGAGGCAAAACTCATCCCTCCCTGAGACTGGGAGCCCACTAACAGACGGACAGAGCAACTTAGCCGAACGTTATCGGCAGCCAGCCAATAATGGCATGTGCTGCAATCTTTGCGAATTAGGCAGTCCAAAGGTCCAGCCCGCCATTAGTTGGTTACGGAGTACGGAGTACCTCGTAGACACCATCATTCACTGTCCTGAATAGTGACGTCGGAGATCCGCTGGGTTGTTGCAGATCGAAACTGTCTGTGAATCCTGTAGCCGACCAAACACGTCCCGCTTGTCCGAAAGCAAGACAACTTTTCGTCCCAGCTATTTGGGAGAGCTTGATGCGAGCGGATCTGAAGTCCGCAGCTGGTGACGAATACATTGCAAAGGTGTCGAGAATTAAGGGGGTTTAGACCGGGAACCTCACCGTCTGTCGATTGTGAACAGGTGTTGTGTCCCACATGAGTGCACTTACTCCCTATGACTTTGATGACAGGCATATTGGTACAACAGGGATGCCGATTCGGCGCGGTAGACAACCACGTACCACTATGTGCCCCTGAACGCAAGGCTGTAGGGTCTATGCCCCTTTTCACTGCCAAAATGTATACTGGGCAGTTATCTAGTACGGAGGATTGCCACTGTGAGATCGGGAGCTTCCTGTTACACCACTGAGAGGGGCCAATGCCACCATCACCCATCCCCGTTACGTACTTGGGGTGTTGTGGCGGCCCAAGAGGTACGAGGTACAACTTCGCAATCTGTCTATCCATCCCCTGCCAAGCCCAGGTGCCCTGTACCAGAGGCCCCAGCTGTTCCACTTGCCGAGCCGCAGTGTGTCTGCGCCTGCGCCCCAACTTTTTTTCTGCCCGGAGGCGCATTGCACTTGAGCACCGGCGGTGTCCGATGCCAAACGGCTGTCTTCTCTGCCACAATTTGCTGTATTCGTTCCAGCGTAAACAATCGTTGCTGTACAGATCCCGTGTGATATAGACCTGTCTTTCACATTCCTTTGGCTACATCCCAAGTTTCGGCCCTCCAAATGCCTGATATGTACGCCACTCCTCTACCCCCTCGGTCACCGCTCTCTAACCTGCCTCCTGCAGTTCAGTCGACGTTCTGGTCATAGGCGCTGGCCCAACTGGATTGGGCGCCGCCAAAAGACTCAATCAGATCGTGAGTGCATCTTGACGCCTGCGAAGAGCCCCTACTGACCGCTCTCCCCAGAATGGCCCATCATGGATGATTGTCGATTCAAATGAGACTCCTGGCGGCCTGGCCTCTACAGATGTGACCAAGGAAGGATTTGTATGTGCAACGAAAATCCAATACAAGATGATTCAGGTGCTGACTTGCGGACTAGCTCTACGATGTCGGTGGCCATGTCATCTTTTCCCACTACAAATACTTTGACGACTGCATTGACGAGGCGCTGCCGAATGAAGATGACTGGTATACCCACCAAAGGATATCCTACGTTCGGTGCAAAGGCCTATGGGTGCCCTATCCATTCCAGAATAACATCTCGATGCTGCCCAAGGAAGACCAGGTGGTGTGCATGGATGGGCTGATTGACGCCGCAATGGCAGCAAGAGTTGCAAACACAAAGCCCCAGAATTTTGATGAATGGATTCTTCGCAACACCGGGGTTGGTATTGCAGACGTTTTCATGAGACCTTACAACTTCAAAGTGTGGGCCGTTCCCACGACCAAGGTGATTTTGTTAACGACAATACTCTCAGACTTGCGCTAACCCTTGCGCAGATGCAATGCCAATGGCTCGGAGAACGTGTGGCAGCTCCTGATCTCAAGGCCGTCACCAAGAACGTCATTCTTCAGAAGACCGCAGGGAACTGGGGCCCCAACGCTACCTTCAGATTCCCCGCGCGCGATGGCACTGGCGGCATCTGGATTGCCGTTGCTAAGACTCTCCCTGAAGAGAAGAAGCGTTTTGGAAAGAAAGGCACCGTCAAGAAGGTCAATGCCGACAAGAAACAGGTTCTGCTGGCAGATGGCACCACCATCCATTACGAAAGACTCATCAGCACCATGGCCATTGACTTTTTGGCCGAGGCCATGGAGGACGAGAAACTGATCAGCTTGTCGAAGGGTTTGTTCTACAGCAGTACTCATGTCATTGGTGTGGGTATCCGAGGCTCACGTCCCGAACGAATTGGCGACAAGTGCTGGCTTTATTTCCCCGAGGACAATTGCCCCTTCTATCGGGCGACTATATTTTCCAACTACTCTCCATACAACCAGCCGCAAAAGAATGTCAAGCTGCCCACGTTACAACTTGCCAACGGATCTCGGCGCCAGAGTATGCAGGCTAAGGAGGGACCCTACTGGTCGATCATGCTGGAGGTGTCTGAGTCCAGTATGAAACCAGTCAACCAGGAGACTCTCCTCAAGGACTGCATTCAAGGCTTGGTCAACACCGAGATGCTGAAGCCTGACGACGAAATTGTCTCGACATACCACCGCCGATTCGATCACGGTTACCCTACCCCGACTCTGGAACGAGAAGGGGTCCTCAAGCAGATGCTCCCGGCTCTTCTAGAGAAAGGCATCTACAGCCGCGGACGCTTCGGATCCTGGAGATACGAGGTGGGCAACCAAGACCATTCGTTCATGCTGGGCGTCGAAGCTGCAGACAACATTATCAATGGAGCGGTCGAGCTGACACTCAACTACCCCGACTTTGTCAACGGACGGCAGAACACGGAACGAAGACTGGTGGAAGGGGCGGCGTTGTTTGGCAAGAAGAAGGCAGAGAATGGCAATGTTGTGGTTGGACGTCGCATGACTGGCGGCAAGACGGAGTTGGGTGGGCGAATGGAGACCAGCGGGAAAGAGGCATTGAACGCCAGCGGCGGGACCGCAACGGCCATGAAGGACGGGAACTCGAGGGTTCTGAACCGCAGTTGGTGAAGAGCAGGAGTGAGCTGAGCTGGTCATGAGGTTGCAGCTTTTCGTTTTGTTTCGGTCTTTCGCATTGGACATATTCACCTCGCCAAGCGGCATAGAGCGAGCGACTTCATCCACGTGGGCCAAGAAGACGGGGTTTATTGCGCATGATACGCGGGATCATGGGAGAATAGAGGGGTTAGAGCGGCTTTCCTTCTGCCGAATACTAGAAGAGGACGGTTTCCCAAAAGAATAGTAACCTTTGACTCTTGGATTTTGGTCGTTCATCGGTACTTTTCTCGTCCGTCACCTCAGGGCCCCTGGACGAGGGTTGATGCCGTCTTAGCGAGGAACAGACCAGTCACACCCCAGAGTGGAGGGTAGTTGTCCTCTGTCCCTGAAGCGTTCTTTGCGCCGACCCTCTGGCCTCCGGCTGTGAGAAAAATGCGGGGGAGACGCTAAATGCCTTCAAGGTTCGTACCTACATAACAAGTACCGAGCATACCGAGCAGACCTGTCTGTGGTAGTCCGTCCTGCACATATGACTAACTACCTAGGTAGTGACCCCCTCTTTTTTGGGAAGGAGGCCGTGAAATTTTCAGCACGATCAGCTGAGCTGCCCCATGGACGAATCGCATTGCGAGGGGTCGTGGTAGCACAGAGGTGGCTCTGGGCATGTACACATACGGATCAGGTCTGTTGGGACGGGGGATGAGGATGAGGTAATGCCCGAGTCGGTGATGCGGGAGAAGAGCGTGGAGAAAGGCCTGGCAACAACAAAAATCCAACAGGGCCTAGAAGTAGCACAAGTAAAAGCGACTGGAGGTCGTGAGGGGACAACACTCATTACGGAGTAACTAGAGCATCAGAGTACAGGATACAAAGTACCCACGCACATCGTTCGATCCCTAGCCGGAGAACTCTGGAGTACTTGGTAGAGAGCCAGAACAAACAGGTTCAAACGACTTCCCCCACAGTGGAGACGAAGAGAAATGCCTCATTGAAATCCATTTCGGCATCATCGTGGTCCTCAAAACAGTCGAGCTGCGCCTCTGCGTGCTGCCAAGGTAGGTGGTACGTTTCCAATCCTTTGTAAAGACTCGAATGTGGCCATGTCAGATGAATTTCCTACTCGGATTAGCACCCCCTTCCAGCTGAAGGTAAGTACCATCACAAAGGAAGCGAATATAGCGGCGACATATTCCGAGTACTCCTTCCGAATCCCCATCTGTGACCTCACCGAAAGTCTGCGCACCAACTGGCAGCGCATTCCTCCTTTCGAGATAGACTTAGCTGCCATATAGCATCCAGGGAAGCTGTTCAAGGAAATCCTCTGAATACCGAGTTGTTGTTGCCTGCACCAGCATCGGCAAAAGCTCGCGGTGGCGACTGAATTGGGTACGCCTAGCTCCAAGCTCAATTTGCCATTCGATCACTCCTGGCCACTCCCGAGTGTCTTTGCTCTCTTCTATCGCCGCGTGCCAAAGCATTCAAGATATCTCTGTTGCGTCGTCGATGCCGAGGGCTTTCATGGTCCATACGGTACGGCTTTGTGCTTGAGCTGCAGTGTCGGAGGCCATGGATTCAGGTACATGGCTTCCGTTTGTTCTTTGGGGCTGGTCGTTGCCGCTTTTGCGGGGTTTGTTACTTTGGCGTCATTACGAACGACGTATTGGACGGTCGACAGAATGGTGAAATATCCTGGTGATGATCCGTCATCGTTAACGGTCATGGGCTAAGCCCAACGGTATCCCATTTGACCACGAGGTACGGACTATCTAGCCCTCAACTGTAAACTCGGCAATATATATTAGCATTGGCAGCAATACCGGAACAGTAGGCAGCAACGGCTACGTCTACCGAGACTTGGGGTAATCCAGCTGGTATCTGAAGCAACAACCCGATACCTTATGGGAGGATTGTCCTGCCTGCTCTTGCCTTGCCTCTGTTCCAGGCTCATGCTTGTTCCTGTCGACTGTCTTCATATCTCGGTAACAGATGCTTCCCATGTCTTGAGATCTCAGGGCAGAAGACTAGTGGTTGGGTTTGCGTAGGTACGCAAAGGTGGGGGGGAGTGGGTTGGTGTTGGAGCTGCTGTGCTCAAGGTTTCAGTTGCTTCTCGCGTCATTGTCATATGATGTCTTGGATGAACTGCCCGGTGATGAACGGAGAGACTCGATGGAGCGTAATCGAAACTGAAAGTCAGATTCATGGTGCAATCGATCGAAAGGTGTTCGTGACGATCGAGGCGTGGAGGCCGAGGACGAGGCATGCATCACGTCAGTGCCTGCAGAGAATGCAGAGAATTGGACGTGTTCCTGAATATTTTTGCCCACAGTCCCCGCCCACCCGCCAAACCGCCCAAGGGCTACGGGTCGCTGCGCCAATCACAACCACCGCAATTGGCTTCAATTTGTGCTCACAGTCATTCCGAGCCTAACCGCATGCGACATCCGGGCGCTGGCATCTGATGTGCCAGCGAGCCAGCGAGCCAGTTCGACCCAGTGATTTCTGTTGGGTGTCTTCTGACTCGCCAAAACGCGTCTCAAAACGCCCGTGCAAACCTTGGCCCAGGAAGGAAGGCCCCCAAAGGGCCCCGAGGGCACCTATAAGAACGTGCCCTGGGGGTTGAACAGGACCCCGCTGGGCTGGCACCATGGAGGCCACTGAGACCGCATCGAGACCTGGTGAGCCCCATGGTGCATCACTTTGGGCTACTGGCCGCCCATGGCCACCCATGGCCACCCTTTGCCGGGCCACTATTCCTACGTAAGCCTAGCCATCTTCTCACCCGCAGGGGCGGTGACGGGCTGCTCACTCACTGGACCAGTAGCCACAGGCCTGGAATCATCCCTCTGCATCATCACCACCAAAAGACTTTTTCCTGCGCTTGTGACCCGTGACTTTTTTGCCTGGTGAGCCCTTTTGCAGGGGCAGAGCCCATAATAATCGGGGCTTCGGTGGCAGCAGCCCGCTGCAAGGTGCTGGTGGTGGTGGCAGTGACCACCTACGAGTAATAGCCTCCTGCTTCTCCACGATTGACTAGTAACTCGCAAGAGTCCCCTCGAACTGCAGCATACAACAAAAAACACCGCATTGCCCTCCGACCTCAAACCTGCATCATCTTCGGTTTTGCTTTTCCTGACATTCTTCCATATGCGCTCCCCCCCATTGATCTCAACCAAACCTCAACCTATCTACTGATTCCGTTATCGTTCTTACGAGTTTCCTTTCTTTCCTTTCTTTGTCCCTTTCTCCAAAAACGGTACGTAGCTGGCTTCTCCAATTTCAACCCTCTCGAGTCCTTATCGTCAAGGGGACTCAAAAAATATCCCACTCGCAAACCTTAGCAGCATCTGCCAGGGCGGTGAGTGAGATATACCTCCGAGAGAGTAGCTGTTTATACTTTGCGCCCTGTCCGACCTCGATTGCTCCTCCTCGCATGCTAACGCCTATCTCTGTACAGTCGGCATCAAGCATTAGTTTGCCCATCATGTCGGCCGCTCAAGTCGCTCCCACCATTCCTCCTCGCCCTGTTCGGGCCCAGCAAGCTGCTGCCCACGGCGCAGGGAAGCTGCCTGATATCCCTCCTCGTCCCATAAACAAGCGTCTCGAGCGTTCGGTTTCGCCCTCCAACTACCCTCGCTCCCCTCTAAACGAGCCATGGTCCGCCAATCTCACCCGTCACAAGACCAATGAGCAAGCCTCCGCCGAGGGACTCCCCCGTCGTCCCAGCGTCCAGTACCTCCCATCTCTGGGTCAAGAAGGCATGGAGTATGCCGAAATCATGGACATGGAAATGGAGATGCAGATGGATATGCAGACAAATCAGCAGGCTCCCATCTCAGCTCTGGCTGCGGATGCGGCGGCTCAAACCAGAAATATCGCGCAAGACCTCCATTTGCATGCTCCCAAGCCCTCTCTCCCCAAGTCAAGTGCCACTGCGCAGGTCCAGGCTGTCACCCGGACCGACTCGCAGCAGGCCGCTTCCCACGGTCTTGGGAAGCCGTCAACTCCGTCGCAAGACGAGGGTGAAAGCCTGCACCAAGTGACGACCCGGTCAAGTTTCTCTCGGCCCTCGTCTACAATCGGCGGTGAGCGCCGGCCCTCGGTTTTTGGGGATGAAGAGTCTGGTCCTGCAGAACTGGGGCTCCGAGTTCCCATCAACCCTCTTTTGGGAGACGTGCAGGCTCCTTCCCCTGCCCCAGGTCTGAGTCCGGCCCATACAGGCGCAAACGGCGAGAAGAGGCGCCCCAACCACTCACGGGCGAAAGCAAGCAGGGAGATCTTCACTCCTCCTGGGAGCTATGGTCTTCATGGTCATGGCGTTGCTCCTCAGGACAAGTTTGAAAAGGATTGGTACGCAAAACACCCCGAGGTTGCCCAAATCGAGGAGACTCTTGGTCATGGAGTCTATGAAAGCATCGGAAGTGGCCGTGGTGCTTTCGCGTTGAGTAGTGATGATTTGAATAAAATTGTGCGGAATACGGCTAGCCGCGGAGCAGGACTCGGTAAGGTGGTTGCTGCGAAAACATGGCACGCTCTAACTCATTTGTCCAGGAACGTCAGGAACAACCTCTTCATATCCTGATGAACAAATTGGATACCTGGCGTCGGATATCTATGTCTCAAGGTCCCAGCAAAACACTCCCAACAGCCTCGCGAAGACCCTTACCAACACCTCTCAACCGGCCCTCGAGTCCCCACTGAGAAAAGCCAGTTTTCCAGCGGACGAGACCATCCCAGCAGAAGTCCGTCGTGGCCGACTTTCGGTTTCCAGTAGGCATGACGACCACGATGCAATCGAAAGTGAACAAGAGGGAGAAATTCATGTTCCGGCGGGTCGACGCTATAGCAAGATCACGGGCGGTGAGGAAAGCGTCAATGAAACTCTGGAAACTCGGCCGCTTGTCTCGCAGCCGAGCCAGGAAGATGAATATTTTCAGGAATACGGCTACAGTGTGCCAATTCTAGCAGCGGACGAGGTCGCAAAGGAAGCCGGCTTGGATCTCCTGCAACCCGCCGTTTCTCCCAAGCAAGAACGCCGTGGAAGCCTTGAGCCAGCAAGCGGCGATGTTACCCCAGGATCTCGCCCACCGAGCAGACCCACCAGCATGTACAGTCTCCACAGCGCCAACCATTCCTTGTCGCGATTCATTTCACATCCCGAGGAACGAGATACCATGTACACTCCGCTAGAAGACGTGCACGAATACGAACCACTATTCCCCGAGGATGATGACAAGCAGCCGATCAATCACGCTGAACGATTCAAGCAGAGACCCAATGCTCTCAAGCAGCGATTTCCTAGTCAAGACATCTGGGAAGATACACCAAGCAGTGCCCTCTACTCCGCCACCGTCTCTACGCCAGATCTTCCTGCCAAGGCCAAGGAGGATGCCTCTGCTTCAAAGACGTTTGAACCTCCGGGACAGGAAGCAGCCCGAAAGGAAGAACCATCTGAGCAAGAGAAAGCCAAGCTGATGTCAAAAGAACAGAGACTGGCACAATCCCGCTTTGCGCCTCACCTGCGTGACGACATGCCAACCAGACCTGGCATGGCACCCAGATTTCCCAGCCGAGACATCTGGGAGGATAGCCCTGACAGCCACCATCTCGTGACAACGGTCACCAATCTACCAAGAGAACAGCCGGCGGACACCGAGGCCTCACCAGAAGTTTTGGCGAAGCCAAGCGTGCCACCACGTCCCGCTAAGAACCGGTTAGGTGAAGGGGCTTCCTCTGCTCAGGTCGCGCCGAGTATTCCACCCCGACCGCCGAAAGCACTCGGCGCAGTACCACCTCTAGGTGTCCCCCAGACTGACGCGACGAAACCGAAGGATACGTCGCCTACAGAGCTGAAGAAAGTTCCCAGCATCCCCGATCGACCGAAGCCTCAAATTCCGGCTCGCCCAGCGAAGAAACCTGCTGGAGAAGGGCTGGCAAAGACCGTGTCCGGCGGTTCAGCAGGGTCGGCTGAGCAAGAGAAGATTTCACCACCCGTCGCCAAAGCTAAGCCACAAATCCCGGCCAGACCTATTCCAGGCAGTAAAATTGCCAATCTGAGGGGAAACTTTATGAACGATCTCAATCAGAAACTTGGTTTGGGACCGCCCAAGGAGAAGGAGAAGGAGCCGGAGCCAATGGCCGAAGAGGCGAAACCTCTGGAAGATGCACGAAAGGGTCGAGCCCGAGGTCCTCAAAGACGTGCTCCAGCCAAGTCTCCGGCTGCTGCAATGAAACCTCTAGGATTCTCCATGTTTTCACCGCGCGCGTTGTGGACTATTGATGACGTTGACGAGTTGAATGTTACTTCGAGCGAACCCGCTGCGCCTGCGCCTGCGCTAGAGGGGGAGGACGGATCTGCGAACCTGGATGTTCCGGAGAAGAAGGCTGAGGAGCTCGACAACTCCGCTCCGGTAGAAACTTCTCCGCCGGCTACTGTCGACGTGCCCGATCATGCTGAGGCTGAGCCCAGTCCTCCAGAGGCGGAAGTAAAGGCTGAGGAGCAACCGACACCAATGGCGACCAGTCTAGCCACAAACACTGCTGGCGAACTTGCAGACCCGGAACCCACACTTGGAACGCCCATCAGGGAGAAGTCTAACCCTCTGAGTCGGACTGAATCAGCAGGGAAAGCCGATAAGGACGGCGAAGAGGTAGGCCTCTCTCAACACACGACGGCAAGCAGTGCCCAGGCGTCAGGATCGGAATTGGAAAGAGAAGAGCCCGATCCAAGTACCGATGCGATTCCAGCAAGCAAGCATACAACTGCAAGCACACTCGGAGACACTCTGCCTTTGGAGAAGAGCCCAACCCCGGAGGAACCGAGGACTCTGAGAAACACGCTCCCGGAAGGAGAACCGGGGAAGACGAGCATGGAGGAAGTGTAGGAGCATTGGCTCGGCTGAGTCGCAGTGTGTCCTCTTGGGTCTGCTAGAACGCAGAGCACGGAGCCTCCTACAGGCTATGGTATATGGGTATGTAACGGCAGCTCGAGCCGCGGGTAAGGAACACGGATAAGACAAATGGCAGCATGTCGGGAGATTGGCAGGAGCCGTGGAGCAAGAACCCAAAAAGCAAAGATCTCGCTCTTTCTCAACCTGGGGCCATTTCATTACTTAGAATCACCAAGGACCAATCCAATTCGTTGGCCTCTTCTTCTCCCTTTCGCGATTCTTTTCAGGTGTACTCGTGCGTGCTCATTGGACCCCCTACGCTTGCTAGCTTGCCTGTTTGTGTACTACTCAAACATGTCGTCGAAATCCACGGCTTTCGGGCGGGCTCTCCGGCCTTGAGAAGTCGTCGTCGTCGGCGTCGGTGGAGAAGCATTTGCGGGCTTTAGTGTTGTCGCCTGGTCGCGAGAGCCGGCCTCTCCGCGCGCCTCTCGCCCTGACTCCTTTACTTGTGCGTCGGCTCTGGAGGCATTCCTTGCCTCGCTGCCGTCCTTTTCGTCCGAAGACTGGGGTTGCAGCGGCTGCTGTTGCTCCTCAACGCGCCCTTGCTCCTGCTGTCTGTGAGGTGGTTCTCCACCATCCTTTTGTGCTTGAGCTTGATCTTGTCCTTCCTGTTCATCGTCGCTGCTGTCCACCATTGGTACGCCGTCGATGTTCTCGTCGCTCAGAACGGTGTCCCCGTCATCGTCTTGGTCGTCGATCTCGGCCTCGGCTCCATCTCCGTCTCCGTCGTCATCGACCATGGGTGTCCCGTCCATGTTCATTTCCACATCGCCGCCGGCGGCTGCCCGGCTCGCTTCGCCAGAGGCAGAAGGGACGGATTTGCCATCAGTGTTAGCACCTCCGTTGGCACTAGCATCGTCGACGCTGCGCCAACGGCTCACAGCCCCAGCAGCCCTGTCTCTCTCCCTTTGCTTCTCTCTTTCGGCCTCTTGCTCGGCCTTGGCCTTTTGCTTCTCTTCCTCTTCGCTCAGAGGCGGATGCAAGAAGCCCTCGACCATCTCTTTCATCCTCGCTTCCTCGAAAACGCACCACCCCTCCCACAGCCCCAAGACCACTTGCACCTGTCTCTTCCACTTCTCGGCCTTGAGCTTGCCCCATTCGTACTTTTGTGGGAGCTTACCCAGCACAGGCAAAACGTTCTGGGCGAGAAGCTGATGTTGAAAGAGAGAGCGATAGCGCCATGCGTGCCGGACGCCCGAGGTCGAAGAGGCCGAGAGGATGTCGCTTATGATATACAAGCCTATCAGGGAAGCTGGGGTTGTATCCTTTTCCTTGGGTTTAGAGGGTTGATCTTGTTCTCCTGTTCTGGAGGGATCCCTATCCCCCGAGTGCTTTGGCGTGCCATCGCCGTTCTCACCCTCATGATGGTCGTCCTCATCGTCCGTATCTCCTTTCGGTCTCGCCACGCTGTAACAAAATGGCCTGACCACATTCCTCGTGACTAATTCTGCTACTTCATCCGCCCCAGCCCCAGCGTGCTCAATTGCAAATCCGGTCACCCGCGCAACGTCACCCCTGCGCAGTCTTGCATTTGTTTCTGGCAGGCGGGAAAGTAGATGAATGAGTTTCGTCTTCGCAAGTGGATTAAGATAACCTGTGCCGTCGTTGTCGGCTGTCGAGTCACTGATATTAGCGAGTTTTTGGTGGTCATGATACCGTCTAGCTAGTCCGCCTCTGTTGTCGTCGTCGATGCCTTCTTCGTCCGAAGAATTGTAGTCGTCATCAGAAATGAATTCCTCAAGATGAGTGGTATATTCAAACTTGAGGTCCTCTTCTGGGGGAATCCACGTTGATTGCCCCTCGAATAATATGTCACCTTGTGGTTGTCGCATCCCGTACGGCATATAACGTGGTCGGCGACGCGATTTGGAGTCGGTGAGGATCTCCCAGAGACGCCAACGATAATACACTCCGCCTGTTGATCTTGAGTTCCAAAGCCATGCCCATTGTTCATCACGCTGAATTTGCGGCCGGGACATGAGCAGCGCTTCGAATTCGGGACCATAAGTCAGAAGAGCTTCAATGGTTTTGTGGATAAGACGGAGTTGTCTGAGATCAGTCGGGACTTGTACCATGACTTGTGTGAGGGGCATGCTGCTCATCGATCGAGGACCGTAGGGCGTTGATGAGGTGTATGAAGCCGGGGGAGCAAAGCGGCTACCTGCAGCTGCCTGGGTCGGCGGGGGAGCTCGGGATAAGGATGTGTGTTGTGGCACCGGTTTTGCACCAAAGGGGAGATTGTGCAAGGTCACAGACGGAGTGTTGTTGCTGAGTGAGTTCACGCCGGTCAAGGCCGCGGAGGATAGATGGCGCGAAATCGAGAGGTTGAAGCCAAACCCGAGGTATTTGTTCTGGAGATGCGAGACCATGGTGTCAATATCTGCCGCCGGGGTTTCGGCGGCGAGCGTGACGATTGCCGAGACTGATTTCCGTTCAGCGGCTGAGCCTGGCCCAGGCGGGAGGATGCGCACACTTTCGACAGTCAATGGGGAAGGAGTGAAGAGTGCCTTGATAACCGCTGGGGACGTCTCAGGTGGAAGGGAGGCGAGATGCAAAGTAGGTTTCGCCGCGGCTTTGAGTTCATCTGTGTCCCGTGTATCCTCGTCGTCGTCGTCGTGAGCGAAAGCATGGGAGTCCCTACGATTGTCCTCATCTCTTCCGTCACTGTATGAAAACACCCTGTCTCTCCTGTCGCGATCGCGGTCGCGGTCGCGCTCTCGATCCCGATCTCGACCCGAGTATTCATCATAGTGTCTCTTTCTTCCAAATCCTGGCGCCGGACCCAAGCTACCAGGTCCACTCTTGGGCAACGAAGGACTCGGTCCCAGACTGCCGGGACCACTCTTCAGACTCGAACTCGTGAAGTGGCGCTTCCCTGGGCCGGAGGGACCGTAGTTGCTTCCGCCAGAGCCAAATCCTCCTCTATTTTCACCTGCAGAGCCTCGCTTTGAAGGAAAGCCCGATGTCTGGTTCCCATTATCTTCAAAACTCTTCACAAAGTCTTCGAGCACAGCTGCCGTCTCCGCCTTCTCTCGGGCCTTTTTGGCTTCTGCCTCTGCCTTTTGTCGCTCGAATATGGACTTCTTCGTGGAGGGGCCGAGTTTGGAGGAGACGTCGTTGTTGGAAAGCGGCATGGTGACAATTTCGGTCAGGGAACAAGGCGGTGAGACATGACGCGGACGGAGCCCAAGGGTGCTGTCTCAAGCAGCCAACGACTGGCAGGAATGGGTCGAGGGGACAGCAGTAGTTTGTAGGTGCGCGAGGCTGAAGTTAAAAGTGGCCAGTCTTGTGGGAAGTAACATGGCGTCAAATCTGGGGCAGCACGTGATGGCAGATCTACAGGGGACGAGCTTTTAGAACATTCTTTCGGTTCAACTTTGTATATTTGGTCAACTGTGTCCGAGACCCTACCATCCAGTGACTAATGTTGCCCCCTTCGATTCACGGACTCTTTTCCAGCCCACAAGGACTATCACAAAAAGCTTCTCTGGCGCCATGGGCAACAAGGTCTGAGTGCGTCTGCGCCAAATGGCGGCTGGTCTCGAAGTTCGCAGGGACTTTCATTCGCCCAGCGACGTAGTCAGAGACAGCCTCTGTCCTATACTGAATGCACGCGACGAAAACATCGTTGTTCGAGGACCATCCCGTGTGCACCATGTCTGGACCGCGGACCAGGGGATAGATGGCATCGCGAGATCGTGGAAGTGACTAGGACCGGCCGCAGAGCTTATAGACGAGCGGAATCCGCACGTACATAGGATGTTGTGCCTGCGCCGCATACTCAGGCACGACCCTCGAAAAAATACCGCTACATCGGGCCAGGCCATTCATCTGTTGGCGACAATGAGGAGCCTTTGATACCTACTAACAATATCCTAGGCTCTGGTTTTACAACTCTGACTTCACGATAGACGTTGATGTAAGGGCCAATATCCGACCTCCGGCGCCAAATCAACTTTTGGCTGAGCTTCCATCAAGACAGTTACCACTCTGAAAGCGCTGGCGATGAGCCACGGCTACGTGCTAAAATCGGAGTATCTGAACCACTCTCGACAGCGGAGGACTCGTCAGGAAGCTCAAATACAAGCTACCGATCTCGTGGACTGTCCGGACCAAACCTGGCCTCCTTAGAAGACGCTGAGATTTTGATCGATCTCTACGAAGAGAACGTGGTCTGGATGCACGATGTGGTTCATCTGCCCACTTGCGACGCGGCTTTCGGGGTTTTGCACTGGTCAAAACCTGCCCTGGCGACGCATGGATGTCGCCTTTTCTTGCTGTCTTATGTGTAAGTTCCTTAAGCATTGCTTGAAGCTGAGGAGGTTTGTGCTGATATTGACAAATCCGCCGACAGTCGACAATTTATCACGACGAGCTGAACACATGTGATCGAGGTATCATGTCAACCGTCCATGAAGACCACGGCATCCGGTTGTAGTTCCTGAAGTGATTTTCAACAGTTGATTATGTCCGACAGCTTCATGATGGTGATCTTCAATACCTTCAAAAGGCTGATTTTATGGGGAGTCACAGCCTTACCACCAACACAGTCAAGAGCTCTGCCACCATCTTGGCCGACTTACATCGGCCGTTCGCGCTGTAGACAATCTCGTCCGTCGCGCCAGCCGGGCCTTGTGTCGACGGTCAAATTTTGCCGCGTTCGAAGGTTAGTCTCGCTGCCAGTTTCGGTCTCATTGGCTTAACTGGGGTTTTAAAAGCGTTGCATCTAACATTTCTCGCTTCCGGGAAAAGTGGACTAAAGTTGCCCTTTCCTTCAGCCTCAGCGAGCCCCAAGTGCTGATGCTGTCGATAAGCTCTATCGAATACCTACGGTAGCAGCAGTACCAGTTGTTAGAATTCTCTAGGCCTACATGTTCGGACAACTTCGTGTTCAGAGGCTGGAGCTATCGTCGAAAACTTCGCGGGCTTAAGCAACCCGTGAAGACAGGCCATTGGGTTAGGTGACGATCTCTTTTACCCTGCCGCTTTGGACCAATCTGCTACGATTAACATGAAAATACCACACCGCCTAAGATGTCCTCTCTAGAGTATTGGTTGATGCTGCTGTTTCGAACTAACGGCCAGAGAAGCATAGGGGCTCTACGCAACTTTATATCTCAACGCCACTCTTCATTTTCTCCGAGCGAGAAAGGTTGAGGCTCGAGGAAGCAAGAAGGCTAATTCTTTCAGCCTTCCCGACGCACATGGGGGATGCTTTTCGTTTAATTCATCCGGCTTCTATATACAGACAAAGGTGGACATTCTCCTCAAAGCCCACCTCCTTGAAATCCCACGGACGCCCCTCTGCCGGCCATCAGACTTTCGAGCAAGTCAAGTCCAAATCATACAGAGCGTCGTGGGGAATGGATGGGACACAACTGGGAAGCCAAAATGCTTCGCGTGCCGCCCCGCGCTAAGCATCCGATCGACTGGTCTGGAACAGCGACGGGTCGCGAATACGAGCTTTCTAGGCCGAAAAGAGGCACAGCTTCAAGCCTCATGCACCCAGAGTAAACCTGCCTTTCCACTTTCAGGCCCCTGGTTCAGCCGTGGAGGTTCTTTTGGAAGGCACCAAGGGTCTGCAGCACAGACACAGATCGCTACGGCTGCGCCCAACTGAAGCCGCAGCTGCCGTGGTGCGGTGGCAACAAGTTCAGACGCCTCGATTCTTCTATAAGGCTGCTGTGTGTCGCCATGTCCGCCCGACATTTCGACACCACGGGTTTTGTGCTACATGTCCAGCGCAGGCTACAACTTCTGCTAACAGACAGAGCACGAGGGTCGAGGAGCGGAAGCTTGGGCTATGGAGAGCCGCCCGCCACACACGCCATCAAACACTGTGCGGCGGAAGCCCGCCCCGGATGCGCAACTGGGTCCGGTTGCCAAATACACCCCGTTAAGAGCAGAAGACGAGGTTGACCCAGTGACGCATCCTACACAAATGCACCAGGTGATGTCGGACCCAGCTAATGTCTCCGAGTCAGAATCACAAGAGGGTTCTGATTTGATTGGGGATGCGGGATTCGCCCTCGGTCAACAACCTAGCAAGGAGCCGTTCACGCGAGCCGTTATCGGCAGTAAGAGCCTCAACGATCGGAACAATATTGCGGAATCTTGTCGACCGTGGGAACCTTTCTGGCATCGAAGGAGCGTTCTGGGGGCTTTTCTCCTGCTGTTTGTGCTTCTGATCGTTGCACTTGGCGTACTTTATCAACTATCAGAAGCATGGAATGGTTTCAGCACAGGCATCTCCTCCAATGTCTATACCTGGAAGTACGGTCCTACAGTTGTGCTGACGGCTGTTGCAATCCTCTGGCAGAAAGTATGCTACACTTCAAAGATCATTTCACCTTGGCAATCAATGTTTCGTGCGTCTGGCGGCCACGGAGGTCAAACACTACTGGTTGACTACATCACCCCGATGTTCCCTGCGATCATGTCACGAGCAGTCAAGAACCGCCATTGGGGAGTCCTCGCGGCCGAATCTGGAAGACTGCTCCTCATGATTGCTACAGGTTTCTCAACAGGCCTCCTGGTCCTCTCGGCTGTACCCATGCTCGATACCGGAGTTCCAATCCACCTGAACTCGACTTTCTCTGCAGCCGGAGTGTCCGGTCAATATGGAGGTGCGCCCAACCCCAGTGTCGACGGCGTCGGTGCGGGAAATATAGGAAATCTGAGCTTTCTTGATACTACTTTGCGCAATTATTATGGCGCTTCTCATGGAGACCTACCCTTCAGCTTCGGCACAACAGCGACTATGGCCTATGATACCTTTATCGTAGACCAGTCGTTGCACGCCAGCTCACTATTGACCGTCACCTTGGATGCTTTCCTTCCTGATTTCCAGTGCCACATACCGGTGCTTCACAATCCACTTCCGATCCAGTACACCGTCCTTGGTTCCGAAGTCGATCCTCTCATTTCGCTCGATATCGAAGTTGAAGGGTGTGTTCCCACTCTTGATACGTCATACACTATCATGAACTCGAATTTCGACTTTACAGCTCATTCTCGGACAATAGAAGGCGATTGGGAAGTCATATACATGCAGTGCCCGTCAGGGCTTGAGCCTGCCTGGTTACTGGCAGTCACCGATGGGAGATACACGCAATTGGCTTACAATCAATCGAGCTTCTCCTATAATTACTTGGTCAACATCGTTAACATCTCGATAGCTGTGTGCCGACCAACGTACTCCATCAAGAGTTCAGCGGTCATCATAGATCCTGCAGCCATTCCAGCCGGGACTGGGGTGCAGTTACAAAGCACCCAGAACGGGACGACCAGAATGCTGGACAACTTCAACACCACGAACACTCTTCTTGCTTTCGAGAGCATCATCATGGCTGGGTCAGATCTCACTTTAGCACCGTTAGCAAAAGTGGCGAATACCACTCAAATGGTATATCCTTACCCCTACTTCTCGTTGCTTGCCGATCATTACGGAAAATCGAGTTTGGAACCCTTTCTGGATCCGGAGAACATGGTTGCCAGTGCTCAAGCTGTTTATCAAGGGGTCATGGTTCAATTTGCTCATAAGTTTCTTACTCAGCCACAAAACACCACGGTTCAGAGCCAACAACATGTTCAAGAGAATCGGTTATTCGTCAAGCTGTCGCCTCTCGTCGTCATGGCCACCGCGTTTGGCCTCTTGGCAGTATGCACGACCGCCATCTTGATTAATCGAGCGACTGGCCTTCTTCCACGAAACCCTGACAATGCCGCCAGTCAAGCTGCGATACTCACTTCGAGCGCAGACTTGTTGTTGCTGATTCGGAACACCGGGCATTTCCCCGATAGCAAATTGAACGATCTCCTCGCGCCGAGGACGTTCAGGTGCACCGTGGTCGACGACACCGACTCTCCGAGAGTGGTGGTGGAACCTCAGCTAGGAAAGCCCGCAAATGGTCGTCAGCCGGCCACCCAAGACCGTCCATATTGGCAGCCATTTGCTATTTCGTGGCGCTTCATGGCTCTGAACTTCATCACGCCGGCTGGTGTAGTGATTGTCCTCGAAGTGCTGCAGGGAAAATCAGCCGACACTGGCGGTATCTGCTCTATTTCGATGTCAAGCAGCATTGCGCATCTCTTGTCTACAATCGTTCCGGCATGCGTCATGATACTTATATCAACCATGTCTCAGAGTGTGGACTCGGCCATATCGATATTCAGCCCGTTCGCCAAGTTACAATCTGGGGCTTCCCACCGTTGGAGGCCAACCGCGGACAGCCCGCTGGCCCACATGCCTTTGAGGAATCTGTTTGCGGGAGCCTGGGACATGAACCCGAGTCTTTCTTTTTCGTCGGTGACTAGGTTCCTTGCACCATTCCTCACCATCATTGTCGCCGCGCTATATAAGATAACACCATATGAGATCCCCACATTGGGTTCTGTGCGAGTGACTTCACATGTCAACAGTAATTGGACATCCTACGATGGCGCCACGTCGGACGGGACGGCGGGAATATCACTGGGCTTGATTGAGCAGCAAGGGGCCCCATACCCACCATTTACATTCGACGAACTTGCTTTCCCCGAGTTCACTATTCCTGCATCTACACAAGTCGATAACGTGACCGATGAGGGGGTCACAGTCACGCTGCCAGCTACCCGAGCTTCGTTGGACTGTGTTTTCGTTCCGCCTGAAAAAGTCACTGCCAACGTCACGGATTCTGCCTACTCGTGCGAGGGTCAAAGCTGTTTGGCTACGATGTTGTTCCAGACCAACATCTCGGCTAAATGTGCTGACCAGCTTTACGCCCCTTTGTTACTACTGCCCAACGACGGAGCAGGTGCTTACGCGAGCGGTATTTGGCTGACATTTTGGTCTAAAAGGCAAGGGTGGTACTCCGAAGATTGCCCGACGATTGGATTCTATTTTGGCCATCTCCGGGTGAACGACACGGCACCTTTGAACGTGACCACGATGATGTGCTGGCAGGATATCGAGGAAGTCGATGCTACGGTTGCTTTCCTGCCTCCGAGCATGAAAGCCGATCCTTCGCGGCCACCCACCGTTGATGAGAGCACAAGAAGAACCGTTAAATCCAAAGCACAGCTCTACACTGCCGAACTGATCGCCGACAACCTGCCCCTCTGGCAGACTGGACCTCCCCAGGGGGATCATCCCGCGCGTGCGTCGCTACTATACGCTGATTTGGAGCCATTACATACTACTCCGGCGACTGGGTACTCGGGCAGCTCGTCCGTCGAGTCTTTCTTCCAAACCATGATTCTCGGCGGATCGGGCATTGACCCCGAAGATCTGATGGGGGTTGAAAATCAGTCGCGCTTCTTCACCGCGACCCAGCATCTCTACCGGAAGTATATGGCCTTGTACATCAACGCCAACATGCGCGAAGCGTACGCCACTGGTGCTCGAGCCCCTGTCTACAATGCTACCTTCTATAGCGGCACCGGTCTTCGCCTGATACAGAACAACTCGTCCAAGATTGCACTTCAAGCCATTCTAGGAACGATGATCCTCTGCAGCCTCCTGGCGTACGCAACGCTGCCGATATGGAACATTCGTAGATCGTTGCCTCACAACCCGTGCACTATTGCCGGCATGATGAGCTTCCTCGCCGGAGACTCTGTCTGTTCCAGGGATGTCAACCCTGTGGGCGCAGAGTTCATGACCGATCAACAGTTGAATCGTGTGTTTGCCGACCGAGTCTTTGCGATGGGTTGGTGGTTCCCAGCTGCGAAGGGAGAAGTTCTCGCGTCGACGAAGTCCAGATGGCGATTTGACAGAGCAGCGGACAAGGAAGGCGCACGATTTGGCATTGGTGTCCAGAACTCCACTGGAATGGCCAAATGAGGGCTGCCAATCTGTACAAAGACTGTCTGACTGGAATTCTCCCTCGCTTTTCAAGTCGAGTTGCGCTCTTCCAGGCTCCATGCTTCCTGAAACACCCCGTAGGATCTAATAATGTTGCGCGTCGATCGAGCATTGATGGTGGGCGAGATTATGGTCGAGAGCCGACCGGGGTTCTATGACCGGATCGCAGAACAACCTTCCTTGTAACGAGCAGAGAATCTCTCGCGTCTTCCGTCCCATGAGACCAGGCACGTACATTTCCCCTGAGCAGAAGATGCTCGGATCATCTCTCTGCGCCCTTGCACCTGGTCGTGCGGAACCACCGGAACACTGCAGCCATAGATACCCTTCAGCCTTGCCTTTAAAGCCTGAGCAGGCGGTTTCGTTGCTTACCAGCCCACCAGCCCACCCGTCCGGTCGACTTCCCCTCATCTATCCGCGAGCACGGGAAGGCGTCGAGGCAGGAGGGAGCCACGGCGTAGAACGTCTGGAGAGCCGAGAGAACGGGCTTGAGTAGCACGAGCCACGGGAGGGCCGCCTCTGATGCTGATTCGTAGAAGCCGCTGTCAGGCCGTGGCAGTGGCCACCACACACACAGCTGCTCGTACAGGTACAGGGCCTGATCAGCGAAGGAATATTTTGGCCGCTGGTGGGCGACTGCAAGATACAGCTCGCGCCGAAGGAGTTTGGGCAGCTCGACCACGAGCTCATCACCACCTTTGTCTTGTATTTCAACTTGGTCCTGTCGTCCAACCATGTGACAAGCTTTTCCACATTGTCGTTGAGATTCCATAGCAAGGCAGATAATGTTCCCGTGCCCAATGATTTGATCCACACCTTGATTGTGTAGATATCGTCATCCTTTTGGACAGGCAATGACCAACTGTCAAGACAAGGAAATGGCGAGAGACGGTAAACAGCTCGCAGTACATACCGAGTAGACGTACGGAGTACGAGGGACTTGGCGTGTGGGGGATTGTTTCAAAGATGCAGCCTCGCCAGCATCGCCAGCCTTGCTAGCACCGTTACGTGCAATATGTGCTGCATGTCGAGCGTGTCACATATTTAGGACTGACAGCGTGGCCAGACTAGTAGCCCTCTGACCATTAATTACCTCAACAGAATTCATCATGTTTCTCTATTGAGTCACAGCTCCCTCAACGCTCCGTTACGTGCCCGATTGAAGCGGCCTGGCTCCTCTTCCTGAACGACAAAGATAGCGGACGAAGCACATTTCGGCGTGCATATAATTCACACACACACACACACACACACACACACACACACACACACACACACACACACACACACACACATTCTTGCAGGAAGCCATTGCTAAAGAACGGAGGAACGAGATCTCATACCGGTCACTCACTACCAAGAGCATATGTATATGTCCCGTAAAGCAAGCAAGCTACTCTGCGCCAATCAATTCGCCAGTCAGGTAATCAGCCATTGAGCCGGAGGATCTCCGGTCGATGGGCAGAAACCTCTTCGACAGCCGCAGCCAGTTCGGCGAGGAGCGCCTCGATCAAGGCTTGGTCACGTTCACTGCCGACCACGCCGACGTGCGTCTGCCCACTCTGGACGAACGAGACGGCCTTCAGCGGATGGGCCGCGTCGCCGTGCGGGTTCTGGATCTCCACCCTGCACGTCTCTCCCGCAAAGGGTATCGTGTCGTAGTCCTCGAAATCCTGGTGATGGACGACAGAGTCGAAGAAGAAGTGTCGTGACGACGACGACTCCGGCAACGACCATTGCGTATTGCAGCTTCTGAGTATCTCTCCAAACCCGACAAAGTCATTGGCCGCAGACTCGGCACTCTGCCTCTGCACGAAGCGCAGCAGGTCCATCGCCGTCCATCCCGCCTCGAATGGGACTCGCACCGGGGTGAACTGGTAGCACGGGCCCATGACCTTCTCCACGTCTTGCATGTCCATGTTGCGGCCTGACGTGATGCAGCCGAATGTCACATCGGGTTGCTGCAGACGGCGAGCCAAGACGAGGGCCCATGCCCCGGCCAGGAGACTCGCGGTTGTGATCTCCGCGGGACGGCGAGCGGCGTCGACGGGTTTGGTGAGGAACATCGCTCGTGTCGCGTGCTGTGCTGAGGGTCCCTCCAAAATCGACAGTTTGGAGCCCTGCAGAAGGGTGCGCCAGTAATTCAGTGCCGGTTCCTTGACGCGTCCGTCGCCAACGCGCGCCATGTAGGCGGAGAACGGCCTGAAGTCGACAACCGTTCCCCCTGCGTATAAGGTTTCCAGGTCTCGAAGCAGCCTGGGCAGAGAGATGCCGTCGTATTGAGCATGGGATAGTCTTATGATGAGGCAGCCTTTGCCGTCCGGACCCTTAACATGGAACATCTTGAGGAAAGGTGTCCCCAGGCGCAGGTCTGATTCTATGTCCGTCTTGCAGAGTGCGACGACGTATTGTTCAAGATCTCCTTCGGATTGGTGCGTGGACACGGGAGATTCCAGCTCGTCCAGGACAGTTTGAAACAGCGACGACTCGTGCTCGATAAAGACAGTGCGCAGAATGTCGTGAGTCGTGACCAACTTGTTGCAGGCGCGGATCAGATTGTCCAGATTGAGGCCCTTCTCAAAGTACAACATGGTGTATTGGATGGATGTCCGCGGGACCTGAATTGTTGCCCTGACATCGATCGCTTGAGACTCGGTCACTGGCATGACATCCTGGATGGTCCAGCGCGGGTCAGCGAGCTTCGGCCGCACCACGTCGGACAGGAACAGGCCCACGTCCACCCCGTCAAGCATCGAGAATGGCTTGTAATCCGGCGTCTTCTCCACGGATACTTGGTCCACTCTCAACACTCTAGCTGCGTCGCGAAGCTTCATGTTCTGGAAGATGTCGGCCACTGTCAAAGTGTGTCCCTGAACCCGAAGACTCGATGCCAATTTCATGGCCAGCACCGAGTCCCCTCCGAGGCGGAAGAAGTTGTCGTCCAGGTCAATCTTGTCTGGACTTATTCTCAGTATCTTCGCCCAGGCAGAGCGCACGATGTTCTCTGGGGTGGTCAAGCTTGTCTGCGTGGTGGTGGTCTTCCATACCTCCTTCAAGCTTTCCTGTAGGGTTGTGAGGACAGACCTAGGAATTCTCGATGCTATCTGGTTCAACAGCTTATGATCAGGCCGTCCCATCTCGGTCGGTATTTTGTCAACCACGATATACGCAGAGGGAAGCATGTATGGTGGGAGAGAATCTTGGATGAATTTGTCAAGCTTTTTTAGGGCAATGGCAAGGCCGAGGTGAATTGTCGCATGGACAGTTAGGTGCAATCTGGATGGCCCGGGTGCATCGTAAGTCATGTCATGTTTCGCTGCCATGAGCGGAACATGCTCCTCCTGAGAGGGCTGCTGCTCGACGAAAACGACCAATTCATGCTCGGCTGACTGCTGATTCCCGTCCGGTGGCGATTGGAATACGGCGGCGGCGGCGCGGGTTGTTGACGGAAGATAATTGGTGACATGAGCTTCGAGGTCTGCGATGTCCATTACGTGGCCTTGGATTGTTGAGCGATTCTCCTTTCGACCGATGAAAACGAGGCTGCTGTCGTCCTGTAACTGGACCAAGTCGCCGGTCGGTTGCACTGTTCCGGATCGACCAGCACAAGTGGAGCTTCCAGCCAGGAGCCAGGTGGGAGATGAAGTGTTATCAGCTGCAAAGAAAGACCCTTCCAGCCAAAGCTCGCCAATACTGCCAATGGGCGACAAGAGAGACGGATTTTGTGGGTTACATACCCAAGATACCACCGCAGGAGGATATGTTGATCCTTGATCGATACTTGCATCTGCTCGAAGCCTGCCGGATGACTTGTCCAAGGACAATGGAGGGATTTTGTTCCAGCGCCAGATCTGGTCGAGTTCCGTTTCGGGCAGACAAGATATTTCATTGAGTCTTCGGAGAGGATCCTTCATTAGCTGCAAGCAAGCCGTCTCTAGCTGCGCGAGTACTCGTTTCATTTGTGCGACGTCAATCAGGCCGGTGTCGAAGCTCGCGCAGACCCTCAAACTGCCTTTTTGTGTTCCAAAGGCCAACATAAGTGGATACGGGTTAAAATGTAGCGCTTCATGGACGATATCTGTCTGCCCAAATCCAAGTTCGGTGCCCACGTACTCTGGCTCTGGTTGGATGACTAGACCCGTACCGGTTTCGCATGCGTGTTGAGCATCCCGACTAACCTTTCTGATGTTTTGCATTCCGACATGTTGGTATGGTGTACGCACAAGTACGGCTTCCTGCACCGTTTGTAGGTAAGATTGTACAGAGCTCGTTCGGTTGATACGTATGCGCAACGGTAAAGTCGCGATCAATGGGCCTTCGATGCTTTCGACCTTCGCTAAAGGAATGTCTCGACCTGTGAGCGTCTCGCCGAAAACGATGTCGTCGCTTCCTGTATACTGTGACATCACGAGCGACCATGCACCACGGATCAGTGTAGCTATTGTGAAAGTCGATCCAAGGTTTGTCTCCAGCCGAAATTGATGTTCAAGCATGCCGTCGGGAGTCGGCAAATAGTCTCTAGAAGGCAGACGCGGGAATTGAGGGCCAACGGCTCCGTCCAATTCTTGCCGCCAGAACTCTTGAGCCTCGACTTCACTCACGTCTCGCACATATCTGACAAAGTCCTTCATTTCAGCTTGTGGCTCGGTCTGCTCATCCCGCAGGGCATTGCTGACTTTCTGGAGTATCAGAGGCTCGGACCACCCATCGTAGAGAACGTGATGAATGGTCCAGACCATGTATCGTTTGTCGTCCTTGGAGTTGTCGACGATGGCATATCGAGCTAGGCTTTGACCAAGTTCCATCTTCTCACTCTGGTCCTCATCAAGGTAGAGCGATAAATCAGTCGAATGTCTCCAGAATATGCTCTCTCTCAACACAACTTGCTGCAAACCAGGATCTTGGAGTTGCACTAAGCGAGTGCGCAGCATAGGACTTGCCGCGACAACCTCCTCCCAAGCTTTTTTCCAGGCATCAAGGCTGATTTGTGACGGTATACAAGCGATTCTCTGGGCAATATAGGCTCGTGTTGATTTGATGGAGAAGGTGAAAAGCGATTCTTGTGATGGTGTGCAGGGGTAGATATCTTCGATGGCGGCTGGATCTGTACCACACCATTGTGACGCTTCGAAGCGGGCACTCTCAGCATCTTGGGAGATCATAGAAAAGGCTGGCGTTTCTGTCCGTGTTTGAGAGCTGCAAGTTTGGACAATGTCGGCCATCGCTAAGAGCGTAGGGCAGCGAAATATGTTCGCCACTGTAACATCGAGACCTTGAGCTCTACAACCAGAGACAAGTTTCATTGCCATTAACGAGTCGCCGCCTAGTGCAAAGAAATTGTCGTCAGGCCGAATGGTTTCTGGATCAAGCTGCAGTGTCTGGCTCCAGGCCAGCCGCACGAGTTGCTCAAGATCGCTCAGCTGTCGAGGAGCGGTATTACTCGTGGCTTGGTCTAGCTGTCGAAGGTCGAAGGTCGCACCGAACTGCCTCAGTCTTTTGCGATCGGTCTTGCCTGATATCATCACAGGAATGTAGTTGACCGGCACATATGCGGTTGGCACCATATATCGTGGGAGGACCTTGGCCAACTCCGCATCCGCCGCTGACAGCATTTCCTGTAGATCTTTATGGGGTTGCGCCCACTGTAGATCGGTAGACTCTTGTCCTTTCATAGACTGAAATGCAATGAACGCCATTAATGTAGGTTGACCTCCAGAACCTGAAGGCACAATCACCTCTGCAATGACGTTGGTGCCTGGAGGGAGTCTAGCTTTGAGCTGGTACTCGATTTCTCCAAGCTCGACGCGTTGTCCGCGCAATTTGACCTGCGTGTCCTTTCGCCCAATGAAGACAATGCCGCCAGATCCATCAGGATCATATTTTCCAAGATCTCCAGTCTTGTATAAGCGGCCTCGGCGACCTTCATAGCCATTATGGCCTGCGGTGAGCCACAATGGATCACTGATAAAAGCCGCCGCGGTTTTGTCGGGATCATTTAAGTAGCCTTGTCCCACAATAGGACCTTCGACAAGCAATTCGCCCACAGCACCCACCGGCATGAGCAATTCGTGATCAGTGGGGTCGACAATCCATATAGCTGCCCCGTTGCCTCTCCCAAGGGATACATAGTCCCTGCCGGTGGCAGCGCTGCTGTTGACTGTACATCCGATCGTGCATTCGGATGGCCCGTAGCCTATAACGATCCTAGTGACTTGGCCCCAGCGCGTCACTTCTCTTGCTGTGGCTGCCTCCCCTCCGAGACCCAGGGCGCTGAGTGAGGCCACGACATCCGCGTCCAATATTCTGGCTACCGAAGGGGTCAGGCCGGCATAGTTGACTTGCATTCTTCGCATTGCTCCATTCAGGTCGTTCATCCGATCTTCGTCAGAGGGAATGCAGAGACATCCGCCCTTCGAAAGAGTGCAAAGCATGCTGTCGATGCTGACATCAAAAGCATACGACGCAAAGTCAAGAACCCGAGAGTGCTCCGTGTATCCGACTGCCTCTGCCCGAGGAAAGGCACTGCTTGTGTAGGTTTCGTGAGAAATCAAGACTCCTTTCGGGACGCCCGTGCTGCCAGAAGTGAAAATTATGTACATCAGAGTAGATGGGGGAACGACTGTCAATTTCGGCATGACTTGCGAGCATGGGATGTGCTTGAACGAGTCCTCTTCCACAACCATAAGGTTCCCATCGGGCAGGATTGCCGCCGAATACTCGTGTTGTTTCCGGGATGTAAGCATCGTCTTTGCTCCGACCTGTTTCGCCATGGTTTGCAGACGCGCAAGCGGGAGGGTTGGATCCATCAGAACGAATGTCGCCCCTGCTTTCATCACCGCAAGCACGGCGACGATGGTCCATCTTGATTTCTCAAAGCACACTGGCAGGACATCGTGCAACTCGACCCCCATCTCTTTCAGCGAATAGGCAATGGATGTAGAATATCGGTCCACTTCGGCGTATGTGAGGCTGCCATCCCAGGATAAGATTGCTAACTTGTCTTTGAATATCTCGGCTTGCTGGCAAATCACTTCGTGCATGCAAAAGTTGTAGGATGGTGGCAGTGGGTGATTCCACTTCCATATTTCATCCAGATCAGCTGCTGTCGGTCGAATAACACTTTTAACGGGGTCGTCCGGATTCAAAAGGCACATTTTGACGGTATCGACCAGTGCTATGACGTGTCGTGTCATCGTATATGGCAACATGTTCTCTGTCTGCCATACTGGACGAATTTTGAGACGGCCCTCGTCAAATTGTACTTGGAGATGCAGTATACACTTCGCGCGACAGGTCAGTGACGGCACGCTCGGGTTTGTCATTTACTCACTTGATCATTCGCTTTCTCAGGAGTCTGAGATAGGGAACCGGTGCTCAACAGAAGCGAAACAGGGCCAGAGCCTCCAGGTAGCTGACTCTGGGTACATGTCGTCATGTGGCGAGCAATTCTAGCACCAACTTGCCCGATATTGTCTTGTAAACCTGTCACAAATTCATCCATCGCCAAGCGCCTTTTAACGGGCTCGTGGAGAGCACCATTTTCTCGAGCTTCGTAAGCCCAATCAAACCAGACGTGACCTTCGTCTTGGGTTCGTAAGAGAACGAGGAGCCATGCGAGGAGCAAGATGTCCTCTCTTAGACCCGTTGGAGTGTTTGGAGGATCGGATGCAAGGCCGGCGACCTTGAAAGACCAAAAGCCCTCCGCGTCAGCCTCTCTGGTAGACAATATGTCGGCAGAATGGCCATTTGCCAGCCTTCGATCATCACTCTCGTCGACTTGTATAGAGCCCATTCTACTGGCAAGTCAACTTCTTCGATAGTCGGCTGAGCTCGATATCGAGAAGATGAGTTGGACTTGAAGCTGTACCCCATTCAATTGAGATTGAGACGAGTCACCGAATCATCCCGTAGCAAAGGTTCGATCAGCATTTTGGTGAGAAGTTGGAGGCGAGGCTCCACATAGGGACCTGGCGTAGCCGGCCAGGATGTGGCAATTCCCATGTCTGGTGGACTTGGCCTGATGCCCACGACCGGGTTGAAGGCAAAGAGGCATCTGGAGAGGAGAACATCATCCTTGCGAGGGTCGGAGAATTTCCTGTCATTTCCGTGACAGGTCTGGTTATAATGGGGGTTTCGTATTGAAATACAGCTCGTATCAAGACGCCGGTATTGTACTACGGTATTCGTCCCGTCTCAGTATGTACCTACAATATACGTATGAGGCGAAGGAAACAAATGTGGGCAACGTCGTGGGACTGTGGTTGGCATTGCTCGAGATAGCGCAATGCCAAGCCTCTAGAGTGGGTTTCTCTCAAGACCAGTGATAATCTAATCTGATAAGATTTTTCACGATTCTCTTCTCTGATTAGACCACGTCGTCACATTCGGGAAGAAATGGGCATGGCACGCACTTGCATCATCAACGCTCGACAACATCTGAGTGTGGGTGGACACGCCCGTTGCAACTACTCTACCTAGGTGCTCACTACTCTGCTCGTACAGCTTGCCCCGCCGAACACTCCATACGACCATCCCCGCCACCCCTCCCACATTACCTTGCTCTGCTTCTGCTCTTCGCAACGAGCTTCAACCGAACGATCCACCGAACGGAGCTCATAGCTCATAAGCCTGCAGGGTTTCCAGGGAAAGAAAAGAAGATGGATTGCCTGTGACAAGACGCCGGCGATGTCGGAGCCTGAAGAAAAGTGACGATGCGTTGAGATGGCCCAGTCCCGTCAACAAGGGTCTAGCTGGCCGCTCCGCAATATCATTGCGCCAGAAACCCTCCACCTGGACGGACTGCCGTAAGAATCCAGTGGGATTGACCGGATGGCCAGCTCGGGTGCGCAAATGTGACGCTGTAGGTACCTGGCGGTTTTCTCCCCTTCGTTGCCATTGACTCTGAAGAAGCTTGTCGAGCTCCAATAACTTGCCGAAAGACCGCTATGTTGTCAAGATCTCCGGGGACAAGGAGTTGCAGATGGACTTTCCATTCTGCGTCTGACGATCTCGACTTCGTGGAGAAAATGCTTGTCGATTCCCCGGCGCGAGGGCGCTGTTTTGGTAAAGGATACCGATAGGCATTGGAGAGCTCATCTTTCATCCCACTATATGTTCTAAACCCCTTGGCGTTTACTGCATTTTTGACTTTACAAAGCTGCTCGTTTTACGCCTCGTTACGCTTGTCCTCTGTATGTAACCTGAATCCATTTTCCCAAATTGGTGTTCTGTATGCCTGTTGCTCAGACCCACCTCGATGGCCACCTCGCCGACCTTCAACCCCCAAGATGCAGTCCTCTCAGTGCGGCATCGGAGTGGAGAGATTTTCTTTCAGATGCTGAAACAATTCTTACGGCAATGCAAATTGCCAACGTCGTGCACAGTGCGAACGACGAGCTAAGGTGTACTCGAGGGATACCTCGGCCAGAGAAGCAGTCTTTACAGGTTAAGCACCCAGACACGACACTCACAAGGCTGCAAGCAGCCTCGCCAGCTCTGTGTTAGCATGAACCTCTTCCAGAACCTCGTGGGCTACCCTCGCCTACTTTTGGCTGGTAGCCCTTCCAAAGTTGATGCGGGCACGTTATTGTTGGCTATACTGTCTGCGATAGCGTCCGGCATTCCCTTCCCGTTGATTGGAATCCTTTTTGGTCAGCTCATTGACGACTTTAATTCGGCAACTTGCGACTCACCCGATACTTCCAGTGCTCGGTCACAGCACCAGGACAGTGTCAACGACAAAATCCTGCTGATCTTGTACTTGGCCATCGCTCAGTTCGTCACCATCTACATGCACCTCTCGTGCTGGACTTTGAACGGGGCTCGACTCGCACAAAGACTGCGAGAGAGTTACTTACATAATCTGCTCCGACAAGAACCATCGTATTTCGACAATCTGCCTCCCGGAGAAGTCGCCTCTCGACTTAATGGCGACATCCAGGCAATCCGGTCAGGTACATCTGAGAAAGTGGGAATATGTCTCTCAAGTCTATCCTTTTTCATCACGGCATATATCGTGGCTTTTATCAAGGACTATAAGCTCGCGGCGATGCTAGTCTCGTTGATACCGGCCTACTTTCTGATGTCTTTCGTGGGAAGCCATTACATCGAGAAGTACTCTGGACTGATGTCGGATTATGCTGCTACCGCCGCTTCGATTGCTTCGGAAGCACTTTCCAATGTCGTTGTCGTGCACGCATTCCGCGCAAACAACCGGTTGGAGGATAAATTCGCTAAGGCGCTCAAGGCTTCAGAGCATGAAGGCCTAAAGAAGGCGTTAGCGGTTGGTGTACAATCCGGGGTCCTGTATTTTATCGCCTATTCTGCGAACGGTCTAGCATTCTGGCAGGCAAGTCAACGGATTGCGGATGCAGTCCGTCATGATGCTAGGACTGCCTCTGTGGGCGTTACTTTTACAGTAGTCTTCATCTTGATTGAAGGTCGGTTGAAATCAAGCTCCATCTTAAAATTTTACTAACACGTTGACAGCTACATTGGTCTTGAGTCAAGTAGCGCCTTTTCTGCACCTTTTTGGGGCGGCTGTAGCATCATTTCAAAAGCTGCGCGAGGATATGGATCGCGAGCCGTTGATCGATGGCACAGCTGCTTCGGGGCTTCACCTCTCGCAAGCGGAAGGCGGCTTCGAATTCAAGGATGTCTCATTCACTTATCCATCCAGACCTGAAGTCACAGTTCTGGACCAGGTCAATCTTCGGATTCCTTCCAGAAAACACACTGCGATAGTTGGGTTTTCTGGAAGTGGCAAATCCACCATCGCGGGACTGCTTACAAGACTGTATGATCCTACTCAGGGCCAAGTCTTGTTCGACGGTCATAATCTCCGGGATCTGAATCTTCACGACCTCAGAAGCTTCCTCAGCCTTGTGCAACAAGACCCTTCGCTCCTTGACCGTTCGATATTGGAAAACATCGCACATGGCTTGATCAATTCGAGCCACCCCAGTCATGCACATTTGAAGACAACGCTTCTTGGTCCAGACCTTGCAGATCTCGCTCGCCAAGTCAGGGAGGGCCAGGACCTGAAGGCTGCAGCAGAGAAGCTGGGTTCAAATGTCGCCGAGATTATTTCCTTGGTCCGAAAGGCCGCAGAGCTCGCCGACGCAGATGCTTTCATCGTTGCGCTGCAACACGGGTATGGCACCGTGGTGGGATCGAGTGGGCGGCTGATCAGTGGTGGCCAGAAGCAACGGATTGCCCTTGCTAGGGCTCTTGTTAAAGATCCCAGAGTTCTTATCTTGGATGAGGCTACGGCCTCTCTGGACTCAAGAAGCGAGCAGCGCATCCAGCGGGCCATATCTGCCATTGCCAGTGGCAGGACTATGATCACGATTGCTCACCGACTTTCGACTATCACTGGTGCCGACAATATAATAGTCATGCAGAAGGGACGCATCCTTGAAGAGGGAACTCATTCAGCACTGATGGCAAAGAATGGCGCATATGCCGATCTGGTGAGATTGCAGACTCTCGGATCCACGGCCGGGAAGAGCGAGACGGCAGACAACACGAGCCAATCAGATCGTGGTTCTTCAACAAAAGGTGCTCATGAGGAGGGTGCCTTGTCAATTGACGGCATCGGCACCGTTGAGAAGACAGAAATGTCGGCAAGCCAAGCTGAAGTAAATGAATTGGTGGAAGAGCAAGAAGAGCCCGAGACTCCATCAAAATCGCTGTGGTCTCTGATGCGAGGATTTGCACCAGTCTTGAGACCGCACCTGCTAATCATCATCGTCTCGCTTCTCGCCTCGAGCGTTGTTGGCGGATCATTCTCTGCGGAGGCCGTCATCTTTGGAAACACTGTCGGCAGCTTGAGTCCGTGCCAGAGCGAATCCTACATTCGTTCTCGGGGCAGTTTCCTTGGTCTGATGTTTTTCATACTCGCCATCATCGAGTTCTTTGCCAACGTGACCAGTTGGACGGGTTTCGGCTGGGTCGCTGAGAGAACGGTCTACAGTGTGAGAGTCTTATCCTTTCGATCATTGTTTGGGCAAGATCTTCAATGGCATCAGTCTGAAGGCCGGACTCCCGCCTTGCTGCTCTCTTACATTACTAGAGACGGTAATGCTCTCAGTGGCTTGAGCGGCTCCGTCATCGGCACGTTGTTCTCAATCACCGTCAACCTCATTGCCGCAATTGTTTTGACTCACATCATTGCTTGGAAAATAGCATTGGTCTGCCTATCTCTGGTACCGCTCCTCCTTGGGGCTGGTCTTATGGAGCTCCGAGTGCTCGCGAGATTCGAAGAACGGCACGAAAATGCGTATACCAAATCGGTGGACATTGGCGTGGAGGCAATCACGTCCATCAAGACGATTGCGTCTCTTTCCCTTGAAGAAGAGACGCTGAAGACTTATCGACGATCGCTGAAAGGCCCCCGCAAGGAGACGCTCAAAGTGAGCCTCTACGCAAGTCTCTGGCAGGCAATGACCTATCTCCTCGGCAACCTCGTGAATGCGTTGGCTTATTGGTGGGGCGCCAAACAGATTATCGCGGGCACTTACACCCAGACGCAGTTCATGATTGTGGTATTCTCCCTCCTGGTCAGTGCGCTGCTCTGGAGTCAGATGTTTGCGCTCGCCCCCGAGCTCACCAGCGCGCGAGCTGCGGTGGCAAGGCTTCTGGGTCTCATTGAAATAGGACCGGATAGGACGCAAGGACGTGTGCAGAGGCCACCATCTCTCCTCGATACCTGTTTTGAGGATAAAGACCTAGAGAAAACCGCCGAAGCGAAACCGACTCTTCCGCCTAGCAAGCAGGGTTCGAGCGTGCAGCTCCGCGATGTCCACTTCGCATACCCAAGTCGGCCGGAGGTCGAAGTGTTGAAGGGCCTGAATGTCGACATTCGACCGGGAACGCTCTGCGCCCTTGTCGGCCCTAGTGGCGCCGGCAAATCGACCATCATCTCGCTCGTCGAACGCCTATACACGCCTCAATCCGGGTCCGTCATAGTCGACGGGGTTGACGTGACCAAGACTCGTGACGTCTCCTTCCGCGACACCATGGCGCTGGTCCCGCAAGAAAGCGTCCTCTTCGAAGGGACCGTTGAATTCAACATCGGCCTCGGTGCGCGACCGGGCCAGGAAGCCAGCATGGACGAGATCCAAGAGGCGTGCAAGCTGGCCCACATCCACGACACCATCCAGTCCCTGCCCGACGGCTACCAAACGCTCTGTGGACCGAATGGCAACCAGTTCTCCGGAGGGCAGAAGCAGCGGCTGTCGATCGCGCGGGCCCTGGTGCGCAAGCCCCGGTTGCTCATCCTGGATGAGCCGACCAGTGCGTTGGACGCCGAGTCGGAGAAGCTGTTGCAAGACGGGCTTGAGACGGCGGCGCGGGGCATCACCGTGATCGCGATTGCGCACCGGCTGCACACGATCAGGAAAGCGGATGTGATCTTCTTGATCGAGGGAGGCCAATGCGTGGATCGCGGGACGCATGAGGAGTTGCTCCAGAGGTCGGAGAGTTATAGATTGAACGTCATGCATCAGACGTTGGCTGAGTAGCGCAGCATTTTCGCCATAGGACAAAAGACTCTCAAGATGAGGGGCGTGTGTTTTCACTCGCAGGGCGCGCGTTTCTTCATTTCTGTTCTTTTCCGAAATATCTCAAACTATGTCTTCAAGGCGAAGTCTGGAAGAAATCTAGGATGTCACATTGTCAGGGATCACAGGGACTAGAAAACAAAAGAATCTTTTTTTGACAATTGTCAATCAACTATTCGCAATTTTGACTCCTCATAAAAGGCTACAGCTTAGCGTTCCAGGCCGCTCGGTCTGCCGACTCCAGCGGCTTCTCCCGCCCGTCCCAGAAGAGCGGACACAATTGGAACCATTTCTCCCGGCTCGCAATCGAATGCACCGAGCGCTTGTGGCCGAGGTCGACGTACTTGCCGATGACGAGGCCTTGGGAGTTCTCGTAGGACAGGATCGTCGCGCCCGTGGCCTTGGGCTCGCCCACGGCGTTGGCGGTGCGCGGGTCGTCCAGAAAGACGTAGTGGATGCAGCTGGAATACCACGCGTTGACGCGGTGGGAGCCGCGGAATGATGCGTCGCCCACGAGCGAGTGGCGGCCCCGGTCGTAGTCGCCGGCGTCGTAATGGGCGCCATAGTGGTCTTCCTGTTGACGGAGAGAGAACGTGTCAACTCTGAATGATGAAATAAAGGGTGGACGAGGGAGCGAGGCCGAGACCCTGTCGAGAGATGAGAGGACTTACCTTTGCCCAGTACAGCTCGAAATAAGCAAAGCGGGCGTTGTTGAAGCGCCCGAACAAGCAAAGGACGTGCGGGTCAACCCACAGCTTGCGCAGGTACTCGCGATGCTGCTCCAAAGTCCCTGTCTCGTTCCACCCTGCCGCAACACGCGGGTCGTTCTGCCACGTATTGAAGAGTCTCAGGTGCTCCGGGTCTTGCCAGTTGACGACCTCCAGGGAAAAGTGCTCGTCCAGCTCCGGTATGTAGCGACTGTAGGCGATTGATCCTGGATGTGGCTTGGGCCGACGGATCGGATGACGCGCATAGATGGGCTCCTCGGGGAACTTCATGGTGAAGTGATAGTTCTCAGGCATGATGGGATACTGGGCCAGAGGCTCGCGTGAAGGACCATCCGTGCCGTCTCCCACGACCCAGATCGGACGAGGTCCCGTTGGAGAAGCTGCCCCTTGCCAGAACGAGCTTCGGAGGATCAGCAGCTCGTCAGACTGTGCATTCATGTCGTCGTTGGGGCGCCATGGCTTGGGGTGTTCGATACCTAAGCCTGTGGAAAGTAGTTCGTGGCGAATGACATCCTTTCCTGCGCCAGACAGACTGAGTCTGAAGTACTCATAGGTGGGATGGGCGAGATATATCGCATGAACAACATTCCAGATCTGACCAAGGGAGGGCGGACTGCTTCCCACCCATTCGAACGTTGTGTGAGGACTCCGGACTGCTCGTGCCCAAGCGCTGTTGTTAGAGATGGGCGGGACCTGCTCCTTCGGTTTGAACAACAGTTCCTGCCACGAGAGCGAGTCGCTATGTAACGGTTTCGGCGGTGGTTGTCCTTCCGCGGGCTGACTCTCATGTGTTAAGATGAATCTGGCTGGCTTTGTTTCTGCAACGGTGAGCACTCGATATGTGGTCAGAAACGGGTGTGGCAGCTTGACCAGAAGCCACTTGTGTGAAGAGGTTGAACTATGGGCCATCCTGAGAGAATTTTGATCACCCGAATTCCAGCTAAGATAAATGTCACAACCGTACAAAAACCCTACCCCGACAAGTTGTCTGGTGTTAGGGTCTGGAGAGAGGAGCTTGCTGGGAGAAGGAGGGATTGAAATGGCAGAGTGGGACGAAGACTCCGAGGGAGAGACATAAACGGCAATCAGCAAGGCACTTCCCCACCGGCCCCAGCCTAGTCCTTCATTCGCGGGCTTTTGTTGAATTGTGGGCGTGCCTCGAGGAATGGTGACCTTTGACGAGCAGTTTGCGATTTGCTGAACACTCTCCTTAGACCGAGGATCGGATAGCTTGGCAGAAAGCGTTTCGGTGGTTACATCAACGTCTTAGAATTCGACTACACGTGAAGTTGATATATACACGAGGCAAAAAGACACAAACCTCTTCCGAGAGAAGGAAACTGGCGAAGCTAATCGACGATACATCCTGTGCATTGTGCTTGCAGAGAAAGTTGCCAACCCAGACGCCAATCCCGGAGCACAAATGTCTCTCAGGTCAAGGCCGTTGACGTTTCAGCATTTTCAAGTCTCTTTCCCGCATGACAAAATCGTCCAGGTCACTTTGAACAGACCTGAGAAACTGAACAGTATCAACAAATCCACGAGCCGTGAAATCCAACGGATATGGGAGCTTTTCGACCAAGATGAAAGTTTATGGGTTGGAATCATCACAGGCGTTGGTAGAGCTTTCTGTACTGGGGCAGATTTACAAGGTATGTTCAGGTGCCGGGACTACTCTATATCAACATCTTGCCTTGGGACTACAATTGACCAGAACATGTCCTAGAATGGAACGAGATGAACAAAACTGGTGTGGTCAACGACATGTCTGCTCCTGGTCTCGCTGGGCTTCCCCGTCGAACTGGGAAGAAGCCGATCATCGCCGCAGTGAATGGCCTATGCATGGGAGGCGGCTTCGAGATGGTGGCCAACTGCGACCTCGTCATAGCTTGCTCCTCGGCACTTTTCTCTCTACCGGAAGTGAAGCGAGGGATCGTCCCTGTGGCAGGCTGTCTGCCACGGCTGACCCGTACACTGGGGCTGCAACGTACTACGGATCTCGTTCTCACCGGCAGAAACGTGGGCGCCAAGGAGCTTCATGACTGGGGCCTAGTTAGTCGGGTGGTGGAATCGGCCGCTGAAGTTGTCCCAGTGGCAATTCAAGTTGCCCAGGACATGTGCAGGAACAGTCCGGATGCCTTGATTGTTGGCCGGCTGGGTATTCGGCAGAGCTGGGAAACGGGTAGCGTCGAGGAGGCCGTGTCGATTCTGGCTGATCAATGGTACCCTCGCCTGATGGCCGGACCGAACTTCTCTGAGGGAATTCAGGCATTTGTGGAGAAACGGTCGCCGGACTGGATAGATTCGAAGCTGTGAGAGGACAACGTCGCTGCACGTCCTGAGACCCAAGAATCTAATCACAGCCAGAGTGTCGCTGCCATGCAAAGTTTCAACGTGTTAGGTGGGGAGAAGGTCCATCATGTACATACAGTAGCAGGAACACGCTTGTATCCCCACTCCTGCTACTCTCTTGAAGGCAAATTCCTTAAGAGGAGAAGCTCACCGAGCGAGGCATGTCGGTACGGGGAATATTTCACGCTATATCAGACAGGTATTGTAATGTCGACGCCTTGAAATACCTGAAATACCGCGCTTGTATCGAGAATCCTTTCCCATGTAGGCGTAGTGTACCGAGTGGAGCTGGTCAAGACTGTGATCACCGTTAAACCCAACCCACGTTTCCCCTTCTTGTTCCAATGTCACATTTTTCTTCCATATACTGCTACCATTGGCGCACACCTCCATTGCGTCATGAGAGGATTGTGAACGGCATCGCTAGGAACTTGAATGCACAGTTAAGACCGACGGCTTCGGTTGTGCCCAGGAGGTGGGACGCCGTAAAAAAAAAAGGCGCACTGGAAGAGTAACAGGGATTGCAAGGCCACAGACGCACCCATGGAGACGCCAGCTGTGACTGGTGTGCACGACACAAACCCCCTTATCAGTCTTGTCCATCTTATCAGATCTAATTGTTGATTGAAATCGTTGCAGTGGATAACTTTGCCACCTTCGCAGAAGCTGCCCAGAGAGTGGTTTACTCGCTTCTATCCACATGTCTCGAATGAGGTAATTTGATTGACCTACTCTCGCATGGAAACATGTGGAACCGAAATCCTCTCTCGGTGGAATCTGCTCTGCTTCTTCCAGGCTTTATCCCGGCCACCCAGTTGAAAGGCTTAGCGTGAAATACGCGTTGAAGCAAATTCTTCAGCGCAGGTGCATCTTTTCTTGTCCGGCGACGCGAACCGAGATCGGAGATCCCATAGCACCAGTCCCCAGAAGCTGCAAAAATGACAGCCTGATAGACCACGTGAGTGGGGGATGATGCTCTACACAATGTCAACATAACATTGACGGCTGAAGATTGGGCTCTCGGGCAGGAGGAGGCTGAACATTGGAACCACTGAGAATTCATTTAGCCTCCCATCGAGATGTCTCTAGACAGCAGCACTGAGACCACGTTGTTTCCACCCCCATCAGTTCCGTCCATTCTTCATGGCGATTCGGAAGTGCCGTTGTTAGACTTTACTCTCGGCGAGCTGCTAGATTTTCAGTGCAAGAGGTATGGGAGTCGAGAATGTTTGGTGGTGCCGTGGACAGGCTCCAGATGGACCTACGACCACCTCAGGGAGGAAAGCATTCGACTCGCGAAAGCCCTTGTTGCCCGAGGGCTACGCCCAGGGGATCGAATCGGCATCATGGCTGGAAACTGCGAACAATATGTCTCGGTCTTCTTCGCCTGTATGAGGCTGGGATGTATCCTGGTGATTTTGAACAACACCTACACTGCATCTGAAGCGCTGTATGCTCTGAAATTCACAGGTACGTTTTTCCTTCACGACTTGCCACTGGAGCCACTGCTTATTCGAAGTCACAGAATGCAGAATATTGTTTGCAACTCCTCGGATCGGCCATCATGACAATGGGCAACTTCTCCGCCAGCTGAGAGAGAAGCCAGGCACGGTCGAGGAGATTATCATTCTACGCGGCCCACCCGGTCACTTCACCCCCTATACAACACTCCTAGAGACAGGAGCAATCGAATCCGACGAGATTCTCGAGGCAGTCTCGAAGGCATTCAGCTGCCATGACGTTTGCAATCTCCAGTTCACCAGTGGAACGACAGGAAACCCGAAAGCTGCAATGCTGACACATCAGTAAGTAGCGTACCACCTCCTAGCTCCTCCTGTCAAGAGAGCCCTAGGGTTGGCTGGAACACTAACTCGTGCTTCCAGCTCCTTGGTCAACAATAGTCGCTTCATTGGCGATCGCATGGCCTTGACGGATCAAGACGTGCTGTGCTGTCCACCGCCACTCTTCCATTGCTTTGGCCTTGTCCTCGGCCTGCTGGCCATCATAACCCATGGCGGAAAAGTGGTCTATCCCGCCGAGACCTTTGACGCCGGGGCGTGTCTGAGAGCCATCTCCGAGGAACGATGCACTGCCCTCCACGGCGTCCCAGCAATGTTCGATTCCATCTTCAGCCTGCCCCGACCCGATGACTTCGATTGCTCGGCCTTGCGGACCGGCATCATAGCAGGGGCTCCCGTACCTCGCCACCTGATGGAACTTATGGTCAATGAACTCGGGATGACCGAGTTCACCAGCAGTTATGGTATGGCATGCATGGAACTCAGCCGAGAGGGCCCCGTTGAAAAGCTAACGTCCGGTATTTTTCAGGCTTGACAGAAGCGTCGCCAACTTGTTTCAACGCTTTCCACAGTGACCCTACAAGTCTAAAGCTCAGCACCGTGGGCCAAGTCATGCCGCACGCCCATGCAAAGATCGTTGACCGACAGGGGAGAATCGTGCCGGTCGGGCAGCGCGGAGAACTCTGCATCGCCGGCTACCAACTCCAACGAGGCTACTGGCGAAACGTGGAGAAGACGAACGAGGTCATGATCCGGGACGCAGACGGCGTGCTGTGGCTGCATACCGGCGACGAAGCTGTCTTTCACAGGGACAAGACGTGCACTATTACGGGCCGGTTCAAGGACATCATCATCAGGGGTAAGCAAACCTCCTCCGAGCATCCACTCATCATCCCCCAAGAAGACCCGTCTGTATACAGGGCGCCTCTCACTGACCATTTCTTTTTCTGCTAGGTGGAGAAAACATCTATCCTTTAGAGATTGAAAGTCGTCTGGTCGAGCACGAGGCCATTGACCGTGCCATCGTCGTCGGCGTCAAGCACGCCAGGTACGGCGAAGTCGTGGCTGCGTTTCTCCAACGCAGCAGCAGCTCGACCCCTGCGACAACCCAACGAGGAGGCAGTTTCGGAGGAGGACATACTGGTCGTCCGAGCGACGACAACATCCGTGAATGGGTGAGGCTGAAGCTCGGCCGACACAAGGCGCCGGCGCACATTTTCTGGCTTGGGGAGGATGGCATTCCGGCCACGGTGCCGCTGACGGGGAGTGGGAAAGTGAGAAAGTTCGAGCTCGCTCAGCTGGCGGGACAGTTGGTCACTAAAGGGAGACCGAAGTTGTAGGAACCAGGCGTCGGCGGTGAGAAGGTTTCCCCAGAATCACAATGCATACTCTATGTACAGACTAAAAGAGTTAGCTTTTTTTTTTTCTCTCTCTCCCTCTCTCTATATATATCCCAGTTCCAGGCCCTGATCCACGTCGCGCGATCCCAAAGGCGGCCAATGTTACAGCCGCGCCGACCTCTCCTCCTCCGAAGTGGTCTGCTCGGCTCTCCGACGCAGGACCGACTCTGCCAGACGTCTACTTCTTTCTGCGAGAATTTGGAGAAGGCTGTCGTCATTCTGCGACTCCATCCGTTAGTGGTGATGACACAGACAGATGGGGGATCCGGATCCGTCACTTACTTGGTCTCCGTCGTCGGCAAGCGATCCCTGAAGCCAGATCCCGCACCCGGGCGCGAGAACGCCCTTTCTGAAGTTGATGTGGTATTCGCGATCTACCGCGACACTGGGGCCGTCGAGCAGCGCCTGTAAAGGCTCAAGAGCTCTATAATGGGCGTGTTGCTCAAAGCCGGTCGCGGAAATGACGGCGTCGAATGTTCCTGGGTCGTTTGGACTGCCGGGACTTTGCACGAAGAGTCGCACGCGTCCGTCGGCAGTTCTCTCCGCATGCACAGCTTCATGTTGGGGTCTGATTTGGAATCTCCACTTCTTGGGGTCCGGCTCTTTGACGCTGAAATCGTACTGGGCATCGTATATCCGTCTCAGGAGGCGCGGTTCAATTGACGAACTAGAGGTCAAGGACGAGGCTGCATTGACTTCTCTTCTCCTGATCTCGGGTGGCATGGTCTGTTGCTTTGATGATTTTGGATGCATGATGCTTTCCAATAGGCTAGATTTCGCCATGGCATTAGAAAGCGAAACCGGTGATGGACACCCAAGAATGCCGACTTACAATGGTGTCTCGTCATCTCCTCGAAGGACCGCCTCTTTGGTAAACCAAATGACTTCGTGCTCTCCCCGTATCCCATGAAGTTGATCAAATGCCTCCGCTGCGTTCTGGCCATTTCCTAGAACTGCGATGCGCGCTCTCGGGTTGTCACGCAATAGTGTCGGAAGGGCTTCGAGATACTCTGAGGAGTGCAGGACGAGAGTTTGAAGAGCAGGAGAGCGGAGTGCTTTTGGGACATGGGGATGATGCGATGCGGCATAGACGACCTGCTTGGCTATGACAGCTTTCTTTTCCCCCGTCACGGCATCCACAAAGACCACTTCCCAAGCAGCGACGTGCCCGTTCCCGTCTCTCAATGGTCGCACGTTGGTGGCTACCTTGCCGTAATGGACTTGCGCCTGAAGGCGGCCAGCACACCACCTCAGATAATCGCTGAACATCTCCCTAGACGGGCAAAGCTGAGCGCTGTTGGCATATAAGATGAGCCTATTGGTCGCATGGAGGTAATTGAGGAAGGTGTAGTGAGAACGCGGATTCTCCGAGGTGATCAAGTCATTGAGAAATGAGGTCCTCAGTCTGGAGGCAGGTGTACACCGGAGTGGCTTCCAGAAGGCTTCCAATTGCGGTTCCAGGAACATTGTATCCTTGCTGAGCCCATTTCGTTCGTTCAAAGCGACCGCGTTGGCGATGCCGGTGATGTCAAACCCGACACACACCAAGTCGAGAGGTGGCATATCGGTGACCTTGTTGCCATCCATGAACGTGCCTGAATGCTGGATCATAATTGTCGCAGCGGTGGAAGCATTGGTGAGACCTCGATCGATGACATAGGAGGATCGAGGCTCGCAGAACGATTTCTTGGTCCGCCGACAACTGGGAGAGCCTGGATCCTTGCCCTCTTTGGGTAGAGTTGATGCAACCAGACTGTGCCTCTAACCAAAGACTCCATTCTCCGACAATGGCATTCCTGGTCGCGACGATGGGGCCATGACACGACCAAGGGAGAATTCGGAAAGCGGTCTGAACCTGACATCGGTGTCATTTGAAAGATGATACAGTGCCAAAATTACGTCCTGGTATTACTTGTATGACAAGCCCTTGCCCCGCTATTCTTCACAGAGTGGAGCTCCGAGCGGATCAGATAACTCAATTTCCACTTGGTCAAGGAGAATTTTCATCAGATAACGGCCTCAAGATCCACCTTCCCCCTTTCGCAGCGTCTTCCACCTCCTAAGCTTTGATCGGTTTGTGATTCTACATGCTACATTCCAGTGAGATACCCGCCCTCGCCGCGCCGTCCCCGCCGAGCTTGCTTCTAACGGAGCCCCTCCAAGGATCCAGCTCCAGACCCCGAGACCCATGCCAGGTCTTCGTGATCGAGAAAAATTTTCATCTGATAAGATCATCGTCGTTTCATTCCACCTCGCGTAGCCATTCACCGTGTGCACCCGTGGCATCATTGGGTGGGCGCTGGATCGCCTTATTCACGAAGAGAATGGAGTTGGAGCTTGTACCGGGGTGCGACGAAAGACTTCTCTCCGACCTCGGCCTTTGCATTTCTCTCAAGTCGGTAGTGGACATGGCGACGAGACAACAATTTATCAACGCCAGTCGACACTGTCGTCACTCACCCTGACTGTTGCTTGGCAACACTCGATCATATCGGATGGCCGAGTTTCAGAGTTCCCGATCACGGTTGTCTGACGATTTCAATCCAGGTATGACACTGGACATCTTCACGGGTTGGAATGCTGTCAGACGACTTGAATTGTACCCGTCTATATCTATCTTCTTGATTTGGCTCCGAACAATAATGTCGCCTAGGTCGCACTTCCAAGCAAACAGACAGCATGGCATGTCAGTCGGAGAACACCCTCGGCCTCACGGAGCCCTTACCCGAGAGCACGTATGTCCCCGTTGATCTCAGTGCGATGGAGATTCACAACTGGCTTGCCTAGAGTCGTATCGCGGCGGTGTAACGATGAAAGTACACCACAAGAGCGTTCGCGGTGTCACAGTCGCGACGAAATACAAGTCACCCAAAACACCTACGTCGGGTTTTCGAGAGGACTTGGCGCCATCCACCCCAGCCTTGGCTTGACTGGGAACTCCATTTTATGGATGCCAGCTTCCCTCTGCTCACCTCCAGAGCGTCGAAGCGATATTCCTCTTCCAGATAATCAAAGCTCCTGTATGAGGACGTGATTAGATTTGATAACCGAATCTTATCATCAGTCACATAATTACGGAGCCAAGCCCCGGCCAACTTCCACGTTCCACTCTCCTCAGCTTTTTCGCACCATTGGGCTCAGAACGACAAGCCCAGTATGCCTTCGCTTTAGATCACTATTTGCCCTATGTTCTGGGCGCCGAGCCGCTTGCTATAACGCAAGTCATGGGTGAGGGTAGAAGCCCACGCCAATGCTCTCGCACACCTCTGGCACACCAGCTGCACATGCTACTGGGACCACAGTCTGGACTCTGGGTTTATGCCGCTAGAGCCATGGCAATTGAGCATTCTCAGTTACAGTCTGCGCCGTCGCTTAGGTACCTACGCGTGTCTTGTCCACACGATATCAGCCGATACAAGAGATCACTTGAGGCTTGTGAAAATGTCAAGACAGAAAAAGTTTTTCGCTCTTGGCCATCCAGAGGCAAGGTTCATTCGAGCGCACAAGCCAAGTGATGGCAAATTACCTTCGACGAAGGTCTCGTTGTTAATTGGCATGTCGTGAAGGATCCGACATCGGGATTCAACTGGGCACTGCAATACCCTTTGCTCGCGATGTTCTGCTTGGCTAATAGGTCTAGGCTCGATGGTATAGCATGACATGGCTTTATACTAGGCCATTGGAGTGAACTAATCCATCCACGTTGATATTCCTCGTCCACTGGAGATTACCATTCGCATCAACACCTGGTCGTCAGAGACACTTTCACCATGGCGGCTGCTGGAAGATTCAAGCTCAACTCGCTAAGACAGTTCTTGCGACCAGATGGAAACAGTATCGCTGAACAAAGCCGCGAAAACACCGTGTTGGGGAGTGTCGACGACAAGAATGCCGCGACTCACGCACACGAACCCATCAGTGGTAGTAATGGGAGCGATGAAATCCAGCCAGCAGAGTTCCCAGCCCAAGATGCTCAGGAAGGCGTGAGAAGGGTTGAAGCAATCACGCTTGCATGGAGTAGGACGTCCCTAATCGTCACCTACATGTGGTACGTCCTCATCATCGAGATATCGTCGTCGACGCCCTACGTACCATCTTGCTGACTCGTCTGCATAGCTTCTATCTGCTGTACTTTGTCAACGCCTTTCAGTTTTCCATCACGGCCAATCTTACACCATACGTGACCAGTGGATTCGAATACCACTCGCTTATCCCAGTCATCTACATCGTCTCCAGCGTGATGACGGGGGCGGCCTATCTGCCGATTGCGAAGATGTTGGATATTTGGGGTCGGCCAGAGGCGTTCCTGTTCATGGTCAGCCTAGGCACACTGGGCCTCATCCTGCAAGCTGCCTGCACCAACATTCAAACATTCTGCGCAGCCCAGGTACGCTACCCGTTCGAGCGAATCATCGATTTCGGTTATGTCAGATGACTAAAATGGGTCATGTAGGTCTTTACGAGCATCGGATTCACCGGCATGATCTACTCGGTGGATGTCATGACCGCGGACACCAGCAAGTTGAAGAACCGGGGCCTCGCCTTCGCATTCACCTCGTCTCCATACATGGTCACGGCGTTTGCAGGCCCCAGTGCTGCAGAGGGCTTCTACGAAGACATCAACTGGCGCTGGGCATTTGGAACCTTTGCGATCGTCACTCCGTTTGTAGCTGCGCCGTTGTACCTCGTCATGCAGTACAACTTGCGGAAAGCGAAGAAGCAGGGATTGTTGGACCGGCCCAAGAGCGGCCGAACACTGTTTCAGAGCATCTGGTTCTACATTATTGAATTTGATGGTAAGTGACCTTTTGCCAAAGGAAACCGCCCCGGGAAAGAAAGAAGCTCGATTTTTTTGACGAACGATACTACAGCTTTTGGTGTCATTCTCCTTGCCACGGGGCTGGTTCTCTTCCTCTTGCCCTTCTCCCTAGCCCAGTCGACGGCGGATGACTGGGAATCAGGCTCCATCATCGCAATGCTCGTCGTGGGCTTCGTGCTGCTGCTTGGATTTGCCGTCTTCGAGCGATACCTCGCACCGAAGCCTTTCATTCCGTACCAACTCCTCATCTCGCGGACCATTCTCGGGGCCCTCCTCCTCGACGCCGTGTACCAGATCGCGTATTACTGCTGGGGCAGCTACTTCAGTTCTTTCCTGCAGGTCGTCAACAACCTGACGATCGCGCAGGCGGGCTACGTGAGCAGTACCTTCGACATCATCTCCGGCCTGTGGTTGCTCTTCGTGGGCTTTCTCATGCGCGTCACGGGCCGCTTCAAGTGGCTGCTGCTGGGGGCCGTCCCGCTGTACATGCTCGGCGTGGGCCTGATGATCCACTTCCGCCGGCCGCACACCAACATCGGGTACATCATCATGTGTCAGATCCTCATCGCCTTCGCGGGCAGCACCATGATCCTGTGCCAGCAGGTCGCCGTGATGGCGGCGGCCGAGCACGGCCAGATCGCCGCCGTGCTGGCCATGCTCGGCCTGTTCGGGTACATGGGCGGCGCCGTGGGGAACAGCATCTGCGGCGCCATCTGGACCCATTCGCTGCCCGGCGCGCTCCAAAGGCTGCTGCCCGAGAACCTCAAGCCCGAGTGGGAGACCATCTACGGCGACCTGACCGTGCAGCTGAGCTACCCGATGGGCAGTCCGGCGCGCGAGGCGATCATGGAGGCCTACGGAATCGCGCAGCGTAGGATGCTGATCGCCGGCACCAGCGTCATGGGCCTGGCTCTCTTCTTTGTCCTGATGATCCGCAACATCAACATCTCCAAAAACGCCCAGGTCAAGGGTGTCTTGTTCTAGGAACGGGAGGCAAGCGTCGTGATGGGGGTGGAACTGGCCGGAACTTGGATATCCAGCGTCCCCGCTGGCTGCGAGGTACTGATCGCAATCATCATTCCCATGGGACGGCTTCTTCCAAAGAGCGGACTGGATGGACTGGATTGGATGAGATACTCGTGCAGTTTCACGCTCAGACACCAAGAACCCACGTCCATCTTATGACATTTGAGAAGCTCATATTAATCTGATGGGTCAACCAGCCGATCCAGAGTCCGGAGGCCCGCGATTACCTCGTCCACCCGGTATGTCGGCGCAAGAAATATGTAGTCAAGGGTGTCAGTCTCCTCAGGTAGATTCTATGAGCACCGCCAAGACATTTATTTGTACCACTGTGTTTGTCTTTGTGTCCTCTTATGCGATTAGAATATTAGCTGGCTTTCAGGCAGGCGGGCGCACAGACGGCGCCAGTCAGTTGCACCATAACAGAGGCGGGGAGATGAACAGAGGGGTACAAGAGCACCCAGGATGGATTCGTCCGCTGATGTCGCAGCCCCCGTTCACTGCTCGCTGCCCGCTGCGCCCAGACGCCAAGATCAGGGAAGGGCTACAACTCGCCTCGTCCCGGATCAGGACGAGGTTGATACCGCCCTATACTCACCCGTAGGCTCTATATACGAGTCAGCGCGCACTCCTTATCAAGGTAGGGGACCGATGGTAATGGCAATGATTGGCCTAGTCAGCCTATAAGTCTATTGTCGTACGTATGGCGCCGTCCAGAGAGCTCTAACAAACTATTCGAAAGGAGCGTTTCTAAGTCCACCTTTTTAAACCTGCCGAATCCGAATTCTCCCACTTTTCAGACGTCAAGAACAGCAAATATTGTCAGGGAGCCCTCCCATTAGTACTGCAGCATTGGAGGGGGTGTCCAGTGCAGAAGGAGTCCCTGGCGTCATGGCTGAGGGCGACGACACGCACGAGCCTTGTATCGACACCGAGAGGACCTCCCCCCTTCACCTTCCGTGCTCTCACGACACGGGCCTCAGCGCGTACATCCTAAGGGGCAGGAGCTTCTTGGGGAACCCCGTCTGCAACTGCGTCCTCACCACCGTCAGCCCGGCCTGTTCGAAGCACGCCCTGAAATGCCGATCGCTGCGGGTGACGCTGCTGTCCTCCTCCCAGAACATGTCTGCCCCGCCCGCGGCCGTTGAGATGTTGTCCTTCACGATGATCCAGCCGTCGGGCGCGAGCAGAGGGATCAAGCTCCTGAGGTAGCGGACCAAGTCCGGGGACGAGAGGAAGTTCAGACACCATTGGTTCCAGATGAGGTCGTAACGGCCCTCCTGCTCGATTGTGGACTCCTCCACGTCCGACGTCGAGTCCGCAGACACCGCTTTGGCAGCGTCGTAGGAAGGCATCGACTCCGCCGTCCAGTCCTGCAAAGGCACGTTATAGACACGCCGCAGCTGTCCCGATCTGACCAGCGGCGAGTCCGGCAATGTCAGCGTGGCAGTAAATCTCTCTATCGGCTCGATGATGTCGATTCTCTCGCATACGAAAGCCAGCAAGTTCAGCGTCACCCGCCCGATTCCCGCCCCGGACTCGAGGCAATGCCGGAAAGCGAATTTTGTTGTTTGCTGGCCGGTGCTGCCGGCTGATGATAGTTTTTGTTGCGTCGAGGTCGGATGGAGCCTACGGAGCTTGGCCAGGAAGTTGCGAGAGAACTGGATGTCAACACGAGATACGTGTGCGAAGCCGCCGAGCATGCCGTTGTCGTCGACGGATTGCTGGGCCCAGAACTCCAGTTGCTCGGCAGTGGACATCCGCGCATCGTTTTCTGTCTGCCCCTGGGCCGCCAGTGTCGGCATGGCGAAATTCCTCTGGTCCTTTTCGAGGATGTACCTAGGAAGACTTTTACCCCCTGAGATCTATGCTCTTTCCAGCCCCATGCAGAAACAAAAGCCTTGGGCGATTTCCTTCTCGAAAGGTCGATATGCCTCCGGATGGCGAAGTCGACCGCAATTTCGCACAACCGCGCTGAAAAGCTTACAGAATCTCACCACGCCCCATCAGGCTAGTTTTCTATTTTCCGTGTCATGACTCGAGAATCCGTCTCTTGTGGCTATTCTGCATTCGAGGGCTTCTGGTTTCTCGAGTCATTCCTCAGTCTTGATATCTTAGACCCCAGCTATTCTCTAGCTCAAGAGGGAAGCCTTGTTGGCTTGCCTGGATTGGCACGGTCGTACTGGGCTGGTAGGCCGTTTGCGGACCTGTTTCCCCCCTCCAAAGGTAGCCTTGCGCGCCAGGTAATGAATGCATGATGATGACCCATTGAGACTGGACACACCAGACAGATCTCAGCATCAAGGTTGGCTGTGCAGAATAGGCGGCGACGAGGTTGGATAGCGACATAGCTGCATCCGAGAATTCGTGTACACTAGCCAAATATTGATGTGACAAGAGACCGTCGGTAATCAGCGAAGTCGAGGGACTGTCTCTGGGCAGCAAGTCTGACAGCAAGTTCGTACCAAAGTAAGTTCGCTTACTTGTAGATGCTTCGCGGATTCTGCCACCGCCGAATTTGGCTCGCGTTCGTTGCTACGTAGTCACACCATTGAATCTCGCAGTCTGACCTCGACACCGCCTGTTTTGTATAGCCAACCTTGGTGTTGAGATCCTCCTACTCCTATGTAGACCAATGGCCTACGCATCCTCCGCCTGGTGCGCGAGGCTAGGCTTTTTCTAACCACCTCCGCCGGTCACTTAAGAAGGCACGGATCACCATGCTGTTCGAGGCTACGCGACGAGGCTTCCCTGCCCGATTCATTCACAGAATGGCTCGCTTTCTGAGAAGAACAACACCAGGGTTGGCTATACAAAACATTGCTGTGACGAAGTTCCGGCGCCGGCGATTTCCGTAACGATTGAGATGACTAGCCCAATTCGACATGGTTAGATTCCGCCAAGCGTCTAAGCGAGCTTACCGTGGTACGAACGTGCTGCTGGTTGGACTCACCGCCCAGAGAATGCCATTCCCACAAGCCGTGGTTGTACGACTGTCCCGCAAGGTTGGTGTCGGAAGCCCTAGGTGCCGCTGTCATCGCTGAGCCTAATTTGTCGGAACCGGACTGTCGGGGCTGGCTTGGCTTGGAACATGCCTATAAGAGCGCCTATTCGAGACCCCTGGAGCTGGGATTGAATCGACTACACTCACTCGTCGCCTGGGAATCTACCCCAAGTGGTGGTGGTGGTTTCAGCGCAGTATTTACATGAGCGGTCACTCGCAGATATCTATGTAGGTACTTATGTCCTCCTTCGTATCGAGAAGGCGTGCCTGGTAGGAAAAGGCACGTTGAGAGTTTAGTTAAGGCTTTAAGCAGACATGGTTAAAGATTTAGGTAAGACGGCCCCTAACATGCCTATACGTTCGTTGCCTAACTAGGTACTTGGTAGTTGCAGGGTACCTACTTGTCAGATACTCAGACGCTCCCAGAACCCTGTAGCGTTACGCATCATGTTCCCCCGTCGAGTCGCAATTACCTGGCACGTGCCTGGGATCACGTGCATCTAGCCGCAGGAAAATCTTCAGTCCACAACTGTGTCACGGAAGATGTTCATATTGTTCGCTGTTCAAGCTGGCACAACGATGGCATGCGAATCCTACAAAGCTCTGCGCGCTTGGCGTGCTCCCACATGAGACTTTTCGTCCTGCAGTCAGTCAAACTAATTGCGTATTACGCGTGGCCGTGAGATTGTCTGCCGAGGAACGCTCCAATTGACCGATGAGAAACGAAGCTCTGGACGGCCCAAGAATGGAGCATTGGAACACTCATGACGCATGTGCCAAGGCGCCCTCTTCGACATCACCTCACACACGAGCGTATTTCAGGTCCGTCCTGACTGGCTTGACACGATAACATTGCGAAGAACGAAGAAGGAAGGTACACGCAACGACGAGGTTGTTGTCATGATGACTTGGAGTCAGTGGCCCAGAATCGCGGTGCATCCCCTTCTACCAAATACATACCAGAAACACTGAGATTGGATTGAAAATCGCGACAAGATGCGCATCTCTGCCCACTTAGCTCGATGGCGAGGCTGTGCAACCCAACTTGGCGCTCCCGATTGGAGCATGCAGATGCAGGCCCAGCTCATGGCCCTGACTGCCAATTTTTAGCTTGATGACAACTCGAGCACCTCTGCACCCAAACCATACCCCGGCCTACGGTAGGAAAGAATGATGCTGCCTGATGCCACAGACTTTAAGAGTCCGTGACTCGGGCTGCCAGTCGATGGGGGATGGGCCAGAGCGATCGGAAGCCTCCAGCGCGCGAAGAATCTTCCGCACGCCTTCACGCGCAAGGGCAAGAAAGCATTTGTGGCACTACTACTATGGCGTGGACGTCTCAATGGACCGCGACTAGCCGAGGACGAGTAAGAACTTGCACATCCTGCCGACAGACAAAAGTACGCCCCTGGCCTGGTCTCTTCAACTTAGGTGGCAGCGCGGCTTACGGTGCGAACAAGGTTCGATGTGATGCTGCGGCAAGGTTTCCGGCTGCCTGTTCCAGGTGCGAGTTGAATGGACTCTCCTGCAGGATCGACTCGAATTTCAGACGGGTCAATGTCGGACTGTATGGGTCTTGTTCGTGGGGGAGAAGATTCCAAGGACCTGTACTAACATGGACGGACGGGTGATTCTAGTCGGCAAGCAGAGATGGCGAGGCAAGACAACGGCGTGCTCAACGACATCGCGCATTCGGCGCCAGAATCCTTGTCTGCATTTTCTTCCGAGACTATGCCGGACGATGCGAGCGATGCGCACTCAGACGTCTCCATTGGCGCAGATTGGTTGCAGCTGTCTGACGCGGCAACCGGACAGCATTTGAGCTGGTACCTGGGCGATGTTGTGCTTGGCTACCGCAATGTCTCGGAGCTGCTCAGTTTGTGAGTTGCTCAAGAACACCGAGAACGGCGCAGAAACGAAATTGATGCACAGTAAACAGCTACGCACACCACTACCACCCGCACTTGCCCATGCTCGACAGAGTTACATCTGTGGCAGACTTTCACGACTCCAATGTCTTCCTGTTCTGGACGGTGCTGCGTGTTGCGTCTTATCGACATCCCACATTCAATCATGTGTTCCAACTGACCTCACAGCCCTATGAGCAGTTGCTGACGACGCACCTCCTCTCCCCCATCCGAGACTTCAGAACGATCCAGGCTATTCTCATATTCTGTCACTGGCCCAATACAGGATCACACCAGAGCCGAGACCCAAGCTGGCAATATTGCGGCATTGCCATGAATGCGGCGTTGCAGATGGGCCTGGATCAGCGACAGCCGGAAATGCTGTATCCCGGGATCGGCGGAACGACCAACGTCCATCAGATGAGCGTGTTCTCGCGGCGGATGACCTGGCTAACCTGCTTCAACACCAGCACAAGGTACGGTGAGACGGGCCGGCAAGCCACTCGCAGTCCGCTGATGGTGACCTAGTCTTAGTGTCTGGCTTGGGATACGGCCACACCTCTCATCGCCTTCACAGCTGAACGCGACTTCATCAATGGCAAAAGAGCCAAACGTCCCGCGGTCCTTCCTGGTGCAGGTTGAAATCCAACGTCAAGTCGTGCAGTATTCCAATGCACTTTCCGGCTACGTCGACAGCGGCACATGCTGCACACTCCAGAACCTGTTCAACAACGAACTCGACACTCTGTGCTCAGCCTACGGGGACGTTTGGTCTCCGAGGCTGGAGATCCAGCACCTCGGCGCCAAACTATACCTTCTCTCGCTGTGTCTCACCGTTACATCCCGAAGGCGGAGTCGTCCCGGAGACCTCGACAGGACCTACGCCACGGACTTGGCTCGAGTGTCCATCCAACTCGGCCTCCCTTCAGCGGTGTCCTTGATCCACACCATCTCCCAACTGAACAGAGAGTCTGCGACGCCAGGACATCGACAGGGCTTGGTCGTCCACTATCCGAAGTTCTACTTCCGACTCGTCGTGTTCGCCGTGGTCTTTCTGATGAAATTCCTCCGCGCCGCGCCGGGAGCCGCGCGGGAAGACCGAGAACTGGCCTCCTCCCACATCGCCACGGCGCACCGGCTCTTCGCGAGCTTTGGCCCCGCGCGGGATTTCGTCCGGGTCGCCGAGGTGATGGCGGACATGGCGCGGAATCTCGGGGTCGACGACGCGCCGCGGGACAGTGCGGATGCGGTCGAGACCAGACTGGGTGCGTCGCTGCTGTACGACACCATGGGCAGACTGAGGGGTTCCTCGAGACGATCGGGCGAAAGCGACGACGGGTCTGCTCCCTCGGCAGCATCCGCCGGTATCGAGGCCAGGGGGTCCGATGATGCTGGAACCGTCCTGCACAATGCCGCAGAGATGGACTTTTCCCTTTGGTGTTCGCCGGGCACTAGCAGCAACGCCGTGTCAGAGCCGCAGCCGAATCTGGAGGATGGACTTGACTGTTTTCGCTGGATGTCAGACGACATGCTCGCCGAGATGCTGAATTTGTAAGCTCGCGGTATCGGTGTCTCAGAGACGAAGGAGCAGGATTGGTACAGTGTAAGTGCATGGGTTTAGGGCCCCAGCGAGGTAAATCTTGTAACTTTGGCATTTTCCACCAACACCATGTCCTGTCAGGTGTGTGATTTGATCCCGCATCTATGAAAACAAATTGGTATCTCAAGATCTGTTTTACCCAGGTAACGCCGTTCATGATCATTTCCCGTGTCATCTACCATCCGTCCAAGGGGGGAACAGACACACGCCTAAACCCACCGCCCCCGTGAGGAGACGGCACAAACATCCTCCTGCTCTTTTCTGCGAATATATGGGTGGGTTGGCCGGGGTATCTGTCCGCGCTCTTCTTCCTCTCCTTCCAACCCGCGCTCCGCTCTTTTTGCCGGGCGGGGACGCTTAGGCCTGCGAAAGCGACGGCATGGCAATCTGCTCGGCGCTGCTGTCGTTGACCTCCTTGTAGTGGCCCAGATCCGTCTTGCCGGACCGGAAGTGGAAGTTGGCGTCCTCCCACAGCTTGGCGCCCAGCACGAAGCCCGGGTGCCAGATGGTCAGGGCGGTGACGGCGGCGATGATCATGGGGCCCTCGAGGATCATGAAGACGAGTTCGTCGTTGGCCAGTTGGCCGTCGAAGCCGTCTTGGAGCTCGGCCAGGCGGTAGGCCGAGCGCACCGTGATGGTGATGACGGCGATGGCGATAGCTGGAAAACAAGCCGGAGTAGGTCAGCACACTGCACATTCTTTGCGCGTTTATGCACCTCCACGACTATGTCCAAGAGGTTCGAGGGAGGGAGGGAGGAGCGCGCAAAACTTACCGGCCAGGAAGCCCTTGAAACGGAGCGTGCGCCGCAAGGCAGCGTGCTCCGGGTTGAGCTTGTCGGGGTTCTTGAACACCTTCCAGGCAAAGTGACCGCAGATGGCCATGAAGATGGCCAGCGACACGACCTGCGACGCCAGGCCGGCAATCATGATGTCGATGCCGGTCTGGTTCGAGGCGTCGTCGTCGGCGGTGGACGCGATGGCGCCGCCGGTGGCCTGCAGGAGCAAGGAGACGAAGTCGCAGGCGACGAAAAGGGTGGCGATGGTGCGCGGCTTCAGCAGGCTCAGCTCGAGGGCGTAGATGGTGATGATGCGGCTCAGGCAGAGGTAGATGGCGGCGGTCAGAAAGGCCGGGCCGATGGTCAGGCCGATCAGGTAGACGATGAACGAGTTCTTGTCGAAGATGTCGTCGTGCAGCATCAGCCGCCCGACGTAGCCCACGATCTCGAGCACGATGCCGCACGCCATGCCGACCATGAAGCCCCACGTGCGGTACCGGATGCCCAGGAAGAGCTGCAGCAGGAGCAGCAGCCCGAAGATGCCCGTGTAGATGGCATTGCCGACCAAGGTCGGGATGTACTCGATCTGGCCGTACTCTTTCACTGAGCAGGTCTCGATGGTGCAGTTGGCTGGAGTCGACATGGTGATGATGGCTGTGGCTAGAGGCGGGGGAGGGAGAGGGAGAGGTAGAGGTCGAGGTCGAGGGTTAGTATAAAGAAAGGGTGTAGGAACTGGATTGGATTGGATTGGATTGGATTGGATTGGATTCTGCGATAGATGCCTTACCGTTCAGACAGTGGGCTGTCTATCAGGTACTTATAGCCAGCAACATATCCTTACCCACCCCCCTGCCTTCTCGAAACAATGCAAAGGGGTATCCATCACAGTACCATGCCCCCCCTTCAGCCTTGTTGACGCCGTGGTGCTGCGCCCTGGACAACACGTCGGTCTGCATCAGTAAACAGGCCGCCGCGTTCTGCTGGAGTGGCATGGGACAATTGGTATTTTGAGACATGGGACCAAGAGGTTTAGCAGGACAAGCCTCAGTCTTAGACGCATCGCTAAAGCTTCGCAATTCGCAGCGACGTACCCGAAAGGATTAGTCTGGCAGGGTTCAGGCCGCCCCATGGAGACAACAGCCTCAACTAGCCGTCGCTTAGGGGCCTATTGGGCATCTTGGAGGGGGCTGACACGCCCGTGATGCGCCCGTACCTCGTATCCATGCTTGACAGGGTCGGATTGTTGCTGCGTATGCGGTATAGCGGGTTATCCACCGCGTCGACCGTATCCTAGTATCCATCATCCGCCAGGGACGGAATACATAGACAGCTTCCCGCCCATCTCACTGGTCAATCTCTTTTTCCCCTGCCAGTTCTGACAATCCCTTCTGTTCCTGTTTCATCAAGACCAGTGACGCCAGCGCCCCAAGATTGAAGGCCTCCCATGATACGACTCCTTTGACCCAAATACGCACCTCCAAGCACTCCCAAGCATTGGTGACGTTGCTGGCGAGACCTGTGTCGAGTAGACAAGTCCTTTTCCAGATGACCAAGTATGCTTCCAGTTCCAAACAGCATCCCAGGTGTCCCCTTGATCCATCCCACTGTGACCGTGATAATCACTGCGCGTCTCGTCTCGCCGGAGTTTGAGCGCCATGTGTCGACTTGATTTCGTCCACTGCATCCCCCAGATACGGTGTCTGCTGGTTGGCCGAGCATGTGTCCCATTTCATTTCTTGATCCTGATACCCGGCCAGGCTTCTGACTCGACCGACCACGGTCTCGTCACTCTGTTCGCCATCCTCAAGATCCAGCGGTTCAAGCAGTCGGTCACGGAACGCCTTATGCTGTCGGTTTGCGTTCTCATACTGCTCGTATGCTTGGACGGCCACAGCAAGGTAGCTTCTCAGGTCTCGTATGGCTTGGTCCATTTGTCCCTTGTGGATGTTGCACAGGCAGTGACCGGCAAGCTTTTGGATTTTCGCGGAAGTGACGGCGTCGGGGGGCTTCGCACTCATGACTCGAAGCAATTCGCGAGCTGCCGCCGCATCGGGAGGAGATTTGTCGTCAATTTTCCAAGCACATCGCGCGCTGTACTTTTTCGCTGCTCTGCCGATGCAGATGACGCCGCCTCTGAAGGCATCGGTGATTCGGAAGGTCGCATCGGCGTTCCAGACGTATGCGGCCATGGTTGTCAGAGCAAGTGGGTTGATAAGATGTTTGTGTGCACAAGTTGCTGAGAATATAACAGGAGTTTGGATAGTTGTTTGCGTCGATGTTGAGGAGTTGTCCATACGCTTCAGCCTGGAGGGAGGCATACCTCTTTATATGGCTGAAGGACGTCTAGATGGTTGGAGGCCACCATCAACCAAGCAGAAACAGAGAGACCTAGCCATGGCGCAGCTGGCACAGATTCAGCCAGAAGCAGCTGCAGTGTCTCTCGATAGGCGGTGCAAAGTGAGCGAGTGTCTCAAAGGAAACAATCAGTGAGGCAGGAACAACAACGCCGTCGCAGCATAGAGGCAGGAGAAACTGGATGCAGAGTAAGATTTCTTCCTGGCATATTGCCGCTTCCTGCTGAAGGTTTCTTGTCCACTGAAAGACTGTAGCAGATGGATTTGCAATGAACCCAGCCCGTCAAAGAGACAAAGCAGATCATGTCCCGCCCTGAACAGTCGTGGAATGCAACATGTCTCATCCTCATCTTCCAGCACCTTGCCTTTTCCACTGCCCTCCCGGGTCAACAGCTCCTGTGGGTGTCTACCTTGTTGCTGATCCTTCAAAGGATGGAAATGAGCAAGTGGGCAGGTTGACTGCCTTTAAAGAGTTGAGATACAGTGGCCACAACACCATGGTCTAACAGGAGCAAAGGAGAGGCGTGCCACCAGCAACGCCGTACTCGCACAGCTGAATACCCGTGCATCCTTCGCCAGTGGAATCTGGCAGGCTGGCTGCTGGTGAGTCTGTCCACTTCCAGCTGATCAATTCACCAGGCTACTTCCCTGCCATCGTACACATTCGGGCCGTCCACATTCTCCCACCCGGGAACATGTATGGTTTTGTATTTCCCGTTGTCCTCCCTCGTGCTCTTGAACAGAATATCAAGGGTAGCCCGTGCTCCGACCTCGACCGGCAGATCGGCCCTATCTCCACCCATGTCGGTCTTCAAGTACTGCATATTCAGAATGTTTCCAGTCAGCCATGTCAAATCTACACGATATTAGCGGGCAAGGACTCGGGACGCTCAGCTTACACCAGGGGACACCATCAGGAATGTGAAGCCTTCCTTTCCCAGCTCCAATGCATATTGCATAGTCAACATATTGAGAGCCGCTTTGGACACCTTGTACGCTGGAACCGGTGCGAACCCATATTGGGGGGCCATTGTTACGGACCCAAGAGTGGACGTACTGCGCCGGTAATCACATCAATCAGTCATGATCTGCGTTGAGGCAAGAGATGACGGTCATGCGACTCACATGTTCAGCACTTTCTTCTGTTCACCCTTGCGCAACAGGGGCAGAAATGCTGCCGTCACCTCGTGGACGGCCTCCACGTTCACCTTCAACACATGCGCAAGGTCATCCATGGTCTCGATGCCGGTCATGGAGTGAGGCATGACGCCAGCATTGTTGACGAGGACATCGAGGCCCTTGCCGGCAAGGGCCTTGTCGACCAGGGACACCGCTGTCTTGATGCTGTCCTTGTTCGTTATGACCATCGGCACGTGCACGACCCTCCCGTTAGAATGATCGATGAGCTTTTGCAAAGCGTCTGAAGGACCGGATCTTGTTGCTGCGAAGATGATGGAAACTTGATCCTGAGGGAGCTGAGAGAGCTGAGAGACGAACTCGAGTCCCAGCCCGCGACCGGCGCCTGTCAGGAGATAGGCAGACATTGTGGTCTTTCGTCAATCTTGCTGTTGGTCAATAACAATAATATCTTGAGTGGAAAGACAGCATCGATGTGACAGAGCCCAGTCCGAGAATGCGTCCCTTCACCAGAGCATCTGCATGCATATATATGCCTCGGACATCCATATAGATTCATTGCGTGCTATACCTGATCATATCCCGCTGGCTTTCTTCGCACAGGATTGGGTACGGTCCCTGCGGTGGTTCGGAAGTATCTCTCGTAAACTCCTGTGCTTGGCAGCCTTGCGGCCGCATCGAACAACAAACCTAACGTGAGGAGAAGGCCAGAGGCTTGTTTCGAGATGAACTCTATGCATTCTGTACGGAGCTAGCCCTGTGGAGAAGGGCGGCCTGGCCTCTAGTTCTAAATTTTGCCCCGGAAATAAGGCGTTCGGTGGTACGGTAGATACATAGCCATGTGCCCGCATCAGCCAGAATTCCTCTGGTTGGTGCGAGTTTCTCCAGTCACAACCATCAATTACAAAGCATTGCGGATTGCACCCCCAGTGTTCACCGATGCGTTCGGGGTGCATCAACTTGTCGTTCCGAGTCCGAGAATGTGGTCGACCATCAGCTGGCTCGCCCCCAGGTAATTGGCCGGGTCACAGAGCTGCCTCAACTGTTCCTCCGAGACGTAGACGGCGATGCTGGCGCGGTCCTTCAAGACGTCAAACAGCGCCTGGTCCTTCTCGATCGACTCCTTGCAGGCCTCGTAGACCAGATCATGGGCCTGCTGCCGGCCCAGGAACGGGGCCAGACCCATCATCACGGCTTCCCCGACGATCAGGCCCCGCGTGGACAGCAGGTTCTTCATCATGGCGTCCGTGTTGACGACGAGGCCGCCCAGCGCGAAGTTCGTCTGGTGCAGTGCGCCGACGGCCAGGACGAACGCCTCGGGCACGGCCACCCACTCCAGGTGCCAGGGGCCCGACGCCCGCTCGAAATCGGTCACCATGGCGTCCAGCGCCAGGCCCGCGTTCGCGCGGAGGAGCTTCGAAGCCGCGAGGATGACCTCGCTCGAGATGGGGTTTCGTTTCTGCGGCATGGTCGACGACGCCCCGCGATGAGGGACAAACGGCTCCGACGCCTCGCTCAGTTCGTTGGACGACATGAGGATCAGGTCGTAGGCGATCTTGCCGAGCGAGCCCCCCACGAGGGCGAGGAAGTTGATGATTTCAGCCACGTTGTCGCGGGCCACGTGCCAGGTGATGCTGGGGTTGCCCAGCCCGAGCTCCTTTGCGAGCTCCTCCCTCACGCGGATGCCGGTGTCGTCGGACCCCAGAGACGCCAGCGTCCCGGCCGCGCCGCCGAATTGGACGAGAAGGCAGCGGCCTTCGATTTCCCGGAGGCGCTCGGAATGCCGGAGGATGCTGGATAGGTAGACGGCGCATTTGTAGCCGAATGTGCATGGCAAAGCGTGTTGAAGATGCGTCCTGCCAGCCATGGGCGTGTCGCGGTACTTCTTCGACAGAGTTCGCAAGATGTTTTCCAGTTCTTGCAAATGCCGTTTGACGATTTCTAACCCTTTGCGCATCTGAAGCACGGAGGCAGTGTCCATCTACATTGAACTCGAGCCGTTAGAGCACTGGCGGACAGTGGCACAGACATTGGCCTGGCATGGGATGACAGGATAGTCCGGCGTTCCACCAAGGGTCTTGCAGATACGATGACTTACAATGTCTTGTGTAGTGGCTCCCCAGTGGATATACTTATCCATCTCACCAGAGGCATGTTGGACGAGCTGTCGCACGAGTGGGAGGACCGGGTAGCCCACAATCTCGGTCTCGCGCGAAAGACGGTCGAAGTCCAGACTACCACCCGTAGATGAGCGCCCACTTTGATTTGGGGGGGAACTGGCTGTCGAAACTCACCGGAAGCCTTCCTCGGTGAGCTTTTGGGTGAGGACCTCTCCAGCTTCGGCCGGGATCACACCAATCTTGGATTGTGCCCGGGCTAGAGCAAGCTCAACATCGACCATTTGCTGAGTGTATGCTTCATCATCGAAGACGGCTCGAATCTCTTGGGTGCCAAAGAGGTTCTGGAACAGGCGTGAATCAAGTGCCGAGACCGACATCGTGTTCCCCGTGAGAGAATGTGGGCTTGGTTCGTTAGCTGCGCTTAGCTTCAAGATCTCCCGTTGTTCTCATGGATGGGGATACAATTTGATAGAGAATATCAAGTTCTTCCAGTCAACGTGACCGGAGAATCTCCTGGATTCTGTGGAACTTGCGGCCTTTTCTGACTGCCTCTTTGTTTATGCATGTGCGGGGTCGCAGCCTCGTGCGGGGAGGAACCGAGCCTCGCGGGGCTCGAGGTTCTCCATCAAACGAGGCTGCATCTTACAAGACGACCAACGCCAACGTACCAGAGTCTTGCGATAATCCATACAGTCGCACATGCCAGGTCATTAGGACGAAGTGTTACGAGACAAGATGACGTCTCAAATGGCTGATTAAGTGCCTCGTGAAGCGAAGGCTCAAATTCAGTACGATTGATTCAGGAACGGGCGCTGTGTGGGCGCCAAGCCATGTCTATTTCAGGCCTAGCCTTGCCGGTCACGTGCCAGCCTTGCCGTGCGAGACGTTCGATTGACGGAATCATTTTTCTGAAAAGCATCTGGGTGAACATTGTTGAGGCCCGTGGATGATCTTGATTGCAGTCCTAATATACTGAGGAGCTGGTGTGATGTTGTCGCCCTTTTTTTTATCGATGGCATCACAGTGGGAAAGTCTTGGCAGTGGCCTGCGCTGCCCCGCCCCGCCGCCTTTTTTGCCGTCAGATTCTCAACCACTTTTTCGAATCACTTTCGCAATACCATATTCCCTTCGTCCTCTCCACCACCATTTCCTCATTCCTCATTCCTGCATCCCAGATCGCCCTTCTCCTCCAATCATAATCCACATCTCTTACTCTTTCGGGCCATCTCGTGTACTTCGAGATAGCATCGATCACCAACGACTCTCGACCAGAACCAACACAGATCAAGCGAGATAACTGCCGCACACCCCACGTCTACCACCGGAAGCTCATGCTCGATCTCAGTCACCGTCGACTCATCCCTTGACGCTCCAAGCGTACAAGATCACCGCCGGTCTGAGTCACGTGTGCTATTAAATATGCTCCTCGCGAGAGTCCGCTGTCACCACGATCCAGCTCACTCCTCTTGATCAAACCGTCTCCTCGTCCTTGGAACGACGGTTTTACGATGCCGCCTAAGCCCCCCCCACCCAAGCCTAGGCCAGGCCAACACCGCCGGCCCAACTATCGTGGCCGCATCGAAGGCCTAGGCAGTCCAGCACCCAGTTCTCTTCGGGCCTCAACCCCTACACTCGTACGAGCACCCACGCCAGTCAGCCAGCCTCCGGCTCGCTCAAAGCCTCTGTGTCCCAACCCCGACTGTCCCGATCGCACCAAGGTCGTCTACAGTGACCAAGGGCTCATCTGCGAGAGCTGTGGTGCCCTGGTACAAGAAGAGTCCGGCCTTGTCAGCGAACAGGGATTCGGCGAGACCGAGTCTGGCCGCATCACCGCCCTTGGTGTTCAGGTCGGTGAAAACCAGTCTCACCAGAGGACCTTTCATGGCGGGGGTTTCGCGAATGTTGGCCGTGAGGCTCCACCGAATCGCGAACGCTCAAAAGCCCAAGCGAAGAACGTCATGGCCTCGTACATCGCTCTCCTTGGTATCCGACAAGCCGAGGTCGAATCGGCCGAGAGGCTCTTTGAAGTCGCAAACAGCCTTAGCTTTATCCAGGGGAGAACCATTGAGAGTGTCGCTGTCGCCTGTCTCTATGCCGCTTGTCGACGCAAAACCGAGCAGGTCGAGGGGCAACCCAGACCCATGTACAGCCTCATGTTGATTGATTTCGCCGAGAAGATGAACATGGATGTTTTCGCCCTGGGCAGGGTGTATCAGGACCTGGTCAAGAGAGTATTCATCCAAAGGGGTGGGGGCTTTCGTTTGGATGGCTCTGCAGAATTCTGGGGTATGGATCCGGCGACGCTTGTACCCCGGTTTGTCGACGAGCTGGATTTCGACAAGCACGACCGGGACAAGATCAAACGTGATGCTATCAACATCGTCAAGCGGATGAAGCGTGACTGGATTGGCCATGGCCGTAGACCTTCGGGTGTCTGCGGTGCGGCGGTCATTCTGGCAGCGCGAATGAACAACTACCGTCGCACCACGCGCGAGGTCGTGCTCACGGCAAAAGTCACCGAAATCACCATCAACAAACGACTCGAGGAATTCCACGACACGCAGGCCAGTAAACTCTCCGTCACAAAATTCAGGAGCGAAGGGATCCCGGAATTAAACACCCCGCATCCGCTCGACGAGCAGCATCCGCCCGTCATCAAACAAGCCCTAAATCCCAAAGCGAAAAACAAGAAGAGAGGCCGGCCCAGAAAGGCTCCTCTTCCGGAGACCGCCGCTGAAATCGAAGGCGATGCGACAAGCCCCGAACCCCAGGCTACACAGCAATCAGACGAAGGACAGCCACCGCCGGCAAAGCGTGTTCGTATTGACGCAGAAGGCTACAAGATCCCAGAGATCCCGGCTCGTCGTGCCGTCATTGATCCATCCCTAACTAATGACACACCTGTTGAATCACAACGCGAACAAGCGGGTTCACCGCCAGGGGAAACACCTTCCTCAACACAGAGAGACGAGACACAAGAGGACTCGGGCTCCTCTCAGCCTCGACAACGAAGACACAAGTCTGCGCACTGGAAAGCGCCGCCTGCGTCGGCCGCTGAGATAGCGATTGAAACCGAAATCGAAGAGGGCATTGCAGAAGCACTACGCGACAACCCGGAGCTCGACCCAAATTACGAACCTTCTCCGACAGGGCAAGGACAAGCGCAACCGCCCAATGGCGACCAGACTTCCGAACCGGGAGGACAACCAGGACAAGAACCAACCACTATCGATCTCACGATCGATCCAACTCAGACCGTGCCCCCGCACCCGAAAGACAAGCGACCTGGACCACCCTGTAACACGAACATCGGTAACCTTGGCACTGTCTCCCTTTCCCCGACTCTCAAAGCCGCAGAGTTTGACTCCGACGAAGACGTCTCTACGTGTCTCTTGTCTGAGCAGGAAACCCGCGTGAAAGAAAGAGTGTGGGTGAGCATGAATGCCGACTGGCTGCGGCAGGATCATGCCAAGAAGATCAAGAAAGAGTTGAAGGAGGCGGACATGAGGGCGAGGGGCTTGGACCCGGAGCAGGAGGAGAGGAGGAAGAAAATGGAGCGGATGAGGAGAAAGGACGGCACGAGGAGACCGGGCCGTCGGGGAGACGTCAGCTATTTGCGGGAGCAGCGAGAAGGGAGACGAAGAGGGAAAAACCAGGAAGGTGAGGGGGGAAACGAGGGGGCCGATGTGGAGGGGGGTGCAGAGGCCGAGAATGAAGGGGACGAAGAAGGAGAAGGCGGCGAAGACCAAGACAACACCACCGTCGGCGGGAGAGAACGCAGCGCCGCGAAATCCATGAGGCTGATGCTCATGAACCGCCGGACGTTTTCACGGCGGATCAACTACGACGCCCTCGAAGCCATCTACGGCATGTCGTCGACGACCAGCGAGGACAGCGAGTCACGCAGCGTGACCGGCGAGGCTCGCAGCCGCAGCCAGAGCGTCGCCGCGCAGAGCGACACCACCGCGACTCCAGGACCCGGCGGCGGCGAGCGGGACCGGCGCGAAGGAAGCAGGGAAAGCAGCGTCGCGAGCACGGCCGCCTCGATTGGACCGTCGGCAATCTTCCGCGGCAACGTCGGCAGGGAGAGAAAAGCCTCGATCCTTGCCGCGGAGAGGAGGGAAAAGAAGAGGCGCGAGAGAAAGGACCTGGAGCGCGCCGGGAAATCTGCGACCACTGCTGCTGCTCGCGGAGCCAGTCGAGCGAACGATGGCGAGGCGAGCAGGTCGGGGTCACGGAGTCGCAGTGCGAGCACGCCTGTTTCCGAGGGCGAGGGCGAGGGGGAAGGAGAAGGTGATGACAGGAGAGATCGCGCCGCGAGCGGACCGAGTCCTGAACCCGGACCCCGACACGAGCAACAACAACAGCTCCCCTCTCCCCCGAGAACACAATCCCACCAGATCCCTGGGATAAAGACCTCGACTCTTCCCCCGTCCTCGGCGCCGCAAGCCCAAGGTCCAGGCAGAATCGCTGCGTTGACCACGGCAGGACGGCCCGCGGCTGGAAGAGGCGGCAATACCGCCGAGCCGGACGACGACAGCCATGCCGACGCCGACGACGCCGACGACAACGACGAGGAAGCAGAAGAGGAGGAGGAAGAGGACGAAGAAGCAAGTTCCGACTCGGACGACGGCTCGGACGAGGATGATGACGACGACGCCGACAAGGGGAATCGCGAGGCCGACGAAGATGTCGACGCCGCTTTCGAGGGCCGCTACGCCGGCCGATAGGGATCGCTCGATCACGCAATCACTCCATCACTCCATCACGCAACCCTCGATTGAACGTTCGCCCAGTCCAGGCGGCTGGCGGGGTTCATGTGTGTTGCAGCCCAGAGAAGGGCGAACGGGGATGGTCCATGTCGTACCTCAAGAAGATAGACACCTACTGGAAAGCAAGCGTGGAGGTGACTGGAAACCCACGTACTTTGGACATACGGTATGAAGATTATGTAACCCTAGCGATGATATCTGTGTAGATAATAGATGGCTATCAGAGATTTTCCTCTGCCCTCGCACTCCTTGGTTTGGCTCCCTGGCCGCCATAAATGAAATCTCCATATCATTATATGATATGGAATGCGATACGCCATCTCGCGTCTTCGCATCCCTACAGAATACGGGCTGGGACCCTCCATTGTGTTTTGAACCGAATGCAACGTATCCTGTCTTGTCCTGTCTCGTCCCTTTTCAACGTGCCATTCTTCCTTCTTTCACCCATACGTATGTCGTGCGTCGTGTCGTATCGTGGACTCAGCCTTGGGTGGTAAACCTCTTCATCTTCTGCGGGATTGACGCTTTCGATGTTGCGAGCTGACTTGCTTCCTCACTCGCTTGCCCACTCAACACGCAAGGCAAAATGTCGAGGCAAGCAGAAGGGAGAGCGTTCTCACTCATCCAACTCCCCGGACTAAGGGCTTCAAGATCTTGTGCAATGCCCGGCCGGTGCTTTCACAGGGCTTATCGTTCGGCTCCAGCCAGAATGTCCGTTGCAGAGCTATCGTTTGTGCAAACTGCTTCTCTCTCTGTCCTGTGAAGAAACCCGAGATGAACAATAGCTCCTGCGTTGAGTCCCTTTGGAAACCGCACTCCCCGCGGGATAACTTGATCAATATGCTTTTATGTCACCCGACACTCTGGCGTGGTTATTGGGTCCTGCCACTGCCGTTGGGTGCTTTCGCCATTCTCATCGATATTGTGCCGGCACATCTCATATCAGGAATATCCATCATAGTGACAGGGTCTGTCCAACGGCATATGGTCGTGCCCCTCGTGTCTCGGATCGTATATCGTTTATAGTTTCACCTCTCAGTAACTCGTCACGTCCTGCGCTGGTCCCCCTCTTCCATCTCCTCCTCGTATTCTTCTTCTATACTCTCCGCACTTAGTCCCCTTCTATGTCCCTTCGGGCTCTTGCTCTTTTCAGTCCCTAGGTCATCATCCTGCTCTTCCCTTGCGGTACCACCACCCATTCCGATACCCCCGCTCACGAGATCTCTAAAACTCATCCTTCTCGCCCGGTCGCGAAGACTGGGCGCTCGTGGCCGGTGTTCCCCTCTGGCCCGGCCGCCCCAAACAGGCACTTCGTGCCAGATCCGGCGGCCGATGTAGTACAGGACGTCGTAGAGGATGGCGAGGAGCCAGGGAGCCAAATTGATGATCGCCAGAATCAACTGGTAGCACATTCCATTAGTGTCACAGGATATTTCGACGGCGGCAGGCAAGGAAACGGTGCGGAGAGGCACGGCAGAAGGAAAGCGAGGGATGCTGGGGCAAGGGAGCCTCGCAGGAGAGGTGGACAAGGGGCGCCAACTTACAAATGCACGCACAATCCATGTTTCGTAGGTGGTCAAATGAGACGGGAGGAGGGAGTACCACGCCATGATCTTCGCAACCTCGCGCGTAGTGTCTTTCGAAGGCGAATCGATATTAATTTCCTGCGCGTCTGTGAAGGGCAGAGGCCGAACCGAGGGCGGCCAAGTAAAAAAAAGTTTTCGAGTTCCCCGACCCAAATGGCGAATAATTGTCGCCACCAGCAGTTCCAAGTAAAAAGCTCGGAGTGGCAGTCAGGTCACTACTCTAGGCAGAGGAGAATCGCCAGCGACATGGTTCCTGGAGACGCCCGGACCAGCCGGCTGAGCAGTCGCAGCAGAGAAGGGGGTGGTCGAGGAAGGAGCGCGAGGGGCTTTGACGCATTTCTCAAAGGGTCGTGTCTCGACCTGCGATAATAGGGGCTGCGCACACTCGATGCTGGGAACCGAGTTGCATATCTTGGTGTCAACCCAGACTGGCTGGCTGGCGAGATGGATATCACTACTCTGTACTTGGTACTCCGTACTCCACCCAGCACCAGCCTCATCGAATGACATCATGCTGGTAAGGAGATTCTGGTGAACTCCGCAAAGACCTGAGCAGGGCGACGTCAATGCCCATACGTCCTTTAATGTCTGAAATCCTTCCAATTGAGCGAATGAAGAGCATTCTACTACTCTCTATGGGAAATCTTGAGAATCTGAGAATCGCCTCGGAAATGTGATCAATCCCCCGTCCCCCCTTCTGGAAAAGCACACAAGACAACGAACAAACCGACATCCTACTTGTCGTAGAAATTCGTCCACCAGCATGGTATCATAGAACTTGCACATTTTCTTTTCCCTAAACCTTTTTTCTTTTCTTTTCTTTTTTCAGTTCGTGTCGAGTCCAAAGCCAATTGAGCCCCAAACAATGAGAAGAAACCCAGGTCCCGTCATTGCAAGGGAACTCGAAAAAATGGTCCACCCTGTTCAGCTCGACGCCGGTGTTCGAACCCTAAAGCAGTACATGACTCGCCCGAAAGGACGGCCGCACATGAGACATGGAAAACGAGACTGTCATGTCGTCGTCATTTCATCAAGTCATAAGCCTGCGCTTTTTCTTCGCAGGAGTTACAGGATCAGAAGATCGTCCATGATTGGGGTCTCGCATCCGCTGGACAGGTGTCACCCCTTTGTAGTGGGATGAGGTGTATGGCGAGACATGATTCTTCCTCCGGCGGCGAGAGGGTGCGGGTGTTGCCAGAGGGGAACTCAAGTAATCCATGTCCAGATACGATGGCAGTTGACTCATGGCCGCAAAGGCTGGGTCGGCGTTACGCCGGAACGCCGTCACATTGCCGTTGTTGAGGTGAGCGAAATCATTGCTCAGAAGCTCGTGATTGGGAGGCACAAAAATGGGTGACGTGGGAGCGTCACTGTCTTCAGAACCACTGTCAAACTGGATCACGTCGGTGAGACTGATGACATCTTCCCCAAGTCCGTCAGTTTGGAAGTCTCCAGCTAGATCACCATGGTCAACAGAAAGGTCATCGAAAAAGAAGTTATTGGTAGGGTAGAACGCCTCCATGGGGCCCACGGCCTGCCCCTGATTGAACGGGTCATTGATCGCAGAATTGAAGCTGGCAAGCATGATGTCTGCGCTCGGGCCAGCCAGTAGATCCGTAGAGTCACGATCACCAGCATCGCTCTCCTCAATGAGCTCAGCAAAGCCTACGTCTGGACTGGACGTTTGGGATGCTCCATATCGACGGGCAAACTCTTCACCCAGCAGATGAGGGTTGGTCATGAGAATGATCTTGCCCGAGGAGTCGAGGATGCCAGAAGTCTTATCGCCTTCATCAATGAAGATGCCGCGAGGCGGACCTCGACGTCGAGCTGGTTTCTTGCTCGATTTCTTGGATGGCGGAGACACCGCGGGCGACATTTCTTTCTCTTCGCCGGCTGCATGGGGCGTGCTTTGAAGGGCCTCATCCGGCAAACAGTCGTCGGTCAGATCAGCTGCAGGGGTGTTAGTCATCATGCACATGGACAAATCACAGCACAACATACAGTCATCCAGATCGTCGACCAGCCCGCCAACGCGTCTGTCAGCACCGCGGTGCGAGAATCCAATGTCGGGTAGTGCTGAGGGCAGGAGGGCACGAGTAATGGTCGGCGACTCTGACATGCGCAAGAAAATGGTTGGATCGGCATCCGTGGCGAAATGCACCCGTCTCTCGGGAGCGGTTTCGGTGGCACTGTCACTGCCCTGGGAGGAGGGAAAGCGGTAGATGGAACCCTCACTCTCGTCCCCAAACCCGTAGGCGGACAAGCCATCAATCTGGTTGAGAAGGAAGTCGGCATCACTCTGGCCTTCCTCGGACAGCATGGCGAGCAATTCCTGCTCTTGAAGTTGGTCTCCATCCCCATCGTCGTCCGAATCACTAATGTCATCGACCGCCTGATACAAGTCATTGTCATCGTCGGAATCTGCAAAAACCTTGTCTTCAAAGCGCTTCCTGTTCTCTTCGGGGGAAAGGTTGGGGTCTTCGTCGTCCTCATAGTAGTCTTCAAAATCACCGAACATGCTGTCAGAGCTGCTAGCGAGGGACATATTGTCCCGCGAAATGGATTGATATTTTGGCCCCGCCCCATTCAATCTCCGGGAACGAGACGGGGCTTTTACTGCTGGCAGGTCGTCTTCATCATCGGCTTCATCCTCGCTGTCTTCGTCCGAGGCATCATCTGCAGTCTCCGACCCGTAGGCGGACGAAAGGTCCCCTTCCGAGGCCGAGCTGTCTGCCTTTTTCCTTTTGCCAGTCGACTTCTTGGTCACTGTGTATTTGCGAGCAGGTCTGCCCCTCTTCTGCTTCGGCTGATATGTGTCGTTGGGATGTTCTTTTGACTTGGATAATTTGATGGTGGAGCCCAGCATAGGCTGGCGACCCCGCGAGTTGCGGGTGTAAAGGCGAGACATTGCAGGTCAAGAGCAGGAAATTCTGTAATAATCAAGAAAAGGCGAGTGCAAAGAGTAGATGGTAGTATGTGGGTGAGGTATCGCGGGATCGCGGGGGGAGTGTGGGCGGAGAGGTCGTCCGGAGGGTGAAAATATCGTTCTCAGCACCTTTGTGTCGCGAGGACAGCTGGGTGCCGTTGTGATGTGCAAACAGGGCAATTTCGAGGACAATAGTGGACAGGAGCTCCTACGCGGTAGAGCCTCGAAAGAGTAGATATCGAAACGAGGATTTGCTGGAGCTGCTTGACTGGCCACGAGAGAAGGACCCCCTCCCCAGGGCGGAGAGGGGACCTCCCGGCCGTCTAGAAAGCAGCGAAGGCCATGAGCAAAAGATGATCCTCGAGCGATATGTAGAGAGATGCTGGGACTTGGACGCTTGGACAGGTAATAATGGGACTGGGATTGGTGAAGTTGGCCGGGTTGGTAGCAAGAGAGGAAGAGGAAGGGAAAAAAAGGTGAGAAGTTCAAGGGCTCAAAAAGGCTTGGGACTTTGCAGGTGCGTGCTGCGGGCGGCGGGAGGCCTCCACCAGTGGGCGGCGGGCGTCCAGGCGGAAAGCATGCCACCAGTTAGTTAAAGCGACTAAATGCTAGTCACCTATCGAGGCTCAGTCCCGAGTCGGGTTTGCAATGCTGTAACTCAGTTATTACTCCACAGCCTGCGAGGGCGGATCTCAGCGTCTGCACACCGCTATTCCCGGCGCTCTCTGCGACTGGACCATCAATCGACTCTCTACGTCCAGGGCTACGTAGATGCGCATCATTGGTTACACTCTTGCATCCACGGCCATCTTTGGCACAGTTGGGTGTCTGCGAATCTCTCACTTTTGAAGGTGCCTGTCGAGTTCCCAAGTGATCACCATTCCTCCGGCCATGGCCACCACAAAAAAAGTCAAAAGGGAAAAAAAAAATATCAGATGTTTCTCCATCGGCCCCTCGCGTGCCTCACGAGCCGCCGCCAATCGCAGTTGCGTGCCATGGTCGGCAGTGACTCCAACGGACCCCAATGACTCAATGCGCCGAAACGACAGGCCAAAAACCCCTCGTCTCTATAAAACCCAATTTGTGGGGAGCTTACAAGCAGGTACATCATTCGGTGTCGACCTACATACCTACATAACCACACTGACAACGTCCGAGTCATTGCTGCGAAGTCGCTACAAAGAGTGTCATTGCGGTGGCGGTCCCTGTCGTCCCTCAAGCATCAGGCAAAAACACCCCCTCCCGAATCATCCCAGGCCCATCCAGCCCTCCCATCCCTCAACGCACAAAGCGCTAGCCCGGCAAGTTGAAACGAAGGTCAGAATTCAGGGTGCTAGTAAGGATAGAGGAAAGAGAAGAAAAAATACCAAACGTTCCCCACACGCTCCCATCGCTTTCATCATCTGTCGTAATTCGGTAGGTCGTCACGCATGCATCCTCTCCCTGATCAGCCCGATCCAAGCCCGATCCATCAGCTTCATCAGGGCGTTGCTGTCGTTGGAGGAACCACCTTGGGCTCCACTTCCACAGGCTGGTCTGCCACCTCGACCGCTTTCTTTGCGGCCTGAACCTCCTCCATACCAGCCTGCACATCCTGCATCGAGGCCCCTTTCTCGGCAGTCGTCGTCGGATATTCGTCCGGATGGTCTGCCTTGTAGTCAACGTCCAGCTTTTGCACCTCCTCTTCTGTCAGCTGGCGTTCTTTTTCCAGTCTGGCCTCTCGCCCCCGTTTATGACAATACCAGAAGACAAACAGTAGCACTGCGCAAAAAAGTGTGTCAGTCGAGAAGTTGAAACTCGTCGGTCACCCATAGGAGGCGCTTACCAAACAAAGCCAGCGACCACAGCACGTTCATACCCATGAAAGCCGGGAACCGCGCCCGGAGATAGTTCATGATTGACCTGAGCGCGGCTGTGATGGCGGTGGGCTTGCCCACCAATTCTTTCAACGACGGTGTCTTGAATCCCATCTTCTTCGCCGCTGCAGCCGCCTTGCCTGCGTTTTCCATGTTGACCCCGCTCTTTTGAGCCCTCTCGGCCGCAGCCGCCATCATCTCGGGCGCGAAACCCTTAGTCATGGTCTCAGGAAGTCTCTCGATCAGCTTCTGCAAAAAGGCGGGCAGTGAATTGAAGGTCTTCTGTAATTGCCGGTCACCGTTCGTCAGCAACTTCTCCAAGTCGTCGTACGCGGTCGGCACCCCGTTGACCAGATCTTTGAAGATCAGATTGAATTTCTGTAGCAGTTCTTGCGTTTCGTCACTGATGGAGAAGACTCGATTGTTGACAGCTGCCAGGTTGAGTCTTTCCAGCACGATGGTCATGTCCTCTTCTTCCTGTCGGGCCTGTTTTTCTTCCTCGCTGTCTTCTAATTCGCGCTTCCTAAGACTTGCAGCGATGTCTTCCAAGCCAGCGGCAGTGGCTTCGTTCTTTTGGCGTTTGACGTCCCGACTGTCACGTCTGAGCCAGCTCCAGGTGGCCTTGGTTTTGGATGGAGTATTCTCTGAGGTGCCCTTCGCGACTTCTTGGATCATTGCAGGCTCTTCAGTGAGTTCATTTGGAGTCTCGGGAGGCAGAGGAATGTTCTGGGCCCCGTCCATAAGCGCGATCTGGGCATCCTTGCCTTCTGCCAGCACGCCAGGCCGGGCTGGGAGTGGAGGAGGGTTTTCTTGAGATGTAATACGATCCAGAAACTTCTCATCCTCCTCGGATAGCACCGGTGCTTCTGACTTGCGTGCCGTCACAAGATGGGCCTTGGCCTTGATGTAATTGATATATTCCATTGCCATGGCGTCTGCAGACAGGCAGTTTCCAGTCCAGGTAAGAATAGTGTTCAGGCAAGGCCAAGGGGCTTATGCCTCCAGAAGAAAAGAATAGGATTAAGAGCCGGGACCGAAGGATGAGAGTACCAAACTATCAACAATGATTCAAGAGGAAGTCTATGCTGAAGCCACTGGGTCATATCGAGGGCATGGAGGATGGAGGTGTCACTTGGTGTTTGCGCCACAACGACGTCATGAGCAGAAGTTGGCACCGCCATGCTCGTCAATAGCCAATCAGAGCGGCCGAAAGACCTTCACGCCCAAGAAAGGCTTTGGTTTTGAACAGAGGAGAAAACCATTCAGCATGAAACAAGGGACAACTGTACAGCAGGTCAGGTGGACCAGGAGCAGTAGCGGACATAATGCGAACGTGCATAATGGATTACGGATGCTCAAAGCGATCAAGGAACGAGAGAGTGCATACGGTGCATCCTGAAGTTGGGTCCATCTGTGGACGAGAGCAGACGAGGTGAGACAGTGCGATGGGAGTCAGTAGCAAGAGAATTCGAGAGTGAACAGCCTTGATATTTGCGTTAGATTGTCACCATAATCAGAACATGCGATGGTCACCTCTGAGGAGCTGGGAAGGTCACGAGTCACCAGGGCGGCAGTGACTGTGAAATATTGACCGGCTGTGTTCATCGCGTCGACCTCACCTTCACCTGCCATGAATGTCACTCCCAACCACCTCTCTATGCCCACATGTGACAAAGAGTTCCGTCAAAACAACACTTCCTCCTTTGATACTCCGTCTCACTCCGCGCGCTTTCCTTCGAATGACACCCCAGTTGCCTCCCCGGACAATGATACGCGGTGCTGGGACGCAATATTACGAGACAATCACAGCCCCGCGCAAGATGGAGAGAAAACCTCTCGCGTTTCGTGCGAAACTGTCCAACGAGACCACTAAGAAGAAGAAGGCCCCGGCCGTTGTCTTCCGCCAGAGCACCCATCCTCTGCCGTACTTTGAGCATCACCAACTCGACCCCGAGTACTTCCCACCGGGTATGGCAACCACCAAAGCCCCCTTGGAAAACCAGACAAATCTTCAAAGTTGTTTCAAGTCTAATGGTCAGCAGATATCGGCCAAATAATTGAGAGTCCGAAGGTGGTCAGTGGTGGAGACATTGGCGACAACGACGCCTGGGACGATGATGATAGCGACGCAGGTGCCGATCTCGAATCTGAAGCAGAGGATGACCTGAATGAGGTAAGACCATTCACGTAACATCTTCTCCTTGGGTTCAGCATCGCTGATCAAATCAACTAGAGTCTGAATAGCAGGCCAAAGCGCCGCCGCGTGTTCGAGTCCGGCAAAATCGCGAATGGAGCAGATATCAAAAAGATGAAGATCCAAGGAGGACGCCCCGCTGTCGCCAAAAAGGTCACGGCAGACCTAGACTCCGATGACGAGATGATTGTGCGCATGAAAGAGGCTCGGTTCCTGGAGAAGGATATCGCGCAAGCTCTCATCGACCAGGGTCGCACGGCCTACAACCCGAAGACCATCGGCACTCGTTGGAGACGCATCAAGGCAGCTTTGCAGAAGCGACAGGACGATCTGCTTGACGCAGATCTAACGGACTGGCATGAAGGGGATGTATGTATCGTACTCGAAGGTGAGAACAGACAACGACTGACAGGCTCGAAGGACGACGTTCTCTTGCAGGCTGTTATCAAGACCGAGAAGGAAGTGAAGAGGCTCCAAGACGACATCGAGTCCAAGAAATGGCGCATGGTGGCTGATCAGATGAAGTCGTTGAAGGCAAGTCTCAATACCTTCCAAACCAGGCAAAAAGTCAGTACTAACCGTGCGAAATCCCAGCCCGTCGTCAACTTCTCCCAGAATGCTTGTCGAGACAGATATGAAGCTCTTCAACAAGGTTCCGCAAAACCCACCCCTGAGTCGATCGAGAACCCTACCCCTGAAATCCTCGAACGCATCGAATCGCGAAAGGAAAAAGAGCGCAGGATTCGAGAAGGAAACCAAATGGCTGAGTTGGAGCAGAAGAATGTGGAGGCGAACGGATGGACCTCGAGGATGCGAACCTATTTCTAGAAGAGCGAGTGCTAGACACCAAGCTCTCCCACGGATGGATCGTCTACCACTCGAGGACCAGTACGAGCAGCGCTGACTGGACGATGCAGCTTGCCAGGCACGCTCGCATCACACACAATGGCACTTTTGTTCTTCGGCAGCATGAGGCTGGCTTGCGTACACGGTGCGGCCTGGCGAAGTGACTCTGGATACAGCGAGTTAACACAGGTTGTCATTTGAGATCATTGGTGCAGCGTCTTGGGGGTTGCGCAGCCTACACATCGAGTTCAGGATACACCAGCTTATCTGTCGGTATCTCGATGTGAATGTACACAGAGGTGACAGCCAAGGTCTAGGAGTCGGAGGATGACAACGTCACACGCTGGCGATCTCGGGTTCTTAAAGCTACGGGCCGCCGACTGCGCAAAAGAGGCACAAGACGCGTGCAAGTGCTGAACGCGGTCAGCTGACAATGTCAACAAATGATTTACAAGTCCATGGCTTCTGTTGATTGAGACGGGGTCCTCGAGACCTCCGCTTCCGCTACTTCTCCATCGCTTCAACTGTCCTCCCGGGGCTGTGTCTTAACGACTCACTACTGCAAGTTGCACTGCATGAATGCCTGGAGATAGGGCGCAGCCCTTCCACTGTGATTCGATAATGCATCTCCCCGTTGGCGTGGTTGCCTTCAGCCAAGACCTCGCAGCCGCCTGCGCTGCGCTGGTATATATCCAGACCTTCCATTCCTGTCTCCCTTCCTTTCCCTTCCTTCACGCACCCGAGCAGGCAAAGCAAACGCGCGTCCGGCGATCTTTGTTTCGCGCAAAGATAACCGCACCGTCAAGTTCTTCCGTGTGATTTCCATCGGCTGTTGACCTTCTCTTGAGAGGTCGGCTGGCAGGCGAGGGAGTCATCCAGCGAAGACTTGCGCAGCTCTCCCATCACATGCTTCCCTTGTGAAATCAAGCGTCACTCTCCCACCGAAGAAAACCTATCACGCTCTCTACTACAATCATAGGTTCTTCTGCCGTTCCTTCAAGCCCTTCCTTCGCTCGTTCGTGAATCTCTGGATCTTGACAATCAACAATCGTCGCATTTCCCCTAATGTCAATGCGCTCGTTCGACGACATGTTCAAGCGATCGTTCAATACTAGGGAAGGTCGTATCGTCAAGTCGAAGACCACAAAGACCACATATCCCGAACACGTGAAGAAGAAGATGCAGGACACAGTGGACGCCGGCTCGCCGGTGGCAAGGTAGGCAGCCGCGAACAGAACACAATCCCGCCTTTTGGGCGCCGACCAATATACTGATCTGTATGCAGCACATTGACGAGCCCCATCGTCACCTTGGTGGTCGGTTCTGAGCAGCGACTATTCGCTGCCCACGAAGACGTCCTCTGTCATTCACCCTACTTTGCGGCTGCTCTCAAAGGCAACTTTCTTGAAGGCAGCTCGAAGAGGGTGGAACTGCCCGATGAAGAACCGGAAATCCTCTCCTGCGTCCTCGAGTTTCTCTACAAGGGTGACTATTATCCTCGCTTGCTGCACAACAAGCGCCGAAACACTTGGGATCTCGAGGACGTTCAGGACCTCATAAAAAATGGTGGCCGCGGAAACAACGCATCGACAATCTATCTCCCTGATGCCGGCGGCGATGTCTTGAGAGACACCGTGGTGTACTGCGCTGCCGAGAAGTACGGCCTGGAGGAGCTGAAACGCCTGTGTCTACGGAAGCAGGGGTTGCAGTCTGGAATCCAAGTCGACGTGATCTTGCGATCAGCTCGGTATGCGTATGCGCACACACCGGACACGGAGTCGCGACTCCGCGCTCATTACCTGGCTCTGATCATTCGAAGTCGCAAGACTTTCAAGAGGAGCGGAACCATGCAGATGGAAATGGAGAATGGGGGCAAATTGTTTTTCGACCTCTTTGTGGCCATGTGCAATCATATCGATGACATTGTCGAGATCAGGTAAGGGACATGCGCGTGACTCTGGTGGCACCTGAAACTCGCGATTCGTGGGACTACATGCTTACATGTTTGGATCTGAACAGCAACAGCCGCTCTCCCCGAGTCATCTAAAAGTTTGCGCAAACGACTCGAAGCAGGCTCGACGGGTTTGGTGCTATGATGTGAGATAGGACAGTATGTTTACCAGGGCCGTTGGAATCAACAACGAGTCTTGTGGGACCTCGCCTGCTTTGATAGCAGCAACAACTCCGCTTCTTCTCGAGGTTGGCCGACGACACTTGCTGGTTCATCGCAACCCTACTCCTTCTAATGGCCCTGCTTTAGGCGCAATTTCGACTTTCCGCTCTTTCATTGGGATTTTGACAATCCCAGGGAAATGATCACCTCACACAGTGTGCGATCTACAACTCGCAGCTCTTATGTACTTTGGTTGTTTTCTCGACTCTGATGTCGACATCTGATATGGTGAAGCTACTTTCAGACCTGATCCCTGGGGATGGGATGAAAACCTCTGTGTTCAGAATAGGAAATGAGACATTCGGCCACCTCAAACCTCTTGCTCCATTGCACTGTGCTGTCAACGGCTCTCTAACACGCATCAGCAGGTGAATATCCAGAGTCTGGGCAAGCACGTGGCTGTAAGTCAAGATATTCTCCTTCTAACCACCAACCCCTCTTCCTTCATCCTCAATTCTGTCTCAATTTCACTTTAGACAGCCGGTCAGGTTACGTCTTTGGACCTCTCTCCTTGCATTGTTGTTTCCTTTGATTAACACAGCTCGAACTCGCCTCGATCTGCCGGTGTCTCGTCTTCTTTGATCTATCTCCTTTCATCTCTTACGATTCTATTCTCGTCCACCGATAGGCCACACTTTCAGAAGTTACAGTGACCGATCTCTGAAATCTTCGACATTTATTGATAGTCTTTCACATCTACATCATCCTCAAAAGACATGTCAGCCCCGTGGAGTGAGCCTTCCTTGACTGCCGAGGAGCGAGCTCGGCGGTATAACCAGGAGGCATTGTTTTGTGGCTCCGACGACGACTCAATAAATGGCGATGAAGTCAAGGCAACCCGCCCAAGAGGCAGAATTCCACGGCATCCCTTTCCACAACCGAAACGACGGAGGACATCTGCAACGGCTCCATCGGCGCGTGCCTCGTCTCCAGCTTCAACAAACGTATCGCCTCCATCCAGCCCTAAGCCCGTCCGAATCAAAAGCGAGGCTGAGCTACAAGCTCTTGACGATTTGCAGAGCAAGCCGCCTGAGGAGAGGGTGACAATTTACGTAGGAAAGAGCAATACTACAATGGAAGTGGGCCTCGAAGATCTCGATAAATCACCCGTCCTCAAGTCTTTGATCAGCAAACTCGGCACGCCTCGTCCCTATATCATGCATCCGGTACTAACGACGGTCGATGCAGACCATTTTCACTCGATCCGCGAGTTTCTACTCACAGACGAGTATATGCCCGCACTTGTCAATAACCCTCATGGGGAGGATGCGCTTCCGAAGCAACTCGACAATTGCGTCACCCCCAAGCACTACAGAACCGAGGCGCTGAGGGCTGGAAACTTGTACGTGGTCGGGGAGAGGCTAGGGATGAGGACTCTGCAGGACCTCGTCTTTCGAAAAATCACCCAAGCGCAGTTCCACTCCTATGGCGTCCAATGTCTTCTGGATCTAGCTATGATCATATTCTCGCGACCCGAGCCGAGCCAGCTGAATCGAAAAGGGGACCTCCAGCGGCTGAAGGCTGAGAGCGAGAATGAGGAAGGGGACGCTCTCGAGAATTGGCTCGTCAGGTCGTTGAAGGACCAGTTTCAGACGACCATGATCTATCATGCTCGGCAGTTCTTTCAGATCTCCAATCACGGTGCTTGTAGGAGACGAGGATTTGGTCCCAGAATCCTAAGAAGCAAAGTTGAGGATTGGGATGCGCTTGGCCCAGATGTTGTCGCGATTGAAGACGATGATTGAGATTGTGCGTTGAGGCACTTGGTATTGGAAGAGAAGAGCATACATCCTTGGTTCCCTTTGATCAATCACGCACTTCTGCAACGAGGTTTTGGGTGCTACACAGCATATGATGAGCAATGATGTTCACTGAGAGACCTCTGGAGCGACAACACAATCGATTTCGACAAAACGAGGGTGCTCTCTAGGCTGTTCATCTACTTTTGATTTGTCTGTTATTTCTCCGATATCAGGACAGGGACACTGGAAATGGATTACTCGCCTTGACAAATATCGACTCACTATGAGGTGGGAAGCCCAGGGACAATACACCAGGAAAATGCAGCCTTGTCGGGCACATCACCAACTCCTCCGGGAGCATTGAGTGGCGAGCCAGGAGATCCACAGGGGGATCAACAGTCAGATAAAGACCTCGGTTCAAATCATTGATTCCCCATACGCTCGTATTGTCATGTCTTCGCTTGATCACCCCCGCTATCGTTTCCCCTCAATCCCCGCTGTATGTTCACCACAGGCCCCTCGCCTCCCTGCGAAGGCCGAGTGCTTGAACCAGAATGGCAAACGGACGGTCATCATCCTGCAGGGTTAACAATACGAGAGCACCCCCCCCAACAAGCTATCTAGATTGAGAAAAGGCTTCCTCGGCCGCTTTCCTCTTCGTGATATACACCCTGGAACTCAAGCCTGACTCTGGGAGCTCCTGGTGGGACTCAATGTCGAAGTATTCGAGTCAGAAGACATGACATCGAATCCAAGGCTCCCTCTGTTCGGCACTTTCAGTCGTCGGGTCTCCAATCTCGCCATTCCGGTCGTACAGTCGAGGCCCTTTTGTGTTTATGCATCCATTGGGAAGGATTGAGAAGGCCTGAACCCCTCCTCCCCCCTCGTTCTCTGGGCAGTCCTTGGATATTTGACCACCGAGTAGGCAAACATAAAACGTCGTTACTACCTTGCTTCTGTCCCTTGTTCTCCCTCTCTTCTCGCTGCTACCTTTGCCTTGTTCTATCCCATCCCTCTTCTTAGCCCGTGCTGCTGAAATCACAAGCATCGTCGCCATGAGTGATCCTGCTCCGACTTTCGACATTCCTAAGGAGTGCTGGGGTGGTGTTGTGGTACGTGACTTGGAGGAAGCAGCTTGGTTAAGTGTCTCACACGATTCGACAGAAAAATGAGGGACCCGACTTCTACATCGAGGTAGAGAAGGTACCTGTACCTGAAATCGGTAAGTGCAGGGCTTCCCTAACTCTGTCAACCCGAATGACCTCTCTAATATCCGTCCCCAGGTCCTAATGACGTCCTGATCAAACTCAATGCCACTGGCCTCTGCCTGAGCGATGTCCACTTTATGCTGAACGACTGGAATCTCCCCAAGATGTCTGAGCTGGGAGTCAAGTGCGCCGGGCACGAAGGAGCTGGAGTCATTGTCAAGGTTGGCGAGAACGTCAAGGCATACAAGGTTGGCCAGCGGGCAGGCTTCAAGCCCATCCAAGACGTCTGCCACTCCTGCGACTACTGCAAGACCGGCAGGGAGACATATTGCCACAAAGCCATCTACACGGGCGGCCAGTGTGATGGTGAGCATATGTCGGACGTCCTCTGGGAGAGATGTTGACGCGTCCGCAGGGTCATACAAGCAATATGTGGTCTCGCCAGAGAACTATACCACGGTGAGTTTGGATTCAGGTGTGTGAGGGGACAACATGCTAACAGTGTTATACAGCTCATTCCCGACGTAAGTTGAGCAATGCATCCTCTTTGCCTTTGCATATATTGACCCATCCAAGGGAGTGTCTGACTATGTCGCCGGCCCCGTGATGTGCTCCGCGTCTACAATTTATTCGTCGCTCAAGGAATCGGATCTCAGACCGGGTCAATGGGCAGTCTTCCCTGGTGGCGGTGGGGGTGTAGGTATCCAGGGCGTTCAACTAGCTTCTGCAATGGGCATCCGACCGATCGTAGTAGACACCGGAGACGAGAGGAAAAAGCTTGCGCTGCATTTGGGAGCTGAACATTTCGTCGACTTCAAGGAGGAGGCAGACCCTGTGAAGAAGGTCCTCGAATTAACCGGAGGAGGAGCCCACGGCGTCATTGTGACCGGTGCGTATCTTTGGAGATATTGTGACCTTCTCCTCGGCAAGTGGCTAACAGTATCGACAGCTGTACAATCGTACCCCATTGCGCTTGACTACCTCGGTGCTCGCGCAGGTGGACAAGTCATGTGGTAATTTACCCTTCACACAAACAGTTCTAGCACCGGCACTGACGCACACATAGCATTGGCATCCCTCCGCACGGAAAGTACCACATCGATCTGGACCCATCGAAGCTGGTTTTCCGCAACCAGTCCATCAAAGGAACGCTGGTCAGCAGTCTGGCTGATATCGACGAGACACTAGACTTTGCCAAACGAGGTACGTGTGCACGCAGATAAATGACGATCAACAGGCTGAACAGAGCGTCTAGGCAAGCTTCGACTCGAGCCCACCGTGGTAGGGTTGAGCAAGTTCAACGAATCCGTTCAGAAGCTCAAGAATGGACAAGTAGCTGGGTAAGTTGGGGCATCGGCAGGAGCGGCAAGCCAGAGTGGTCACTAACGAGTGCGCAGGCGAATCGTGGTGGACTTCAACCTGCCGTGATGAACCTCCATCCCCGATGCAATGTCGGCTCTGAGCGAGCTGGGAAAAGATTGCAAGTGCCAATTTTCGGATGGGGGAGGTCTAGATCGTAGCTGGGAGGGAGCTTGGTGGGAGACTTGAAACCAGTCTGCTGGCGAGACTATTGGCTGCAGTTTCTATTCCGAGGACCTGCGAACGCAGCAGCGATGGGCGCATAGAGGGGAAGCTACGACTCCGTGGGGTCACTCTGCAGCAGTAAAAGTAGAGATAAGGTACCTGGGTGCCTTGTGTTTTCGCCTTGATGCAGTCCTCCAAGTGCGCATTTGGCTGCCGTTACCCACGAGCCAATCACGATACAGACATGGCCAGCCCCACCAGGTTCCCAAAATAGATGAGCCAATCATGGCAGGCGTTACGCGCTGACCGTGTTTGAGGCCATTTCGACTCCGCTGCATGGCTTTCTTCTCTTCTCCCTTCTCTTCTCGTCTTCCCCTTCGGCCAATGTCCACAATTTCCACCTCGCCCTTTGCGATTGGTTTCTCTCTCGCCAATGTACTTGTCCAGCGCCTTTCACAGTGTGATAGATCTTCATGATCTGGCATAACTGCTATCTTGAGCCGCTAAACGCCAGCCAAGGTAAATCTTCTTCCACGGGTGACCGATTGGGTCGCTTGCATCATGGGAAGAGCTCCCTTTCTCTGTGAGTGCATCCAGCGCTCGAACCAAGGAAGTCATGATCATTCATTTTTGACCCGCTCATGTCCCCTTCTTCTTGAACATTTTCCTTGATCCTCATCCTCTTGTCCCCGTGCGTCTGGTGTGCCGTGGACAAGTCGTTTGAGACAGTGTTCTGTTCTGTGCTGTGCACCTGGTGCTTCCAGTTTCTTTCTCTTTACTCTTAATTTCCAGTACATCACGCTTGCACGCAGCAGGTCTGCTCCTTTCGGGTTTTGTTAGGATCAGCATAGCCATATACCCTGCGATCAGGCATCCGGCATGGCTACCGCAACCACGTCCGCTTCAGCCATGCAAGGCTTCTCCCTCTTCCCGACCACAGTCCCCAAGATCTCCATCCCAGACCCCCATAGAAGGACCCCAAGCCTCCACAGTATCGGTGTCGTCACCCCCCCGGACAGCGCATTCTCGCCCAATACCGAGTCGGTCGTTATTAAAATGGAGGAGGAACGACCGCCCGTCCCTCAACTCCCGGTGCACTTCGGCGAACAACAGCGCACGAGAGAATCCACGCCTTCTCCAGAAGATATTGGAAGGGCAGTGACCACGGCGTCACCCATCGACGGGAAGACGCCCACTCAGCCCGTTCACCCCTCCGCAGTAGCGGCGGCCTATACCCCGTCATTATACCAGTCGCCCGACCTTGAACAGACATCATCTCCACAACCTTCGTCTTCACTAGGCACGGGATCAGCAACGACGTTGGTGGCACCACCACCACCTCCTACAGCCCATACTCAGAGTGCGACACGTAATAAACCACCCATCGATCCTTCACCGATTGTCCCCATCCGGTCCAGGTTTCCCGTCTACTACCCCCCCGTGCCTGCAACTCAGCAAGTGTACGTCCCGCAACCGCCGCCGCCAGTGCGGATCTCAGGCATGCCTATGTTTGCGGGCCTCCCAGCTTCGAAGGAGGACTACCGAAGCAGTCTCTCGATTCCCTTTAACGCCGCAGCGATCGCAGCTGCACAGCGAACGGCTCCGGCCAGTGTCTTCAACTTCCCGTCGGACGTCATGAGCATCAACGTTGGCCCTCGCATATCGACACAAAGGGAGCTCGAGAAACTGTGGGACGCTTCGCACGGAACCGAAGCGGGTTGTGCGATCAAGAGTTTTGATCTCGAGATGGCACGGTAGATGCAGCCTCTCCATCCGTGTTTTCACGTTATGCTAATACTGGGACAGGACCGAAGAAGCCACCTTTGTGTTTGGCTCGCACCCTTCTCTGCCCTTCTACACCCTCCAGACGTACGACACCAATGAAATCGCCATCTCCAAGACCTGCCCCAGCAAGCCCAGATCACCCTCAGCCAACGCAGAGCCGCCGCTCACGCGCGACGTGGTTCTCTGTCCTCTGGAGCCCGCGGCTCGCCGCCTCCCTCCCAACGACGGCCTCGTCGCCTTCATCTTCCCCAAGCTCGCCGCCATGCTCGCGATCAACCAATCAGCGGCCCTCGCGCGACAACACAATCTCGCGCCCACCGACCGGGACGAAATCGAGGCACAGGCGGTCCGTCGCGCGGCCAAGCAGGAGGCGTGCTACCTGCGATTCAACGCAAAGGGCGGGTTCTACGAACTAGAGCACCCGGCCATCGGGCGGGGCGCGATGGGCGGCGACTTCGCGGTGAACAGCCCCGAGGTGAGCTCGCCGACGACGGTCCGGAGCATGACGGGCAAGCCCGTGCTGCATGTCACCATTTCCACCGACGGGCCTCTCCCGACCGTCCACGTGGTCGACCCGAACTCGTCGCGGCGGACCGGCACGGCAGTCATGACGCCTACCACGACGGCCCCATCCTCTGCGGGCGCTGGCATCCGACGCCTGTCTACACTCCCGCAGACCGAGACTTGTTCGCCGTCGTCCGAGTTCCCCCCGCTGGCCACGCTCGACCTGACCTCCGAGATCCTCCACGTGGACGCCAACGCCATTCTCGGGCTGATGCCCAGTCTGTTCAGCATCGACTGCATCGTCTCGGCGATCCTCGCCGTCGCCGTGGCGGACGCGACCACGAACGCGGTGCTGGGAGGCATGGAGATCTGGAAGCCACGGCCCGCGCCAGCGTCGCGTCTAGGGACCGCCGCCGGGCCCCGGAGCATCCACACCCGCGCCGGCAGCGTCAAGAGCTACGCGGGCAGCGTCTTCTACGCCACCATCGCCGAGAGGGAGGAGGCTGAGGAAGAGGCCAGGCGGCTGCGCCGAGCGCACGAGGCCGACATCCGCGCGGGGGGCCGCAGCTCGTCCAAGTCCAGGTCCAAGGGGTCGAGGTCGTGGTTTGGGCGGTCGTCAAGCGACAACACGACCGACGACTCCGAGGACGACGACGACGTGGCGGAGACGAAGAAGGCGTCCCGGCGGAAGAACAAGAACAAAAACAAAACCAAGAAGATCGTCATGCGCGAGTTCGACCTCGAGAAACTCGGCCACTACCAGTCCGGCGACCGCAAGGGCGAGGAGCTCCCCGCCGTCACGAGGGGCGTGCTCAGCGGCCTGGTCATGGGCCTGAAGCTGGTCGTCTGGCTGTTGACCATGATCGTGCAGGTGCTCGCTTGGCTGCTGGTCCATGTGACAAGGGGCGTGACCAGTGAGAAGTTCTGAGGAGGAGGAGGAGGAGGAGGAGGGGACCGGGAGATGGGGCCCAGGTGTTAATATACAGACAGTGTGTGGCCCTCCCGCCCACTTTTTCCCCTTGTTTCATTTCCTTTTTCATATTTTTCCCCCCTTATCCTCTCCTCCCCTCCGTTGTGATCGTCCGTTGGAAGAGAAGAAGGGGAAGGCATTTTTGGGCGCGACTCCGAGGCGGGTCGGCGGGTGGGCGGCGGTTTCTTTTCTCGGTGGATAACGATGATGATGCTTTCGCCTGCATGAATGCATACATGGCGGGCGGGGTACGCAAAGGCGGAATCTGGGGGTCCTTGGTACTGGCCCCGGGCCATTCAAAGGGTTTATTGGAATCATATCAGGCCAATATTGTGTGGTGGTAATGACCGACAGGGATCAAAAATGGAGGGCGCATTGGTGCTCGAAGGGACCGGTGAACAGAGCCATCAAAAGGGTCCATATACACATCCACACATATATATGAGATATGTGTGTGTGGGGGAAGGCAAAGGCTGCAAATGCGAGCCTTGAACTCTTGTCAAACCACCCTTTTGTCCTGCGGAGAAATGTGCGTCGTCATCGTCGTCGTGCTCGAAGTAATGAAATATAGCAGAGAGTGAATGTACCGCAACTCGACACGACACAGCACAACGCGACTTCGGTGGACGCCCGCACCAACTGAACAACTGAAAGTCGAACAGTGATTTCATCCTCACTCTGACTTACTGCCTGACCCTCTATTTCTCTCCGTGTACATCCTTTTTCACCCTCGAAGTTGGGTCATTTCCTACGAAAGCAAGTCAAATTCCCACATCATCTCCTCAGCCACGACAACTTGGAAGAAGCGCATTCACTTAGTCAAGCAGTCAACCAAGGGCCCTCTCTGCTCTCCTCACCTTCCGCCCCACGTCCTTCTTGCGTACGTCTCAAAAGGCGTCAACAACTATCGCTCTGTGGCCTTTTTTCACTCGAGGGTACAGTAGAGCAGGAGGAAGAGAAAAGAAAATGGACGCTCACGATACCGATGACGACAACGACAACGAAAATGTCGATGACCTCGGCCTCGGCCTCGGCGACAATGAAGACCACCTGTCCGACCACTCGCCCGATGAGGGAAGCGACTCTGACGAGTCCAAGGCCGGCGAGCGTTCGACAACCCGTGGTGACGACGACGACGACGACGACGAGCATGCACGGGCACAAGCACAGCTCCTCGAATACCTGCAGTCTCAGCTACACAGCCTCACGCTCGAGGCCGAGACAGTCCTCTCCCGGCAGCCGCGAAGCACGCAGATGGCCCTTGTCATCGAGACGAAGGGGCTCTTCGACGAGTACAAGCACTACGGCTCCATGGCCCGGCTCAAGGTCGGGATCGAGAGGTTCTTGAAGCTCGGGGACGAGAAGGGGAAGCTGTGCTTTGAGAAGGAGGGGAAGGAGGAAGGGCAGGAGGACGAGGACATCTCCACCGACGACGCACGGCCGTCTCGATCGCCATCTGCGGCTCAGCCCAAGAGACCGGCCCACTACGGCGAGGCCTTCATGCTCAACGGCACCGAGGACGACGACAAGCCCAAGTTCGACGCCCGGCTCGCCTTCCCCTCGACGCGAAGCATGCGCGACCCTGCCACCGCCGCGGCGGAGGACTCGGACGCGCCGCCGTTCCACCCGCTGCGCACGGTCGACCCGGACTCGGTGCCGTACGTGACGACGCTCCCGTGGGACCCGATCGCGACCAAGTTCAGCTGGGAGGACAACAAGACGTGGCCGAAGGGCCTGCTGGCAAACCTGAACAAGATCCTGAGCGTCGAGGACGCGGCGGCGCGCGAGCGCCTGTTCCACCACGTGGCCAAGTACGGGCCCGCGCCGGTGTTCCGGGTCGGGATCGCGGAGCAGCTGCGCAGCGAGTACGGGAGCATCTTCGAGCCCGCGCGCGACCACTACCTGGGGCTGACGCCGGCGACGCGCGCGTTCCTGCGCGACGTCTACCGCCGCCACCGGCACCTCAACCCCGCCGAGCGCCGCCTGCTGGCCCTCGCCTGCCGCGTCGCCGAGGACTCGGTCCAGATGTTCTGGGAGGACACGGCCGACGAGACCCCGGCCTACGACGCCATGCGCATCTTCATGGCCGCCCGCGAGGTCGAGCGCGACGACGAGGCCCGGAAGGCTCGCGCCGACACCCGCAGGGCCGAGGTGCTCCAGGCCCACGTCGACCGGTTCAATCAGGAGTTTCGCAGTCCCGCCGTCGGCGCCGATGTGGTTGCTGATTCGAACCCGAATGCGAATGCGAATGCGGACAGCGCCTCTGTGGGATCCCGCGAGCACACGAGTGACGCGACGCAAGCTCCTCACGGTGCTGGCGGTTCGGAAGAGGCTTGAGGGCGTGGAAGGTACCCTGCATACACCCCTGTTCCTACCTATCAAATTCAAGGGAGAAAAAGTGCATTGGCTTACTCGCCGTTGAGCTCGACATCAAACCTCGCTTTGGACCGAGTTGGGTTGGGTCGAGCACCCTTGGATCCACGCCGAGTCAAAAACAAGCGCTGAAATGGATTGGATCGGTCGGTGGTCTCCTGGGGCTGGCCATGGGGTTGGACAACCGAGAGAGTCTTGGGCGCATGGATTTTGGGATGCTAGCAAAGGCTGTTGAATACGGAATAACAACACTGATGGATAATTATCGGTCAAAATAGGGGCTCACTAGGCCAAGCTACTACACGGGAACTGGGTGCATGCATGTAGAAGGATATCCTCCGTACAGCTAACCAAATTGCCCCTTCTGCCCACCCTCCTGTTTTTCCTCCTTCCAGAAATGAAATATTACACTGTAATTATTGACGCATCTCCTGCTCCCACATCTAACATTCGATATTCCACCCTCGCTCTTCATACCCTCCACAATAGGCTCAGCCGTATCCCTTGAGAGTTCAAGTCTCACAACAAAGCCACCGCCCCCGCGACACCCATGACGGCGGCAATCATACCAGCGCCTCCATTCTTCATCGCCGCGCCAACTCCACCGGTATAGGTTGCGTTGTACGCCCCCGTTGGCCTGGAGGCCACGGTCGTCATCATGGTCGTTGTGGTGGTGCATTGGGTAGTCGTCATCATGGTGCCAGAGCCCGAACCTATCGCGCTCGAGGTGTAGGAATCCGAGACGGTCACCGCAGAGGTGGTCATGCTGTCCGAGGCATCGGCGACGCTGGTCATGGAAGTCAATGTCCCTGAAACAGTGGTTGTCGAGACGCCATCGGAGCCATTACTGTCAGTGGGGCTGGAGGTCGGGGAAGAGCTGGCTGTGTCTCCTGCATCGGTGGCAGGGGCCGAGCTAGATGAGGAGCTTCCACCAGCACCGAGGGCGGCGCCGCAGAAGTTCTGGCCGAAGACCAGAGCCGCTGAATCGCAGTATCAGCATTTTGCTTTTCTTTCCTCGCAAGGGCAGGACTTGGGGGTTCCTCTTTTGAGTCACTCACCTTGAACATCGGCTGGCGAGCAAGTCTGCGTGACTGCAGTGGTGATGGCGCTGATGAAGGGGGGCGAGCCGCAGATGCAGTTCTGGTCGTTCACTGGACAACCCGAAGAGGCCAAAGCAGCGTTGGCGGCATCTTGCTTTGAGATGACGACATGTTAGTTCAAGGGGCGTTCTGACATTCTCGGTTCTTTGGTAAAGACTCACCGCACAAGCCGGCAACCCGCTCAACGCGCTGGTATCCGCCGGCGTCTGAGGCCTGGCCAGGGCGACAGCCGAGAGGAGAAATGGGAGCTTGATGATCGCACGATGCATTTTGACAAACGATGTAGATCCCTGCGTGAAATGGAAAGAGATCCTTCTGCACTGGATAGAATGGTTCAAAAGAAGAACAGAGTGACAAAGGTTACGCAAACGAGGGTAAGGGGGGTCGACTGGGCTCTTAGCAACAAAGAAACAGAATCAAGATCCGACACAAAGAAAGGCACGGTAGATGGCGGGAAAAGAGAAGCACGAAGCAGGTCCCGGGCTATAAAGATGTGCAATGCACGTAAACATTTGCTGATCGCGGCCGAGCGCAATGTGGAATGTGGGCTGTTGTCCTGTAGACCCGGACAACAGAGGGAATGTAGACGGATTCCATGACCTCGAGTGAGGGTCTTGCGCAGAGCATAGGAAGCTATCATGGTTCCGCAGAGGACATCAGAGGCTCTCCATGAAGTGCGAACAGTCCTGTCCTCGAGATGAAAGCAAGTAAGGATATGAGGTGGGAGATGAAGTCGCCGGCGCTGCGATGGAAGCAGATGATTGAAAGCAGCGACTGGCAGAACGCCAAGCCCCGCGGAACGGCCAGAGTTTTATCCGAGACCCTGCTGGACAATTTCCACTCTTAACACCGCCTTCCATACAGAGCACGTCCTCGACTGCCCCCCCCCCCCCCAAAACCCATGTAGGCAGGGAGTCTCTCTCGTCACTGATCTCTCTTCCGTTCTGGACACAGATAGCCGTGTTCCATGGCACTGTCCTGGCAGACCTGGTCGAGCCAGTTGACCCGGCAGTCCTCTTGATTCAGCCAGAAAGCGACGGGGGCGAACTTGTTGGGTTCGCAGCCGTTGCACCGGTCTGAGTCCGGGCAGTTGGCGTAGACGGTATGTTGGTAGCCGATGTCTCGAAACCTGACCGGGAACAGACAGAATCAGTCTACAAGAAAACCCATGCGGGACGCGGAGAGAGAGAGCGCATCAGACACAGAAAGGAGGGGGATGCCAAACCAGTGAATCCGGGAGATGTTCTCGAACAACCCCACGCCGATGCTGTGCACGGGCGCGTCCCCCCAGCGCTCGTAGAAGAACCCGTTGGCGCGGTCCAGATGGCGGAAGTACGAGTCGTACGCATCCCCCCGCCAGAAGTCGAGGTCGGCAATCTCGAAATTGCTCCAGAAGTGGCATGTGCTGAAGCCGTTGGCCCGCCGGTTGACCTCGGGCCTGTGCGTGCTGTCGGTCAGCCATTTCCACGCGTTGCGCCGGCCGAGGTGGTGCGGGTTCTGCGCGATGAAGTCGAGTGTTTCGGGCCACAGCGAGGGCAGAGTGTGCGGGTCGTCGTAGATGTTGATGGTGAAGCCGTAGACCTTGTCGTTGTCCGACAGGTATTGGAAGACGTCGTACTCGATGGGGCAAAAGAGCCTGCAGAGGTCAGTCAATCAGGCTCGAGTGGGCACTGGTGGGAGTTTTTTTTTCTCATGAAAGATCGAAAACACTTATTTACTTGATCCAGGGTTCAACCCGCCAGTAGTACCGAACGTGCGCGAGGGCAGGGTGTTTGTAGAAGAAGCCCGAGTACCAGCGGCACATTTGGTGATAGCTCAGGTCCGACGCGTGCTTGACGCCACGCGATTTCATGTCGAGGATGTGTTTGGTCAATTTGTCCGCGTCCACGGAGCCGGGTATATCCCAATGCTCGGACGGGATCTGCTCTGTTGGGGGGTGACGCTCATGAGAATCCCTTCGCGAGCGCCTCAATCAGGCCTGGATATCAAGCCGGGAGGGGGATCCCATACCGTAAAGACATGGCGCTCGTGTTTCCAATCGAGTCCGGCGCTTGAACTCTTCGGTGAAGGGCTGGTCGTTGAAGAAAATCCAGGGATATCCAAACTTGGCGTTGAAGTTTTCCTCCATCTGGCGCATGGAGTAGATCATCCCCTCCAGCTCCTCGGTCCGCACGAGGGCGATGATGGCGGAATCATTTCGTGGGGATGACTGGTTGCCCAGGTTTGAAACGTGCAAGAGCGGCGTCTTTGTAGCGGGCTCATTCATCGCTGTACAAAACAGGTAGAGACGTTAGAAACCGAATGCCAAAGCTTGACGAGCGGCTGGACGACGTGAGGGAACAGGGGCAGCCTTACGTATGTGCAACGCCCTGATGAGAATGTCCCCCGAGCTCAGAAGAAACCCTCGATAGAGGTACAGCAGCAAGGTAACACATATCAGGACGGAAACCAGACAAGTCGAAAACCTCTTTCGCCAATGCATGTCTGTCTGATGTTAGAGAACCGAGCAGCCATCCAGCTTTTCTCGTTCTAGAGCAGCCTTTCCTCGCAAAAAAAAAAGGAAGTCCTCGGTGGTCACCTCTCTCAACCGCCCCCTCCGGTCTTTGATTATAACAAGAAATCCTAAGCTTTTGTCTTTCCCTTCCCCTAAGCCGCGCGATAGATCATTAGCTCCTAAGGTCCCAAGGGGTAATTTACTACATCATTAACCAACCAGTCGAAACCGCGTGCGCAGGAGGTCAGATCATGGGAAAAGGGGAATAGCTGGGAAGGCGCAGCACTTTGGGCCACGTTAGCACAAAATTCCGAATCATAATGTGGGTGGAATCTGCGGCCAATGTACCCTCGATCGAGCAAAGCAATGCTGCAGCCTTCGCCTCATTTGGCAAGTCGCATCCCTAGGTAAAGCCGCACGAACCCGTCGTGACAGTAAGGGTCGCCGCGTCAGCATCTGGCTTGGCTGGCGGTTAATCTCCGTCCTCAGATTTCTCGGCTAGTGGCTAGAATCGACGGTGGGATTGTTTACTCGTGACTGTGTTTTCGAGGCATCATTACTATGTGGACTTGAAGATCCACCGGTCCCTCAAGTGATGGTAACGAGGCCACCTACAGAATGGGAGGTTAGGTGTGTGCAAAGACCCAAACAACTGTTCGACGCCGTTTCCGCAGCCTCAGAATATGTCGCGGTGGACTAGGTGCGATGGACTGATAGGACCAACCTGATGGAGTGGGAGAGGTACCTCGTACAAAGCTTGATGGCTACGACTAATCCTTGCTCGGGCGGTGAAAGAGGACACACCGACATTGCTATTGTCACGACTGACAGAGACCTTTATCTACTATAGTGCGTAGTATTCGCCTATGATTGGCGAGATATTCCATCGTTTTGCCGAATGGCAGGGAACGAGCACTATCCTGACTGCTATACTACTACCATCATTGTTGCAACGCCCCTGAGAGCGTTAGGGAAGAATCCGTAGAACCAGGCACCGTTCTGCCAGAGGGAGAGTTTTTGTTATACAATGCTCTCGCGCTTGGTTTGACCAGATATCTAGCTAACCCTCGAGGCTTGTGGTTCCAAAGTGATGATATTCTTGAGAATTGTGGTCTTTCGCTCGTGGCATTTGAATGTCTTCATACACGTCTATCATTCTCTGCGGCTGCCAGAATCGGCTCCAAATTTTCTTCCTCACATTTCTCCGCGATCCTCACCAGGTGCACCCCCATTCTGGCCTCCAATGTTTATGCATTCCAGTTCTTCGGCGTCCTTCCTTTGCCCTTGACTCTTGCCTGACACCCTAGATTGGTCTGTATAGCTTGTTTTTCCGCCTTCTCAAAAGAATCCACCGGTACAAGTGCCGTGTGACAAGAAACAGCGGCAAGACGACCGAGGAATCTTGCTGACCTCAACGGGTTTTGGGCGGTTCCGTGTTGGGAGGCGCCAGGATAGGTTCTCCTGAACCACCAGTGTATACTCGTTCTGGAGCCGCTGCTGGTAGATAACGTAATTCATAGTCGGAGTTTGGTCCACGCTCTTCATCTTGGGGTGGCTCATTTTCTGGGATACCATGACCCTTGAGCTTCTCTCTAGAACGCCAGGGGAATGGTCCGTATCCTCGCCGAGCAGGAAGGTGGTATAACCGGAAGCTGGCCCATCCGATAACTGTCCCTATGACGGCTCCACTAATGATGTCGAATCCCGCGTGGTGGAAATCTGCGTATCTGCTAGCACAGATGAAAAGCGCCGCGAAAATGGGTGCAAGTGTGACGGCAATTCGCCAGAGAGACGGTGCTGCTTGCTTTTGCTTCGCCCAAGCGACTGTACCCCAGCTGTCACTTTCTCGTAGACCTCGCTGCGGCGTAATATCAGGGGAAGGTATTCCACTCGAGAAGCGGGCGTAGAGCCATAGGCTGAGGTAAACCATGCCGGCGGAGGAGAAGGAGGAATGTCCCGAAGGGAAGGCTGCGAAGCCGTCGTCAAGGAGGCGTTTATCGGATTGTCTGCAAATGCCGGAGGAGACGAGCGACTCGGCTTCCGAGTTGAGCGAGTTTCCAAATCCACCCACGATATATTGAGATATGCTCGACAAGTCGGGAGCACAACGTGCTAGGAGATTTGGTCGAGGTTTCCCAACCATGTCTTTCAATCCAGCAGTCACGAAAAGCGTCGTGGCCAGGGCCGCACAGAGACCCAGCCAGCCGACATGCACTTCCCACACTACCTTGCGCCATCCATCTTTTCCTGTACGATTTGGATTGCTCTTGAAAGCTAGTCCACCGAAATTCACGACCGCAATGATGCCTGCCGGTGCAAGTAAGGCGACGACAAAGACGACGGGTATCGATACAATATCTGGCTTGTTCGGGTAGGCGATCGCAGCGTCAGTAAGCGAAAAGGGTCTGTGATAGCCGCTGATATAGTTCAAGACACCCCCGGCAGCTGCAAAGATGCTATTCAGACGGCCACTGGTATTAGACAAGAGCTTCCATGGGTTTCGCGGGGGGAGAAGAGAGACTCACGCAACAACGGCCCAGTCAAAGAGATAGGAAAAAAGGAGTCGAATGGCGAAGGTTGCTGCCATCGTTGAAAGATAGCAAGTCTAAAGGCCAAACCGGCACATACCATCTACACCCACAGCTTTGCTGCTAGGATTCTCTGGGGCTCGTTTAATTTGAGTCACAATGCCGTCGTAGGGAGATTTGCGGTGGTGCTGGGCGAGGAGATTTCGAAGCCAAGAGAGAGCTTAGAACTTCTTGAAGGGATCGAACTTGAGATCAGAGTGTTGAAGACCGACGGAGAATGGGAGGGCGAGAGGGATCATATGGTCGGGGCTGGTCTAACAGGCCAGTGTCGACCCGCCGGAAATTGTCGATCCCCCTTGATGACAACTGGTTGACACGCATTCTAAAGCTAGACTGATCATGCACAGCACGCTGGGGCTGGGGATATGAGGACTCGAGGATCGTTCAAGGGAGACATCTGCCAACGGGGAATCTGCCTTGCCATTGGGTGGTCGCGTGCCTCATTCCGCCATGATTAACTGGAAGCCGCGTGTATGCTCTTGGCAGGCTTGCTTGCCCTGGCAAGCTGCCTGCCGATTGAGACATCAAGATCGATCCCTCCTGGTTTCCATTGCACAGATGCAGATGGCGTAGAGTTCAACCCAGCCAATGAGAGACCCGTAGTGACAACCAGATGAGGGTCCTTTGCCAAAATCTGTACCCGTGCAAGACCTAGAAGAACCGAATCTGTTCACCAGCTTCTGTAGCTAAGACTGATTGGGATTCCTCGACAATCGCCTAAGGCTGTGAGCCTCGAGACCCTAAGACAGGTGGGAGAGTAGACAGCGACGACGAGGTAGACAAGGTCAGCGCTGGTGCTAGCTTGGAAGGAATATGCTCAGCTGTTATACGAGGGGCTGGGTGGACAGAGCTGGGAGACCATCCCGCTGCCCTCGCTTTGCCATTGGGGGTTTCTCTGACATTCTTCCTCTAACCCAGCGTCTCGATCAGGGATATAGCGAATCCCTACCGAAAAAGCGGGTTCCTGATTACCCCTTGTGGCAAAAATGCCAAGCTCAGTCGGCCGAGCCTCCTTCGCGCGAGAAGACAATAAAGCCCGGACCGACGACGAGGTTGAGAAAAAAATCCCAGGTCTGGTAGTGGGCATGGTAGCATGGTAGCGTGGGGGGTAGTCTTGGGTAATTGACTACTATCAAGAATGACAATTATCAAATGCGAGCTGGAAAAAAATTGTCAAGAAGCTCCAAAGAGGGCCTCGCACAAAGAAGGCTAGCAGGATTGACGTCCGCTGGTCTTCAGAGATTACAAGATGGTAGAGCGCGTTTCGTCTCAGTGCAGCTTATGGATGATATTCCCCAGGAGCAAAGACTACTCTTACTGGAAAATTAAGTCCAGATCGGCGACTCTGCCAGAAACGAGCGAAGGCAACCGGAGGGGCCAGCTGGCTCCAGATCAGTCATTAAGCATGAGCATCCGTCGTCGGCGCAGCCCCGATGGTCACCAGTTTTGGGCCCTTGGGTCCCGCCTTGCCGGTGAAATTGGTGTATATGTGCCACACCTCTCCGTCGTCGTCAGTCTCGGTCATGACGACACTCAGATTGGCGGCCGTGGGAGACACGTATCCCACAAGCGTCCATTTGTACTCGTCAAAGTAACCGTACTGTCCCAGCCAGATCGGCCCGCTGTCCCAACAATCGTCACCGGGGACGCCAGGGAAGTCGAGGTAGTTGTTGTCTGGCCTTGTCCCAATCCAGGTTCCGGCGATGTCGTACCCATCCCCAGCTTTGGTCGCGTTGATCTGCCAGCCTTGGGGTTCGCTGTACCATTCGTCTGACGATGATTGGAAGACCACGCTGATGTTGTCGTTCGACTGCTCGGGCATGACAAAGTAGAAGGTGTTGTTGTCATACTTGGTCCGGTCAAGCGTGGCATTTCCAGGAACAGTCATGCCACCAATGAGCAAGGAGTTATTCAGCGGTTGCCAGGTTTTGTCGGGGCATTCAGAGGCCGGTCCGCCGGTCAGGGTGAGCTGTCGATGGCTGTCAGTTTGTGTCTCGACAAATGTACGACGACGATCCAGCTCGAGTGGGACGCTCTTTTCGACAGTGACGGAGTCCTTACGGTGGTAGTGCCATTATACCAGGCAAGGTACGGCATCATGGCGTCATCAATGAATGCATCGCAATTGTATGAGTTTGAACTCGCTCCCCTATCGGTGAAAACGGTGAATCCTAAACCCGTCAGTGGTGGTCGACTGGGTCCAATCCGAAGAACAGGGTGTCTTACTGCCACAGTCCTGACCCAACACTGCCGTAACAAGAGTGAGGCCGGCGAGGAGTACATGTTTCATCGAGTAAGTCATCTTGTTGTCTGACAACGAGCAGCTTCGAGAACCAGAGAATATACTTGGTAGAAGAGATGAAACGCTCAGACGAGGACGAGTGCAGTGCACGGGCGAGCTATATATCTATTTTCCACCTCTGCCTCGAGGAGGCGGCATCCTGAGCAGGGTGGTAGAACGGACAAACTTCAGCCGCTGCAACAGAATCGACCGACTCCACTTCCGGCAGGTATAGACACAGAACTTTGCATAGCGCCTCCTCTCGCCGGCTTCGGCGGCACCCAAGAATGAAAACAGGACTGGATGCTTGGAATCTTGCTGGTGCAAAGCCAAACATGAAGGGACGATAGGGCCTAGCTCTGGTTCATTGAAATGACTTTGAGCGCTGGGTGCATCGAGGCAAGGAGGCGTGACAAAAGTCCACGACTGAATAGGCATCGCTGGGAACATACTTTTGCACTTTCGTAAAACAGCGGCAGGTGTCGCCTATCAGCAGCTGGCTGCTGAGGGTGGTGCGTTTGCCTGCTTGAACCTTGACGGCGCAGCTTGAGGGCGCTGTATTTTCACAAGCGAGTCCATTGACCACTTTTGCTGCCTTATCGTCTCTGCGACTCCCACAGTAACTGGCTTCGATCACTTCTCTGTGAGGCACAATTGAGCGGTTCATTCCCCAAAGGCCAAGGTAGTGGTAGAGCAGCTCCCTTGTCTGATTCATACAAGTCCAAGCTTCCCCCCAAGCGAATAGAGCATTTTATCGACAAGCCTTACCAAGCAAATTGCTTGTGAGAGCTAAGAATTGTGTCATGGCAGTGCTGCGTGGTGCTATCCGCCCTGTAGGGCTGACTCAACTAGCAGCACCAGAGCCTCAACCTAAGAAGCGAGACGGCCGACGACACGAGGCAGGCTCTCACATGGTTGGGGGAGCTGCCTGGGCCGCTCGGTCATGTGCTAGAGACAGTGGTGTCCGTTTTGTCCAGTAGGGTAGAGTTCGAGTATGGCCATGTGGATAGTGGGAGTCTGATGTTGGAACAGGATACGATAGCTGGCTCCTCAGCTGAAGGAATTCACGGAAGAGGGAGTAGAGAGGGCCAGTGAAAGGAGTCTTCTCTCGTATTCGCTTCCAGGATGCTCTGGCCAGTGCAGAGGGTGTCAGTCCTGTCGATTCATCAATCTGAAAGGACTTGAATCATGGGCCGCTCTGGGTGGCCTTTCATCTTCATGGAGAAGGAAAAGTAGCCGAGGACAGAAGGCTCTGCGGTTCTAGAACTTTGCCAGCCCTATCATAAGCGCGGGCGGCGGAATACTTTTTCGCAGGTCGTCCAGCTGAAGAGGCGGAACGTGTCAGTTGCAGATGTGGTATAGTCGGCCTTGGCACGGCGGCGCCAAGGCGGAGAGGAAGTCGAGGATGAGTGGCTTACCCAAAAGGGAACACATCGGATTTTAGTTTTTCCGTTGATTCCCATTTTTCTCCCTCCCCTTGGTGGCAGATATTAATCCCCAAGGAGCACAGTCAATTTCATATCGTCAACTGAAGGGTATGTCCTCCGGAAGAGATGACGGGGTCTCAAGCGCAAAACACGCAGTCTTACCACCATCAGTTCCCATTGCTGGAACCATTGCTCAGACAGCGTTATCCCTCCGCCGGACCCGTCGTCGACGAGCTCATTCAGAAACCCTCCTACAGTTTCATGATCAGGCACTGAAAGTATTCAAGGACCTTGTTGTGACACTAAATATAATCAACTTGTCACCACAGGAAACCCGAATTCCAGGGAGACTGAATGGTGTCCAATCGTGGTGGCCCGGAATTTATGACAAAAGGAGTCAGACCACCTGGAGCCCGACCATATGGGTAGCATGACCGTAGCAATTGCTGTTCTATCATTCTGTCCTCGCCCAGAGAAAGGTGGAGAGAGAGGACTCTTGTCCAGGTAAAACAGAGGAGGGTGAGCAAGTTTTCTCAGGCACCTCGACGACTACTAGGGAGGAGTCAGACTAAGATAGGGGAGAAATGGGAGAAACGGGAGCGTGGCGGTGGGTCTTTGAAGCCCGAACGGCGCCCTTTATGGCGCCCCTGTAAGCCTCGTGGATTTGATGGGTAGCGATCATTAATTAATCAATTAATCGAAGGTCTATCCTGGCTGCAAAGTATCAAAGTATCAAATCGTGAAAAGTCCATGATATAACAAAATCACCCGCCGAGGCAGACACGACATACGCACCTTGTCGTCGCTCGCTGTTTACCTTGCATGGCACCACTCTTATCGTCTCCCCTGCTGCAGACCCTTCTCGCCCTCGGCCTGTGCGCGGCCCAGACTGCATCAGCATCAGCATTAGCATCACCAGCAGCAGCAGCACGGACCGTGACCTATGACTTCAACATCTCGTGGGTAGCTGCCAGCCCCGATGGCTTCAGCCGGCCGACCATCGGCGTCAATGGCCAGTGGCCGCCTCCCACCATCAGCGCCGACCTGGGCGACACGGTCGTGGTCAACGTGGTCAACGCGCTGGGGAACCAGTCCACCTCTCTGCACTTCCACGGCCTGTTCATGAACGGGAGCACCGAGCTCGATGGGCCTGCTCAGGTCAATCAGTGCCCCATTCCGCCCGGATCCTCATTTACGTATCAGTTCAAGGTGTGTGTGTGTGTGAATAACCCAACCCCAAAAACTATACCACCCCCCCCCCCCCCAACCCCCCCTTCTTCCTCCTCCCAACCACCACCAAACAATCATCTGGGGTTATTGAAACGTGTGTGCTTTTTGCAAACTTCTAGGCTACCCAGCCTGGCCTCTACTGGTACCACTCCCACGTCCAGGGCCAGTACCCCGACGGCCTGCGCGCACCGCTGCTCATCCGCGACCCGGACCATCCCTACCGCGGGCAGTATGACGACGAGGTGCTGCTGTCCGTCTCGGACTGGTACCACGACCAGATGGCGGTCCTGATCCCGCAGTACCTGCACGGTGGGAGCATGATGTCGCAGGAGCCCGTGCCGGACGCCAACCTGCTCAACGATACCCAGGGCCTCCGCATCGCCGTCGTGCCCGAGCGGACGTACCTGGTGCGACTGGTCAACATGGCCGCGTTTGCGGGCCAGTACTTTTGGATCGAAGGCCACTCGGTCAGGATCGTCGAGGTGGACGGCGTCTACACCAAGCCCGCCGAGACGGCCATGATATTTCTCTCCTCGGGCCAGCGGTGCAGTTTCCTCGTCACTACCCTGGCCGGTCGGGACAGGAATTATCCCCTGGTTGCTTCCATGGACCCGGTATGCGTCGTCCTGATCAACACCCTAGTCATGCGGGCATTGTTCAACTGATGATCCTTGCAGAGCTTGACCAAGATACGCAATAGTGCAAGTCAGAACGCGACAGCATGGCTGGTCTACGCCCCCGACCAACCGCTGCCACAGCCTCAGATCATTGACGAGTTCGATCCCTTGGACGATGTCACATTAGAGCCGTACGATGAGATGCCTTTGCTCCCTCAGCCGGACCAGAGCATCGTTCTGAGCCTTGGAATGTCACACGCTGGTGGCATCAAGTAAGCTGGGCCCCTCCTTTCGCTCCCGCGAGTCGTTGGAACGCTCCACAACTGACTGACTTTTCCCCCAGATGGTTCTTCAACTCGACAAGATACACAGCCCCGGAAATCCCATCACTATACACAGCCTTGTCCAGTGGGCCATCCGCAACGAACCACTCCATCTACGGCTCCACCACCAACCCGTTCGTCCTGCAGCACAACTCGGTCGTCGAGATCATCCTCTATAATCACCACATGGTTCGTCACCCTTTCCATCTGCATGGCCACAATTTCCAAGCCGTCTACCGCTCCCCGAAGAAGGCAGGCAGCTTTTTCGACAGCGGCCTGGTCGAGGGTGACTTCCCGAGGACCCCGATCAGGCGGGACACTCTCTTACTGGAAAACGGAGGCTTCATGGTCCTAAGGTTCAGAGCCGACAACCCTGGCGTCTGGCTCTTCCACTGCCACATGGAGTGGCACGTAGAAACAGGCTTGGTTGCGACCTTCGTCGAGGCGCCGCTAGAGTTGCAGGAGCAACACAGGGACCGCCCACTGCCCGCGCTCTCGTGTGGCTCGCCAGACAGCCACGAACACGAGGAGGATGCGGGTGTGCCTGAAGAGGAGCACGAAACCAGTCCGGAATCCCAGGAAAGCAAAAAGGCTGGCAGAAGGTGAGTTGGACAACACCCTTTCAAGACTCTGATTATACGCATCTCCCAAGGCGAAGTATCACTAACTCGGCTTCTGCATGATAGCTCCACGATCTCCACCGCGGTGTTGGTGATGGTTGTTTTCATCGTTGCAATGGCCGGTCTCGCTTTCACCGTGCAGCTCCGCATCAAGAAGAGGCGGTCCGGATCGACCAAGCAAAACACAGCGGCACCCAACGCCAATCTTCAGGTCGAACAAGAGCGCCTCCTGGAAAGTTCCACAAGCTGGGAAAGTATGGACGTCTTTGACGAGGGCTCGGTCATTGAGTCTGCGAAGCCGCCCCTAGATTTGGAAGAGATGGGCAGGGGAAGCCGATGATAATAATGGCGCCGAAACGACCTGCAAGCGCACGCTCACCCCCTCCTACCTCGTCCTGGCTGTTGAACCGTGCTGTACAAAAGAATTTTTGCTGTAACTGGACGTTTCCGCCTCCATGGCTTTTCTTCTCACCTCAGTGATTGTTGGGGCTGTTGGTTATGATGGACATATATTGTATTCGTACCATGTTTTCATGTCTGGAGCTTTCCACAAAACAAAAAGACACATGTATACGTGGGACCTAGTCGAAAGATAGATCCACCGGATGCTTGATTCTTGAAGCGACCGCCTCACTAACCGCTTTGGAAAATATGCCCAACCCGCAACTCGATGTCCACCTTCCTGGCAAGAGCGGCTTGTAGAACATTGGATCTGATCGCTGGTAATTTGTAGCTGGACGATCCGACGAGATGGAGTAAGCGGCAGGGGGCCCTGTGCTTCTCTGAGAACGATGTGCCCTTGCTAGCACCCTCGGATGATAGAGACAGGCTTCGGGTCTGTCATTTGTCGCACATCCGACATGGAGCCGGACGCGGCGCCATTTAGCGGTAGCTGTCAACAGTCAATAGCCGGACGTTAGGAAAACCTCCAGATACCCCTTCGAGGCAAACGAACATTTGCTTGGATGAAGAAATGCACAGAGGCTTTGGGCCGAGGAATCATTGGCTTTTTCTCGCTTTTGATAGCTGCCGTAACGGCCAAAGCACCTCTGGCCACCCCATGAATTCCTAAGAATTACATTCGAGACTGCAATTGTCTGAAACACATCGAATTTCACAGTCTCACGCGCAAGGATCACGCAGCACACAGGTCTTGACCTTTCCGGGGGAACTGCTGGGAATCTATTCCTGTTTCAAATCGTGCTACATATTTCTGGGCAGGTGTCACCATCAGAGCTAAGCTCGTCCCTCACTGGTCTTGATGCGATCCCCGTCGCTAGTACTGATTTTATGCTCGAGGGATTGAATTGGCCGACCATTGAAACGGGCTGCTGAAGACTGGCGCATCCGGATAGATAGCCATCTCGCGGGGAATCCTAGATTCAGGGCCTGTGGCGAATTCCGAAATCTCCCGACGCACAAAATGCGAGATCTGAGAAGCAGACACCGTATCCTCGCGCCAGCCCTGCTCAAAAGGGCGGTTGTATATATTGGACACACCCTCTGCAACCTGGTCTAGAGTCGGCTCCATCCGAAAACGGGCAGGGCCATCCATTGACGGTTGTTCCAAGCTGTCTTGCATTGCTGAATCGGGACCTGTTCCAGTGGTGGGATCCTCGAGAGGAGACTTCAAAGCATTGTAGTAAAAGATTAGCATGTCATGATAGCCTCTGGCAACGACGTCGCCTTCTGCGCAATAGTCCAGAGTGTCGAGGCAGGTTTGTGCGCTAGAAAGCTCTTCTTCGTATTCAGCCGGAGAGGCCCCATGGAGCCGCTTTTGGGCGACGTGGAACAGCAACATGGTGCATGCGCTAAAAGACTGGTATATTGCCAACCAGCAGCGCTTGAAAAGCGAGTTCTCGGAGAGGAAAAGAGCAAAGATTCGCGAGGACTGAGTGGCCACGTCCAGAGCGTCCTTGGCATAGCCCAATGCTTCGACGACATCTCCGTCTAATTGCCATGTATCACCCTTCTGCATGGTCGCGAGGTAAAGGGGATGACGGCGATAAAGAAGAAGCAGTGCCCCAAGATAGTTGAGATGCATGAGGAAAATGCTCCGTCTTTGTACCGGCGTCAGATATTGATTATGGATCAATGATTCCAGTTGCATGAGCGGAGGTAGCTTGCTTAACCAGTCAACGATCTTTAGTTTGTACTCTCGAGTCGCGATGAGACTGAGATCCTTTCGTAAAAAGACGTTTCGAAGTACGCCAGTCGTGAGCACGCAAATGGATGTCATTTGCTCTTGTGCAATCGATTCAAAGACCGGGTGATCTTCTCGCACGGTGAACGATTCCTCAAACCCAGGTTGAAAAGCCTCCACAATCGCAGGGCTTCTGCCAAGGGTCGAGGCGAACCAACTGTCAGAGCCCGTGAGTTAGATTTCTGCTTGTTGCTAACCTAGGACAAATTTTGTGCTTACCAGCCCAGGAATGTCAAAGTTCTCAAAACCTTTCTCTGCGCGATCCACTCTTCGGGCGATGTAGAAGGAGGGGGTCCGTCCAGGTGGAGTCCCCGGAGCCTCGCCAATTTCAAGCCAGTCACTGGTCAATGTCAGTTAACTCTGTTCTTCTGTGATTCGAGTTTGAAAGAAGCTCCGCGTACAGGTCCACGTCCACGCTGTCAGGCGTTTGTCCATCGCACAATATATGGCTAGGCAGCACAGCACGCGCATGCCCAGCACTTCGTCCTCTTCAATGCACTCGTCGAGATAGAATTTCGCTGTTTCGTAGTACGACCGCCTCAAAGACCGCTCGATTTTGGCGTCGTCATATTGGCTAGCCACAGACGCCAGCGCACATAGGGCACCTAGTGAGGCTTTTGTAGGACCCTCGGGGCTCAGATACACTGATCGAAAAAGTTCCGCTGCCTCGTCGGGAGAAAAGATGTAGAATAAGGTGCCGGTGCATGAAAAGAAATAGTCGATTAATATCTGTGTTGTGGAAGCATTTGCCAGTTTGTGATTGTTGAGAATCTCTACGGGGGTCGAGGCGGTTTTGTTTTGAAGTCTTTCCCGACCCACGTGCAGACTGAAGAGCCTGGCGAGTTGCTCTGGTAGGACAGTCATCTTCTCTATCTTGCTGGAAAGATGGGATGCAAAGTGACAGCCAGAAGGGAGGCTTTGGATACTCCTTAATGTATATAATGTGGGTGGCGATAGATGTCCGCTAGCGTTAGGTAGGGATTGAATTTTGAATAGGCTTGTTGCTTCCCCTCGGACTATCTGGTATCAGCGACTCATCGCGGAGGCCGGCGGGGCTAGTGAGGCCTAATTTGACAGATCCCCTGGCTTTGGGAGGTCTGGACCGGAAGGAAGTTCCAGAATTCATGTAACTGGGTGGTAAGGGATGGAGAGGGATGGGGTGATGCAGCACCCCAGAACGGCCTGGATTCCCCAAAACCTTCCGAATCGTCTCCGAATAATCCGGCATCCGATACCTCCACATGTTCCTAGAGGTAGCAATATCAGGAGCCGAATTCTTGTCCCAGGGTGACGTCCAGTCAACTCGTATGATAGGTAGTTAATTTGTGTGAGTTGAAATGAACCCACCTCACGACTTACTGGCGTTGCGTTTCCTAGGATCTCGGTGTTTTCCGTTTGGAAAGCCAAGACGACGATGTTTGTCCAGCAAATCCGTGGCGAGCAGATTTCTCAAGGTGCGACATACACCTAGAGTCAGGCATAGGCATGCCCATCTTTCGGCGAGACATAACTCTGCGCTTCTCGGTACATCGCTGTTCCCGTAGTGCTAGACGTCTGAGGCGTCATTGTCACAAGTAGCCATGACGCAACTTACTTCTATGTGGTGACGCCGCCAATTGTCGAAAATATGCCTGCCATTAACGATTCGTAACGTCAGGTAAAAGGCGAGAAGAAATAGTCGTCTTTCCAGCGATGCGGTCGTACTGATGCGGGCTTGTCGACGTCCGGTCGCGCGTCACTCATATTGTTGTCCATGTTTGTAGCTGCAGGTTTGTGACTGACCGCAAGAGTCACACTTGAGGAGCATTCTGGGACGGCGACGACATCCGATATGGTCTCATGCTTTCCAAACAAGGCCTCAACTATCGCAGCGGATTTTGCAATCGGCGATCGGACGGTCTGGGATTCGAGTCTCGCGAGCCACGCCCGAGCCCATTGCTGTCGTTTACAAAGGTCTTGAAAGGCTTCTACCACGATCAACAGGTCCTTTACGGCCGACACAAAACAATCGAGATGTGTGCGATAAGCGTCAAGCATGGCTTGACACATTATGGCGTTGATACCCCTCAGGCCGTGAAGACTGCGATAGCGGCTGAAGAGGTCAGTAATCGTCTTGGCAGAATGGCGACAGATCTGGAGAGCCGTGTCCCTAAGGCTGGCTCGGCCAAGGACCACAATCTGTCGAAATGATTGTATCATGCAGCCATGATACCACATGTGGATTGATATTACGTATGCTGAAGCCGTGTCACTGACGGCGAGTGAAGCTGGTAAGTTGCTGTACCAGGCCTGGTACCTGGACTCCCAATGCCCGATATCGATATCCTTGTGATGAAAAGAAGGTCTCGGCTGGAGCAGGGTCATTTGCACAATCTTGGCAAGATCCGCGAGATAGACCCAAGACCCGCTGCGGTCACCGCAATTCAAAAACGGCGCCAGGGTCGTTAAGGGGTTCCGGGGCCCCGTTGCGGAAACGGTGTCGATACTCGGGAGTTTTATCTCAATATCATCGACGACGATTTGAGGTAGGCAGCCCGCGTTGTTTGAAGCCATCCTGTACAGACGTTAGCTTATTGGTGCTTTCAACTACCTTCCCCAAGCTCACTGATCAACTTGGAAACAGACCCAGAACAGCTGCTGCTGCACAGCAGCAAGGGTCCATTCGTTTGCGCCGGCCATGACTTGCTCCTTCTCGCTCAGTCTTCCCATGTGAAGACCCAGAAAGAGCGCCATGCACGAAGCTCGAGCCGAAAGCTTGCAGGCCAGCTGAAAGCGAAGGTTCAGGATCTCAACCATTGTGAGAAGGCTCAGTGCTGCTACGGCAGTCAAACTCGGTTCGGGTTGTTCTGATAACAGTCGTTCGGCTTCAATGGAAAAGGCTTTTGCAGACGGCCAGGGATCGTTGCTGCTCTTGACGTCGTCTTGCAAGCCTAGAAACGTGCAGGCAACAGCGAGTACGGCGTTGATTAGCACAGGCGAGCAATATTTCATTCTTCCAGAGGTCATATCGGCTCGAATTAATGGTTCAGGAATGACCGGGCAAATAGGGTGATGGTAGGTGAAGTACAGGTTCAGCAGATAGCTAATGATCTCAGGATTTTGAGTTACCGTGGTCCATTGAACTGAATTTCGCCCACTGAAACTGAAAACAGTCGTGGCTTGGTCGAAAGGCTGCAGGATACCGTACAGGGAGAGTACAGAAGACGGGTCTTTAGATTGTGGCAAGTCGTATACCTTTTCCATGTGTTGCCTGGAGATCGCAGCCGGTTGAGCAACAACTCCCTCGCTACACTTGAGCGCGGTGGAGACGTCAGATCCAGAGCGCAAAGACCGCAGGATCTCTACCGCTTCCCATTCAGAAGACGTGCGGATGGCGTGGAGAAGCCTCTCCAACTCTGTTTTTGACTTATCGCGCTCTGCCTCCAAGTTCTGCCGATATTTCCTAGTCCGGTGGTCGGTGGTGCGGTAGAGACACTCCTGATTAGAACCTAGACAATGTTTACATGGTTGGCAGCCATCACACTGGAAGAGTACCCTTTTGTTAGCCCAAGGCCAGCAAAACACTCTGCTTGTTTGATGAAACAGTCGCCGACGTACCTTACGCCGCGCTTTCCTGCAGGACTGGCAGGCAGAGGAGATTTTTGTTCGTCGTTTCGACTCTTGAACGAAGCTCGCCGCCGGCGTCAAATCTGGCGAGGGCTGAGACAGTGGCGAATGCTCTGATGGTAGCGTTGCCGGTCGTAGTGGCCGTGAAGATAAAGACATTGACGTAGGAGAGGAAGATTTGGGATGACTGATCATAACACGGCAAGGAGCTATTCAGCACATGGTGCTGCCAGACATATATGGGACCTATGGGTAGGCGATGCACGCTGTCCTCAGCCTCGGACCACGGCGCGTGTTCACGGGACTGTGTGAGAAGTGCATCGACTAAAACGGCAGCCAAGGGAGGCGAACCGCGGCGTAGAGAAACTGGGGATGGACGTAAAAGCTCTGAGAGTAGCAGGCAATTGAATGGAATCTGCTTGTAAGTCCTTGGGTCAAGTCGTTGAGGTTCCGTCCATCCTTGCATCAGACAACAACACCAGGAATATCGATCCGGATAATTGGTTCCGGCGTGGCTTAGCTATGATTAAAGCAGCATCTGTTAAATCACAGTGTGGAGGAACATGGGAAAGGGGACTGGATAGGGCGGCGAGACCGAGGCCGAATAGGAGAGAAATATTTAGCCGGGCCATCTCATCTAATCTTGATAAGATCCTGACGGCAATGCCTCCACGGGATTGCTTGCAGCTCAGTCACTTCTGGCTCTTTGTGTAACTTTTCGAGCTCTATGGACGACGCTGTATTACCTGAAGAATGTCTTCAGATCCTCCGCCTCCCCTTGCAATCTTCTGACAGCCTCGTCGGATCCCTCGCAGACACTGGCGGTGTACCGCAATCGGAACATATACGCAAGATCATCGCAGCCATCCTGTGGCACCGCAAGTTCATCTTGACATATTATGGATGCATTGTCGTCGCAGTTGCGATTGCGGAGGGGGTTCGTTTCTACAAGAAGCAGAGAAGGAACAAAAATGTCAAGAGAACGATAAAACATGCGGTGGTCGCAGCCAGCTCGTCGTCATCATCATCAAGCAGTACGTTGAACGGGACAAGCACACCTTCGCAAAAAGAAGTCGGCTTCGACGATGGAGAGATGACGCCCTTGCTCTCTCCTCCATGTCCGGCTTCTCGAACGAGACCAGCTGTTCAGGATCTACTGAAGTCCCTCTTGATGTTCCAGCCTCGACCCATTCCAGCACTCACATCTCCCTCGAATACCCTCCCTAACAACGTCACCACCCTTGCCGTTCTCTTCTTCCTCGCTGTCAACCTCTTCTATCTCTTCTACCGCGTCCCACTATCACTGCCATGGATCTTCATCCTCGCCGATCGAGCTGGGCTGCTGTTCGTTGCAAATCTTCCAGTTCTCTACTTCCTGGCCGCCAAAAATAACCAACCCCTCAAATACCTCACAGGATGTTCTTACGAGGGTCTCAACATCTTCCACCGTCGTCTTGGTGAATGGATGACTTGCTTCGCCGTCATTCACATGTGTGGGATGCTTGCTGTTTGGTACACCATCCTCCGGCCCTTGGGGTTTTCTCTGCTCCGTTACCTCAGTGCAAGACTTGTTTTTCTCGGTATCTGTGCTGTGATATCTTATTATCTCATCTACATCACGAGCGTCGGGTGGTTCCGTCATCTCTACTACGAAACTTTTTTGGTTGCACACATCATTTTCCAGCTCGCCGCCCTGATATTCCTTTTCTTCCACTATCCTACAGCTCGCCCATACGTGTGCACAGCGTTCGCCGTCTGGGCCGTTGACAGACTCCTTTGGCGCATGACAGTGTCGTCTCGAAGATTCACTGCAACACTAGAAGTCCCTCCTGATGGCCACACTGTTCTGGTCCATTGCGACGTCCCCTTATACCACCAAGGACCGCCAATTGTGGGTGTACAAACAAATCTGCATCACGGATGGCGTCCCGGTCAGCATGTGTTCCTCACCATTCCCTCCATGGGCTTCAAATACCGTTTCCAAGCGCACCCTTTTACGATAGCTTCCCCGGCGCCACCGGAAAATGCAGCGGCCATAAAATCATGGCCTCTCCAACTCACGATCCGCGCAATAGACGGTTTCTCCCTTTCCTTGCTCCACTACGCCCGCCACCATCAACACTGTGAAATCGTCCTCGATGGCCCATACGGCAGCACCTCAGTGCTAGCTGCAGCGAAAGCGGCTGATCGCGTCTGCTTCGTTGCCGGAGGCAGCGGCATCGCAGTTACCTATCCGCTTTCCTGGGCGATCCATGTCCGAACGGGGAGCAACGCAGATGCCGGGCTCCTTCTGAGCACAAGGACCACATACGAGAACGGGGTGAAGAGGACACCAACCGTGATTGCAGATTGTTTTCCGTGGGCACCGGACTCAACGTACGCGCATTTCTGGGTAAGGCAGGAGAAGTTGCATGGACGGTGGATCTGCACAGTGCCGCGAGCGAGCGCGGTCAAGTCAGGCTACAATGAAGAAGATGCTCACGAGGCAATGGACCGTCCCGCCGCACAAGAAGGACGTTGCGACGACGCCGGGAGTTTAGTAACACGGACCTTCGACACAAGGTCTCCCAGCTGCGAAGGTGGCCGGCCAGATATGCAGAGCGAGATCTACAGCTGGGTTACGTCCCTTCCCTCCCCGCCCTCGGCCCGCGCGCCTGGAATTTCTTACTCCTCTTTGCCACCATCATCCTCCTCGTCTTCCACCACGCTGGAGGAAGACCAACCAGATCCATCCCCTACTTCATCATCCTCCCTGCTGAGCCCCCCAGCGCTACAAAGCCCCGACGCCAACTTCAGGAACACAAAAGACTATCCATATCCACAAAAGGATAGAGATACGACCCCGGGCAGGAAGGGGGATAAGATCTGCATCATCGTCTCCGGCCCAGACGGCCTAGTGCGCGACGTGCGTAACGTCGCGGCCGATCTTGTCCGACAAGGAGGCTGGGACATTGAAGTGTGGGCCGAGAAATTCGGATGGTGAGGCAAGGGGGATGGTGACGGGGGGATTCAGGGTGGCCAAATGGGACATTATGGCGTGTAGGAGGAGCGTCTGATGAGCAGGCTACTCTTGCTAGCCTCCCACTCCTTGGATACGCAGAAGAAGGCTTGCATTGGGTTGAGGTGGTTGGTTGGTTGATTGTTCCGGCCGGTCGGCGCTAGATGTTGGTTTGACAGATTTACACGGGAGCAACCTAGACAGGTGTGTAGAGGGAGGGCGGAGAATGGAAAGAAAAATAGAATCCAGAAAATAAAGCTATAGATTGACGCAGGGAGAGGGGACGCGGTAGTTTGTCTTGCGACTTATCGATCAAATCAGTCATCAAAGTCTAGATATCATATTGCATATGCCTGTGCTCATACGCGCGCGCTCAAGTTCATGTGCTATCAATACTCCAGCCACTCCTACAAAGGAGAGAGGGCAAAGAAAAAACAAAGGGGAATACGAGTGACCACCTTTTTTTGCCCGCTTCATCGCTTCTTCATGCCATCGCCCTGTACCACATAGTTGTTCTTGAACAGCACCCAAGTATTCGTTCCACGACCCGAAGTGTGGGGCCCCAGAGCCCATCTCGTTTTCCGTCCTCATCACGGGTGCCGATGATCCATACTCGTATTATGTGCATAGTGTCCGTTCATGATATCCCCCGGATTGGGGGCGGCGTGCATGTCCACGTCGAACGGACCCCCTGCTGGTCCTGTCCCAGTCCCAACCCCTGCTCCTCCTGCGTCCGAAGCCCCCACCACTCCCATCTGGCTGCCGGGGTCGTCAGACAGGCCGAATCCGCCAAAATATTCATCCGCCTGGGGGATGCCCGCCCAGTGGTGCATGGAGCTGTAATCCCAGCCGTTCATCATCGGGGTTCCGCCAATGGGGCTGTCCCAGCTCGTGCTCCAGTTGAGCGTGTCGAACATGTTGTCCATGAACAGCTCCTGGGTGGCTGTGTTCAGGTCGTCCAGGTTGCCGTAGGTGTTGGCAAAGGAGACGTCAATATATGTGGGACGGAAAGACGACGACGCCGCCGCCGCTGTGGACGTCGGCATGGTCGTCAATTGCGCGTGTTGTGGAGCTGGCGTCGTGAACGACGTAGGCGTATCCATGGTATTTGGCAGGTATGTCTCCTGTAGCTCCTGCAGAGCGGCTGAATGCCGTTTGCTGGCTTCATATAGCCGGAGGATGACCTCCAGCGACCGGCGAGCGGTGGAAGACCAGCCCTGCAGCTCCTTGAAGACTTGCATGGCGACTTCAACTTGATGGCGGCTGCTCTCCACCACGTCGACGTCGTGGGGATCCGAGTACAGCGAGAGAAGTGGAACCATCACGGCTTGATAAAGGAGCCATGTGGCATTCCAGCCAGACATTTGACAAGCCTTCTGACCTCGCCAGGTGCAGGCAATGTCGTTAATCAACTCCGCACATACGCCCCGGCAGAGTTCGATTGCTGCTTGCCTCTCTGGGGAGAGACTCTCCCATGGGATTTTGCGCATGGCATACCAGAGCAGAGCAGGGCGGTGAAGAATGATTCGATTCGACAGGTAGCGCCACCTCATGACATTTTTGACAACTGTGACGCCGCGAGGCTCGTTGGGGTTTGGGTGTGAAGAGTCTGACTGCACCGACGAATGCTTGTACCATTCAAGATATAGTGCATCCAGAGGACAGCGTTCATACTCTTCTAAAAGAGGAGACACGGCAAGGGCGTCTTCCATCTTTGTGCTGATGATGCAGAAGCGAACGTTTTCCTGCACCAACGCCAGCATGGCTGTAGACTGGCCGATGGGTTCTTGAGGAGGCTTTGCTGTGATGGCATGGCTCATTCGACCCATGCTCGGCCTTCCCAGAGTATTGCCCGCCCACGCATCCAAAATGAACGTACACCACCATATTCGCCGACGCATCTCAATGGAGAACGATGCCTTCTGGATCTTTGCGGGCCCAACTCCTTCGGTGTAGTCTCGATGCAGTCCCAACGTGGTAGCAACTCTCAAGGTGGCACCCATCAAAGCATTTGCTTGATTGGGTATCTGGACGTAATGAAGATAGAAGCCGCTCAAGATGGCAAGCGCCTGGACAGTCTCGAGGTGGGCAGAATCCAACGTGTCCATGTTGAGATGTTGCTTTGCTCGGTTGAAATAGACATGATGGCCCGTGTCATCGGACGACCCTGCTGCCACGCTACCCATAGCCAGGACACTATTGAGAAGCAGAAGCCATCGAGAGTCGGTTCTTTGTGCTGCCATATATGTATCTCGAAAGACTTGCTCCTCAATCAAGGGAATGAAGGGATGGACATAGCTAAAGTATGCATTGATTAGAGGAATTTCGTCCCAGGCGGACGCCGAAGAGGTGTCATTTCGTGTCTGGTCAGACTCCGTCCTGTGGTTCTCTGGAGCCGGTGATGGTTCACGTGTTGGAATGACGCTCCTTTCGGGAGACTTGGTCAGGCAGTCTGGATCGAGCCAAGTGATGACTCTAAGGACCGCCATGACGGAGGATATCCCAAGATACGAGGAGTTCTGCTTGACTGACAAGGACAGCATGTTGACGTCGTCCGTGATACCTTTCAAAGCATGGGTCTTGCGGTCGGGAAACCCATCGTTACTGTCTGCAGGGGTCGGTTGCAGCTGCTCGAGGTTGGCAGCATCAGGATTCATGGGAGGCGGTTTCTCCTCCACACTGGGTGTTCGGGGCGAGGGAGGATGAAATGGACTACTCTTCTGAATGAGCTCGACGAGCCTTTCGCGAGGAAGCTCTTTCAGCTGGTCTGGATGCACGTTTGGAAAGAGCTTTTGCAGGATGGCCCGATAGTCCTGCAGCGTCTGAGAGATCTTCTCGACAGATCTGTCCACGAAAGGTCAGGGATTGGCCAACTTGGGATATGGACAGTATCTCTGCTCACCTTCTGGAGGGCATCTGACGTTGTCTAGGCTCCGTATAATGACAAGACGCAGCCTTCCGATACCATTGACACGTTTCACATGGGTGCTCTCCACTGCACCTGATCTTGCGCCGTCGGCAAGGCTCACAAGCTCTCACCGTGGAGGTCCTCCGCTTTGCGGCCGAGCTTGCATTTTGCTCGGCCTGTTCTGGGCTGTGATACTGTGCAGTCTCGAATGTGTGGAACATTCTGAAGTGGGCCAGACTAGCAAGCTGGAAATCCGGCAAAATAAATGACACGACAGCAATCCACAAAGCAAGACGGTTTCTGATATAGTTGGGACCAGCGGAGAGTAGGCTGGCGAAGTCAGTTGCTCTCCAGAACGCTGAGACCTCGGAGTCTCAACCTCGGGCAGCGGGCCAGAAGTCCCAGGGGTTTAAGTGTAATAAGAGAGCCAGCTTTCCCTGAAAGTGTCCCCTGTCAGAGCTATGATGCTCTGATCGACCTTGAGACCGAGGTAATCAAAGATCGACAGGGCAATAGCTAGCACGCAGATTGGTGGATAGTGGTAGGTTAGACAGGGAATTTGGGCCAGGAAGATGCAGAAGGTGCAGAAGAAGCGTGTGCCTCCAACCAGACTTGCAGCGTACAAAATAATGAGTTGGTCAGAACTCGATACCAGGAGGAGTAGAAGCCCCAGATGTAATATGCTTCTGCATCCTACCGCCTGAACTCGTTCCACGGGCCATATGGAAGAATCCGGGGAAACTGTGGGAATAACAAGGGCAATCTTGACCGGGGAGATGGTTAAGTTCAACCACATGCATGACGGGGTCAGATACCAGGTTTGTGCTAGAGGTTGCGCCAGTAGCTTCAGAGGGTGGTGTGCTTGTCTCCTGGGCGAGAGTAGAGGGAGAAGAATAGACCAGGGTCATGAGCAGGGGTGGTTGGTTTGGGACGCCCTAGCGTTATGTAAAGAGCGAGCCATGGAAAAGCTCCAGAAGGAAGGGAAGCAGCAGGAGTAGAACTGGCTCGTTCAGGTGCATGCAGTAGCGTTTTCGATTAGGATGGACGTGAGCTAAGGGAAAGGCTACTGGATGTCGGAGGGAGGGAGGGTCGAGGTTGCGGGACTTGACTGGTCAAGGGACTGTATTTGTCACCCTTTGTCCAACGTGTCAAGCAAGGCGAAAGGGGAATGAGAAGAGGGATAGAGGACAGAGCAGGGGCAGTACTATGTGGCAGTCAGTCTTGGACATTGTTGATGATGGCCACAAAAGAGATCTTGGGAAGGTAGATGGAGTAGGTGGAGGGGAGAGCGAAGAGGGGGTGGGTAGTACGTGTAGGTGGTAATTTGATGAGTGATTGGAGTGGCGGCCGGCGGTACAGGTGGTACATGCTACTGTCCACTCTCCGTACTGCGTAATGTCGGAAGAAGAGGAGATGTAGTAGTAGTCGAGGAGGTGGTATTCAGTCCTTGATGATGGTGATGAGGATGGGTGGATGGATCCCATGGACCAGTCTCTGCCTGCGCCCGGCACATTGTGGGGAGCTTCATCATTTGGCCTTGACCGCCTCCACATCCTCCATCGACATCCACATCTCTACCTCGTATCACCATCACCATAACCCTCACCATCGCCATCACCCTCACCAAACGCCAGGGCCATCATCTCCACCTCCATCTCTATCTCCATTGCCATGTCCCGGCTGCACACTCCCCTGTCCCACTGTCCACATGGCTTGTTAGGTGGGCTACAGGACTGACGAACATTGATGGCAGACACCTCCCGTCTCTCCTTGCAAAACAGCTTGGGAATACCGCGTACAGCACCCTCTCTCGAGGTGTCATCTCTGCTCCCTCCAAGCCCCCTCTGGCCTAGTTTCCTCTCCTCTCGGACCACGGATAGCGCCTCCAAACCACCACGACCAGCCTCGCCGAGCCCGTGAATCACCTATTTAGCCGCCATTGGGACTAAGAGGAAGATTCCGTGCGTCCGTCTCGCTTTAGCCGGCGGGCCCTTTTTGTGCCTTCGATTCCCAATCTGCCGAACATCTTCCCATTGCTCCATTCGCACGAATAATGCCACCTTCTACCCCCCTTCTGGAATCATATTATTGGCACCCAATGGGGCTTTTCTCTTGCTCTTGCGCAACAAATGGCCGGCAGACTACGGAGTTTCTAAAGGGGTGGTCGGGCGCACCGCTCGTCTGACCCATCCTCTGAGGGTCTATCTTGGCGAAAAGAGAGAGGAAAGAAAGCCTGACGAGTTGCCCAGCTCCTGGGTGCAGACAGGAAATCGGTCTCTATCGACCCGACGCAGGAGGCTATGTAACATCGTCACCATTACATAACCCTGGCCTCTTCCATCCGATGTTATACCGGGGGGAAACGAGAAACTTTTGGGCTCCTTCTCTGCCTTGTCCGCTTTCTCAACACCTTCACAGCCACTCACCAAGCCTCCCACATCTTCTGAGTTGAAGACACAAAAAAGCCTCATCAGGCTGACAGACCGCTTAAGCAAGTTGAACTTCAACCGTCTTGAAATCGACTTTTTCCATCGGGCCGAAAAAAAACCACATAACACCCTGGCTGCTTTCCATTTGTCGGCAATGTGCAATGTCCTTCTTGGGCATGTCGTGCGTGCCCTGGTCTGGTCCCAGGCTTCGTAACCTCGGCTTCCAGGGGTCATTGACTGCGCCTGTCTTACTGCTCCCCAGCCCCCAGGTATGTCCAGTCGAGTGGTGGTTCTCCAGCCTTGAGCCCGCGCACTCGGATAATCTGCTGGTCATTGGGCACCAAGTCAATAGCGCTGTCGCTTAGATGACACCCTTCCCGCTCCTCAAACACAAGACATTTGACCGGCCTGTCTGCAGAGACATGCATCTCGTCACCCACCACCTCGACCTTGACGTTCCGATCGGGAAACTGGAGATATTTTAGAGGCTGCGGCCAATCGGTGTCACGAGCAACCAATGTGCCGTCGACCCAAATGCGAGCTGCCAGGACATGGGGCTCCTCCTGCACATTGTCGACCTTGCCCCTGAGAACGTCGGTAGTTCCGTTTGCTTTGACCTTGATTCCTTTCTTGACAATCTTGTCCTTGATCTCCAGGCCTGTGCGTACGGACACAAACCTGACCTCCACATCTGCGGTGATCTCGGTCAGCTTCGTACTGACGACCCACAACTCCCAATCCTGCGTCCGGGGTTCGCGGGCGTGTGTCACACTCCAGTCGTGGTGAGATCGACGAATTCCGACCGCCACCGGGGCTAGAACTCGCGCCATGGCATAATACGCCGGTTTTCTCCTCAGGTAGTAGTCAACAATCGACCAGCTAGTCACCGGCCAGCAGTCGTTGAGCTGCCACACCAGCGCTCCGCCGCAGCGTCGGTCGTCCCCCCATTGTTTCCGCCAGCCGCGATAGCCAAACATCAGCGCCTCGCATTGGATCAGCTGGGTCAAGTGGATGTACGCCTCGAGCTTTGTCGCCGTTCTCACATTCTCCACCAGGTACGTGGCAATTCGTCTTTCGTGCCCATCGGCCTTGTTGTGAAAATCCAACACATGACTTTGCGGATAGAGATCTTCCTCCCTCTCAACAAACGACTTGATTGTCGCAATGTGTGGGAATGCCTCCATGCCGAACTCGGAATTGAACCGTCCTCCCAGCGAATCAAAGATTTGATACTTCTCCTGCGTGCCGTGCCAGACATTCCACTGGTGCATGTCCCCAACCGTGGGGTCCGAGCTGATCTTGCCATCACCCCATGGCGATCCCGGATGATATGGGATCCAGGGCGCCTCCGCGGCCGAGACCCTCGGCAGTAGTGATTCGTAGATGTATCGTGCTGGGAAGTCAGATTTCAGCCAGTGCTCCTCGTTCTTGTCGTCATAGTCGTAGGTCAAATGAGCAGACTCCTGTACTTGGTAGTCCTCATTGTTCCCGGCAAAAATCACCAAGCATGGGTGATGGCGGATGCGGCGCACATTGGCCACGGCCTCCGCTTCGATCGACTTGAGTATTGCCGGAAAGCAGGGGTAGTTTCCGCATCCAAACATGAAATCCTGCCACACCATAATCCCCAACTCGTCGCAAGCGTCGTAGAAGGCGTCGTGTTCGTAAATCCCTCCTCCCCAAACTCTGAGCCACGCCGTTAGCTTCAAATCCCATCAGAGGGCCGTTCGGGAGGATTCGGGGGAGGGGGGAAGGGTCACTGTCTCGTGTTACCTGATCATTTTCTGGTTCGCGGGTACCATCAACTCGATCCAAGCTCGATACTTCTCAGGGGTCACGTTGGTCAAAAAGCTGTCGGTAGGGATCCAGCATGAGCCACCACAGAAGATGTCGACGTCGTTGACACGGAAATAAAACGACTTGCCATGAGAATCATGCTCCTGCACAAGTTGCACCTTGCGTAAACCGATGCGCCGTGACTCTTGGTGCAACACAGTTCCTTCGGTTGAAATCGTTACACTCACAGTGTATAGGGGCTGCTGCCCGTACCCGCTGGGCATCCACAATTTCGGGTCGGAGACCTTGAGCTGGGCGGTGGCCTTCTTGCCCGACACCACGCTGGCCTGGGTTGAAAAGATCTCTCTGTCTCCCAAAGTGACGGTGAAGTTAGCTTTGACATCCCCATGAGGGTCCCCGAGTCCTTCAATCTCCGCAGAGGCCTGGATCGTGGCGAGCTTGTAGTCGTCTGAGATGATAACGTCGGTCCTCAAATCGGCTATTCTGATGGAATATATCTCCAGCCGAACAGGTTTCCAGATTCCTGCACACATGAGGAAAGGTCCCCAGTCCCAGCCCCAGTGATACTGCGCTTTCCTGACGGCCAGACGCGCCGAATCGCCATTGAAACAGATGAATTTATGCTCCGGGTGCTGGTCTTTGATTTCCCGGGCTTTCAGGAAGGCGGGCTCGAATTCGATCTCTAAACTATGGTCCATTGTGGACTGAATGGCTTCTGTGACGTCGACTCGGTGCGGCAAGAACATGTTGTCGCTTCGAAGGATGGTTTTGCCATCTAACTTGACATGAGCAAAGGTGTCGAGACCATCAAAAGCCAGGACAGCTTTGGAGCCTTGCGGCACAGATAGTCTGGCGAGTCTGGTCCGATAAGTCCATGATTTCAAACCTACCCACTCAGCCTTGATCTCATTGAATCCGACAAAGGGATCATCCAGTCTGGTGAGTATCTACATCAGCTCCAGTGCGGTTGTGAAGGAATGCCACAATACACACTTCTTGTTGTCGATCAGATCCTGGTGCACAGTGGAAGGAATCTTCTTGACCGAACACCAGGCATTTTCACCAACATCATCACTCTGCTTGAACGACCACCCCACGGACAAGTCGAGGACCTCCATGGGCACCAGCATGTCATCGAACCCGGACATGTCCCCCATCGGCTTTCAGTTACCACGATGGTTCTCTGGGGGAAAAGGAAAAGGAGAAAAGTTCACAAGAAGCAACGAATCAAGAATATATTTACAGACAAAGCTCGAGAGTCCTTGTACCGTAGGAAGAGAGGAGCTCAGGCACGGGAATTGGAGAATTGAAAAGGGTTTCAACCGCCACGCAACACGGCGTGCTACCTTCCACAACTCCCAGCAGCGAAAGCAAAGAATCCACTTCGCCCACTAGATCTGACGACGGAGACAAGGCCGCGACGTGAGGATCTCTGTAACAGAGGAATGCTAAAGAGCAGATATGCAACACATGACCCAGTTTACCATTGATTGCCCCCATTGAGCGAGGCGGAAGGCATCGAAAGTGGCATGGAGACAATGGTCGTGGGGGGTATGACGGAATATCGAGGTTAGCCGAGAACCCAATCGGAGAATTTAGACAGAATGCGCTAGCACGGATAAGGACGTCGGAGGAAGAGAGCTCCGGTCCCAAAGAGGGAAAGCGCGGTTCTGGTTTATCAAGCAGTCCGGCACCGAGCCTCTTCTTCCCGCATTGCTCAGAGCAGTCTGACTCGTTGCCATGTTATCCCAGCTTCTTTCTCTTCTTTGACTCTACCAAATACTCACTAATGATGCGAGATGGACCCTTGCCACTCTTGTCGATTCCGTCTGTCCCCCCCTGATGGCGGCAACACATCCGCTCACCCCGGGTACACGTGGGCTAGGCCGCGCTTGTGATGGACGTGACGAGTTCGACTCCAGCGACAATGAAGCCAGCTGACCTCGAGAGACCTCTATTGCCATTTCTGTGCAGGAACTATCTCACCGTGTCCCAATCCGATACCTGCACGGGCTCAGATCAGGATTGTTATGGCACCAAACCACGCTGCGCTCTGAGCAGCAAAGAGTTGGATGAGACATACGGAGTGCATCTATGTGTGGTGGCAGATGTTTGGCCTGCGGAGAGCTTTGGCCCCCGCGGTGAACCTTGAGACTACCAGCCCCATGTGCCAGGGCCTCCTTTCATGGGTCCTTCGAGCTCACTTGTCACCCATCCACCATAATAGTCGCCTACAAAGAGGGGGAATCAGATGCGGCTGCCACTTGGGTTCAACTACGTACCTTCCTGCGGAGTCACCTTCTCATCGTCGACGAAGCATTCCCACGGCACGCCGCTGGCATAGAAGGACAAGTATCCCTTGATGCTCGTGAAAGCCGGGGTCGGCGACTCATAGCTCCATATTTTGTTCTTGACGGTCTGCCCTGTCGACTTGTCCGTCAAATCCCAATACGTGGCTCGGCCTTTCCATTCGCAAAGGGATGCCTTCTCGGGGACCTGAGTAAGGTTGAAAGAGTCGGAGACGGAGTTTCGGGGAAGATAATATGCTGCACCAGTAAATGGTTCGGTGTCAGTGCCATTTGGTTGGACAGGGACGGATTTCCCTAGGCACATATTGCTCTCCATTTCTTGTGCCGCGACATGCTAGAGGAGCACTGGACTCACTAGGAGGATGCGTAGTCTCCAAAACCCAGTACGCTGATTTGGTGTCAGCTAGAGTCTGTCCATTCCATCTAAGCACCAAATGCCTCGGGGTTTTCTCTAGCAAGGGAGGGCGGGGGAAATTCTGGACGTTCAACTTTGGTTTCGCAGCCATGGTACGAGAATGATGGCAATTGATCGAAACAAGACGATGGACTGGATCCTGGACGTAGATAGAGATCAGATTCACGGTGTTATGTCCATGTTCGATGACGATATGGAAGTCAGTCTGACCGACCCATTAGGGTCTAGCCATGTACGGCCCTTCGTCCTCCGATCGGCTTTCTGAGATGATCAGCATGATACAGATCTCGTGGCGCAGGGCAGCGTCACCCATAAGTTCCCCCAAGTCACTTGTACCTCCTGTGTATGTAGAGAACATAATTAATGGGCTAATAACCTGAGAGCATTGACATTATATGTCTAAGCCATATCTCGCTCTATGACCTCACTCCAGGTCTGGCTACAAGATCCCTAAGGTATCCTGCTGGGCAGTCACAGAGAGAGTGCAAGTCGGGTAGGATTGTCCCACCTGTTGACTGCCCCTGCAGGTCTCCATCAGCGCCTTGCCTTGCCCTCTTTCTTTCAACCTCAGGTCATCTTCATGTCAACCTCTTAATCTTATGCTTCTTAACACCACAAGCAAGTCATAAAGTCCAACCAATCTTGTCGTGCCTCAAGCACCGAGGAAGACTAATCATTATTGTTGAACTGCACGGCTATTTTTGTCGGTTTCAGACTCTGCCCCGCGCGAATACGAAGGGCGAGCGTGGCCAATTTGCCCTGCTCCCCGCTCCAAATAAGCGACCGGGTCTACTTTCTGCCTATGATGCAGCCAAAGCCTTAGCCAGGTTCATGACACGGGATGGATATCAGCGAACGATCGCTGCTGTTACTCGTATGCATCGCCGTTTCTGGCGGGAATCGGTTTCCCTGGGAGCCTGGGGATTTGGATCTTCTCATACGGGGACCTCGTCTTCTACCCTACCCCCTGGCTAGCGATGGACCATTTTCTTTCCATTTTTCACCAGAGGTGGGTTTTGCGGCGTCCTCGGGGACTCGAGTCTATTTTCCGCCACGGACCCAAAATGCTCGAAATTTGGGAATTGAGCAAAAGACCTCGTGGCGAGCCTGGCTCTGCTTTAGCGTCGCCTTAGGACCGTTATGTCGGGGTCTACTCTCGGGGTCCAAGCCTCAGCTCGCAAGCCACCCAAAAAGCATTTCCTGAAATCTCGAGGAATGTCCAGCTCTCAACTGGGCTTCCACCATCAGAGTTCGCTCGATTGTTTCTTAGCACCGCCGCAGACAGACAAACAACATGTCTTCCCTTCTGCTGAGCGCCGCAAGTGGCGGCATTTTTGGCGCTGCTCTGACTGCATCGGGCGTATACTCCCCGTCCGTTATCGTCTCACAGCTTCAGCTGGGCAATTTTCATATGCTCAAGAGCTTCCTCGCTGCCAGTGCTTGCAGCGCGTTGATCGTGGTCGGCGCGAATCGAGCAAAGTACGCCAAACTCTCGCCCCGATCCGACTCCTCGTATGGCTGGTTCATGAGATACGATGCAAACCTCATTGGTGGGCTCTTACACGGTATCGGCATGGCCTTGACGGGTGCTTGCCCCGGGACCGTCCTGGTGCAGCTTGCGATGGGGGTGAAATCCGCACCGGCGGTTGCTGCTGGATGTATCTTGGGAGCAATTGCCTTCGTCAAATCGGCAGCATATCTCAAGCGAACGCCACCTGCGAAAACCCATGCCGGTCCTCCCCAGCAAACCGTGCAGGAGAAGCTGGGCCTGTCCACCAACTCCATGATTCTCCTGTACGAGACTCTGTGTCTTGTCATGATCGGTGCCGCCACGTTCTTGGCACCCACGCGCGATCACTGGCTCAACCCGATCGTGGGCGGGCTTCTTATCGGTGTGGCGCAAGCAACCTCCGTTCTGTTCACTCGCAAGACCCTCGGTGTTTCAAGCGCCTATGAAGATATCGGGAAATATTTCTGGAGCGTCGTGGACGGGACGGCGGGCCCGGGCTTATCGAATATCGTCTTTGCCAGCGGCGTCATGGGCGGGTCGAAGCTCATTTCGCAATTCATACCAGCGGTGTCCGAGGCAGGAGGCCCAGCGATCAGTCCCCTCACCGCTGCCGCCGGGGGGTTCACGATGATATTCGGCGCCAGGATGGCGGGCGGATGTGCGAGTGGACATGGGATCTCCGGGATGGCCACCATGGGCTTGAGCAGCTTCATTACCGTCGCTGGGATGTTTGGAGGCGGCATTATCACGGCTCTCCTGCTACGATAAGGAGCCTGGTCCTTCATCACTTTTGAGGGACCGCCTCTTTTATCGAGGCGCATTCACATTTCATTCCGGACAGTTGTCTGAGTGATCACTGCCACCACACCACACAGTGACAAACAACAATGAGAACCATCCAGGGGCAGTCACTGCCTCGTGACCGTTGTGAACAACACTGCCTGTCGGTGACAACCATTCACTGCACGACGGAACACCTCTCCTTGAAGAAGGGGGTCAACACTTCCGCCATCCATCCATCTGTCTGTGCCGTATCCCCGCGACAAACTTGAGCTCTACAGTCTCAACCTGCAAGCGCCATCACTGAACAGCAAAGCCTTGAGGAAGCTACCAAACATCACGACCTGGAATTGTCATCTAGGTGCATAATCTCGAAACAAAACAATGCCGTTCCTCAACCTCGCCCCAGTCGAGCGACCCGCTCCCCAAACCCAGCTGTCTGCGACCGCCACCGGCGTCTCGAGCCCTCCAGACCACGTCGACAGATCAGACAAGCCTGTGCTGCCCGAGCCCTCCACCATGCCAACTACCAAAGGCAGCAGTCCCGATAAGACTGCCTCCGAGTGTAAATTCTTGAAGCTGACGCCGGAATTGAACAGACCGTTCATTCCGACTGAAGCTCAAAGTTCAAGTCCAAGGACCAGCACCAGCACCAGTACCAGTACCAGTACCGGTGCGGGTGCGGGTGCGAGTGCGAGTGCCGAGCAGGGGTGTCATGGAGACAAGGCTGTTGTCCAGGCCCAGGAGAAAGAGTGATCTGGGTGCATACCTGGGTATGGAAGTGCATGCGCGCGCGAGCCGTGTTCCGAGCAATGGTTAACTCCGGAGATGGACGGTTCATCAGTGTCTTTCTTGTATGGATGCCTAGCAGAAGAAGAAGAACAACAATAACACAGTCCATAGACACCGACGACAAAGTCTCGCAAGGGGCGTCTCCTCTTTTGTTGTTTGGGGGTTCGTTCACTTGGACCATTCAGCTCATCCTAGAGCAGATGCCTACCCACCTACCTACCTACCTACCTAGTGTGTATATGTACCTCGTCCGGTTCAGGATACCCAATATTAGCATTAGCATCAGTATGATGGAACCAGGAAACAATGCAGGATTCATTCAGACCAGCAGACGTCCGCCTGGGACGATCGGTCCAGGCCCCTTCATACATAAGCTGGACTTTCATTCCAAAATCAATCCACTGCCTACGTACATAAATACGTACAGTATTGTACTTTGTCTGACATTGATGGCATGTACAAAGCGCTCTAGATGCTGTCTCAGCTCCCGCGATCCAAATGCCGGGTTATGTCTGGCTGCGCGGCATCCTAGCACGTACATCCTACATACATAGCTGACGGCTCGCTCAAGAACTTGGCCAAAAACACAGCGCCAAAATGTCGAGAGGCCAACTCCCGTCGTGCCCGATATCGTACAAACCTCATCCCAATGCCAATGAATGTCCAAGCTGATATTTCGGCCACCACCGTCGGCGAGCGAGTCAGTCATCACCCTAGTCCTCGTGTATTTATTTACACCGTCACATTTCCCCCAGGCGTGGTTGAGATCAGCACCGTTGCAGGTAATTGCTAGGCACCAGCCCGATACCGCCTGCTTTCATTCCCCTCGCACTCTCCTTGACCTCAGCCTCCCACCATCCATCATCCTGAAGTCGCAATACTGCGAGGATATCGCCTTTGGAGAAGGAGAGTTCTTCGGGAATGGCCGCTGTGTAGCTGTACATTGCCCTGGCTGTAAAGAGTGTCGTTAGTAAGTTGGTGCCGAGGTCTGGAGTCTTTCACATCAAAGGTGCAATCTCGTGGATGCAGGGTTGACTTACCATAATGCAACACTCGCTGTTGACGCTGCTCTTGAGGCGGAGGACCTGCCCGATATGGTATCGCAGCGAGACTCTTGCTCCGCTCTCTTCTTAGTTCGATATCCATCCCCCCTCCATTAGCACTTCCACCTCTTTGCCGGTTATCATAGCCCTGCGGTTGATGTTGGAACTGCTGCTGCTGAGGTTGTTGCTGCGAATACCGATCTCCCCCAAAGCTGGAGTTGGGCCGCATCATTCCCTGACGACTTCTTTCACTGCCACCGGACCCGTCGTACCGTCCCGGATCCTGGTTGCTCAATTGAATCTCCATGCCGGTGCTTTGTCTTGATGCTTGGTTCGGTGCCGGCCCAGGGCCTCGTGATCCTCCATAGGGATTGGGCGAGGCCGCGCGGTATTGCTGAGCCGCAGGCCGTCCGCCTGACATCATTGCTGGATTCGGGCTTGCTGCTCTAGGGGCCATGGAAGGTGCTGGGCTTCGCGAGCGCGGCTGGTATCTTTGGGATTGCTGTGGTTGAGGACTCACAGCACGAGGGATGACGCCGGGAGCTGGGCTTCTGGCACGGGGAGGCTGGCTTTGAGACTGAGGTTGCGGGCTTGCTGCTCTCATCATCCCCGGGCCAGGGCTCCTCCTTCCATCTCTGGTACCAGGTCTTGATGGCTGAGTCGGATTGCCTCCTGCCCTAGTGCCCCATGTCTCAGTGCGATTCAGCATTTCGCGCTTGGTATGTGCTGGTTGAGGAACACCGAGAGCACTCTGCGTCCTCCCACCCGCCATAGATGCTGGTCCGGTGATATCGTATGCTGGTGGAGGTGTTCCTCTCTGTGCCGCCAGGCGAGCTTGACTTTCGGCGCTCAGTATGCCTGGTCGAGTGGCTGGTTCTTGATCAGGCGCAGGGGTTGCCACGCCGTGATACCGATCCACGGCTACCCGGGTGCTTGACTGTTTAGCCATTGCCGTGGCGCCACCGGCGGTTAGTTTGAGATCTGCAAGTGCTTGTGCTATAGGATCGTGCATCAACTCATTGCCTACCACTGAAGGTGGTGGCATAAATTGACTACGCCGGTTTGCTGTGCTAGCTTTAGGTGTTGAGTCTTGAGTGCCATCCGGGCTGGCTACGTCGAAGACATTGTTGCCCACGCTCAATTGGAAGCTCGCCCGAGGATCAGCAGCCTCTTCGCCTTCAAGAGCCATGTCAGCTGCATTTCTGTTAAAATAGCTGGGTGCCTGACGAGCTGGAGACTTGGTAGGACTCGACTGCGCACTAGATACGGTGGGGTTCAGATTTCGAGCGTTGGTGACTGAGCCTCCGTTCCAAGTGTTGCGGCTGGTGGAGATACTGCCCGGCTGGGGTTCGTGGTCTTTCCTAGACTTTCTGCGAAACGGGCTGTTCGAGAAGAAACCAGACCTCTTCTTCTGGACGGATTTCTCAGGTGATGCCATTCCAGGCAGCTCAACGCCATTAATCGGGGCACCTTTGGTTGGGGAGGCTGCACCAGAGCTGAGTTCCGCACTCGTGAATGAGCTCGGTGCAGAATAGTCACTCTGGTCATCCCTACTATCTGGTCGAGTGTTTGAGGACAAGGCAGAGCCGGCAACCGAGGAAGCATCCGCTCTGCAGAACATCGTCATGCCGTCGGTCGGGTACTGATTGTGTGGCACTTGCGGGACGTCTCCATGTTGGCTTGGTGAGTAATTCGGAGGCACATTTGGTCCTGGATGTTTGTAATTCAACGGCGGCGGACGCCCACTGTTTCCATTGGACGGTGTCGGCATATCATCCTCTTGCGGTCCCGTCGGCTCTTCTGAGTATTGGCGCTCTGGGGTCTGGCTGCGCCTGGCTTTTGTAGAGCTTGAATGGGTTGGAGACGATGTTCTGAACGCGGGATTCGTGGTCCTTGAGAATTGGGCGACCGAGTAGTTCTCATCTTCCGAGACCTCGGATGCGGTGTCCACATCGCCTCGACAGAAGTTGATGTATCGAGGAGGATCGGGAATTTCTTGGCCTGTTCCGCAGGTTTTTATGAAGCCCGAAATGTCTTTCTCGACTTCACAATTCTCCAACGCAAGTCTGATCTTTTCGCAGGACGCGTCGTCAGAGACGCACACCGTAGATGCGATGTTGGCAAAGGCCCATAGGGAGGACTTCATGAAGTCGAGGCGTTCTTCCTCAAGATCTTGGAACTTGTCGCACGCGGCTTTCCACTCCTTGTTCCACCGACCTGTCGTCTCCTCCAAAACTTTAATAGCGGCCTCGTACTCATTCGAGTTGGTGGCCATGTTGATCTGTGTCTTCTCGAGTTTGGCCTTGTTCTTTCGCTCTTCTTGTCCCATGACCATGTGACCCTGAGCCAGATATCCCTTGACCCGCAAACAGTCCTGCTCGTACTTGTCCCGACATTTGTTGACATGAGCGGTCTGTGCTTGTTTCGTCTTCAGCAGCCTCTCGATTCCGTTCTGGACGATTTTGCGACGCTCCTTGATTCCGCCGGCAAACGCTGCCAGTGGCTCCTCGAGCTCGGACCTCATTTGCTGGGCGATCAGTGCGTGCTGTTTGCCCATTGACTCTGTCTCTCCTCTAGCAACATCCAGGCTGCTCCGTAAGGTTCCCTGTTCAACACTTCCCAGCGGCTTTCGTGATAGACTCAATAATTTTTTGGCGTAATCTTCTTCTAACGCTGCTCTTGCATTATAAAAGGTTTTCAGCTCATCGCACGTTGTTTTGGCATTTTGCATCCGGGTAAGGAGAGGGTCGACGCCGGCGTCATCTCGCCCCCAGAAATTATTTGAGACTGCCCTCAGCAATTAGTTGGTGACCAGGCATAGGTGGTTGCAATACTTACAGCTCAATGGCACAGATGGAGGGGCACCTGGTCCCGACGCAGCGCCTGGCGGCATCGTGCCAGTCGTAACAAGATGTCGTTGGTCTCTGGGTCGGAGTTGCTGAAGCAGTTGCAGATATTAGTCTTGGGGACACCGGAGTCGTGTTTAACTATGCGTGATGCGGTAGTAGCAGGGAGATGTGAAAGCAGGCTGGTTGCATCTCCAAGAGAGCCCCAACGATGGTTGCAGTGGCGTGTTTAGGGTTTCCCGAATTAGGTGGCCCGTTGTTCCCCTAGCAACTGACCGCCAAGAAAATATCCAGCCTTATTGCCGGCACAGCCTTGCGCAACACTGACTGCCTACGTAACAAGAATGCCAGTGTCTTCCCCTCTATTCAATCAACCTCGAACATAAAGCCCCAGCCCTTCACAAGCCGAGTGTCTACTCCCACCATTTTCAGCATCCCCCAAACCGTGGTACTGACAGAATCCAGTACAGTAACCCTCAGCGACTTCTCCCAATACTCGACGCGCTGTGCTGCTCGAAGATTGGTGCAGAATGTTGTCAGCACCAGCGCGCCATTGGCCGCAACATCCATGACCATTTCATCCAGAGTGCTCTCGTCTACTCGCACAATCTCATTATTGTCTGTGATGCCTAGGTGGCGCTCCCAATTCCCACTAATGTCTATCCCGATTGCTGCATAATTGGCGCGTATCGCATCGTTCATGCCTTTGATGTAGGGCGTCACCAGTCCTATCGAGGTCACGCCCAAACTGTGCATGAGCGCGTTGAGTGACAGGACAGATGTTGTCGTCTTGATGCCAGTCTCGGCCTCGATTGCAGCGCACAGTCTCTCATCGTGTTCAAAGCCAAGCCACCCAGCCGACGTGCCGCTCCAGCCGATCACGTCGACCTTTGCATCCGCAAGCAGCCTCGCTGCAGATAATATCGGTTCGAATTGGAATTGAGCGCTGGCATTTGGGGAGAGGTCGATCGTGGTGACTCGAAATCGAGAAAAATGCACGGAGATAGATAGACCCTCTGAATGGATGGACGAGACGATTGCATTTGTCAGCGGCTCTAACGCGGTATTCGACGAAGGCACAATGACGCCTAGTCGCACGATTCTCATGGTTGGCCTATTTCCCCGTTTTAGTAGGTTGCCGATGTTCTGAGACGGGATAGAAGACTTACACTGCAGTCTGCCTGAATTGACTTCACCTGTGACTGATAAGGTTTACTTGGAGCCCTTGGATACAGTCCGGAGTTCAACGTCAGACGCCGCCAAGGCGAGGTCATTCGACGCCCAGCTCACCCCTCTTTGGGACGAGGGTGATGCCGCCCTGTGCCTCTCGCAGCTCGCGCGAATCGGGCGAGTCGGGGTAAGATCTCAGTTGGCGTGGGGACGAAGATCGCGGCCCAGCTACCAGTTCAGAAAGGCAAAAAAAGGGCAAGCCTGGATCAAAGCTTCAAGCAACCCAGCACACTTGCCGTAGAACGATTTATAACGATATTGTTATTGTTAAGCCTTCAGGGCTCACTGAAACTATCTCACCAGATTGATTCTGTGGGTCATTCGCCTCACTGTCTGGTGTCACGTCGTCGTATGCAAAAGCATAACCCCGACCGTCGATCTCTAGTTGATGGACAAGCTTGCTATACCAATTGGTCGTCTGCGCGCTGTAATAGGAATCAGACGCCACTCCATCAGGCTGAATATTGCCACCGTCCAGAAGAAAAGTCGAACGATTAAAGGCAGCGCAAAGACGGGGGGCCACCGCTGCCTGCACGTCCGTGGCCGAAGAGTCAAGGGCGAATGGGCCGCTTGCGCAGCTGAATATGTCCATAGCTGAAGGCTGAGCAAAGGTCGCACCCGCATCGCTGCCGTCAGTGCAGGTGAGAAGGTCATTGCTGACAGTACATGATATATTTCCCAGCTGCTCAGATTGGCTGTTGATAATCAGGGGTTGACCGGCGTAGGTGCTCCAAACTTGGTCGACATAGGATGACCAGTAGTCCGAAAAGGCATCCGCGTTGAGGTCAATGTAGTCATCGGGGGCAAGGACGTGGACAGGTTGCCCTTGAGCGTCGGTGATGCAGAGTTCATTCCAGGGGTATCCGTCTGTCGCCGCCTGATCTGCCAACGCCTCACAGAGGGTCTGAATGGCGTTTAGTTCCAGGCCGGGTGTCGTTTGGGTTCCAATGTCTGCGCCTGTCAAGATGAGCCCCAGGTTCATGCTGACGAAGTCGACATAGCTGGTGTCTACATATATCACGCCATCCTGCGTGTAGGTGAATTCCACAAAGCCCCAAGTGGTGGCATTCTCCGCGGGTCCGGTGACTGAAGGCTCGACCAAGGCAGGGCCTGTTACACCCAGGACGACAGAAAACTGCAAACTCCCCTGGGCGAGCCATATCCTTCCGGCGGAAACGCTGGTTGGGATTGTGACGTTTGTTGGTTCGCCAGAGTCGGCGACAGGCATTGTGATCTGATCTGGGGATATAACGGTCGGGATAGTCGAAGAGATATCCGTCGGGGGATAGTACCATTGACCATCAGGCTGTAATAAGACGAGCAGCCCACTTGCGTCATTGCCAGTCACATATAGATTGACACTGTCTTCCTGGGAAAGGTTGTTCACAATGGAAAGTGGTAATCCAGTAGCGGAAGCACTATCCGAAGATGTGGTAGTGCTGGCCACTGTATCACAATCTCGACGGACAACACGATAAGGTGAAGTTGGGAAGGCAGAGCTTCTGTGTATTAAGGAGGACAATAGCAATAAGGGTAGGAGGGCGGCTTCGAGGGGCATATTCTTTCGTTGATGTCGTGAAATAGCTGGACAAGTCCTGATGAAAAATTTGCTCTGCACTTTCACTTACAAGCGCGGCCAGGGTTGTTTGATAACCTTGGATATGAATCCAGACAGACACTGGGAACAGAGAAGACGCCATGGTCGACAGATATTAATCTTGTATTTCTAGAATGGCCGGTAAGAGAGTCCAGATGTCTAGCCTTGGGTGTGAAGGGTGGCTAGGTTATTAAAGGAGGTCGAACAAAGTTTGTTTGTTTACCAGCCATACCGACAGTAAGGATACTTCGCAAGATACGGAGTACCTGAGTATCTCTGACCCGCTTTGAGATCGCCGTGGAAAGGATGTTTTCACACAGACCCACTCTCGTAAACAGGGTGGATGGAAGTGGACGCGCAGCTCTTTTCGCGACTTTGACTATTTGCTTTCGCGACCATGTTGAGACGCAAAAGTATTGTTTGCGACTCGCCAATTGAGAAGAACCTCCTAAGTACTGCTGTTGATGTAGCAGTGGAGGCCAATTTGGGGTGACAACGCGAGTAATAACATCTGCCGAGTACTGTCGTGGTTTATGGAGCTCTTCTCGGCATAGCCTCGACGCCAAAATGGAGACTGGCCAGAGCATGAGAAGAGCCGCGTGGCTGTTCAATCTCTTCGTGGAAAATAGAGTTTAGAAGCGACGACGATCGGGTTCGTGTATCTGAGAACAGCGACAGCATGCCAGCCACCAACACCACCAGCCACACATTTCCACATATAATCTCCACAGCCATTTCGAACGCCACTACACCAGCCCCAACCTTGTCTTTGACAGTGAACTCGTGGGGCTCTGCCGGAACCAGTAGAGGCGGCACTGGGGTTGGTTTTGGAAGTGGTACCTGTTTTGACTGTCAAGGGTGTCTCTTGTTCCAGTATCTCCAACTCGAGATATGGCGCAAGTCTGAGGACAGAACGTCAGAGTCTTCAGCAACAGGTTTCAAGAGGAGGAGTATCCATCTTGCCCGACGCCAGTGGTGCCGTCATGCTGGCCTCCAAAAGCGTCTTTGAATACAACCTCGTCGCAGCCACGGCGATATACAGGGGTTTCTCCATGGCCGGAGATAGTGACAGTGGTTGAGAGTAGTTCCGAAGGCATTTTGCTCGCGAGAACAGTCCAACAGCCATGATCTCGGCGCCAGCGAGGTCCGAAGTATTCAAGAGCAACCCACGTTAGCCAGCCGCATGCACGTGATATCGGCGCTGCCAAGTCCCGAAGACAACAGTGACGTAGTGTGGAGAAGCTGGAAGAACGAGTGCTGATTCATCCACTTCATCCACCAACTCTGAATCTCCTTTAGCCAGCTGGGCCAAGTAAAGTCTCGAGACACGCGCCCGCCCTAGCGGTACAACTTTCACGAATGAGTGTTGAATCAGGGGAGGCACAGTTTGTCAGCGATGTGGCCTTCACCAAACGCTCTATGGCAGCTTCGGGTGGAGCTACCTCCGAACACCGGGCTACCCATTGTAATTACCCATCAACACTGGAGGAAAAGGAGTTTGATACAGGTGGTTGACAATCAGCGCATGTTCTTTGCAGCATCGCTCATGCAGTTATAAACACCTCGAGAATTCATGAACTGGTCCACATTAACATCATCTCAACGCATAACCTCAACGTATAACTTCAACACACAACCTCCATCACCTCAACACATAGCCTCAACATGTCGAAAGCAATCCTCATCACCGGAGCCACTGGCAAACAGGGTGGCTCAGTTGTGAACGCGCTCCTGCGTGCCAATGCCGACTATCAAATTCTCGCTCTGACGCGTGATCCCGAGGCAGCCTCTGCTAAGAGGCTGCTGCAGAAATCCCCAAAGATCAAGCTGGTGGCCGGCAACATGGACGCTGCCGACAACATATTCGCGAAAGCCAAAGAGGCGTCTAGTCTCCCGATTTGGGGAGTATTCAGCGTACAGGTATTTTATTCCCGCTCCAAAGTCTACTGAAGGTGCTAACTGGGTCTTTTCTCCAGCTTGCTATTGGAAACGGCGCCAGCCCTCAGTCCGAAGAGCGCCAGGGGAAGGCCCTGATCGACGCCGCCCTCAAATCGGGCGTCAAGCATTTTGTCTATTCCTCGGTCGACCGTGGCGGCTCCGCCAAATCAGATACAGATCCCACAAACGTTCCTCACTTCGCCAGCAAGTACAATATCGAACAATACCTCTTCGAGAAGACCAAGAACCAAGAGATGGACTGGACGGTTCTTCGGCCGGTTGCATTTTTTGAAAACCTCGTTCCTGGCTTCCTTGGCAAAGTCTTCACAGCGAGCTGGGCCCGGAATCTGAGAAAGGATCAGAAACTCCAGCTGATCGCGACTAGCGACATCGGATTCTTTGCCGCCGAGGCATTTATGAAGCCGGAGCAGTACAAAAACACCAAGCTCTCGCTGGCCGGCGACGAATTGACCTACGACCAGTTCAAGACGATCTTCGAGCAGAGAATCGGCACAACGCTGCCCACCACCTTCTCGTTCATAGCTGGCCTGATCAACTGGATGGTCAAGGACCTTGGCTACATGTTCCGATGGTTTCGCGATGTCGGATATGGAGCAGATATATCAAGCTTGAAGCAGCTCAATCCCGGATTGAAGGACTTTGGCACATGGCTCGAGACCGAGAGTCAGTTCAAGAAGGCGTGATGGCATCTCACTGGACTAAGGGAGATCCGGGGCAGTGGATGGAGAATATAGGATACCGCGCCCGAGAACTCGAATCCAGCAAAAAGTGGTTTTCTGTGGCTTGCTATACTTTTTGGACTTTAGTTATAGATTCCTTGAGAGTTTTATGCCAAAAGTTGATTGTGAAATAGTAATATATATAACTCGATCTTGAAGTGTTTCTACTCATCACAATATTCCTCCGGGGCTCACGTTCTTGTATAGTCTTTGGACTTCTCATCACACCCGATCTTCCACCCTCTTCAGGGACTTTGGACACAATAAATGCGACCAATTCATTGGCCCAAGCTGGAGCCATGACTGGGGAAGAGTGGAGATGGACGAGGACGTGCTATTGCGCTGTCCAACGTGGTTCCCGAGATCGAGGTATTTACGGGGCCTCGTCTCCCGGTGGGATCCACTTCGGAGCTCACTGGTTCCGATTTTGTGTCTCCGGCGCCTCGTCTCTCCGCAAATTGGTAATGGATGGAGCGACCTCAGCAGGTTGTTGCAGAGGCTGTCCCAGCTCCCTATTATACTTAGCAGCCGCGGTACGGTATATAACCACCTGCGCCACGCTACAGCCTCTAGTTCGAGGCACATATAGGAGATTTAGGGTGTATATGACCTTCCGGCGGTCGAGCGAGTGACGCTTCCGTCAACTTCTCCCGCAAAGCCTTGTTCTCCATCTCTTCAACCATTCGTTTCTCACCTACCATTCCACGGCCATGTCGCCGCCTTTACGCGATAACGTCTCGCGCAACAAGGCGCCGTCTATCCTCGGCCGCGCCCTCTTCGTGGGTCTTCGCACCGCCGACGTCTTTTGGCAATACTCTCTTCTCTCCCGGGGTCTAGGACTGCGATTCTTGCAGGCCCTGGGTGCACGCACCGTGGATGCCGGCGACGTCACCGGCCCATCGCACGCTCTCGGACTCAAACCATACTATCAGCTCGTGTTGCTGTTGGCTCTCGGGAGCAGCGTGAAACAAAACGTGCACATGCTCTGCGTATCGGAACAAGAACTGCCCGCGGGTTCGGCCTTTGGGATTTCCTTGTTCAACACCATTTTTAACTCAGTGAACACGATCCTGTCCCTTTGGGCCGTTACTTCTCAGTCACCGGCGTCGTCCAACTACACGGATCTCCTCTATTCGCCTGTCTCGGTTGGTGCTGGGCTATATGCCATTGGCCTCCTGGTGGAAGCAGTCTCGGAGTTCCAGAGGAAAAGCTTCAAACAAGATCCTGCCAACCGTGGCAAGCCCTACGCAGGTGGCCTGTTCTCCCTTGCCACGAACATCAATTATGGAGCCTACACAATCTGGCGCTCAGCATACGCATTGATCGCGGGTGGGCTGGGATGGAGCGTCGTTACCTTTACCTTCTTTTTCCGCGATTTCGCGACGCGAGGAGTTCCGGTCCTGGAGGATTACCTTACCAGCCGGGTATGTATCTGATCTCCCTACCCGATCATAAACGCATAAGCATTGATTCGGTATTGTCGCTGACTCGGTGTGTTCCAGTACGGAGAAACCTATAAGGACGTTCAGAGGAGGGTGAAGTACAAGCTGATTCCAGGCATATATTGAGATTACGCTCGGACCAAAACACATTTCTTATCATTCACCTTGCTGGTCCTGAAGCGGAGTTTTCAATAAAGAGTTCTCGACCCCTTCAATGCGTATAGCCAGGTCTCCTGCTCGTGTCTATTCCTAGCCAAATTCGACGGGACTGTACTTATAAAGAGGTCGCCTGATCCTGATGTCAGCTTCTTTCCCACCGGCGCGATCAATCTCATTGGCCTTGACCTTATTTACAGCACAGTGGAGCCATTGGATCATGGGTGGGGAAGAACTCGGTGTGCGTGATCCATCAATTTAACCTGGCTCACCCTTTCGCCCACTTGTGCGACTTTAACTGGTTCTTGGTGGGCATTTCTTACAAAGTTGTGCTGCAGGTAATAAGAGACCGCTGACATCAACTGGCATTAAACGTATACCTCATTCCTCAAGCGCAACTGAGAAACCTAAAGGACAACACCTTGCAAGCTGCAACTGGCATGCAGACTGCGAACATTGACCCGCGAAAGTGACCACCTAATCATCGGACCTTGATGTTTGTGTTGGTCACTGCTCCTACAGCTGTGATTTCCGACACGGCCACACCCGTGTCCCGCCCGGTATAACTCCTGCTGCTGGGGTTGGTAAAGGTCGCAAACGTGCGATTGTTGGAGCTTCCCGGGAACGGATCGCCGGGATCACCACGTCCTCCGGCCCTGCTATAAAGCTGTCCCAACCCGTCAGCCTGCATGAGGTCAACCTTGCGATGGCTCTCGTTGCTGTTATCCGGAACAGCGTCATCGACGTGCCAGACTGTCTTTGGGTCAGCAAGGAACGGCAATCTTGGGGCAGGGGATGGGGGCCATGAGGCTTACTGAGAAGCCCTTCTCCAGGGAGGGATGTGTCATAACCTGTTTGCTGACGTTTCTCGAGGAGGAAATATTCCTGGCTGCTCAGGTCTCCGTTCGTCCACACGCGATGGACATTATGGGCCGTCTTCACATCTTGGAAGGAAACAGGGCGGTTGGTTGTCTCGTTAACCACAGTGACCCATTGCTGCTGGGCCTTGCACCATGCGGATGGATGACAAGGCCGAGACCCTGGAGGAGATCCACCCCACGTTCCCCCAGCCATTACACACCAGTTTCCGATTCCTGGGGAGCTGTAGTCTATGTCATAGAGGTCGGGCCATCCGAACAGTAGATGGCCCAGTTCGTGTGCACAGACGCCGACTTGGGCATCCTCTGGGATGGTCAGAAATCCGTAGACTTTTGCTCGGCCGACGACTCTCTGTCTGTAAAGCACCCATTTGACAGACCAGATGTCATTCATGTTGCTGGACTCTTCGGTCCCTGTCCCAGCGTGGACGACGATGAACGCATCCACGTAGCCGTTGTGGTCGTTATCGTAGTCACCAAGGTCGGCAAACTGAGTGACCGCCGCTGTCAGGGCATCCTCCCCAAGATCTCGAGTATTCGGACGAATGGTTCCGTTGGATCCGCCACGCCCAGCATCGCCATTGGCATAGTAGGCCTTTGGATGGGGCATTCGGAAAGGGCCAGCCACCCTCCGGACCAAGGAGATGTTGCCGCCACTAGCATTGCTGTAGAACTCACTGACGCTGCCGGAGCCAATACCACCCGGGCGGAAGAACAGTCGCTCAAAGTGGGCGGCATTGTGATCGGGACTCATTTGCTGGTCGCTGAAATCGACCAGCACGACTGCCACTCTGAAGAAACCCATTAGCATTTTTCAACCCTTTATGTCAGTGCTGAAATCAAACTAACCGGACCTCGTTGCGAAGTGGTGTGCGATTTGCTGCTGCACTTGCCAACATGCGTGCACTTGGGGCCTGGGCGAAATGATCGGGTGGAAAGATGCAGCCGTCATTCAGCCCGAGAACAGTTCCTGTAGGACGGCTAAGCGGGACTTCATCACTGCCAGTCTGAAGTTGGCGTTGCAATTGCTCAGGTGGAGCGTTATTGTAGTAGTTGGGATGAGGCGGACAGAAGCATGGCCGCTCGACATTGCTAGTACGACAATCCGACATCCTGGCGTTAGACGCTGTAGTTTCTTCTTCTGGCCCAAGCCGAGAGATCTGAGTCGCAGAATCCATGGATGTTGCTTGTCTAAAGAAATGAGAGAAGGCAAAGGCTCAGCCGAAGGGAATCCTTGAGCCTTAAATGCATCACGTCGCTTTCCAGTGTTGGCAAATGTATGCATCGTGCCGGTGGTTTGGCACGAGCAACACGTTCTGCTGGCATGTTGCAAAGCGAACTATCCATCGACCTTGGCATATCTGAATGGGATGGCTGAGCTGAAGGACATGCATGCATGTAAGCGGGAAGGCATTGGCTACCGTCGCATTTTGCATGAGAGTGGCTTGCGGGATCCGAGGACATCGGGCCAGTTCTCAGTGTTGGCATTACCAATTTCTCGAGTAGACAACTGAATCTAGGTCCGCCAGAAGCCTGGACCGATATTTGAAGCTGTGCTCCAGCTCTTTGAGGCGAAGCGCAGATACGAGCTACTCAAGAGTAGTCAACAGCATGGCTAGCCTTACGACATTCACGGGACTAACCTGAGAACCTCAAAGGTCTGAACGAGCCCGCTCTATGGTACGGCCTACGAAGTCAAACTAGAGTTGAGGTCGTGTGAAGGCGGTAAAAGTAATTCAATGGGATCTTGAGCATCCTTGACTGGTAAAGTTGCGAGAAATCATGGAGCTGAACGGCACCTATGAAGCCTATTGGACAGTCTTAAGGAGCCCTTTGTAACACTCAACTACCAAAAGAGGAAGTCCTCCGCAGAGCCAAGAGCGGAACGTATTTGGGCATCAAACAGTGCAACACCAAGGTAAAAGTCACCAACCCTGGAACGAGCATTACATTTCGCATGACAATCCTGCCACTTTGTCTGTTCAACTGCATTTCATTTAGTAGACTACTATCCTGCACGAATCTAATCTCGATACCGCCAGCTTCGTATAGAGTTGTGGGTGGAATTCATCTCATGTCCATGCTCAGCCTTACGTGCCTCTTGGGGCCCCTCAACCTCAACACGGAGTCCCTTCGAACTAGGTTTCGCTTCTTCGAGTTCCGAAAGACTAGTGTGTTCCCAAACTTGACCAGTGCGTTGCATTAGCGGTCTGACTGAAGCGACACTTCCCACGCAACTCGGTGGGACTTCTTTCTTGACTCTTGAGACGAGACCAAACACGATTCTCGCATCTTACCCCTCTGTTCGACCGAAGAACCGCCATCCGGGCCTTCGTATTTCGAGCTTCAGCTGACGCAACGCCTCATTTCACGTCACCTGAGAGTATGTGAACGGCAACTGAAAAGGCGCCAACACGATGGGGGTCATCAGATCAAAAACACTCTCTCGATTCGGGCGAGGCTGAAAACTTAGACAAGACTGGGATGTCATATGGACTCTGAAACCCGCCAAAGGGAGTAAAGGAAGCATCGATGACGGAGTGAACGGATTGGTTATTGGACGATACAGCCTCCTGAGCGCACAAGGACATAAATTCGGCCATCAGCACGAAAAATAGCAACCCTCACACACTTGTCCATACCAAGGAGAAGAGGCAGACTTCGGAACCTTACAGCTAGCTAACAAAAGAAGCGATATTATCACAATACCTCGCTAAGGGCATGTGGCCGAACGTGTCCTCCAGTTGTTGCCGAGAAAGTAATGAGTGTGAGCGAGCATGATGCCCTTCCAGGTGTCCACAAAGTAAGCAGCTTCCTCGTCCCGACCGAGTCCTTTGCATCTGTTGTTGTTGCACAGCATCCCTCGTAATTGCACCTCTGAGTCCTGACTGCGCCTGCGAGCGACCTTTTACTGGAAAGCGGGCTCACAAAACCGCGCAACCGGTGTAGAGCCATACGAATGACGTCCAGCTCGCGGTATCCAAGTCGTAAGCAGCGGCGTAGGAGGTTGCGCTGTGAGCCTGATCAAAAGGTCGACAATCGATGACGGAAGTCTGCAGTCCGAACGACCCATCTCTGTATCCTGGTCAGCTCTGTGCATTGGCGTTGCCGCCCCAAGATAAGGTGTTGGCGGGCCAGTTATAGATGCCGCCAAAGACTAGTCCGCCAGGGGTGAACCCGTCTCCGTTGATCTGGATGTGCGGAAGATCGTCCTCTGACGTGACGGTACAAGCACTGTCGCTACACTGGGGAGGGGGATACCAATGGGCCATCCAGCTTGCGAGCCCAGTGGTTTGGCGAGCCTCGAGTGAGGTGTCGATGTGTTCGGGCTCGGTGATTGAGTCGTTAAAGGGGACGGGTGGAAGCGTGAATTGGAGCCCAATGCCTTGGTCCGGCACGAGATCTGCAATTGGATCCGCTCGGGCAAGTTTAAGAACGAGCCGCAGAGTTGACATCCTGGACTAGGATATAGTTGAAGTGCTGATAGTAATATTGCAGGGTTGCAATACAATCTGGATTAGAGAGGTAGCACTGGAAGGAGTATAAGAACTATAGATAATATGTACCGTCATTTACTGTGGAAAAGGGGGCCGCGTTAATGAAGCAGCTGGTTGAATGCTTCTAGCCATTCTACAAATCCCAATTACCCAATACAACAACCACCATCAGGCCGCAGCTGGCTTTCCATCGTCGAGTCTGAAGCTTCAGGCCGGTCTCTGCGTGTTGGCCCCCTCGTGTCTGCGATTTTGGTCTTGTATTCTTAGCATCCTGCGAGGCGGTTGCGCATCACTCTGTGAGGTATTGTAGTCAGTCGTGATGCCAAAACTTTCAAATCATTCAATCCATCTCGACGTGGTCGCCCCCCAATCGGAAGCACCCAGAAAGGGAATGGGCACAGCCTTAATTGCGGATTCTGGTTCATGGCGCCATGCCACTGGCTTGAGATCCGCGAATTCAGATCGGCGCGACCTCGGCTAAGAATGCTATTGGGTACATAATCAATCAATTAAGGCACCCACTAGTACTGTTAATAGAGATCGTCTAATAGTTATACGTGACTCCCTCTCCCCGTAGAGCGATGTTTGACGTGGGAGCCCGCAGCAAGTTCTCGTGCCGTACTTTAACCTAAGGCAAATACGAGATCACATTCAAGCATCCTGTGGATAATATCTAATTTCTTTGCTTTGATTGATTACACCCCGAGCAGACCTAGCTTGGGGGGCCGGTTTCTGGCTCGCTGCAACCAGTTCATCGTGATGATGGTGTGAACAACTGGGGAGCCTCTGGACGAGGGTGCGCTGTCGGTCTCCCAATGTCGGCCAAGGTCGTTGATCAAATCAAAGACTGTGTCTGCTAGGGTGCAATCCTGCTCGATTCTGCTGTCTCTACCATCCGCGTAACACGTGAGGGTTCGTCACAGATATGGCAAAAGGAGATTTGTTGCCCCGGTGCCCTTGTAGGAAGAGCAACGAGTCGCCAGCTTCTGTGCAGACCAGAAGTCTCAATGCCCGGTCTTTCTCAAATGGGGTGTACTTCGTTGGATATCGTGCGGAAGTATCTGATCTGTTGCGTGCTTGTCAGGAGCAGTCGAACCATGCCATGCAGTTCGCCAAACGGAATGGGTGGGAAGGAGAAGGATCCGAGTCCGGTCGATTGTCGCGTTAGCCCACGTATCGGCGTTGCAGCATCCCGATTGTCTTGTATCCATTGCTTTTTCCGTAAGGATGCCATCACCGGACGGATGGGGATGCCGCTATAGCTATACGAGAAGCAGTGATAGAGGTAAGAAGAGTAGAAGGGCGGGCAGCAACGCATTGAAGCATGGCCGGACACATCACCTAAAAGTCGCTTTTACGTGGTAGGGTAGACTAGATGCTATATTATTTAACCCTTTCGTTTCCTTCTCCGCTTCGGAATCTCAGCCGCTGTTTAGTTCTTATTGGCTCTTTTCAACACGGCTCAGTATTGGCAGCTAGGCCTCCGATATGAGAACATGGATACGAATGTTGCCCATATACATCAAAACACCACTCATCATCAACCTCGGTGGCGAAACCACCTCCCGAATTGGTACACGGGGGTCAGACTTCAGAAGGATTGCATCATTGCAATCACCGGTGGTAGTTGCACAGCAAATCAACGAGATTTTGAATTGATCCAGCTCTTCATCGGGTCAATGGCACGGATTTACATCAACATCTTCAACCAAGAATCGGAGTCGTCCATCATGAGAGAATCAAACTCCCGGAGCGAGTTAGCATCCAAGAGCAGGTCATCCCAATTAGTCGCTGCATATGTGAAAGGGTCATAGGCCGCTTCCGCCGAAACTGTGGCATCAAAGACCTGTCTTGGTTGTCTGTCAGGTGTTGATGGTGACTGCATGACATTACCGGGCAATGCGACCGCGGTAGGAGGTTCAAGCTGGCCCCTCGACGTTGCTTGCCTGTTCGATGGTTCAGGATTTGCGTTGCCTGCCCCTCTCAAGGCCGATGCTGGGGTAGGTGCCGATGCCAAGTAGGACGCAGCCTGGATCTCAGTCGGCGATTGCTCAGACCAGTCGCCAAAGACACTGTAGACGGGGCCCTCGCTTCCGCTGTCACATCGTCCATTGGTATTGATGCACACCTGCTTCTTGTGCAAATACCACAACCTGAGCTTGGCGAACGCCATGCCCCAGGTCTTCGCCTGCGGAAGGTATCCGTCTTGTGTAATTTCAGAGATCTTGCTCAGCATCGCGTCCAGATGTGGTATGGCCGATGCTTCTTCGGGATGGGTGGCCGGGGTCCTGGCTCTCGTTGCCTCTCTGAACGGCGTAAGCTTGATCAAAGCTACCGCTGCATATAAAGTCCACATGAGATAGTGATTGGGCAACGACCGAGCCAGCCGAGTCTCGAGAGATAGGTAAGCGTCAAGTAATGCTTGACTCGAGTCCAGACAAGAGCAGATTGAGCTAAGATGCTGGGAGCTTAGCACTATATCGGTCGCATGGAAATTCCCGGGTTCATTGCTCGCAAACAGTCTCTGGAGATAGCATCGCAAGGCGATTTGGTGGATACATATACTTGCAAACTCCGCCGAACATATCTTCAAGCCTACGACGTATTAGCACCGGCGACCACAAATCAAGGTCAGGCTCTTCAAGTACTGACGCTGGTCGACGAAGTTTGACGCTGATGTGTTCCAGCTTCCTAAGCGGTCTTGGAACGTTCTCAGCTGGTATTGGACTGTCGCACTGTCAAATTCACCAACTGCTTTCTTGTCCCCTGCGTCGAAAGTGTTTGACACATTATCTAGGATAACTTGTAGTCGCACGAGGCTGCAGAGTAGGGCATCTGAGCGCGGCATAGAATTTGCAGTCGACAAAACGTCGATGCAAGCTTCAAGATTCGATGATGGAGGCATGAGAGTTTGCTGTCGGAACAATGTGGCATTGCTAGTGTCGAGCAGAGAGATGAATATCAGCAGAAGCCAGTTAGGGCAGACCGGTCGGATTACCTTGATGCGGCATACCAGCACGCCAAGTATGCTCGAGCGACTTCCCTTGACTCATGCCTGTTAAAGTCCGGCCCTCGGGCAATCTTTTCCATCATACCAAGATCACACAACATAGTAATGGCTGCAGAGACAAATTGAGTTGGCAAGGCATGTGGTGAGTCCGGGTCATGGGCATAATACTGAGAGTACAAAAGGCACGCTTGGATGAGGTCGATACTTCGTCTACCTTGTTCAAGGATTTGCCTGGCCAGCTGGTGTTTCAGTTCTTTGACAAGTGGTGGTTGGAAAGAGGGCAAGATCGAGGCGCTTGCAACGCTCAGAATGGCAAGGAACAGCATCGGTTTAGCTTTCCTGCACTCGCGCAAATTGTTCTCTGAGGGTGACACGATTGGCAAGATTGGGCGCATTGAAGTGTTCCAATGGCCGAAAAGAACCTCTGCCGTTGGCACATCGAGAAGGCCTCGGCCGACAACGTCAAGATCGACTTGAGCGGAACAGTGCCTCGATTGAGATGCTTGGAAGTTTTCCAGCGTTGGGCGGGCGAATGAAACTGAAACATCTCTTGATCTTTCAGACGACACCGACTGTGTTGGTGTGCCAGAAACACTGGATTCTCCCGGTCGGTCCTGATATGATCTCGTGGATAAGGCGCGTGAAAGCGACGCAATCTTGCTCTCGAGCTCGCTGATCTTCTGCGAAGATTTCGCACGCGGTTTTGCTGGTCCAGGTCGGATGCACGCTCGAGATTTCCTGAGACAGGCTTCACAAGAATCAAGACCTCGCGCCACAACACATCTGGTTTTCGTCATTCGGCACGGTACGCATGCTATGGGGGCCTTGATGCGTTTTTCGGGGCGGCGCGCATTAGATATGGCGTCTTCTGCCACGTCCTGGCCCTCATTTCCTTCATCCTCGGGCTCCATGGTAGATTTTGTTGTAGTACCAATCAGTGATCAGGATGATAGGTCGATGTGTACCTCGTACATAAGCAGCTTCCGAGTTCTTGCGACTGATGAGAGTGCCAAGAGGTGTAATGACGGTCACACTAGGTTCTTGGCCAAACGCTACCCGACCGCACTAACTAGTATTAGATACCTAGCGAGCTAGGTAGGCACTTCTGTTAATCACTGGTAGGTATCCAGCAATGCGTCTCTGCCATTTCGGGTATGATCGCAGCGCGGCCTTGCTTTTGACAGCTATAAACCCCTCTATTATGCGGTCCACTACGCTCTGTATGTCCAAGTGCTATACCTCTTCTGGGGAACCCACATCTATTGTTGACCCTTCAAACGAACCCGCTCGAGGCCCCGACGCTATGCACAAACCCATGCCACCTCATCACGTTGGTATAACTGACTTGAGACTCTCCGGTGTCCTTTCCGGACGCCGAATGTACTTGATCCAACTGTATGGATCGGAAAATTCGTCCACCACACCATTGCCCGAGAATTTTCCCTGGACCACACTCGGGTACTCCCCAGCCAGGCCTACAACGCCGACATCCTTTTTGTAATTCTCCCACAGGGCCAGCAGTGCTTGGAACTTTTCTGGTTCTGTCTCTCGCAGATCATGCGTTTCTCCCGGGTCAAGGCTGATGTTGAACAATTCCCACTTCTGAGGTCCTCTTGGGCTGGGCACGAATGTAATTTTCCAATCGCCTTGCCTGAGAGCACCAGAGCCTGCAATTTCGAAGCCGACAGCATAGTTCCTATCGTGGATTTGGGGATCTTGGTCGGTTGCTAATGCTGGGCCCGACATCACCGCTTCCAGAAAAGGGACCCAGCTGCAGCCGCGGAGAGGGGCAATTTCTCGACCCTTGTATTGAGTCCCGGGATGCTCCAGCCCTGCCAGAGAGAGAAACGTCGGGACAAGATCCATGACCGTACAAAACGCATCAGTCACCTTGCCACTAGATTTGGACCGAACGTCATCAAATTGTGGAGAGGCACAAAGGGATTCCGGCAGCTTGACAACAAGTGGCACTCGACACCCGCCCTCGGTTGAATGCATTTTGAAAAGTCGTGAAGGCGCGGTGGCTGCCTGGGCCCATTGTGATCCGTACCAAACGAACGAATTACCTCGCCCAATATTGCCCAAGCTATTGTCGTAGTACTTTTCGATATGCTTCATGACGTTCTGGCCGACCAGAGGTAAAGCCTCATACGAGGCTCCCTCGGCTCCGTTATCGGACATGAACAATATCAGAGTGTCGTTATACTCGCCCGTCTCTTTCAGATACTCGATCACTCGGCCGATGTTCCAATCCATGCGGTCAACCATTCCGGCGTATACCTCCATCGCACGAGCTGACTTGAGACGGATTTCCTCGTCTAAATCGTCCCAATGCGCCTCGTCCGCCGCGGTGTTCACCACGGGATGCGGATTAATGTCAGGTTTGACTAGACCGAGACTGATCAACCGCTTCAGACGAGCCTCGCGAAGGGCATGCGGGCCAGCACTGTAGAAATTTCGGTACTTGCGAACACTCTCCTCGGGCGCTTGCAAGGGCCAGTGCGGTGCTGAGAACGGCAGATAGGCGAAGAATGGTTTGGACTTTTCGTCTGCCGTCCTCTCCGACAAGTATGACAACAGCTTGTTGCCATATCCGTCAGATGAATACCAGCCGTCGGGAAGCTTGTCCACGAACTGATCGTCTTCAACATGTAATGCACGCGTCGCTGTTTCGAAGAACTTCTCCGGTTCCGCCGTCGGATCATACTCGGGCGGCTCCCAGGCTGTATGAATACTTCAATGAGCTGGTTGCCACCGGAGGGACAGATATCTTGGACCTACCATAGTGATTTGCACATCCTGGGAGCAAGGCAAATGATCTGGTAAAACCTCGATTCTGTGGATGGTGTTCCTTTTGCAGACCCAAGTGCCATTTCCCGGACATTATTGTGTGATAACCTCCTTCCTGGAGCAGCTCAGGCACAGCAACCACTTTCTCGTTGAGGTAGCCCTCGTGGCCCGGCTGGCCATGGTGTGCTGCAGAACTACGAGTGAATTCCGCGAGCTGACCCAGCCCGGCAATATGGTGATCTGTGCCGGTCATGAGCATCGATCTCGTTGGAGAGCACGCTGCTGCAACATGGAAAGAGGTGAAACGAAGACCTGCGGCTTCAGCTGCAAGAGCATCAATGTTGGGCGTCTGGATTTCTGACCCGAAACAACTGCAGTCGCTGAAGCCCAGGTCATCAGCGACGATGACGAGAAAGTTGGGCCGTTTCTCTGAAACGGCGTGAGTTCTTTGGATCATATTCGACAGTTGTTTGAGCTCCCAGATTGCAACCTGGCACGTTTTTGTTTCTTAGATGCACGCACGATGGCACATATAACATGCAGTAAAGGAGACAGGTCGTATATAAAGAACCCGCCAGCGAAGATGAATTCAACCTCCAGAATCTTCCCAGCTTCCAGGGCTAGGACCAGAGATTTCTGCAACAGATTCCGGTACGTATCCCATTTCCGAGTGCGAAGATCAAGTTCAGCAACATCATGACTGGCCTCGCGTCGCCAGGCCCCGCCGTTATGTCACCGAAGTCCGACAGCGAACTCCGTGAGCGCAACTCGGCCCCGCCTCGTTCCCACGCTTTTCACAACTTTTCCCAAAACCAACGCTCACGTCGGCAACTGGACACCAGTTCTCGATGTTCTCTGCAAGCAGAAGCAAGGAATCTGACTCTGGCTCTCTCGATGGAGCTCGCCCCGAACTCCGCGATTCGCCATCAAACTACTGGTTGACGCCATTTCTGGGGAGACATGGAAGGTCACTCACAGTCTGGCTTCTTATTTATCCCTGGACCATGCATCGCCCTCCAGACCGTCGACTTTCTGTAGGAAGAACTGAAACCTAACACCAATACCGGCATCATGAAATCGCAGAATGAAGAAAACCTCACCATGGGCAGCCGTCTCCGGCTATTCTCCAAGACTACGGTTTTCATCATGATGTGGGCATATCACTATCACACTCCACCTGCGGATGGGCCAGGGGATAACGACTGACTGGATACCCTAGATACACGGCCAGCTGTGCCTTCAACTTTGGGTACGACGTTGGAAACTTCGGTGGCGTTCAAGGCATGCAAAGTACGCTCAAAGTTCGCCATGATGCTGCTGGTCGTCCGCGCTGATCATGATATATAGGCTTCGGAAAGATATTCGGCCAATACTATGAGAAGACGGGGAAATACGCCCTGCCAGCGTATCTCTCCTCTGTCATGACTTCGGTGCCCTTCTTCGGAAAAGCTTTGGTATGCGTGGTCCTCTACCGATCGCTGGGAGGTCCCTTGACTGATGTTTGGCGGATCAGGGTGTCATTTGCGGCGCCTGGATTGCTCAAAAGTTTGGCAGAAAGCCGGCGATAGCGATCCTGATTGCCAATGGCTTCATGTAAGGAGTATGAAATCGCTATACGGGATGCCGATCTGACGACAAGTTTACAAGAGGTATTACCTTGCAAACCGCGGCAACAACAGCAGCGCAGTTTACAGTGGGCCGTGTGATGAATTTTGCAACAACCGGATTGACGATCATTGTGGTACCTATTTACCTTGCTGAAACAAGCCCTCGTGAGCTTCGAGGAATGATGTACGTGACGAGTTTCCGTGTACCGATTTTGTCGACGGCCATGGCTATCAACACACCACACTTTGACCCGACTGGCTTGGGCATCTAAGCTAACTTGGGACAAAAGGAACGCAACGATCCAGTTGATGATCATCCTGGGTCAATTGGTAGCCTCACTGGTCAACTTGGGCACCAAGGACTTTAAGAGCAACGCGGGCTGGCGAATCCCGGTCGGTCTTCAATTCATTCCTGCAGGACTTCTGGCACTGCTCTGGTTTATGCTACCCGAATCGCCTCGATGGTGAGTTTTCTGAGCTGAATGTTTGATATGGGGACATCAAGGCTGAATACAGTCTCGGACTAGGCTCCTCTCACAGCATCGCACTGAAGACGCCGTCAAATCCCTCCAGAAGATCTCCAAGAACAGCAAGCCGATGGGCGAAATCGAGTCCGACATCGCCATGCTTCAGAGAGAGCGTGCTAATGAGAGCAAGGGTACTTGGGGAGAGGTGTTTGACAAGACAAATAGGGTCAGTATATCGTCATGGTGTTGTGCGTCCAGCTGCTTACCGTGGCTCCAGCGTCGAACGGCCGTCGCCGTGCTTGCAATGTTTGGACAGCAAATCACGGGCCAGGCTTTCGTTTCTCAGTATTCGGTCATCTTCTACCAACAGCAAGGCTTTGCAAGCGAGGCATTTGTCTTCACAGTGCTCAATAACGTGGTCTCGTTGGTGTGTCTCATCTTCACCTGGTTTATTGTCGACTCCGTTGGTCGCAGGTAAGATTCCAATTTAGAGATTTGCCAGGGTCAGTTCTTTACTGACAATGTCCTCACAGGCCGATCCTTCTCTTCGGCGCATTCATGATGGCGCTCTTTCTACTTATTTTAGGAGGCCTTTCCACAATCTCAGACCCGACCCAGGCGGCAAGGCACATGAGCGTAAGCAACTATATGCGGCATGCCCGGGCGATAACAACAATCTCGAAATGCTAATTTCTCACAGATTGCCAGCGTCATGCTTTTTGGAGCCGGGTACAGTCTTTCGTGGGCACCAGTGTTAGTATCCTCCTCCAAAGAGCGTCTCAAGCCCTTCAGAACTAACCTCCTTGCCCTGCACAGGTCCTACATTATTGTCAGCGAAGTTGCGTCGACAAGAGTCAAGGAGAAGACGAATTTGCTGGCCTGCGTGATCTCCGTCCTCACGACCTTCGTCACTTCCTTCACCATCCCTTACCTGATCAACGACCAATACGCCGGGCTCGGTGGGAAGGTTGGCTTTGTGTACGGCTCCATCTGTGCCGCCATGTTTTTCGTGGCCTATCTCTTCATCCCCGAACTTAAGAACCGCAGCTTGGAAGAGGTGGATCAGCTGTTTGCCTCAAGCACTCCCATGCGCAGGTTTGGACAGGTCAAGACTCAGGCGGCGGAAAAGATTGAAGCCACCGAGGTGCACGAGGTGGAGTATACCACCAAGGATGAGGAAGCGTGAGCTCAGAAGTGTGGCCAGAGAGAGATTTGTATAGTTGCCCCCAAACGAGCATTGCATGCCTACAACAACGGCCAAGTCTCTATCTCACGATACTCTAGAACAGGCCTCCTCGTAAAATAGTTACCGTGCGCATAAGATATTGATTACTCTGTGCACGTCGCCCTCTCCCTAGGACAATATCTCTCCAAAGCCCACCACGAAACGAACCATCTGCTGTCTCGAGCGTCGGGCTGCGTAGAGACCATGACCATTCGTGACACAAGACCAGCACACAGTGGCTCACCCTTTCCTAGAGCAGACCCGGTAGCCACGCGGTAACAATGAGAGAAGATCTTCACGACGCAGAGACCATTGAAACCTGTGAGCCGTCCATTTGCCCCTCTTCTTCACTGAACTTTATCCGGGGGAATGCGGAGTTTCGGGCTCCAAGGGGCAAAGGAGGCAAATCTCCCTGTCTCTCCACAAGCTTCCCATTTCTATATAAAGGCCCGCCGAGATGCGAGCGAGCCGCCGACAGCATCAACCTTCTGTTCAGCTTGTCCTTCGACCTCTCGCCGCTCGCTCCGGAACAGACATGTGACATTCCCGCCCCCTATGGAACAGCAGGTCGATTCCAGACCGAAAGCCCGTAAGATACACATTGGTTTGGCATCATGAGATGACGCGACTAATCTGCGGCCATCAGCGTGTCTCATTTGTCGGGCTCGCAAGGTCGGTGCCCTCAGGTGCCATTGCTGGGACAGAGGTGGAACTTGTTGCTAACCGGTCCGCCCGCAAAAGGTGAAATGCGATCGGGCCCAGCCAGCGTGCAGTGCCTGCGTCCGCCTAGAGGTTCAATGCCCCGGATACACGAATGCTGGGAGGCCGCTGTCGCAGGCGGAGCTGAGTCGGTCTGCCGCTGGCATCTTCGAAGCGTCGGGCATCGTCAAGCGCTTTATTGGTTCCTGTGTCGAATGCCGGCGGTCCAAATGTCGATGCTCCCGGACGAGACCGAACTGTGAACGGTGCCGCCAGAAGGGTCTCGCGTGCACCTACCCAGGCCAGGAAGACATTTCGAGGAGAGACAGCCCGAGGTCGCCAACACACTTGGTGTCCTCGCCCAGCCACGTTGCCAGTCCCCCTATCCAAACAACTCCGCTACAAACCAGGTTGGGTCGGACCAGCGCCTCGAGTAGGGAACAGGCCGTGGGGACAACCTGGTAAGAACTCTGGAGATTCCGCAGTCTCAGTCCAACGCGTGGCTCATCGCGCACAGGCTCAACGATGACTCGATTCCGCAGGACTTGGGTGTGCTACGATCCCTGATCGATGCTTACTTTGATCATGTCCATCCCTTGAGGTGTCTGGGTTTTATCCACAAGCCAACCTTCATTTACGCCCTGGAGAGAGGTGCGTTGACAGACGAATACAATGAAGCATTGATCTACATAATGTGCGCTTTTGGAGCAAAGTACTTGTCCTGGGACACTCATCGGCCTCTCTGCCTTTCTGATGATGAAACCGAGGTGCCTGGTGCTCAGTGGGCGAGAAAGGCCAGGGAAATCGCGATGAAAGACATGGCCATCCCGTCCCTGCAAAATCTCATGGTGAACATACCTGATCTAAGAAAATAACATCTTTTGTTGGGGCTGAATTGACAAATTGTTCAGGCCTTGGTCCTCATCTCAGAATACGGCGCTGGTGCTTGCGGAAACGCCATTGCCTTCGTGTTGGCCGGCTGTTGCCAACGTCTGGCTCGTCTCCTTGGCCTTGATGCTACCTCCAGGTCGAGCGTGAGGTCTGGCTTCGAATCTTGCGAGCATGAGAGCCGCAGGAGGCTTATGTGGTCTTGCTTCATCCTCGATGGCATTGTCGGCTCGGGCGTCGATGCGCACAGTCTATCTAAGGACACGATCCCGAAAATCCCTCTTCCTCGCCCCGAGTCCGAATTCTTGTCTCAAGTTCCAATTGACGAACAGGAACTACCCAGACTCGAGAGTATGGAAAGTCCAGAAGCGATCCAACCCGTTGACTACCGAGGCCAAGTCGTCTACCTTGTCCAGCTGCGCACTCAGGTCCTTAGGTATGTTGGTTTGTTTTGATCTTTGCCATAATTGACCAGCCGTGCTCCCCAGGTTGATCAGAGGATCGCTCTCCGCGAGCGATATTCAGGGCCCAGACTCCCCCTTTGTGGACCTACTCAATCGTCTGGAGTCGTGGTACGCGAATGTCCCCGCGAAACTTCGTATCACCGATCTCAACATGTACATCCTCAAGGAATTGAACATGCTCGGGCCAGTCTTTGCTCTTCACCTTTTCTACCATACGGCGGTGTCCGACCTGACGCGTGTATCGCTTCCTGGATTCAATTTCCCCCTTGCCGCCACCTTCGAGGAGGTCTCTGAGGGTTTCCGTCGAGACTGCCAACGACGTTGCCGTCACCATGCCGACGAGGTCTCGCGGCTGATCGGTATTGGACTGAAACACGGAACTCGACCATTTGACGACCCATTTTGCTTCACCGCCGCCTACGAAACGACAAAGATACAAATCATCCACTGCACTACAACAGAGAACCGTCGGCAGAGGGAAAGAAGCTCAGCAGAAGCAAACATCCGCTGCAACACCAGACTGATGACGTTGATGGGGCGAGATGGCTCTCATGTCCATGTAGGTTTCAAGCGCCGCGCCCCATGGGACTGAAGAAGGACAGGCAGCTTACAATATGCAGGTACGACCCCTCGTCGCCCTCTTGCACCGGTTCGGGTTCTCCAAGATCGCTCTCGAATGGGACCCTAGGTCCTCGGCCGACGAAGACGACAATGTCGAGATCTCGAGCCCCGTGGATTCCAACCATTTGTCCAACGTTTCGATACTCAGGATGGCTCGCGCGGAGATGCGCCGGCACGAAAGCCAGAGTACCAAGAGTCCAGCGTCCCAGGGTGGCATGATCACGTCTTTAGCAGAGGATGGTCGAGGATCCAGCGCCATGGAGCAAGTGCAGAGTCCGCTGCTGGCCGATCGACGCCATCGTGGGAGAGACTCAAGGATCGTGACCAGAATCCCCGACGCTGGAGAATTCCATTCGGCTTTGGACAATGCGACGTCTCCGCCGCATTACACGGCCGGGCTTCATCGCCCAACGGGCTTCGACTCGATAACCAGAGTCTCCGCCGACATCAGGCAGGACTACAGCACTCTCAACACCGACAACGACCAGCCCTACAACCACGCGACCGTGGACCCCGTCGGGTCGGCTGGCCTGTTCCCAGACGCGAGCTGCTTCCTCGACGCTTCCGCCTCGGACGACTTTGCCGACGACTACGCCAAACTCGCGATGGAGATGTCCGACTACATCACCTGGAACGCCGCGGACTATACTCCATGGCTGCCGCTCAATCCTGACCCGACGACACAGGACACGCAGAACTACGTCCAGCACGGCGACCCTCGGCCTTCCGTGCCCGGGTAGAACCGCCAGTGGCCCGTTTTGAGATCTGTCCCGGAGGCCGGTTTTGGTGTCGGCATGGATGAAACAGGACCTTGCGTGCTCGGGGACATCTCAGAGGCTAATGTGCCCGAGGATAGAAGGCAATGTGGATTAGGCCTCGCAGACCCGTCCAGTCCCTTGATTTTCCGGACTGATGCGCCTTGCTTCGAGGGTGAATGAATGTCGGGTCGGGACAAGGATCAAATGCCGCGGACGACAGTTGAGACAGAGAGTCAGTATGCTCTCTGCATGTGTCTATCTCTCAAAGTCAAGTGCAACGCTACGTGGCAACTGTTTGTTGATGAAAGAATCGAACTGTCTGGTCGTAGGGATCGCTGGACCATTGATTCTTGGAAGCAAAAAGGGGTCAGCCCAGCTTTCTGGTGTCTTACATGGGGAAAAAAAGAGCTGAGAGCGATTCTGCTTGCACACCCGGTTATCAACGTTCAAGTACCGTCAAAGGCACTATATTATATTTCTAACCCCCATTTGGTCTATGAACTTGACCAAAGACTCTTTCTCCAAGGCTGCCGTCCCTATCCTTCTTGATTTCTCTCCACCGAGCTTCTGCATCAATGTCTATTTCCTTTGGAAGCGGTGACTGCAACGGTAGCTGGCTACACAAGCATAGTGAAGCCCATGTAGATCTGCTTATGGAGCAATGTCGAGTCAAGTTCCCGCCGTGGGCTGCCCTGGATATTCATGTTATGGATGTTTGCTTTTAGAGCATTGGATCCCGACAGAGGTTCTGGACACATTCGATGGGCAGCTCGGTCGTCAATTCCAATCGGTGTACGCCTGTCCCTTTCTCGCTCAACGGAAAGCCGTTGATGGGTGAACATAGTGTCCGACCCGAAATCTCGTCATGGACAAGAACCCACAAGACAAAGTGCAACGGGCACAGGCATCACTGACAGATGCAGCCCCATTGACAAGGCAGAGGCTACACAGCCCTCCTTGCCGCAGCCGAAGAACTCAACCTTCCCGCCCAGCTAGGACGTATCCTATCAAACTGGCTTCAAGGCAGTCGAATATAATTCAGATCATTGCTGGGAAGAGTAAGCGGCTGGTCTGGCGATCGGTAGCGCCTTTATAAGCTGGGGCAAAACAGGCGACAGTTCTGAGATGCGCCGGTGTCTAAAGGCGATGCGGGTCAGGGAAGTGTCAAGTGCGCTCCCTGGCGATCCATGTACCTCGTTCTCTGGCGTCGTGAGATTTGAGTACTCCGTCATGCAATGCCCGGAATCAACTTTTAGGGCAAATTCGGGTTGAGCCTTCCTTCGCACCAACTCTGGAACTACAGAGCATGAACTCTGCCGCAGCAGAGCACTTCTTTTGTCAGATGCAAGCATCTGTGTTCACTCATTCTCGACAAAGGAATTCGCCAGTCTGCCAAAGTAAGGCACTTCGAAATGGTCCAGGGTCTCAACGTCTCGGTAAGCATGAAGCGATAGAAAGCCGATCAAGAGCAGGTCGATTGTGAATAACATCCAAGAGAGCACCTTTGACCAGGACAAGACCAGATGGACGAAAAAAATGGCCGAGAAGAGCATGCTAGATTGCCACGCATGAAACCGCACATAGTCGCTCTTGTGCTCGAACAGGAGGAGAAAAACGCCTCCGGCTGGTGGGAGGAGGAGGTATGCCAGCATTGCTTCATAGTCTACTCTTAACGGCAGGCTTGTCTCGAAAGCCTCCAAGCTCTGGTCCCTATGTTCTCCGGCAAACGATGGCCCAGTTGCGACATCGTTAATAAACGCACTGGGAGGGAGCAGTGTCGCCGTACCGACGCTGGCACGAGTTGTGGGCTGTATAGGTTTGTTCTGGGGAGGAGGCGACCGGACTCGAGGCGAATCGATGGAAGTGCGAGGAGGAGGCGATAAAGCGCGTTCTCTGTTTGAGCAGTTGATTAGTACCTTTGTCTGTTTACCTCCATCCTCAGATTCTGTCATGGCCGCAACTCACATTTCCGGCGATGCATCCTGATATGGCGCGAAATTCATTGTTTACTTTCTCCGCAGTCGGTCGTGTCTTGATTCGCCAGGCCCGGACGGTGGTAAGACTGACGGCAAACACGTTGTCTCGTCCTTGTTGTAAAGCGGAGTGCTTCCGTAGAGGGTTCCTCTTCCAAGCTGGTATGGACAATTGGAATGAGGTGGATGATGAAGCTGGTTTGTGACGCAGACCGGCGTTGCTTGCTTCGTAGCTCAAAGCAATAATAGACGGGCAAAGCTGATGCTGCCGGGCTCGTCCTTTGGCGGCCGCCTTGTGGCCTTGCTGCTTTTACAACCTCTTTGTCCCCTACAACATTACCATCGGCTCCTCTGCGCTCTGTACCGAGGACTCTGACCTCTCAGTCTCGTAGCTGTTGACGCTCTCGAGTCACGACCGGGCGGACGGTCTTGCTTTGCCATATCTACTAACGTAGACTGTTCTCTTCATGTTCACTTGTGCCCCTCTTATCACGTCCCATCGTGACAGAAGGCCTACTACGTTACTGGCTTCGTACAATTCGAGATGCCAATACCCGTCATTGGGCAGGCTTAATCGCGCTTGAATCATTGCATCTTCTCCCATTGTTATTGCACTTGGCTGAGCGGCAGAGTCCCTCATTGTATCTGGACTGGTTGCGCGGGAGACTGCCCCTGTCAAACACCAGGTCGTAGATTTGTCCGGCAGCAATGAGGCCATTCTTGAATCGAGGCTTAATGTCGTCTCACCACCATGTTCCTTTTTGACATGCTGTGATCTCTGTAATCTGCGCTGGCAGAGAGCGATTGCATCCTTTCGAGCAAACCAGATTCCCTTTCCAGTTGCTCTGCCCTCATTCCCGCCAGGTTTTGTCAATCAGTATCACTGTAACCCAGATTGAACCGAGGATATCTGATAGCCCTGCTTACTTGCGCTGTGCCGCAGTTAAAAGCACGCAAGACGGTTTGGCCGGCTTGACCGCCCCTTTTCAACGCATCAGTAGCAGCGAAATGAGCGGTATACGTTCAACCCTGCTCACTTGGCCCTCGCTTCCATTCCGCGCTCTAGTGATGGACCAGGCTTGGAGAACAAATGATGTCCCACCTGGCTCGTGCGGATCGCGGTGAGGTCAGAGAGATATCTGAATCATCCGGTATCAGAGGAGCCCATGAGAAAAACTTTTTTGCACGTTGGCAAGCTTCCAACTTTCCAGATTCCCTAGGTAGCGACGAGATTGCATTCGTCCTTGCCACTCGTTGTGTATCACAGATTTCTGCGGTAGATCCAAGGGGCAGTGGCAAAATAAGTTAAACCCATTAAACGGAAGGCAGAATTCAACCACGGCCTCGAGGAGCTCTACCAGTTGCCCCTCGCCCAAGTCCTGACGTCGTTCTTCTGCTGGAGCTTGTTCCTCGCTTTATGCTGTTGGTATTAGCGCCGCCTACCTGCGTGTAAGATGTGGATTGCGTGCTTGGAGCGGCGCCTCTTCCTGATGCACCGATTCTTCCAGTACCTCGCGAAGCCCCCCTCGTAGGCTTGGTGGCCGTCTCAGTTTTGCGCCTCTGTTCCTCTTCTGCTTGTCTTGCTGCGGCTCTCTTCCTCTCCTCCTGTTCGGCTTCTCGACGAGCAGCAGCGCGCTGTTTTTCCAGGGCTTCCTCTTCGATATCCGCGATATCTTGACTGGTGCCTTGCCATGAAGGGTCAAGGATAAGACGCTGGTTATGTTCGGTCTGAGACAGGATTTTTGTCCACGTATTCAGAAGATGTGAGGCAGCTGAGACAGTATTGTTCACAGTCTGGTACCCAAGTTAGCGATCAGTATCAACTGTAGGAGGAAAGCAGATTGAATCTTTACTCTCATATTGCCTTTCGCCTTGTGGAGGCTCCGTATAACGCCTTCAATTGCCTCGTTAACCTGACGGACACTCTGTAGTTCTTGATGCAGGCTTTTCTCATAATCTTGTTGTCCCTGGTATGTGTGCTTCCCAGCACGCGCTTGTTTGCCGACGGCCTCTTGTTCTGCAGGCCCCTGCCAAAGACTCGCAGCAGAATCATCCTCGGTCAAGCCAGAAGAGTTGTAATCCATGATGTAGAAGAGCAAGAGATGATTTTGGGTCAAATAGGATGCCCCGTCGTCTGCATATTACTATGGTCCGCAGCGGTTTGACCGCAATGGAAACCGCAAACACACAAAAAGCCGCTTTACGCGTAGTCGAGATGGGGCGCGTTTCACTCGGGATGAGAACCCTGGACCCTGGACGCCCAGACCTGCAAGCCACTGACTGCGCTGGAAGATGTGCTGTTCCCAGCCACTCACCTGGCACGCCGCTGCACCTGACAGAGGCCCAACCTCCAACAAACTCCTCGACCTCCAATCTTGCCTGTACCTTACGATGCGATCGCTGTATTCTTGTTGTAATCTGTTCTTGCTACACTGCTCTTGACCGGACTGCCTGACTTCTGGAGAGCTCACTGTTGCGCGACTTGAGATTGTCCTTTCTCCCCTTCGCTTTGAATTCCCAGGTCCGGCAGAAACATCTTCAATTGCCTGTGAAGAACACCACTTCACTGCTGCATGTGCGCTGCACAAAATGACTTCAACACCGCCTCTTCAAATCGCATCGACTCCTCAGACTCCTCAGACTCCTTTACATGGCGCCGCTTATGACCGTTCTAATACCTACTCCAATCGACGGGCTACAAGAACAAGCTCTCGAATTGCCTCCGCCAATCTTCACACCACTCCCGATGGGCGCGAAAAGATACCTGAAGTTGATGTGTCAGTGACCACTCCGCGTTCATCAAGAAAATCAAGGCCCAGGACGGCCCCTGGAATTCAGTCGCCTGAGTCAACACCAAAGCACAAGGCACCTCGTCGTGTCCAAGTCATCTCGCCTCCATCACCCAACGGCGACACCCTCCCATCAAGCACCAATACGCTTCCTCCATCCAAGTCGCACCTTCAACCTATGGCATCCTCCTCCACCACGATCTCCGACGGCATGCTGCCGACTCCGGTCAAAACTCCGAGGAAGAAAATGGTTCCCAAAGCAAGCAAGGCCGCCCGTGCACTCTTCCAAGACAATACCTTGAGTGTGAACGATCTGGTGGACTTTGAGCAGAGCCCTAGAAGAGATCGAAAGAATAAACGCTACAACGGCTTCTCACTCGAAAGCTTCTCCGTCGAAAATGATGACGGCCGCGGGCAGGTCCAAATTTACACCGACTCTCGTGACAGAGTTCCTCACGTCGACAAAAGTGAGTCCAATCCCTTCATCGAGCGGAACCTGAACGGGGAAACTACCTCTACTCGTAAAATTGCCGGGACTTCCAAGCGCCGTAAGGTTAGTGGAGAGCGGAAGAAGCTGGATCCACAGGTCGAAGAGGCCATTCAGAAGGACGACGGCATGGTTTACGTATTGTAAGTTGCACGCTCTTTCGTCATCGGTTTCATTGCTAACTGTCTCAAGCCGTGGCAAGAAGGTCTACCGACGATTTGACGATGAAGAGGAAGAGGAAGAAGACATTGATGATGGCGATCTCGGTCTCTTGGAGCACACGCCCAAAGACTCCGATGTCAAGCGGCTCAGAACCCTCACCCGCCGGTCAATCAAGCCAAAACGACTTTTCCAGACTGAAGCGCAGCAAAAAGCACGCGAGGCCGCACGGGAGGAGGAAGCTTTGACTGACATTGAGGAACCGACCGATCAAAGGGAATATGCCTCGGGAGCGTCCGGCCACAATAAATCAAACGACATGTCCCCCTGCCCAGCGACAAGGAGGTCACTTCGCTCAAGTGGTCCTGCTCCTGCAAAAAATGAAGAAGCCGATATAATAGATGCTGGTCGTCGTCCAACTCAAAAAGGGAGCCCTTTTGATTCTTGGCCAAGACTCAAAAGCGGAGGGCGACCGGCTGCTGGTACTCCCAGGGGAAAGAAGCGCGGCGCGGCGGATATATTGGAAGACAGTGTTGGGACCATACCCGTCGAAGCCAAAAAGTCCAAGACTTGAGATGGTGCATATCAGCGTTGGATGGGTGTTGCCTTTTGTGTCTCTAGGAGATTCCCTTCGACCGTGGGTTACTATGATTGTATAAGATGTGCTCTTGGACACAAGAGTAGTTGCTTTCAGATGACGGTTTCCAAGCAAGGCGGTGCTGCTCCGGCTACCAGCATTTTACATGCAGGACTTTTGCTATTCTCGAAACCCTTCTTAGGGATGTGGACGTGGTGGTATCCCGGAATGAATATTTCTACTTCAAGTGTGCAGGCTGTAGCTTCTATGCCTGGGCAATCTTCGCTGAGACTGACAGGAAGGAGTGTTCAGATCAAGGTGCTCCCTAACTCGGCGGGTCTGCCAGTGATGCCTTACTTTTCTTTGTTCATCTCGCCTCCTGGTAGATCCCGATGCTGTCCTATCCTCGAGGAAGTGGCACGTGACAAAGCGTGCCAAGGCTTCATGCCCAAACAGAGTGGGACGCCTGCAAATGACTGGCGGCTGGACTCCAACTCCATAGTGTCCATGCAAAGAGGCCAACACCAACACCCAAACTCACTCCTCTCCTCCCCCCGATTGTTCCTGCATCTTCACCCTTCATCAACTTTATTCCTTCTCTCATTCACACCTTGTACCCGTCACCTCTTACTACCTGGGTACTTTTAGATTTGCCTTTTACTCCTCTCTCACACCTTGCCTACGCCCATTGCACAACGTGTCTGACCTCCCCGCAAACCCTTCTCACCAGCACCGCCCTTTTCCAAGGTCATGAATGCTTCCCATGATCCTCAGTCCTGCCGCGTCCGGCCCCTCCTCGCTTTCGAAGATATCCGCGACTCAGATTCTCCTGCTGCTTGATACCATCAGTGAAAGAGAGGGAAAGGCAAAGTGGGACTCCAAGAGGGAGAAGATACAGCGACTGCTCGATTCCAACGGCATGGAGGTCTTCGCCCAGTTCTTCAGGCGAACCATCACCCTAAACACCGCCGCCATCTTTCAGGGTGCGAAAGACTTCGATCAGGGAAGCTACAAGTTACTGCGTGAAGAGTTGGACAAGGTCGCCTCGGATCCAGAACAGCCATCCAAGATTGCCGAGGCCATTGACACCTCCAAGGAAGATTCGTTCCGCGACTTTGACCTTGTTACCTTCATCCAACACTTCTTCGCTGATACCCTTCCTCAAGTCATTCTCGCCATTGCCTTCACAAAATGCGCTCGAGTCGATCTGAGGACAAAAGCGGAAAATTTCCTCGCCGAATTTGCTCACAGCTCCCTGCGCTCTTTGACAGATAGGCGTGGTGGGCCTGCACAGACGTTTGCTGTCGAGAACATCTGCTCTGTGATCGAATATTTTGCCCTAGCCGCCGCAATGAGCACCCAGCAGCAGAAGGATGATCTCTGGCGTGCAGTAATTAGCCGATACACTGGGACTAAACCTGAACAATTCTATGGGGCCTACCAGCTCCTACGCCTTTCAGCTGAATCTCGAGATATCGCCCGCGGTCTGCAACGGCATGGTCCTAAGGTGGTCGCGTCAGAACAAGCCGCGCGAGATTTTCTCGCGTCGTTACCGGCAAGCAGTGTCACAGAGGCAGAAGTGGCCAACGCACTCCTATTCCTGGTCTTCTCCATCAACCAACAATATGACATGTCAAATTTAGTGGAGGCTGTCCGGGCAAAACAGCTGGACTGGAACCTGGTCATCCAAGGCTTTGATATTCCAGGTCTTCGAGTGCGGAGGAACGATTTTCCAAGATTATACAGATCCTTGCTGCATGTCGCGCAGGAAGATCCCCAATTTGACGTCCAAAAACTCTGGGGAGGGAGATGGCAGAATCCAGACACACAAATTTCCTTCCTCGGCGGATTTCTCACTTCCCCATCCACAGACATCCAACCAACAATACCCCGTCTTCGCGAGACTTTGCCCGCAGAAGACCTGAACAATCTCTCTCCCGAAATGACCAGATTGATTAGTCCTGAGCTCGATGGCCCATATGGATCCGCCGATGCTTGCCAGGCTATTTTTGAAGTCGTTTTAGGACCTGGTACGGGGACGGATGGAGAAGATCGACTTGACATATTGCAGGATGTATACCACAATCATCCGGCTATCTTCCTCCTATTCCTGGCTAGGACGAACGCAAAATCGTGGGTGCCAGACCAGGAAAAATTCATTGCCGAGTGCTTCAGCTTGTTCCTCGAGAAGCAACGGCCCGACTATCGGCCTGTGCTGGAAACACTCGCGTCTCAGTATCCTCAGTACCTATTCGAACTCTGCCACATTGTCTTTTCGCTTGATCCTCGACAAACAGAAGTTATATATGAACGCGCTCAAGAATTCGGGTGGACTGAAGAATTCCTCAAACATTGGTCAAATCCTCTAGCACTTGACATAGCCTGCATGCGGGACAAGATCGATTCAGCCTTTGATCTGGATCGTTATCTCTCTGAAGCCGCTGACGGGCAGACAAACTTGGGCATGATTCTTTGCAAATACCTCCGGATCAAGGCAGATGACGAATTCCGCGTCCAGCGCGGCGAAACCACTCCACAGTCCATTCCGCTCACGCTTCGAAGTGTACATACGCTCCTGGAGAAGCTTGAAGACCATCTGGACAATCGCGAGCTGGTTGAGGCAGCGCAGACTACATGCTTGCAGACTTATCCGCGGTTAATGAATTATGGGGCCGGATTCGACGACATATTGGAGAAAAGCAGTGAAGAGAAAGGCAACAAACTTTCCGAGGTCATTGACAAGCAAATGTCGGAACTGTTTGGCCGCATGTATCGATCGGAGTTGTCAATCCGTGACATGGTAAACGAAATGCGAAAGTTCAAGACTTCTCGAGATCCAGATCAACAGGATCTCTTCTGCTGCATCGTCCACGGATTATTTGACGAGTACGTTTGCTACAACGAGTATCCGGAAGATGCGCTCGAGAAGACGGCCCTTCTGTTTGGCAGCATCATCAAGTACAAATTGCTCCCCTCGATCCCTCGAGACTTTGGCCTTGCTCTCATACTCCGAGCTGTCCGCGATCACGAACCTGATAGCCTAATGCACCGCTTTGGCATCGAAGCATTACTCCAGATCAGCGATCAGCTCTCTGAATGGCCTGGACTTTGCAGTCTGCTGCTGCAGGAGCCTTCGCTTCAACATCCAGAAATCTTGCAACGAGCTGAAGAAGGACTTCGTGCACAGCAAGCCGCTGGAAATGGTCTCGGTGCAAATGGCGTATCAGGTGCACACACCACGAATGGGGACGACTTTGTTACGCTGGACGCAGGCCGTGGCTTTCGAGCTTTGCGTGCTGATCCTCCTCCATCTTCCGCCCATTTTCGAGACCCAGATCAGAAAATCCAAGAGAAAATCTTGTTTGTCATTAACAACCTCTCCAAAGACAATATGGCCAGCAAGTTGGTCGACCTGAAAGAGTCCTTCACCCCTGAACACTATCAGTGGTTCGCATCGTACCTAGTGGAACAACGTGCCAGGTTAGAGCCGAATAACCAGGAGATGTACTTCCAGTTTGTCAATATGCTCGATGACAATTTGCTCATGTCAGAGGTTATACGGGAGACCTATGTCAGCATCGTCAAGGTCATGAGCGCCGACTCAACAATCAATTCTGCGATGGAAAGGAGTCACTTAAAGAATCTTGGAGGTTGGCTCGGATCTCTCACTCTCGCGCAGGATAAACCCATTAAGCACCGAAACATCTATTTCGTCGATCTCCTCGTGGAAGGGTACGAGACTCAGAGGCTGATTCTGGTAATACCATTCACGTGCAAAGTCCTGGCTCAGAGCGCCAACTCGATGGTCTTTCTGCCACCAAATCCCTGGTTGATGGAAATAGTGGGAGTCCTCTTGGAACTGTACCATTTTGCGGAGCTCAAATTGAACCTGAAGTTCGAGATCGAGGTGCTTTGCAAAGATCTTAAGCTCGACTTCAAGAAGCTCGAACCTGCTACGGTCATTCGAGACCGGCCGCAGACAGAAGATGATGTGGCAAACATACCTGCACTCCCGGACGGCCTGGAAACCTTTGACGACATGTCTTTGAATGGCGCCATAAACCGGGCTGTCCGCGAACGTCTTTCCGCCCCCGAGATCATGGCCACTCTTCCAAATCTAGAGGACGTGCTCAAGTATCCTCCCACATCTGGCTCCCCCGCAGATCAAGCAATGGTGAAGAGCATCATCTACCGCGCTTTCGACCAAGCCATCCAGGAAATTATCGCACCTGTTGTCGAACGATCGATCACAATAGCATCTATCTCTACGGCCCAGCTTGTCTCAAAGGACTACGCGCTTGAGCCGGATCCAGAAAAGTACCGCACAGCCGCTAGGCAAATGGTCAAGTCACTTGCTGGCAGTCTGGCTCTCGTCACGTGCAAAGAGCCGCTTCGGATGAGCATCTCTAATTATATTCGCCGTCCTGCACAGGACGATTTGCCAGAGCATCTTTTGCCTGAAGGAGCCATCCTGATGTGCGTCAATGACAATTTGGACACTGCTTGTTCCTTTGTCGAACAGGCAGCCGAGCAGCGCGCTGTTTCAGAAATCGACCAGGTCATTGAAGCTGATTTGGAAGAACGCCGCCGGTTCCTTGCTGAAGGAGGAAACCGGGATTTCATTCCCCAAGGAATCAATCGGTGGGCAGCGTGGATCCCTGAGCCCTACAAGCAAAACGTCGGCGGTCTCAATGAGGCACAACGGGCTGTCTACGAAGAGTTCGACCGTAGAGTGCATGGAATGAACGCCGGCCATATTCCCAATGCCTCCGCCGACACTACTGGGCGTCAAATCCCCGATGTATTGCAAGATACTCTTACGATGCCAAACTTGTCCACACCTGCTGATCAGCCTGCAATTCCTCACCAGAGTCCATTGGTCCAGCAAGAAAGTCGAATGCTATCTGCAATGCAGCCACGGGTCAACGGCTTCCCCGAGACACTACCGCCTCATGATAGAATCACCATGCTCATCGAAGACATACAAAAGGCAGCTAGGGCGTCTGAAGCGACACGTCTGAAAGATCTAGAGAAGAACAGCTCAATCTTCCAGGATTTTCGCCAAATCCTGATTGTGCTCACCTCGTCTACGCGCCCAGCAGCTGACCTTCTGGCCCGGCAGATCGCAGAGAAGATTTGCCACATTTTTGTCACGAAGCCGCCAGAAGGACCGCTCGAGGCCGAGGTCTTAGCTTTCTTGCTTTCCAAACTATGTCAGCTTTCCGACCTCATTGTGCGGGATGTTCTCAGGTGGATGACAGCCAATGAAGATTTGCTACTGGCTAGCTCTAACGTTGTGGTGGCGCTGATCACGGCAGGCTTAATGGAATTCGCTCGGGTCGATGTTGCGATTGCTTCAGTCATCATGAGTCAAAACGTCCATGGGTTGCATGTCCTCGCTGAGATCATGGATCAGACCCTCTTCACCGATGAACCCACGGCGCTGCGAGCGGACTTTGCACATAGCCTCGTTGCGATGGCCGCTTGGGTCAAGGAGAAATCGGATCTTCCAGTTGTTCCAGAAATCAACGCAAAGTTGAAGGCTCACGGCATGCCCGAATTTGTCAGTGTCGAGATCACAGACAAAGCCAAAGCGAAGCAGGATCAAATGCGCTACGTGTTCGACGAATGGGTCGGTATCTTCGAAAGCATTGGTCCAAATGAAAGCACCTGCGCAGCATTTCTGAAAGAGCTCCACAAGGAGCAGACGATCAACAGCACGGAGGATCTTGCTGAATTTTTGCGACTGTGCATCGACTCGTGCATCGAATGCTACGACCGAGAAGCCCAGAGCCCCAGAGGCAGCGTTGACGTCGCTTTCTCGCACGCAGATGCGCTTGGTCGACTAGTGATCATGCTGGTCAAATTTCAGGGAGACACCAATGGTGCAGTCCGGCTCAGCAAGGCACCCTACCTTGAGACTATTTTGACGATGCTCGTGCTGATATTGAATCACCACCAAATCATGCGCGGAGTGGCCTTCCATCAGAGACTCTTCACCAGACTGTTTTCCAATATGCTCTACGAGTACTCGGCAGCTCGATTGGACACGACTGCCGACCATAACGATCTGATGTTTGCCTTTGCCAAGTGCTTCAAATCTCTGCAGCCATCATGGTTTCCCGGGTTTACATACGGATGGTACAGTCTGATTGTGCATCGGGTCTTCGTCGCTGGCATGCTGAAGCCAAACAATCATGCGGGATGGGACACTTACCGCGAGCTGATTGGGTTGCTGCTCCTTTACATCTCGGAGCTGTCACAGACGCCTGGTTTCGACCTTTTGAATCTTGACCTGTACAAAGGCACACTGAGGAACATTCTCATTCTGCTCCACGACTATCCCGAGTTCCTTTGTGAAAATCACTCATACTTTTGCTCGCGAATAGCGTACGGGATCCCGCAGCTGAGGAATCTGATACTCACAGCCAAGCCGTCGGCGTATCACGATCTCCCGGACCCCATGACGCCCGGGTTGAAGATTGAACGACTTGAGGAGATGAAGAGACATCCGATTCTGGCACGAGACTTTGACACTCCCCTCCAACTGGCGGAGCTCAGAGATGATGTCCTGGGAGCGATCCAAAAATCGGGCGAGATGGATGGCGTGTTGAAGCAAATCAAGGCCGCCCTCATGGAGGGGCAGAAGGAGTCCACTGCTATGGCTCCAGCCAAAAGCGTGGAAATCATGAACGCTCTCGTGCCATTCGTCGGTTATGACGCACTGAGCAATTCTCCGGGAAGATTCGACTCTAGTTCGGCACCTGTGACATTTCTCACCAAGCTGGCCATCAGCCTAGGTTATGAGGGCCGCTACCAATTCCTCAATGCAATTGCAGACCAGATTCGCTACCCCAGCACCCACACTGACTTTTTCTGCAAGGTGATGCTCCACCTCTGGGGGACAGGGAACGGCGACGAGCAACGGCGCGAAATCAGGGAACAAATATCGCGGGTAGTATACGAGCGACTCACGGTTGCGCGGCCCCACGTCTGGGGGATGACTATCCTGTTTCTCGAACTGCAGCAAAATAACAGCTACGGCTTCTGGGAGAACCTGGCCCCAGACAGCGCCACACAACAACGCCTGCAACAGGCCATGCGGACGGCCCACTAGCCCCAGGCAAGGGGGCGATTCCTCTGTGGGGGTACATTGATCCGGATTGTGCATATTATGTTGGGGGGGGGGGGGGGGTGGAAAGAAATACAGATGATGATGATGGTAGCTGAGTGGTGGAGCTCGACCGTGGGTTTGAACAATTCCTCTTCTTTGTACACTTGACCTCTCGATTTTGTTGGAGTGATGCCAAAAAAAGGCATGGCGGATTGTCGCCTCTGCTACATCATGCATATGACGGAGCGGTGAGGGGGCATGGGACGGGTGTGAGTGCACTGGATGGACTCTTGGCCTCTATAGGTAATGGAAGAAAAGGGGTCGACAAGGCGAAACGGGGCATAATCATAGCATGAAGGGACGACCGGAGTTCTGACGACTGGAAAGCACTGCGTCTGGAAAGGGATCAAAAAGCAAGACTCTTATTTTGTAATGCTCGACTAGTTGGGCAGGAAAGAGGGAGTGTGAGCTGGGAGGAGGAGGAGGAGGATCAAGTTGACAAGGCAGGGTAGGGGACCATGTGCAGAATGCAGAATGCAGAACGAGGCTGTGTTGTTGACCCGAGCTGGCCATGGGGATTTACTGCTTGGTTGAAAGAGCAGCTGTGGCGACCCGAACCAACATTTTTGTGTATCATAGGAGACAAGCTTTGGAATGAACGTTAGAGTCGGACAGGTTCTGAGTGGTTTTTGCTTTCCCCTTCTTTCCTTGACCTTGGTCTCTTGAGTAACGTGTTTTCTTGCGTATTGACTATTCCATGCTTGCAAGGGAGATGAGGGTAACACGAGGTGGTTCGACGCTGGGCAGACGGAAGAATGGAGGAGGTGGAGCTGGTGGTGGTGGTGGTGGCGGACGGATAGATGGAGAGATGGCTTGATGGTTCCTTTGGCTGGTGACTGGTGCCACCAGAGGCTTGGTGATCAGGTTGGTGATGATCGTGAGAGGCGATCGCGAGTGGAGGAGGTGGTGGTGGTGATGAGGAAAAAGTGAATCGACAGGGGGGGAGTGACATCATGCGATCCTCAGAAAGACTAGTCCCCAAATTGACTTAGCGCGGACACTAGTTGACGTCTTGTGGGCCACTAGTGCCAATCATCCGGGGGGAGGCTTTAAGTGGCTGACATCATTTGTCCGATACTGGGCTTCAGCTGGCTTGTGTCCCGATGTTTATTGTTCCAAGCTCAGCTGCGGTGGTTCAAACTGGGCAATTGGCGGGCCAGAGGTCAGATCTCCAAACCAGACACCCAGATGCCCCTAGATGTGCCCCCCTCCCCCCCCCAATGCGTGCCCCCTGCCTGGCTGCTGGCTCCCGTCTCGGGGCCCATCTACCCAAGCACCCAATTGAACAGAATTCGTCATCTGTGAGCTAATGTCGCTGGCAGCTTCACCCACCCACAGAGCAACTTGCGACTGCGCACTCCCACGCGTCACTCCATGTCTATAATAATAAAACATCCTTCCTCCGGCCATCTTCCTCACAAGCGAATTTCCTTGCACTCTGACTCCTTTTCTTTCTCGCTTATTCCCCAACCCCATCTTTCGCTTCTCTCCCACAAGCGAGATCTCATCTTGTTCGCTTAAATCAAATACCACCTTGTCCCTGCCCTCGTCCTCGCCCCGGCTGGCGAGGCTGGCATTCCACTTTACCCGACAACAACAACCAAGTTCCTAGGTACTCGACAGCCATGGACGGGGGAACAATCACCCACGTCTTGTATCCTCGACAGGTATGTTCCCAGTCCTGCCAAAACTTCAATCCTGGCCTGCAGTCCTTCTGACATTCGACGTACAGTCCCAGGGAGCCAACCGAAATCAAGGCTCCAACTCGCTGTCGAGCATCATCTCCACCCTCGTCCCTACCTTGGTCATTGCGGTCGTAGCGTTCACCGCATTTCTTATCGTCCGCACTCGCTATAGTCGTGTCTATCGACCAAGAACAGATGACAAACTCTTGGAGAAGGGATGGACCACCCCTCGCTCTGATACGGGCTTCTTTGGCCTCCTGCGCAATTACACTTCCATGCCCGATGCCTACGTTTTGGGTCACAATTCTCTAGACGGCTATCTGTGGCTCCGCCTCCTCAAGGCCCTCATTGTTATGAGTTTGGTGGGTTGCTGCATCACTTGGCCAGTGTTGTTTCCTGTCAATGCTACCGGACATGGTGGTCAACAACAACTCGACATTCTGAGCATGAGCAACGTGCTCAATCCCAACCGATATTACGCCCATGCCATCATTGCGTGGATATACCTCGGATTCATCACCCTCTTGATCGCACGGGAGAGGCTCAATTTTGTTGGGCTGCGCCGCGCCTACTTTCTCTCTGCTGCGCATGCTCAACGCCTTTCCTCACGGACCATCTTGGTCATGGGACTCCCCCACGACTACATGGAGGAGAAGGCCTTGCGCCAGATGTTCGGCCCCAGCGTTCGCAGAATCTGGCTTCAAACAGATTGCAAGAAGCTCGAAGACGATGTGAAAGAGCGGCGGAAGACAGCCTTGAAATTGGAGGGTGCAGAGATGAAGTTGATCAAGCAGGCCAACGCCAGTCGCCTGAAGAGTGAAAAGAAGAACAAGACCCCAGAATCCCCCGAAACCACCGGCTTGGAGCCGAAACGCTGGATCAATCAGAAGAAGCGCCCTACACATAGATTGAAGCCCCAGCTCTGGAAGAAGGTGGATACCATCAACTGGTCGCGTGGGAAACTCGAGGAACTGAATCGCTACCTCCCCGAGCAGCAGAATGAGCACCTTGACCTCAAGCACACCAAAGTTCCTGCCGCATTCATCGAATTTGAGAATCAGACCGCTGCTCACAACGCCTACCAATCGGTCGCACGGGAATCCCGAACGAAATTCTCCCCGCGATACATTGGTGTCCAACCCAACGAAGTGGTCTGGAAGAACTTGGGTGTCAGCTACACCTCCAGAAAGGCCAAGATGTTGATCGCAACCATCGTTATCTGGGTCATGGTCATCTTTTGGGCAATCCCCGTGGCTTTCGTGGGTTCCTTGTCCAACATCAACTACCTCACCAACAAGGTGCACTTCCTGAGTTTCATCAATCATATCCCCAAGGTCATCTTGGGCGTTGTCACGGGTTTGCTGCCTGTAGTGCTTCTGGCGGTTTTGATGGCTCTTGTCCCCATATTTTGTGGGCTCCTGGCAAAGTTTGCCGGTGAGCCTACATTGTCGGCGATTGAGCTCAAGGTGCAGTCTTGGTACTTTATCTTTCAGGTGGTGCAAGTCTTCTTGATCACGACATTCACTTCCAGTAAGTCCTATCTCGCCTGAACCAGGATCATGCTGACGGTGGAATCAGGTGCTAGCGCCGTGACGACGCAGATCATCCAGGATCCAGGTTCTGCACCGACTTTGCTCGCGAGGAACCTACCCAAGGCATCCAACTTCTACATCAGCTACTTCATTCTCATCGGCCTATCGCAGGCAGCTCTACAGTTGTTGAACATTGTGCCCTTGCTAATGTACACTGTGGTTGGCAAATTGTTGGACAAGACGCCGCGAAAGCGATACAATCGATTCACCAACATTGCTGGGATGGGTTGGGGCTCAACCTATCCTAAATTTGTCCTCTTGGGTGTCATTGCCATATCATATGCCTGCATTGCACCCCTGATCCTGGGATTCGCCACGATTGGATTCTGCCTTCTCTATCTGATGTTCAGGTACAACTGGCTCTTTGTCCTGGGTAACAAGGTCGACATGAAGGGCGAGGCATATTCTCGAGGTTTGAAACAGCTCATGACCGGAGTGTATCTCGCCGCTATCTGTCTCATTGGCCTTTTTGCCATTGGCTGCAGCAACAGTGCCAGCAGCGCGGGTCCACTGGCGATCATGGTGGTGTTTTTGGTGGTTGTAATCATCTTCCAGGTCTTGTTCGACCGTGCGATAGCTCCAATGGAGCAACATATGCCGCTGGAGCTGCTGAACAGCAACAAGTATAGCACGACGATCATGGAGCAGTTGCTCGATGAGCAACAACTCAAGCACGGAGACATCGAACCTGGCTCGTCGGTCCGTGGGGATTCCGTTCCTAAAGAGACCGGCTTCTCCAAAGAGGAGAGTGTTGGTGACGCCCCGGGATCTCATGCTCAGTCGAAATCTCCACCATTCAACTTCTTGAGCCGGCGCATTGAACCGATGGCACTCAAATTCTACGAATCAAACAAGAAGATCATTCCCGACTCGGCGGATTCCGAATCGTGGATTCCAGGATACACGTCGGAAGAATATGAACATGCGTATCTGAACCCTGCAATCACGGACCCGAGTCCCGTCATCTGGCTAGCTAAGGACAAATCGGGCGTCAGTGGGTTGATGGTTGCCGAGAACAGGGAAGCAGATATCCAGAGCACCGATGAACGAGCCGAGTTGGACGAGAAGAACAAGCTCGTCTGGAGCGAGGAGCAGGTCAAGGAGATGCCGTTGTGGCGAAGATTGGTCAGATATTGAGCTAAGGGATTCTGCATCCAGCGACCTGTTTGGGTGTTATGGACGGTCAAAGGATAGCATCAAGGGATAATGGAAAAGGAACAGGAATGGAAAAGGCTTGAGGTAAAAGCAATCACGGTCCTTACGCACGATTGATATCGTGCCTTGTTATGAAATACCCCCCAGGCACTGAAGGAATATGGTGGAATAGCTCAGATAGGGCTTGTCATGGTAATTAATTGTTTCCTTGTAATCTGCCGGGAATTCTTTGCAGCTGAATGTATTGCGGTGAACGGTTGATCGAGGAGTTTTTGCTCGCGTACGGCTGCGTGTCGAAAGTCGACGTCATTTTATCTCGAGATCCCGACGCGTCTCGACTGCGCACTGTGGTGAATGTCAACGAGCTTGCTTCTTTCCAATGCGACATGCCTCAACGTGACTTGTGGCTTGGACACACATACATGTCTTTGAAGATCATCTGAAGTGGCATGATGAAAATGGCCACATGAAGCAATATCCCTCTTCAGGGTAAGTCGTGCTAGGCATGCCCTCAACATGGCAGACCCAGCCTACGACGACAATGAGGACGGTAATGAGACACTCATCCAACGAGTGCTGGTATGTCGTCCCCGTCCCTGGCGTGCCCTGGATTTGTCTCATTGTGTGCAGTCACTCAGTCTTACTCCCATGCGAATCTTGACCTCTCGCGCTGCCGTCAAGGCGTACCTCTCGACCATCCTCTTCCTAGGCACCTCGACCGTACTCCTCGCCCTCTCTTCTACCGCCTACGCCTTCTTCTACTATAACTACATACCACAGATTAGCCTTGAACGCGTCCTCTACCTGCAATATGGCACAGACTTCCCTCCGCACGCGACGGCGGAACTGGACACAAACGCGCTGGTCTCGCAACAGGCGTACAATGTGGAATTGATCTTGGACATGCCTCGCACCCCGACCAACCTGCAGGCCGGGAACTTCATGCTGGATCTGTCCTTGTTGGGCTCCAAGAGCGTGCCTGACGCGGTGTCGTCGTGGCTGGGCAACATCACCGTGGAGAACGTGCTCTATCACTCCCGACGGCCGGCCATTCTGCCCTACGCGTCCCCGATCCTGTCGCTCAGCCACACCGTGCTCCATTTGCCGTGGCACTTGCTCAACCTGCGCGACCTGGACCGTTCCCGCCTGGTCGTGCCCATGTTCGAGATGCTGGTGTTTCCGAGGGGCGCGAGAAACGTGCCTACCCACGCCAGGCTCGAGTTGCAAGCCAGCAGTGTTTTACAGGTGTACGACGTCAAGTTGGCGTTCAGGGCAAAGTTTCAGGGCATGAGGTACTGGATCTACAATTACCGCGCCACGGCCTTTGTGCTCTTCACGGCCTTGTTTTATGGCGTGAGCGTCACCAGCATGGCGCTGGGGTGGGCTGTGATTTCGCACATGCTCTCCGGCGGCGGTGAGGGCCAGAAGAGGATCAAAATGGAAGGGAGGGAGGGGGTGCCGGCGACGGGCACGCCGATCAAGACCGAACACGAGTCGTCCTCCGGCGCCGCCACCAAAATCAAGACGGAAGACGAGGCCGAGTCGTCCGGCCCACATGGGGTGGGAGGTGGCCTGTCTCTCTCCAACATCTCGGACACGCCGACTCAATTTCCTACGGGGAGAGGCCGGCCGCCCTTGTCGTACTCCGGACGTCCCGGCTCCGAGGCTGAAGCGAGAGTACACGTCGAAGCGGAAGAAGATCGTCTGAGAAGGCCTATGGGGCCAGGCGAAGCTGCGGATGATGAAGACGAGGGAGATTTTGACGAAGAAGAGATTCGTGGGAGACGGGTTGAAGGCGATTCCGGGATCGGAACCAGCATGGAGAGCGAGCATGCTGGACTGGGGGTAGTCAGGAGGAGGAGTTCGAGGGGGTTAGGCAACAGATGATGTTGAGTGCGTGCCGAAGATTTTATGACCTCAGTTTCTATATACCCAAGAGCACAGTATTCTTCAACCCACCTATAACGATGCTGCCCGGTCTTGTCTGTCTATGTCTATTGGCTCCGGCTTGGGAGTGGCCCAACCCTGTTCTTCGAAGAGTCTGTCTTTCTAGCTCTACAGAACCTCATTGCTGACTTGTTACCCCGGCATCGCCATCTCGACAAGCAATCGAACCAGCATGGATATCACTCTAAGAGGAAGAGACCCAGCCACGGCTCCCTCACAACTTATTCACCCGAGCGTTGGGGCCCCTCCGGGACGGCTCCCTCTCCAGGTCTCTGAAGCGCTCGTACTCGGCCAGACAAGCGGGGTTCCTGACCGTGGAGCTCACCTTGACGGCCTGGCCGGAGATGACGCGCTTGACGGCGACCTCGACCTTCTTGCCGTTGACCGTGTAGGGGATCTCGCGAACCCGCTCGATGAACTTGGGCACGTGGCGGGGCGAGAGGCCGTCGCGGACGGCGGCGCGGAGCCTCTCGACCAGCTCGGGGGTGAAGTCGGCGTCGTGGCCGGGCGCCATGATGACGAAGAGGAAGACGGTCTCGTCCTGGTCGTGGGCGCGGCGGCGGCCCACGCACAGCGTGTCCGAGATCAGCGCGTTGAACTGGGGCCCCTCGACGATGTTGTACACCTCGGAGCTGCCGAAGCGGATCCCGCTCGGGTTCAGCACGCCGTCGCTGCGGCCGAGGATCTGGAGGCCCCGGGTGAGCGGGTTCATGACGATGAAGTCGTGCTGGGCCCAGACGTCGAGGTATTCTTCTTCGCCGCTGCTCCCGCCGACGACGGGGAACTTCTCAAAGTAGGCCTCGCGGTATTTCCGGTGGTCCGGCGTGTCGCCCCAGAACCGGCACGGCATGCTGGGGAAGGGCTTGCGGCAGACCAGCTCGCCGGGGCGGCCCTCGGCGGCGCACGAGCGGCCCGTCTCGCCGTCGAGGATGTCGCAGTCGTGGCCCAGCGCCCACATCTGCATCTCGTTGGCGTACACGGGCCCCGCCGGGTTGGTGGCGATCCACGAGGAGGCGATGTCGGTGCCGCCGGCGACGCTGGACAGGTGGACGCGGCGTGGGAACGCGCGGTAGAACCAGCGGAACTGCGCGCCCGTGAGCGTCGCGCCCGTCGTGGTCACCAGCGCCAGGCGCGACAGGTCGAACGCCTCGGGCCGGATGCCCGACTGCTCCAGCTCGAGCAGGTACCGGGGGGACGTGCCCCAGTAGGTCGCGCGGAACCGCGCGCAGATGCGCAGCATCGTGGAGGGGTCCGGGTGCAGCGCGCCGCCGTCGTAGCAGATGACCTTGCTCCCCACGGACAGGTGGCCGTTCATGACGTTCCACAGGATCCAGCTGGTCGACGAAAACTGGAACACGGTCGACCCCGGCCCCAGCCCGTTGTGCAGCAGCGAGATCTTCTTGTAGTTCAGCACCGACACGTGCGGCGACACGATGCACTTGGGCTCCCCCGTCGTGCCCGAGCTGTACACGATCACCAGCGGGTGGTCCGTGGGCACGCGCGCGTACCGCAGCTTGTCCCCCGCGCGGGCCTTGGTGAGGAACTCGTGCAGCGAGATCGCGCCCGCCAGCGGCGTGATGTAGTCCAGGTGCCGCTGCCGGTGTGGCCGGTGGCCGGTGGGCACGAAGACGAGGCGCGGCTGGGGCTTCGCGACGGGCAGCGCCCGGAGGATTTGCATGACCTTGCCCAGCATCGAGGGCCGCGTCCCGCGCACCGCCACGTCGACGTCGGCGAACAGCCACTTGGGCTCGACCTGGGCGAACCGGCTGACGCAGCCCGAGACGCCCAGGTCCGGCGACACGGAGGTGAAGACGGCGCCCATGGACGCGCTGGCCAGGAACAGCACGACGATCCACACCGAGTTGGCCATCAGCGCCGCGATCACGTCGCCCTTCTTGATCCCGCGACGCACCATGGCCGACCGCACCGCGCGCACCAGCTCCGTCAGCTCAGCCCAGGTGACCTCCTCCGGGTCGTCGAGGCGGCCCTCGCGCAGCCCGACCAGCGCGACGGCGTTTGGGTTCGCGGCTGTGTTGGGCACCAGCACGTTCTCGGCGTAGTTGAGCCGCAGCCCGGGGAAGAAGGTCGGGATGTCGCGCAGGCGCGCCGTCGGGTCATACGCCAGTCTCGTGTGCTTGGGCAACGGGGGCACAATCCCGCAGTACTCGTACAGGTCGATCCAGAACTGGTGCGGGTTCTGCACCGTCCAGCTGTGCAGCTCGTGCGAGTCGCGCAGCGACTGCGAGAATTTGGCGTTGACGTGATGGCGGTACTGAGACATGGGCGGCGCTTCGGAGTCTGCTGGCGTCCATAGCGGCGTCGGTGCGGATGTGCTGTCTGATGTTGGACTGGGGTCTGGACTGGAGCTGGAGCTGGAGCTGTTGTTGGAAGAGGAAGAGGAAGAGGAAGATGATGATGTCGGTGACGCCCTCTTGATCTCTTCCCGATATTGCTTGGAGCAGTACTCGAGCGGCAGCCCGACTGCGTTGTAGTATGCCGGTGACGATGACGGCATTGTGGTTTTTGAATCAAAGGCCCTTGACCCCTTCGTGGTGTATCAATCTATCAATCTATCAATCCAATCGGACAATCTATGCTGTAGTTGTATTCTTTTGTGTCTTGTCTCTTGTATCGTAGCGTCCTGTATAAGTTGTATAGCAGTTGTATCACCTCTTTCTGTTTTTTCAACTGTCTCTGTCTCTGCTTCTGCTTCTTTCACCTCTTCACATGGGACAAATCGAAACCAAGATCAAAAGAAGGAGGGTCTGACAAAGAGAGAATTACATACAAGTCGAGAGCGAGAGAGAGAGTGAGTTCTGTTGCACCAGATACCTAAGAAGGTAGAGCAGGCCGAGTATTCGGCAAGAAAAAGCAACGGAGGAAGAGACAGGGAGGGTACGGATCGTAGCCCGGTCGCAACGGATGCGACCACCCACCGATGTGTTGTTGTTGGAGAGCCTCGGCAATGGTAGCGTGCCAAAGGCCAATGCAAGCAAGGCTGACTGTGGGAATCTTGGGCGAGTGAGGGGGAAGGCTGCAGATAGTTGATGGGGACAAGGCTGAGACAAGGCTGAGACAAGGCTGCGTGCGGGGGATTCAACTTGACAAGTCCAACTCTTCATCTGGCCCTGCGATACGCAAACACCGCCACTAGGTAGACATCAGGGATAAGTAGTCATGCAATGACAGATCCAGGCCCGCAGCTTCGTTTCATTGGAAGGAGTCAAAAGTACAAGAGATCAATATGAATCTTCAATGGTTGTTGGAATTCTCCACGGCAGTCTTCACCGTGAATAGTTTACCTATGTAGCCACCAATTCAGACACACACGTATCTATACATCTATCCTCGCCACTGTTGCGCACATCCCAACTCCCTGACCAGTCAATTCAATCACCTCTTCCGCCTCCACCTCTTGATCTCCAACTCCGGCAACCTCAGTGCCAGACTGCTCATCACAACGCTGACACTACTCGCCGCCATTGCCATACTCGCCCAAACCGGGTTCAATCTCCAACCAGCATGGTGCTCGTTCGCTCCAATGGGAAAGAACACCCCGGCAGCGACGGGGACCAAGCACAGATTGTACACTGCTGCCCAGGCAAAGTTCAACTTGACCCGTAAGAACACACGTTTAGCCAGTCTGACCAGCGAGAGGATAGTCTTGAGATCAGAATTGAGCAGGATGAACGATGAAGTGGTCATTGCAACGTCAGAGCCGGAAGAGAGTGCAATGGAGACATCAGCGGCTGAGAGCGCAGGGGTGTCATTCGTGCCGTCCCCCACAAACGCAATGACCTTGCGGCTGCCGTGTGGGCCCGAGGGTTTGCCCGAGGACAACCCCTGCAGCTCGCGGATGTAACTGGCTTTATCTTGTGGAAGAACACCTGCACGAACGTTACTGGCTGGGATTCCAAGTTGGGAAGCGATGGCCAAGGCTGTAGTTTGATTGTCTCCCGTACACATGTGAATGTCGAGTCCTGCGCGGCGTATAGATTCGAGTACTTGGGGTGCCTCAGAGCGGATCGGGTCTGCAATGGCAAAGACGGCCAACGCCCGATACGATGACAATGACTTGGCTTTCTCGGCATTTTCTGGTACCTTTCGGAAAGCAAATATGGCCGTTGAATGACCCAGGGATTGGTGCCTCCTCAGGATTGGACTGAGGTAGAAATCCTCTCCCTTGACGGTTACAGCCGCCTCGTCCTTATTCGCAGAGGTACCCAACTCTGGACCCTCGGTTGGGCAAATGCTCTGTAGAAGTCTCTCGTTCCCAAGGGCAATTTCATAGCGCGATGTGGAGGAATCGCCTTTGACCAGAAATCTACCGGTCATTCCTTGCCCGGGCACCTCTTTGATCTCTTCCTGCTCAATGGAAACATCTGTCGAATTCTCCATGCAGTAGCTTGCAATGGCTTTTGCGATCGGATGCGTACTTGAGTCCTCCAGCATGCGAGACGACGCAATGATGATGCTATCGTTAAGTGTCGTATCACTGCCCTCACTGCTCTGGATCAATTCGAAGTCGGTCACTCGCATTTGACCCTCAGTCAATGTACCGGTCTTGTCGAAGACAATAGTGTCCAGTTTCGAGGCCTCCTGAAATGCCTCGCCACCTCCTTGGACAAGGATACCATGTTTTGCAGCCAACCCACCGCCAACGAAGAGTGCAGTAGGTGCAGCGAGACCAATGCCACATGGACAGGCGACCACGAAGACGGCGATGGCGAATTCAAGAGACCAGAAAGGCCACCCTCCCCGGCTCACGTCGAGCCATGCTTGAGGGAGGGTTCCGGATAAGCCCAAACCCATCCAGATTACCCAAGTTGTGATGGCAATGAGAGTGATTACCGGGACGAAGTACCCGGTGAGAACGTCTGCAATGCGTTCGATGGGAGCTCTTTTCGCCTGGCCTTCACGAACAACACCAACAATCCGGTCCAGCATTGATGTTCCACCAACGCCAGTTACTCTGATCCGCACAGGATCCGACACGTTCACAGATCCTGTAAAGACTTCGTCGCCATAAGTCTTCGTGACTGGCTTCGATTCTCCTGTGAGGGAGCTCTCATCGAACAGAAATGTGCCTTGATTTTCAATGACGCCGTCGGTTGGCGGAGACGTGCCGTGAGGGATTTGAACGAGGTCGCCTGTCTCTAGTTGATCGACGGGGATTGTTTCGGTGCTGCTAGACGCTTTGCCATTTCCATCATCTTTGACAAGAACCGCAGTCGAAGGCCTGAGGTTGCTGAGCATCGCTACAGCGTCACCGGTCTTGGTCTTGCTGTAGGCCTCCAAGAAGCGACCGATGAGGATGAAGAAAGTGAGGAATGTGACGGTGTCGAAGTAGGTATCCGACGCACGATGATGTCTCATATCAGTCGAGTCAGTTGTAGCATCCATGATCAGGACAGCCAACGACGAGAAATACGCCACCGCAGCACCAGCACTAATCAACAGATTCATGCTGCCAAAGCGGTAAAACCGACGCAGCAGAGGTATTTTGCTGTTTGGCCTCCACATCGCCTTGATCTCCTTGTATGCGCGGACGTGGAAGAGATCTGTGCCGAAACACATGACCGGTGTGGTCATGAAGAAGAGTGCCCACTCTATCCGCATTGCCTGACCAGCCAGGATGGGTTGTTCCCACCATTGCCTCGTTGGATTGGATTCAGGAACCAAGCTCATGTACACGACCCCGATGATGAAAGTCGGGATAGCAACTATGCCCGTGAACAGCAGTCGCCATAGAATATGCTTCATCTCTTTCCGCTGTAGTCGTCGTGACCGCTCTTCTAGCGTTGGCGGATGATATACACTTGCCTTCAAAGCATCATGGGAAGCATCGATGGCGGCGATGAAGCTGCGTACCGTGAGTTGATGAGAGGGGCGGTAGGTGATGGTAATAATAGGATCTTTCAAAGTGGGTAGTTGAGTTATGGTATACATCGACCCGCTAACAGTTGACAATGCAGATTGGATAGCGGTTCTGACATTTTCGGGACAATGTTCACAGTACATGCCGTCGATCCTGAGTTGCACCGTCCGTTCTTCTTGCGGGGCCTGGGTTGATTTGGCGGTGCTCTCCAATTTGACGACAGTCGCATCATATCCCAGATCGTCAATCTTCTCCAGGATTGCTTCGAGGTGCTGTTTTCCGCGGAACGTCACAAGGCCGCGATTCCCGACAAGGTCAATACTGACGTCTTGGATGAAAGGCAGCTCCTCGAGGCCTCGGGTGATCGTGCCAACACAACTTCCACAGGTCATCCCCTCAATACTGAGCGTGACCTTATGATCCTCGTCACCACCTTCAGATGCACGAATGTCATCAACGATGGCTTCGTAGCCCAAATCTTCAATCGCTTCAACGAGTTTATCCGAGTTGCTTTTGGGACCTTGATAAACCACTCTTGCATTGTTCGTCATCAGATTAACATTTGTCGAATCCACAAAATCTAAATTGTCGAGCCCTTTTGTGATTGCACTTGTGCAAGATGCGCAGGTCATTCCGCCAATCGATACGGTTGCAACATAGTGCGAAGATGCACTCTCTTTTCCTGCGCCGTCGACATCTTTGTTTGAAAGCTTGTCTTCGGCCAGTGTGTCGCCTGAAACGGCCGCCTCCTCGTCGGTAGGTGTCTGTCTCGGAAGGGCTTGTCGGCGGCGCAGTCGCATGAGAGAAGACCATGACAGTTTTGGTCTTGATGTGTGGCCTTTTTCGCGTTGACATGCCTTGCAGTTTTCAATGTGCTTGCGCTGGGCACGAGACATGAGCCAGCGGGAGCGTGAAAGGCGGGCATTTGCGGGGGTTGGTGACACATCGGAGTCGTGAGACTGAACACCGTCAGGTCGGATGGTTGTGACATGCTGGACTTCGAAAGCTGCCTTGATTAGTTCACCAACAATGACTTCTCGGGTCGAATCTTGTGCATGCTTGACACGGATGACCTGGTCAATGAGTGAGACTTGGATGGACTGGATTCCAGGGATTCCACGGAGTGTATCTTGAACATAGGACACGCAGGATGGGCAGTGGATGTTTGACACTAAGAACGTAGATGTGTAGGCCATGGCTGAGTGAAGGAGGAAAGAGATGGGCAACACTCGAGGGGTCTCGTCCGTTTGAAAAGTGGCAAGCAAGACAAGGGCTTTGTGGAGAAAAGAGATGAGATGTAACAGCGAAGAGTGGCACAGAAGCAAGTATGTTGAAGCTGCTCAGTCTTTATTCTCCCACATGGTATTGAGAAGATTGTGCGTAGAGCAACACAGCGGATTTCACTCGAAAACCTTCAGGTAGATCAAGCGTCGCATTGAATCGATGATAGGTCGAAGAAGTCGTGGATCATGCGAGGGATGATAGAGGATGCGCGACTTGTGCGTTAAATGACGACCACGTCGAAGTTTGCCGCAGGCGGTCGGCGGGAAACGAAGGTGGGAGGATGACATAATACACATCACGTGCACCTGCTGTCTGAATATCACGTGTGGCTTCCAATCCTGCGACCTCATCTCTACGACGTCGCTTTCTTCTCGATCTCGACCGTCCTCCCACCGACGAAGCGAGGCCGACAGTTGAATCATCTTACCTCTGTTATTGACATTGACGGGTTGTCGGTCATGAGGCTCATGCAATTTTGATGCAAGAGGACGCTGCTGTGTCTCCATCCTTCTGCGCTGCCTCTTCCAATCAAAGCCCACAACCAGAAATCGAATTGAACCCCTAACAAATGGCGGTCTCAGCCCCAGCTGGCATGGACTCCGCACCGACAAGTTCCCTTGCTCCTTCCGACGCCTTGAACGATCCCAAGAGTCGTGTCACCCACAACGATGGGGACAATCACCACGTCAACAAGCCGGCTACCCAATCCGACTACTTCAATATACCTCCTGCTGTCCCCGCCCTCTGTTTCAGTGTCGCGTATGACAGCCTGAATAACCGCGGAAACTCGCTGGAGCCTCACCGAGCCGCAAATCAGCCTTCGCCACAAGTGAGCTTCAATCCAACATCTTATCCAGGCTCGGGACCTCGGCGGACGTCGTTCCCTGAAATCTTACCTCACGGCCACATCCCGCCTCCACTCAGCAACGCACGCCTGCCCACTTCGGAGACTGAGACGCCCAACCTTCTCATAGGTGGCAACACCGGACTGGACGATGTGCAGACCGATAGTGATCCTGAATTTCGATATTCCCTACCATCTTTGACTATGAATCAGACCCAGACTCCCTCTTCTGTTACTAGCGCCCACGACCTCGACAGTGACACAATCGTTGTTTTAAGCGAGATGGCGACGTCTGATATTGTTGGCGACGGAAGGACACCGGCAGCAGCAGGCAACAGAGGCGCTGTGCCTGGCAGAAACAAGCAATATGTTCTTCCCAACGGTGCAGTGGTCTCTGGTAAGGGGTTAGGTCGAGGCAGACCAGGCATCAAACGGGGACCGCGAAACAGCATGGCTCCAAGTGATGACCAAACCTCACCGCAAGTCGTACCGGCGAACGCTTCTCACCACTTTGGACCTCCTAGCAAGAAAAGAAAGAGTGGTGCTTCCGACACTTCAGAGTCGAATCGACGCGCCTCGACTTTGGATTCGACGGCCACCCCATCCAGAGAGAGCTCAGAAGAATACAACCCATCTGCACAGACTCGATCCGGGAGGCAAATTCAGAAGCCCGTTCCTCTGAGCGATGGCACTCCTGTGCAGGCGAGTCCATCAAGGAAACTTTCTCGAAATAATTCTGCCGCGAATACGGCGTCGAACTCCCCCGCGTCCATAAAAACTCACCCAAAGATCAAACGCAGAGTCTATCGTGGACGTGAGCAGTTTGCGCTTTGCGAGCATTGTTTGCGTGGACATGGCCCTCCGGGAAACGTGATTGTCTTCTGTGATGCCTGCAACAAATGCTGGCATCAGCGTTGTCACGAACCGCAGATCTCCCCGCACACGGTTACCGACTCCAAAGCTGAGTGGTTCTGCTCTGAGTGTGACCGAATTCTGCACGGCAAGAAGAAGGACAAGAAGGCAAATGCAAAACCGAGCTCCCAAACTGCAGTCGTGGCAACCCCTGTCGTCGAGCAGAAACCCACATTTACAGGACCACGAATAGGGGGTCGTTTCCTCCTCGTCGAGCAAAAAGACGCCTATCTTAAAACATTGTCCAGAGATGATCTCGTGTCATTAGTTCTGCAAGCATCGGACCTGGCTCCGGACTTGCCTTTGTTCCAAACCCTAGCACCACCACCTCCTCCACAAGTGGCAATGCCACAGGCTCAGTTCACTTCTACCTACGTCACACCGGTCTCGAAGGTGCCTTCGTTTGGGGAGAACGATCCGGGTGAGGATAATGAGGTAGATGAAGGCTACGATGGATACTTCGACGAGCACGCCGCATTATATCCTAAGCCTGGAAACGGAGTACAATTACCGCCGGAGAGCGAGGATTTGCATATTTTGCTGGAGGGCAGGAACAGCAGGACTTTTAGTCACTGGGTGCAAGGAATGCCCGGGAATCTGTTCAGTGGGTCCGGGAATGTCTCTTCGATAATATACTAAGGCTTGGACGGAAGGTGTTGTGCTGGCAGTGTACAATCCCCGTTGGGCAGATGTAGATATTTCATCGTTATCCCGTCTTGGGTGTTTCGTGTCGCTGCTCCAATAATCTCGGAATCTCGATACAGCCTTCGGACATCCTATCCGCATTTCGCTATAGTTGCCCTGTTGTATCGACATTTGCCAAGTTCCAACATCATACGTGTATCTCGCTCGCCCTGATTGCCATCCGCTTGCTTTCTTTCCCTGCTTTTTGGCAGAATTACGCTCGCGACACATCTTCTTGTATTCGCATCGTCGATGTGTTCCTCTGGATGATCATGACAAATGGTTCGTAGGCCCATTGCTGGCTTGTCCAAGGATTCCGTGTCCAAGTCATGCATTTCGTTTTCCACTCCAAGGTGCTGAGAGCAAGGCCAAACTCCATCACGATGTAGGGTCATGAGGGCCTAAGTCTGCACATACAGTTAACGTTGTCTTTGAATGTGGGAAAGGTATCATGTGTTCACTGTTTCATGATTGATGCTCTGTCGATTGCTTGTCGTTTGCCCGGTGGATGATGACCGCGACGATTTGTTTGAGAAGGTCAAGACCCCGGTAATAAGGGGTCAAAGTCGCAGCTATGCCGACCTGCATGAACTTCCATGGAAGCTGCAAGCAAACAGTCTAGGCCTGGTTAGTGCTTGGACAAAGAGTTCACCGTCAGAAGGTCCCCATCCACTTTTCGCAGAAACAGACTGCACTGGCACGCTGCTTGTGAGAAAATGCCACACACTTCTGCCTCACCTTCTATTGAGTGACTGACCTTGCTCCGCTCCCAGCCACATTGAAGATTCTAGATGACTCATTGAGTCACCTGGAGTGACAATGTGAGAGCAGTGAATCTGTGCCAAGACAGGATCCCTCAAGTGAATCCATATAAATAATAAAAAGCCTTCTTCTACGAGAGAAAGAGATGTGCTGCGATCTTACTGTCCTTGCTGTTCGCCACTCTACAGCTTCGGACTCATCTTCTATTGGACTCCATCAGGGTTGCAATCATGAGGCCTTACATTTCCGCGTCCACGGCGGGAAGAGGTCTCATCTGCGACACCGTCAACATCCTTTCTCCTGATCCGCGCCCTCGCCTGTCCTTCACCGACGATGGCCCTGGGAAGCTCTCAGTCTTCGGTCCTCGCCACGATAACGACAATGAAAACTACAGAAAGATCAAGATCCTCCCAACTGCAGACGAAATCCTCGCTGTCCATCGACCAACATACATGCCGAAAAAAGATCTCTCTGAAGAGCACTTTCTGGACAATGGGCCTGGTAGATTGTTGGATACGCTTTTCCGACAACTGCGATATGACAGCACTGAGAACATTCGGGACATATGCTATTCAGCCTCACAGATCGCCTTCCTCGGCAGCGGCACAGATCCTGGGGGCCATGTCCGTCAAGAGACTGGAGCTGGCAACCGATACTTCCTGTACAACAACGTCAAAATCGAAGAGTTGCTTTCACACGAGCAAATGGCAATGGTCGTCCGTGTCAGCTACGACTGCCCACCTTTCATGAGGGCTCAGAAGTTATATGACTCTGGCCGGTTTCAAAAAGGCATGTTGGTGGCATTGCTCCAACTAAACCACGCTACCATGAAGTTGTCTGTCTACTTCTTGGAGGTCCATTTAGCTCAAAGCACCTTCTCTATGGAATGCTTTGACGGACGTGGCACTCGAGCAGCAGTCCAGCTTTCTTTCCTCCCCACAACCACCCACGACGATGTCCTTCAGCTTTGCCGCCACGCTTTGGGCCTTTGCGAAGGAAACGAACTGTACCTGGTGGAATTCCCGAAAGTTCTCTTCGCTGGCTTCTACAACTGTCTCAAGCGGTTGCAACAGATGGCAGAAACAGATTTCGCCTTCCAGAGCTATGTTGCACCTGACAAGGATGTCAATGGGGCGTTATTAGCCAGAAATCTGAACTCGGTTGCCGGATTGCACTCCCAATTCCCGTGTCCCCCACCTTCTTATGCGCTCTCATCGGACTTCGCATACAATCTCACCAAGCTTGTCCCACTCACATGCCCGATTGCCTCTGCATCCGTACGAGATTTGTCGCGGCCCTCTGCGCTAGACATGCTCAGCCGCGAAACCACTCTGGATGAAGGTCAAGCTGTGGCCTTCAGAGACAGCCTTCTGCGGGAGTATGCATGCACACAAGGTCCACCGGGATGCGGCAAGACTTTTCTGGGCGTCCAGCTAACCAAGACACTTCTCGATTCTCGACCGACACAGAAGCCTATCCTACTGGTGTGCCTGACAAATCACGCCCTGGACAGTTTCCTTGCCGATCTGCGAGACGCTGGCGTCTCCAATCTGCTCCGAGTCGGTTCCGCTAGCAAGGAAGACTGGACAGATGCAATCAATCTTCGTAGCTTGCGACGAAAGACGCGAATGAAGAAGGAGAATGCCCAAATGCTGCATGCCAATGGCCTCCAAAAGAAACTGCTATTCGCAGAACTCGATTCATTGTGCAAAGGTATGGCCATCTTCCCTTTGTGCCCTCCGAACAGAACTAAATGGAAATAGCGCTTTCTTCCCAGACGCATAGCGGAACTCCTCCATGGCACTATGTCGAGGGCATTCTGCGCAACAAATATCCGGATGTTCATTCTCAATTTATGACAAATCCTCGCGTCTCCCTTGCACAATCCTTTACTTTCGAATACTGGTCGGGAGGGGGAGACTTGAAGACGATTCGGGATTTACACCTTGAGCTGGCTTGCAGACTTGCCCAGACCTCAAACGACGGAGCAAGACCGACTCAAGAAAATGTTGATGAAATCCTTCTCGACATATCTTACCGTGCTGAGCTTCAGAGTGCAAATGCCGGGGAGTCCAGCATATGGAACTTGCCTCTGCGCGAACGTCAGTCTATGCTTCGGCGCTGGGAAGCGGAGGTCGATAAAGAAAAATTTGCAGACAAGATGGCTTCTCTTTATTCCGAATCGCGTGTGTACACTGACAAGATCAAGACGATCAACGATGGGCGTGATGTGCAGATCATGTCATCTCAAAACATCATCGCTATGACCACAACCGCATGCGCTGCCCGCTGGGAACTCCTGCGATCAGTGGATCCTGAAATCCTCATTTGTGAAGAGGCTGCCGAGGTTATGGAAGCACATGCACTGTGCACTTTGCTCCCTTCGCTGAAACATGCAATTTTCATTGGCGATCCTCAGCAGCTGCGGCCCGAGACGAACGAGCAGTCTCTCAGTCTCGAGACATCGGTCGGGCGTCAGTATCGATTGGACGAGTCCTTGCTGGAGCGACTGATGTTTCCTCATGACATGTCGGCATCGGTAATACCATCAAGCCACTTGAGCGTCCAACGCCGAATGCATCCTGATATTGCAAATATCACTCGCCTGACTTATCCTTATCTCACGGATCACGAGTCTACGCTCCAACGCTCACCAACTCATGGCATTGCACACAGAGTCTTTTGGTGGGATCATCGAGTTCCGGAACTTGAATCAGACGACTTAAAGTCCCACGCCAATCTGCATGAAGTTGAGATGGTTGCCTCCCTTGTCGAGTACCTGCTTCGCAGTGGTGCCTATTCGCAAGGAGAAGTTGCAGTCCTAACTCCGTATGCGGGTCAGCTGTTGAAACTCTACGAACGGCTGGCCACAACGTGTGACATCTGGCTCTCTGAAAAAGACCGGGAAGCACTGCTTGGTGAAGAGATCCTTGGCCTTGGTGATGAAGGCAGGACATCCAAGGACGAAGTTGCGATCTCCGACATGCTCAGAATTGCGACAGTTGACAATTTCCAGGGTGAAGAGGCAAAAGTCATCATACTAAGCACTGTCCGAAGCGGAGGTACCGCTGGTTTCTTGAAGACGTTGAATCGCATCAATGTCGCCTGCAGCAGGGCTCGTAACGGCTTTTACATCGTTGGCAATTCTCAGACTCTATCTCAAGTACCCAGGTGGAGAGAAGTCATCAACGCACTCAGTGGGAAGATTGGAGGTTCGATCATGACTCAGTGCCATGTGCATCCCGACCATCGCCATCTCGTTGAGCAGCCAGAGGACTTTCGAGACGTCCCAGAATGTTCAGCGCCTTGCGGCACGACTTTGCCCTGCGGTCATATATGCCAGGAGAAATGTCACCCACCTCAGCTCCACTCCCGCCTGACCTGTCAAGAGAAATGTGCCAAGGTCTTCCAACCGTGCGGGCACAAATGTGAGAAGCTGTGCTATCAGAGATGCGGAAAATGTGACGCTGTTATCGACGATGCCACTCTTGATTGCAGTCATCACGGAAAGAAACTCTGCTCAGGCGACACTTCCAAGTGTGAGGCCGTGGTAGAGAAGAGAATTCTCAACTGTGGTCACTCTCTGAAGATCTTGTGTGGTGAAGATCCTGACGAAAAGATTACATGCCAACAAGCATGCTGCGCGACACTCACTTGCGGCCATCCTTGCAGCGGAAAATGCGGTGTCTGCAATAACAAAAAACAAGGAAAGCATGAGTCTTGCACGCATATATGCAATCGTCTCAAAGCATGTGGCCATTTCTGCAAGGAGACTTGTCACGTCGGAAACTCGTGCCCAAGGTCCTGTGTCGAACCCTGCTTGGATAGGTGCGAGCATGGACCTTGTAGGAATCGATGCCAGGACATTTGCGACCCCTGCGTCAAGCAGACTGTCGCTGGCTGTGAGCACGAAATACCGTCAGATATCCTTTGTTGTCTTCCAAGCCTATCGTTACCCTGCTGTCAGCCCTGTCCTCGGACTCTGGAATGTGGCCACGCGTGCCCATCATTTCACGGTGAGAAGTGTCCCCCACCGGAGCTCTGCTCGGAATGCCTCACTGGGGTGAGAGGTCCTATGGTTCTTTACGCTCCAAAATGCGGACACATTGCAGAGATCGCCCAGCTGGATGCCCGCAATCTCCACGGCATTTACAAAGTGGACGATGATGGGGTTATTTTATCAATCAATTCAGGCGTCAAGTCACAAGACATTGCACCACCGAAATGTTTGTGTGGAGAGTCCTTGCATGGCATTCGCCGTTACCGACTCCATTCGAAGTTGGTTGCCTTCAAGAACACTTTTGACCTTCTTCTGGCAAAAATAGGTCGCAAGCTAGCAGCCTTTGCCACCGTGATCGAAGTCCAGGAAAAGCAGTTGGATCGGACGTTCAAAGCATGTGTGGAAGAGATCCGGCCGAATCCCTTAGCAGCTAAATCGAATGCCAGCCTCGTTCTGCGTCGAAACCAAGAGATACTCGATCTCCAGAAGAACATTATCAACTTCAGGAGTGAGGTTGTGGATCGGATCCAGAGTAGCATTACGGTATTGCATAAGGTGTTTCCGAACGTCATCCCTTCGTATGACCTGAGTTTCCATCTTCACCTTGACGTGTTGGAATGCAGGGTTGTCGGTGTCCGCCTCGCTGACGCCCTCAAATTGGCAAATCAGCTTCTTCCTCTACAAGACCCCTCCTTCGGAGTGCAACGTCTGGGCCTCAAGATGATTCAGTTCGCCTACAAGGAATCTATTTCTTGCGCAAACTATTGTCAAGGTGCACTGGGTCATAGCTTGATTGGTCGCAACTCGTCCCTTGAAGCTGAGATCAGGCTGCAACAGCTCCAGTTCATGCTCTTTGCAAAGACAACTAGAGCTCAGCGTTCTGAGCTTGGACCTCCTGTCGACGACAATGTCATGCTCATGAATGGAGAAACAGTTAAGGTTGGATTGGAGGCAGTAAACGCAATCGGTCGCAGATCCCCGGGGACATGTACCGGTTTGATGGCGACTGCACAGGACATTGCCATAGCCTTTGAGCATCAAGTTGGTTCAAAGCTGCCACCAATCCCGAAGATCAAGAACGACTATACTAGGCAGGTTGAAAACCTATGGGGACGTCACCAGCTTGGATACCTGGTCATGTGCTGTCGATCCCATCCCTACTCGGCAAAGACTTTCTCGGATGGCTGCCCATATTGTGAGAAGCAGGCTCAACTGTCAGTTGATGAAATCTTCCGTGAATCTGGGAAGCATCTGTTTGAAGAGCAGTTCTTGCAGATCATGCATTCCAGGGCCCCGATGTCTCACAAGTCCGACCATCACGACCCGGAAAGGGCGAAATCACCTGTGCCGTCGGTCGAGCAGGAGACCTCGAAAGAAACCGCTACCAGTGCGCCTGTGATTGAATTGACTGCTGAAGAACGATTTCTAGCAGCAATGAGGAGAGGTCCTCCAAAGATACATGCTGGAGTTCCTTCCGAGGCGATGAAAGAGCAGAGTAAGGCAGCTGTTGAGGCAGAAGTGGCTAGGGAAGTGGACATTGGAGCAGGGGTGGAGATGAAGGTGGAGGTAAGAATGGACATGCAGGAGTCGATTGCAGTTGAACCTGAAAAAGAGCTGACGATGGAGGAGAAGTTTCTTGTCGCAATGAGAAAGATTGGCAAAGTAAGAAATTAAAAAGAGGAAGAGACGGGTAAAACTCAGTGGAAGGCAGGTGAGGCAAACATAGCATGGGTGGCATAGACATCCTATTTTTCCAAACGAACAGTGAACGTGTTGAAAATAGATGATATCATTCCAGAAACCCTGTATGCTCCTCCGGTTCTGCTACTAGAGAACCGGTACCAAGCTATTCTGATGGACTCGCTCCTAACGAGCAGGCAGATGTCAACGTCTTTCCAATGCGATACGAAGATGATTTTGCTAACGTTTGGGAGAACAGCTACCGGGTGGGATTGTGCCTTGGGGTGTCGGAGGACAAGGACGCCCGTGTCTGGGAAGATGGAACACCCCGACTACCAGTCTACGATGACGAGGTTTTGTCGGCGGCGATACTTCCCATCGACAGAGAAGAATGAGGCCGCAAGCTCTGGGGCCGCGTGGTCGGGACATGCGCTCAAAGTCTGGACTTGGGCGTCGCGTGCGTCACAGAAGGCCTTGGATCCACGGCCAGCTCCGTCCACCAGGGATAAGTGCTCGGGGCATTCTTGTCCAGCTGGTCCTGGAAGTTGGGTTTGGCCGAGGCGAAGAAGGCGCGCTTGGCTTCAGCGTGGTCCCTGGCGTCACCTTGTGTCAGACATGGATTTCAGGGGACGGGATGTCACTGATGGGCGGAACGTTCGCTCGGCTCAGACTCAGACTCACCTGGACGCGAATTGGTGCGCCAGCAAGGGACTGTCGACCAAGTGCGCGGCCTCTGCCGACCCGGCATTGCGCCAGATCAGCTGGCGGTTCAAGTGGATGGCGGTGGTGCTGACCCGGTCGACGAGTTCTTCGGCCAGCTGCACGGCGCGCGGCAGGACGTCCTTGGGCTCCGGGACCAGCTCGGAAAAGATCCCGTCCAGGGCCTTGGAGTCGGCCGGGTACGTGGCCCCCGTGGTCAGGAGATATGTCGCGCGGCTGTAGCCCACCATGCGCGGCAGGAAGAAGGAACTCGCTGATTCCATGGTGAGGCCGATGCGGGAGAAGGGGAAGCCGAAGCGTGACTTGGGGCTCGCGAGCCTGACACGATTATGGTAAGCTTCAGGACCGAGGTTATGTGTACTAGTTTCGCATGAAAAAGAGACGAGGATGAAGACGCTGGGTCTTGGAGTACAAAGGACATTCATTACCTGATGCCTGCTGCGAGGGTGGAGGTCATCCCGATCCCTACTGACAGCCCGTTGTATGCGACGATCACAGTCTTGCTGCAGTTGTACATGGACAATGCTAGTCTTCCACCCGTATCCCGGATGTCCGTGAGAGGTGTGTCCTTGGGCGGAGCGGCGTCGAGGTTCAAATCAATCCCGGCGCTGAACGCCCTGCCCACCCCAGTCAGGATCACGACCTTGACACGGCTGTCCCGATCGACGACGCGAAAGAAGGACTCCAGCCCCAAGATCATTTCGCCCGTGAATGAGTTGAGCTTCTCGGGCCGGTTCAGGCTCACGATGAGAATGGGCGTCACCCCAGGAGCAGATTCTGGGTGGTTGGTGATTCGCACATGGCTGTCTGCCGGCGTGGTATATGTTTCCGGTATCTGGATTGTGGAGCTTGGTGGTGCCTGCATCGTGTATACACAGAGAAAGCGAGGATTCTTTCGGCCTCAGAGAATCCGTGTCAACCTTGGGGGCTCGATCTCATCACTTGTATCAATCATTGCTCTGGTAAATGTACCTCGTAAGTTCTCCGGATATCGACCGAACCGCCGCGGCGAGGTTAGTAATCACGATCGCATGCACTGCTATATCCTGAATAGTAAGCCTCCCATTGTTGCTCACCTCGGTGGAGTGAAGGAAGCTCTCGACTGCATGATCCAGGGATGTAATGGCGGAATCTATATCTCTGACGCACGAAGGAGGTCAAGACTCGCAAGTAATAGAGCAAACTTGTCAATTGCTGTTCGCAGCTGGATAATCAAAATGAGAGACCTCATGGAATTCTGTGCCTAGCAAGAGCTAACTGATGGTTCTCTTTCACGTCAGAGACTCCATCTCCATGCTGTTCTCTGGAACTCCCCGCAAGGCTGGTTCTACAAGGCTACAAACAGGTCTGGGATATTCAACCTCACGAGGCTCCCTCGGTAGAGATATGGAGTAGATGCCAAGAAGAGCAGAGTCTCGGCACCTTGGCACCTTGGCACCTTGGCGTCTTGGCAGCTAAACAGGAGTACGGCCCTTCAACTTCAAAGTCATCTGCTTCTTCTGTAATGTACACTCCACGTAGCCTTGTCTCAAGACAGGAAGGTCTCCCAGACGGACTCGCAGACATGGTCCTGTCCCATTCCCATCCGGCCGCCTTGTTCAGCTTAGCAAGGCACAATGGGTAGCCAAGCCGCCCTTGGTGAGCCGCACCAGAATAGTTTCTAGGCTCCCCCGCGACGCGTTTAAGAACAGTGATCTCTGCCGCACGCTTTCGAGCCATTTACAAGGTCACAGAAGCCCCCGAGGGCATGGGAATCTGTGCGGCTACAATATGGAGCATCTTATCGACCCCACAGATCTTGACAGAATGCGACCTTCGATTCTTGAGAGTCAATGGCTTGATTTTGATCACGATAGCAGTCAACAATTCCCTTTGACGTCTTTTGAGGAATATCCCCTCCTGCGAGGCTGGACTACTGAAAGATTGAGAGCACTTCGCAACGATCCCTTCCCGCAAAATACTGATTGCGTTTCCATTCTGGCGATGTTACAAGGCTGGCTTTTCTTTGGTGTGCTTGAAGGTGCTTTTCAGCAGCACTTTCCAAGCTCTTCTTTCCTCACTTCATCTCGAGACATACAGAGAACAGATGGAAACCCTCAAAGAGCCCTTCACACCCAGTATTTGCGCACTTTCTATCAACAATGGCATCTCGACTTTCTCGATCTTCCAGAAGACAAACAGAAGAGTCTCTCAGTCTCTTTCGGGCGCTCGGTGGTTGGTGCGCGCGATTGGGCATTATATCTCGAAGTCAAGCTGAGACTTAAAATCCCAGCCTACAACAGCCGTCCCCTGTCTAGTATTTTCAATGCGACTATCCGCAATGCACTGCTATTGACGGAGCTACTGGCTAAAGCCGTGCCTCAAGCATATCCGGAGAGTGGCTTCGTCAATTTTCAGATGGATATCGATCCTGGTGGAGAGATCAAGGACCGACTACGACAGAGCGGGTGGTGTCCGTCGAACTCGAGAACACTGATAAATAGGTACGGACATTCAGCTGCAATGTATGCGACCCTTCTTCGTCCAATCGAGCAGCCTCAAGTGAGCCATACTCACTGCAGCAAGAGACAGTGCATCGCATACAATGTCGACGTGTCTACCTACTCGCCTCAGCATGTGGACCGAGAATGTTCATGCGAGCATGTGCTCCCTCCTCTGAAAGACGTGTGCGACATTCTGCAATCTGGGACGTTCCCGGTATTGGACGGAGAGTCCATACTAATGGACGGAGAACGCGGTGAGCTGAGTGTGAGGCGACACCAACCAGACATGGAATATGTGGTGATCTCTCATGTTTGGTCAGATGGGCTCGGAAGCACGACAGAGAAAGGTTTGCCGAGGTGTCAAGTGGTCCAACTCGCACACCTCTGTCACGTAATTTCCGGCTCATCCCTCTTCTGGATTGATGGGCTGTGCGTCCCTAAAGACCCGATAATGCGCAACACCGCAATTCAGCTCATGAGTGCAACCTATGCCAAAGCTCCTACGACGCTCGTTCTTGACTATGGTCTTCGCCAATGCAGTAGCTCGAGCACCACCGAAGAGATAGCCATTCGCATCCTGTCATCTGTCTGGCTTCGCCGTCTTTGGACTCTTAAAGAAGGCACTCTTGCGTCTAACCTTGTCTTCCTCTTGCGGGATGCCTTCTTGCCAATGCCTCATTTGCTCTCACAAATCTTCGTCTCTGGCTTCGCGGGCCCTATTTCGGCCGCTCTGATCGCAGAGTTATCAGGCTTCAACCGGAACCTTTATGCTTCAAAACCTGCCCATATCAATCATATCCAACGGCTGATGTGCTACCGGACGACTAGCCGACTCGATGATGAGGCTCTGGCTATTGCTCCACTCTTCCACATCGATATTGGCATCATTCTGCGACATTCAGGCGAAGAAAGAATGATAGCGTTCTGGAAAGCCTTGGGGACAGTGCCTGGTGGCTTGATCTTCTCGGGTGCACCGAGACTGACCACTCGTGGGTTTAGATGGGCCCCGAGGACGCTCATGCATGGGACGGGATTAAACGATTTGGGTCGCAATTATGGCCGTGTTACGGAAAATGGCTTCGTTGGTGAGTTTCTGGTCTTGGAGTTTGAAGAAAGACTAGCTTTCGCGAGGAATAGATGCCTCCGCCTGGTCGACATGAAGCGGCAGCGAGGGTTCCACGTATTTAAGGATATGGAACCGCAATCACCTGAAAGTCACGACCATGGATCGGGAGATCATGTCTGGGCCGATATGATCGCGGTCCGTGAACAGCCGAACGGCGAGATACTTCCTGGCGTCGCTATCATTCTCAGAAGGGAGGAAGATATGGAGAAGTCCGATCATGATGACAGGAAAGTGCCAACATGCACATTTGCAGCACGAGCCGTCATTACTGTGGATGAGCTGGTTGATCTGTTCTCGTGGCAATCGACACCACCATCCGATGCCAACGTGGTCAAGAGTGTGGTGAAAACTCTACGCATCTGTTGAGGCTTCCGGCCCTACACATTCAGATGCGGACAACCTCTCGTCGTGGTCAGATCAAAACGAGAGCACTTGAAAGGTATTATGGAAGACACAACATGAGCCTCAAAAATTCAACCAGATGTGTCCATAAGACAGATTGATGCCCAGGACCTTTCTCAACCTTACCCGCCGCTAGTATGGGTCTTGACAGTTTGTATTAGCAGGCGTGCTCCGCAGCCTTATCACGTGTGTTGTCCGCCAGCCTTGCGAGCCTGTTCATGTTACCCCGTCTCCGACATGTCGCCATCAATCAAGTCATCACAATGAATCAGAGATGCCACGAAATGTCAGAGACAAACGGGCTCTGCCGAAAGAGCAAAAAGGGGTCAAAGAGAACAGAAAAGAACAAACCGAACGTCACTGAACTCTAGTGATATTTGCTGAGGCTTAATGTCGTGAAGAACGTGTTTCACATTCCTTTTCCCAGGTAAGATTATTGGCTGCTGTGTGAATTCTGATAAATTTCTACGACCAGGTGATGTATTAACGTGACCTGCTGCATCACTGCGACTGAACGACTGTCGCCGCAATGTTCCCCTTACCAGGATCTAAGGCCAGTCTCAGTTTTTCACCGTCAGCAAGGAGACATCTATGATCGCGCCTTGACGACCCCTCTCGAGGTTGCATAGAGCTGGGTTGCGCTGTTTCATTGCTAATACCTCCTCCGAGCTACTTTGTCCTTCTGTGCTGGAAACTGCTGGCAACGACCACACCATGAAACAGGGAATTCGACGTCGGAATCTCGACACGAGGACATTCCATTTCCATCAGATACTCCCGCACGTGACTAAGCGTAGTGGTATTCGGCCTAAAGTAACGGATTAATCGCGCCTATATCTAGGCTAGGGAGCCCCGTTCCCGACACCCGCCTATAGTTACTAATTTATCGCCTCTACCTAGCATATAGTACCTATAACTTAGTATCCGATTTAAGTTGACGTAATGGTCACAAAAGTTCCCTTTTCTCTAAATTAGTTAGTCTAGGTTAAGCTTTACCTTTATCCTACTCCCCCCTGTAGTTCCGCATCGCTACGAAGACATCGAGTTAAAGTGCTTTATTGCTTGGGTATGTTGGCGCTTACGCTTGTCAGGACTTGCAACAGGATTAATTCGCTATGTGTAGAGGTGCTATGTACACGAATATTCTACCTTAAGGAGAGAAAGGAAAGTAAGGAAATCCATCACAGGCAGTCGTCTTCTGCGCTGTACTATCGTGGTGTGGTTGCTGAGGAAACAATCTCAGCTTGACAGCCTTGTGGAGGCAAGGCTGCCGTCAGTCGCCGGAGCATCCAAGACTTCAATAGGGTCTAACCCCCTAACAATTTGTTCCATTGGAGTCTATGAGCATTAAGAACGAGAAAAGAAGTTGGAAGGGTCTAAGTCTAGACGAGTAGATAGAGGTAGCATTAGAGGACAGCGTTGTCAAGAGCCGACTCGCGTAACTCTCAACTCAATAGAGGTCACGAGACGACTGGGAGTCCTTTGTATACAGAGACTCAGAAGCCTTGGGGGCTCTGAGTCGTCCCGCACTCGGAGTGCGCAACAGATTTAATGTAGCCATGTTAGGCCCCCGATGCGTTAGGCCACGGACGGCGGCTGGGTGATCGGCGAGTTCTATGACCTAACATTTGCTCACATCTCTTGATGTTCGTCATGTTTATCAATCGCCGACATTCTGGCCACGTGGTCCGGAGTGGAGAGTGGGGTCTTCTCCTGTTCTGACCGCGTCGCCTGATGAGGTGGGCGGATTCCGCAAACAGTCCCAGACGCCCGGATCGACATATTGAGCAAATATGCCCGAATTCAGCTTCCGGAAGGATTCGTACACTCTCGCGCGAAACTCGGGAGGGGACTGCCAGTAAGCGTGATAAAGTCCTTCACATTTGAAGATGTGCGCGTTGTCGGGGAAGAGGTTGAAGTTGAGGATGAAACGCTGGGCGGATGGATTTGAAGTCTCTGGCTCGTCATCCCCCTCGAATGGCGGTTCACTATACACCTTCTTCAGCAATCACTGTGAAAGATTCGCGTCGACACCTGGGCGACTCACCGGCCCTCCAGAATATCTCCGATGCCATGCAGGGACATAATCCGGCTTTGAGGCTCGCGGGAAAGAGTGAGCTGCGCAATTCGCACCGCAGGCCCCAAGACAGACTTTGCTAAGTCAATATTAGGGTCGCTTTGAAAATGAGCCTGAAGCTGCTGCACAGCCACGTCTACCAGATTGCCGGACAGTTTTGTGGCTTGGAGATCCGGAGCCATCTGTTTTGGCGACATGCCATCGAGCGCGATATAGCAAGACAGGAGGCCGAAGGAATATACATCGCGCGCGGAATGGTACTGGGGATGTTCCAGAGACTGAGCCCTACCCTCCGATCTGTCTGTTTTCCATGGATCAAGATCATCAAGGCACTCTGGCGCGTTCCATTCCGAGGTCCCTCCTCGTGGTCGGCCATCGGGTAGTGGTGCACGTTTGCCAGCGCCAGTGAACGTTACCATTCCCGCGAACCCAAAATCGGCGATTTTGGTCACCAAGCCACAAGGGGAACTTGAACTGGGGAACACAAGAATGTTGCCGGGCTTGAGATCTGCATGAACAAGATCATGCGAGTGCAGGGCCGTAACACCATTGGCAATGCCCGAGACGAAGGTTTTCGCCGTCTCGAAGGGCAGACGTGCCGGCCTGCCCGGATTGCAAGCGCGGTCAAAAAAGTGTTGCAGATCTGGAAATTGTTCGTGTGCGAGTTCCACGACGAGACCTGGTTTTGCGGGTAGTGAATTCACGTCGGTGACTTCGCCGTCAGGATCCTGGAAACACACCGCGAGTAGCTGTGTGATGTTTTGATTGGTCTTCAGGGATGGTCTTGACATGATCTGGAGCTCGAAGAGGAGGTCGACTGTCGCTTTCCGATACGCGAATTCGGCCGACTGAATGGCTGGCCAGGCCTTTCGGAGATATTTCACCGCCACTCGACGACCTAGCCAGGTGCCAGGATACACCTCCATCGTGGCACCGTGATTTATCCCTCTCCAGTCGCCTGGCCTATCCAAGACAAGATCTTCCGGACGGGCGATGGCTACCTTGTTGCGACCGACGACCCTGAGGAAACTAAGCTCCACGTTTTCCAGGTCCGGGTCGCCGAGCTCTCTTATTCTTCTCCGCGGTTGCCCAGGTTCTACCCTTCTTCGCCTCTCTTGGAAGGCTGTATTCGAATCTGCAAAAGACGTCGAACCAGAGTATGGCGGCAAAGGCCCAAGTTCCCTGGAACTGGATGACATACTGAAAATAGTCTCAAATTGTGATGGATTCTGTTTCGACGAATGGACGTGAAATGGCGGGCAGAATTTTGGTTGAACAGCTCACTGTTTCGAAACAAGGCGAGGAGTGGTAGGCTGATACTGACGAGGCCGGTTACAAAAGGTATAAACTCGCCAAGGCGCCAGAACAACGAACTGCGCCTTTTTGCGGCGTCCGCGCTTTAGAGTCAGTTATCCACAGATCTCTGGAGGATCTAACGCCACTGGTGCAGTAACCCGTACTGATTTCCAGGCTTAGGCAGAACGCTTACAAGAGATGGCAGATGGTGGAGTAGGAGTGGTCGGGCTCGTCCTCGCCATTCCTGGACTCGTCGACCTCGGTATCAAGTACGTCCGAGCCATCGTGCATAAAATCGGCATCTATCGCAAGGCCGGCGACTACCTCGTAGACCATTTGCAGGAACAAGACATCCAAACAAGCCAGCTCGAAGTGTGCCTGACTTTCGTCAAGACGGCGTCGAGTTCGTTCCCTGCCGAGCTCGAAATACTTGTCCGCAAAGCCTTGTACCGATTAACGAGTGCTCTCGAGGTTGCTCTAGCATCCCTCGAGGATAACATTGACAAGAAGGAAAACATCAAAAAATGGAGGTATACCATGTATGGAAGATCCGAGCTGAAACGAGCCCTGGAGCGGGTGGAGAAGGACCAACTCCTGTTCTATCGTGCGGTGCAATGGGCCGTCTTGTCCGGAGGTGCTGCCGTCGAGGCTCACTTGACCGAAGACCAACAGCGGGGCAGTGAACCTCTAGGGAGAGTGAAGCGACTCAAGGATGCAATAAACTTTCGCCTGAAAGGAAGCGATAGCGATGTGCCTAAGATGCTCCTTGACGATAAGGAGTTCTCCTCCGCAGCTTACCGGCCGCTGCCTCACAGTGAGATCGGATATCTAACTGTAAAGTCGGACGACTCCGATATTCCCATTGCCCTGGTTGAGTACAGGCCATATGTTGAGCAGGAGATCAAGAAGGTCCGCGACATCGCTCTGGTTCTACAACATACGTCAGAATCGATGGCCATCCTACCCTGCAAAGGGTTTAAAGCCAGCGCGAAAGCAGACCCAGCTCGATTCGAACTCGTCTTTCCTCTGCCAACCGGCTCGGCGCAACCTCGTACTCTACGCGACATCCTGCTCGGGAAGGAAAGCCAATTGGGAGTACCATTCTCGCTGACCTGGCGCCTAGAACTGGGACTTCGACTTGCGACTGCAATCATGTATGTACATACCTCCGGCCTAGTCCACAAGAGCATCCGCCCCGAGAACTTGGTAGTCATTGGGGATCGCGTCCCAACGAATGTGACAGAGCAATCTGCCAAGGACAAATCTCCGGGAAAGCTCTATCTCATTGGCTTCGAATTCGCGAGGAAAGAAGAAGAAGTTTCTACAAGAATAGGAGATGACACGTGGTGGAAGAACATTTACCGCCATCCACAGCGACAGGGCGTGCATCCCGAAACGGATTTCAACATGCTTCATGACATTTACAGCCTGGGAGTTGTCCTCCTCGAGATCGCCTTGTGGAGATCTTTCGTTCTCGAGGAGACCGATGACCGTACCGGTGAGAAACGATTCGCTGTCAACCGCGACGCCATAAAAATATCCGACAGGAAGACTAGTCACCTGAAATCTCCAGAAGAGATCCAAAAGATCTTCGTCAAAAAAGCTGCAGATTTCATCCCACAGGTTTTTGGCGACAAGTATCGAGACATCGTCGTAATGTGTTTGAGTTGCTTGGACGAGGGCGGCCTCAAGGATATCGAGGACGCGAAGGACAAGGACGGCATCACCATTGGGATGGCATATAGCGAAAAAGTCCTCACGATTCTTGATGGGATTGCCGTTTGAGGAGACCATGAATCTGGACGATCGTGACTCGGGAATAATGCATTTGAAGGAGCGGTTTCGACAAGGGGGAGCTGAAAAGTCCTGGGCCGAGGGAGCGATTTCCTTCCTGATGCTTAGGAGCTGTTCTTGTTCGGCTTAAGAGGGGTACTCCGCCGCATTCCCTCTAGGGGAGACTGGATGTGGATGCAGACTGGTAGCTCTCTATTGGACTGGGAGCGGTATTGTCAATCGCGCATCCGAGCCAACCAAACAGTGTACTTTTACTGTTTCATCTAATTTCAAAGTCGCCGTGACGATTTTTACAAGGTCTTCGATGAATGAAATGTTGGGCTGCGGAACGTCGTACTCCCATATCGATTGCCTCGGGATTGAGTTCTCACAGGAAGTGCACCGAGGTGCTGAATTTTGGTCTTTGACGGCCACAGAGATCTGTCCACCACCAGTGAAATCTTGAAGGAAGTATGTATATTGATGAATGAGTGGTTCAGGAAACTGATAGTGGTCCGTCGTCATTTCGACCGGGAAAACATGGCAACGGACTTTCCAGAGACGTATGAATTGTGAACCCCCTCCCGCAACAGCAGAGCTTTCACTCTTTCCTTTTCGTCACCTCTCTTTTGGTTACCCAGCTCCATACCGCAGTTCCGTTCCTGTACGTCCCGCCGGGTAGTCCACAATCAACTCTTGAGCTCTTCGACTCAGCATGGACGGATTGCCTGACGCTTGCAAGGCTGGTGGCTGCAACTTTTGATGATTGCGATCCAGCCTTTACGCGCTACTTCGAAGCATCAAGCGCCCCCTTCGTCAAGTACGTATTCCAGACAATTGCAAATATCCCGCTCGATCAAAATCTGGACGCCAATGACATTCAGCAACTTTTCAGCAGCAGCAATCTCATCGGTCTCGCTCCAAAATTCGCGGGCTTGACTCTGTCGCTTGGTTCTCAAGCTCCAGGCACTCCAGATTCCAAACGGTGGTGTGAGGAACCATCTCCTCCTTCAGCATATGTGGCGGGCCCGGCAGGGAGCGACCCTGCTCAAACCACGATTTGCTTGTGCAATCACCTTTTCGGTTATCCAACACTGGCTGAGATAGTCAACCCTCCTGCATGGGGATTAGATGAACAAGGCGACCCTCTTCCAGGCTTTGGCTGTGACGGTCTGGGCGATCACGACACGGATTGGATGATGTTTCCTGGCGCAATTCTCTTGCACGAGATGGTACACTGGCCGTATCTTCTCCAAGACATTCCGGACTGGCAACGATTGATCATCTCTTACCCTACCACCGGTCGTATTATCTCGGACTTTGAAGGACCAAAACCTCCCAATGGATATAGTCCCTACAACGCTCACCTCCTGAACTCGGACTCTGGCATCAACCCGGCCGCCTTTGGCCCACATCCCACCGTCAACGATGCCGACAGCTACGCGTATTATGCTCTCTCCAAATTCTGGTCCTGGAATTGTCAACGGCCTTTTGGAACTTCATACGATCCCGCCGACAACCATAGACGGGCTTTTCGGCCTGGTTTCTCCCGTAACCCAAATCCAGGCCCTCCAACCCACTGAGGAGATTGTTGTACGCAAACACCAGTCACTGCATCAATGGCGAGGTCAAACACTTGCGCCCCTGGACTTCCAAGAAAGAACACTGTGCGTGCCGAGAAGAGGTGGAAGAATACCGCAGAAAAGCGAGGAAAATTGCAACGGATCTCCACCGTTGGGAGAGCGAGCAAAATGATCGAGTCAAGAAATCAACCTGGGAAACCGTTTCAAGAGCCAGAGCGGGAGGAGAAGGAATGCACATGGCAGTTTTTTGTTCGCCGCGACGTGGTCTGCGCGAGGCCGACGTCTTCATAGAGTACCTGTCCCAGCTCTAAATTGCGATTTACTTCCCATCCATTCTCGACACCGCTCTTCTGTGCCAGAATACGTTTTCACACGACCAGTGTTCTTTCTCTGACCATAATCGCAGGCTTTCCCGGTCGATGAAATCACAAACCCCATGATCTAGCTTTAACAGTTGTTCCGGGCCAAACAGGCCAAATGTCGGCGTCCGGAGAAAACAGAGCGGCGGCTTGTAGTTTGCTCGATTTGCATTCATCAAATATGGACTCGAGTCCTCTCTGACGCTTTTTCCTCCCGGAAGCAGGAGACGAGCTCCATGGGCAAGTCCGTATTTGTACTCTTCTTCTATCGCTCTGAAAATCATAAGCTGTCTTTCTGACTGCGCGCTCAGAAGCTGACTTGAAACCGCGGGTGCGTTCGGAGTCGGGCGCCGTATCGCATGAAGACAAACGGCAGCGGCACCATGGCCAGTGCGATGAACCCGAGCACGCTGTTGCCCCACCCCAGCCCGAGACCGGAGTACAAGGGCCGGCCGGCAAGCGGGAGGAACGCCCCCGTCAGCGAGCGGACGACGGTGTTCGCTGCCGTGACGCTGGCGGCGAAGAGCGGATAACAGTCGACGAGGTAAGTTTGGACGGCCATCTAACGCAGTTTCGACCCTTGTCAGCAATGGAAACCCCCGAGCCAAAAGGAAAAACAGGGGGTGAGAAAGTAAGAGTCCTCACGAAAATGCCCATCAGTCCCAGTCCCACCCAGCCCGTGCCGATGATGGGCATGATCCAGTGGATCTGCTTCTCGGCCGACCAGCCGTACCAGAACAACCCGATGGGGATGCAGATCGCCGCCGGGATCAGCCCTTCCAGCCGGACCTCGGGGGAGACGTCGCCCTTGGCCTTCTTGGCCTGGATGCGCCGGTCGCTCGTGGCGCCGAACAGGGCCAGGCCGATAAACATGCCAACACCGATACCCAAATAGGAGAGGCCAGCGAGGCCGGTAGAGAAGCCGTAGATGCTCTCGTAGATCTCGGTGATGGTCGTGAAGAGGAGGTAGAGGTAGCCGTAGATGATGGAGACGTAGACCTAGAAGATGCATTGGAGACGACGGTTAGAAGGGGGGCGCAAGCGAAAGGAAAAGTCGCCGGTCGCTGAAAGGGAAAGGGAGATGTTGGGGGCGTGACGTACGACAAAGATGAAGACAATGGGAGACATGAAAAACATCTTGGTCGGGCGGATCAGGGCCTTTGCGAGCGCTGCGCGGGGCGAGTCCTCCGTCGACATCTTCGACCTGTACTGCGTGTTGCCGGTCGACTTGCGGAGCTGGGCGGCTTTGCGCTCGAGGAGGACCGGGGCGTAGGATTCCTTCATGAAGAGGAAACACAAGACCGTGACGACTCCGGCCTATTATACGGGGTTAGTTGGTGGAAGAAAAAAAAACAATCAAATCACAAATAATATCTGGACAGCCAACCACCTACCGCGATGCTAATGACCCAGAATACCCATCGCCACCCAACATTCTGCGAGAGAAAAGCACCTGCAACGGGTCCTGGTCGAAGGAGTTAGTACCAGTATAAATCGCGGTACTCCCAGGACGACGGGGGTTTCCTCATGGGGGGAAAAAGACGTGTTCTGAACATACCAGCCACGGGCCCGATCAACGGACCCATCGCGAAGATGGCCATCTTGGACCCCCTCTCCTCCCGCGTGTACAGGTCGGCCACGCTCCCGCCGCCGAGCACCAGCGGCGCCGAGCCCGCGGACCCGGCCAGGAAGCGGAACCCGATCAGGCTGTCAAGCGACGGCGCGACGGCGCAGGCGACGGTGAAGACGATGAACAGGACGTTGGTGATCTGGTAGACGGGCCAGCGGCCGTAGATCTCCGACAGGGGCGCGCACACCAGGGGCCCGAACGCGTAGCCGATCAGGTACACCGAGACCACGAACGAGGCGAGGATGACGCTCGTGCTGTCGAAGTCGGCCATCACTCTGGGGATTCCGGGCGCGAACATGGACGACGCGAGCGGGCTGAGGGCGAAAAGGTTCTGGCATCAGCATACTCCGAACAGGTTTGTAGGGGGGGTCATTGATACATACGTGACAAAGGTCAGGCATGAGAGCAGGGTGATGTTGATGGCCTTACGCCGCGACGGCCAGTTCAGCGGATTCGCAGGGTCGTCGTCCCCGTCCCAGTCGACGATGTAGTCGTTCGCCGGCGCCGGACGGGCCTCCCCGACGACCTCCTTGGTATCTTCAGCCATGTTGGACACGTCGACGGTGTATCGCGATCTGGTACGGCTTGGGGGGGGAACCGTGAAGCCATCGGCGACGAAAGAACAAATGTACCCTTTGAGGATGCAACCGAGGAAGAGTTGCGGGTAAATACTAGCGTCAACAAACCTTGGACTGAGGATCAAATGCCCACTGAGGCGGCCCGAAGCTCGCTTGGAGAGTCAAGTTGTGCAAATTGTGCGAGATTATGCGGACCGCGGAGAAAAGACCTATGCTGATTGGATGGGATGGAGAGTAGTGCGGGGCCGTCGTATACTAGTGCTCGTTTACCACTCCCAAAACAGACTAGGGTACGCCTGACGTGCCCCATTGGACCATCGCTTAGAGGAGCCAATCATGTCGCACGGCCAGAGCGCCCATGTCGGTAGTCACATTCCCGAAGCTGTTAAAATAGAATGAGGCCCTCGGGCTGGGAAGATATTAGGAGAGATTTCTCTTCTCCTTTCTTCTGGGATGGGTAACCCAAGACGCGGTTTGCATGACGGCTTTGGATCTTGTACTACTATTGCTCAGAGACTATGGCTGTTATGCCAATGATGTGTTACGGACCGGTCGCCAAGCATGTCCCACCACTTTATCAGCCCCGTACAGATTGAGGCCATCTGAAAGTTCAAGCAATCAGCCGGCTGGAGAACTGGACGAAGGATTACCAAGCGTGCATCAACACGATATATATATTGCCTCATCCCAAGTTCACCATTACGTTTCACGTGGTGCAGGACTTTACAATCTCATGTGCACGGCGCACTGGTAGGCGCCCACCGATGGCTCAGCCACAGATGGAATGGACACAAGATTCGACAGTGGAACGGAAGAGGTAAAGGATCGGAAGGGCCAGCAGAGGCGGCATCGACATAGGTGCCTGACACATAGGTAATATCCTGCATTCGGCATTCAAGGCCTCGAGCTGTGGTAGACCTTTGGGTCTTGGCGGCGGGGAGATTGACCGAGGGCCTGTGGCTTGTCGATCTACCTTGATATCTCGAGAGCGTTGTGTTTCCCATCATCGAAGGCGAAGCCGATTCATGTATGACGGCCTGGCGATGGCACACTTGTCATATGCAAAAGGGGCCAAACCACTGAGACGACTTCAGCCCTTCTTCTGGGTTGAAGTCCTGCGCAAGGAGCACCCGCCGTTCCCACTTCTCCACCACATCCCCACCACAACGAGACTTCTCCCCGCCGAGCGCAATACCTTCATTTAATCAGAGTTATATCCCACTTAGCAGTATCTGGATGTCGCTTTGTTGCCACAACAGATGTCTTGCTCGGTTTGATGAAATTCTGGAAATAGATATAGACGTTTAGATAGTCCAGTTGCTTTTCTGTTCATCTTTCCTCTTTTGATTCTGAGAATGGGACTCTCTCTGGCTGATCACACCGATGAGCAAAAGCCTTCTCAGCCTGCCGGCGAAGCAAATCTATTTCGGCGAGAGCCATCCTGCGTGGAAGTTCCGGTGTTGATTATCGGTGGAGGACCTGCAGGGCTCGTGCAAGCTCATCTCTTATCCCAGCTTGGAGGCAAGTCTACGGCGTGATGTCGACAAAGAGGCCACGATTGACAGTCAGAAGTGAAGTGTCTCATCGTCGAACGATATCCCGAGAGACTGGGTGCCCCGAAAGCACATGCGCTGTCCCCGAGATCTCTAGAGATATGCCGACAGTTCAACTTGGACGTGAGCCGGTTACGACAACTCGGCACGAGGAGGCGCGATGCGTTCTGGGTCAACTTTCTCACCAATCTAAGTGGTCAACAAGTCGGCGTGCTCCCTTACGAGCGCATGGACGTGGGAGTTCTGTCTCACACGCCCGAGGCAAGTCGTGGATCACGATGGCATGGTGCACCGGCTTTCGCTGACGAGTGAAGATGATCCATAACGTCCCGCAGCCCGTCTTTGAGGAGTTTGTCACGGAGGTGCTTGCAAAAGACTCGAACATAGATCTTCGCAAAGGCATTTCATTCGTATCGTTGGAACAGGTAAGTGGCGTCGCAAAATCTCCGTGGTGGAGAGGTGCTCATTTCAAGAACTCGGAAGGAGTTATCACGACCGTGGAAGAGCGTGCTACGGGACATCAGTTCCAGATCCGGTCGAAGTATCTCGTTGCTTGCGACGGCGCGCGGAGCAAAGTACGCAGCTTCCTGGGAATCGAGAGTGATGGCGAGGATTCATGTAAGTCCACATAATTCGTTAGCACTCGGCGGGATTGACAGTTTAGACGAAACGATGATGACCATCCATTTCAATGCTGACCTTCGTCCGATTGTCAGAGAGAGGGTCGGTATGCTGCATTGGATAATGGATCCTTTGGCGTCTGGCTTCATCATTGCGTACGACCTCTCAGGAAATGCGGTTCTGATCAGCAATTTTGATGTCAGTGATTCTACGTGGGACGAGGGTGATCTCTAACCGCAATCTTCAGGCAACCAAATACCCCGTTGAAAGCTGGAATCAAGAACTTTGCCGCCAAGTTGTCGTCAGTGCCTTGGGGATAGAGGTGTCCTTTGACATTCATAGCTACCGGCCTTGGGTACTGAGCCGGAAAGTAGCAAGATCCTATCGGGCGGGCAATGTCTTCTTGTGAGTTGCATCCCTTGACTCGACGACCAGTCTAACCAAGCAGAGCTGGAGATGCTGCTCATTCGTTCCCCCCAACAGGCGGTCTCGGATTGAACTCTGGCCTGGCAGATGTGCACAATCTGGCGTACAAACTGGCATTGGTCCTCGCAGGACGAGCTGGGGACGCTCTTCTCGACACATACGAATCAGAACGACGACATGTAGCCGTCGTCAATTCGATGCAGAGCGTAAAGAACGGAAAGAAGATCTTTGCCCTTCTCAAGACACTGGGCATCGGCGATGATCTGGTCACGGCGAGGAGAAATCTGTATGCCAACATTAAAGATCCCCAGAAAATGAAGGTGATTGATCAAGGGGTTGAGGAGCAAAGAGAGCATTTTGACAACGTATGCGTTCTCTGGTATGCGATCTGGCTGGTACTGACGCACTCACAAGCTCGAACTTCACATCGGATATGTCTATGGCAGCAAAGAAATCCCTCCACATGCTTCCAAGTATACCCCCAAATTTGAAGTGGGTGCGAGACTGCCTCACGCCTGGATCCGCCTGCCGCACAGCACGCTGAAGCCCGTTGATGTCTCGTATGTCGACGAGTTCTCCCCGGCAGATCTCGAGTCCCACCGCTATAGTACCCTCGATCTGTGTGATCTTGACAAATTCACCTTGGTAGGACGTCTCGATGTCCCCGGTGTGAAGACCTGCCGACTTGGTCGCGACTTTGAGGTCATTGGCGAGGCAGGGCAGAAGTGGTTGGCAGCGGCTGGGCTGGATGTTGGAGGAGGGTTACTTGTGAGGCCGGATCAACATATCTTGATGGTACTGGATGCTAGTACCACAATGGAAGAGGTCCAGAGATGCCTGAACGCACATTTGGGGATCTGAGCAGTGCAGATGGAAGGCTCGGTTCAAGCGAGGACAGACACAAAAGACCACTCTTAGTTGGCAGGGGTGGCAGGCTACTCATAGGCAGCCTTCAGTAGTGGCCAAGGGTCTCCGGAGGCTTCCCAGGAGAGGAGGAGGGAAGTAAATATTAATTAAAGCCAGAGTGTAATTTCCATCCCGATCCCTCCCCCGGGGGGGGGGGGGCCAGCCTGGTGCCAATGGGCTATGTCGGGCCGCTAGGCGGTGGCGCTGCCAAGCTGCGTGCCCAATGCTTATTGTGATAAGGATAGAGGCCCTCGGCTCGGGGTGCAGCATATTAGACCCAGGCCAAATGATTGTTCCCCCCGCACCATTTCCTGATCATCACATCTCGTGTCCTTAAGCATTTTGCGTCGCCGTCGCCCAGTATGGACAGCTTGGGGCACAGTGAAGCATACGGCAGCTACTTTCCTGTTCGTCGCATTGCCCAAGCCTGCTTCTCCTGCAGGTCGGTTGCTTCCCCTCCCCCTTGACGCCACGGGTGCTTGCCCTCTATCGGCCTGGGTTCTAATCCAAGATGTTCCAGAAGCAAGAAATCTCGTTGCACGGGCGAACGGCCAGCATGCGGCCATTGTCGGCGATTGCGGCTAGGTCAGACCCAATGCACCTCAAGGCGGATCGATTCTGATGTCGGCAGAGTGCGTGTATCCCCAGCAGACGTCCAGCCGACAGACTGCGCCTCGGACGGGTGCTGAACCGAAGACGTCCTCTCCCGATCAAATTGGTGTGGTGGGTGTTGTTCTCTCCCAACTTCGGGTCCCAATTGGTGCTGAAGCAGGTCTCAGACTCAAGTCGGTTCCAGGTTGGAAGCCATCGAGGAGACTCTTGAAAGACTTGAAACCCAGCTCCACCGGTAAGGTCCCCATCGCGATGCGGTACCAGCATTGGATTGACTCTCGCCGTGCTCAAGAGTCACGAGGCTCTTGACCAGTGACGCCAGAGATCGGGTTGCCTACGAGGACGATGGACGCCCGACTCCCAGCCAGGGGCCCCAGAAAAGACGTCGGATTTCTGTTGAGCCTACACGCTACGATCTCAACGATGATACCGAGATGAACACTCCTGTACCTGGAGAAGCCCCGATTCCCGACGAGGTACTGTCCTCGGTGGTGGACGTGTACTTCAGCTTTTGCCACAATCAACCATATTCGTTCTTCCACGAAGGCAACTTCCGTCGCCGGCTAGCACTGGGCACACTGTCGGAACACCTGATCCTCGCCGTCGTGGCTATCTCGGTGCGCTTTTCTACCCACCCATACTTTGCTAGCCGCTCCCATGAGGTGGCGGTGGCTTATGCGACGCGGTCCTGGAAATCCGTCGTGTCGAATTGCTTTACGGCAGACAACCCAGGCGACATCTCCATCGTGCAGACGATAGCCTTGTTGGCCCTGTTTGACTTCACTGGTGAGGCGAACCAACCCGCAGGTTGCGGACCCGTGCTGACTGTCTACGGTGTAGCTGGTCGAACCCGCCACGGCTCTGCCTGGGTGAAGATTGGAATGGCGGTCAGGATTGCCCAAGATCTCGGCCTGATGCTCGATACGGCCCATCATCTTCCTTATGCGGACCAGGAGGAGCGCCGCAGGGTCTTTTGGTCCGTCTATTTGCTCGACAGACTGGTCTCGTGCGGTCGAGGTCGGCCTCCGGCAATCGTCGACGCCTCGTGCCACTTACAACTTCCCTGTGACGATTTGCTTTGGCAGGAAGGGCAGTGGAAAAAGACCCTGACCCTGGACGAGCTGTCCAACCGCGCCTTGGTCAACCCCGAATGTCAAGGGCATTTTGCGCACGTCATCGTCATGGCCTACATACTCGGACGAGGGGCACAGTACATGCTCCAAGAGTTCAACATCCGGAGTCGATGCCCGCCCTGGGACCCCAGTTCGGATTTCGCCTCGATTGAGTCGGACCTCTTGCACATCGAGACTCAGATGATGATGCATAAGTCGGCAGAAGAGCTACTGGCCCCGTCCATCAGGACGGATGGAACTGTCGACCACCAAGCTGTTGGGCCCATCATCTTTTCTCGGGTACTATTCCACCTCTGCTACTGCTTGCTGAACCACCCTTTTCTCCTCCGAAGGCGGATCGAGATCGGGAAGATGCCGGGCCCGGGCAGCTTTCTGGCCCGCTCATTCCACACTGGGTGGCAGCATGCGCGTAACATGATCGAACTTATTCGCCTCGCCCGCGGTCTGGGGTGTGTGTTTCAGTCCTCCTTTTCCGGATACTGTATAACCGTTGCCGGGTCTATCGCGTTGCTGCACGTCAGTAGCCAGGAGTTAGGTGTCGCCCCTGTAGCACATGCCCTTCTTTCCGAGGCGATTTCTTACTTGGACGATATTGGCGGATATTGGAACAATGTGTCAACCATGGTAAGACTCCGTTGCGTCTCCTCCCCAAAGACTGGTTCCCCGGTCCGCAATGACCTTGCTCGCTATGATGTACTCACTGACAGGTAGGCATCCCTCCTGCGGCAAACGGCCGAAAACGCGATCGTGTTCAACGAACTGTGTAACGATCAGCCGCACATCACACCTCTCTCTGAAGCCGATATGAATGCAATGTGGAGGCTTGTTGACTACAGTACCATGTCCAACGAAGTAGCGGCGGGCATACCCCAGACCTCAAATCATGACGGAAGCCTTTGGCTGAACTCTTGGATCGACCTCTTTGGGACCATGGACAGCAGGACCGACCTCACGATGCCAGGAGACAGCGCAAATGGATTCCGTCTCGACGAGTTCTGACCGCCTTGTGGACACTTGGTAGGCATGATGAAGCCCAGCCTGTCGGACGGTCTTGGATTGCCGGTGACTACGGCTTTCATCCAGGTTGACGTGGGCCCCTCCTGGGCACTACTCGCGACGTTTTGACGTCGTGTATACAGCCAACACTTCGAAGCCACGCCGGATGGCTGGCTCGTTTACTGTGCGATTAGGGCAAGGACATTTTCACTCCGGCGCCCCTGGCAACATGCACCTTTTGGACATTTATGTTTGGTAGAAACACGGCACGCACCATTGCTTCGAGACCACTCCAATATGTACTTCTCGGTTCTATAATAATACTTTCCGGGCAAGCCTGCGTTGTTGCCGGGGGTCAAAGCTTGGCCTCGCGTGCAAGGCTGCGGCGTTTCTTTTCAAAATACTCAATGACTGAACGCCTCGCTTCCTCGACCACCTCCTTGTCCTCGATGGTTGCAGGATAGTCTACCTTGTGGTCGTAGTCGCCTCTGACCCCGTGCTCGACCAATTGTCTCAAGCAGCGTCGGAGGCTTTTGCCTGATCTTGTTTTGGGGATGAGACCTCTTCCGTAAATGACGCCCCCTAGCGACGCGATGCCGCCGATCTGGTTTCTTACGAGTTGGTCGATCTCTTTCGAAAGGGCCGGGAGGGCCACGGCGGCGCTGCTGCCCTCGGGCGGGACCACAAAGGCGAAGGGGACATGGCCTTTGACTGGATCTGGCATCCCCACGACTGCGACTTCAGCGACAGCTGGATGCATCATGATGGCGCCTTCGATTGCACCTGATCAAAGTCTCTCAGCCGACGTTTCTCCCCGGTTTACATAGCAGATTTGTACTCACCTGCGCTGAGCCGATGGGCGGCAACATTGATAATGTCATCGCTCCGGCTCATGACGTACACAAATCCGTCCTCGTCGATCAAGCCGGCATCACCGGTGTCGAACCATCGGCCCTCGAATCGGGCAAGGTAGCTCTTGTGGAACCGCGCGTCGCCTTCGTCCTTGAAGAGATGCGTCAACGCCGAGGGGGCGAGCGGCATCTTCAGCACAAGATTCCCCGAGGCACCTCGGGCAACCTCGTTGCCCATCTCGTCGACCACGCGCACGTCGAACCCAGGCATGGGCTTCCCGGCACTTCCAGGCCTCGCGTGTACGACATCATTCTGCTGCTTTGGCCGCCGGGTCAGCTGGCCCTCGTGTGCGGTGACCGATTCGGCAGCAAGCGCGACCCCAGTAATAGGACTCCCCGATTCACTGGACCACCAGTGGTCCACCACCGTCGCACCGCGGCCGATATATCTCCACAGCAGTTCTTGGTAGAGCTTCACGAGGCTGGGCTCACTTCGCTCGCCGGCGAGGAACAAGCCCCGCAACGATTGCAGTCCGCCTCGCGCCCCGTAGCGGGAGAGGAGTCTACTGCTCGGGTCGTCGCGATGGATGGCTCTGAGTGCAGTGGGCGCGGTGAACAACACGTTGACCTGATACTCTTCAATGATGCGCCAGAATGTCGATGCGTCTGGCGTACCGACCGGCTTGCCTTCGAACAAGACCGTGGTCGCGCCGGCGAGGAGAGGGGCGTATATGATATAAGAGTGCCCGACCACCCAGCCAATGTCACTGGCAGTGAAGATGACGTCGCCCGGCCCCCTGATGTCGAATAGGTAGCCCATGGACAGACTCAAGGCCACCGCGTGTCCTCCGGCGGACCTCACAATGCCTTTGGGCGCGCCAGTCGTCCCGCTGGTGTAGATGATGTAAAGACCGTCGGTGCTCTTGATCGGCACGCATTCGGCGCTCAGTCGTCGGCGCCGCCCGTCCTCAACGAGACCCTGCCAGCTGCGTTGGCCCTGGTCGAGCCTAGGTTCCCAGGAAACCATTGATCTCTGCCAGATGATAGTCCGGTGGGGTTTCCAGCTGCTTTTGGCTAGCGCTTCTTCAACCAGAGGCTGGTACGCCAACGGGCCCTTGTTGCCCTCGACGCCACAGCTTGCGGTCATGATGACGGAAGGCGTGGCGTGCTCGATCCGTTGCGCCAGACTCGTGGGCGCAAAGCCCCCGAAGACGATGGCATGGAGCGCGCCCAGCCGGATGGTGGCAAGGACCGCAAAGACCGCCGCCGGGATCATGGGCATGTAGATCAGCACGACATCTCCCCTTTTCACGCCCTGGTCCTGCAGGATGCCTGCCAACAGTGCCACCTCTTGTTGGACCTGTGCGTAGGTATACCGTTCCTTTGCTCCCGTCACGGCGCTGTCCCAGATCAACGCCACCGCGTCCCCGTGGCCGTTGTCCACGTGCCGGTCGACACAGTTGTACGCGGTGCTGATCTCCCCGTCCTCAAACCACGACCATTGTGGCGACCCTCTCTTCCCGCTTTGTCTCAGGGCTCGGGTATATGGGGTGTGCCAATGGAGGCGTTGGGCGTGTTGGTGCCAGAAAGTCTCGGGGTCGTCCAGGGACAGGCGGTGGACGGCGTCCTGGGCCGTCGCCGTTGGCGTCGCCATCCTACGAAGGCTGGGAGGGATGCTTCGAAATATAGATTTTGGGAGGTCTGTGGTCCGGAAGGTCACCTTCGGTCGAATTGATCAGACGCGAGATTTAGAAAACAATCCGTGTCTTCCGAAAACTCTTCCCCCACAAGACTGGTGGTCGGATACCCTCGAACAAGAGTGAAGACAGGGATGGTCCTCGGGTTCAAGGCAGTTGTGGTCAGGCAGTTCGATCCGTGCTAATGGACGAGGCCAGCAGCTCTTCTGTCGACTTGTGCATCATCATCGGGAATCAGACATCATCAGAGGAGATTCAACCATGCTCCAGTGTGCATGTTATCCCTCTCCGTGTTAGCCTCATCCATGCTAAACGTGTGGCGACTGGTCAATAGGGAGGTCCAGGTCGAAAACCAGGTCCGGCCGGACCGAGGCATTCTCTGGCGCTTGACGGCAACCGCCTCCCGATGTGCAGCAGTGATGTATGTATCGCCAGGCCCCATTGTGCCATGGAGTACTTCTATGGCCGGACAGATGGGAACCCTGGTATGGTGGCCCGCTGTGCGGCAATCTGACCGACATGACTAAGGAGATGACAGGCACCTAGAAAACTCCGCTCTGCTACTCACCTCGAGGGCGATTCCTCGGGATCAGTGTGTGATGGATTATTCAACGCACTGATTGTTCCACCCCCTGGGTCACTTTTCTATGGGTAAAGATTTTCACAGAGACTGTGAAGCCATTTAAAAGTGGCCGGTTTTCTCCCTTCTCTGCCCGGCATTTTGGTCAGCCTTTTCTATTTCACATTCTTCCACTGCCTCTGGAACGTTGTACGGACACAATACCTGATAGACATGTCACGAACCGCCATTACGATACGAAAGATCGACGGGGTTCCTGGAAAGGTTTACTACCCTCTTGAAAAGGTGGCCTACGACGATGTAGCGCCCGGCGATCAGGAGATCATTGTCAGCCTGTCCGCGGCAGCACTGAACCATCGCGACTACTTCATCCGACAACATCTCTACCCCGGTACGACGTTCGGCGTTCCGTTGCTTTCAGATGGCTGCGGGATTGTCTCCTCGGCTGGCTCCTCCCCCGACGCACAAAAGCGGTTGCGGCAACGCGTGATCCTCTGTCCTGGCATTGGCTGGGAATCCGACCCCGAAGGCCCCGAACACCCGGCCGGGTATAGATATATCGGAGGCACCAAATTGTACCCGAAGGGGACCTTGGCAGAGACCATCCGGGTCAATTGGCAGGACGTCGAAGAAGTCCCCGAGCATCTCTCCGACGTTGAAGCCGCGGCGCTCCCTCTGACCGGTCTCACTGCCTGGAGAGCTTTGTTTACCAAGAGCGGCGCCGCGGCACCCGGCCGCAACATCCTGGTGACCGGGATTGGCGGCGGGGTGGCACTGATGGTTTTGTTGTTTGCGTCGGCGATCGGCGCCAACGTCTACGTGACCAGCGGCTCTGACGAGAAGCTTGAAAAGGCCAAGTTGCTTGGAGCCAGAGGGGGGGTCAATTACAAGACAAAGGGGTGGGAGACGACACTTCTGGAGTTGCTTCCCAGCGGAAGACGCCACTTCGACGCAATCATCGACGGTGCAGGGGGGGAGATTGTGGCCAGCGGAGTCAAACTTCTCAAGGCGAGTCCTGAACTTTTTTGACCGATTTCCCTGTCGATCCGTCCTGTCCAGAGTGCTGACATTCGAGTGGCGCTACAGCCAGGCGGCGTCATTGTCTCGTACGGCATGACCATGGGCCCCAAGATGTTCTATTCCATGAACGCCGTGCTCAAAAACATCGAGATTCGCGGGACGACCGGCGGGTCCCGCAAGGAATTCGCCAGCATGGTCCGGTTTGTCGACGACCACCAGATCCGCCCTGTGGTGTCGCGCGTGGTCGACAACGGCCTGAACGCCCTGAAAGAACTGGACGGTCTCTTCGACGATATCGGGAAGGGCAGTCAGTTTGGTAAACTGGTCGTCAAAATCGACGGGCCGACAGGTCAACACGGTGGTGCGCAGGGACACCAAAGGCAGCATAAACTGTGAGATGTCTCGATCCGTTTTCTGGCCTGCTTTTTCTTCTTCTGTCTTTTCGGGGACTGACAAAGGATCGAGGGATAAGAGAGGATAGTTTCTGAGGGTTGGCCTCTCTTGGCCGAGTTGATACCATCCGCCCTGTGCTTGAGCGACGTCTGCGGCTTTGTCTACACAGAGAGGGTCTTGTTGAATCCGTCTGTGCTGATCCGGCCAATGGCGTGTAGCTCGAGGAAACAATGATACCACTGCCGGCACCGTACCCGTCCAAGCCCCTTCATCATCGGCTCGCATGGTAACGGTGCTCTGGTACTCGGAGCCTAGCGCAATACACCCATGTGGATTTTAAGGGGTCGCCGCATGTAGTTGGGGAAGGCGGGGCTCCCCCAGACGCCCAGCATATGCCTACTGTGTGTGTAGGTACATCGTCCTCCGGTGTGATAAACAGAATAATCCACGAGTACTCCGTATCACTCCACTGTCTGCTTGTCGCGGTCCGGCCGGTCCCTCTGTAGGCAGTTGATGTCATGGGCTGTACGGCCAGCTCTGTCATTGGTGGAAGGTGGCCGGCCCCAGGACCAAGCTTTACCCCATGAAGCCAAGTCTCGAAATTCTAAATCCTAACCTTAATTGTACGGAGTACTCCAAAGGACTCCCACCTC